ACTGGAACATGCGACCAGACAGACTGACGAACCCCTTGATCGGCGTGAGGATCATGCGTCACCTGTATCAATCGAGCCCGAGTGAGCTCGAAGTCCACTTGGAATTAGCGTCTTTCCGGGAGGACCTTGATGAGGCGATCAAGGAATTGAGGTCGCAGACACCACCAAAGTTGACAGAGGAGAATGCTGCAATCGTCAAGCACATTCAAGAGAGAAAGAAACGACTACTCGCAGACACGCTGCAGGCTGTCCTTCAGATGGGAATCCGACAAAATCTCCCCGGATCCGAACTCGAGAAACAGTCATCGTCTGCCATTGTTCTCTCTTCTTCGCCTAACATGCTGATGCTCGATACTTCCGGCCTTTTCTCAGACGCCAACGACGAGTTCCATGAACTGCTCGACGTTATAGCCCAAGCTCGCGCAGGTCACATGGAGCATTCAGATGACTTGACCAAAGGTCAAGTGAAACGAGGTATCGGTCTCTTGGAAGGTTTCTTGTCGGTCATCTTGAGTCAACGCCAAAGCATTGCCTCGTCCTCTCAGACCCTGAAGGATTTGCAGGCCCAAGTCTCGTTGCTTCGGATTTGCTCAAAGTATCCGATGAGAAAAAGCTCAGGGTCTTCCGATATGGAAGGAGACATCCAAGCATTGTGCCAGCGGATGGCGTGGCTCAGTGAGATCTTGACGTTAGCTCACCGTGTCATAAGCTTTCAGGCGAAGCATGCCCACTTCGATGTGCAGCAGTTACTCGATGGCATGCAACAACATAGAGACCAAACCAGGAACCTCAAATCCAAGCTTGCGGATCTGCCAGTGCTGCCGTTAAGTCTCGAATCAGGAAATACGGGTCTTCTGAGGGACGACTCATCGGAATTGCTCAAGGAGATTTGCTCGTTTCTCACCGTGTGGCAAGTCAAAGAGCCCCGCGTTGGATTCGTCCTGCGGAAGATAATTCCCTGGACTCAACTCGTCTCGAATGAGTCTACTGGCGATGATATTCGGATCGACTTGATGAGTGTCTCAACGCTCGATACCAGCATCAGAACCATCTCTGACCAGATTTTTGTCGCCATGCAAAGATTGGATACTCTACGACAGCAGAAGCCGAAACCGAATTCCATCAAGGAGGAAGGTTGGCTTATCAAAACTGACAATTGCGCTAACCAGGCCCTGCGCTCGATGCAGGCAGAAACCGTCAATGCAAGTTTGGCGTCTTTGTTGGATCAACTCTTTCGCCTGGCTGAAGACGACCATGAGCCAGCATATAGTCTGTTGAGACTTGCAACTCCTGTTATTGAACAGTACTTCCATATCTTTGGACACCTGCACAATCAACAGAAGGCGGCCCACCTGGAATCATGCCGCCTTGCCCTTCAACTCGCGAATTCATTCAACATGCTCATCACTCAAGGCTTCTGTCGTCCTTCTGAGCCTGCAGACGGTGAAGAGCAAACTGGCAAGCTGGAAAGCGGCACCGGGCTTGGTGAAGGTGAAGGTGCTGAAGATATCAGCAAGGACGTGGGAGACGCTGAGGACTTATCCGAGCTTGCTCAATCAGGAGAGAAAGAAGAGCGAGATGGTGAAATGGAAGATGTGGATGATGCTGTTGACATGGATAATGACGAACTTCAAGGAGAGATGGGAGATCACGAGGATCAGAAGTCTGACGATGACCGTGATGGAGACAACTCTGAAGACGAGGACGGCGACGACATCGATGAGGAGACAGGTTCGGTTGATGATCTTGACCCTAATGCTGTCGATGAGAAGATGTGGGACGACTTGAAGAACGAGTCTGAAGAAAAAGAAATGAAGAATGATAAAGCCAAGGGAAACAAGTCAGACGATCAAAATGCAGCCGACGGTGAGAAGGCCGATGATGAAGATATGGAGGGCCTTGAAGGTGAAGAGCAGGTGGATGATGACAGCGGAGACGAGAACGAAGGAGCCGAAAGACCAGAAGGTGAAACTATGGAGCCTCATGTTGAGAATGAGGAAGCTCTAGAGTTACCCGAAGAGCTACAGTTGGCAGGAGACGATGATATTAAGGACGATGACATCTCCGATGATGGAATGGACGAATTCTCGGACATTGAAAAGCCAGCGGATGAAGAGGTTGAGGCGGGAGAGTCGGATGACTTAGGGAAGGAGGAACCGTCTCTGGACGAGGTTGAAAATAATGATGAGACAGCCGAGCAAGCTGATGAAGAGGATGGAGTTGCTCAGGATGACGAAATCATGGAAGACCAACCTGCGGATGAAGAGACGGATGAGCAAGTTGATCATCAGACACGTGAAGAAGATGCGACACAAGAACCGATGGAAACGGCAGGAGGAGAATCCGGCGCTGCCAACGACCTACAGGACACCGTCGACCCGGAGCAGAAGACACAAGGCATGAATGACACCGACCAAGAACCCAATCCGGAACAGTCCCAACCTGGAAAAGCGCCGGAGAACCAAGAACAGGGCGATACCGGCAAAGGAGCAACTGAGCGCGGCACCGGGCAAGTTGACTCCCTGGAGCATCAACAGGATGAGGCTCTGAGAAAGCTAGCTGATGTCTTGGATCAGTGGCACAATCGACGGGAGATATTGCCGGCGTCTCAAGAGAAGCAAGAAGGCGAGCAAGATCAAGATGTGGACATGGCTGATGGGGATTTCGAGCACGTTCAAGATGAAAACGAAGGGGATACGCAGGCGTTGGGTGCCGCGGCCGGAGATCAGGCTCAAAATCTTGACCAGAGCAAAGCCATCGAAGACGACAAGCTGGACATCGATGAAAACACTGATTTACCGGATGCTCTTGAGCCCGAAACGACCGAAAACATTGCAGAAAGACTCAATCATTTGCAAGCTCAGTCGAAGGCAAGCGAGGTTGATGGGAGCGGAGCTTTCGTTCCAGGCCATCACCGACAAAATGCTGAGCTACCTAGCGAGCAGCGAGATATGGACAGTGCGTCGGAGGATCTAGCTCCCGATATCGAGCATCTGGAGCTCAATCAGGATTCTGCTATTGCTTCTCCACCAACAAGCACATCTGATGCGGTGCAGCTCTGGAACCAGTGCTCGACTACGACGCATCAATTCTCCCTCCTCCTGACTGAACAGCTCCGTCTCATTCTATCCCCAACAACGGCCACTAAACTCCGTGGTGACTACCGCACTGGCAAACGTCTCAACATCAAGCGCATCATCCCTTACATCGCATCCAACTACAAACGCGACAAGATTTGGATGCGGCGATCCGTGCCCAGCAAGCGAAATTACCAGATCATGGTCGCTGTTGACGACAGCAAATCCATGAGTGAGTCCGGCGCCGATTTGCTTGCGTTCGAGACCTTGGCTATGCTCACTAAAGCCCTCTCCATGCTCGAAGTCGGTGAGATTTGTGTTGTCGGATTCGGGGACGAAGAACACATTCGTGTCGCTCATCCGTTCGGCACGCCATTCTCGCCTGCAGAATCAGGAGTCAACGTCTTCCGCTCATTCAGCTTCAACCAACGTGGAACGAATGTAAGGAACATGGTCCGGGAAAGTATCCAGCTCTTCCGCGACGCCAGGCTCAAGGGACATAGCACGGCTGAGGATCTGTGGCAGTTACAGTTGATCGTGAGTGACGGACATTGTTCGGACCATCAGGGCATTGCACGATTGGTGAGGCAGGCACAAGCTGAGAAGATCATTATCGTCTTCGTCATTGTCGACGCCGGGCACGATTCTATTCTTGAGATGCAAGAGGCTGTCTATGAGCCAGATCCAAATTCTGCAACCGGCGAGATGAAGTTAAGGACAAAACGGTACCTGGAGGACTTTCCTTTCCCGTATTATCTCGTTGTCAGGGATGTGAGGGATTTGCCGGGTGTTTTGGCTACCGCCCTGAAGGGGTGGTTTGGGAGTGTGGTGGATGTTCAGGGCTGAATGGCCATCGAAGTATGAGAGAGTCGATAGGATGATGGGATGAGTAATGAGATTGACAGATAATATGGACGTGTATTTCGACGTTGTCCAGCACATCCTTTCCTTTCTCCCTGTAAAAGACCCCAACAAACATCCCAGAGCATGGCAGGTGTTCCACCGGCACTGCTCTTGCAGACGTCAACAACCTGCTTGATGAAGCTCGATACCCATTTGCGCCCATGATCTCTGCTGAGACTTCATGAAAATGGTTGCTCGTGGCACATCGCAGACGCCGCCGACGCGCTTCCGTGCTATAGCAATAGCCGAGGAGAGAGGTTTTGGTCTGTCCCTATCCTCACGCGAAGCCGGGTTTCTCTGGCAAACCTGTTTCCTTGGGCAAAACTCCTTGCCAGGCTAAATAAAGCCTGACGAGATATTTGGCTGTTTGGGAGGGTTGGCCTACGCAATCAGCCAAAGTTTGGGATTGCGATTTGCATGAGAAAGTGTCAGATTGCTGGCTCTGGAAGGTTCTTCTGTGTGTTATGGTGCTGGAAAGGTATAAGTTCCATCGTGGCCTGGTGTATGACGGGCTGGAACTTCTTCCCAAGAACCACCAATTTGCCTGTCTTCGATATATGAAATATATATTCAAATCTGAGCATCGTGTCCTCGCAGATTGTACATCGGGAATCATTCCGGTGTGTGTCGTCTTCTTTGGTGGTGTGGCTTGATAACGACAGCGAAAGCAGTACCGGACCAGGGCGATCAACGAAGGGTTCCCGTCAGGACCCAGCTGGACACGGATCACCCAGCCCGGCATACTGAATCTATATGATGTTTAAAGATGCTCGCTTTCTCTTTGAAATCAACAGCAGATCGCCCAGTGAAGAGCGCTAAGCAGGATGAAGCAAGATGGTTGACCCGTAAATGGGCCGGGATCGCCGAGACTGTGGACACTGTCACGTGCGAGGCTGAGATGACAGGGGCCAGACGTCTTGACTCTCGACACGGGTTGTACATATCCTTTGGGGCAACAATCGCAGGAGAAAGCCGTTGCAGGCGTTCACGGTTGCGTTCAAGAGCGTTATCGACTCGAGACGCGAGTTTGGAATACCAACGTCTTGCTCAGCGGGCGCATCATAACCCATTTTTGCCGGCCTTTTGGGGAACCGAGATGAAATTGCACGACTTGCATGAACTCCTTTTGGACATGCGGGAACAGCTGTTTCCAGCAAGATGCGACAATGCTACCCAGGTACGGGCTATTTCACCGCCCTTGTCGTGCGGTACACATGCTGTATGGGAGATATTTGCAGCTTGGCAATCTGCGGTGCTCGATGCAGCAAAGTGAAGTGAAGCATCACTACCTCACGCGGTATGGGAAAAGAAAACAAAGGCATCTGCGACTTTTGCCTGCGACCTTTCTTTGCCAGGAGCGTCTCTTCCAAATCCGCGAGCTTGTTCCCTGCCTTTCCTTGTCCACACAACAGCAAGATCACCACAATGGACACCAAAGATCAGAAGAGCGCGGGCGTCCCTGCCCCTGAGACGGAAGCCTTGTGCGGGTCGATTGAAAGACAGACTGCCTCTCCATCACCAAATACAAGTGACGCTGCTTCGTCACCTTCATCGCCCTCTTCTATCGCACGAAGTGCTTTAGACCTCATGGAAAGTCAAGCAACTGCTCGGAGCACTGCCCCTCTCCCGCCTGCCAGCTCCATCACAAATACCAACGGCCCTGAGGCTCAGGACGGCAACTCATCATCTCCTCCATCGCATCAACCTCCCCAGACTGTGCCCTCCACTTCCTCAACATCAAGTGAGCGTTGCGAGCGTTGCATACTTCAGCGAAAGAAGTGCGACGGCGTAAAACCTGCTTGTGGCAATTGTGCCAGTAGCAAAACACTCAGAAACAGCTGTGTCTATCCGCCTGGAAGACCATCACGCAGACAGCTCGCCGAGATGAAGAAGAACAACCAAGCAGGCCACAATGGCGCAAGCGGTCATCAAGATCCCAACAGCGGCAACAACAATGGTGGCACAAATTCCTCAGCGAGCCCGAACAACACCACGCCTCTTGCACCTCCACAGCCTCCTCAAGTTCACCAGCGACCAGCCGCACGACAGCCAACAGGTTCAGCATTGGTGACTCCTCAACAGCCGCCCTCACAGATGCCGACAATACGCCCTTCAGTCCTACATGCGCCAGGTCCTCAATTGCAGAACCAACGAAGCATTTGCAGCGAGCCGCCACCTCGTTGGCAGCCAATCGACGGCAGTGCGCAAGCTGGTGGACAAAGCCGCTCCTCCGCACGCCGCCCGATAACAACAACCCAGGCACCATCACCATTCACTGCGTACGGCAGCATTGGACGAGGGCAAGACGTCTACCTCCGTCCGCGACTGTTCGGAGACAATGATGGACCTGCGTCGAGCGCCATTGCCAGGCAGCAGAGCAACGGACACGCTCCTGCATTCGAGACGACGGGCGGCCAGATTCAGACGGGACAGTATCCAACACGTTTTCCAGATCTGAACTGGGGCGCGCATCATATCTATCTTGCTGACGGCAGCCTCAACCCAAGTCCACCTCACGGGGCTTCCACAACTCCAACGGTGCTGGGCAGGACAACACCGCTGGTAGCTGGGTCGTTGGCTAGGACACTCGAGCGACGCCCAGCCCAACCACCACGAGAGGAGGAGAATGCTGGAAACGAGCGTCAAGAAGATGATGGAGCAAGCCACGGTACGGGGCAGGAGGAGGAGGACGACAACGACGACGAAGAGTGGATTGACATGAACGCAGTAGCTGAGTAGTGTGCGCAAGGTCCCTTCGTGGTTTTGACTGAGGAAGGTGGGGCATTGCACAGCACATGTCGATACTGAGAGTACATGGTTGGGAAGCAGCGGTCGACGAGGTGACTCCCAGTCTCGAGAGGTTCTGCAGGGCGTTAGCTTTTTATGGAGTTCTGGACTGTTTGATTGCTCGGAAAAGTGATATGATTTTGTCTTCGAGGACAGCAGGCTCTGGGCCAAAAATACTGTCAATTGGGTTCTGTCAAGGATGACAGAGCAGGCTCTGGGCTAGGAAGAATATTCATCGAAAAGTATTATCATTACCACCCATACTTGCTTCCAGCCTCCTTTTTGTTCCTCTTTCCTGTAGCGAAGCTCTCTTCCAGGGCATCTTTCTGGCCTGTCGCTGCACTGACGAGCTGCTTCAAGCTGTGCTTGCCAGGGGCAATGGACCGGACGGGATTGTGCTGTATTTGTTCTCCAGTTGCGCGCAGTGCTTCATTCGCCGCATATTCTTCGTCTGTGTTGAAGTTGACTACGTTCATCGCCGTGCCTCCAGGTCGTCCGTTACGACCGAATAGCTGCCTTCTTTCTGCCTTGGACAGATTCAGGTCGGATGCAATGGTGTCGAGTGACTGCGCCTGATTGCTGGTCGACACTGCATGGCCCTGGCTGCCAAAAGCCGCAGAATAGTCTTCGTCGCCAATTGGGTCGTCTAGAACCTCCACGATTTCGTCTTCCTCGTCTTCAAGCGGAAGTGGAATGTGCGGCTCTGGATCACTGCTCAGCCCGAAAAGACTGACTTTCTTTGGCGCAGGCGCAGGCTCGGGCTGGTCCGTTGTGTCTGTCTTTATTGTAGTTGACGAAGCCAGTACTGGAACATCTGAAGGCTTTGAGGCGATGGCCTTGGATGGATCCGTTTTGCGCTTCGGTTTCTTGTTGTTGCGTGCCACAGACAGAGGTTTGAACATGAATGGGTTGCCCTTCAAGGGGACTTCTGCCGTACTGCTTCCAGTGACATCCGTCTTCTTGGGCACTGCAGGTATAGTATCATCCTCTTTATTTCCATCCTGTCGGCCTGATCCAGCGTCTTGCTCTGCGAATAAATGCCGCAGTTCGGCATCTCCCTCACGACTGAACCCTGGTTCTGCGCCCGTCTTTAGACTAAAGACTTTTCTGGCTGCGGGCTTCGCTGATGACTTCGCGTCTGCGTCCCGTTTTGGCGCAGGCAACATACTGTTGAAGCCACTGAAGGCGCCTGCGCCAACGCGCGGTCTCTTGGGCGCTGGTTCTCCATCGTCATCTCCGTTCGTAGGAGAACCGTTCAACTTGACTTGTATCTTTCTTGGATTTGCCTTGTTGACCGTGAAATTTCTATTGGTGGCCGCGGCTTGAGGTTTCGGTGCAACGGCCTTCGTCTGAGGCGTCTCGTCGTCTGAGCCTTCCGAGTCAGAATAGGTGACGAGTGACATGATTGACTAGGTTTCCGGCAAAGGCAGGCTGACGTCGAAATGATAAACCCTGACGTCGAAGTGTTGAAGATGTTGCGGAGTAAAAATGTAAGAAGTCGGGCTGCATCTCCGAAAATTGCTGCGTTATTGCGGAGGGCTGTAAACTGCGGATATGCGGGTAGCCCAAACATAAGAGCAAACGGCCAGACGCCAGGCCCCCTTCCCACTTCCAACATCTGTATCACGTCTCTTCACGTCAAAGGGCTCCCGGCTTTGGTACCATGATTGCCTTCCGGGTTGGCCTGAGAACGGCCTCAAGGGCGACCTTCAGGACGACCTCCAACACCACACGGTCTCGTCCCTTCTCAAACACCCCGCTCAAACAAGCCCGGCGATATCGTCCTTTCGATAGCCCTCCACAATACCCCAGAATCACAGCCGAGGCGGCGGATGGCGGCGCCCAGCAGCAGAAATGGAGCAGAATTGCTCCGGTCTACAGAGCTCAATATATCTGGAGAAACTATCGAGGAGTGGTTATGACCATCGGTGCGGGCGGCGTTGTCTTCTACGTGTACAATCTGGAGAAAGTACCGGTTACAAATCGTCGACGATTCAACATCTTCTCCCCTGAGGCCGAAAAGGAAGTTGCAGGATCGTCAAATGAGTACAAACAGCAGCTCGAAGAATACAGGGGCAAAATCCTGCCTCCAAACCACCAAAAGGTCAAGATTGTCACCCGTGTGGTCAACCGACTATTACCCACAACCGGTGGTCTGGCCGGCGATGACTGGGAAATCAATGTTATTGATGCGCCAGAGATACAGAACGCCTTCGTCATGCCTGGAGGCAAGGTCTTCGTGTTCACGGGAATATTAGCAATCTGCCAGAACGAAGACGGTGTAGCCACTGTTCTCGGCCACGAGATCGCTCATAACGTTGCCCACCACGTCGCGGAGCGGATATCGGGCCAAATATGGGCATATGCTTTCGCATTCGGCGTTTCCCTTTTCTTCGACTGGAGTGGAGGCCTCTCAAACCAGATCGCGCAACTCCTTCTTTCTCTGCCCAACTCAAGGACTCAAGAGGAAGAAGCCGACCACATCGGCCTGTTGATGATGGCAGAAGCCTGTTACGATCCCCGACAAGCAGTCGCCTTCTGGGAGAGGATGGCCAAGGCCGAGAAAGTCACTCAGCTGGAATTCCTCTCCACCCATCCCAGCACATACAACCGTATCGACCATATCAAACAATGGCTACCACAAGCTCTGGACAGGTACAATGAAAAAGACTGTAGCATAACGAGCCAGTATGCGAAGGACTTTACAGGAGCTCTAGGGCGACAAATCCAGGAGGCACCAGACGAGTTTGCAGCTGAGTTCAACTCGGTTACATCAAGTCTCATGCAGACCATCCGACCTTTCTATACGAACCTAGCCGTCACAACAGCCAGATTTATGAATATCTTGCCAAGTCCCGCAGATGCGACCTCTGGCAGAAAGGCAGGCTAGCACGAATTTCGGTCATGGTGTGTCTCTGGAGCTGTCCTGACATACTTGTACAACTATCTCTTGCCTTATCACCTGGCCTTTATGACTTATTGACGACACGACAAAACCAAACAAGAACCCTCTCAGATCATCTTTCAAAACCGCTCTCTCCAAAGGCCTTATGTCACGTCGAATATGCAGGTTTATACCAGCATCACTTGGGCTTACCTCGGATCAATTAAACCCTAACACTCATCACTCACCTGAGACTACTCCCGATGTATTGGGCGTTGAGTTCACCAAGGCCCTGGTATTGAGTATTCTCCGGCCAGCCTCAGCTCACTCATCCCGTTTCTTGCCGTGCAAGTCCAGCTTCACGCCTCGACCTAGAAACCCTTCCGAGGATCTTTTTGAATCTAAGCATAAATTGCTGAAGAAAACCTCTCTTTCACCGCTCCGGGTGGGAGGACTCTTACTTTCACCTGCCATAGTATCATAGTGCACAGCGCATGAAAAGACGTAGTAATTCATGTATACTAGATCAGCACGAAGACTGATCCTATTAACAGGGGTATCTCATTCCCATTCTCAATCCCTTTCCTTCTCCTCCTTATCAGAAAAGCAAAGCCAGTACGAAACTCTCGACGGTTCCTTGCTCTACCCATTCACACCCACAGGCGGACTGGGCCCCGGACTCGTCTCGGTCTCGATCTTCGTCCTCAACATTTTGACATATGTACTCTGGCTATTCGGACTGGCACTCAGCACGTTGAAAAGATACCGCAACTCTTGACTATCAGACCAATTACAATTGGCAATTGTCAAAGCATCCATCAAGGTGTAAGTCACTTCAAACAACTTCTCAAAGATGCCCATTCCGTGTACGAGGATTGCATCTGTCGAAACGTCGTTAAGAGCCACGCACAAATCTTTGGCGATCGCAATGGGATATGTGGACAGGAAAATCGGATCTGACGCCGCGTAGCTGATCAGGCCTTGCCTCATAGATGCTTGCCAGAATATCAGACGGAGCCATTGATGTGTGATGAGGACGTCGGCTTTCTGGACGTCCGTCATGGCGAAGTGCTCAAACGACGTCTCATTGAGCGAGTGCTGCAACGCGGCAATGTTATCGATCGGTTCGTCTGCAGAGGACAGATCGCCGGTCGATGTACTCCATAGGCGTACGAATTTCTCGTCGAGAATTGAGAAGAGATTAGCCAAAGCTGAGAACCCGGCCAGAATGATGCCGTCCTGTTCGTCAAAGTACTCTGTCGAAAGGCGTGGTAAACGAGTAATTTGTGTCGCTTTGTTGCGGAGGATAGCCAGACCACGTTCGGTGATGAAGAGCAGGGCAAAGGTACGTCGTGAACAGATCGACTGTATCTCGTCCATGCCGTTGTACGTGGATTCGAGGTGGAGGCCTTGTTCTAGAGCCATACCAATGGCTTCTCGAATGTAGAAATGATGCGCTCGGGGCTTCTTCAGCTCGAAGAGGGCTACGCAGATATGGTAGCTCGCTTGTATGGACAAAAGCGTCGTATTCTCGGCCCAGTCATGCAGGCTCCGTAGAAGAAAGCATAGTTCGATGAACTGCTTTCCTAGCTGCCACTTTTTGTCCATGGTCAAATCCGACTGTGGTGCTGCATGGAGAACAGTGGTTGCGCAGAGCGATAAGACCAAGATTTTCTCTTCGTTCGACAACTCTTCAGGCTGTGAAATGCGGGCCATGAATGTGCTTTCGTGAATGATTGGACGTATGGAGTACAAATGTCTAAAATACTGACGAATGCACTGGGACATCAGCAATGCAGAAAGCCCAAACTCACTGGCCAGGCTCTGTATTTGTGTTTCTGTCGGCAGACTACCAGAGTCGCTCCGGTAGAGAAGTCTGGGTCCAAGGAACGGCTTAGGTGAACTTGTCGATGCTGGAGATGGTGCGGCGCTTGTAAGCACGGCGTCTATTGATGCGGGCTTCGTGAGAGGGGTCGATGTTCTTGATGGCGAATGCGGACTCGACCTGGGTGGGGGGTGCATTGCCTCTAGAGATAGGTGCGCTTCAGGAAAGATTTGGTTCGCCAGGTCGCTGATCGTCATGTACCCAGTGGGCGATACTGGTGCTTGAAATTGTAGAAGCTCAGACGGTGGCATCTGCCATGATGCAGGGAACTGGATGCCTGCTTGAGCAAACGCTGTGTGAGCGATAGGCTCAAATACGGTCCCATTCTGCAGGTTTGGCACGGATCGTGGCACATTCGAGGGGTCTGACGTTGGACCGAAAGTGTCGCCAAAGTTCGAACTCGTTGGCGAGGATAACGGAGATGTCAGGTTTGATGCCAGAGGACTGTCGCCGGTCATTGCCCTCTCCAATGCTGGCATGTGATGCTGTAGCTGTGATAGATCAAAGGACGGGAGAGTCGAGTCTTGAGAGGAAGTCTGGCGACTTTCGTCTCTCAACTTTGCAATCACCGAGCCTGATCCTCTTTTCGGGCCTCTCTTTTTGCGAACAATCTCCCTCGTACATCTTAAACCAGCCGACACGCATCTATCGCAAGGCTCGGTCTTGGAGCATCGGACTTTCCTCCTGCGACAGGCATCGCAGGGTAGGAGGGAGTCAGGCGTCGCTGGTAAGGCAGCATGAGGTTCGGAGGACTCGGCCATTCGGGTATGGGAGGACGAGTGGAGCAAGACGGTTGTGAAACATAGATATGTGTGGTCTCCTTCAGCACCTGTATTCCCAAAACATGCGATCGTCGCTGGGCATTGAGTCGCAGAAGCTGAAAGAGAGTGATCAAGAATCAAGGCTAGCACTCATGTCCATGCTGGCGAGATGCGGGGTCGATGATCGTGAGGCAATACAGTAGTGAGAGAACGGTTTGCCTCAATTTGGGTTGGGAGGTTCAAGTTTTGCGACTCCTAGTCATGTAGAGCAGAGGAGACCGAGTTCGTGTTCGTTGGGCATCTAGAAGCACATGTTGGTCGTGTGAGAGAAACAAAAGGCGACATGATGATCAAGACGATCGCAGGCTTTCAAAAGCCGAAGGTGGATGCGGGCGGCACGATGGATGCAAGTTCGGTTGGATGGATGGGAAAAGCTGAGAAAAAGCTGGGGAAAGCTAGTGTTGTGGTAGGCACCTGTCAACGCCCTAAAAGGCAGGAATAGGCAGCTTGCCAATAACCGGCGTTAGGGGACCCATAAGGTATCTCAGGCCGCTGCAAGATCCCTTAGAAGGGCTGATCTTAGGACATACCCGCTTTTGTTGAAGAAAAAAATATCCAAAAGACTTGAACTAACTACTACAGGACCTACCAGTGCCTTTCTACCAGGTAGACTGTAGTCATTGACACCATGCTGTCTTCCAAATGCCCTCCCTAATACCAAATTTCTACCTTCTCAAAGGTCTTGACAACATTCTTCTCTTCCTCCTGAACATCACGTTTCCCGCCTGAGACTTTGTCATTCGACTCGACCAACTCATCATGGTCTGTGTCGAAGCAACGACCATCAAAGGCCAGCTTGTCGTCGCAAAGGGGATACATATGTCTAGTCTCCATGTCGCAGTAAAGCTTTTCTTCCAAGCTGACAAAGTCAGGGCCAATCGCAGACTTGTCGGCGCAGAGTCGTGCAGCGCTATTACCCTTGCGCCCACTCTTGATCAATTGGGTTCGGAAATCAGTACAGTCCGCACAGTCCGTTGCAATGCTCTCGGAATCCCTTTTCACGGGTAGTGTTGCTGCCATCATGAACGGCGCCATGCACAAGTCCTGGACGTTCGTGATAGGGGTTGATGCTTCAATTCTCTCCTCATCCATCACGGTAAGATCAAACATCAATCCCGGCACCTTGATGCCGTTCGAGCCGTGACGATCAACCCAGACACATGCACTGTCGGGTGTCGCGACACTGTCTTTCGATTCGTAGTTGTCTATATGACAGACCTTTGCCAGATTCCCGGACAGAGCCATTTCACCGTCAGGCGTGTTGACAATGACGCCCGCGACACAGATGGGGTTCGTGCCCGAGTTGGTGACGTAGAAGGATTTCAGGCCGTTGTCGAACGGACCAAAGTCGTACGAGGGATTGGTTTTGTTGATGACGATCTTAGGGGATTCCAGAATGTTGCCGTCAGTCCCATAAGCGCCGTACAGGGCAGCCCCAGCAAGTGTCGCATCCTCCCACGATCCCATGCCGTTGATGATGGTAACCACTCTGCCGTCGACGGACCTCCTAGTCATCTTGGTGTAGGAAAGATCATGGCAACCATATTTGTCCAAGGCGCAAACGATGCCAAAAGCTGCCTGTATTCCGGGTTAGTCATGATGATGTCTTTGCGCGAAAGAGGTGACCTACACCAGCGATGGGAGGGAGGAGAATAGCCGGGAATACCAGGAGTGCACCCATGGCTTGTTGCTGTTGTGGTGGTTTGTCCTACAAGGAAATCTCTGAAAAGTTGCAAAAGTTGAGAAATCAGAAAGGAAGAAGTCTTGTGAAAACAGTAGATGAGAGGTAGGCGATCGCGCAGTTATAGTGAACAGGAAGCCAGCTTCTTACCCAGGCAGACCTCACGATCTGTTCACTGTGACACATACCTGTAGCCGTACCGCAAAAGGGAACAAGTCATTCTTCGTGCCGGCAGTAGGCGCCGAGGTTTTCTTCGGTTCAACCGGAGCATGACCTCAAGCACTAGCCAGAGCGTAGACGTTGGCGTCAGCGCCTTGGTAGGGGAAAGATGATAGGGTGTTCCATAAGGAAAGAAGTTTGTGAAGTCTTAAGTCCTATGCCAGATATGTTTACCAGACGCCGAGACGGCAGATCGTCGGCACAGAGTCATGTTGTTGTTGCTCTTTTTTGCGAACCACATCTTTACTGCAAATCATTGCCCATGCAGGCTGGAATTGGCCTTGGTTGGACGTTTTCATGATCAATCGCGTGCTCTCATGCTCCAAGCTGACACTAGTCTGCAAGATGAACGACAGCCTTTGACTGCAGTGTGTTGCGGTTTCGTGTCTGCTTGGACCTCTGTTCGCACCGAGTTTGCTTTGGAATCTGGTGACTTACAAGTGGCTTGCCGTCGCAGTATCTTTCGTAACTATACAGGGAGAGAGAATCGCTAGTCGAGAGATGCACATTGCGAAAGGACTCTTCGAAATTGGGGACTGAAATGATGCGAACTGTGCCTTACCTATCATACCACGAGGCTACCTGGTAGGTAAATCGACGAGGCTACGGTACATTCACAAGGAAAGCCTCCTCCTTGGCACTCACTCATTCACTAAGAGGGAAAATGCCTGGTTTATGTTTTATATTCCTCAAAAACTGCTTCAACGCTGACCTGTCTAGTCCGCTCACCGCTCTTATCACAGCCATACACCGAGTTGGCAGAGTTGGTTGAAGGCCAGCTCAAGCAGGTGTTTCCCTCGTGACAGACTACAACCTAACGCTGGCGAAACTCGACAACGGGCGTTCGGAAAAATCCCTGCCAGAGACCATGGTTGGCGCTGTGCAGGCGGGGGTTTCGCTGCCTGGACTTCAAGGACTGATCACCCTTGGGTTCCAGAGCAAGTCGTTTTTTTGCCCTTTCGGATCTTGTTCGACCCTGGATCTATAAGACTTTTTTGTATACTTGGGTGACTGTTTTCGCAAGGCGGCGAGGTGGTCTGACTGTGGGAGGTGTGGCACAATATCGACCTTGGCAGAAAAGGTGGTTGCTACGGCCTCACTTTATGGAATCTTCTCACAGCGACGAGAAAGCATGTTTCTGTTGTCTCTGCTCTCAATATAGGAACATGCATGCACCACTATTCGTTCCGACCACTGGACGGCCTCAACATGGCAATGCCAGGCTCAACCTCTATATCGTCATCGGGAACATTATACTCGATTATGTCCACAACCTCCCAGCCGTTACGCAGGTACAGCTTTGATGCTACAGGTCGCGAAAAGAGCCATGAAACAACATTCTCACGATCGGCAACCTCGATGCCCCAGTCAAGGAGCTTCTGTCCGATCCCTTGGCGCTGATAAGATGGATGGACAATCAATCGGTGCAAATCTGGAAAGGTCAGTATGAGAAGTCCAAGATGATATAATGATGAGCTATTGGTAAGCAGGGACTCACACAAATGTCTTTGGTCTCCGATGTTTGTAGAGTATGAACTGAACAGCTTGCGACCGCTGTCCTCCCAGGGGTTCGAAGCGGGCGATTTGTGCGTCGACACCACGTTCGAAACCGCGTCTTCTGAGGGACTGACTGTGGCATGACCTTGGCTCATCGTATCTGCAACAGCAACACCCGATATGCTTGGTTCGGATGGTGCAGAACTGTCGCTCTTTTGCACGGTGCTGGAGGCAGCAAATTTCGGTATCTCAGCGTACCCCAATTTCCACTGCGCGAGACCCACGATGATCTCTTCAGCATCTGAGTCTTGCCCACCACTACCAGATTCCGGCACAAGGACGGCTTTGAATAGGTGACACCATCCTCTCGTGTCTCGCAACGCATTCGTCAATTTTTGTACAGTATCTTCATACAAGCCCGGAGGATTGTAACGCTCCGCAAATCTATGCAAGGAGTCCGGTCTCAAGGCGATATCTGATAGTCGAGCAAGTGCCGGAATGTCAGACTCGGAGGTGACGCGCTTAATCGTGTAGTTGACCGTGTTTGGAGGTGGTACTGATGAAGAGATAGGTGCCGCTTCTGCTGTTGGCGCCATCACGTCCACGATACTTTTTTGATACTCAGGATGGAAGACCCAAAGTATGATGTGTACGGGAACTCATCTATCGGTATTAGAGATATTACATCTGCCTCGCACATTACGTCGTGAATGATATACCAAGGTAGGTATCTGAATTATGACTCTTATGGTACTGTAGGCACCATGTTAACTAAGTAAAGCTCGGTCATGTCCGAATCGCCGTTTCTCCGTTACCACCTCATACCTGGCCTCCTGCATTCATTCTGCCAACGTGTTTCCAGGCAACATCGAGAACGACAGGAATATACGGCCTGAGACTGGAAGCCTGAGTAGTTCATTGACTGCCATATCGAGGAACAAAAGCCAGAAATCTGGCCGTAGGAGAACAAGCTCGCAGACTCCACCTTCAGCCTGTCAGACCCTCCTCATCCACCAAGCAACAGTGTCGAGTTCTGATGCTCCGACCAACCCCATCTATGGCTCAATCAGCACAAATCCATCACTTCCAACCCGTGCAGCCTCATCAAACGCCTTCTGCCACTTCTCAAGTTTGTACTTCCCTTCACATCGCGTACCAAACGGCTTGATCCCATCCTCTTGATACAACCTCACCACACCCGTCTCAACCAGCCTAATCATAGCCTTCACATCCTCCCGCTCAAACATCCACTTGCCTTTGACCGTCAAATTCCAATGCATAATCCTCTCATGCGGCAGTCCAATATCTCCCTGGATTCCACCCATCAAACACACTCTCCCGCTCTTCTTCAGCGCCATAACACCGGCCTTCAAATGTCCTGATCCCGACGCCGCAGGCGGACTCACATCAAAGAACACATCGACCCCAGCACCACCGGTAACACCCTTCAACGCCTGTAGATCCTCCTCCCAAACCCCCGTCAACCCAACACACTCGATTCTCTTTCCTTTTTCACCCTCCGCCTCTTTGACTTGTCTCAAAACCTCCCCATTCCGTCCCATAGCAATGACCCTTCCAGCCCCCAATTCAAGCGCAACATGCACAGCCGCACTTCCAAACCCGCCCGTCGCAGGACTCACAATCACCGTCTCCCCAGGTCGAACATCCACACACCCGGGCCCCAACCCACCATAACTCACCAGCATTTTAGAAATGTACATGAGATCCTCTATCCGGTACCCCAACGCTTTGGTCTTAGTCTCGTCAACGACGTGACAATTCTCCAGTGGCCAACGCACGTACTCTGCGAACGCCCCGTCGCGCCACACATCTTTCATGAGCTTCTTACTCGCAGGTGTGAAACCGTCGATAATCGCAGACAGGAAAGTACTACCGGCTTGACCGCCGATGTCGTCACGCGCGCTGATCGTGATGTCCAGAAGACACAAGTCGCCGACCTTAAGGGACACTGCGTCGGGACCTAAAGCCACGACACGCCCGATGGCGCTGGATCCGAGGGTTAATGGGACAGGGTAGGGATATTGGCGCTTGCCGTTGTAAATATCGCCTGCGTAGTTAAGCACCATGGCCTTTTCGACTTTGAGCACAGCTGACCCGAGCGTGGGCTGCGGTGTCGGGACGGTCTGCACGGTTGGTGGTTCAGCGTAGACATCCTGCCGGAGCGCTTTGTGGAATGATGGGAGTGACAACATGGTCGTTACCTTTGAACACGGTGAATACTCAAGAGGGAATACCTGCTCTTCGTACGAGGATATTGAGAGGATGCCAAGTGGGGTGCAGATGATGATGAGACGTTCACGTTGGTTAGCAGACGAAGGTAGAGCACTTATATACGTGCACCGATCACTCTTACCGTCATACAGCCCATGCCAAAGTTCATGCACCTCATATGTTATCTCCGGGGTGTTGCAAACCAAAATGCAACACACCGTGAAGCTAGCGATCATAACAACAACCCGGACAGATATAAGATGCAGATCTAACCATATACCAAGGAAAGGGTTTAGCGTCAACTACTTAGCAGGTGTTAGCGCCGATTCGACCAAGCCCCGTTAAATCCGCCAATCAAGGTACACTCATGCGAATGTACTTTATAGCGGGACAACAGTCCTGCCGAGGGTCAGGGATCAACCTTGCAAAGTCATGAAATAGAAGATAGTGTGATGGAGTGATATGACTTCGCTGGCTATACTTCCTATGGCAGCTGGCAGGATGCCCGAGGTATATGCACACCCACGTGGGACACCCAGTACGTACATAACATCTAGCTGATGATGGTCTGTCGTCCCAAACACAAGCACACACCTGCTTCTCAACGACTCTCTCACTGCAAGTCCTTGCGGACTGAACATCAAGCCTGTCCCAGCCTCGCTCGAGTCCTCGTCTGTATACGCTTCTCGCTTGTGCCAACAAACAGTCGCGCACTGTCCGGTCTACAGTTCTCAGCAGATGTCTGATTCTGTTCCTGTAGACTGTTACTGTCCGTCTCATCCGTTGTCGGGCCAGTAGGTAGCGACCCTACAAGGCTCATTCTCAAGGTCCGCTTTGGCGCCGGGGTCCCGTTGACCGTGCCGGCATTCAACTTCCTCAACCTCCGCACCTTTCTGACGACTTGCAGCTTCTCTTCTGAACCCACCACTTGAGACTGTCGCGCAGGCTCTTGACTGCTGTCTTCCACCGCCCCTTCAGCTGCGGCCCGTGGCTCGTCCTGGTCGTCCTGCTCTGGCATATCTTCCTCCGGAGGACTTCCGTCCTGATATCGGGCAATAGTTGCATCCCAGTTAACTTGCTTCGATCTCTTCTTCCGTTTCTTCAGCTCTGGAGACTTTACCTCGGGCTCCAGTGCTTTCGCATTCGCCTCAGCGTGTAATTGCATGAGTTTGATCGAGACCGCGACCGAATCACCCTTGTTACGTTTCGTGTTGGTCCGGGTAGCAATCGCCAAAGATTGGACTTCTTTTTGCATTGCAATGAATTCAGTGCCGTTCAGGCGTTTCAGTGATATCGTGTTTGGTAAGCTTGTCACGGGCTTCTGCGGTCGAGGTAGCCTGGTAACAAGACGGGAGCTTCGTCTAGGGGAAGACATATCGGCTACTGGTTCAGTGTCTGGCTGGAGCGACGTTAAATCTTCGTCGAATGAAGTCATCAAAGCATTATTGTTGGCATCCTCGACATGTGAAATGGCCCGACCCTCAGACATCACCTCGGCCGTTTGCATCTCTTCGTTTGACGACGCCAGATTCTGGGTCGGCGCTTGTTGCCTTGCCGCCTTCTGTGCTCGAGCACGGGACAGGAAATCGTGAAGATAGGCAGTGTCATCCTCGTTCGCCAAGGTAACGGGTTGGTCGTGTGCTTGATCAGTGGCCGACTCATTGGGCTCTGTCACGGTATCTTGGCCAATGTGTGAAATCGTCGACTGAAGAGTAGTTTTGGTGAATGCATCTGAGGCGGCAATGGATGCGTTACTGACGATATTGGTGGAGGAAAGAGTTTCAGTGGACTCTGGGTGAATGTGACAATCTTCACTTTGGCTGAGATAGTCTGAGACAATCGGCGAAGCGCATTCCTCACTGCCCTCGTCTTCCAAATCATGTTCGGGTCCCAGTATTCCGTCTGTCGTCTCCGGGTCTCCTGCACTACGTCCCAATGGTGAAGGAGCAGGGTCTTCGTCTTCACTCGTTCTGTCCGCGTATTCGTTTGATTGACCACAATCTTCACCACTGTCTAGACCATCATTGACCACGGTAAAGCCGGAGACCTTCCGTTTCGGACTGACGGCGCTGGTCGCGTCCTCCCACTTCGACGGAACGTAGTTACTGTTTTCTTTGTCCTCGTCCTCATCAAACTGACTGACTCTCAATCTCTTGACAGGTCTGGCGTTGAGTGTTGTATTGCCCTTTCTCCACGTGTCATCATGATGTATTGTGACCTCGCCCAGTGGCACCCGTTTCCAGATCTTCTGCGCATCGTTCCTAGGGACGTAAGGTGTGGCCGGGCGCCGCTCCCATGCTCGTGGTAGAGACTTGACGCGCTGAGGAGTAAACGTGTAACGCTTTAGTGTACTCCCGCCCTGATCGTCTCTACCTCGTATAGAACTTGCGATGCTGTTCGTGGGACTCGAAGATGGGAGGAACGGAATTGCAGTCTCCAGAGGTTGCTGCTCACGTGTCGGTGTGGTGGCAGCCACTGAGTGCGCCATGGCCGGACCGCAACGGCGCAGTCGTCGGTCTGGCTGCGATGATAAATACTACCGAACCATTGATAGGCTGTTGAGGAATGAATGGTTCGTCGAAAGATATCAAGAGCACCGCTGGTGATTTCGTGCGAAAAAGCGGCGAATTGGGTGCGGAAAGAGGTGCAGACATGATGCGACGCGCAGTGTACAAGTAAATTGGGTGAAGTGTTTATGTTCCCAATGCGGCTAGGGGAGCCTTGGAGAGCATCAGACGCCAACCCAAGGCAAGACACCCCCACCACCAGCGTGTTGATCTGTGAGATTGGAAACTAGAAAATTCATTTTCAGGTAAAAAGAGATCTCTTCATGTATTGCTGCACCTCTCAAGGACTGCGTGACGTCTGGTCGTCTGGCATATCGACTCTATGCTTTCATCAATCATATACAGAACATAAACCCAGTAAACGTTTCCCTTTGACGCTTTTCGTCCTCCCTTCAAGTCCAATTAATCCAGCCAGTCGAACAGCCATAACCGTCCGACCAACAATCTCTGCACAAAGATGGACGTTCCCAAACCAGGATAAATCGCTCAAACATAAACATCTTGGTGTACAAAGCTTTTTGTGTACATGACTCATTTCCTCCAGCCGTCTCATGTGTTTTCCCAAACGCCCATGGTATGCAGGAATTGCCCAACCCCGTGGCAAGTATATCCCAAAACCCGCGTGCTATGCACAAATAATGATGCTAAGGACAGTGGTGAAAGTAAAAATTGTTCAGTTGCACGTTTCAATTGCGGTGCAGAGGCACAAATTCGGCCATTCCCATGGGACCTCGAGGGTAACCTGTGGGTGGCGCGCTCTGTGGTGCCATGGTGACAGGACTGTCATTGACGAAATTGGTGTAGTCCCACGAAGGCATGCGGCTGACTGGTGCCGTCATGGGTTGAGTCACCATTGGCATCGTTCCGCGAGGAGGTGGTACCATCTGGTAGACGTACTGACCATTGGCATCATATGCAGGAGCATACTCAGGCATCTGAAGCTGTAACTCAGGAACAGGTGGTGGTTGCGGCATCGAAATCTGCCCACGCATCGCTCCCGGAATCTGCTGAAAGTATGTCATTTCACCGTGGCCATGGTATGGCGCACCAGTGTTGGCGATATACTCTTGATGCGGCGACGCTGCGTATTGATACTCCGACATCATGTCTCCGTGGGAGAACACCGAAGAGACTGGAGTGAGAAGTGAGGAAGCAGTCGACGAATAGCTCGCAGAGTACTTGGAGATGATCTTCTTCAAGGCGGTCGAAAGGATCTTCCATGGAAACACCTTGACGTCCTTTTCGATGTTGCGAGGCTTTGGGTGAGGAAAGCCCATGATGACCTTGAAGAACTCCTCGCTCTCAGTCTTGGCCTTGGATACTGTCATTGGTCGGAACCCCTCGAGGTTGCGACGAATACGATTTTTCTCCTCGACGGTGAACCTAACACCAACCAGAGCTTCGAGCAGGTAAATGGTGTCAACCGAGGTAACGTAAAACTCGTTTCTCTCCTTCCACCAAATACAGGAAATGCAAATGCTGCTGGGCTGACGGTCTTGAGGCGCGACTGGACCGAACTCAGCGGTAATGCAGCTGTTGGATTGGTTACGTCGGAACTCGACAAGGCGTCGGCGTGTCTCTTTCTCGTCCTTGGTCCAATTGTCTTTCATGCTGTCAAGATCGCCCTTGAGTTTGAGGCTCGCTTTCAAGGGATGAATGGCATACGGGTTGAAGTTCTGAGGTTGGGCCATAGCCATGGTTGAACAGACTCCTGGTGGGGTCTGTTGGATGGTAGAAGTCCGAACCAGCTTCGGTATCGATGATTTGAGTGGGGAAGTGGTGTGTGGACGGGGAATTGGTGTCATTGGTGCTGCCGGACTTTGCTCACTCTTCACCGTGGTGAACGATGGGCTAAAGGCTGGCGTGTGTGGAGATGGTGCAGCCAGTGACACCGCCGACGCTGTCGAAGTCGAGTAATGATGACCAGAGGGTCTTGGTGACGGCATCTGACCGGCATATGCTGGAAGACCAGTGCTGCCAGTAGGAGTCGGCACGAACGGCGAGTAAGGCGAAGTCCGGCCGCTAAGATCATAATAGTCGCCGTTGGGATCTTGCACTTGGAATTGAGTGAGTGCCGCTTTCTTTTGTGCCGGGGCAGCATCATATCCATCAAGACTCGATACCTTACGCTTCAAGGACTTTGGCGGGACGCTGCTTGCTGATGAAACCCGTTGATGTGGCACGTGGAAGGCCTTGTGATCTTGAGCTTCCATGAAGGTCGGTTTGCGTTCTTCAAAGTTTCTCTCCTGGTAGACATTGCCTGGAACATAAGAAAAGTCTACGCTTTGCGCATGTCCAGGCTGGAGAAGCGGATGATGATCGTACGGTGTCTGAGGATAAGAACCGAAGAACATCGGATTGGGCACGGCAGAGGCGGTCTGGAAGTCTGAGGGAAAGTTAGCCAGGACGTTCTGCATTGCGCGTTCGGCAAGAAACATACCGATGACCCCTGGCTGTCCCATCTTCTCATAGCCAGACATGGAGAAGAGCTGACCAGGCTTGGCCCCAAGGCCGTCCTGGAATTGGTTTGCAAAGTGCTCTCCGACGTAGACCGAAGGGTCGTAAGAGTCGTCGACTATGAGAGGAGTTTGGAAGTCTGCGAAGGACTGAGATTGGTGTCAGTATTTGAATCAACCTGAAGTTCTGAAAGACCCTTTCCTCGCATACCACTTCGGCAATGGCTAAAACAAGGTCAGGATGTGTAAATTGGACTTACTTGAAAACGTTCGTAAGTAATGGACGCCAGATTGACGGTATTGTGGGGAGGTTAAGTTTGCAAAAAAGACCGAAGAAAGGACAAAGCGAATGACTGGTTGCTAAGCGAGTGTGGGTTGACGAGGAAATGGTTCCTCAAATCAGAGCGAGCGACTTTGGGACAGTGTTATCGAGATTCGGATGGAGAGACCGTTGGTGTCGTGGTTCTCCTGATGAGCATTCGATGGATTGAGAGTAGTGTTTGAGCTGGTGAGTACTGCCCCCCTGCGCGTCTTGGACGTGTTAGTGAGAGGCTGACTGAATGCGACAAGGAAGCGTTCTAAGTTGCGATGGATTTCGATCCAGACTAGAGACTTTGATGCGGTTTCCAGAAAAGGAATCGAATTCGGAAGGCTGAGGCAGGCTCAATTTCGAGAACAAAGAAAGCCGGTCCGATGGAACGAACTATACCAAATGATCAGCGAACTATCCCCAGGCAAGTTTGAGACTTGATATGGAGGTTCGTACCTTTGCAATGGTGGCCCGATTTCTAAGGCGAGGTGATGTGTGAGTTGTTGGGATATTCCAAATGGTGTAGGATGCCCAAGTGAAGTCGGTATTCCACGACTGAGACACACTGTTATTCCGGACTGTCAGCAAGATATCTCCATGGGCATTCACAGCAGTGAAAGCAAGGACTTGCAAATTTGATTTGCACTGCAAGGAGGGTTGTGGGCTAATGATTTTCGTGAAGGGCGGTACCGAAAATCCAGCACTGGTAACGAATGAAGCCAGGGGACCAGAATTGTACGCACCCAAGGGTATGGATTCGGATTTGGACCGGATCCCAATGTGACCAAATTAGATTCCTTTCTCTTCTTTCGACGTCTGATCAACGATATCCCAGACAGGTATTCACCAGGCTAAGGGCAACGAGCCGCGTTCAAATGTTTCCGAGTAAATTTCAGAATCACGCAGTGAATATTGTTTGAATGCAACCGTGAACAGCGTCGAGTAGGTTGTGGGAGGTTATTCCCAAAGCCAGTTGAAGCGAGTGTCTTTCACTATCGGCGGCACGATTCGGAAGGGCGGATGGTTGGAGGACGGGTGTGGCAGGTAGATAATTTTCGATGGCTAGGCTTTTCAGCGAATGTGTCGAAACCGATGAACTTGAGCGACTGAATGTTCAACGACCGATAGACAAAGGCGTGAAAAGCGAGTGTGGTGGTTTTCTTAACGAAAGTATGGTCTGCGAACAGAGCCAGAAAAAAGTCGAAGCAAGTGAGTTGTAAGAGGAGGTGGAGCGGGAATGGAAAGAGGACCAGCCGAGGAGAGGGGACCAAATGGCTATATCGGCCTCGACCAGCACGAACGTGTGAGAGGAGGAGGATGGCAGTGTTCAATCAGGTCACGCAGGAAATGCTGCTACTGGCTTGCCGTGGTCTCCTCCCATGATGAGGCAAGCTTAGTGGCAGTGAGCGACTAGCGGGCTAAATCGAGTAAAGGCGAATGGGAGGTGGATTTGTTCGTGTTCGAGGGTGAGAAGCCGAAGGACGCTGAGCGAAGGGGGGTGGATGGATGCCGATGGATGGACTCTGGTGGTTCGATGATGGCAGAATCAGAGGGGAAAAATAGAAAGCGGGGCCCTTAGAGCCCTTGACAGCGCTTGTGAGTGGTTTGACTCGCAACCCTCCAGGCTTCTGTCCTGCGGCATGCGTTTCCTTGTGCCCATGGTGGTTTTTTCACTCTGAGCCTGCCGCCACAACATTCATTCGGATGCACAACCACCCAGAAACCGCGGCTGCTGTCTCGTTACTCGTACATGCTTTACGCTCAATTCATCGCTACAGCGTTGTATTCACTACTTCTATTATGGGAGCCTTCTTCTCAGCTCCTTCTTCTTCTTGTCACGAGCTGCTGCTGCACAGCCAAGCTGCCACCACATTCTCCTCCTCAATTCTCCTTTTCTTCCCGATATGTACAATGAAATGAGCCAGCCAGAAGGGAAGGGAGAGGCGGTTTGCGAGGTGCATAAAATTCCAGCCAACCCAGATCAGCGGCAGCGGGCGGCAAGGCCAAAAGTGGGATCTTTTTCTCACTCTGGCCTCTGACTTGTGCAGAGAGGCGTTACGAATCGATGACAGCTGGACCAACAGAGGAAGCAGATCCACAAGAGACGAAGGCGTGGCACCCAAAAGCAACGAAAGCCCAAAGGAAATCATCACTAATCGGGCATGGCCACAACTGGCACAGCCGCAGAAACGGCAAAACGAGGGAAAAACGGAACAAGGGTTGTCGGTCTTCTCCCTGAAGCCTGCAGCGATCGGATGCCTTCAGGTGAGGTCATCACCGACCAGGAAGCACGTCCTATCACTCCCTATCGCTGCCCGTGTGCCTGGAATGGCTTAAGGTCAACCCACTGGCCTCGGTGATCCATCAAGGCCATGTTACGGCCTCCTTCCCCTACGCTAGCCTTGACCACTTGACCGGGGCCTGCCTGCTTGTCCCCGCGCTCCATTGCTAAGTATAGCCGCCAATCGTGCAACCGAAGAGCTAAGCTCGACTTCTTTTTTGCCTCCCTCAAAGGCGACACGCTTCCACTGTCACTACTGTCGACTTTCGAAACGTTAACGAGGGCACCGTTCCTTCGAGATGCAGATGCCAACATTTAGCCGTCAACATGGTCGCGAAGGGGATCGTCGAACATCACTTGTGACACGTTTGGGTCTCCACCGCGAAAAGGTCTGTACACATCATCCCAACAGCTCCATCTGGCATATGTTTGTTTTTTCTCTTTGCAAACGTGTCGCGAACAATTCGCCTCCTTACGCATACATGAAAGTCTATTGTCATCCCGGAGAATACTGCGCGATCACAATCGGTAATGAAAGCTTGTTAGATTGATTCGCCACCTTTTAACATATCACAGCCACAACGCGGAAGAAAATTCGACATTGCTTCTTGCTTGCTGCTGTCGATCCGGCACTCTATTTTGGTGTTGTTCATTTTCGAGTGACTATGACAAGCTCGTGACAAAATGCTGTCCCTGCCGATCTCATGCACCTCCTGCATCGAGTCTGGACCTCATAGATTGAATATTTTTGTACTTTGTGCTCACTGTTCAGTCCTTGGAAACATGTCGCTATCAGACTTGGGCTTGGAGCCGCACATGAAGCTAAGATCTCTGCATGACCTCAAAGCCATGGTTGTTTGGGTGAGGCGCTAAAATTTTGACAATGGTCTAAGTCTGGGGAACAATTCAGCCACCTGCAGCGGTACATCTCAAGTCTTCTACTATGATGCATATGCCAGGGGCACGGGGAATGGCGGCGGCGATGCTCCGGCGCATTATTCTTCTCGACTGCACTCGCTGTGGGAAAGAGTCTTGGATACAGTTCCTCGGATAAATGCTGTTTTGCCCATTTGACCGAAGCAACAAAATTCTTACGAAGTACGGAGTTATCCACTTCTCTTCTGGCCCCTGCTTGAGGTTCATGATGCCAGCATATCTTTTGATTTCTCCTGCATATCAGGCCTTTCATCATCCTCCGGCTGATCCCGAAGACCCTTTTGAATGGCTTGCGATCCTGACCATAATTTCACTTGACCAGGCCAAAAGTTGCTTTCTACATGATACGTCGCTACAGATGACTTCGTCGAACTAGCGGCAGGTATATGTTACTCCAGGAAGTAAGCGGAGCTGTACTGACATTCTCCGTTTCTCGTTAGGGCATGCGCTGTCAGTATTGAAAGAACCCAACGACTTCGCATTGGATTGTTCTCTCATGGACAGACTCTATCCGACACGTAACAGTTGTACCCCTCAAGGCCCATAAATCGAAGGGCAAGCACGTTGTTGAGGCTGTGAAATTTACAATACGCCCTTGTGGTTGGATGAAACCCCTGGGCTGCTTTCTATTTTTGCCCTTGATCCCTGGCCGGCTCGGTTAAATGCAGGCTATATCTCAAAGATACGCCGATTAAGGAAGTACTTGGTTATGGCTTCACAACTCTTCAGGGACCGTCTGAGCACAATGGCCAAGTGGACCTGGCTGATACGTGCAAGCGAATTGAGCACCACGTCAATGGTCGTGATGATACGCCCGCGTCCTCGGTTCAGGCCCGGACTTCGATCGACTTCTTGATAGCCTCGCTACTGTTTGTTGTGCGACTCGAGGCTTGAGAAAGGTTCCTGTGCTCATCCACCGCTGAACTACTTGTCCACTTTTAGCATCACAGGCATCTAGACTCCTGACTTACTCACAAAAGATCAGCGTTCCTATTTTGATGTCTCCAGGACGACTCGCAATGCTTGTTGACGATCGACCTGTGGAAGGCACCTCGCGCAAGCGCTCCCCTTGACATGCGAAGCTCAAGGTTGGCCTCACATAATTTGTGGACGATCATCCATACAATCTGTGAGAACCAAGTCTGTGTGCCTCGTCCTCCCCAAAGCGGATCATCCCACTGCACCTTTGCGCTGTCATTGAAGGCTGGTTCGAGTGCATAAGGCCTGTCAAATGCAGTTGCGATTCGAATTGTCAAGGCACCGAACATGGCAGAGATTCTAGCCAGTCATCCCGCCAAGCCGTGTTCACGAAGGGAAACGCTGCACAAAGGTGTCCCAAACGAGGCCTCAAACCACAAAGTCGGTGTCCCAATTGTGACGGACATTCCTTGTTTTGGTGTTGCATAGCCGCTTCATCCTTGTCTTTCCGCCTGCCTACAGCACTCAGGTGACACCTCAATGCTGTGCTGTAGTACAGCAGGTGTTCCAAAGCGCGGACCTACAAGGAGACACAGTACCCTCTCCTTGGATCGCGGGAGTGCACACAATGGAGCCCCACCCTGGGCCTGTTCGCCGTGCGGGATTCTGGACTTGCACTCGAGAATAGTATGATCATGCGACAACGATGATGATCACTTTCACTTTCATGGGATCCAGCATGATGTGGAGGACAAACTGAGATTTTTGGCATATGCCAATGATGAATACAATGATCCGTGCCCAACAAGGTTTGTGAGGCCGAAGGGCATGACATGTTACAGTGATTCGGTATGTTTCTGCCAACGGCGCAGAGAAGAGAAACCCGTGAATGTCCACAGAAAAGTCGCAAATTCGCGTTGTTCCGAGCTCGTCGAAAGCTCACAAGGTCGAAAGACCTAAAACCGCGCACTCAAATCAGAAAGGTCACTAGCATTGACGACCAAAACCCGCAATGAGCAAATATGAAAGGCAACGTGGCATTTTGCTGGTCCTATGAATAAACAATATTCACAACTTACTGCTTGAGCCGCCTTCTTTGGAAATGTCAATGACCAATTTGCCAAACTGCGTAGCCTTCTTCATGTCCTCGAATAGACCATTGATGGCGTCCAAGTCGAAGCCCTGAACGACACGCGACACCGCAGGCTTGGCCTTTTTGCTCTTGATGAAGTCGACCATGTCTTTGAACTCCTTCCTCGATCCCATGGTAGAGCCCTTGACCTCGATGTTCTTCAGGACCGCCTGCATCAAGAACGGCATCTTGGGTCCGACCGTCATTCCGTAGACGGCGATGATGCCACCAGCCTTCAGCAGATTAGTTTGATATGGCTTGCATGGACAGGGGAACCACGTACCTTGAGCAACTTGGCGCCCTTCTCCACGACGTCTCCGCCCGCGCCGTCCACAATGGCGTCGAGCTGCTTGTTGTCCTCAGGCAGCAAAGCCAACAATTTCTTCTCCCACGCTTCTTCTTTGTAGTTGATTCCACCCTTGGCCCCGAGTTTGATGGCCTTTTGGATCTTCTCTTCACTTCCACTGCTAACGTAGACGTTGGCTCCGGCGGCACGAGCAAATTCAAGAGCCATCAATGCTACACCGCCGCCAATGCCAGTGATCAGGATATTCTTGCCGGGCTTGAGATTGTGCTCGCCGCATTTGCTAACGACAGCGCGCCATGCTGTGAGCCCGGTCAAGGGCAGGGCAGCCGCTTCCACGCTGGAGAGATGCTCTGGTGCTTCCTCGACTTCGGACTCGTCGATGACCATGTACTCCTGCAAGGTGCCGGTGGGGTTCGTCTTGGTGCCGCCGAGGATCCTGTAGCCGGATTTGTCTTCGGGCCCGTCGGGACTGTCTTTCCAGCCCGTGCCGGGGTTTACGATGACTCGCTTGCCTTTCCAAGAGGAGTCGGCGTCACTGCCAGTGGCGACGACCGTGCCACATCCATCCGCTAGAAGAGGTACGCCGAATGTCGTGCCTGGGTATAGATGCTGTCGGATGAAGAGATCGCGGTGGTTTAGTGCCGCGGCCTGGATCTTGATCAAAAGCTCTCTGGCTTTGGGCATGGGCTTGGGGACCTCATCTAGAGATAGAGGGTAGTAGACATGGCCGGGCTTGCCGTCAATCTTGGAGATGGAGATCGCCTTAGGCATTGTGCTTCGTGAATGACGGACGAACGAAGCTGCGTAATATCGTTCTCTTGATCCTAGAACAAAGTCTATGTTCAGGCTCACTCTAATAGCAGATAGTGGCCTTCCGGTTATACTTGACCGTCCTGCAGTGATGTAGAGATTGTCTGCTTACAAATTGAGCCTCGGTGATATCTCGAAGGCTTTATATCCTTCGGTGTCCTATGGAGTTCCAGGATATGCTCAACGTCAACAGGATGGTGATCTTTTATGCGGAGTGCCTGAAGACGAATCAATGCACTCGGAGAAGATACCGCCATATCGACCGCTGGACCGAGGTTATCAAGATCTGCGGGGTATGCGAAAATGCGTCACCGTATCAATCATACTGCAAATTATAGAGCATGTGAGGTGAGGTCAGCGTCGAAGGGGTTATCACTTATAGGTGATCCTTTCATCTCCCACCGTAAGCATACATAAAATCTCCTTATTCCTGTCCGAGAGCCTGCTTAGAGCTGCAGATGACCATCACCACCGGCGGGCTTTGGGTTGCTTCTTAGACTGGTGCATCGTATTGCACGGATGATGCGCCTCAATCAAGAAGCCGAGTGTCCTTCTCAAGGCGCGCCTAGGATCCTTCGCACACCGAAGAAGTAAGGCGATTGGGACTCCGGAAAACTCCAGCCCCAAGTAGCTGCTACGTCAGCGAAAAGGAGAAGTCGCAATGGCAGCAATGCCACAACTCTCTGTCCACGCAGTCCAAGCCGCTCCAGAAAAGGAGGTGGATCTCGCCTATCTTCCCTGTGACTCGCTGGCAGCGAGATCAAGCTCCCTGTCAGGGAAACTTAGGCACAACCACCCATCAATTTTTTCCCACCCTGAGGCCTCCCTCGTATTGACATGCGGGTGCCAAATGTTAGCATTTCATATTGACTCCAACCGCAGTATTCTCCCAGCAGAAAGGCTGTTGATGCTTTCTTTACTGATACAATTATTCGAGTTGATGCTGGATACGGCACTCCTACGAAACGCTCCTTGAGTGATCGCCAGCGAGACTTGGCCGAGTCTTCAGGCCACCAAGTGACCGCCAACCCCTATCGGCCCCCATCAGTCTCCGAATCCTTCATGAAGGCACCGACGCCCATTTTGATCTAGACACCAGCCAGCAAGCGCGATATGGGTTCTTTTGGTGAAGTGACCGAATTTGGTCATGGCTTCAAGTCACAATTTCTGTTTGATCCGAAATATACCAATCTAAACCATGGTATGCTCTACGTCTCCTTCCTGCCTATTTTGCCGACAGGGCATGAGAGATACCGAGCTGTCAGCCATTTTCAGCAGTGTATCGTGGCGTCGAATCGTTATCAAGTCTGATATCGTTGTCTAGGATCATTTGGGACTTACTCTCTTCCCGTACGAAATGCACTGCGTGGTTATCAGAAGCTTGCCGAAGCTGCACCAGACAAGTTCTTACGCTATCAATACGTTGACCTACTGGACAAGTCGAGAGAGCGCATAGCTAGATTGATCAATGCGCCGGTTGATGAATGTGTATTTGTTCAGAATGCTACGACAGGTGGGTGCACCAGAAATTGGGGGAGCATCTGCTGATCTTGCAGGTGTCAACACTATTTTACGCAACCTTCAATTCAAGGAGAAAGATTGCATCATTTACTTCGATACCATTTATGGTGCCTGCGAGAAGACATTGGCTTCGATCGTCGAAACGAATCCGCAACTTCACCTTCGGAAGGTCGGCCATGGACAAGACTTTGGCTATGCACTTCCCTGCACGCATCCCGAAATCCTCAATTCTCTGTCACAAACCATTTCTCGCGTTCTGTACGACGGGTATAATCCGAGAGTCTGCATTTTCGACACGATAGTGTCCCTCCCTGGAGTTCGGTTTCCCTTTGAGCGAATAACCAAAATGTGTAAAGAGTACGGCATCCTCAGTCTAATTGATGGCGCACATGCTGTTGGTATGATACCCCTAAACATGGCTCAACTCGATCCCGATTTCTTCGTCAGCAATTGTCACAAGTAAGTGGGATTATCATTCCAGACAATCACAATGTCGCAGAGATGATTGACCTTCGACAGATGGCTTTATACGCCACGAGGATGTGCTGTCCTGCATGTTCCCAAACGCAATCAACACCTCATCAGAACGACGTTTCCCACATCACATGGATATACACCTCCAGCCGATGCATCGTCCAAGATACGGAATCCACTTCCACCAACGGAAAAGTCGCCCTTTGTAAATTTGTTTCAGTTCGTGGCCACTGCCGACAATGCCCCCTACTACTGCGTACCGGCGGCGATAAACTTTCGCCAGAACCTATGTGGTGGTGAAGAGGCTATATATAATTACATTCGCGATATTGCACAACGCGGCGCCGACTTGCTTGCCATGGTCCTAGGGACTGAAGTGATGGATGATCTTGATCAGGGTCATGGGTTGAAGACCATGGGCAGTTACGAAGCGAGCGATCGCCGAGAGGGAGGACGGGTCGGCTGGTCTGGCGGTCTACGAGACTGCGCGATGGCGAATGTATTGTTGCCGATCACGATCCAGGGAGCGACGTCTCGAGGAAGCATCAGTATGGGACCTGGAGGTGCGGGAAGTGCGGGGGGTTTGTCTCCGGCATTGCGACAGGCATCCTACGGCTTCCCATCTGGAGGCAATAGCGTGCAACCCCCTCGGTCGGCTGCTGTTGGTAACATGCTCGGCGAACCCAGAACACTGTCCGTTTCGCCTCTCCACTCGCCCAGTCTACCATCAGCAGGTCCAACCGTCGTACAAGAAGCAGACGTTGCAACACATAAAGCATGGATGGAAAGAACGTTGGTCGACGAATACAATACGTTTGTCGCCATCTACGAGTACGACGGAAGGCTTTGGACAAGAGTGTCTGGCCAGATCTACCTGGAACTCAAAGATTTCGAGTGGTTGGGGGAAGTGCTCAAATCACTTTGCGAACGAGTCCGGTCCGGGGAAAGCATGCGGGGCAAGGAACCCAAACCCGAGTTCAAGCTGCCAGATCTGGAGACGTGGACGCTCAAATCACCCAAGCCTCCGTCGAGGTCAAGCACAGTGGGGACGCCAGTGAAGAGATTCGACATTACTCAGGGAGGGTGGGTTGAAGAGTGAACAACCACGAGAATTCACGAGCATGATCAAGCGTTTTTAGACCCGGCGGTACGAGTACTGTAACATTGGAGTTCTTCTTCGTTCCCCAGATTGTTGTGCTTCGGGAGCCACCGAGGAGGTGTTTTGAGCTGGGGAAATTGTGGTAATACCAGGAGTTTGTCGGCTTGATGTTGTACATGTGTGTCAAGGAAATGGTGATATTACCTCAAAGAAAGGTGACATGACTAAGAGGATATAGTACAGTATGCTCTTGCATGGCTCATGGACCATCAGGAAAACTCTGATGTTGCACGTGAGGGAGGAAATGGGCGCAGCAGGTTGTAGCAAGGCGGTTACCCCGGATTCGTTGCCAGCATCGACCATCACTGGACTACGTAATGTCAACCTCGTTTTGACACCACAATTCTCTTCTCCATACAATCCTAAATTTTTCTTACTTTGCGTCCAATTCCGCCTGCGCTCGGTCCCTTGATTCATCATCTCGCGTGGCCACCTGACTTCAAACAGCAATCAGACGGCCCAAGAACACGCCGATGCTATCCGCCGATGAGTCCAAACAGAAAAATTCCCTGACCACACGCCGTGTGATTCATAGGTTGCCGTTAACTGCTTAGTTGACAAGAGACTGTCGTACGCGTTACTTGATGGCAATGGTGCAATATGGCCTCAAAATGAAAACAATGACACAGACTTCCGTCCTTTGACCTTTCATACAGTTTCTCTTACCCCCAGGTTTCTTTGATCCCAGACATACATCCTGCATTGCTTTGTTTTCCTTTCCGTGTGGAGTTGAAGTGGTCACATCAAGCTGGGTTGAGGCCCTTCTTACCAGACAAGCAACTGCTACTAATACCCGCATCACGAAAGCAACCATGCCTGCGCCAGTTCTACTCCGACGCAAACACCTGGACCCCTCTGCGATTGACCAGACCGCCGAAGACCTAAAGAGATTGTCCCTGATCGAGTCAGCGCGACACCATCTACTCCTGCCTCCAGACGACATGACTGCCACGAGAAAGTTCTCGTACGCTTCAGTCAAGGAAGAGCAAGGTATGATACCATAGCACGCTACTCTGAGCACAAGTACTAACATCTTCTCGCAGGGGACAACTTACCTCAGTCGTTCGAGTCCTCTCTGTCGTCACAAGACCTCGAGGAAATTGAGTGGATAGCATGGCCATGCAGTCAATGGTGCAAGACCACAGGATTGTGCTCATACCACTTCGATGGGTCACACGAGGATTATGTTCGTACACGACTGGAAGGCTATGCTCGCAGCAACCCCAGGAAGTTGGAAAAGATCCTTGATGAACTGGAGAAGAGAAGAGCTGCACAAAAGTTGTTCAATCTTCCATATGCTAAAGAGATCACCCGAGTCCACCCTAAGCCGGCCAGCTTCAGCCTGGATGTCTGGAGGGAGCGAATCAGAGACACAGTCGGCACAAAAGACTACACTCTTGATGGTAGCAACGATACCGCTATCCTCGATGAGGACGACACTTTTTCACGACCTACATCTTTGCCATATGACAAAAGCACCTCTTACCTGGAGTCCATGCCCGACGAGATACTGGAAATGATCTTTTCCTACGTCACAGTCGACCACACAGCAGACCCATATGCACGACCTCACGTCGATCTAGCATCCTGTGCATTGGTCTCCAAGAAGCTCCACGCTGCTGCCTCGGGAGTTCTGTACCGACATGTCTCCATTCCCCAATCTCGAGCATTTTCAAAGCTGATGCGCAGCCTGAACAACGATCGGCGTCTGGGAGATATGGTTCAATGGCTTGATTTCTCGCACTATTCCAACATGGGATTTGGCAAGGATCGAACAACAAGAAACCAAACGCCATTCCTGAAGCCCGAGACTCTATTGGCTTGCTTGGATATGGTGCCGAACCTTCAGGCTTTCTTGGTTCATGAACATGTTGACGACGAGCTGAACATCAACATCTTCTCGAAGCTCTTCAGCATGCCTTTGCTACAGGCCCTGGATCTCTGCGCCTGTTCGTCTCGACCATTCACCGAAGCATTCACTGCTATAACCATGCAGCTTTTGGCGACTGAACCGTTGACCAAGCTCAAGCGCATGTCGCTGCACGAGTGTACGACTCTGCAAGAACCTGTCTTTGAGCGTCTTCTTCCGCGGCTCTCAAATCTCACTCACCTCGACGTAGCACACACACTCATCAACGACCAGGCTCTCCTATCAATCCCGCCAACCGCAAAGATCACGCACCTCAATCTCGAACGCTGCACACACCTCACCGGACCTGCAGTGGTCAAATTCCTCACTCTCCATCCCGCCGTCAAGAATGACATTGTCTACCTCAACCTTGCAGCTGATGCTTCCCGACACAGACTCCTCGCGGAAGAAGACGTGACCAAACTTCTGGACTCCTTACCACCCAGTCTGCGTTCCTTGAACATCAATGGCGCGCGCATCAATTCTTCGCATGTGCCCGCCCTAACGCGACTCTCCATGCACGTCGAAGAGCTCGGCCTGCGCGGCGCCAAGCTCAGCTTGGGCACGGATATCAAGCAATTCCTCAGACCCGGCCATACTATCCGCTACATCGACCTGACGGATATCAAGTCCGTTACGCAGATGTCCTTGTCTTACTCGCCCGAAAGTCTGACCGGCACTGACACACTTCCACTAGAGGTCGTTGAGCTCGGCCCGGATGTTATGAAAGAAGTCAGGCGACGAAACGCCCACATCAAGAACCCGGAGTGGGTGGCCAAAGAGCTCGGACGCCGAGGATGGTTCGTCAGACAACCTATTGCCGATGGCGAAAGTGTGGCAGACGACGGCAGTCGTGCATGGAAAATGGGCGCGAGATGGTGGGGCATGCGCAAGGTCCCCATGGTCGAGCAGGACGTCGGCGGCATGTACGGATATTTCATGTTCAAGCGGTCTTGAGCGGCACCAGCGTCCTGTCGAGGACGCCTACGAGTTCCTTTTATTCTCTCGCGTTGTTGTTGCGGCATGAAGCGTTACGATGAGTCTTTGATGGTCTGAACAAAAGCACGCTATGATTACGATGCAGCGATGCGAGCTTTCTGACTTGGTGTTATGGGAAGGAAAACGGGCGAAATTGGAGGGGTAGCTGTGTTTATGGACATTTGCATTGCGTTGGCGCTGTTTAATGTTCAAAGTGTCCAGAAAGGGAATACTGGTCAGAATGAAATGGGTCATGACAAACGAAGCAGACGATGCCAATGCCGATGCCCATGCTGATGATGACCATGACTCTTCTATATACCTAGCAGATTACGATGAATTCATATATTAATACATCTATCATGACCCTTGTACAATTCCGCAGACGTCCATTCCCGCCAGGACTGCTAAATGCGAATTCTCGACACGGTCGTGATATCTATCGCGATCCGTCCCAATCAAGGCGGCTGTCTCTAAGCTGAAACGGTAAGAGGATGTGCGAAAGCGCTTGCTCCGCAAACTTTCCCTATAATGCCTTGCGCTTCGACCTCTTCGACCACGACTTGCACTGCATCACTGTGACATCCGATCGAGTGGAGTTTGTCCTCGTACAAGTGTCGGTACATGTGTATGCGTATACTCGATGTGAGACCTTTCCCTGGCGCACGATTCCTGGTCGCATTGCGATCCCTTCTCTTTTCATGAATACCGGCTTCTCGGGAAAGCGTAGTCTGATATTGACTCCCTCGAGATGAAGTTTGCTTGCTTAACTTGTTCCTATGAAGGATAAATATGGTTCGACTGCCGGATCACGATTTCCGCTTCTTCGGCCCAGAAATGTTCGGATATAGTCTCCCGAGATGGTGATTGATCGTCGACTTGTCTTTGGGAGGTAGTCTCTATAAATCGAAGCATTAGTTGTTGTTCGTGAGGGTACGAGGACTTGGGCAGAGAGGGTAGAAACAATGGACGTACCGGCTTATCCATACAGTCTCGGAGCGCCTTTTCGAGATGTCCGCATCCTCCGGTCGCGGCGCCTGCTGCCCAGCAATCTGTGAGCACATAGTGTTAGCACATGGAACATGGAACGTGGTGATGTCCGTTGTGGCAGTATGTGGAAGGTGTTCACGAAGGGGCAGAGGTCAGACAAGGACGCTTGTATATTGTAAACCGAGTAATGACTGTTGCGCCGGACGATGTATCTAATGGGCTCACTGGTCTGGGAAGATAGAGTTCACATACTCAGCATGGCACTCATAGGGCCCAGGCATGGGTTGGGCTCTTGTTTATCTGGGTGTCTGATCTTTAATCGTGTGACGGATTGTAGTCTGATGGGTTGAACGGCGGTCGAGGCGCCCTTGGGAGGCATTTTCGTCCAGATATACGCCGAGGAGGGCCGCTGACAGGGATATGGGAAAGCCCGACGGTCCGTATACTGAACGCGGAAAAGTCTCGACGTAAAGGACCAGGCTTGAATGCTGTGGCAGGTAGAATTCGCAAAGGCCGATCGACGAAAAAAGGTAGGTATTTCTGCCGCAAAAGGTTGTCGATCGGGCCACGGCGGCACCAGAGGATTCGGACGGGTTTAAAACCGGTGTGGAAGCCTCAATCAGGAGGAACGATGTGAGACCCTCTGTGGGTGGTCAGGAGCAAGGTTTCTCTGCCGTCGTCGATGTTGTCGACTTGATTCAGATACGGCTTCAATGCAGGTCTAGTTCCGCTTCTGTTTCGCGGCGAAGTTTTGCCAAGACTTATCTGAATAAACTGGCGGCCAGCTGCACCTTATTTGGGAAAGAGAGTGATGCCGCTCTTGGCCTGATCTCCGGCGGGAGTTCGACGTCCAGTGAAGTTGAGACTACCATCACAACCAAGTCGGCGTCCCCATTGCAGATGCGTATCTGCCAACATGAGTGGGAGGACCTTGGCGCGTTGCCTGTCCGGGGTTGTTCTTCTAATCGAGCTAGGAAATAAGATAATACCCTCTGCCACTTTCGTACTATTCCATTCCTCTAGCCGACTGAACCCACTCATACCAATTCACGTCAGAGGCCACGTCCACATTAGCATCCATAGGATCGCGGTTGCTGTCGACCATGGGTTCAATATCAACCCACAACCAAGGAGCCAAGCCAGCGCCTATGGTACCAACATCGGACCAGTCCGCGCTGATGGTGGGAAATGTATTGTAGATTGGGTCAGCAGTATTTCCCAAGCTCAAAGGAGGAGTTGTTCCCGTCCCGATACGCGTTCCGAGGCCGCTCGTATCACCGGCGCCTGATATCTGACCCGTTTGGTAATCACTTGTAGTCGAATACGTTGGACCAAACGTCACATTGGATGCCGCGTTCCCTTCCATAGATGTAGGAATAATCCCGGTAGCCGGCAAGCTTGTGTACGCAGTATGCATCGATGGCTTGATACCCTCGCCGGTGGACACTCCAGACAATTGTGTGCCGCTTCCAGGTGTCTGTACCAGCTGGCGCCACCGATCGCGGAAGAAGTCAGAGCTTGCCCCATTCGGAATTGCCCCAGGACTTGCCGGCACTGGAAGCTTCTGGTCCTCTGTTTCCAGCAAGGCTGCGGCTCGAGGATCTGCTCGCAAACGGTTGAGCTCGGCATCGCGATGCATGCGAGCCTTGTTCATCAACCTTCGTAGGGGCACCCAAATGCGCGGATTTTTGTCCTTGGGAGCGTGGCTTGGCATCAGCCAGCTGCTGTGAAGTGCCACCCAAGCTCTCTCGATCGTAGGCAACCAGGGGCGGCGGCCGACCTCGATCAACAGAAAAACGATTGCATGCCAATGAGTGTGGACTTGGTAGAGCCAACGCCAATGCCGACATGCTTGTTCGGCGTTTAGGGCGTGGTTGTATTCGGCGACCTCAATTGCAGAGATGAGCAGCCTGGTACATATGTCGAGCGGGACTTGTTCGTATGAGATAGAGAACAGACCGGGAAGGAAGACGATGAGGGTCATCTTACCCATGACCATTCGCGCAACCGTTGACGCTACCCAATAAGCAATATTCCCTGACTCGGTTGCGTGCTGAAGGTATTCCTGTTCGAATTTTTGATAGATTTCATTGAGCCGACGATTTTGGTCTTCCAGGCCCGCGACGCCTTGCCGTGCACCAGGATCAATCATCTGCCTCATGAGGGCGGTGACCCCCGCAGAGATACGCGCGAATGACATGTCCGTCACGCCATGGCGCTCGGGGGGCATTGATCTTGTTTCGGGATTGATGTCGGCATCGTTGACATTTGAGGGGATCTTTGTGTCGAAGCTTCCTTGCGCAATTGCTAAGTCTGTCCCCTGATCTTCTGAGGTCCTCAGGTCTAGCATGCAAAGTGACCACCATACCCTACGACGCATGTGGATCTCAAAAGGCGTCAAGTGACCAAAATGGGCTCCATCTCGGTGTAATCCAAGGTACTGGGCCATCCTGATGACGAGTCCTGTCATCATCCACACGTATCTTGGACTGTCGTGTCGACGAGCAAGGCAGATGAAAATGGCAAGTGCCTGAACCAGAATGATGTCGGGGGCGTTCAGGAAGTCGGCTTTGGCAAGGGCATGCTCGAGACCGAGACGATATCTGAGGCTGAGGTCTGCTTGGGAGCAGCCAAAATTGATCATGGCCTATTCAGGGACGCATTCAGTACAGTATCAGCCGTACCCAACCCATAAGAGGGCTGGTCTTCGACGGCACTTACATCGTCTTCCTCCATCGAGGTCATCGCCGCAAAGTATATTGAGAACATTAAGGCTTCGTTGGACGGCGTGAGGGAGGTGAGTCCGCTGCTGCGTAACTGGCGGACCAGCTGTGTGACTGTCGGCACATGAATGATGCCGAAGAAGACATTCACATTTTCCGAGTACACATCGAGAAGGAAGGCGATCTGCGAAGGGAGAGGATGAAGGTCGTGGAGGCTAGAAGGTGTTGCACTCAAGTTGTGTCGAAACAAGAATGCATGGCGGTCCCGCGGTCGTTGCTCAAATTCCGAGGCATACGACGCCATTCGAGATGATGCCTCTTCCTCCTCCGAGCTGTCGAACTCGTCTTCTGCCAGGGTGTGGGCATCCAATTTCAGCACATTGAGCTGTAGCGCAGATCAGCAAGCCAGATCTGCCGGATAACGGCGCAGGCACTATCAACTCGACCTACCTCGTCATCAACTCTCGACCAGAAGCCGCTACTTATATAGTGGGCGCGGCTGGCATCTTGGAGGACCAGCCGACCGAAGCGGTTGTGCAGATTGCTGGTAGCTGGAATGTCGGTAGCATCCTCCTGGTGCTCCGCATCGGGGTTCTTTGTAGGATACTCGGGGGAATTGGCTGCAGATGGGCCACTACCGGTCGAGCTGGCTGCTGCATTTGCTTGTTCCAGCTGCCCTCTGAGCTCCTTGACCAGGTCTTCGAGGCTCCGCAATCTTTCCATGAGTCTATCAACGCCAGGGTCGGCACCGTGCGATGCCTGTGCGTTGGGTGTTGAGGCATTGTCGGTAAGACGCTGGAGGCGGCGGGCCCACCTTGGCGGGCGATCTGTAGATGGAATGACACAGGCGATGCCTGCTCGGCGGCAATTCGAGCATGGCGTTTGCTTGTCACATTTGACTTTCCTCTGTCTGCAGACGGTGCAGCTGCGTAAATTAGACGTTGAGCTGGAGGCTGCTGCTGAAACCCGAGCAGGCACTGGAGTCGCGTCTTTCTCGGAGGTCGATGCTGAGGCAGCCTCCCATGCATTCATGCCCGGCTCCTGCGGCATACTGAACCAGGCACATTGAGCGCTCGTGAAAGTGCCAGTACAACCCTCGGGCGGAAAGTAACACTCGTCTCGTTCTCGCGAGCAGTCACGTATCATGGGTGGCCTGTTCTGACGATTTGGAAAGCGGATGATTGGTTGATGAGCTGACTAAGAAAGTCCCGCTCCGAGTAGAGCGCGAGAACAGACCGAGATGGCCACGACGGCACACTCAGGCTGTGCGACGGGACAATGCGCTTGCCGGTTGCTATTGCATATAAAATGCACGCAGGTTGTCCACCATGGGAGGCCGGTATAAGTCAACAGTTCAGTGTTGTTGACATAGCATTTGAGCAGACTTTTTGACACCACTTACAGTACTGTAAAGTATATTTAGCGTTTAACGTGCAGCCTGACGAGCATTCTACAAGGGATTGTTGCTTCCCAGTTCCACAATGGACTCCTCATGTGCAGAGTGTATCAAGGTACGGCCACAGTATAGAGCCGAATACATTAAGAGTTTCCGCTCACGAGATTCGATAGGGTACCATCCACAAAGGTCAACCTCTCGGCAGGGAAGAATTGATTCACGGCCTGAATACGTACGTGATCGGCAATCGGACCAATCCGCGCGGCATCATAGTCATGTACTCGGACATCTTCAGCCTGCCGTTGCCCAACAATAAACTCATCGCCGACGCCTACGCCAAAAGTGGAGAGTGGTTGATCTACTTCCCCGACTTCTTCAAGGGAGATCCTGTACCGCTCAAGAACGTGAATACCTTGATCCCAGTCGATGCTGCCAAGCAGTCGAAATTGTCATTGTATACGGGGCTGCTCGCATTCATGCCGCCTTTTCTATTGTGGATGACCAGGCACAAGGAAGGCCCTACCAACAAGGTGTGCATGGACTTTTTGCAGGCATTGAGACTCGCAACACCCAAAGAACAGAAGATTGGGATGGTGGGCTTCTGTTGGGGCGGAAAGTATGCAATTCGAGCCGGACTGGAGAGCAACATGATTGAAAAGGCTGGCCAGAAAGTGCCGCTTGTCGATGCGGTGGTGGCTTTGCATCCAAGTCATCTGACTCTGCCGGACGATGTCGAACACCTGGTCGTACCTGTGAGTTATGGGTGGGGCGTGGAGGATAGTGCCGTGAAGTTCGAACAGAAGAGCAAGGTGGAACAGATCCATGCGGCAGCCAAGTCGAAGGGCCGCAAGGTGCCGGAAATGGAGCATCAAGTCTATAGGCCAGGACGGCATGGCTTCGCCGTGAGAGGCAATCCGGACAACCCAGAGGAGAGGGCGTGTCTGGAGAACTCGCAAAAGCAGGTTCTAAGCTGGTTCGACCGATGGATTTGATGGAGCTGGCGAGGTCTGACCTTGTTTGTGTGAATCAAGCCCCGTGGTATTCGAGAGCGCACTATAAGATAATTGTTTCTGCGCGAGATCCTGCACGGAAATGTAGTTGTATCACCAGTGGTAATGATCAAACGATGTGCCTCAGCTTTGCGGTCGCCAATTATTGTTCGGGATTTCGAATGGGTTCATTTGGGAGATTGTGTCAGGTATTTGATTGTCCAGTTCCGTGGAGATTGTAGCTTGCGCATCGTGGGCGAACGTGTTGGTGCGATATCCAAATGTCGGAGCGGCATAGCCGTTTGATAGTATGAGACGGTCCGGATCGTTGCAGAAAGCTTCAAAAGTGCTCTCGTCTGCAAATCCGAAATCTCTGAGCCCTTGCATCCTATCAGTAGACCATTCAGTTGTGTCGAGTTGGGCCATCTCATCAAATAATGCGTCGATTTCATCCCCATCAAAGCTCGGAGAGGTTGCCGTTCCGACCACGGTGCCCTGTCGCATACTCGAATTTGCCCAGTTGGCATTAGCTGGCTGCGGCTGATCTGGTACCTCAGCATTCACGAATCCGTAGTCAACTACCACTGGCGGATGGTGCAGCAGTGGATCCATGGCCCTATAAGCCGAAAGGTCGTGGAATTCACCTGCTTGGAGATCTCCCGCATTCGACGCCACAATTGGCGCATCCACCTTGTCGTAGTACAGGGCTCCACCTGTCGATGGGAAAGGGAGGGACAGGTGGTATTGTGGTTGTTGGCCTCGATTCGGAACAGAGTCATCAAGGCTCACGCCAGCACTGGCCGCCGACCGCTGGGATCCGCTGGTGACATCCTCTTCAAACGGCTTGAAGCCAGGCCAGATCATCGCTAGCCTGGGGAGGACTTCATCATGTCGCCTAGATGAATAAAGTGATTGAACCGCCCTAGGAATATCTAACGCAACGTTGATTGTGTGAAACAATGCTGTGAGAATTGCTGGAATACCAGCCGCTTCTGACCACGCATTGTGAAACACATCCAGTGACCGGACGAATTGGGCGGTGAGCTTCGCTCGTGTTTCGGGACTCGAGGAGATCGCCACCACCACGAAGTAACTAGCTTGCAGGACCATATGATGGGGTGCTCGCCTTTTGATCTCCGAGATTTGGAAAGGGTAGGCGTCGCTGAGCCGCTGTAGGCCAGCCACTCTTTCCGCCGGTAACACATCGTTTGCAAGCATGAAAGTTTCCGTCAGTCTATTGAAACAGCTCTTGATGAACGCAGGCTCAGGATCCACAGGTAAGTCGATTGTATCCCCATTCCAAGGGCCCCACTCCTCAAGACCGTCTTCTGCGAGCAGCTGCCCAGGCTCAAGGTGTTCTTTGCGCAAGTGAGCCGGCCGTCTCAGTCGCATGCATATCAATGTGTCCAAGATGAAGCATGCCTGGAAAGTGCCTGTCCAACTCTGCTCGCGCGCTGGCTCGGTGGACTGCTTTGCTTGTAACATTCCCCCAGAATCGATCACATCCAGTAAAGCCCTGACAGCGAGGCCTATGAGGATCCAGGCGGAAGTCCAATTGCCCATGCCGATCTCAAGCAACACAAGAATCACGAGAGCCTGCGTATGACCGAGCGCGAAAGGGCCATCGTCCGACGGTATGCAACGGCGTGCCTTCCTACGCATCGTGTCGACGTCGGCATCTCTGTCCGCCAGAGAGCTTCTCTGTTGTGTACAATAGGCACATATTGCCCACAGGTAGGCAAGATCTGAATTTCCTGCAGGGGTTGGATTATGAGATCGTGTATGTTCATAGAACTTTTTGAGAGTGTGTGCTCTGTCCAAGATAGGAAACCAGCAATGTGTGTAAGTGAAGTAGTGAGTGAGCAAGCTTGACATCGCATCTGGGAGGCGCGAGAGTTCCGCATCCGCTCCTGTCGATAACCGTTGGCCTGGAAGACCTTGCGCAAACATATGTGGAGGGGCTGACTCTTGCACATCAGCATATGGAGCATCGTCGGATGACTCTACAGTTCGAAACCGAGGTGTCAAGGCTGCAGAACCAACAGAACCAAGGTTAGGAGGCATGCTGAGGGAAGAGCTGTCGTTCTCTTCATTGTCCTCCCTATCCCTTTTTCGTTTGAGGTTGGATGATTGATGCTCTTCCAGCCTGGATAACAATCTTTCCAGCTCTGAGAGCACGGTTGATTCTTTCCAGGTCTTGTGTAGATCCTCGCCATGTCTGTGATGATTCCATAGTCGCAAGAGCTCATCCTCGTTTTCGGCGATTATTCGTTGCGTGGCATCTTCTAGGCCTTCGACGGTCTGCATGACAATGGCCCATAATTTCTCCAGTCCTCGCACGTATCCTTCAGGAAGCCCCCTCTTCTTGTTTGCTGCGAGATACAAGCATGGCTGTCCCGCCGTGACGCAGTTCGAACACTGAGGTTGGACGCCATCGCATCGATCTTTCTGTGGATCAATGTTAGCTTGGGACCATGATGAGGCCGGCAAGACAGTCTCGAAGAAGAAGCTGCAATTGACTCATACTTCGGGGCACTTACTCTCGCCCGACACCTGACGCAGGCTCGGGAAATCCTTGATGCGCGTGCGACCTTGGGAACCTCTTCCTGGCTCTGACTGGCGCGAGGTGCTTTTCCCTGCGCATCAGTGCTATTCGTAGCCATTACAGCATGGCGAAAGGAAGTCAGCCATCGCCGTAATCATCTCTGTCCGGGCGAATTGTGCTGGAGCAGACTAATGTGTCGATGTTGTTCGACATGCAGCAAGGCGATGGAAATGCTTACAGGTGATCAACTCATCCGAAGAGACGGGGTTCGTGGGCGGCAGGTACAGTGGACGCGCCCCGGATGATGCACCTGTGGAACGTATGATTGACAGCTGCGGAGAGCTTTAGCTTACAGTAGGCCCCCTAGCCTCGCTAAATTAGGCTGTTCAAGGCCAACGGGCTATTCGGCAACGTAATGACCTCGGTCTGCTACCTGCAACCACCAGCCGCGAACCTATCAGCCATCGGCGTACCATATCCTCCTCCCACCCTTTCAATCACGCCTAAGAGATAAATGTTAATGGTGAGTGTGGTTCTGTGCTCATGCTGATAATGTAAGGCTATCGCTTCCCTCCTCCTCTGGCTTGCGATGGACGATGACAATGAAGAGAACGGAACACATGAAGGCTCTCAAACTGAGCATCCTTCTCAGCCAATCTCAGCATCAGCCTCGCTTCCTCAATCTCCAGATGGCAATGGGGCCCATACCAGGCAACAAACGGCTTCTTCCACCTCTCGCATAGGGAATGCTCTGCCTGAGGGCCAGGTCGATGGCCGTTTATTTCACCCTGATGCTTCCCTGGTTTTGGTTGGCATCCGAGCGTCTGGGAAAAGGTCACTAGGCTTTATCGCTGCCACTGCCCTTGGGCGAAGATTCATTACCGAGGACCATTACTTCCAGAGCGTCAATGGACTTTCTCGACAGGATTATCTCAAAATCCACGGAAGCGAGCAGTTCCACAGACAGGATGTCAAGACCTCCAAACGAATGCTCGAGGACAACAAGTACGGCTGTGTCATCGATTGTGGCCTGGGGAGCCTGACCAGCAGCCTTCAAGACCATCTCAGACAGTATAGCCAGACAAACCCTGTCGTATTCATTCTTAGGGATATGGCTCAAATCAGAACACTCCTCAGCCTCAATGATAGATCAGCAAAACTCCTCGACAACGGAAACTTCACGCATCGCAGATGTTCCAACTTTGAGTATTACAATCTGGAGGACGAATCCATGCAAGATACATCGGAATCTGACGCTGAAGACCGAGCCGCACCGACCTATTCATTCCGACTCAAAGACGCCCAAGCGGATTTCTCCCGGTTCGTTCGCTACATTACCGGATCCAGTCATGCTCAAGCAATCCATCATTCACCATTCTCTTTAGATGGCGCAGTCGAGCTACGAACGTACACTCACGCGCTACTTGTCAAGCTCTCCAACTATGTAGCTGAACAGGTCGACTTCGAAAAGCTAGAGTCAGCTGGTGATGTTCTGGAAATATATGTCGACCGGTGGCATCCTACTATGGCAAGACATCTAAGTAAAATGGTGGCGGTGAGCAGGAGAGTGCTCAAGTTACCAATCCTGCTTTCTGTCAGCAGTACGCTACCTCACAGCACCGAGGGACGAATGAATGTTCTTTTGCACGGTCTACGCCTTGGAGTTGAGTTCGTGTCTGTCGATGTCCAGCTTAAGGAAGAAACAATGGCACAACTCAAGGCTATCAAGGGCTACACGAAGCTTGTTGGTACCTATACCAGTGGTATAAACGACAAAGGATGGAAAGATCCGATGTTGATGACAATTCAACGAAATGCCGTGGCCATCGGCTTCGATATCATTCGGTTAATACACTTTCCAACCTCTCAACATGACAACCAGACCTTGGTTTGGTTCATGGAAGAACTGGCAGACCTCTCAGGGCCACGGACTGTTACCTCAGCGTTCAATGTCGGCACATTGGGTCGTACTTCACAAATCACGAACCGGGGTTTGACTTCCGTCACGCACCCTGCTCTTCCACAGCTACAAGCGCCGCGCCTGGACGCCTTTCAGCCAACTTTGTCATCCAAACAAATCATCAACGCTCTCTTTGACAATTATACATTTGATCCTCTTCAATTCCACATTGTTGGTGCTAATGTGACTGGTTCTTTATCCCCAGCAATGCATAACGCAGCGTATGCACTGCTCGGACTTCGCCATAGTTACAGTGCTAGGAATATCAGATCGTGGGCAGATATCGAAGAGCTTAGCAAGGATGACAATCTGGGTGGACTGAGTATTGTGCAGCCATACAAGGTCAAAGTCGTGCCTAGCATTGCTTCTCTAAGCGACCATGCAAGGACTATTGGAGCAGTCAATACTGTGGTACCGCTCCGGGAAAACGCTGCCGGAGTGATTCCTCCGCTAACGATTCAAGCGCAAGAGAGGAATCGTGCAGGAAACATTGTTGGCTGGTATGGAGAAAACACCGACTATATCGGCATCATGACGTGCGTCAACAGGAGTCTCTCTCCACGCAATATCCTTCAGCCGAGATCTACCGCCCTTGTTATTGGAGCTGGCGGCATGGCCAGAGCAGCAGTCTATGCAATGCTGCAACTGGGCTGCAAGACCACGTTTGTTTACAATAGAACCACCGTCAACGCAATGTCAATCGCTACACATTTCAACGAGTGGGCCAGATCTCAACCAGACGGCCACGACCCTCGAGCTCCGAATGCTTTGGTGAGAGTCCTTGAATCCAGAAACGCTCCATGGCCAGCAGATTTTGCTCCACCGACCATCGTCATATCCTGCGTCACTCACGAGGTCCTTGATGGGAATCCAGGTGCGGATTTCGAGTTGCCAGAATCTTGGATGCAGTCACAAACGGGCGGGGTTGTAGTTGAAATGGCCTACATGACCAAGGAGACTCCCCTCGTTCGACAGATGAAAACGTTCAGAGAGACAACGAAAAGACCTTGGGTCTTGATAGATGGCATCGAGACGTTGATAGAGCAGGCTATCGCTCAATTCGAGACAATGACTGGGAGAAAGGCACCGAAACGTGCCATGGCGGAAGCCGTCCACGGTGCATTGAAGGAGAATACATCGTATCTGGTCGACGGCGAAGAATTCTTCACGTAAACCTAGACACCACATATGCTCGAAACGACCTGTCAACCCGCCCGAGAGTGCGCAGTTCGCTGGCAAGTTCTCAAAGCGACGCTCGCATCTGCCTTTCGACCGCTTCCCTCGACACGTTCCTTAGCCTCTCATCTATCTCGATGCCAGTCCACAGACCAGCTTGGGCAAGGCCCTGTCCGATCATTGCCTCGATGCCACCAATGACTTGCCAGCGTGCTTCGAGCGTAAGTCTGGAAATTTCGGTATCTGGTGACGGATGGTAGCACATCTCCAGTAGCGCACCTTTCTCGTCGGTATTCAAAAAGACCTTGAGAATTTCTCTCACTACCTTTTCCTCCTGGGTCACGGCTGGAAAGTCTGGAACTGCACTGACAGCTGCACCTGGTGCTGGCAGGCTTCGCGCTTGTGCAACCGTCTGAACATGAATTAGGTCCGCTGCAGCACCCCTGTTGTGGCATTCTTGTAAGACAGCCTCGACCTCTCTTTCGTCTCTGTTGATGATGTATATGGGCGAACACCCCATGAAGTGTTGCAAGGTATAAATGGCTGCCCTGCAAGTTCCGCCTCCTCCTATGATGAGTCCTGGCTTTCCTCGATATGGGGCGCCTTTCACGTTTGTCTGGAAGGCGTCGCGAATGCCCAGACAATCGGTATTCGTCCCACAGAATCTTCGGGACCCATTGGATTCGGGTTTGAAAAAGATAGTGTTCACCGCGCCAATGGCTCGTCCTTCGTCTGTGAGCTCGTCCAAATGAGGGATCACGGCGACTTTGAAGGGCATGGTAACACCACTGCCCATGCATTTGGGATCGCGCTTGAGATAATGAAGAAACCCTTCGAGGTCGCTGGTCTCACAAAGCAGTTGGGCCCAGTTTTTCCCAACTGCTGTATATATGGCACGATGAAGCGACGGGGATTTTGAGTGTGCGATTGGGGTGCCGACGAGGTAAGCCACCTTCTCAAACGACGAGGTGTCTGGCAGGGTGAATTCGGTCATGGCTGTTTCTGGCCAAGAATGATATTGTGTTTCGACTCGGAGATATTCTCAATCTTCAAAGTTCGACGTTTGCTGAAAGTTATTGACGCACAAACAATTGCTAGCATCACTCAAGTATTGCAAGACGTCGGCTTATGCGCCATGGATCGTGGAAACGTTCCTCGACACTCACCACGTTCGGCTCTCCGAAGACGTTGGGAGACCTTGTCGATCACGATATCTCAAGCAACATCCTCGTTTCCTTGATGCGCGCAACAATGAACATCCGCTTAAAGTTCGAGGAATGATTTACTCTGAACACTTCCGATGCAGGGTACGTCAAAATGTGACATTGCGGGCAGACGCCGCACACTTTTGTGGCCAACAAAAACCCGTCTTCTGCAGCACCAATCTGGCGGGTAAGTCTTCAGCCGCCGTCTGGACCCAACCTGTGGGCATGGATTCGGTCTTTTACTCGCCATCAATCTTCCCCGCTCAAGAGCAGATCCATATGCAATACCGCCCACACGGCAATTGCTGGCGGCCCAGACTTACTTGATCTGTGCGGCCAGCTTACGTGTGGAGTGTCTGGGGGAAAATTCTTTCGAGCTTTCCTAGGTGATCTGTTCCGAGTCTGGATCTGGGACCTCGATGGCGTTCTCCAGCTCTTCTCTTTCCAATGCTATTTAGTCCGACGCTTGGCCACCATCCCCAGATTTTCCTCCAGTACTCCAGACCAGCAAGCACCTCCTGTTCCATCCCTCCAGATTTCCACACATATTGCCTACAATGGGTCTCCTGACATTGGTCGAAGACCGCCCAACACCGAAGAATGTATACAACTGGAGAGTCTACTATTCAGCGGCGGTTGCTGCCTCCGCCGCCATGATGATAGGCTACGACAGCGCATTCATTGGCGGCACTCTTGCCCTATCTTCATTCAAGAAAGAATTCCACTTCGAAGACCTGTCCACATCGAAGGTCAACCTACTGAGCGCCAACATCGTGTCTTGTTACCAGGCTGGCGCGTTCTTTGGCGCATTCTTCGCCTACCCTGCTGGTCACTTCCTCGGCCGCAGAATCGGCCTCCTCATATTCAGCGCCCTCTTCTGTCTTGGTGCTGGGATTATGCTTGGCGCCAACGGTGCTCGCGGTCTTGGTCTCATCTATGGAGGTCGTGTCCTCGCAGGCATGGTACGTATTGGTTTCCCTGCTAATGATGCTTCGTTCGCTGATAAAAAGGAATATATAGGGTGTTGGAGGTGCTTCCAATCTCTCCCCAATCTATTGCTCTGAAATTGCACCCCCTGCTATCCGAGGCCGGCTAGTCGGCCTTTACGAACTTTCGTGGCAGATTGGAGGCCTGGTTGGGTTCTGGTGAGTGAAGAACATCCTTGATGATACCAGCCCCAGCTTTCTGATCATTCCTTCAGGATCAACTATGGTGTATCCGAGACCATGGCGCCCTCACATCGGCAATGGCTTATTCCATTCGCCATTCAGCTTGTTCCTGCCGGTCTTCTATTCGCCGGAGCATTCATGATCAAAGAATCACCCCGATGGCTCTTCACACGAGCTCGCCGTGAGCAAGGAATCAGAAATCTGTGCTGGCTTCGTCAACTCTCCGTCGACGACGTCTACATGCAAGAAGAGATCATGGCTATCGATAATGCCATCGAGCACCAGCGGACCACGATCGGTTTGGGATTCTGGCGACCATTCGCAGCCGTCGTCAACAGTCGACAGGTTACATATCGCTTCCTCCTCGGTGGATCGCTTTTCTTGTGGCAGAATGCAACAGGTAAGTCAGATAAATCATCCTAGTACACTCACACTGACCTTGCCGAGGTATCAATGCTATCAATTACTACAGTCCCACGGTAAGCCATGATTCGTTGTCGTTCAAGATGTAGCTCGTCAACTAACGGATGTCTAGGTGTTCAAATCCATCGGTATTACGGGCACAAACACTTCCTTGTTGACGACCGGCATTTTCGGCGTGATCAAAACAATCGTTACCATCATCTGGCTTTTCTTCCTGATCGATAAGCTCGGACGACGCAAGCTGCTCATGATCGGCGGTGTTTCTGGCTCTTTGTGCATGTGGTACATCGGTGGCTACATTGCTATCGCTAAGCCATGGCTGGCTCCGAAAACAGGCGGCTCGCTCTCTAAAGGAGGCATCAGCGCCATGGTCTTCTTCTACCTATGGACTGCTTCATACACACCCACATGGAACGGCACTCCTTGGGTCCTCAACTCCGAGATGTTTGACCAGAGTGTCCGCACACTCGCTCAAGCTTTTGCAGCGGCGAACAATTGGCTCTGGGTAAGTCCGATCTTTGCTGTTTCGGGTATAAGCATCATAATCAGACGCTGATATCTTTACGTTGCAGAACTTCATTATCGCCAGATTCACCCCTCAGATGTTCGCCACCATGTCATATGGCGTATACTTCTTCTTTGCCTCTCTCATGCTCTGTGCCGTGGTATTCTCTTATTTCTTGATTCCTGAGACCAAGGGTATCCCGCTTGAAGCGATGGATCGGCTGTTCAGCAACGAGCACCCTGCAAGGAAGGCACATAAGATTGTCCTTGCTGAGCTTCGTGTTGAGGACCAGGATTTCAGACGACAGAGTGTGGCGATGGAGAAGCCCGGCGTGGAACAATTGGAGGACAACAACACTGAGTCGAGTCGTTTTGAGAAAGTGTAGAAATGGATATACCGTGTTCGGAGCGGAAGCTCTGACTGAAAGTGGAAAGATTGGGAAGAATGTCTTACGTATGCATGCAGCATAGATAGTCATGACCAGACTATGACCCAGAGAGACTACTGTACACGTTTCAAACCTGACCACATCATGTCGAGAGACATGATAAAGGCTTTTAAAGACCATGCTGTCTATGAGTAGACCTAGACATAGACCTACTGGTCCCCTTGGTCCGTTCTCTCCTCAGCATCCCATTTCTGCGCCCAAAACTCGAGGGCTGCCGTATACCCATAGACTCCCAGGCCCATGATCACCCCTGTAGCCTTGTCGCTGAAGTAGCTGTGACTTCGGAAACTTTCGCGAGCATGCACATTGGAAATGTGTACTTCAATGAAAGGCAGACTCGTGCCTAGTAGTGCGTCACGGATTGCAACGCTGGTGTGCGTGTAGGCCGCTGGGTTGATTATGACTGCTGTTTTGGGTTTGGGTGAGTCTGCTGAGGAGGCTGTATCTGGGACGAAATGTGAATGTAAAAAGTCGATAATTTGACCTTCGTGGTTGGATTGGAACGAGTGGACTGTGATGTTGAGGTCTTTTCCTCTTGAGACGATCGAGTCTGTGAGTTGAGTGAGTGTCGTTGAGCCGTAGATTTGTGGTTCGCGGGTCCCCAGGAGGTTGAGGTTGGGGCCGTTGATGAGGAGGATCTTGCGGGTGGACATGTTGACTTTCACGGATGCTGTGGTGCGTCGTTTGAAAAAAAGGGAGGTGATATGCTTGGGAGTGTATGGAGCCAAGAGGAATCTCGACAAGGGAGGTCAGATATGTCGAGTGAATTCCCTGAACTTAGAGGTAGTGTGGTCGTGAGAGGTGTTTTCCGGTAAAGGAATGTTTTATTTTTGCAGCGCAAATGCTTTCAGCCTTGCTCAGTGTGTCTGAGCTGGAGCTGTAAAAGTCTGGGGTTCCTACCTTCCTACCTCTAAACATGTGCGCTAGGCGACCATAGGAGTCGTCGCAACATTTCGGACCATGGAAGTCTCTCGCAAAGCACCAACGGTTTATCGGTTGACGTCCACGAAACAGGAGGGAATTGACCCCGACCGGCAGAATACTAACCCGAAGACCAGGTCTCGGGGGCGTGAGGGTCGGCCGGAGATCATCGGCAACTGACGCCTAGGTTGCATTGTCTGGGGGTTACTTTTGCAGATCAATACCCGCAGCACCCGCTGTTTCTCCAGGGGCGCCGGCAAAAGTCAACAGCCAATGACTACGACAGTTTTGAAAGTCGCTAAGTTAAGCGTGAGGCTTACCGAATTCCCGTCACGTCCCCGGCTTGACCTCCATCTGATGCCACTGGTGTCGAAGAAGGCGAATGTTCGTCCGGGAAGCTTCCAAGCAAAGACATCCGGAAGAAAACGAGCTTAGGTCATCGGAAGACGAACCATCCGTGAAGATGCAAGAGTCCCAGAGCTATGAGATTTCCGATGCAGAACTGAGCGAGATATACTCGTTCGCTGTCCAATTAGGTCGGCAAGCTGGTACCATTCTGCAGGAAAGTTTGATGCAGCGACGGTCCGATGGCACTTCCGGTCCAGATGGAAACTCCCAGGTGTTGGAGGAGTTGGTCATGGAGGAGAAAATGAATGCTGTTGATATTGTCACCAAGACGGACAATGGTGAATTAACCCAGTCAGCACAGTTACACCCACTTGCTGATGTCTGACGCAGAAGTCGAAGAGTACATACATTCCAAGATACGAAAACGATATCCAGCACATGCTTTCGTTGGCGAAGAGCTGTACTCGAAAGGTTCGTCGAAGGAGTATCTCGTCAGCGATGCTCCGACATGGGTTGTTGACCCCCTCGATGGAACCGTCAACTTCACGCATTGTTTCCCCATGTTTTGTGTCAGTATTGCTTTGGTAGTCAACCAGAAGCCTGTGATTGGCGTAGTCCATGCGCCATTACTGAATCAGATGTTCTCGGCCTGCAGAGGGAAAGGGGCTTGGCTGAACGAGACGACAAGGCTGCCTCTCCTGGGCAGCGTTGGTGTCGGGCCAATACCTAAAAATGCTCCAAAACAATGTGTTTTTGGTTGTGAGTGGGGCAAGGACAGGAGGGATTTGCCAGATGGAAATCTGCACCGTAAGGTGGATAGTTTCGTCAATATGGCGGCCGAGGTAGGCGGAAGGGACGGAAAAGGAGGCATGGTCCATGGCGTGAGGAGCCTCGGAAGTGCCACCCTGGATCTCGCGTACACTGCTATGGGGGCGTTTGACATATGGTGGGAAGGGGGCTGTTGGGAGTGGGATGTCGCAGCAGGCATCTGTCTGCTGCAAGAGGCTGGTGGGCTGATTACGACGGCAAACCCGCCTGAGAATATTGATGCAGCGAGCATTGAGGATGCCAAACTTGGCGGTAGACTGTATCTTGCCATTCGACCAGCGGCAGATGGTCCTCAAGAAACGGCACGGGAAGGGCAGGAGAGATTGGTAAGAGCAGTCTGGCGAAGGGTGCGGCGCCTGGAGTATCCTAGGCCAGGAGCGTGACGTGTTGCACTAGACAAATCTGAAAGATAGATCGTGTAGAGAACATATATTCATATAGTGTAAAGTATAAGAGGTATTCAGGAACGCCAGCCGCTTACGATATATATGCATGTAAATCAAACAGCGCATCAAGTGTCGCTCAAAAGGCAATTCGTCACAAGACGGAACGGATACAGCACATCACAGCCTTGGACTTGAGTAATCCCAGTCCTGACAAGCCGAGTTGTTCTTCACGGCGTCAACAGATGTCGGTGTGCTATATGTGCAACGTCAGTCGTCATTCAATAATGGTGGCTGGCTTACACGTACCGATGACCATCTTCAGGGATGGAGCGAGGTGAGTCCCACCTCATATGTTGCGAGAGCTTCTGCCAAGCCATAGCTGCACGTTTGGCATGCTGCTCAGGCACTTCCTTATCAGGCTGATTCGCTGTCCTTGAGAACAACTCGAAGGAGATGTGCCCTGTATACCCAGCTTCGCAGACGGCTTCGAGGATCTCCAAGACAGGTAGATAACCCGGTTTCTCAAAAGGAAAGAGTCTAGCATTTCTCGACCATGACATGCGAGGTGGTTGTTCAGCATTATACCAAGCATGACCAGGTAATAGTGGTGCATCCAACCGCTCGCCATCACACACCTCGACATAGAATACCTTATCAATCGCTAGCGACAGCTCCGAGCGAATCTTCGCAATGGATTTTTGACTGTCTTCGAGTGCATTAGGTGTCAGTCCTGTAGGTGAAGCTGGATCTGCGAAAATTCGTCCGGCAAGATTGAAGGTGTCAATACATGTGCCGAAGTTAGGTCTGTCGACTTCTTGGACAATTGACCATGCTGCATCCCATGTGTCGACATGTGTTCCCCAGGCAAGAGCTTCGTAGGCAAATCGAATTGGAGGTGTGGCTCGGAGGCCGATGTCTGCAGCTTCCCTCAGCTCTGCCACAAGTATATCGCGAGAGCCTGTACATTTGGAAGAATCCAAAAAGCTTGAAGGTATTTGAATGAGGTCCGTTCCCAAGGTGTGAACTAGTCTGATCCAGAAATGAAGATCTTGAATAGCAGCCTGGTGGGAAGAGGAATCGAGGCGGCCTTCATAATGCATGAATGGTTGAATACATAATATTTCCAATTCGTGGGCGAGGCAAAGCTCATGAATGTATGCTGCAGCTGCTAGTTGCCTTTCTTGGGTATCAGTCGAGCCGGCAAAGGATGTCCCAGGACTTGATGGCGGATGTGATACAGGTAAAGATTGAGCAATGCCATCAAGGTCTTCGAAGAATAGTTCGATGGACTCAAAGGCATATCGTTGGCACAAGCTCAGCTTATACTCGAGGTTGTGGTGCCATGCTCTTCCCAACGACTGGGAAGCAATGGTTGGTATGAATCTGGCACCCATCCTTGGAAAAGACCAGGAGATTGAGGAGGGCGGGTTAGATGGGCAACACCGTAGAGCCAAAGTGTGGTGATTTGCCGAGCAAGAGACGGAACTTGCTATCGTAAGCTGTCTCTTGGTGCATGACCAGGAGTTGACAAGTAAATGGGAAGCATTTAAGGAGGTTGACAAGAGCGTTCAAAAGACCAGGCTGAGCATGGTCAGGACTTACCTGTCAACTATTTTGTGCTCCACGAGCCATCAGACAATCATGCAGGTTTCTCGCATATCAGCCAGCGGCCCAGCAGTGAGGTCAAAAGCCGTCCAGAATATGGATCGGATTGCAGGGCTGGACCGGCATTGCCAGGGGTATTCCGAAAGTCAAGAATGCTGAGCGGATAAGTCTTTTCCCGCCAGAAGCCAGAGTCCACGGGTGGGTTCAAGCCACGATCTTTAACTTCCTAGTACTCCGTACCGAGTCAGTTGAACTATTCAGTGGGCGGAGAACCTCTAGAATCTCGTCATTAGCAAAGCCTTGGGGGGCATGGAGTCGGCGGAGATGCCGAGTCTCTGGAGCGCTGTAACTAGGATTTCGCATCCGGCAAGTAGATGGCCTCAATTGCAGAGAAAGGATCGCCGTATTGCTGATGCTTAACAACAAGGACCTCCAGTATGACTCTGCAGAGCATGGACACCCCATTATTGAGCAACCAGATCGTCCTGCATGTGGCCGTGGATGAGATTTCGTGGCCTCGTCGCGGCACCTCACCTTACTCCTAATTGGTAGGTGACAAGGAGATCCTCCGGCTCGCCGTGATGTCTGATGCACCACTCCTGGACCGAGATCAGTACGGAAATGATGACTTATCATTTCGTCGCCGACGAAGGTATATCGCAATATTCGATGGTGTTGATGGATAGAAAGAATGAATAAATAAAAGAGGTAGAACGATTGGACGGACTGATGCGGAGAAAAAAGATGCGATGCGCTGCACTGCGCTGCGGCGAAACAGACTGCTTCCGTGTGTACATCCATCTATATGACTTCTCTATTGCTGTCGTTGCTTCCGACTTGATGCATTCCCTATATTTTTTGTGATATACGTCGCTCCTTCCTGTCCTTCTCAGCATGAACAGTTCCGGCTCGCACCTTTGGACCTGCTCACGATGTCTTCGAGCCCAGCGGCTGCGGGGTCCTGGATCGAAGGCACCACGCCTGACACCAAGGACTGTGGTTCCGTATTCACGCCCCTTCGGCGCCACAGCTCCCTCTCATGACGCAAAGCCTCCGGCTCCGACCCCGAATGCTGCTAGCGACGCAGGAGATGGTTCTCGAGATGCACAAGAGCAAGGAGCCATGTCACGGAGGCTAGCCGGGATGGCAGAGGATACAATGGATACCGGGAGCAAAAGCGACCGCAAATTGATGAAGGATGCCGGCTTTTCGGATGATTTGAAGAAGAAACTAGAAGAGCGAATTGCTCAGACGACCTTCGCAGCTGAAAACCAGAGAGCGATCAGTCAAGTCACCATGCCAGTACGCATCAAGCACTTCCGGTGGCAAAGAGTCTGTCGACTGACATGAGATGCAGAGTGCAGCAGGAAAAGGCACACGCGACACGGCCGCTGCAAGCCCATGGACGGGCAATGAATCACTCCATGACTCCGCCCTTCGAATGCTCGACGACAGCCACAAGAGATTGCGGACACCAAGTCGCCCCCCCACACTCCCAGTGAAGAACCTTCGGCCGGCAACGAAGAAGATCATATCCCGCGCAGATCGGCTGGCCAACGCTCGCGACCGGACCTCCAAGTATGCTTTGAGCCAGCAAAGTGATATGTCCGAGAAAGAGCGCGAACGGTATCGCAAAGAACTCAAAGATCGCTTCTCGCCAGGCCATCGACCCATGCCGACCAGTCTGCAAGGCCTGACGAGTCTGGCGAATGAGCGAATCGAAGACGCCATCGCACGAGGCCAATTCAACAACATTCCTCGAGGTAAAGGAACAAACGTGGAAAGGGACTACAACGCGAACAGTCCGTTTCTCGATACAACTGAGTATTTTATGAATAAAATCATTCAAAGGCAGGAGATTGTACCACCGTGGATCGAGAAACAGCAGGAACTCGTCAAGGCGGTGGCAAGTTTCCGTGGACGTCTGCGTAACGACTGGCGCAGACACGCAGCACGAGTCATCTCAAGTGCTGGTGGTAGCGTCGAGACTCAGGTCCGCAAAGCGAAAGCATTCGCTCTGGCCGAAGAAATGGTCAACCCTAGGGCGAGGAAAGTGGAGAATCTCAGTTCCATTTCCCCCGACGGCACTCTGGCAAGCGTGACTGTCGAAGAACGCATCGCATATGGTGTGACTGCACCTGCACCCGGGCCCGATTCTCAAGCAGAACAACCGCAGGAAGTTGTCCAGATCAACGTCACAGAACAGTCTGCGGAAGATGCCGCGGCTGCTCAGTCCGGGAATACAGAGATACCTGCCCAGATCATCCCAGATACACCAACAGATACACCTGTCCAGACAGCCACAGCGTCACCTGCACAATCAGATACTCCTGCACAAACCGCCGCACCTACACCTGCACCCGTTCGTGCAGCAGCCTACCCCTTCCGTGACCCAGCCTGGCAAAAAGCCGAACTAGCATACCACACGCTCGCGGTCCAGAACCTCAACAGCATGACGCGCTCGTACAACCTGATGGCGCCCAAGATCGCGCAGAAGCCGTACTACACGCTCGAGCGCGAATTGAATCGGTGCTTCGCGGACGTAGCGCCCTCGCTACCGGATGAGATCCTTGAACGCAGCCGCAAGCCCACAGTCAAGATCGCAGTCATGCCGCACCGTGAAGGTGGTGTGCTGGAAAAATTCGGCCAAGGTATTGGCGCCGAGCGTTACCGCGGTCACGAGAAAAGCATCAAGGATGAGATCCAGGGGAAAGAGTATGGCTTCCGCCAGCTGTTCAAGGATTTCTTTGGTGGCTCGACGAAGAAGCGCGTCGCTTGAGACTACAGATTTACGATAAGATGATAAGATTTATAGATGTAAGATATATGTTAATGACTCGACAGCAAGATAGAAGCACCGTACGGTAGAGCTGATGGCCTCCTTCTCCAGCAAAGGGCAACGTTATATCGTTGTGTGTGAAGGACTCTGGAATGAAGATAAGGATGATACCTATTTGAACCTGACCAGCTACAGTACAGCCGTCAGACTGTGCCACTTTTTCTGGAAACAGGCTCGCTGGTTTGCTCAAACCGTCGATCCGCCCAACTTCTGATAGGTATATCTACAGATCTGGCAACCACAGAGCTCAAACAGCACCGGGCCGCCCAAATAATCCTTGGCCCGGAATTGTGCGAGGTTTCGGGCATGTCTTCTCAGCGTCTCTGGCTGAAAATAGAGCCAATCGATGTTAAGAGACGTCTGCTCCTGCTCACTGTTCTCTGCTGATGAGGCTGACGTGGCTGAAGAGAGCCTCCGTGCGAGACCGTTGCGAAAATGTAGCCAGTCAATTTGGAGTGGTGTCAGCTCGTCTGATCGAATGTCCATGTCCGACTCCAGGTCTGATTCGGTTGAAGAAAGTCCTAGTTCATCTGAAGAGAGCTGTCGTATCAAACAGGTACGCCTCTCTTCCCTCGCGCGAGTGAGCATGGTGTAGATGCTGTGAATGTAGATCGACATGACTGTCACGAAGATCAATGCCAGCACCACTCCACCCAGTACTTTGAGGTATGTTGGTGCTACGTAGTCGTCGTTGCCGTTGCCGTTGAGGAAGCCATCCACTGGAATTTCCAAGGTGGTGGGCGCTTGCTGTGGAAGGTCTCGAACGACATTCTGATGATGAAGAATGTTGGGCAGGGGGAGGTCTGGGATGGCTAATACTCTCGAGTTTGCTGAGATGACATTGCTCGGACGATATTTGGCATCGAGGTGCAGTCGGAGATTCGTGTTTGCCCTCATGTCGCTGTTGCACCAGGTGGAGAGCTTGGGAGCGGTGGATTGCAACGTGCTTTGCAGGAATGCAGGAGTGACAGAGGAGTTCTTCAGGGTGGTAACACAAGTAGATCCCTGAGACAGATTTTGACGAGGACCTTGTGCGATTCTGGGCATCGAAGAGCAATTCCATGGTTCTGACTGTATATCTGGGGAGTGAAGAAAGATTTCGTTGGTCGCTCGGCTCTAACCGTGAGAACCACTTTATCGGAATCGTGTTCGAGACGCCCAGATTTTGTATGGCGAGTGGCGGTGAACCATCAAAATGTTTCAGGTACCACAATCTAGCGCAATGATCTTTTGGGATGGAGCTTGCTGGAAAGTCTCACCAAGATTGACTGGTTCGTCTTCGTTGTAGCACTTGTCCAGCTGGTATATCTAGGCTATTCAGGATATTCGGATCATCCTTGAATTCTGGACTGTTGATGACATCTTGAGCCTTTGACATGTTCCTCTCGATAACGATGCCTGGAACTTCAGTATTGTATTGTCGATCCTCGGACTCGACCCCATCGGCATCAGGAGTACCTAAGACTCTTGCCAGGTACCGCATCAGGCTTGTTAGTGCGCGCTGTTTGCTGTCTTCATCCGAGTCTTTTGTGTTTTGGAGCGTTGTGGAGATTATTGCCGGCATATAGTAGGGTAGGACGGCGGTTTCGTTGACCTTCCCATCGATATTGAGACCTCGGATGAGCTGATCTTTGCTCACGTTGTCCAGAGCATCAAATGCTTCGCAGAAGAGCTCGGCTTGTGGTTGATCGGTAGTGCGCCCCATCGCCAATAAGCGTAGGAGTGCCCGCTCTTTATGATCACTCACACTCAATCTGCGAAACCCTTTGCCCGAGAGCATATTACCACGCTTCGTGAGGATCTTGTCATAGCCTTCTCGAAGGTTAGCGTTGCCAGCTATAATCTCTAGCGAGACTTCGTGAACGGTTTTAAATGCTTGGAAGACTGGTTCGATCAAGGTTTTAGCCCCTGTGGAATCAAGATGGCCTGCTGCACCGGCAACGTCGAGAATCTGTTCCATGAATTTGAGATCAAATGCGTGCTCGTGACCTCTCATGTGGAGTAGACCCTCCAGAATGATGGGTACGCTCTCGGCTTGTGCAAGTTGGCCAGCGTTCAACTCGGATCCAAGCTCGAGCCCCAGCATAACCTCTTCTCTTTTGTCGGGAGCCAAATAGTTCAAAGACGGGATCATGTCTGCTTTTGCCGCTTCTAAAAGTAAGGCATCATGGTTCTGTTGGTATTGGTGAGTGCGGTGGTAGAGGTCCTCTTCGAGATTTGGATCCTTTCCCAAGTCATTAATAACCATGGATAGTATCAAGGCAAAAAGGTCGTCTAGACACTTTAGCCCGTCATCAAACAAGCCGCAAAGCCAAGCGAAAGAGTCTTTGGTCAGCCGACTTTCGCTGGGTTGACCACGGGTGAAATGATCATAATCTTCATTCTTGATCCATCTGAGGGCAAGAATGCCTACAAGAGTTCGATTGATCTCGTCAAAGTTGAATCCATAAAGAATTTGGGACGGACTCGGATTATCGAGGGTGCCATTCGAATAACGTTCCTCCTCAGTACCTTCAACGGCTTTCGCAGACTTGAGACGTTCGAGTTCTGGTTCGAATGCTTCTTTTATTTGGTGAAGAATCGTAGCTTCATCAGCGAGGAAAAATTCGCCGTTATTGACGGTGTCTTGAAGCGAGCACCGAGGCTGAAGTTTGGCCATCTGCAAGTCGATCAATTACCATAGCGCAAGTAACCCTTCTAGCACAACCCCATCCTTGGTACAAGGGCATGATCAAGAAGTCGCTCTTTGTGCAGTCGCAAAGAGTGACTCCCGTCAACTGCGAGTCAGGCCCTGCAGAATCACTGAAAGCTGAATCGTAATCAGAAAAAATGAAGTCCCATGTGTGGCTGTGCACTTTTGGCGTTTGACTCCCTTCTGCTGTGAAGATGATAGGCGGTGCCTGGAGAAGTGAATCTGGCTATTGAGCGGGGCAAGAAGGAACGTGGTACTTTGGTACGCGGAATGGGTTCGCTGGAGCAATCTTGAGGCTTGTACCAAACTCCTTGCCGAAGCAGGGCGTAGTATTGAACGATGAATATCAGGAGCGAAGTCTAGAAACATCTAGGAAGAAGCGACAGCATGCAGCATAGCCCCTTAGATGAGATTGGTTGATGGTCACGTGCTGCATGCAGTTCATGCATGACTCCAAAAGCTTGACCTCGTCGACCTTTCTTCTTTGACCCTGGGGCATCGATAGCATTGAGAGTGGCTAACACATCCTGCATATCTCATTGCGCCCACATGTATTCGATGAAGCCACCGGACTTCCCAAATACTGAGAACCTGCGTGGTACTCATGCTTTACCAAACACCAACCTCCTGTGCAAACAATGGGAACTAAATTGAAGGGAAACGAGTGGAAGACGCAAGAGATGGAATCAAACACAAGAGCTGTATCTCCTCTTCACGATAAAGCCAGAGGCAAGAATCAAATGTAATAATGTCAAACACTGTGGAAGCTTCACATCCCACATCTCGAAGGTGTTGGATGTGCATACCAACAATTCTTCCGACGCACATACAGTGAATGATATTGATTGCACAGTGGTTGTTGTGCCTACACCACGGATGAGAATACATCGTGGAGCAAAAGAAGTGCAGAGATATCAGGTGACTCCAGGTAAGTCAAGTATACAGCCACTGAAACTACCCCTACCAGATATCTTCCCTTGGAGATCAATCCTTGGTTCTCGTGTGTCCTGTGACAGTGAGCCTTTCACAGCACCGGAAATCTTCACATGCAGTGACAGTGACAGTCATTGTCACTGTGAGGACGGTACATATATACACCGCCTCATAGCCAGCAGATTGTTCAAAATCTTCCTCACATCGACTATTGTTTCTGTGCCTCGCAGACTCCTGTTGTGTGCTATTGTATTTGGTCCACTCTCTTTCCTGCTTGCTACTCAATCTATCTGTCCTGCGGTATCTCGCGAGGCTCTCACCCCCTTTGTTGCCGTTTGTTCTCGGCGTCGCGCGCATTCTACTACTCACGCTCCGCTTTTCTGCCGTCGACGACTAATCATGGCATCACCACCTGGCGCTCAGCCGCCGCGAAAGAACCCATACATGTCATTCGCAAACGATCCTAACGATCCTCGCGACCGCCGCCAAGGAAAGCGCAAACAGAAAAATCCGGCGCCTTCCACACCTGCTGTCGTTCTCCCAGGCACTTATGATCCAACTCCTCTGATGCCACAAGATCGTGGACTCGGATTTGATACCTACAAATCCAGAGAAGAGATAGCCCGGGAGAGTACTCAAACTCTGGCTACTCAGACAACTTCTGAACCAAAGCGCGGTCACCGCAACCCCTGGGGTACAGACAATCCTGAAGACTACGAAAGCGACAACATACCGAGTGAGATCGATTTCACCAGCGACTACGAGGACGACGACGACCCCTGGAAAATGGAGTCTGCAGGAGACAAGCGCAAGCGTGGTGATCCAACCAAGGACGCCGAGAAACCTGCTAAGAAACATTCTCTGTGCGTTTTACCCTTTTGTTTCATTTGCACTGCCTAACAAGAAATAGCGGACCTGCTTCAACTGCCGCCCAGTCAAAGCCAAAGTGGCCCCCCTATCCTGACACTGTCACAGGAGCCCGGCCAGCTGATCGAATGCTGTGGATCTGGAGACTAGAAGGCAAGAGCTATGAGGCGATCTCGAAGAAATACAAGGAACTCAGCGGTGAATATCGGGACGACAATGCCATGGTTACGCGTTTCAAGGGCATGATGGAGCATTTCTCGCGTAATGGCGCTCAGGACCACATCCAATTCATCAAGCACAAGCTGGCTGCGGACAAAGAAGTCGATGCAGAGTTGTGGAGGGCCGTCCGCCGTCGTTTCGAGGAAGATGGAGAGAAGAATGTCTCGGTGCGTGCTCTCAAGAAGCACTGGTCAAGCATTCCGCCTGTGGGCTGGGATGTTATGCCTCCGGTGGCCAAGGTGGAAATCAAAGAGAAGGCCGATCAAGGCGGATTGGCAGATATGGACGATGCATTCTTCGATGCCATCGCGAAGAAGACCCCTGCTCCTGGTGGAATGCTCGTGGGCTATGAGAGCGATTGAATGGTGCTTTGAGAATGAAGTGAACTTGGAGTAAGAGTGTATCTTGATAGCAATTGGCCATTGGAGGGTCACCAGCTCAGAAGCTGGTAATTAGCATTCGAACAGACCTCCTGTTTTTCCCCTTCTTTCCTGCTTCAAATTGGTAACCGGTGCTCGTTCGGTGCGCAACAGCAGGTCATATCCACGTTACGTACAGGAATTTCCTCGCCACCTCTGTCCCGAGCATCTTTAGCTGCGAAGACGGAGAGCCAAACTCAGATGTCGAATCCGAGACGAATGACTGTCTCCTGGCCTTTTTCGAGAGAGTCGAAACCCCTGCGAACGGCACTCTCAAACACCCGATTTGTAAGCTGCAGGAGATGAAGGACGCCTACATCCTGCAACATCTTGACTGGCAGAGTCCACAGCGTGACGGAGGGGACTGGGTAGCCACCTTGTTAGTCCAGCACTACACTGGGGCCCAACGTACTGCAGCTGCGTCCGCCGGCACAAAGGCAGAAGCACGCCGGCTCGCAGCCGAGCAGATCTACGAGGCGATCAAGCCTGGTAGGTCCTTTCGACGACTGGCAGATTCCTTGCGTGTATAAGGCCTGTTTTTTCCGTTTCTTAACTCATCCGAATGAAAGAGGCGGTTGCCACAATACGAATACGTTGGATCCCGATTTTCTCCTTGACGGACGCCTTTTGACGTTGCGGAGAATGATGGTCCACTGTCCAAGTAATCTCCACACGTTCTCCCTCTGCAACGCACCTTTCTAAAAACACCAACACCATTGATCATGTCCAGTGCCCGCGACCTACCCGGTGGCGTTGAGGTGATTAATTCGAGTCAGCACTCCATCAGACTGGTTGGTGGTGATGACGAGTCTGGCGTTGAGGATGTCGCTCCTCCGGAAAATGCTCAGCCAGCAATGCGACCAGTCTCGAGGGAAAGGCAGATGAGCATCCTGCTATGCGCATTCTTTGACGTCTTCGTCACTATTGGCATGAATCAAGCGTATGGAGTGTTTCTGAGCTACTATCTCGCAGACGGAAGCAGCGGCAAAGATCCCTTCCTGCCCAGAAGCGAGACCACGAGCAAAGCAATGCTGGCGTTTGTCGGTACGCTCGCCGCCGGCTTGACCTGGGGGGGAAGTATATTTGTCAATCCGATCATGGCAAGATGCAAAGACCCCAGATGGATTACTGGTGCAGGAGCGGTCTTCATTGGTGCAGGCTATGTTCTTGCTAGCTTCTGTCACAGGGCAAGTATGGTCCTGCAAGCTCGTGGCAGCTGGGCTGACATCCATCAGGTGTGGCAACTTCTTTTGACGCAAGGACTGATCTATGGCATCGGTACCTCCTTGGTCTACTTCCCGGTCATGGCCGTGGCTCCGGAATACTTCGATGCTCATCGTGGCTCAGCCATGGGCCTCATTCTTTCAGGCGCCGGCATCGGAGGCCTCGCTTATGCACCTGCTGCACGTGTTATGCTAGCAAGAGTAGGGGCTGCATGGACTCTTAGGACTCTGGGCCTTGTCAATTTCGCTATCTGCATTCCCATCGTGCTGGCAACACCATCATCTCGGAGTCTTGTCAAGCGTCCGACATTGGTGGACGTTAGGCTTGCTAAGCGACCCATCTTCATCCTCCAAGCAGTGGCTGCCATGGCACAAGCCGCTGGCAACTTGGTGCCTCTTACGTTCCTACCAGAGTTCAGCACCAGACTTGGATACACTGCAGCATTGTAGGTGCACGAGAGCATTTCTGTATCGAAGCTGACCATCTCTCTAGTGGTGCGGCTCTTCTTGCCATCAACAATGCTGTAAACACCATAAGCCGGATCGGCATGGGTTTGATCGCAGACGTCGCTGGAAGGCAAAATACTCTGGTGCTAAGCGTGTTGGGCAGCGCCATCACAGTGGTAGCTTTCTGGTTATCGAGTGCATATGGAGATGACTTGGGCCTCTGGATTGCATTTGTGGTTACCTATGGAATATTTGCCGGCGGGTACAACTCATTATTTCCGACAACGGTGATCGAAGTATTCGGACCTCAAGCGTACGCATCTGTCAATGGCTTCATCTACTTCATTCGAGGTTTGGGCGCACTTTGGGGCTCGCCTGTGGGAGGTGCCCTGGTGAAAGGAGGTACCCATCCCCAAGCATACATTACATTGATCTGGTACGACTTTGCGCTGTTGATGCTGACCAGTGTATGTGTGATCATGGTGCGTGGACTTGATGCCTTGGACAAAGGACAATTCAAGCTCAAGGCCTGAGATATTATATATGTGTAAAGCAATTCTCAACCCCCAGCCTCGTCAGGATCTTGCAAGGCTGCAACCTGCATAAACTATATAAACTGTCCCCGGAATGCAACCGAGGTCGAGAAGCCGACTCCGGTTTTCGGTCCTCCGCACCGATGGCACTTAAAGGTCGCACCACCTAATTCCTCATTCTGTTTCTTTACACAACCTAATCTTGCCACTCTTGCATGCGAGGAAGAATACTATGGTCCTGGTAGCCCAATCGCTCTAAAAGGAAGCATTCAAGCAGTACTCAATTGTCACTTCTGAACCCTCGCCATGAACAAAGTCCCCTCACGTCTCCATCGGTCCATACGGCCGTCCCTCCGAACCTTTAGCACCTCCAGACAACATGCGGCAGACCATGTAAGAATAGTAGAGGTTGGACCAAGAGATGGACTGCAAAATGAGAAGAGCACGATACCACTCGACACAAAATTAGAACTCATACGCCGCCTGGCGCAAACGGGAGTTACACATCTAGAGGCTGGGTCATTTGTGCCCGCGAAATGGGTACCCCAGGTTGGTAGCAACAAGCGTTCAAGGCGGACGAGATGCTAACAGTGGTAGATGGCATCAACAACCGAGATACTGGAGAAACTACTCACAAGTCCCCCTTTAGCGCCGCAGGGTATCGCATACAACTACCTCGTTCCTAATATCAAGGGTCTACAGACCATGGTCAAGACACTACAAGCGAAAGGCGCGCATGCGTCAGGATATCCTACACCACCTGCATCTCCCGCATCCGAGACGTCTCAGGCGTCCACATCATCAAACAACTCGTCCGAGATCTCACTATTCGCCGCAGCGACCGAGACATTCTCACAAAAGAACACAAACTGCAGCATTGCAGAGAGTCTGGAACGATGCAAGCCGATCATGGACCTTGCAAAGCAGAACGATATCCGCGTGCGAGGCTATGTATCGGTGGCCCTAGGCTGTCCCTACGAAGGACCAGACGTCGACCCACACAAGGTCGCTGAGATCACAGCGACGTTGCTGGAGATGGGTTGCGACGAAGTCTCCGTCGCCGACACAACAGGCATGGGCACCGCCCCACGCACACAAAAGCTGTTGCAAACATTAAAAGAAGCGGGTATTCTCGAAGAAGACCTCGCGCTACATTTCCACGATACATACGGCATGGCGCTGGTCAACACGGTGGTTGGGCTGGAGCATGGCGTCCGCATCTTCGACAGCTCGGTCGGCGGTCTAGGTGGATGTCCGTATAGTAAGGGAGCCACCGGGAATGTCGCGACCGAGGACTTGATACACCTGTTGCACAGTCTGGGTTGCGAGACAGGCCTGGATATGGTGAAGATGGCTGAGATTGGGGAATGGATTACGAAAGAATTGAACCGGCCGGATGATTCGAGGGCGGGAAAAGCTACGCTGGCAAGATTGAAGGGTTAGCAGTCCTTCACATTTCGATTCTGTGACGTACATCTGTCTCTTTTCGTCTCTTGTTCTTGACCCTCTTCGATTCATCATATGTCTCTTGTTTATTGAGATTGTATGGCCAAAGATTGCCAGGAATGTGGTAGTAGTATCATAGCTCACGTGGACTCAGACTTTTGAACCGGTTCAGCTGCTTTATCTGTATGTTGAATCGAGATATGAGTTTTTGACCTGATCCGGCACGCCTTGCCGATCCGTCGATAAGCAAGTACTCCTGACAAGGTCAACTCAGCTAGCTTTGTAATGTCATCATAGTCCGGCTTGTTACGACTCTGTTTGAAATCGAAAGAGAGAGGGCCCTCACTGAAGAGAAACGAGAGGGATGAGCGTGGTCAGCACACCTTCTTATACTTGACGGATGTGGAGTATCTGTGAGTCACTTCACAGTTTTTTTGTTACAGTTTCCGATCATGGATGGGATTATCTGGTACAAATGGAGAGCACACTCTGGTAGGCACTAAGGCGTCAAGATATGCGTGGTTGATATCCTATTCTCAGGGACATTCTGAGTCACAGACCTGGTTGACGCGCAGTCAGAAAGAAAAAGATACTTGATACCAAGGGGATGTTATATTGCTCCCGTGCACAGCATTGCACAGGACATTAGCCTTTCAGCTACACGATCCCACTGGTATACCATTCAGATATGCGAAACCACGATGATTTCCTTCATGAATGTATCAAAGCAAACATGTCCTCGACATCAAGCATATGCGTGAAGAAAATTCTGTGGAAAGCCTGCCGGAGGAGCCTTGCTCCATGGCTTGTTGCTTGCCGCAGACTCCGGATCGTAGCCAGGGGTGCTGAAGATCTTTTGGATTTGGCGACGCCGAACTCCAGCATTTGAACCCTCGAAGATCGGAAGACAAAGAGCATCGTCCATGAGTTTCCCATACGGTTGAGAGGTATCGTAAGAATTGACACCGACAGCTTGCATTGCTTCGAGAACGTGCTGGATGGCATTCTCAGATCCGAAGACTTTGGCCTGATAAGCCAGCTCCGTCTCACCGGTGGTTTCGAGATAGTGGCATGCCTTCCAGGTGAGGTATCGAGTGGTTTCCTCTCTCATCTTCATGCTGATAAGGTAGTCCGCGACGGTCTGGTAACTGATAGTCGGGACCGAGCCACCGCGTTTGTCCGTCGTGACGATTTTCAGAGTGTGCTCGAAGCAGTTGCGCATAAGGCCAGCTGCACCGGCACCAACAAGAGCGGCTGATTCGGTGAAGGCGGCCACGTTCAGCAGGGCACCATGTCCAGGAGGTGCGAGAATGTTCTTGGCTGGGACTCTGAAATCAGTGAATTGAGTGCACGGTCCGGAGCTGGCTGTAAAGCCATGTGTTTCAATATCGCTGGTGACCTTGAAGCGTCCCTCGTTCGCAGCAGAGTCGAATTCCTTGCGCGTGATGACGACGAATCCAAGTGTGTCTTTTGGAGCACCTTTGTCGCTGAAGCGACAGAGGAGAGAGAGAACTTCTGGACCCTTGAATTCCCATCCTCCGCTGCTTGAAGCCCACTTTTTACCCCCGTTGATGATGACCTCGTCTCCTCTCACTTCGGCAAAGGTCTGCACACCCAGACCGCCTTCGTTCTGGAGATAATTGGCACTTCCAGTTGGCTCTGAAAAGCCCAAAGCAGCCAAGGGCGTACCCTCGAGCATGAGGAAAGGCTCAAGGAATTCTTTCTTCTGAGCCTCGGTTCCGTACATGAAGATCGGGGCAAGACCGAGACCAGTCACGAGCCATGTGATGGGCAGACTAGAGTCATATGCAAAGAACTCTTCTGCAATGATGGCAATGTCGATAAGGCTGTTCCGGGTCCCGCCCTCGGACTCAGGGATCTGAATCTTGATCCAACCATCCTAAATGAGTTTGCCGTAGGCCTCGCGTGTTGCCTGATAACGTTCGAGTTGAGTTCCGAGTTTGAGATACGCTTCGCGGCAAGGGGCCAAAATAAGACCATCGCATTCCCATACGCTGTGAGAGGAGCACATTTACAATGGATCTTATCTCATGTCCGATGCGAGTTGTATGAACCTGGTTGACGCGTCACATGGTAAAGCGAACAGCAAAGAGATAACATTGCTACTTGGCCGAACGTCGAGTCACCAGGTACGCAGAAAGCGCCGTTGTATCATTCCGGCGTGTAAGGAACATGACATCTTCCTTCACGAATGCATTGAAGCAACAATCTCCTCGACGCCAGCAAACCTGAGTTCCTGCATCGTCTCATTCCAGATCGCTGCCGTCAAGGCCTCTCCGTCGGTATGGTACCACTTTGAGAGCCTAAGCAAACATCAGTATTCCGCTCAGGGGGTGAAAGGGGGCTAATGTTGATTGAGGGGTTTGGACTCACCCCACGATCTCTTCATTCATAAGAAAACACCCATGAGTTTCCATGCCATGGCCCAGCACAGCATCAATATACGTCGCCGCAGCCCTGTCGAGGCGTCTGCCGACAATGGCCATACCTAGCTTCAGTATTGGGGCAACAAACCCTGGGACCTCCCGCGCCAGCTCAGTGCCCTTGGTCAAGCCCGGATCGACCATGTTGATGATGACGTTGTTGGGGTCCACCAGATCTGCAAGCTTGACAATGAACAACTGACACAGCAGCTTCGACGCACCGTATCGTTCGTTCGCATCGAAATTGGACGGATCGTCGAACGAGGCCAGCAAGGGCCGTGAGTCTTTGTTCGGCAACTTGCACAAATGTGCGGTGGCCGAGTTGACTACCGTCAGGACCGGAGGACGTGCGGCGCTGTTTGATTTGCTCTTCTTCGTGAGCACAGGGAGCAGGAGAATGGTCAGAAGTGACGTGCTGATGTGGTTGACCTGTACAGTCATCTCATGGCCCGTAGCAGGGACGGCATTGAATTTCATTGCTCCCATGCCCGCGTTCAGAATGACCATATCGATGCGTGGGAGGTCGTCGTTGCACTTGCGAACGAAAGCTTGGATTGAGTCGTAGGACTCCATGTCTAGAGCCCAGACATCGATTTTGGCCGAGGGGTTCGCGGCACGAATCTTACTGGCTGCTGCGTTGCCCTTGGCTAGAGATCGCACGCCCATGACTAGGTGCGAGAGTCCCAGAGACAGGAGTTGTCGCGATGCCTCGTAGCCTAGGCCAGTGTTTGATCCAGTGATTATGGCGCATTGGCCTTTGACGCTGGGGTACTTGTCCTTGGTGGGCAGTGGGATCGTGGTGCGGAACTGGTTTTTGATGAAGACTGGAAAGAAGTTCTCGGGGAGCGAGGGCATGTCCTTCGATGCGACTTGTGTGCTGCCATTTTGGCCCTTGTGGTTATGAGAAGGCATTTTGCGCGTTGATGTGAGGTGCGAGGTCTCCGTGCAAGGGGAATGCCACGATTGAAGGGAGGCCCATACTTTATATCTGCAATCACTCACCTTTAATAGACAATCTGGCAACGATCTGTCCCATCCGCGACATTATCCCGACTCCGTTGACAACAAGCGTCAGAAACCAGTAATCCCGGTGAGGAAGTCTTACACCTCTTGGCATTCCACTATCCTCGTCGAATGACCTTTCATCTTTAGTGGCGAAAGTCGCGCGGTTTTTGACAGAGGGTTCACAGCAGGACACGGGAATTATGAAGAGCATCAAGGGTGTTGTCGTCCGGATACGCCCCGACATCAGGAGTTAGAGTTGTGCTAATCCGGAACAGGAAATCTTACATGTCTTGGCACAACATTGCAGGCTACGTCGGTGCTTCAACGTCTCGTCGTCTGCAACAAGATTGCTGGTGAGCTCAATATGGATTGCGCGGCTTTTCGGCTATCGAGTTGGCTTCCTCAGACTCCTTGCTGTGCATCGCACAACAGTTTCGTGTTTGGTTGAAGCCACTGGATCAAGTCTAGACGATCGCGCGCGATAATGGGCAAGACGCAATGTGAGTCAACCGACCATCTTGGTCAGAGATAGCATGGAGAGGGGCACAACTGACAATTCATGCCATGGCTTCCAGATGCTGCAGGATTCCGCTTTGTTGTCCGGACCTCTGACCAATGTTCGGGTACGGAAGACCGAAGGGTCGTCATGAGCCATGCCTCAACGACACGATGGAAACGTCGGAAGGATGCTACCCAGCTCCATTCATGGATCGACCCCCGGCGGCGTCTCGATGCTGAAGAGCAGATGCCAAAGTCCAAAGACTATCCAACTGTCTCGATTCCAGGCCTGGTTGGTGGGAGCTTCTCCGCCACGCAACTACCCCCGGGCATTGAACCTTCCGTGATTGAAGATTTGGTTCAGCGTAAGCCTATCTGGTCCTTACGGTATTGTCCACACTTCTGATCCACAGTTGCAGTTATCAATTTCAACCAGATTGGAATGTACCCCTACGAGATCTGCCTCCAAGTGCATCCCGTGCAAAGGGGCTGGTTTCCTTACATGATTGGCGACATCTGCTGTATCCACTCCATGATGTTCTCGGTCCGGGCCTTTGTCGACGGATCTCCTGATGACGGTCAATGTAGCCGACTGGCTGCATTCCACTTTCACCAATGTTTGCGGATTCTCCAGGCTCGCATCAATGCTTTCGAGCGAGGTCAGAAGGAAACTGTCTTCCGAGACTCAACCATCATGGTCATCATTACTCTTGCTCAAACTGCAGAGCTCACAGGAGACTTCAAGGCCGCTCAGAACCACGTCGATGGTCTCCTCAAGATCGTGAACTTGAAAGGCGGCCTGAAAGCTATGAACACGCATAACAATCTCCAAGTGAAGATCTGCAGGTAGGCTGTTCACTGGCTACATCAAGGTTGTACAGAGTCGGTCGTTTCTGACAAGAATGATAGGGCTGATCTAGGTTTGGCACTACACCTGGGCACCCCTCCGCGTCTCTTCCAGGAAAACATTGAATGGAATTGCTTCATCGCCGGACGTGGTCTGATCCGCTGTGCCCACCAACACCATGCTGATCTGACAAGTGCGTTTGTTGACAAGCTTGACTCAAAACTCCAAAATTGCTGGAACGATATCCATGCCTTTTCTTGCCTGAGCAATTTGGCCTACCAAACAACTCGTAAGCTCTCGCCCGAGACCTACAACGAAATGGTGGTGTCCATCCTCTACCGGCTCACACAGCTGTCTTTCACGGACGATCCTCTGCAGGAAATCATTCGAGTGGCTCTGTTGGTTTACTGCACGACAATCTTCCTGACACGCTCGTTCCGGCAACAACCTTGCGATCATCTTTCCGAGCTCTTCAAGACTGCCCTGTTCAACCTATGCCATGCCTCTACCATCATTGTGCCGCCAGCAGTCATGCTCTGGCTCTTGCTGTTGTACCATGTGACAGTCTACAAAGGGCCATCCGTCGATCTTTGGGGCGACGAATGGCTCGACCGAGCTGTTTCGATTGCTGGAGTAGATACCTGGATACAAGCACATCCAGTATTGAGGTCTGTCATGTGGGTTGATTTTGTGCATAATTCTGCCGGACAGAAAGCCTTCATGGCAGCCATAGAGCGTCTGAAAGTCGTTGGACCGACACAACCCTGAAGGTCCATACAGTACTTCTTATCACAAATCTGCAGACATGGCGCTTTCTCCCAGCTCGTCATGTTGGACATATGGCAGGGGCTGTAACAATGGTAGCAAGTCGGCGACAGCACTCTCATCGTCTCAACCCGCCCTGCACAATCCTTTCGAATGGGCTATCATTACCCGGCTCAATCCACGCCAGCCTTCCATCCATGTCCGCCGCGCGCCCAACAACTCCAGTCTTCACACCGACCTTCCACAATTGCGGATCCACCATATCGAACGCCGTCATATGCACAAAGACATGCGGACTCTTATCTTCATCGTACCCGCACCACAGAAGGTCTACACCAGGGATGTTCGGATGGCGGATCACGCTAGACACCTTCTTGCAAGTGCGACCCATACACAAGGGAGTTCCCTGCGTCGAATCGTGCTCGTGATCGTGATGGAGGTCAGTTTTTGTAAATCCTTGCCTTGCGAGGAGCGGCCAATTGAGTTCCGAGTACCTTGATACTGGAGCATAGCGCGTCGGTGTGAGTGTCATGACAGAGACATCGAAGCCAAAACGGCGTGCGGGCCCAGGAAGAATAGGAAGGACAACGGTGCCGCTGTTGATTTCTCCAACGGTGTAGGGTGGTCGGAAGAGGTGTATGTCTGCGCATTTGTGCATGGTGCTGGTGCGGTCGAAGCTGAGAACCCAGGTGGCGGAGGTCAGTGGTTCATCTGATGGGCGAGACGGTGGTGAGGAAATGGGACGAGGGATGGATGTTTGAGGCTGGCGGCCAGCTAGCCATTGAAGAGCCGCGGGTGCGCGGAATCGTGGAGGACTGTGTGGGCGTCGGCTTGACGACAGACCTCCTTGCGGAACCGGGAGGAGGACTTCTTCATATCTGAGACCGGATGGAAGAGGAGGTCGCGACTGTGGCTCGTTTCGTCTTCTCCGGTCGTGTGGTGGCATGTTTCGGAAGGGTGACTTTCGAGCTTTGCTCACCGGTCTGAGTGTCAAATGTCTGAGGTTGAGCTTTTCAGATATGTGCTCCGATTAGGAGGATTGCTTTCAAAGTCTTCGGGGAGCAAACGCCTTGGAGGCAGTCATCGCGATACTTCCTGTTCTTCACTCAGCGTGACACGCTCAATCATAAAATGGCAACACATTGCCTGGCAATATAAGCACAGCCACTAAGATCATTCACAGCTCGTCGGCTTTCATTAACAACTCCCTCCCCAACCTTTTCAAAGAGGCTTTGGCAACATCCTTCGGAATGCTGTCCAGAATGAGGGTATCACCAGAGTCCGTGGAGACGGGCGTATCGGTCTTGTGTCCGATGAGTTTACGAGAGGGACGTATGAAGCTCTTGACAAGTTTATCAAGCGTACGTCTCCCGTCTTCATAGGCTGCGAGACCAATTTCGCCATCTTCGAGTCGTGCAGTGTACTGAGACCGATCCAGGTTGGGAAATGAGATGCTGACTGCAACATCGAGATGATGGACCTGACGTGGCTCAACCATGCTGGCCGCGGGAACATGAAGGCTTACGGCTTTATAACCGTATTCTGAGGAGCTGGAGACCGATGACACTGACGTGGAACTGTCTGCTGAAGTGTATCCGTTCTGACTAGTAGCATGTTCGCCGCCATTGTTGGTCTGTCGTGCCATGCCATTACTTCTGGCCTTAGGAAACAGCGGTACATGCGCATAGGACCAGAATGGAGGAATGAGGATGGCGTCTCCAGGCTGTAACACTGCTAGATGAGGATCTGTTTGCATAGGAGCGTGTAGCGAATACCGCAGACCACGTCCAGTATTGCTGAAAACGCGTTGCTCGCTTGTGGTTGACCCGGGTGGGTAAGCAAGTTCTGTAATGTCGGTTGGTGGGAAGAGAACCAACTTTCTGGCTCCGCGGATCTGGAAGACAACGGTGCTCGTTACGCTATATCTGGGTGAGGTCATTATGCCGTTGTTCACATGAAAATGTAAAGACTGAATGTGACCTTCCACCGGCTTCATTTGAGCAGGTATGCGGAAATCGGGAGCGATTGTTGGCACTTCCTCGAGGTTGAGGGCCTTCTGAGCTAGCATGTCCGTGGTAGGAGTGTTAGGGTAGAAGTTCGACGACAGAATGATGGTTCGCTTGAGCAAGGTATGGACAGCGGCATGCGTCGTAGTTGCGGCGCCAATCTGCGTGCTTTGACCTCGAGAGGAATTTGGAGGAGCGGTCTTCTCCCTAAGATACTGCAATGTCCACAGTTGTGTACACGAACCAAAGTGCAGTCCAGCCATAACAAGCGGTCTGCACCGTCGGACACCATACAAGAACTCGTTCGCATGCCTCAAGAGGACTCTTCTGATCAGATAGCCCTCGGGCTGAGGATCGGCACCATTGATACTTGGTTCAGAGCCAGTTCCAGGAGCCGCTGATGGCCGACTGGGAACAACAATCCAGTCCGCAGAGATGCCTGCCTCTTTATCATGCAAAACCCATATACCTTTGTTGAAATATTTGCCGAAATGGAAGCAGGTTGCGCCGCCGCTTATGATGACAAACATGCCTGTTTGTGTCCTTTGAGTTGAATGTCCGATCAGGAAGGGTCGAGGACAGTCGGGCGATCTGACAGGCTCTACCGACGACACTCGCAGATTAGGATCCCTCGGTTCGTCGTGTAAGGTGGCGAAACTACCAGTCAATGACAGAATTTCGTACGGCTTGGGAATGCAGCCGCCTTTGGCAATGCCGCCAATAACGAGTAAAGTATCCTGAACGAAGCCGTATGAAGCCCCAAACCTGGCAAACCAGGGATAAGCTCCGATGCTCGCATCAAAAGCATGAGAGGGACGAAACGAGATTCCCATGACGACATTGTCACGGATGACCAGCTTCCAGCGCCAGAAATCCTGGCAGACGACACCGTCTTGTCGCATCCCACCGAAGAGTAATCCATGGTTGAAGCCAAGTCGAATGAAATTTGGGCCGAATCTTGGAACCGGGTGATTTCGCAGACTGGGAAGAACACGCCAGCCATTACCTGGTTCCCAAAGCAGTATGTCAGTGGCAACGTTGCTGGGACCCGTCTTGCCGCCTAAGCACACAGCTCCGAAAACATTATCTGGTAAGGTGACTGAGACGATCCGACATCGGTAACGCGGTTCGGGTAAATCATGGATTCGATGCCACGTATCGCCTTTTTGTAACCAGCAATCCCTCAGTGGGGAGCTAGGAGATGCGCGACCGCCGACGAGCATGATGTCTCCATTACTCATAGGTGTGCACACATGACAGCAGCGCGCAGCAACTTCAGGTGGTAGAACAGTGGGCGTTTCCTCCGTCAAGTAGCGTGGTCGGCATACCGCACTTGTTGCTCGACAAGATTCTGGTCCTTGTCCTCCATAGATGGCTATGGCGTGGGACCCAGGAATAGGGTAAGCTGAACCATGGTGTCGCTCGCATAGATTCCCGGGCGCTCGATAGTAGCGGAATGCGGTCAACTGAGTATCAGGATTGTTTGGAGACGAAGTCCTTGCTGATATATTAGACTCGTCGCTGGCGTCAGAATTCCTGCGAGAGGAATTTAACTCTGGTAGAACGTGATCCTCCCGGTTATGAGCCACAACAAGAGCGTAGTGGCTGGCGAAGAGCGCAAATTCCTCCCAGTCATCGAAAGGTTCTATGTGATCTAGAGCCATGCGCTGAGATAATGAAAGAAAGCGTGGATCTGCCCATAGCTCCCAGAGATTCTGGTACTCAATGTTTGTAAAACCTGCTTCGACCAAGCGTTGAGTGTGAGTATGACGACCACAGTACTTGAAATTGGATCGCAATGGAGTTCCCTGCTTAGTATAGTAACTTGTCATCTTCGCTGTGAAGGGATTATCTGGCTGATCAGGACTGCATGGTTCAAGGTCGCAGAGTGTGACATCTGCGGAAGTCAGTTTGCTTCTACAAGGACGGGTCAACTATACTCACCAGCAGACAAGGTTGAGGTCCAAGCTACAAGAGCATCGGCTGCTTCAGTCCGCATGTAAGACGTGGTGTCTTCGGCGATGCAAAGGACGATGCTGTCTTCTAGGCTGACAACGGAAGCAAGTAGGCTTCGTAACTTAGGTAAATTCCGTAGGTCGCAGCCGATTGCAGAATATTCCTGGCTATCGAGGAGGATGGCAGGGTCCGCAGGATATGGGTTCGCCACATGACTATGCAGCAGATCTCTCATCTCGGTATGATTTGCGATGATCCCACGTTTTGTCTCCAGCAAGGGCTCGTAGTCAACGTCAACAAATTTGGTGTTGGAGCACAGAGGTTTCTCTCGAGCAAGCCATTGAAACGGCAGAGGGTCGCTATCATCGTAAACATGCTGTGATCCGACATGAATGGGGCGTTGACATACTATCCACAGCCCAAGTTGACAATGACCTTCTTCTGACCGGTCGGCTTTTCCAGAAATTGACGAACAACCCACTCGACGGCTTTCATCCGGAGCCAGTATCCCCTATTGATAGCTGGTGAGGTCTTTATGGGATTCTTTGCTAAAAATCTGTAGAAATGTGGTTCTGGCAAGTATAGTCGCTCTGTGCTGGCTTTGAATGCAATGGTTGCATTGTTTGTCTTGAGCACCTGGGTTAGAATTGGGTTGGTCTTGCGAAATCTAGGACAGACATACAGCCATCAAGAGCCCGGCATTTCTTTCCAATTTCGTGGCATCTTCCTCGCCGCTATCGTCATGATTCTCTGAGGAATGCATTCTGGTGGTTGCTTGCATGGACGCAATGTGTTCTGCAACGCCACTCAACGGAGCCAATCATCATCTCCACAGGTTGCCAGTATCAACCAACTGACACTCATCGATAGCTAGGGAGCCTCCTGAATACCACTGAAGGCCGGTCTCTTGTGGTGACGGAATGAGCAATGCAAGAAAAAGGAAGGCAGGGTTGACTCATCCAAACGGCATGTGTGGTTTATGAAATGACGGCTTGCTCCGCCGGGATTTAAAGTACGGTGAAGCTTATGAATAGTTTCAGACTCAACGAGGTCAATCGCCCTCCTCATCACAACCCACCCAGGTCGAGTTCAACATGGGACCATGACCACTCTATCGAGAACTTAGAAGGCTCAGTTCAATGAGCCAAACTTCCGTGTGGACGGAGAACCTGTGACTAAACGAGCCGGGTGGACTCTACAAGGTGACGTGTGGCGTCAATGTCGCCTTGATATTGAGCATGAGTGAGATTGAGTCATCTCCAGTTCTCTTTGAGTCCGGTAGACAGACATGATGGCAAACATGAATCGAGCTTCGGATACAAGCAATCTCTAGCTTGTCAATTCGCCACCATCTGCCGGCGAGCAAATCCGCGCACAAGATCTTTCGCTGACATTTGGTCTGGCCACCAGGAGAACGGGAAAGAATATGATATATTTCGCCGCAATTTGGCTGATCTAGCGTTGGTAGGCTCACAAGCTGACTTTCTAGAGTCATAGAGGTACGAACGTCAACTCACCCAAAACCAGACGGGGGCAACCATAGTCATAGCTTCGAGCCAATTCTTGCCAGTTGACCGGCACTGTGAGGGCAAACTGGCGGTGTTAAGCAGTCTTTAAGTACGGTGACACCAGCCAATCAGGTCGGGGTGCTAAAGGCTATCCAAGGGCTAAACGTGGGGCTGGTTGCCAAGGTGCTTTTTAATAAGGAACTGCACTGCACTCTCGGAACTTTAGAAATCGAAATTTCACCCCTCGCCGTCCGCCATTCCAAGCAGAGCGTCGAACTGCTTCGACTCTGCATTCCCATCCCAAAGCTCAACGAGAGCGCCCTAAACTGCCGCACGGCATACAACATCGACAGATAGTCGATAGTCCGACAATATGGTCAAGTGAGAATTCTCCCAGCGTCTGTACCTTGATGCCAAATGATGCTAACAATGTCTGCAGCTTCACCGTCGACGAGATCGCAAGTCTCCCTTTCTTCATTGTCGTCGATGCACACTAACAACAGAAACAGCGGGAGTTGATGAACCGACCTGCGAACATTCGTAACATGTCGGTTATCGCCCACGGTAAGCCAGCCAGACCCCGCCTCAAAACCAGCGCATACTGACCTCGTTTGCAGTCGATCACGGAAAATCCACCTTGACCGACTCCCTCGTTCAGCGAGCCGGTATTATCTCCGCAGCGAAGGCCGGCGAAGCGTACGTTATACATCAAAAGAAACCGGGAGACTATAATAACATGTATGCAGTCGATTTACGGACACCCGAAAAGACGAGCAAGAGCGAGGTATCACCATCAAGTCAACCGCCATCTCGCTATATGCGCATCTCCCCGATGAGGAGGATCTCAAGGATATCCCCCAGGTATGCAACGAAGCACATTTTTGATTTCCCACAGTCTAATTTTGTGTTAGAAAGTCAATGGTAACGAGTTCTTGATCAACTTGATCGACTCGCCCGGTCACGTCGATTTCTCATCTGAAGTCACTGCCGCTCTTCGTGTCACCGATGGTGCCCTCGTCGTGGTCGACACCATCGAAGGTGTCTGTGTGCAGACCGAAACTGTCCTCCGACAGGCTCTCGGTGAGCGTATCAAGCCCGTCGTCATCATCAACAAGGTCGATCGTGCCCTGCTCGAACTTCAAGTTTCCAAGGAAGATCTATACCAGTCTTTCTCCCGAACAATCGAGTCCGTCAACGTCATCATCTCAACCTACTTCGACAAGGCCCTGGGTGATGTCCAAGTCTTCCCCGACAAGGGTAACGTGGCTTTCGGTTCCGGTCTGCACGGCTGGGCTTTTACCATCCGTCAATTCGCCGTCCGATACGCCAAGAAGTTCGGTGTCGACAAGTCCAAGATGATGGAGCGTCTTTGGGGCGACAGCTTCTTCAACCCCAAGACCAAGAAGTGGACTAAGGTTGGCACGCACGAGGGCCAGACCCTAGAGCGTGCTTTCAACCAGTTCATCCTTGACCCCATCTTCAAGATCTTCGACGCTTTCATGAAGGGCAAGGTCGATGACCTTGTCACCTTGTGCGGCAAGCTCGACATCAAGATCACCTCAGAAGAGAAGGAGCTTCCTGGAAAGGGTCTCCTCAAGGCCGCCATGCGAAAGTTCTTGCCCGCTGCCGACGCTCTGTTGGAGATGATGATTATCCACTTGCCATCTCCAGTCACAGCTCAGAAATACCGTGCCGAGACTCTCTACGAGGGTCCTTCGGACGATGCCGCCTGCATCGCCATCCGCGACTGCGACCCCAAGGGTGACCTCATGCTTTACGTCTCCAAGATGGTGCCGACTTCCGACAAGGGCCGATTCTACGCTTTTGGTCGTGTCTTCGCTGGTACCGTCCGCTCTGGCCTGAAGGTCCGCATTCAGGGTCCCAACTACGTCCCTGGCAAGAAGGAAGATCTCTTCGTCAAGGCGATCCAGCGAACTGTCCTCATGATGGGTCGTACCGTCGAGCCTATTGATGATATGCCAGCTGGTAACATTGTCGGTCTGGTCGGTATCGATCAGTTCTTGCTCAAGTCCGGTACTCTCACCACCTCTGAGACCGCCCACAACATGAAGGTCATGAAGTTCTCCGTCTCTCCTGTCGTGCGACGATCCGTCGAAGTCAAGAATGCCAACGACTTGCCCAAACTTGTCGAAGGTCTCAAGCGATTGTCCAAGTCCGACCCTTGCGTCTTGACCATGATCACCGAGTCCGGCGAGCACGTTGTTGCTGGTGCTGGTGAACTTCACTTGGAAATCTGCTTGAAGGATTTGGAAGAGGACCACGCTGGTGTGCCCCTTAAGATCAGCGACCCAGTCGTCTCATACCGTGAGACCGTTGGTGGCGACTCCAGCATGACTGCCCTGTCCAAATCTCCCAACAAGCACAACCGGCTGTATGTCATTGCATCGCCTCTCGGTGAGGAAGTTTCCAAGGACATCGAGGGCGGCAAGATCAACCCCCGTGACGACTTCAAGGCCCGTGCCCGTGTCCTTGCTGACGACCACGGCTGGGATGTTACCGATGCACGAAAGATTTGGGGTTTCGGTCCCGACACCACTGGTCCCAACTTGTTGGTTGACCAGACCAAGGCCGTCCAGTACCTCAACGAAATCAAGGATTCTTTCGTTTCTGGTTTCCAATGGGCTACCCGTGAAGGTCCTCTCGCCGAAGAGCCTCTGCGAGGAGTCCGATTCAACATCATGGATGTCACTCTTCACGCCGATGCTATCCATCGTGGTGGCGGTCAGATCATTCCCACTGCCAGACGTGTGCTGTACGCTTCCACACTTTTGGCTGACCCCGGCCTCCAAGAGCCTGTCTTCTTGGTCGAAATCCAGGTTCCAGAACAAGCCATGGGTGGTATCTATGGTGTCTTGACCCGCAGAAGAGGTCACGTCTTCTACGAGGAGCAACGTGTGGGTACACCACTGTTCACTGTCAAGGCCTACCTTCCTGTCATGGAGTCTTTCGGTTTCAACGCCGATCTCCGTGCCGCCACTGGTGGTCAAGCCTTCCCCCAGATGGTGTTCGACCACTGGCAGATTCTGCCCGGTGGTTCGCCACTTGACGCCGCCAGCATGCCCGGCAAGATCACCGTGGATATGCGTACGAGAAAGGGTCTCAAACCCCAAGTTCCCGGCTATGACAACTACTATGGTATGTTTCTCCTTGCATCTATGTTTAACTGCACTCATACTAACCCATTTCACAGACAAGTTGTAGAGCACTCAGCTTGCAAGCACAGATCAAAAAGGCCATGTCATTACGAATCGCATACCCCCAGAATCATGGTCTTGACGCATTGACGGTAACAAAAGCACTGGTTCGACGCAATGACATACATGCTTGAAGCAGAATACGGACTCTAGGTGGTTGTCAAGCTCGAAGATGGAGGGAGAAAAGACAAAAGGACATTGAGGGGTGGATGACGGTCTTGGGTCACTGTTGAAGACCAACTATCGACACAACTGCATTTTCCTGTCTTGTTAGATTGTTGTTGCCTCCGTTGGTGTGCATACAGGCTCGAGAAACGTAGATGACAATTTGATGCATTCATGAGACAAATTCTTCTCATTCAGATCACGATACTTATACCCACAAAATCCCAACGTCATGACCAAATGCTGTTGTACGCTCTTGTCTGCCCATCTCTCCTTAGCAGTCTAGGGTTAGGACACCAGTGAGGTATCAATTTCGAACAGGACTTTCATATGTGAGGTTGACAGTTCCTGTCCATACTCTATCAACGTTTACCTAATCACTTCATGGCTCTTGATATCATCCCCAAAGAAGATTGTGTCTCTGACATGCAACGAGGTCGAGTCCAGCTCATAAGCCCCTCCAAGACCATTTTTGAAAGGAGGGTAATTTTCTCAGCCATTCTCTATCCTTAGCATGAGCAATCATTTCCTCCACCTTTTTGGGGGGTATCATTCCGTCCTTCCAACCTCCACCTTTTTTGACATCCCGGACGCCTTGCTGCACGAAGTCCACCAGAACCCCTACGAAACTCCGTCTCATCTTGAGAAACAACTCGAGTACCTTACTTGCGGAACCCATTGCGCCATCTGGGAAGTCTGGTTCGACAAGCTTCCATCGCCGCCCGCAACTGAGAAGTAGAAGCCGATTTGACAGCTGGTTGCATATGTCCGTGTCTGACGAATTTAGGCCAGGTGTTTGTCAGAACCAGCTCTTTTATACTCTGTTCAGCATTGTCAAAAGCCTTCTCGTCGAATGTATCTGGTATTCCAATACTGGCAGGTAATCTCTCTCCGAAGTTGGTCATCTTGAGCTCTTGAATTTGACGTGTCTGGACCGCCTCGGGGTTTGACTCGTACTTTTCGCCATCGCCAACGGCAGTGGATACGACTGAAAACTGATCTCTTCCCGGTTGACTTTCCAAATCCTCTGAGACAGTCGAAGACCAGTAGTCTTCGAAAGGCGTGGCAGAATTGCAAGCGGCTTCGGCACAGACCAAGGCTGCATATTGTTCAAACGTCGCCTCCAGTTGTCGAAGCTGGCCAGACGAGATGTTGATTGGGAAGTCCGAGTATTTCAAACTCACGAACGAAGCATAGATACCGACAGCTTGTTGAAACTGTTGTCGAGTCATTGCTTGATCATAAGTCTTGACTGGGGTTTCTTTGTGAAGCATGCTTGTCTTGGGACGTCCAGAGTTCCACTTGGCCTTCCATTCTCTTACATGGATCAAGAAACTGATGTTTTCGCCAGAAAAGTCTCTCAGAGCCGAGAATGTGAGAAGACGAGTTGGATCAATCTTTAGTGCCGTCTCGAGTGCGCCCATGGTATACATGTCTCCAGGACGAATACTCGGATCCTTCATACTCTTTTGGAAGTGAGGACGCCAAAATCTGGATCTAGCCGCGATTTTGGTGGAACCTGATGTGAAAGAACCGCTTGATTTGTGCTTTTCTTCCCACTCCGCGATGATTTCTCGTGTCTCGGTTTGCAATTTTCGATTCATGAAGATTTGGAAGAACGGGACAAACACGACCGAGCCTTGCATGATGACAATGGAAGGAGAGAACCTGGGTTGGGTCAGCATCATGCAGCACAACGTCAATCGGCAATTCGTACCATAGAGGAGGGACGACGTAGTTGTCTACTGGCTTCATTCCCTTGGCATAGAGTGCGACAAGCCACATTGGAGAGGCCGGCAACCTGTTATTGTCAATGAATTGTTATTGTAGCAACATAATAGGAACACACCCAGCAAGGATACAGGCAATTGTCTGTTTGCGCCATCCATGGACATCATGAATGTTCCGGACACGCCAGAGAAGGACTGGAGCGTAAATCCAAGACCAGAATATCTGCCATGCAATCGACGGCATCCTGTTCGTTTGTCAGCAGATGGGTCTTAGCATAACATCTTCAATATAGGTTTGGCTCACCATGCCCAGCCTCTTCGACAATCTCCTCTAGTTGTGGCATGGCCAGTCACACCGAATCCAGGATGGAATTGTCGCGAGACAAGGAAGACAATCAAGGCCAAAACAAGCTATGTTTGTCAGTGTGGTTCAGAGTTTCTTTCACTTGGCACTCACCTGGACGATCATGGCGATACCAATCCATGCCATTGTGTTCTTGGTAGCATTGTATGTCTTGAGCTTCGCCCACCACGTGCGCCATCCTCTTATCTTGGGGCTTGGAATTCTTGTCTCAACGAGAATATCGCCTTGTGCGTATCTCTTTTGCGCCGTGGCAATCGAGAACAGTTGGGAGTTTGTAGCCTGAAACAAGGCGATACCCACAGGTAGGTAGATGCTCATGATCCAATACTCGGTAGCACACGGGAAAAATCCGTTCAGCACATATGCAATCATGCACAGAACCCAGTAGACATGTAAGACCGCAACAGCGCTGATAGTCAAGGGAATATTCCGCATGCGCAGGAAAGGCAGGTGTCGATTGCGCAGGAGGAATATTGCAGCCGGCAGCAATAGACACGTCCACGCTATGACAAGGGCGATGTAAGTGAAGCCGAGGCCGTCGGTGTTGTATCTTAGAGACATGTCGTAGACGTTTGCGAATGTGGTGTGAAGTCCGGTCGTACCTCCATTGAGTCCATTATTAACAGTTCGAGGCTGTGCCCCTGTACATGGAGTTGATGAAGCCATCCGTACCAGCGGGTAGTGAAGTAGAGGGTGATATTTGGAATGACGGCAAGTTGGCAGGTTGTCTCAGGAGTTGAGAAACTGACAGAAGGGACGAGTCGCGGGAGGAAATGAGAGTAAGTAAGACGAAGGCGTGCTGATGTTGATGCGGGTTCACGAGCTGTGTCGCTCAAGCCGCAGGTTGAGGTGCCGATGATGCTGCGGTCGAGGTAAAGAGGTTGCACGAAGACGGGAAGCAGGAAGGAAAGTGGGCAAACTTGAGGCCAAAGCACGGAGATGATGCCGGGAAAGAAGGAGGGTTTGTTGATCGAGAAACACAGGAGAGTTGTCAAGCCATCGTGGAGGAGGGTGTTTGAGTCTCTCTTTTCCTTGGAGTTGTGAGCTATCTCAGCATGGATGGTATCTGACCATACTCTTGGGGTGCGGCACAAAAATGGTTTGATGTGCTGTTTCAGTAACAACGCACTTACCTTGATGTTTTAATGCCTCGCACCTTTTCATCAGACTGTCACCAACTCGTACAAGGGTTTCATATATCATCCTCATGTCATTCCCGTTGATCAAGTGTACGGTCATTTCCGGTAGATCATCTGCAGGTCCAATGTGTCGGGAAGACGAGACGTTGAGGTTCTTGACGAACCTTGCTGGATCCGATTCCAGCCTCACCTGGAGGAAGAAAGGAATACGCCACGTACTCTGGAAGAGGGATACCCAGCCAGCTTCTGAATCATCTCCTTCCTCACTCCAATGCTGATGCTTGTACAACTCTAGTGACATGATCTCCTAATGAACGAACCTAGATGTTGTGCTTCCAGCTCCTTAGCTCCAACGTCCTTCACCTCGCTTCCCCGCAAACCCTGCCACCGCACCGACTTCCCGTGGCACCCGAAACACTTCTTCCGATGAACGGCCAATCGCAGCCCCCAGCTGGGGTGCCTTGAGCCGTAATGCTTCCACACTTCCGTCACGGAATTCTCCAGGCTGTCCGGCAAGCGTGTCTTCCGTGATGTTTCAAGGCGTGTCATGTTCAAGCAAGACTGACATTCACTCCCTTCATCCCTGGAGGTCACAATTTAGGGGCAAGATAAGAAGCTGGGCCACATCTTGCAGGCAGAGTTCTAGAATACTACATCGGCTATGGTCTGGACGTCACGGTACTCTGACGAGGAATACCTCATTCAATGTTGCTGGGTACCACCTGTGCAACATTGCTCGTCCCCAGCACTCCATCCCGCAGTGCCACGGTGATAACGGTCGAACGTGGAGCGTAGAACACGTCACTTGGAAGGATGGCCTGAGGTCTGCACAGGATAGCAAACGTCCTAATGTGGGTGCACGGCATAATAGTCATTGCAAGGAGGCTCCAGTCGAACAAATCCTTTCACACGTTACGAGTAACGTCGTTAAACCACAGTGGCGTGTCGGGGCATAGCACATTCAAAGCATACAGCAACACATTGAAAGTATCCAGCATGGCGGGTGTCTGGTATGATATACCTGGTAGAAAGTCAGCAAGAGTTCTCCCACGATTGTTAGAGCATGCGAGTAGGCTGGGATTCCCTCAGAGATCTTGGTGAAAGGTTGCGATCATATCAGTTGAAAACTGATGTCATTTACTATCTAGGCAGAAATTTGTTGTAATCACCGGGAAGGGGCTTGATGGAAGACGGTCGTACCTTTTCACAAGATGCAGTAGTGCAGACGGATTGTTTTGGCCATTCAAATAAGGCTCATGCCAGGGAGAGCATGACATGCTGTAGTATCTGATCAATCTGTTAGCGACGACCAGCAAACAATGCGCGCTCGGAAAGATGCATGATGTACAGGACATTCAGTATATGTAAGAATAAAATATCATCTCTTCGACGCTGTTATGAGACCCCGGCGAGGGTCTCCAACGACGAATTCAATCGCAAATTATAACATCATGAAGGGGAGAGATGGATGAGAAAACATGTTTGCTTACCCTTACTTGTCAGTTCACCAAGCACAAGACTTGTGTAACTCTCGCTCTACTGGACATCATCATCTGCAAGCTGACATGCTCTGCTGTAAAGCACTCTGGGACGAGCAGCCATAACATGAAGCTTGGGAACGGCGAGTGTTGTTGTTGGAAAGAGACTTGAGAGAAAAGTTTCAAACGACTTCGGCCATCGGGACAGACCGCAGTGGCAGTGTTCAAAAACCCGCCAAGACACTTGCAATTTTCCTTGGCATTGTGTGCGCCCACGATCGGAGCAATTTGCGCTCGACTCCAACATTGATTGACTTGGACCAGGCGACTTTAACATAATCCCAACGCACTTTTCTGTATGCACGTCGACACTCCTTCTCATCACCATTCGTACTGATCGCTGCGCACAGTCTTCTCGCCAATATGTCTGGAGTTGATATCAAGCCCGCCGGGTGGAAGTTCGTCGAGGTCGGACGAGTGGTCACCATCCGTTCGGGACCATTCGACGGCAAGCTGGCGACCGTGGCTGAGATCATTGATCCTGGAAGAGTATGATTGTGACCGACCGACATACACGAAGATAAGGCTCACATGGTGCAGATCCTGGTCGATGGACCCTCAACGAAAGAAGGCGAAGTCGTTCCCCGTCAAGCTATTGCAACCAGCGCAGTCTCCTTGACACCCTGGGTCATCCCCAACCTGCCTAAGGCCGCTGGCACCGGGGCCATTAAGAAGCTCTGGGAGAAGCACGAGGTCGACAAGAAGTGGGCCGAGTCATCTTGGGCTAAGAAGAGAGAACAACAAGACAGGAGGAGAAACCTGACAGACTTTGAACGTTTCAAGGTGATGAGACTGAAGAAGCAGGTGAGTTGCTCAGTTGCGGGATTTCAAGCACACGGAGGAACTCTTTGCTGACGAGCAGGATGAATAGCAACGATTCGAGACACTCAAGGCGCACGCTAAGATTCGAGCGACGGCAAAGGCATAGATTCGGCATTGGTTCAAGGCGTCTACGTACTCAAACTTTTTCAAGATCAATGGAGGACATGCAAGCTGTGGGCATGTCGGCCATTTCCCTTCAGCACTAGGGATGCAGGACAGTATCCGTGGCTGTGGCTCTTTCTGCTCTTTCGCCCGCACGGATTTACTTGCAAAGCACGATTCAACAAATTCAAGAACATCCGATATGGATCAAAGGACCCGGATGGACATGAGTGGGAAATCATGCAGTGATACAAGTCAATCAAACAAATTCATGCGATGAAGAACAATATCTTTTTACGTTAACGGCTGTTGCTGTTATGCTCAGACTACAAGGTGTTTCAACAGCGTCGCTTGCCTTGACCATTGAGAACAACTCTGACCCGGTCTCCTCGCGTTCCACCGCTGTTGAACGGCTCTTCGTTTCATCGCTTGGACGTTTTGATTCGTATGCGTTGAAAAGTCCCTGCGGCGACGTTCTGTCCCGACTCATGCGCTTTGGCGTTCTTGCTTTCAGATCCTGCTAACTCAAGGAGCCTCCGCGACAGGTAGCGGACTTAGTAGTGACTACGAGTAGACTGTTCAAGTGAAAGTAACTCACATGGATGTCGATACTGTTGAAATGCCCGCCGAATCTCGAGATTTGGTCATATCACGTGATGCAGCACTTCCCGCCAAGACTGGCGAGATGCACTTGCGAGCTCGGAATCGTTGCTTCACCACTGGGAGCACACAAAATCCATTTGCGCAACGACCATACAGAAGACACACTTGTAAGACTCCCTGGTGGTATGCGAACTGCTTCGCAAGCAAGCAACACCAAAAATCCTCACATTCTGGGCCCTCCTGGTCGCCGACAACTGCCTGCGTCCCGCCCTCTTTACGACCATTTAGCTAACCTGCATATTGGCACAGTCTAGGCCTTGTACATTGAATCACTAGTCGCCCAGCATGTCGAACCCAAGAATAGAAGAGCTCCCAGATGACGAGCCCACCAAGAACACCACAGCGGATGATGCGTCCAGCTCATCTGACTCTGAAGTCGAGGCTGGCGGAGAGGGCGAGGCCAACATCCCAGCTGGCTCTGCCGTCGCAGTCCACAGCCGAAACGAGAAGAAGGCACGAAAGGCCATCGGCAAGTTGGGCTTGAAGCATGTCCCAGGAATCACACGAGTCACATTGAGAAGACCTAAGGGAGTGAGTGTTCCATGAATGCACGGCAGAAACGATGGTAGCAACCAATGCCATCGAGTCGCAAGCTGCAGATGAAGCAATAGGTGGTTGACGTCTTTTACTAGGTTCTCTTTGTCATCTCCAACCCCGATGTCTACCGCTCCCCAACCAGCAACACTTGGATGTAAGTTACAGACATATCCAGTGAAAAAGTACTGTCTAACATTCGATCCAGCATCTTCGGAGAAGCCAAGATCGAGGATCTCAACTCCCAATCGCAAGCCGCCGCCGCTCAACAACTTGCTGCTGCCGAGGCCGCCAACGCTGATCACTCCGGTCACGACCACGCCAACGAGAATGGCAAGGGCAAGGCCGTTGAGGAGAAGAAGCCCGAGGAAGAGGACGACGATGACGAAGAAGTGGATGACAGTGGTCTTGAGGCTAAGGACATTGAGCTCGTCATGACACAGGCATCAGTGTCGCGAAAGAAGGCTGTCAAGGCGCTCAAGGAGAATGGCAATGATATAGTCAACTCCATTATGGCGCTAAGTGTATGATCAAAAGCACTCAAAAGTTCTCGGCCCGCATCATATTGCCCCAGGATTGGGTCATGGGATGGATGGAAGGGTTTGTTGCCCACGTGCATTGCGCACAAAACCAGCATACTCGAATATGCTCGTAGATGAGCTCCAAATACAACATGCTCGTCTTAAACCTGCAGTGTACATCTCCTCTCATGCCATTGTGCTTCTATTCATGCTCTAGATAAATGAGCCTCTGTATTCCTACGTCAGAAGCATTGAAAATCAAAGTCACGTGGACGCACTATATGTGGAATCTTTGCCGACTCAGGGACGAAGGTCGAACCTTGAACAACGACAAAAGCTCATTGACACCACTCTCAACTCGCCTTCACCACACCACCCTCGCCAAAATGGCTCAAGTACGTCTCTCCCAAGCTCCCTCTCTGCATACAGCAGCTTTTGCGTCCTCGAAATGTCCGAATCAAATTGTGTCTAACTGGTGCTTTTGAGCAGTCCCGCGCAGCAATGAAGCTCGACTGGAGCAAAGTCGGCACGCAGCTCGGCCTTCGAGGCAGCACGGCCACCGCTCTCGCCAACTTCAAAAAGCGAAACGATGACGCCCGACGACGAGTTCAAGTCCTGTCCGAGGAGCCCACGACTGTGGATTTCGGCCACTACCGATCACTCCTGAAGAACTCGGCCGTCATCGACGAGATCGAGCAGTACTTCAAGACGTTCCAGCCCAAGACCTACGACGTGAACAAGCAGCTTAAAGCGATCGAGAGTTTTGAGCAAGTCGCGCTTAAGAATGCCGAGGAGACGAAGACCAAGGTCGAGGTGGAATTGAAGAGCTTGGAGAAGGCGCTGAACGATATCGAGGGTGCAAGACCGTGGGAGGAGATGACCGTGGACGAAATTACTGCTGCCGCCCCAGAAATCGACGAGTACACGGCGAGATTGGTCAAGAAGGGACGATGGATGCCTCCTGGATACTTGGTACGTGATCATCACATTCTGCTTGAGCTGGAGTTACGGTTTTTGAATGGGGTTATGCTAACACATCGTTCTCTTTACAGGAGAGATTCCCCAACCTGTCTGTTCTATAGACAGCTTCGAATTAAAATGGGTGATACCGTCAGACTTTCATGGGTGGTGCGAAAAATGGGTTCTTTGCACGCATTCCAGAGGTTGTGTATAGTGGTTTAGATCAATCGCATCAGAAATGTTCAAACTATGCAGCGGCCTTCCATTGTTCTGTTATGCCTCCGAATAAGTGTGCATTTACTACTTATCGATTCCGAGTTCCGGTTGGTGTTGACGTGAATGCGATGCTGATATTCTGTGCGAATTGTGGTATCCCCTAGCAAGCAGCCAAACTATGAAAGCAGGTTCTTGAACCATTTCACATCTATTCTGGTACACTTACCACGGATTTTCGTCGAACAAGATTTTATCACCAACAATCCAGCCTGGTCCTTACGCAGCTATTCTGCCTTACAAACCCGAGTCTGACTCCTTATACAATGCCGTGGCATAATAATTATTCCAATCAGTGCACTCCTGCTGCCAATCCTGCCCGATCGGCAACGTGCTCCGGATATAGTCAGGCTCTTCAAGGAACTGCGCTCCAAGACCCAGGCCGATGTGGAACGCGATGTGGCAATGCATAAGCCACGCGCCTGGATTATCCGTGATGAAAGCAATAACCAAATATCCGCCAGCAGGAAGCATAGCCACGTCTCGTCGTGGCGGATTCACGTAATTCAGAGTCTGCGAGTTGTTATAGATACCCGAATCAGCGCCGAGGACGTAGAAGTCGTGTCCGTGCAGATGAATCGGATGTGGTTGGGGCGGTGCAAGGGTAGTAACGGCCTGGATGACCCAATATGACCAGGCGTTGGCGTTGGGAAGGGAAATGAGGTTCATGTCCGGAGGATAACTGGTGTTGCTATCCAAGACGTATTGCAGTGTAGGCTTGCCCCATGGGACTTGAATGGCGGTGAAGTTGAGGTTCCATTGGAACAAGGTCTGTTGGGCCGTGTTCTGCACGATGGCGAAGCCGACGTCCAGGTCCGAAGACTGTGGGATTGTGTAGTTGCTCGGCACGTTCAATTTGACGTATGGAACGAGACTCTTGTTTGGATCTGAGCATCCTGGCGTTGAAGGGGCATTGCTCTTTGTCGCGTTGGAAGGCGTACTCGAACTTGCGCCGACGTAGCTGAAGATTGCGAGGGCGTCTGAATTCTGGTTGTTACTGCAGCCCGATTGAGGGACGACGTGGAACCAGTAGCTGTCGATCGCTTCGTTGGCGTTGATGATGACATCGTACCGTTGTCCTATGCCAATATACAACCATTGTGTGGAGAATGGGACAATGGGGACAAAGTCTGCGGTAATGACGGTGAGGTTGTGCCCGTCTAGACTGACTTGAAAGTTGTCGTTCGTAGACGTGTTGATGAGGCGCAACCGGTATTTCTTGCCCTTCGTCAAGGTTGTCCTGCTGTATTTGCCGGCAGTGCCGTTCAGGTTTACGTTTGTGCCGTTGATGAGGATGTTATTGGCGGAAGGTGGTCCGGTTGGGAAGGCACCGGTCTGGATCAAAGGGTCAAGCGTGAATACGGGTGTGTACCACCAGTCGGTCATGGGAAACGTGCCCAGGTCGATATCATAGTTGGAGGTGGCAGGACCATTGATAATGATTGAACCGACCACACCGTCGGAATATTGACTTGAATAGTGGCTGTGATACCATGTCGTACCAAATTGCGTGCAAAGAAAAGTGTAAGTCCGAGAATGACCGGGAGCAAGAGGGCATTCAGTGATGCCATTCGTGCCGTCCATCTCGTTCGAGTGCCACTGACGGACACCGTGCCAGTGCATGCTCGTCCCGTTGGTTGTGAGGCTGTTCTTGACGGTGATCTGAAGTGTGTCGCCCCAATTGGCCTCTATGGTAGGCCCTGGGTATTGTCCATTCACAGCATAGACCGTGCGCGGAACGCCGTCTGGTGCCATTGTTGTATTCGTGATCTCCAATGTATATGAGACGGTCTTGCCAGTATTGGGCCAGGTACTGTCATAATTTGTAGCGATACTGAAGCCATTTCCCCAACATTGACGAGTCAGCGGCCCGTTTGTACATTGAGAATCTGGCTTCAAGGTTGTCGTAGCTGACGTAGTACTAGTCGTTGTGGCAGCTTGCCTTCGTGCATAATCATTGTCGATTCGGACAAGTTCGGCTGTTGGAATGAATGCGCCCGAAACCTGTTGCAACAGGAGCAGAGCTAGTGGAAGAAGGAAAAACATAGCGAGTGACTGAGCGATATTGAAACGAGTGTATGAAGAAGAAGCGCAGAAACAACACGGGACAAAGAAAGCAAAGAAAACAGATTCTCATCACCTTATGAACGGAACACGATGATGGCCAGAACAACTCTCGAACTGCTCTATGCAGGGGCAACATAACAATGCCCATGCCTCAACGTGGTACAGATGCAGCATGTCTTGGATATGGCCAGACATGCGGTGCTTCCGGTTGTGCAAGGAAGGGATGCAAATGTTTCTCGGAACTCGGGAGAAGGCCATCTCGCAGACGACTTGCGGAGGAGATAAGACATAACGCAAGATGCAATTTCCCAGAAAGAGAGGCTGATATGGACGTTTGCAATTCACCCAGCAGATATTGGCCGGGCTTGCGAGAAGCCATGGTCATGAATGAAATGGTGGACTGGTGCATGAAAGAAAGACGATTTACTGTTAGGATACAGTAGGAGACTAGGACAATATATTTCGAGCTTGGCAGAATCAATCATCTCGGGTTCCGTACAATCTCATTGTCCTTGTTGCATCACTCAGTGTTCTCATGCTGAACAAGAGAAAGATTCCTTGCATCTTCTCGTTCGAATGTTGTCGGCCGAAGATCTAGAAATAGAATGTTTTCAATCCTGTATCCCGGCTCTGACAGCTCTCCTCCGCTTCCGAGTTGGCAGCTCCTTCGACCACCCAACCATGCCTTTACCATATGCCGAAGCCGTACCTGCAGCCGGAGAGCTCTTGCTACGGCTGGCCAGTCTTGTCCTGTGTGATTGCTTTCGACTATGGTCTTTACCAAGACGAGTCGGTCGTCAGTGGAGCTGGGACCCTTGCCTTGGGACACCCTGAGATTTGGACCCATTCTTACGAGACCGTTATCTCAGTGCATATCATCGAAGGGTGGTTTGTTGATGTCTCAGTTATGGCTGCATTGAGAGGTAAGGCGTAATGCGATGCTCCATGGGCGCCTCCATCGAGTCCTGTCCAGCTAGCAGGGCAGGCACCTCGATGGTGGCTCATATATCTCGCATTTCCTGTTCCCGTTGCATGGGCAGAAAGATCTCGTTCCTTCACTGACTTCTACACCCGTTTGTGCATTCGTTACTACCTTCGTTTCTACATTCGTTTATCTCCACAATGTATCGACTTCTGCACTCTCTTTTGGCGGTGTTTTTCCTGGCCGGGCAGACTCTGGCAGATTGTATTTCTTTTGGCTACGACTTCGTCGATGGCGGAGGTCCCTACTGTATCAACACCACTTCTACTGATTACTTTTCATTTGGAACCGAGTTCGAAGGTACGTTCATGTTCGAGGCAAGAGCGGACCCTACATTGACAATGACGAGGTTGCCAGCCTAGTGATAGCCAAGGCGATATCACACCCATCCTCGTCGATCCCAATGGTAATGAATACTTCTGCTCCGATATACCTACACAGCCGGACGACACGGATATGGTGTCCACTTGGTAAGTATATACTCATATCTCTTTTGACTTGCGTTGACCAGAATCAGCAATGTCACGGGCAACACTTTGCAAAAGGACCAGATGTTCTCCGGCAACTGGACTGTCGTTGTCGAAGGCTTGACTTTTGCCTGGATGAGGGATTTCTCAATTATAGCGGCACCACCTGTGACTGTGACCACCACTCCTACTGCCACATTCACTGTCACCAGCATCCCGTCAACGACGATAACCTCCACAAGTACTGGCTGGGACTCGATTACTCTATCCGCTTCGACCATTACTCTGCCATCCACTACATTGACGAGCACAATAACGACAACACCCTCGCGTGTGACTGTCTGGTCGACCTCCACCATGAGCAGGACTCGGACTGCAAGAACATTTAGCTCCACCATCTCGACTACCACCTCCACCGCAAACTGCATGACGCAGCCGCATAGACAGGATCCCACATGCACGATACACCCCACCAAGGCATCGTTACTGGCAGCTGCGAGCTCAGCTGTAAGCTCGACTGTGGCCAATACAACTGTCGCTGCAAATGCAAATCGCTGGTTCTGGCGCGGTTCGTCAAGGGACAGGCACGTGAGAGAGGTCTTCAAGCGTGCAACTATCGAGCCACGAGACGGCAAACTTGTGGATCGGGGAGCAGGTAAGGTGTTGCTCATGGTAATGGTATACTCTTGCTGACTATTTAGATCTATGCACGACAACGTACCTTGAGACATCCTTGGTCGTTTCGTCGACCGTAACTGTGACGGGTCCGACGAGCACGGAGATTGACACGACCATCGTCAGCTCGACTACTACGATGTGAGTTCTCGGCCGGGGAAAGATATGAACATGCTGACATTTCCAGCACGCCATCACCTGTGACTGCATACTCTGGCCAAGCCAATACGACAATTACCGTTACGGCAGCAACGCCTACTCGGACTCGGATCACTAGGGCATACACAACTGTCTGGACCACCAAGACCATCGTGGCGACGTATGTACCTAAAACGTTCTCGGGGATCATGAGCTAACTTGCGGGCAGGATTACCTCGACCGTCAAGACAACACCGTCTGGGATGGTTTGTGCGACATCGCCGGGACGATTTTTCTGAGCCCACAAGCCACCATTGTTGGTGCTGCTCTAGCGGTGTATGTGCAAGGAATTTTACGTACGAAGACTGGAGGTACACTGTTGAATGACTGAGTTTGAGCCCTGCGGTTGGAAGCCTCAGCCGGGGAGCAATATCTGGGGTCATCGGAGGGTTGTAGCCAATTGGAGTGGCTATTGCTGACCGTCGGTGGAATTATTCGTCCGATTGTAGCTGTTGTTCTGCCGCATCTAAAGTCTAAACATCTGCCTGCCGCTCAGCTAAACTCAACCTCCATACAATCTACCGTGCGAATGGACTTTGATGCGCCAAGTTGTTCCGTCGTTGTTCCGTCGCGAACATCTCGGCCAATTCTCGCCCTCGTAGACATGATGAACACGCTGGCGACAATGCGCCCGTATAATGCATATAAAGATGATGGCTAACTTCCGTATCGAAGCTGCTAATCATCACACAGACACCATCGCAGCAAACCACCAAAGACCTCAACAATACAAAAACTACCGTAGTCGACCTCGCAAAGCAGCCTCAATAACACCATAAAACCAACTGAACGACCACACATCACTACAACCGACAAGATGATCGCTAAAATGCCCCAATCCACCACCGTCGCGTTCTTCGGCGCGACCGGCGGCGTCACCAACGCCATCCTCATCCACACCCTGCTTGCAGGCTACAAAGCCACAGCTCTCGTCCGCACACCAGCCAAGCTTATCAAGCAATTGACTGAGCAAGGTCTCGATGAAGTCCTGGTAGCCAAGAACCTCACCATCATCGAGGGCAACGCTTTGGACGTCGCAGCAGTGAAAGGCACCTTGACAGCACGAGACGACCTGCCCACACACATTGTCACTGGTCTTGGCGGCTCGCCCAGTCTGCAATTCGACCCATGTCACCCACTGCACATCGCGAAACTGGACAACAACAATATTTGCGAGACCGCGGCCAAGACGCTTGTTACGGCGCTGCGCGAAATCTATGTTGAAAAGCCTCACCTGGCGGAGAGAAAACCACTACTCATGTTCGTTTCGACGACCGGCATTTCGCGTGGTCCCGAGGATGTGCCATTCGGTATGCGCTTCATGTACCATCAGATGCTTGCCGTGCCGCACGCGGACAAGAAGAAGATGGAGAATGTGTATCGTGCAGACAACGGTGCATTCCGCAATGTCACGGGGATCCGGCCGACGTTGTTGACTGGCGCTGTCGAGTACACTGATGTCGTGGGACTGGAGAAGGTAAGCAGCGGGACTGAGGCCAAACCGGCGCGGGGGTTCAGCATCAAGAGGGCGGATGTTGGACATTGGGTGTTTGAAAACCTGATCAATGAGGAGAAGAGACGGCCGGAGTTGGAGGGTGAGATGGTCTCATTGACGAGTTGAATGTTTCAATTGTATTTGGTTTGACGCGTTGGGAGCGGGAGTTGTGTTGCATATATGGCTTGAAGGTATAACAGATAGATTGGTTAAACAATGTACCAGTAATAACAAGATAAATGCGAAGCATAATTGTGTGATCCTTTGGTCTCAAATCATGAAATTCTGATTAACAGCACCATTAGCAGTGCTTGTCTGAGGGTATCGAGCGTAAAAACAAGGTCGTAAAAGTACAAGCTCTGCGCGCAAAGTCTGGACTCTCCGACTGGGCTGCTGTCGACGAAGCAATGCGCTGAGAAAGCCACTGGTATCAACATCCCCAAAAGTACACAAATGCAATTCCTTCCTGAACCGTTCCAATTATCCCCTCATCATTCGCAGTCGTCGAGAAATATCTCGGACTCCCTCACTCCCCTGTCATCTTGATGGAGAGAGCCCGGCGATCAGACTGTACTCGTCGTATGCCTTCCTCCGCCTCTTCGTCTGCCGCCGCCACGGCCGCAGGTGAGGCACGAGATGATGATATCAAAGAGAGCCACTATGCCGTTGACGATAGCGGTGAGGATAGCGCCGATACCGTTGACGATGGCCATCAAGACCGAACCGATGGTCCGGCAGATGGATTCGAACTGCGGTAGAAATAATTAGTTGCTGTGATTCGGGTAGAATGAAGCAAGGCTACTTACGCAAGAGACGACGGCACCCATTGCGATTGTTTAGGTGTGTGTTGTGGAGGGTGTTTGTTGTTGTAGGACGCGTGGTAGTATGAGGTACTGTTTACTGCTGGAGGATTGGAAGAGGATGAGGCTGAGGAAGGTTGGTTTTATGTTGATTGTGAGAAAATGTCTAGAATGTTCACAAGGCAGGGAAGCGAGAAGGAAGAGGCGGTGGCTGGCGACTGCCTTTGTATCACTTGCATCGCTTAGGAAAATCGTTACTGTGCACTACATCATACCGTCACCACGGTTTCTCTCTTTCTCTCCATTTTGACCTCATTTCCACACACGTTTCAAAGGGCGTCTCCAGACATGTCCGATATCTAAACTCAATCTGTTCTAGTTCTCAATTGTTTTTCGTGATGGCCATGAGCTTTGAACCAATACCATACGCGCCGTGTATCCATAGTGCTCTTTAATCGAAGATGACGTCGATATCGGCGAGAAAGTCGATTGGTTTCAGGCTGCAACTGGGTCTTGAGGCTGACCATCTTTCCATCTGACGTGGTCCAAGTGGAAAGAATCTTGCCAGCATTCCACTTAAAATCGCAACAAACATGCCCATAATAGCAAGGATCAGGTTCCATCAGGAAGTCAAAAGCCACTAAGGTCGCATGGATGTTGCATGGACATGGATACATTGTGCATGGGCAAAATCCTTTTGGGAGTCATGCGTCGGAAAAAAACAAGCAGAATCCTGGAAAACTGGTTGTACGCCGACGTCATTTGCTGATCGGTGCAGATTGCAGCAACGATATGCCTGTTGGGCGCCTGTCATCCGTCTTCTTAATTGACGTAACTGTGGCGTCGATAGCCATCCATCTTCGATCCTGCCACAGAGTCCCGGATATGATTTTCAGTGCAGGAGGACTAGCTGTGGCGCAGACGAAGATGGAGGTGGCGGTGCGAAAGTCTGACTCTCGACACTTTGATCAATTCAACCAATGACGGAGGATATGAAAGATGCAAGAACGATGATATCCGCAAACACCACACTTGAAGAGCGCATTTCCGTATTGCTCTTGCCAGAGCGTGCGTGGCCGTATCTACTTTCTGTCGTTGTGCTGTCGATCCTGTCGATACTGATCGTAAACACCTTCGTTGATGTGAACAACGAACAGGCCATTCGCTACACAGTCAAAGTCCCCGCACAACTGCAGAAGGACTATCAGTGGGATTCCAGCGATAGTGGTCAAACATCCCACGCCGAGGACATCATTGTATGCAAGAAGATGACCCCGCTCGACCTTCTACTGACGTTCGTCTAGACTCGCGATGGTCGTATCCAACCGCGATGCCCTGCCGATGGCCGCACTCTAGGCCCGCCCATTGATCCTGCTGCCCCTTCAGACATAGATTCTGCGATTTCCAGTGCCTCTCAAGCCCAGAAACAATGGGCGCAGACATCTTTCTCGGAGCGACGGAAAGTCCTCCGCACCCTCCACCGATATGTCCTCGATCATCAAGAAGAAATCGTGACAGCTTGTTGTTTGGACAGTGGTAAGACCAAGATTGATGCTTGCTTCGGTGAAATACTGGTCACTGCCGAGAAGCTCCAATGGACCATAAAGCATGGCGAGAAAGCATTGCGACCGTCGAAAAGACCGACAAATCTGCTTTATAGCTCCAAAGCAAACACTGTCGTTTACGAGCCTTTGGGCGTGGTGGCAGCCTGCGTGAGCTGGAATTATGCATTCCACAATTTCATTTCCCCTGTCATTTCCGCCCTTTTCGCAGGCAATGCGATCGTGGTCAAGCCCAGCGAACAGACTTGTTGGAGTACCTTCTACTTCACCGACCTCATCCGAGGAGCATTGCATAGTTGTGGCCACGATCCGCAGCTTGTTCAGAATGTCATTTGCCTTCCAGAGGTGGCAGATTACTTCACAAGTCATCCTGGCTTGAGCCACATTACTTTCATCGGCAGTAGAGAGGTTGCGCACAAGGTATGCACATCAGCTGCGAAAGCGCTCACTCCCGTGACTGTGGAGCTGGGGGGAAAAGACCCAGCCATTGTGCTTGATGATCCCAAGACAGTCAGGGATGTCGAGGGCGTGACACCCATCCTCATGCGCGGAGTATTCCAGTCCGCCGGACAGAACTGCGTTGGCATTGAGCGAATCATTGCTCTACCGGGTGTTCACAACCTCATTCTGAACGGTGTTCGCGACAAAATCCAGAACATGCGTCTGGGCTCGGTGCTGCTTGATAAGAAAACACCGGACATGGGATCGATGATCTCGTCTCGCAACTTTGACCTACTCGAAAGACTCATTGCCGCTGCCGTTGCACAAGGCGCCAATCTACACTGTGGTGGAAGACGGTACAACCACCCTAACCATCCCCATGGTCATTATTTCCAGCCGACCCTGCTCAGTGATGTTACAGTCGACATGGAGATTGCGCAGACAGAACTGTTCGCACCAGTCTTTGTACTCATGAGAGCTCAGAGTGTGGATGAAGCCATAGAGATTGCGAATTCGACCAATTATGCTCTGGGCGCCAGTGTCTTTGGGTATGATTGGTCTGCAGTGTCCAAATGTGTTCGGGGAGTCAAGGCCGGTGGGGTTGCCGTCAACGACTTTGGCTCCTTCTATGCATGTTCCATGCCTTTTGGCGGTGTCAAAGGGTCGGGATATGGCCGCTTCGGTGGCGAAGAGGGCTTGAGAGGTCTGTGCAACGTGAAAAGCATTTCTGAAGAAGCTGGATGGGCGAAAATGCTGGGGATTTCTCAGCAGATCCCGCCAAAGTTGCAGTACCCTGTGAGTGAAAGTGGATGGGAAATTTGCAAAGGCGTTATCGGTACGGGGTACTCAATAGGGTGGATGGAATGGGTTTCAAGCCTCGTCGGACTTGTGTCCGTTTTGATGAGGAGCGAGGAGACCAAGTCTGTCAGAAGCACAGGCACGCTAAGTGGTAAAGAATCTCTGTTGACGAAAGACTGGTAAAGAGGCCCGAAGTCCGACAGGTTAGAGAAGATAGAAGGCAAGTGTCAATCCAAGACAGAGATCTTTGGTCGAGTATGTTGTTGTCACATTCTATCTCTATCAACGAACATAAACGTGCGCCGCTCGCAGCAATCACGACCATGAGATGCCCAGCATGATAGCCGCACCAATGAACATGGCACCAAATTGCAGCGCTGTCTTCCTCAGCTCTTGGCTTTTGTTGGCACCCGTCTCGAGTAATTCGGGAATCACAGCGACTGTACCTACGTACAGAAACGTGCCGGCCGTAAAAGGAAGCAGCATGTCGCCCCATTGCAGACTCGTGCCCCATATCCCCGCGGTGAGTCCGGTAGCTGAGTCGCTGTCGCCGCTGCCATACTCATTGACGAAAATACCTATGCATGTGCCCAGAAAAGCGCCGACCGCCGTGATGAATTGTGCGCCCATGGCTTTCTGTTTGGAGAAGCCCGATTGGATGAGAAGTGCAAAGTCACCTACTTCGTGGGGGATTTCGTGGAAGAAAACTGCCATTGTTGTTGTTGCGCCGAGGGCGGGAGATGCGTAGAATGAGCTTGAAAGGGCGAGGCCGTCGGTGATGTTGTGGGTGAAGTCGGCGATTAGGTTGAGGAGGCCGGCGAGTTTGACTGAGGGATTGATCGGAGCTGGTTCGAGGTTCGGGACGGGAGTTTTTTCTTTCTTGGGTGATTTACGTTGGCGGACAGCGCCGTTTGATTTGCTGTCTTTGGAGGTGGTGGTGCTTGTGCTGGATGCAGAACCGTTCGCTTGCTCAGGGGTGTGGGAGTGGTTGTGGGAATGTTGGTCGCCGCCGGTTGCGATGCGAAGAGCCTTGTCCATGGCCATGAATGTCACCAGGCCGGCTAGGATACCTACACCGAGTAGGAGATTGCGATTGGGCTCGAGCATGACGAACTTGACGCGGTCGTGGTGGTCTTCACCTAGGAAGATTTCGGGGAGGAGATGGAAGAGCGTGTCGCCTAGAAGGCCGCCGACCGCGAAGGCGACCATTACGCTGAGACTTGAGGGGTCGATATTCGGTGGACATAGTGCTAACAGGAAGTTGGGTGGGCCAGAGATGTAGGCTGTTGCGAGGAGCGCGTTGATGGCGGGGGAGGAAGATGGAAAGAGGATTTCGAAGAGCCGTGTTGTTAGAGAGGCGTGAGCGGGGGATGTCTCGACTTTGTACTCGGAAAGTCTTTTGACGAATGAGCATTGCTGTGATGTGTTAGTGCTCTCGAAGTGTGATGCGTGGCAGAGAGTGTGTAAGGTACCTGCACAGTTTCTTCGATTTCGTCAAGCGTCAGCAGACTGGGATCCTTCTTCAGAAAGGATTCTGCGCAGACTGTGGCTGCCAGACCCAAAAATAGGGCGTACATGCTGTATCTGAGCATCATTGGCGATCGCAAGCTTGAGATAGCCATGGTTGTGCTGTGTTCCTGTTGTCGTCGTTGGCACGCGACTGGTCAGTGGAAAGGTGTTGCAAGACCAGATCCGACTGCGGAGGGACATGGGTAAGCAGATAAATTCGTAACAGGGAGCTTTGCCGAACCTTTTTCTTATCGATAAGAAATTTATTCTTTGCCTTGCGTTTCAGTCCGCTTCAACACTGCGACTTACCCATATCACTTCGTACCAGGTATTGCATTGGATCCTCAGCACATCTTCAACAATGGGTCGTGAAAGGCAGAAGAAGAAGAACAGGTCGTCCAACCCGAAGGTTCGACCCAACTCTAACAGGACCAAGGCTGGGAAGACAAAGGTCAATTTTCTCGGCAACGAGACGATAGCGAAAAACTGGTATGCTTCATGCCACTCTCGTCTGAAGGTCTTCAACTGACTCTGGTAGGGATCGGAAACTCACTGTCTCACAAAATTATAAACGCCTCGGTCTTTCGTCGCGGCTGAATGCGCCCACGGGCGGTACGGAGAAGAAATCTGTAAAGGGTGAAGACCCTGCAAAGAAACCCCGCGACTCTCTTGCAATCGCCGGACCACGAGCTGCAACCAAAGTAGCGACACAGGAAGTTCAAGTTGAAAGAGATCCCGAGACCGGGCGTATTATACGTGTCATCCGACCTGAAGTCGATGAAAATGACAACCCTCTGAACGATCCACTCAATGACATTATGGATATGGACGATGAGAAGCCCGCGAAGAAACCGCAAACCGATGTCGTTGCAGCGCTCGAGGCACAGGCAGCAGAAGAGGAAGAATGGCTTGCTACAAAGAAACAGCCACGAAAGCAGAGTCAAAGAGAAGAAGAGTGGATTGCCAGCCTTGTCGAGAAACACGGCGACGATATCAAAGCCATGGTCAGAGATCGGAAACTCAATCCAATGCAGCAGACGGAGGGTGATATCTCAAGAAGGGTGAAGAAGTGGAAGGCGAAGCACGAGGATACAACCTGATCAGCATGAATTAAACGACAGACCCAGTGGTTGCTTCACAATCCTAGGGCCATCCCCCGCACAGCAGGCCTGAGATGGGATATGACTAAAGACTGTTGCTGCCATCACGATCCTCGTCTCCGAAGTCGGCAGCAGGGCTTTCAATCGGAACTTTCTGAAGGCACCGTACCATTTAGTACAGGCCATCTTCGGCATCCCTGTCATAACGGCCGATATGGGCACAGTATCAGCAGACCGACTGCCAGCATGGTCCGCAAACAAGGAGTGCTCGTTCAGGTCATCATGACAAGGCTGTGAGGTCCTTGATTTCGCATAGACTATGATCTGCTGACAGCGGCCACATGTCAGCTTGCACTGCATACCTGCCACTGCATCTATTGTCAACATCTGAGGAAGGGATATCGTCAGCATTCAGGGGGTCCCGAATACCAACAATCCGACTTTCTATCCTTTCACGGAAGAGCCGCAGAAGACAACAGTGCACGAGTCCTGCTGATGTAGGAGGCGAGTCATGGTGGTTGTGGGGTGTTGCAATGGCTGCGAGCACAATCGCTGCGGTGGATGCCAGATTGGGAAAGGCATGGAATCCGATGCGGCTCCGCGTGGTCCATCTCGATCTCAGTACCACTCTCCTACTCACGAAGAAAGTGACATTATTGTCATCTCGTAAATGTTGAGATTGACGTCGATAGTGTACATGAACTAGTGGGGACGCTCAGGCTCTTAAGGCTGGGCTTCCCGCTTGCCGAAGATTAACCTCAACGTGCCAATAACCAAGCGTCTTCCTTTGAATCACCTCGTGCTCGTTTTGAGCATTGTCGGCCTCTCTAAGGCAGATACTCATCCGCGAGGATGATTTCACTGCTACTCCCGGTACGTTCCCAGATCTCACGGACGGTAAGCTGTCAGTGGGATCTTGGTTCCAAGCTAAGAGGGCAGATTTTATCATCCTGTCCAGGTCTAAATGCGTGCAAAATGTCGTGGAAAGTCCAGCTTCATACCCAACCAAGGCGGACAGTCGTAGGCACACATTGCGCAAGGTGACCTTGTTCTGCCGCACCTGTCTCTGGCCAAGTGATTTGGGGTTTCTGTATTCACACTGTACTGTCAGCCGACCTGTTCAAAATGTTGACTCTAGCAACACCAAAGACGCGTCATTCAAGACATGGCAGCTTGACAAATTCGATCGACAAGGTGTTTGCTTCAACGTCCAGACTCTTGATCGCGTCGCCGACCACATTTACGAAGATGGCCAGTCCTGAAAAGGTCCCTTCCACTACAACTGCGCCCCTAATTCCGGATAAGATTTTTCCGAATCTGTACATATCAGAGTGAGCGAGCTTTTTCTTTAGTTGCCCATGGAACTCTACCTAACCACAGCTAGCATTCACACTGCGAGAGCAGTCTTGAGTCCTAATTATCCTGCACCGAACAGGCCAGTCATTCGGTACATTCTTTCAGTCATTGACAGTGCAGACCGGCAACCCAAGGTCTCCCGCGGAGATGAATCGAAATTCGTGCTCAAGTTCATCAATTTACGCGACGTGCCAACAATAGACCTCCTGGTGGTGCTTCAGGACGCCTGCGATTTCATCAAGTCAAGCCTTGCCAACAATGATGGCGGGGTGCTTGTTCATTGTCAAAAGGGCGTTTCTCGGTCAGCGTCCGTCCTAATCGGCTTTGTCATGGAAGAAATGGACTTGGACTATGACACTACTCTTCGTTATGTCCGCGGGGGACGGTCAAATATCAGACCCAATTCCGGATTTGAGAAGCAATTGCAGCTCTGGCACAAATTGAGGTACAGCATCTACGAGGCTGATGGCAAAACCCATAAAGAGGAGTATGTCATTTGGAAATGCAACAACGAAGAGCAAATCAAGTCTTTGGGTATCAAAGCAGCCGATCAGCGCAAGGAAGACAACAAGAAGAGTTGAAATAGTCCGAAGTCTCGAGGCGGTTGGCTAAGCGCTCACATCGTAGTGCAACGCTCACGGCTCACGGCGCACGGTTTTGGACCGGAGTTATGCATTTCCGCTGGAGTTTCAAATGTGTACCAAACAATGGGTGGCAGCCTGTATTCAGTACTTGTGCTCTGTCAATGTACACACTGCGACTGCGTGCATGTTATACATGCCATTGTACCCATGACTGGTGCTGTTATGGACTACTTGCATGCTGGTCGCATATGTGGCGTTCTATGGCCTGCATTGGGTATGGCTGTCTTTTTCCAGGTGAGCACTATGCTCTATACTAATTGCAGGGACTTGCACAAAGAAATTGCAACAACCATCCTTGTTCCCACCTCTTTTTGCACAACCAGATCCTCCTGGTCCAGCACCTGCAATGGTGATGATTCTCATGGGCTTTGGGGACCTGTTTGCAGCTTCCCCGCACCCAATCAGCCACATCCAGGCTCGGTTTGGGGACGGGAGCCACCGATAAGCTTAATTGCTTGGTCCACTTCTATTCCGGCTCCGTTTGTCTCTTCTCGACTCACTTTTACGTCTCATGTTCAATCTTTGAACCCTTCGAAAATCCTTCAAACACATCCACACTTTTTCTGCAATCCGTTACCAGTCCGTCACTTGTCTCGCACTTCGATCCTTACCGGACTCAAACCAATAACGGACCCACAGCCTCTCCGGAACTTGCCGGGGCTTCATTTCCTCGTTACTTTTCTCATTCAAAGTGAGAGAACTGCACCATCATTCCCCTTGTTCCCTCGTCAACCCTTCGTCACATCAGGACGTCTTCCTATATCAAATCCTTTGTCCGTCGCAGTCTTCGCGACCTTCGTTTCCCTTACGTCGTTGCCATATCGGACCAAGAAACCTGGTCCATTGAACCTCGTACCACCGGACAACAACCTGATAACAACCACGACGAGGCGACGACGAGAAACACCTACGTAACCCTCAAGACCTCGCGCTTGTCCTAAGCATCTGGACACGCAGTCAAGGAATTTGCCGAGACCGACATCGATCCAGAAGTACCATATCACAAGCGCAAGGCTGCGATACATACACACATACATGCCACGGGACTGAAATACTCTTCGGTAAGCAAGACCCTGCAATCACAGCCGGGACAAGACGCCGTCCAAGGAATGTCGCTTGCTGGCTCGCTGTGTGTGCAGCTTGTCGCTTGCATTATGCTTGGTGCTTCAAGCAAGCAGACAAACTTCGTCCCTGCCGCACAGAGTGGCATATAAGACCTGCTTCATCCCAGACAGACGATATCCTTTGGGCTTCTACGCCTTTGATCTATACTGAAGTTGCTAATCACACCTGATATATACAGATACAGGGTGTTTCTTGGCAATACTCCAGCATTCCGAGCAGCGGACTTATCGGCAGAATAAGCCTGTTCATCTGACACCTTACTCTTTCAGGTATGCGTTGCGGTCATGCCATGCATTGGAGTTAGCTAACCAGAAATCTGTACAGTCGCATGCCCCCCGTCGTAAGTCAACCGATCTCAGCAACCGATCTGAGCCATCGATCTACCTTTTCTTTTCACTTCCATGAACCGATCTCGTCGTCGTTCACTTGATCCATCCGACGTTGCACATGCTCTCTCCGACTGCCGACGTCACCCGTCAATTCTCTTGTCTTCTACATCTGTCCCTCGTCACAGCATAGCGTCGGCAACGACTGGCCACCGGCGGGCGTCACCCAGTATGCCCCATCAAGCACATGCCACGGAGGAACTCCACCCTTCCTCCTGCCTATATATACCTCCCAACTTTCCCTTCCTCGACTTCCTCCTTCCTCTGTCCTCATCATCCTCGTCATCTTCCTCCTCTGTCGACATCTCAATATTAAGACTTACAAGACTATAGGTCGACACTTCTCGTGAATACTCTTTATATGAGCCTCCTAAGTCATCACGATACCACGATTTAGTTTGCTTTACCCGCCTTTTTGAACTTTCCTACACCGATCTGCTTTGACACAGCAATCAATACAGAATATCTCGGTAAGTCCGCCGATCTTGCATACACCGAAGTACTCTTCGCATTTGCGTGATGCACAACAAGCACATCCCCTCGAAACGTGTCTTTCATGTCAGCAATGCCCAATAATGCCTCTTCGTGAAACCTTCTGCAGAAATCTACGATCGACAGCCTGGACTGCTGTAACGATGTCGTTTCTCAAGACCGGTGCATTTGCATGATACACAGACACAGTCAATTCCTGGTAGTCTTGTCAAGGTTTGCACAGATCGCAACATCTAGACTGAAAGCCTGCCATATGAAAGCTTGAGAGGACAGAACAGCCTTGCCTTGCGCCGAGCCTGAACGCCGAGACTGATGCCGAGACTTGCTGTTCATGCCTTCCCGTTTGGGAAGGCGGATGCATGCCGAGCATTGCAAGGCTGAGGGCTGAAAGGGGCTCGTATTCCATTCTGCCTCACCACGCGGGTCCCTTTCCTTGGCTTGCAGAACGGATGAGGCTGAGCATGTGACAGCATCCAACAGTCCCCCCTGTCCAGCACACCGCACTTCACACATCAGTTGGCACTGCTTGCTCCCTTCTTGTCGCTGTTGCAAACTTTGCGAGCCTCACCATCATGCATCCTCATTCATCCGCAAGGGGTCCAAAATATGGAGACACATGCTAACAAGATGTCACCAGTCCTTCTCGCCGCCCACGTCTGTTGTGTTTCTCTCCATCGCCGTCAGAATGGTGTCCACACGATCTCGTACCAGCAAGGACACCGCTGCAAAGCTTGCAGCCATCGACAAGGCATGCATGGACAATGCTGTCCCAGCGACTGGTCCAAATTACGACACGACAATGATTGGTGATGCAAGCATTGATGAAGTCAATGACACCTCGATAGGCACATCCGTCCCGATCACCACCTCTCAGGTCAACGTTGTCACAACAAACGTCAACGTGTCGGACCAGCAAGTCACTGTCACCACCACAATCGCCTCCGGTACAGCAGCAGGCCTCGTCCAGCTCGTTCAGCCTACTAACGTCGGTGTGCCAGCTCCTGGAGTAAAGGCCAAAGGTCGTGGAAAACGCAAGCATGTCGACACGGTTCCTGATGCGACAATCAGCAAGATATTGAAGGTTTCAAAGACCAAGTCCATCAAGCTCAAGAAAGAAGAGGAGGAGGACGACTTTCAGCTGGGCGCAATACCACTCATGTCTGACGGTGCCCCGAGTCGCCGTGAAACTCTGCGAAAGCGAGGCAACAATGGCGCGACCAGCAGACTTCTCGAGGCTGCAACAGCAGCTGCTGAAGGCGATCATGCGAGTTTCCTCACACTGAAGCTGTGTCCGGGATACATGGACAAGATCAGTGCCAACACAACTACCAATGCCTCCATTAAGAAAATCAAGACGATCAAGAAGACCAAGAAGCGGATCATTCGTCCTCGCCGCAAGATTCCATATACAAACAACTACCGTTTCGAATTTGGTGAGGATCGTCTTTCACATCATGCGTCGCCTACTCCAGATCAGCTCGCCGAAGTCATCAGTATCATGGGTCAAGAACGCCTGTTAGCCGAAAGCGCTGGTGAAGTCCAGCCTTCTTCATCAATGCCAATGCATGCTGGGTCTGGAATCTCTGCCGACTCCATTGTCCGCGTGATCATCTCACAGTCATGCACCAATGAAATGGCGCTCGACGCCCAGGCGACAATGCGGCTGGCCTACCCGTACACGGTCAATGGAATCATGGTTGTTGGAACAAAGCCGAACTACCATGCCATGCGGGTGCAGACAGTGGACAAGCTCAAGAAAGTCCTGAAAAAGGCTGGCCTTTGGAACCTCAAAGCACCACAAATCAAGGGATGTCTGGACATGATCTATGCGAAGAACGTCGCTCTCCTCCAGCCTGGCGAAGTCATGTACGACGGCAATGATCCCACGGCAAGTGACTTCGTCCCCGGTCTACTTTCCATGGACTACCTCTGGGATATTTACAGACAAGGTGGAAAGCAAGCTGTCTTTGACGATCTTGTCTTGCTTCCTCAGATCGCAGTGAAGTCGGCATGCTGCGTGATGGCTTTCAACATGGATTTGCCAGTCTTCGCCGTGGATACACATGTCGCCGGTATGGCAAAGCTTCTTGGTTAGGTACCAGAAGATTTTGCTACAGAAGACGACATATGCAGCCATATTGACGCCCGCATGCCCGAGAATGAGCTCAAGGTTGTTCTTCATCAGGATTTCTGGCGACACCGACGAAGCTGCGTTCGCTGCGGTGGCCGCAACGAGCAAACAAGCCTCGCCTGGAAGAACGCAGTCTGCCCTCTTGAGCATCTTATCAAGCGACCTGCACCGAAGAAAGAGCCGAAGCCTGCTACACTACAGACTGCTACGAAACCGAAGAAAGCAGTCATCAAGAAGATACCATCGGACGAAGAGCAGATGGCCAAGGGACTTGTGAAGATCAGCTACGAGGTCGACGATGACTTTGATGGTGCTGGAGGCCTCACTGGAGTCATGCGCGAGATCTGGGTGGAAGATTTCAGTAAGGAAGAGTTGGTGGAGGTGGTTATCGTTGAGGAAGATGACACCATTTACGAGCATATTGTCATTTCCAAGAAATAAAGGGAAAACATGAGGTTTGAACAGTTCCTCACCAAAATTGGGTGAGAAGAAGCTCTGAGCATATGCTGGTTTTCATGAGCTTTGAGATGTACTTATTTGCGTTTATGCTTTTCACATCTGAGCTGTCTTAGAGGCCAAAACAGCATTTCCACTCTTGATATCCTGGGAGTTCGCCTTATCTTCATATTCCTTGCTTTCGCTTGCTGACTACGATGAGCTCCCCATGCATATCAACGATCGCGATATGGTTTAGATCAGGCGGGCAACAGGCCACCATCTTGCCACTGATATGCCCTTGCTATCAGGCGAGGTACCGGCATCATCGTTATATGCACGACCCCATTGTAAATGTCACCCTTCCCCACAGCATCGACCCTTGAAGTATCTTTGGATTGGGCGTGCTCCTTGGCACTAACATACTTCTGTAGCTAGTATGAAGCTTAGGAGAGCTTCCACTGCTTCTTATCTCTTGCCCAGCGTTACCGTTCCTTGTAACTCCTACCATATCAGGCAGCTCATGCCAGTTACCGTCATCAATGGAGTCGCGTCGCCCGCCATCCAATGCTTCTTCGGTCACAACCGATGCTGCGGGGGTACGACATGTTATCATCGGCGTGCAAGCTCAAAGCTACTCTGGGTGCCTGCAGATCCATGCTCAATGGTACAGAAGGAAGCTCAGGTGGGTGCGTGCATGACATCGTGCTTTTCCGTACAACTACAAAAAGGTGAGCGGATGCCCCGCGAGCAGCTGAAAGTTGCGTTTCAAGTCTGGTCGTATTTCCTTCTGCAGGGGCTGTTGTCACGATGCTTTCTCTGCTGTCCACAGCTCTTCTGCTGGCTTGTGCAGGCCAGCAGGCACTCTCACAGTTTGTTACTGCTCCTAAGAACCTCACCACGAAGAAAGGTTACGCCGACATCAATGTTCGCTACAAGGAGGTGCCTACCGGCATCTGCGAGCTCGACCCCAACGTCAAGAGTTACTCTGGGTACGCCGACGTCGCGCCCGGCCAGCACATCTTCTGGTGGTTCTTCGAGACACGAAGCGGCAATGCCTCGGAAGCACCCTTGACCACCTGGATCAACGGCGGGCCAGGCTCGTCTTCCATGATCGGACTGTTCCAAGAGCAGGGCCCATGCCGTATCGACGAAGACGGCAATGTCTCCAGCAACCCGTACGCGTGGAACAACGTCACCAACATGCTCTTTATCGACGAACCCACAGAAGTCGGCTTCAGTTACTCGACTCCAGTCGCCGCCTACATCGATCCTAATTCGGGGTACATGGTCGAATTGCCGAACAACACATGTCCAGACTACGCAAGCGACTGGGACTGCGGCACTTACTCGTACTTCAACGAGTCTCTGACCGCCAACTCGACGCCCGCAGCCGCACCGAACTTCTGGGCCACCCTGCAGGGTTTCATGGGCGCGTTCCCACAGTACTCAAGAGAGGGGGTATACTTCACTACGGAGAGTTACGGAGGCCACTACGGCCCAATCTTCTCCGAGTACTTTGAGACGCAGAATGCGAAGAACATCTCGGGTGCGCACAACATCAGTCTGGAGGGTTTACTGATCGGCAACGGCTGGTATGATCCCTTGATCCAGTACGAGTCGTACTACAACTTCAGTGTGTCTCCTGGAAATACGTACGGATATGATCCGCTGAATCAGTCTGTCAAAGGTGAGTCTCCTCTACCACTTACCACTTTCCCTGCGCATGCATAGTGTGATCGCTGCGTGACGGTGACTAACGGGTAACAGATCAATGGTACAACAATCTCTACGGGCCCGGAAACTGCTACGACCAAACCGTCGACTGCTACAACAGTGGCCTCAACGAGATCTGTTCCGCCGCCGACAACTTCTGTTACGAAGAGGTCGAGTACCTGTATGACATATACCTAGGCCGAGACGAGTATGACTTCCGTGAGCTCGTCCCAGACCCGTTCCCGCCCGAGTTCTACGTCGACTATCTCAACACCGATAGTGTTCAGGCCGCGATCGGCGCGTACGTCAATTTCACGGAGTCTTCAACGCCCGTTGGCAACGCCTTTGGGTCTACTGGCGACGACGACCGCGAGATCGGAACCGTCGAGGCCCTCAAAGCTCTGATCAAGCAGGGCGTTAAATTGGTCATGTACTTTGGCGACGCCGACTATATTTGCAATTGGCTCGGCGGGCAAGTCGTGGCAGGGGAAGTGAATGCTACGGGCTACACGGATGCGGGCTTTGTGAACATTTCTAGCAGTGACGGCGTGGTTCACGGGCAAGTCAGACAGTCCGGCACCTTCGCTTTCGTTCGCATCTACGAGTCAGGTCACGAGGTGCCGTTCTACCAGCCTCTGGTTGCGCTCGAGATGTTGAACCGGACCATTCACGGTTTGGATATCGAGACGGGAATGACCAGTGTGGGTGCAAGCTATAGGACTTCTGGACCGAAGGCGAGTACGTACCAGGAGGGCAATGCGACGGTGCAGATGGAGGTCGTCGATACAGATGAGGTGTATAATACGACGACGTCGCAGCCGCAGAATGGGACGTCGACCAAAAAGAGGACGAAGAGGGATTTCGAGACGGTCAAGGGACGCGGGTGGTTGGTCAGCGATGAGAAGTGAGCAGTCTCTTCAGTCGTGAGATGAGATATTTCTCGTCGCTGTTGCTGCATAGCGCCACAGAGCGTCTTGGAAGCAGGACGCGCTAAGCAGGATGCGACAAGGCACCAAAAGAAAAGATACAGGTCGCTATGACAGTAATGCCAATGATAATAAGCTTGCCACAGCAAGCATTTGATCAATACGAGTATTCATTGCCACATACCGGGCTGCCAGTGTATCTCATTGACATACTTTGAGACGATGCCAATACATGCTGCCAAAAACTCCATGCCATGCCATGCTCTATGCTCTGTGATATGGATTTTACCAAACCCCCAAACCAACCATGTCATGATTTTGTGTCGTACGCTGGGTGCGCTTCATTCCATCTCCTGTGACTTGCAATGTGGAAGACGTGACCGGCTCGCCTGATTCAACGTCTTCGTAAAGATTACTTGACCGCCTGAAACCTCTCGTGACACAGATCCATGTCTTCATCGTCGGTGGTCTCTACGAAGCTCAGCCCAGAGACCTGAGCAATAATGCTGGAACAAGTGCATATCCGCGGCCGCTCCAAAGCCGAGATTTGTGGATCTGGGCAAGTCTCAATGCCCTTGCAGACGATATATCACCGGCAAACGATCAATCTCGTTGGCTGTCGAAGGACGATGTTCTTTGAAGGAAGGTAACGCTCTATTCGTTATAGTGATATACCTATACAACACATGTTAGCACTGTCGAGCGGAGGTTACCATAGTCCAGCATCGCTCACAAGATAATCAGGTAGGCCCCAGGATTCAAAGCCTAGTCGTCGGGCCATTTTGGCGAATCCCTCCGTCTCGATGAGATGATAGAATGGGAAAGCAGGAAACATGGCGCCATCCCTATGTACTTCTGCTTTGACCAAAAGAGCTGTTCCACCCACGCCATCCAAAGGCATGAGTCGACGTGGATCACCGTTGGGCCCAGTATTCGCCAGCATTGCCATAAGAGTTCTGTAGGTGGGCATCTCTGCATAGCCTTCTAGTAGAATATCATCAGGACCCATTTGAGCAGCAAGCTGTTGTGCAGTGTCACTATCTCGCCAGGAGTTGTAATCGTAAGGTCGGACATCAGGCGTTCCATCGTCTTTGAGGTATCGTTGATAACAGTTGGGGACAATGATAGATTTGTCGTGACTAGCCAGGTCTTGGATCAACGTGGGAGGAGTTTCCACAATGTCCGAGTCGAGCCATAGCACCCAAGATGTAGAAGGACCAATGGTTGTGAATAGAAGGCTGTTCCTTGCACGAGACATGGCTGCTCTGCGAACTCTTTGGTTTTCCATCTTATGTCTTTCCTTCTCTTCTTGGGATATGAGGGGGGATTCGATGTCTTGCCGTAGGATGGTGATGGATTGGAAGCGGTCTTCTTCTGGGCCGGATTGGGTGATCTTGATGGCTTCTTGTAACGCTGTTGTAGCCTCATTGCCTTCTTTTGTTTTGGGCGTGATGAAGCCCAAACTTATGTGTTCGTGGGGATAATTCAGGGCAAGTAGGTTGGCCCAGTATTCGGGGTAGAAACGGGCCAGTGGAGTGAGGATGAGGACTTTTTCGTTCTTCGCCGCAGGATTGGGTGATGCAGTGAGGTTGTTAAGCTGGTAGTGGACGACAGGTGGAGGACGATGGACACCGCCATGGGAGTTGAGAGAATCGGCTTGCTTGCGGAAAGCTGATGTAGGAGGAGACAGGGGATTGTCTGCGGCCGCGTCGGACAGGCGCTGACGCAGGTCCGAGGAGGTGATGGATGTGCTGGAAATGCTGTAGATGAAGTAGATGAAGACGACGCCCAACAGAAGTCCCAGAGCTATCGTCCGGTTGCTGGTACGCGACTGTCGCATGTCGAAGTAGCCCGCCATGATCGGGCAGCTGATGGGCAACGTATCACCTGGAGAGGTTGACTGGCATGGTCAGGAGAGGTCAAGGACTGCACATGACAACAAGAGGTGTTAGAGTATGGAGATCAACATATGCGACACTGCACACGTCTCAACTCAGAAAGAAGAAAAAAGCGTGTAAAGTAAGCGCAGATTTGATCGCAGTGTTCGAACTGACCAGGTGTTGGTTGACAAGTTGACAGTTGACTTACGACGACCACTACTCCGTACTGTACCTACAAAATCGAGTTGGCCGGCGTATTTGATTCCGACCGTCTCCCTACGCCACATCCAGTCACCTACACCCATGCTGTGCCTCACAAAGCACTTTACATATGGTGGTACAGATCGCATTTATGAAACAGAAAAGTCTTGCAGGTTGGTATTCATCTTATTTCTTGGGTGGGACAAGGGACCCGAGTACTATTCAGCAGTCATGCATTTCTATGCGATGACACGTCTCCTTTTTTTTCATACATCACGCTTTTTGCGTGGAAAACCCCTGATATCGCTATGCAAATCGTCCAGTCACAGTACATTTTGACAGAAAAACATCCCCAACGTCGCACCAGGCAACTTGGGAGTGTAAGCTGTGCAGGGCTATAGAGTGAAAATGAGGAATCCAAGCCGTGAACAATCTCACCGAGGTGAGCATCTGCCACTGTTGACTTTGCAACGAATGAACAACAGACTCATGTCTGGAGAATCTGAAGTGGCTTTTAAAAGAAATGAAAAGATAGTAGTCTCGAAACCCCATGCTGTGAGAACAAAGAAAAACCGTTGCGTCGTCATAAAAGGTATAATGGCTTGGTCATGAAATCGTCATGTTTTGTAAGGTCGGAGGTCACCATTTCCATCATTCATAGACGTCGGTCTGTCTAACCTTTTTCTGTTTCTTGACGCTCTCTCTGTCTGAGGAACAATCACTCCTCGGGCTCCTTGGACTGGCTGCCGGCGAGATCTTCCCAGCCCCTTTGACTTGGAAGTAGTCACCGGCTTCATCCAAAGCCAATGGTGTTACAGGACCCTTTGGACTGCCTAGGGGATCGAGTCGAGGAGAACCAGGCTTCACGCCCATGGACGAAGCGGCAATCTTGGACGACAAATTCGCCCGTTCCAGGAACTCGCGTTGTTTTTCTCGCATCAATCTGGGCGACTCTGGTAGGACAGGTGCCGTGACTCTGTTGAGGGTGATGGCTGGACTCTGTACTGTGGACGAAGGCATAGCAGGTGAATCGAGATGAGGGAAATTGGCGGGGTGAAATCTGGGAAGATTCATGTGCAGGTTTCTCGACGCTTGTCGACCATGTTGTGCTCGAGGTCGCGACGGTTGTGGCGCAAGTGGACCATGACTGGAAGGTGGCCTCGGTGATAAAGGAGAGGTGGGTGTGTAACGTCCTGAGAAGGAGTCGGCTCCCATTCTGTGAACCATTGAGATGGACGGAATGGAAGACGTCGTAAATGGTGATATTGTACTCCAAGGACGCTTTCTGATTCAAATCGAGGGTGTTGTCTGCATGCGGCAGCTGGTCGGTGTTATCTGGAGAGTTTCCTGTTTGATGTTGCTGATGATATACAGTGGCCAGATAGGGGGTTTCGGCAATATCGTCGTGTACCGGCTGGGATATATTGAAGATAAAATATCTCAGCAGTGTTTGATCTTTGACAGACAAATCAGTCAATCGGCGTGAAAGAAATTGAAAGCGGAAGTGCCGGCTCAGAGTGTAATCCTTTCTGCTGAAATACTGCAAGAGTCGACTAACCAAGGTGGCAGAGAGGGCAAACAGGCTCTGTATTATTATGATCGATATAGAGTTTGCATATAGGCGGCAGACCGGATAGGCTGTATTTCTTGTCCTGGTGGTTGCTCGTTGGCTGTTCCGTTGCTTCCTGAAGGGCAGCCAAATTTGGGTGTCTTTTTGGGGCAATTAGTGATGGCTTGCCGGGAGCCGGAAGATCAGCAGCAGGGTCGACTTGTCACTGATATGCCAGATATGGAAAGTCACTGATCAGCGCGTCTGATTTCCGGGATTGACAAATGGTACACAATCCTGAAACATCGAATGATATTGATGAGGGGAGTGCACATGGAAGTAAGTTATGGAACCAAACCGAGGTGGTGGATCAGACAATGGAGGGATGGCTGTGCAAGGGGATTGATTGTCCCTTTCAAGTAGTGTTGATCTTGGTCCAAGTAGTCGTGGTACATGCGACGGGTACATGTGCTGGTACAGGGACAACCCCAGACCATATGGCACCTTTTATTACTGGGAGCAAGTCGTCGTCATCGTACTTTGAGTAGTTAGGCCTCGGTAGGAGGGTTCAGTAGCCCCAATTCCTGGGCCGCCCGAGAACGTTCTTCGCAGGGCTTCCCGTCAAAAATTTGATGCAGGGCATAAACGGAGTGGCACCAAGGAGCGTCCACCATTGAAAAGCCAGTTAAAGCCACGCGAGGAGAGGCTTGATGACGTTGCCGCAGCGCCACACCCGCTCACCGATGAACAGGGGTTGGCGATAGGGAGATCCGTCGCAATCTTCCCTACTCCATGATAGTATAAGCAAGGAACCCCTCCAAGGCGTAAGGGCCACTGCCGAGTTATCCAAGGTGACACGTATGGATGGCCAATTGGTATCAAACCACTGTAACCTCCATGAGCTGACGACGACGGAGAACTTGGTAGCATACGCTGGTGAAAAAAAGAGTTTGTCCTCGATAAGATACCGAGTCCAAGGAACCTCTTCAGAAACCTCTTTGAATTTCATGTTCTGGGCGTAAATTGTGTCCTTGCCGAGTCACAACGTCGGAATCCACCCAATTTTTTTATGAACCAAACCTGCCACCTAAGCGTTTGAAAGACGCCATCGCCCCTAGCACCGAACTGGTCGTTTCGAGGGATCGCCGTTCGCATAGCCAAGCAGCTCACGAGCCCATGATTTTCATATCGTCCATGGACGACGTATGGCCAACCGAAAGAAGCAGTAAATGTCTATCGCACACTTGGCCCGATTTTATTTACGACCGCTCCCTTCGCGTAGCTATCTATATGCAGACTGTTGTAATAAGAGGAGTTCACAGCTGTGCTCTCTCCACTTGATATTACACTGCAAATTGCTTGCTGGCTGCCGTGGTGCCGACTTGGCTTCCTTCCGATGAAATTGGGTTTGTGGGCAGAGTTCCTTTGAACGTCAGAGCGGGCCGCACAAGTGCAACACATCACTCTGTGTTTGTAACAGCAAATGAGCAGAAGGAATGCCACGGAATATCCACCTTGGAAACTGGTGTGGAAAAAGAAACGTACCAGCACCTCATACATTTGCTTTCGCATATAGCTTGACCCTCGCGGTCAAGTCCGGGACCCGTAGTCACACACGGGTACGAAGCACAATCCAGAGCCGCGACAGTCGTGTATCAACGTCACTTGTGTTCGCGGGAGAAGGTTCATGATGGGAAGCGGCAGCATAGTCAAGCACTTTCCATGGTGCTGTCGGCTTTGCGGCGACCTCCTCACCTGGAGCACCAGTAGAAGTTTCTCCACTACTACTGCTTTCAGTGTTGCCTAGCTCCGGTTTCTCCTCCTTCTCACCTCTGTAAATGTCATCGACCCAGAGCGGAATGGCCTGAGTGATGTCGTTATATTGTAGTATGAACCAGCTGACCAGGGGCCGATCATGCTGCTCTTCTAGGTATCCGAATATCCGTGCTCGATCCAGGGAAAAAGAGGACCAGAAAAAGGGTACGTCCCCGTATTGGATCTGACCCGTAAGACTGTGCGGCTTGCCGGATGTTTTGTCCGCTGCAGACAAAGCCGTTTGCGTACTCCGTACAAGCATATGAATGCCAATGATGATGACATCTGGGGGTGCGGTGTATGGAGATGGGGTTCACAGTATAGCTGCCCTGTGCTTGCTGTCCAGAGTCTTGCCCATCTCCTCGGCATTCAATGTTGTCTGCATGGAAGAACAGGTAGTCAGTGTCAGTGTCATTCAGGCTTTTTAGGTCTGACTGGCACCGCTCCTCTTAACTGCGGCACAAAGTCGATGAAGATTCATGTCAGACGAACTCTTTTTCATCGCGTTCACTAGGTATCACAGTACAAAGACCTGGCCAAGCGGTTGCCGTAAGCATCAAGAAACAATGTCGACTCACCTGCAGGAGCAGTGCTTTCCCGTCTGCCAAAACTCAGCCTCAGGGTCAGCATCGCTAGGCTGAGGTGCAGCGTACATGCTACATCGTAAAAATACGACCACGGATGCATCGCATTGTCAGCCTAGAAGAAGCCGGAAGATCGTGCTTGACCTGGCATGAAATACGATGGAATTTGCATCAGCCTGCACAGCAAAGTCCGCAGCAAGATAGTAAGAGTATGCAGTGAGTATGCTATCTTGTATAGAAGAGCTGTATCCTGGAAGAACTGTGGCGACATGCAGTGCATCTATCTCGCTTGCTAGGCGAGTTGTCCGGAAGAAAGCGCTTCCTGTTCGCTTCTCGGAAAACACAGCTAGATCTTCGGCCACCAGCCACATCAGAGATCCAATGCAAATGAAGAAAGAATATGGCATACGAAGGTACATAGATCGGTAAGAGAAAAGAGAGGAATGTGGTGTACTCTTTACAGCGAGTCCATCGTAATTTCGTGGCTGAGCGCTGCCGGAGTCTTTGCCTACCGAATAGTCCCTGCATGTCACCAGCCAATCCCATGGCCCGCTAGAACCACGAAACGAAGGGTGCACTTCGCATTCGATGTCCAACTTCTTTATCAACGCCTCTACACTATCCAGGCTACCCTATAAACCAGCACTCCTCAAATACTGCTCGATCGTCCGAGCCACAGTCGAGCCCTAGTTTCTAGGACTATGAGATTCAACTCTCGTGGCGTTGAAGACTTGCACCACTCGCCATGGAGGCGCGACTTGAAATCGATTCAGCTGGCCGCGAATTCGATCAATGGCTCGACTGGAATGGTTCTGTCAACAACTCATCTAGAGGTCCTGTCGATGAAAGGGCGACCATTGCCCCGGAAAACATCTCTCACCTTCCTATTTCTCCATCCTCGAGTACCAACGGCGACGTTCATCTTTCCCTCCTGAAAACCGACCTCCTCACCGCCCCTTCACAACATGAACTATTGACACCCCGGCATAGTTCGGGTTCTCCGGATTCGCGATCTAGCATGGAGATGAGACTGAGCGGAGACACCTTACGAGAAGCAGTCCCTTCCATCGAGCGGCCAATGTTGAAGCGAAAGTTGTCGCCCTCTGATGTGCCGATTACGGACTCTCGTTACGACGCACCCACTCCAGCTGCGAAGAAACGGCCACACAACATAATCGAGAAGAGATATCGCGCAAATTTGAATGACAAAATTGCAGAGTTGCGGGACAGCGTGCCCAGTTTGCGTACTACCAAGAAGTCAAAGACTAAGGACTCGGTCAAGGAGGACTCGGATGAGCAGGACCTGGACGGCCTATCTCCCAGCAATAAACTCAACAAAGCTTCTATTTTGACCAAAGCTGTTGAATACATTCGACACCTCGAATTTCGCACCAAGCGACTTGAGGAAGAAAACAAATCACTCAAAGAACGGCTGGAAACTCTCGATAAAGTCATTGCTCAAGGTGGCCATGACGCCCAAAGAGCTGCCGCCTTCACCAGCGACACGGTCATAGAGCAGACTCCTTCTGACTCGCATCCCACATCTCCATCTTCAGACTCCAAGCAAACTTCCTCAAATCCACCACAGGGTTTGATTTCCCTGCCAGACAGCTGGCGACGACTACGACAGAACCAGTCACAAGAACACTATGGCCATATTTATGACACCCCATCAAACCGTTCCAAGTTGTTGAAGGGGAAATGGCCAACTCGAGTAATGCTAGGTTCGCTGGCAGGTCTCATGATCATCGACGGACTCAACGAAAGCGATACAGGCACAGAGTCACGAGAGAAAGGTCTATTTGGCATCCCTCTCGAGCTCCTCGACGGTTGGCAATTTCTACAGTCACCAAAAGTCTACTTGGCAGCCTTCAGTCAATTTTGTCAAGCGGGTGGCGTTTTCCCTTTGATCAAGGGCTTCGTCGCACTCACAATTGTTGCCTTCCTCGTGTTCTCATATCTATTCAACTCGAAACCTGGGTTCAAGCAGGATATCGAGGAGGCTGGTCCGATCTCACAGGCCCCAGCACCGGCATCCCCCATCGAGGTCAGACGCCGAGCTTGGAGCACTAGCATGCAGGAGCTGCGACTTCCTCATCACAGCTTCTTCCCGGAATGGCTTGCCCTTACTTCCGAGTGGCTCAAGTATACTGTCGGCTGCCTATTCGGACCTCGAGCCTACGCTTGGTTGACCGGGCGTACCGCCGAAGATGACGTGGCTCGGATCAAAGCTTGGGATATTGCCATTGATGCCCAATTGGCCGGTGGGGATGTCGAAGTCAGCCGCAGCAGAGTTGTCCTAACGATTTTTGGTTCAGGCACTCTACCCAGTACGCCTTTGCGGTTGATGCTCAAAGCACTTCATTGTCGGGTTCTCTTGTGGAACGTGGGCTCATTCGGCACGGCCGTTTCCAGAGTGGCTAACCGGGTTGGGAAATTCCTGGCTTGCCGGCAATGGAGTAGAGCCAAGGAGACACACGATAATCTGCCCCTGCATCATACCGATCGGCTGCCAACATATCTTTCGGAAATGCTGGAAATGCCGTGCGACGATGTTGTCTTGGATACGGTTTGCCAAAGAGCTTACAATTTGATGTATGACCGGCCAACCCAGGAAAATGCTTCCAATGCATTGATGGATGTGGTTGTGGAAGATCATGCCGTCCGGTCACCTCTAGATGCGATCGCTGCTTGGAGGTCCACATATTCTCTGACACGGGCTGTCGAATTGTCCCTCCAGGACACGGAGCCCGAGTCCCTGCAGCAACACCTCTCATGTGCGGTCAGACTTGCCCCACCCGGTTCAGCCGTCGAGTTACGTGCTCTGGCGGCAAGCTCGGTGTTCAGCAGCACCCTCCGAAGCGCCTGTTTCCCGCGTGCATCAAAAGCGATGGAGGCCGCGTTATCGCCAACCCCAGCCGCTACGATGCAGCCCCCTTATTTCATCGATTCTTCGACACCGGTCTCGGCCAGAACCGACATCTTGAATTGCTTGCATTGTGCCAAAACTCTGCAGATCTTGGAATGCGAACGTGACGAGGACAAAGCTGTAGCTTACTTTTGTTCGAGAAATGTCGACACCACAAACGCTAACTTGTTGTCGAAAGCCGCCGTGGCTTGCGTCCTGCGGCGACTACCTGCCATCACTAGTTCAGCTTCTGCTGACCGAGAAGAGGTCCGAATCCTACCACGCGATTTCGGTCAAGAAGCTGACTCGTTGCCGCAACGCAGCATGGAGAAGTCGTCGAGAAGGTATAGCACCTTAAGTAACGATACTGGCTATGAAAGCCAGGATGATCTCACGTCCTCGGGGGGTTTAGATCGGGACGTTCGTTTGAATGGACATGAAACGTTGGCGCTGGCGTCAGATGAGTTTGTTGTCTGAACATGTATATATCTTATGTCCGATACGAGGATGCCTATAGTTGGGCGGTGTTCTGGTCACATACAGAACCATTGTGCAGCAATGTACTGATCAGCATGACCACAGATAAGTCTAAGACTCTAATGCCATATATGTCAGTGGTTATACTTGCAAGAATACCTGTAGTTCATACTGCTCCCATTCAGGAGAGTTGAGTTGTATCTAAATGTCTTCAAATGACGTCGAATTTCATGCCATAGTGTGATATGACTTCATTCTTCTTCATTCGACTTCCACCTTCAATATTCTCTGCATTTCATCTGAGTGTTCTGAGCTCGGTGAATGGAGATGGGTGACGAGGGGCAGGGAGATGACGCCGTGTGGCAGATTGGAGTCTTTGACTCGCATTGCCATCCTACCGATATCATGGCATCAGTCAACGACATTGCTGACATGAAGGCCCGAGTCCTCACGGTCATGGCTACAAGGGCAGAAGATCAGGAAATGGTCGAGAAGACTGCAAAGATGTATCCAATCGACTTCAAACTTGACGTTTCCAATCCAACCTCAAGATACGTGGTTCCTGCCTTTGGATGGCATCCATGGTTTTCACATCAAATGTACGACGATCGCGATCAAAAGGGTCGACCGGAGGCAGTCGAGCATTATCGCTCCGTCCTCGTACCGACACCTGACGATGATGATTTTCTGCACGCTCTGCCCACTCCACGCTCGCTCAGCGAGTTCTTGAAGCAGACCGAAGCACGACTTCAAGAGTTTCCTTTCGCACTGGTGGGAGAAGTAGGACTGGATCGTGGCTTTCGCCTACCTGAAGGCCCAAGCGCTACGACTGGTGACATGGGCAACAAGACTGGAGGATCTGAGGAGGAGTATACACCTGGATCCCGCGAGGGTAGACCTCTAACACCTTACCGGGTAGATATGGACCACCAGAAGATCATTCTCCGAGCTCAGTTGGAACTTGCCGCTAAGATGCGCCGACCCGTCTCCGTCCACGGTGTGCAGGCCCACGGACACGTTTTTGACTTGATGCGGAGTATGTGGAAGGGGCACGAGAGGCCATCGAAGCGTGAAAGGAAAAGGAGACCGGACGCTCCCAACGCTCATCCTCAGGACGATGCCGAGACCGACAAGGACCTCCCCTTTCCGCCTCGCATATGCATGCACTCCTACTCTGGACCTCCGGATGCTCTCAAGCAGTTTCTCAACCCAACTGTGCCGGCTAATATCTATTTTTCTTTCTCCACGGCGGTCAATTTCTCAAACGCATCTTCCGCGAAAGTGACGAGCGTCATCAAGGGCGTGCCGGACAACAGGATCTTGATCGAAAGTGATCTGCATTGTGCCGGGGAAAGAATGGATGAGTTGCTCGAAGAAATTGTGCGACGAGTATGTGAGATCAAGGAGTGGTCAATACAACACGGAGCTCAACAACTTAAGCAGAATTGGACGAAGTTCGTGTTCGGCTGATAAAACTATAAGCTGGGTCGGAGGACGAACCAGTTTCCAGAAAAAGTGGCACCGCCTGATAGGGCGTATCTCGAAGACACAAAGTCGAAGTCAGGCTGGTTTACAACAGCGGATGCCTCGACAGCAAGACAGAAGCACTGTACGGTATAGCTGATGGCCTCCCCTCTGCCAAATGCCAACGCTACATCGTTGTGTGTGAAGGACTCCGGGATGGCAACAATGGGCATCTGCTTGAAACTAACGAGCTACCGCGGTCACTGTGCCACTTTTCTTGGAAACAGGCTTGAGGCCGCCTTGAGATGTGACCACGCCATATCACCTCACCTTCACTACAAGCAGTCACCTCGAGCAACCACTGGCGCGTTTGTTTGCGTGACACGCGATCACCGCGGTCTGTCCAAGGCATTCGACCTATCGCGACAAACGGTTTGCGTTCGTTTTCGCCACGAATGAGATCTGACGCAATTAATCAATCTGAACATGGCGGGTCGTCTCATGTACACAATGTCCACTGTGCCAGCCAACCTCCCCATCCTCAATCCTCCCCAATCTTTCGGGTACAAGGATTGGGTCATCAAATACCCGGTTCCGCAATTCCTTCACCACAGTAACGATGGCGCTCAAAACCACCACGAGGTCCGTTTGCAGAAATTGGTCCATTTTGTCGAAACTCGGTTCGGCAAAGGCCGGTGCTTCTTCAGTTTCTTGCAAGGTCAAGGTCAGCGCAAGCCGAGTCAGATCGAGGTCACTCAGCTTTATGCTCTGCATGAAGTCAAACATTGGCCCGGTGCTGTGGCGCAGGTGGAATGGACATCCTTTGTTATGGCGAACATTGAGTATGACGATATGGTCAAACTGTACGGTTCTTCTAGTTTGACTGGTACGCTGACTGGTATTCCGACCCAATGCTCCAATATTTAACGCTGCTCAACTGACTTCTCCCCTAGTACCGGTGCTTCCAGAAGCCGCATTGGACGTCTACAAACTGATGAAAGAGAGTGAAGACGCAGAATTATCCCGGATCTGTGCTAGGACTGGCAAGACCATCGGACAATTAGTGGACGGCAATATCAGTCTTTATGCCAATGAGGTTGCGTCGCACATCTTGGACACACCAAGCCTTACACCTGAAGTCGACCCACCCTCCATCTCAGACCCTGCACCTTCACCTATCCCTATCTCACGTCGTCCAAAATCCAAGATAATGCCTATCTCTACATCCGCACTGGCAGATCTCTCTACGATTACTAGGAGAGGGGCCCGTGAGGCACAGTCGCCTTCGAGCGCACATCTCCCACCCAAGCAACAGACTCTACGCAATAAGCACATGACTCTTCGACAGCTGGCACAGAACGACACGCTGTTTAAAGAGGTCGCAGAGAACCACCGCCTGTTTCTGGACAAGATGATGAAGAAGATTCACCAGTATTCAATGCGCGTCATCTGTCGCCTACCTGCTATGCAATCAGAATCTTGGGGAGTATGCCAAGGGCGTTCGAGGGACTGGATCAAGAAGCTGTGTGCTGAGTCGCTGCAATACTGGCGGGACCGCAGCAGAATCCCTTGGGATGAGTCGCGCGCCCCATCTGGCCCGTTGGACAAGCAGATTTCCTTCTTTTGTGCATCTTACGCAGTGACTGACCCGCTGCCGAAATCTGGGCCCAATCGCAAGATCAAGGCTCGGGTTCATTTTGTTCGAGCTCTATATCGCCAACGCAACCTTGTTGGATCGTGGGTTGATAACTTGAAGAAGAAGGCTGAAGAGCGAACAGGCGTGCGGTATCGAAAGGAAGATGGATTTGTTTTGGATTTATGGACTGGTGGGTGCGAGAAAGTTGAAGATTTCCAGAAGAGGACTCAGCATGAACAACTGGTCGATGAACTTGTTGTCGTGGAAAAGGGACAGTATCCGGAGCTTGATCAGTGACTGTGTAGAAGGTGACCATGTTTTGGGTCATAAGAACACCTGGGTATGCTGTGTCGAAGTACGATCTTGTCTACTGTTTTGAGTGGACGAGCTTTGTATGATTATCATTCTAAGGAAGGAACAACAGTGTCCCTATGGAATTGGAATGTGAATGTGAGCTTCGTAACTGATCAACATGGCAAGGCTGGCTCGTTGGCTCCCCTTGCAGTTTCCAAGCCCAATCGGCATGAGCCTTGATCGCCTGTACATGATTGGCGGGCTCTTTAGGCTACGCAGCTCCGGCCTCCTCGGTAAGCTTCATCTGCGGCCCCTGTTCATCACCTCTTCATTCATCCCGTCGTTGTTAATTCCTTTAAAAGTGTTTTCATGAAGCACAAGTTCATCAACTACAACTCTCGCCACTTTGCGCAGAGACACTTGAGCAATATAGCCACCAGATGAAATGTGTACGATTGGTATTGGTGGCTGGGTGCCTTACATGCCCCGATCGAAGCCAAAAAAGTCCATGATGTCAAGACATTGCACTTGCACCACTTGGACTCACACAATGCACACAATCGAGTCTTATGTTCTGTCAAGCATATTGGTTATGCCTGTTCCTGCAGTGAATATGCATTGTTCGGCTCCTGCCTGATACCATATGCTAATGATCTTTCCGCCCATCATGACTGTCCCGTCCCTTTCTATATGTCCTTGACCTCTCGTATACCGAGACACTCACACTTGCACACAAACTAACACAGCATGTCCCCCTACCTTGATGACCGGCCCGAGCCTCAGCCTGAACATCAATCTACGCGTCCACGACATTGTATTTCGATACCAGAAGCTCCCATCACAGAGCAGTATCCAGCGCACCTACCGCCTGCGGACTCCAAGCTTGTGAACTCCGGAGTGGTCCAGACTACATTTGCGCCCACGGCGGATGCACCATACGGAACAGAGAAAGATGGATGGAACAAGACACACGAACATCAAACTGTACGTCTTCACACTCATGGATGACACGGGAGACTACAACTGACACTCTACGCTGTACAGGTCCTAGAAACACACTGCGCCTTCTTCGACCCGGACGGCGACGGCGTCATCTGGCCAGCCGATACATACCGCGTCTGCCGCTCCTTTGACTGGAAAATCCCGACTTCCTTGTTCTTCACGGCCTTCCTGCACTCTGTCCAGTCGTACAACACATCCCCATCCATCATACCCGATCCGTTCTTCCGCCTGTACGTCAAAAGAGCATACATGAACAAACATGGCAGTGGCACTGGCACGTTTGACTCGGAAGGCCGGTTCCGACCACAGCCTTTCGAGGACTTTTTCGAAAAGTTTGACCGTGATGGGAAGGGAGGGTTGACCAAGTGGGAGTTGTGGCATGGCTTGAGGAGGTCGAGAATGGCATTTGATTTCTTCGGGCAGGTCTCGGCTATGTTCGAGTGGGGGTTCGCCTGGGTGCTAATATGGCCGGAAGATGGTATTCTGAGGAAAGAAGACGTTCGCAGACTTCTCGATGGCAGCTTGTATCATGAGAAGGTGGTCAACAAGACTGGTCAGGCAAGCAAATGTCCGAGACCAACTGACAATGGACCCGGAACGATGACGAGGCCGAACATGAAGCAGCCCATGACAGCAGCCGAAAGGAAAAGCCAGTAGAGACTTGACGAGATTGATGTAGGCTCCACGAGCTACAAAAGCGACTAATGTCCTGGATGTTGCAGTACAGCATCATATTGATTGGCAAGTTTTACAGCTTACAACCTGCTTGCCAACTCCCTCTTCAATACGAACAGGTTCCGTTGTCCATCACTCTTGACCCGTCCAGTCCGTCCGATCTTCTCCTCCGTCTGGGAGCATAACTGCCTGAGCGTCTCCTCATCCCCGTGATTCGCGACGAATCTGTGTCCAGTGCTCTTCAGGCGACCGACAATGTATGCTCGAAGCGGGGTATTATCCCTCTTATATTCAACGGTATATGTCTGTAAAGGGGCATCAGTCAGTCGTACGCCTCAAAGACTTCGTTATTGCGTGACAACGAACCTCAATAACAGCATCCTGTTCACCCTGGACTTCGGCATCGACTTCGGGACTCGGCACATCTTCAATGACTTCCGGCAATGGCGGATTATCCGGGTACGCGACGCCTTCGCGGCGAGGCGACTTCGAAAGACAAATGACATGCTGATATGTCATGACGCCGCCGTTGGCAAGGACTAAACCGTGTCGGCCTTTTCCAGCACGGATTTGGCGTGTCATTTCTGTGATGGCCTTGAGAAGCACGATCAGCCCAGCTCACGGCGACCACTATACAGAAAGGCAAAGGGGACGTACATGCATAGAGTAATTGTTTCCGGCACCGCCAAAGCTCGTCAATCCGCCTAGCAAAGTGATTGGTTTGCTGCCGCCGGTGATAGGCAGATTCAAGTGTGTTGCTGCGATTTTGGGGACGACGGGAAAGCACCTATTCGGATCCACGTCGTCAGCCCATCTGATGGTGAGAGACACAGAAGAGGAGACATACGAATAGAAATCACATAAATCAATATCATCCCGTATCAGACCCGAGACTTCAAGACCAGTGTCAAGGGAGCGTTCAATAGACGGACTGGAGTGGTAGTTTGGTCGATTCCAGACTTTGTACGACGACACACTATATGTCAGCACGTTGGGCCGCCAGAGTGAGGGAGATGAGAGAGAGGACATACAATCAGTTGCATCCTGCGTCCCTGCACCGCCGAGAACATATATCCATTTCTCCTTGGGGATGCCCAGTTCTTCAGCGAATGTGGTGGAAGTCAATATGCATGCCGCGGCGAGGTTGACCGTGTTGAATGCGTTCATGAGTAGTGGATCTGTTGTCATTGTTAGTAAGGATTGAGGACTGCCCAGTGACAGGAGAAGGAGAAGCAAGACGTACAAGGCAAACATATCATCCTATTCCTCTTTGACACCGTACCAATCTCCTCTTTCGACTTCGGCGATTTCTCATAGTTCCAAGAATAAGGCTGACTTGAAGCGACTTCTGCAAATTCAGCGTACAGTTGTGCTGACTCGTCGTTGTTATCGCCTATACTTTGTCCGCGATGTGCTCGGAAACCAGCTTCAAAAAGCGGGTAGACTTGAATCGGTTCGCCTATGGAGTGGGTTGCTCCGATGTCTGTCACACAACCCTGTCAGTGACCCTGGACACTCGTGATAGCGTTACATGTGGTGGGAAAGTAACGTACTTTTCCCAAGATCTCTCCCCGTCGGCGAAAAGACCTTGTCGACGCCCTGTTTCGTCTCGATCCAGCCTGGTGGAGGCAGTTTCTTTGCGGCGGCGCATGCTGTTACTATATCCCCAACCAAGAGATCCACATTAGCATTGAAGTAGCTTCCGCACAGGAAGGGCTTGAACAGCACAAGGTGAGGGTTCGAGAGTGCTTACATGAAGCAAGTGCTTCACCGCCAGTCACGATAGCAACTTTACTTCGCCGCTTCGATATCCGCCGCGCAGCCTCATCGAGCATCTTGGCAGGCTTGTTCCCGCCATGGTCGGAGTAGAACCGGTGGCGTGGAACGACGCCTAGATTCCTGCTGATGTCGCCCGGTAAATCGTCGTATGGCCATGTCCATGTGCGGACGACGTCGATGCTGTCGATTGCCGATTGCAGTTTCGCGCGACTTGATGCATTGAGAGCGGTGTCTTCCAGCGCGATTGTGATGGCGTTAAGTATCAGGGTCAATGGCTCGTGGGCATCTGATATTGAGGTGGAGCGGTTAACGAAGTCGCCTACGCCGACGACGATGGGGATTTCAGACATGATGGTGAGATCCCCTTCAGGTCCAACGTCTAAGGCAATGCTATGTGCAAGGCATGTGCGCAGTCCTTTGTAGAGGCTCGTACATTCGTAGGTTCGAGGGGTGTGAACGGTACTCAGTCATGTTGAGGTTTGAGGATGTGATGTGAATAGAATGTTGGAGTACAACCGAAAATGCCGAGGTTCATTCATACTTGTGCCTTGCAAAACTCCATGAATTGTCAAGTTTGCCGAGTCAGTCTGGACTGCTATGACCACGGCTAAATGTTGTTCGATTCAAAGATTGCGTCGAGGAAAAACGGAAAAAGGAACAAACGTTGAAGCCAGAAGCGCCCGTACTTTCCCGACATGTATATATAGCAGGAGTACATCCCTTTCCTTCATCGCCCGGGTGAGAAACAGCTGTCCTTCGGAACATACTGATCAGCTCCCGTCGACGATGGCGGACAGCCCTCGCACTTGGTCATCAAGGACAGCGCATCTCCACGAATCCCCATCGTTCCTCATCGACTCATATTGCTCATCACTCATTACAATCATGTATGAAAACACCACTCCACCACGTACTGCGACAAACATGCACGATAAACGACCTCCCTGACGCCAGTCGAGACCCCAGTACAGTTCATCACATCTTCTCCCGATGAGAAATCGTGGTCGCTTCCTCATCATCGCCCTTCACCACGACTTCGAGCATCTCATCTGGGTGCCTCTGTGCCCGCACAGCCTCTGCAACACTCTTGAAGAACCTCACCTCAGTCAGTTCGAAGGGTGCACTACCCACAACCTCAGGCTCCAAGAATCTCCATCCAGCACGTTCGAACCTCTGTCGAGTCGAGTCCGACATCGCGACGAATCGAACCTCGACCCTCTCCCCAGCATACTTCCTCAACTCCGTGATGAAGTTCTTCAAGCCATTGACGGCCGTGACATCGCAGAAAGTGACCGTGGTGAAATCCAAGATGAGGACTTTGATCGGCGGCAGATTGGCGTTTTGGGTGTTGGCCTTTTTGCGCAATCGGTTTAGTCGCTTCTCACCTTCGACGGACCAGACTCTGTCCGCCTCTGCACCATTGTCGCGATTGTATTCTGCAGTGTGATATGTCTGGACGATGTCCATCATGGTTTGTTTGTTCTGTAAGGTGTTGGGGAAGAACAATGGTTCGTTAAAGCGGAAGACCCGGATGTCCTCTGGGATACTTGATGGCATATGACGAGCAGTATCGAGGGACGCCACCAGCTCGGAACTAGAATCTGCTCCAATTGACTTGACACGAATGAAGACCTGGCGGATGAGGATATATGCCACGTTGAAGCCCACGGCGCAGGCAATTCCGATCTCGGTACTGACAAACAAGGAGACCCAGAAGGCTATCATTGCAGCGATGAAGTCTGCAAGCGATGTTTTCCAGAAATGATAGTAAGTCTTGGGAGATCCAATGAGAGGCCAAACAGCAGTGATGATGATGGCAGAAAGAGTGGCCTTGGGAATCCAGTAAAGCGCTCCAGTGAACTTGTAAATTGCAAGCACAATGAAGGCGGTAGTGACAAGTCCGCTCAAGGGAGACTTGACCTTGCACTGCGAATTGACGGCAGTACGTGACATCGCTCCACCGACACCCATCGACCCAAAGGCGCTGTTGAAGAAGTTGCATACCCCAATGTAACACAACTCCTGGCTGGCATCAATGACATAGTTGTTCCTCATGCCAAAGGCTCGGCCAATAGCCAGATGCTCCAAAGTGGCTGCGATGAAAGGGGCGATGCTGCGACCAGCAACTTTGCCGATGAGTGTCGCGTCTGGCAGTTTGGGAGCTCCGATGTGAATAGCCGGGACTTTGCTGACGTCGAACAGGTAGTGCTTGGAACTTCGTCCCTTGTTGACGGCATAACTGATTCCCGTGAACAGCAGGAGAGCAATAAAAGCACGAGTGATGGACAGGAACCAGACAATCTTGTTCTTGTTGCCCCATCTCTCGCCGGCCTTCTGAAGTGACACCAGCAAAATGATACCAGCGAAACCAATGCCAGCGGCTCGTCCATTGCAGGTGGCCAAGTGGTGGAAAACGTCATGAATGATGTGGGCTGTGCCGGTTCCCACGTTTTTCTCACCTATGAGGTTTGCAACCTGGCCGAGCCCGATCGTTATCGCAGCAGCAGAAATGAAGCCGTTGAGAACAGGGTAGGAAATGAAGTCCAGAAGGAATCCCAACTTCAGGAATCCCAGGCCCATGCCATATACACCCATCATCAACGCAACCGCAGAAGCCACCGCTTGTGCACTATAGCCTTCTTTTGTCAAGTCAGAGACAATGTCTGAGGTGAGTAGGCCAATCAGGGAAGTCGGTCCGGTTGATAGGTCTGTCCTGAATGTCAGCAGAGTTTCGGCGGATGCCTGCACAGTAGACGACTGTACCTTTCGAGGTGCCCATGATCGTGTAGAGAACTGCTGGCAGCCAGGCCGACATCAGGCCCCACTGAACAGGTATCGTTGCGATCTTAGCATATGCCAGGCCTTGAGGGATCAGCATTACAGCCAGAGTCAAGCCAGCAACACAGTCGTTGATGATCCATTTGTAGTCGTAACGAGGAAGCCACCCAATGATTGGGAACTTGTCAAGCACATACAATGTCGCTGCTGCCGGAGCAGCACGAACGCCTTGCTTACCAAGCCTGGCGACGCGGTTCCAGGTAAAATCAGTTCTGATGTCGTCCTTGACCTTGTCGAAGACCTTCATGATGCTTAGTTAAATCCTTATACCGACAGGAGGGAGATAGGAGAAATCGAAGTGTGATATGGCAGGAGCAATATCACGAAGGGACGAAAGAACCGTGCGAGATATCGTGGGCTGGAGTTAGCAATATCTATCCATGTGGACCCCTCTTATCCTGAGATCTTCTTGGCTTTGGCAGTCCAACACGGGGTAACACATCTATAGTGCATGTGTGCTTGTCAGGTTGCTAATGTTAGCCGAAACGGATATACCAGAGGCTGATCAACCAGAAGTGCAGGGAAGTAGAGATGGTTGTCGGAGACCTGCCGCATCAGGGCAGGGCACTTTGGGTATCTGACAGACATTCCCTGCTAGTTGCATGCACGAGCCTCTGCCACGGTTGAAGGCCAGAGACTGGGTGCGGCTAGGCACTGTGATCCGTGGTAAGAAGGATTCTGGGGACGAATCAATGCGGAGGAGGCTTACCTGGCCCGCCTTTGGGGTGCGGGGGTGGAGGTACATGGCACACTTGCTCTCCGCTAAACTTGGATGAAGTCGAGCTGAGATCAAAGCCACCTGTCCCGCTTGTGATAACGATGAAACCGTGTTCGCTTAAACGATGACCCATACAGTGTCAGACTGTTGTTGCGCATGTTCGCTACGCTCAATGGCGAACTTGAAGACATCCAGTTAACGAAGGGGTATCGAACATGGTCCTCTGCCTCTTCTTTCAGGCAGTTTAGCGTATCTGTCAAGTGTCGACGATATACGTGTCATTACCTTTCGGTTGTGTTTTGGTCTGCTTGATGTGATTCTGTCCTGGAACAGTGCCCATACCGGCTGAACAATTAAGCAGAATCCGGGGTTATGTGGAGAGCCATCGTTGGAAGGACTTCCCATTGACTTCATGATGAGTATGGACAATACCTCGTGATGCACCAGTTGGTCCTGAATCTGTTGCACGATTTCGGCAGTGATGTCGATCTTGCCTCAACCTCATGTACCGGGATGTCGAAAACAAGTGCCGTACAGACCTCGGCAAGGAACAATTGTAAGCTGAAGCACTCTCAGTCCTCGCCCGCACGTTCCAGCCCACAATAGGATTCGACGTGATCACTAAGAACAGAACTGGGTCAAATGTTAGCACATGATACCTGGTTCGATCACTGGAAGTCGTTCGTGTCGATTCTGCCAGACGCCGTCTAGATCTGTGCTGCCAGAAGTACTCCCAGCAAGACCGTGCAAGTGACAATCGCAAGAGAGCTCGCAAGTTGGGAGGAGCGATTTATCCCGGGTCTTATAGTCAAGCGCGTGTATAACAGCCCGGAGGATGACGGACTTTTCTCATCAGACCACAACCAGGCTCCGAACCATTCCCGAGAATGTCAGGCTGAATATTGTAGCAGCAAGGTGTAGCATATGTGCAAAGGCTACCGCAGGAGACGATGTGTCAAACTCACTATCGATACGTCGACAAAGGCCATACGGTCCAGGTGGCGCACCACGACCTCAGCGAACAGGTGGAGCGCCGCATAGGTACTCCCCCATACTCCCCCATTTCAATATCTCTGATTTGATGGAAAAACCTTCAACCTGGCATTCGTTGCTCTGAAGTCGCACATGTACAGACGTAGTGCACCTGGGCCAGCCCAAACGTAACGGTTGTTGTAGACCTCGCCGGATGCGTGGGGGACAATGGTGCAGGCCCTAACAAGTTGCGTTAGATGCCACGCGTTTGCGGATGTAGTCAGGTCCCACAACCCTGAACTTGATGGTGCCATCTGCACCGTCCGGCGGTTCTGCAAGAAAGCACCATGCACCCTGGAGCGCCGGGTATCTGGTAGAGGGGCAATTCGATTAACCGAGGCGAGAGGCTTGTCAGGGATGCAAGTTATAGGACACTGGCAGGAACCGCACCCTGAAAATCATGATGTCTGTGCCGATACGTGCAATGGTGCCCTGCACCGTCCCATGATGAACATCTCGACTTCGAGTTCACTGAACAGTGTTAACACTGACAAGGCCAGCGATAGTGGCGTGACTGTTTCGAGGATTCCCTGCAATGAAGGAGGTGATGGCGGCTGATAGAATGCATGGAAACACTCTGTCAGGGTGGATGAGCATGTGGGATTACCCTTTGCTGTCCGGCTGAGCCACCGGCCAGGGCTGGATTGTAGACTAAGTGTCGGCATTGTGGGTTTGCGCACTGACATCCTTGGATTTGGGCCTGGTTGGAGCCCTCCGCATCACCTAAAGTCGGGTCGCTTGAATGATCTTTCGTGACTGGCTGATGAATCCATCGATGCCCGTCCGGATCAACAGGTCAAACCAGCTGAGGGTGTGAATGGAGCATGGTCATCGTTCTGCCGGCTCCTCGCCGCCGTCTCCAGACCCTGCATGCTCGTTCATTCCTTATCGTTCGTTCTCCGGATGTATAGCAGGAGGCGAAAACTGATCTCTAAGAAAGTTTCTTACCGATGACCCCATATATATTGATTCACCCAGGAGCAGCAAGACCTCCATGTTTGCATTGTGGGCCACGACTGACCTGTCTTCGGATTTATAGAGGTTGTGTTGCCTGAGACAACCACCCCAAGCAAGGAACCATTTCAAAGACTCGACGCGATATGTCTCGCGGCGCAAATTGCTATGGCAAAAAAGCGTCTTCTTATCGGCACCCATTGATGCCGCCGAATGTTCGAAGGTTCATCTCAGGATATGATCTCGCATTCTTGTCAAGTAGAGGATGTGGTCGGAGAAGGAAAGAACGAGTTGAAGGTGAAGTCGATTGCAGCCTAAACTGCTTTCACACTAGCGTGGAATGCATCCTAACAACTACTGTAACTATTCAGGAAGCTACAGCGAGAGTATCATTGATGTCTCAGACTCCAGCGTTTGACTTGCTTTTATCTCTACCTATTCGACATGATTACGGTGAAAGACATGTATCATTGAATGATCTGACGAATGCCCATTATATCGCAAGCTCTATTGCGGCGTCCCATCTAACCTCGGCAACCCGTAAATATTTCCTTTGCAAACCCTCAATGGACACCGTTTGGCACGCTTTGCTCGCGCAGATATGTCTTCCAAACGTCCTCAATATCGTTGCGGTATATCCAGGGCAACGCATCTTCACCACCAAATGCCTGCATCCTAGCTGCCAAGCTACTCTCAAATGTGGCATTCGGGTTGCTCTTCTTCGCTTCTACAACCCTGGCCTTCTGGTCGTCAAGATGTTGATACCTGGAACCACGGGTCAGCTTCGTTCAGGTGTCCAGCAAGCCACGTACATTCTGAGATAGTATGGCGACCGGATCTGGTCGAAAACTTCCAGAGCTTTCTCAAGAGGCGCAGATGTGGACCGAGCATACTCAATTGCCCTCGCTAGAATCCAGCCGTCCTCCAGCGCGAACGCAGCCCCAGACCCGAACGCGCCTGATCACCAACTAGTCAGCCATAGATACACGAACACCGGGTTGCCTTCCACTCACCTGACAGTGGATGACTCGCATCTCCAAGAAGCACACTTTTATTCCATGCAGTGAGTTTTTCCAGTCTGGGCCCAGCAAACGCAGAGAATTCTTTCCACTGTCCCTCCTGAGGTTTCGACAGCAGTTCTCGAACTCGAGGATCGTAGTTCTGGCGTATCACATGAGCCAGGTGGTGTTGGCGTGGGAAAAACACAATGCATTGCTTACCAAGAAATGAGACTCGACCCTTTCTTTGGTCGCGGGAACACCCCAGCTGAACGTCTTTGCGGTGACAGTTTCCGGATCGACAACGTTCCTAGCCGCGATCTCCATCATCCTTTCTTCATACGGCACCTCTCCAGGATCGTCGACAAAGGAATGATAAATGTGACCGGTCGGACCATGCCACCATGACGTCGACACGGTAAGTTCGGGGATATGCTCAACCGAAGTGACTGGGATCAAAACCCGCCATATCGTCGTCCCTGGACAAGGTTGAGTCGGGGTCTGCCCCGAGTTTGTGTCCAGAAGACTTTACCTGTGAAATTGATCTTATGATCCGGAAAGATATGATCTCTGACCACCTTTGGAAAGTCAGCTAGGTACACATCATGGCTCTAGGTGAATCTGGGCATACCGAGCGTATACCATCTGCTCCAACAACCAGATCCGCCGTGGCATTCGTGCCGTCCTGAAAGGTAAGCCGTACGCCTTCGGCTCCTAGATCATCCAGAGAAGCAAGCTTCTTGTTCAGCTGGATGACGCCAGGCGGAACCTTGGATATCAGCGCGGACTGCAATCTCGTCCGCCTTACACGCCGAGGCTGGTACTGTATTGGTAGATTCGCGGCACTCGTTCCGCCAACCTGTTCGCCAGTCAACCCATTCCTGTTGCAATGTCATCAGACCGGCGCTCGCTGCAATCAAAATGCTGTTGGGATAAGGGTATGGCATACCGATGAACAATCGCCGTCTTATGATGTCCCTTAACGCGGTCTGCCGCTTCTAGTAATTCGAGCACTCTCCAGCAATTGTACCCAATGCGAATGCCGGCACCAAACTCTCGAAGTTCTTCGGCCCGCTCGAATAGTGAAACCTCGACATCAGGAAGTTTGGACAATGCGATCGCGGCGCCCAATCCAGCTGGACCACCGCCGATGATGGCGACTCTCAGAGTCTTGGACTCTTCTAGAGGTCCTGCGTCGCCCATCTTGACTTTAGCCTTCACTCTCAATCTCCCTTACTAGACACGAGCGCAAGTACGTATAGTCAGTATAACTGAAAGGTTCCATCGGACAGAGGTCCAGCGTTTTTGTGCCGCTTAGCTGATCGTTTGCACATGGTTCCGCGATTGTAGTCGCTCTTATGAGATACGCGATATTCCGCGAGATGACGTGCTTTTCATCCCACCCTATCGCGTGCACTTGTAGAGGGTTGCGCCATCAAGAGCACCAAAGTCTAGAACCTAAGTACGACCAATGAGTGTCTCGATGGATATCAGTTCTGAAAGGAAACCCAGCACAAATGACCAAGCATTAGATCAATATTCACTCTCATGTGGTGAGACATTATGTCAATTGCGTATGTGATTCCGCCCCTTATTCTGCAGCCTTGCCGGGCGCCAAGGGTTTCCTGCCAGGGGACGACCGCTGGTAAGCCACCTATCGTCAGGACATATCCAAGCATCCTATACTTCTTCACCAGTGAATCCGCACACGCCCACTCCGTCTTGATCAAGCTTTACTCCTCACGGTCAAATCCTCAAGAACGCCTGACCTCTTCGTCTCGGCAACCTTGAACGCCCTACCCTCGCCACCAACATCAATACCCTTCTCCGCACGCTCGTACGCCTCATCGCTCCGATCCGTCAGGATCCGCAACTCGTCTTCACCCAATATCTCCTTTCCCTCCTTCTGCGCAATGTCATATTTCTCAAACTCGTCATCCTCCAGCACCCCTCTCATATCCTCCGCATCACCGTTGTTGAGCAACGACTTGAACTTGCCCTTCTGTATGATAAGTTTCTCCAACTTCCGCTTAGCATCTGCCTTGAAAAGTAGCGTTTCCTCAACTGTTCCGCGCGTCGCCAATCTGTACACAATGACCGGCTTGGTCTGACCAATCCGGTGAGCTCGATCCATTGCCTGCAAATCCTGCTGCGGGTTCCAGTCCGAGTCGAACAATATCACTGTATCCGCGGCGGTCAAATTGATTCCTTGCCCACCAGCCCGAGTAGATAGCAAGAATAAATTGTATGACCGGTCAACGTTGAAAGAGGTGATCTGATCGTACCGATCCTCTTGAGCCACGGAGCCGTCAATCCGACATGCTTTCCATCCACGGAGGTCGACCGCGTACGACGCCAGAATATCAAGAGTCGTCTTAAATTGGCTGAAAATCAAAACCTTGTGGCCCAGCTTGAACAGTCGGGGCAACAGCGTGTCGAGCAGCAAGATCTTGCCGGATGCAGTGATCAGGCCTTCATCCACTTGGGGGTAGTCCCCTGACTCCTCTTCGGCGATGGTACTCGGCTTCCATGGCCAATAGAAGTTGTGAGGACTATTGCAGGCTAGACGAGCCTGCATAATAGGATTCTGCATCTTCTTGGACGATATTTCTTTCTTGGCCAGCTTGAGCGTTTGCGCACGCTCGAATTCTTCGGCTTCTTCCGAAGAGGGACCAGGCGTATCTGGTGGAGGAGACGGTCGGTCAAGGTTGACGTCCTCATCGCCCTGTTCTAATTGACGTAAGCGTTTGTTGAACTCTCCGTCTGTAACATCACGGTAGCTGGTGCGTGCGCCTTTCCTCCCTCTACGAGTAGAACCGGTCGAAGCAACAGATGCGGGCGTCGAGGCTCGGCTGGCTTTGAGACTCTTTGCGGGCGTAGATCGACCGCTGCCATTGGCCTTGCGCTTGAGGGACCCCGCGCGACTTCTGGCCTCGATTCGCTCAACTGCTTTGTCCTCGAGATAAGATCTGCCAGTACCAGCGAGGATTTCTCTGTACAATTCCTTTTGCTCCGTCGTCAGCGGCGCGTACAAGATGTATTCTCGCTTCTTGGGTAGTGATGATTCGACGTCGGCCTTTACCCGCCTCAGCAAGAATGGCTTGAGGATAGCATGCATGGTTGATACAAGGTTGTTCTTGCGCTTCGAGGTCTTGCCGTCATCATCCGTCTTGTCCTCTAGCACGCTGGAAAAGTCGAACCACCTTTCGAAGGAGTCGAGGTCATTGAAGACCTCGGGTAGGAGGAAATGCAGCAGCGACCACAACTCGACAATGTTGTTTTGCAGTGGTGTCCCCGTGATCAGCAGCCTGTTGGCCGAGCTGTAAGTCATCAAGTCTTTGATCAACTTGCAATTCATGTTTTTCAGCCGATGCCCCTCATCCACGATGATATACCGCCACTGGTAATTTCCAAGAAACTTTTTGTCGTTCATGCAGATCTCGTAGCTCGTGACAACCACGGGAAAGTCGACCTTGCTTTGATCATGTATCTTCATCTTCTTGCGTCGCATGGCCTCACGCTCGTCTTTACTACCATGGTACAAAACCGTGTTGATCGACGGTGTCCAATGCTTGAATTCCTCGACCCAGTTTCGGACTGTGCTTAGTGGCGCAGCTACCAGAAAAGGACCAGAAATGTTGTTCTCCTTGAAGAAGGCAATCATGGAGATCGCCTGTAATGTCTTCCCCAGCCCCATCTCGTCGGCTAAGATACCGGACAGACCGTTCATCCATAATGTCTTCAGCCATTCGAGACCCTCGAGTTGGTACTGCTTCATGTTTCCACCAGTAACGAGTGAAGGTTGTTCGGTCGCCACAAGCTGCTGAGCGCCAAGTCCTTCTCCTTCGTACTCTTCTGCTGCCTCTGCGAGGGCTTCTTGAACTGACGGACCCTCCTGGGCGACATTCACGGTCTCAGAGTCAAGGTATTCTGTTATATTCTTCTTTGCAGCATTTGTCTTCTTGGCCGTACGTCCGCGACCTCGGCCAGTCTTCTTCTCTGGCTCTGTACCGTTCTCCTCTGCGCCTGCTTCGTCCGCTTGATGTGTCCGTGCCGACTTCCTGATCGGACCGGTCGACTCTGCTTGTTTGGCGACATCTTTCTGCTGTTTCTCCGCAGCACGCCGAGCCTGTTCCTGGTTGCGCTTCTGCTGTTCCTTCATCTTGTCGGCCATAATGGCCACAAAGACTGAACTTGTCTTCAGCAGATTCGTCAGAGCTCGCGACTTGTGGTCCATCTGCTCCTCGTCCTCCTCGTCGACCACATTCTTGTTCTCTTCTTTGACCATTGGTTCATTCTTCACTTCTGGTTTCACCTCAGAAGGGCTGTCTTGAACAGGAGAGGAAGCAGGTGTACTCTTTGCCGACGACATTGCTGTGGATGTAGTTGCTGTGCTTGGGGAGCCTTTGGCCATGGTCGTATGGGATGGCCCCGGTCAGGGACGGAGTCAATATATGCGACAAGCGACACCTCGACGCAGAGATCCTTAGCAAACGCCGAAAAAGCGAATCCCAGGCCAAGTAGAGAGCCCCAGACATCGAGTTCAACCGCATTGACTCCTTGACAAAAAGTGGTGACGCCAGTGGCAAGACGCGCCGTGCAAAAATCCCCTTTACGCGCTAGAATCTCGCGTCGATCGCGCACAGACCACACCTTATCTGACTTATTGGAGATCATCAATGCCGGTAGACGACCCTTTCAGGTACGAAGTACAGTGCAACCCTTTTGTCCAAGAAAAAGTGGCACTGTCTTACCGCTGTTGCTCTTCAGGTTCAATGGAGACCTCATCCTTGCTGTCCTCCGGGAGTCAGTCGTACACAAGACAACGAAGGTCATCAGCGCTACCGTACGGAGTTACTAGCTTGGAGTGAAGGCACCTGCTGTTGCCAGCCTTCTGGACCATGCATCCATTTCGTCGATGTACTCCCTGTCAACGGTACCACTTTCCCTAGAAAAAGGCTCCAGTGCAAGTCATTGTGATGCATCTAGCTCTTTGGTAAGGAAGGCCAGGCCTTTCATAGCCCATATTACATGTCTTCCGTCCTAGACTCCATAGACTAAACAAAAGAAAGTCATCTACTCATAAACCCATCCGCTGTACAAACTATCATGCTGAAACTGTTCCTACACTGTTGGCGCCTCGTCCAGCCGTTCTCGTCCGCTGTCGCTCAGGACGCTTCAAGGTATACCTGGAACAAATTGTCAATCATCGGTGTAAATATCACGGAGACGTTGACTTACTTAGCAAATGCTCTTGCTAGAGCTTTCTTGCAACTGATCTTCTGGCTGCTGACAAACGAGTCCACTGTCACAGCGATGGCCCGGTCAATATCCTGTGAGGTGCAGAAATCTGACAAACGCATCTTGCAGAATGCTTCTGCAATTCTCATGATGGCTTCAAGATGACGAACCTGCAAAACGTGTCAGTATTGTTGGTGGCCGAGTATAGGTCGAACATCACTTACAGTGATAGGATATGCGCCGGTTGCCAGAGACTCCCTTCTCATGTCGGCGAACAATCTGGCCACCTTGTCCTGATCGATCTGGTAGAGCTTCGGTCGGCACTTTTCTCTGGCATAGAGAATGTATTTGCGTAGCAGCTCTTGCGGGATGGCCCCTTCCTGCTTAGGTTCGCCATTATTGATTGCATCTGTGTCTCCATTCTCCATAGCGGCGATGTCTCCTCCGTCAACACCAAGTTTGGCGGGGTGTGCACGCCCGTGACTAGCGACAACGAACTTTGCGAGACGCTCATCTTCTGCCGGGTCGACAGTATCTCTCACAACGCAGAGAATATCAAATCGAGATAAGATGGGCTCCGTGAGTTCCACGTTCTGGCTGAATGGAATAGTACTGTTGTATCGTCCTCCGATAGGATTTGCAGCTGCAACAATCGCACAACGAGCCTGCAGCGTGGTGACAATGCCAGCCTTGCTGATGGAGATAGTCTGCTGTTCCATGGCTTCGTGGATGGAAGTCCGGTCCTGGTCGTTCATCTTGTCAAACTCGTCAATCAAGCAGGTACCTCGATCAGCAAGGACAAGAGCACCACCCTCGAGCGTCCATTCTGCCGTGAGGGGGTCACGTCGGACAGATGCAGTCAAACCAACTGCAGATGCACCTTGACCGGTAGCGAAAACAGCTCGGTGTGCAGTCTTCTCGATGTATTTCAGGATTTGCGATTTGGCCGTACCAGGATCTCCAAGTAAGAGGACATTGATGTCACCACGGATCTTGTGCTTGCCTTGTGCTTCCTTGCTGACTCCTCCAAAGAGTGACAGTGCGACTGCAGTCTTGATATCTTTATGGCCGTAGATTGACGGAGCTATCGAGTCGATGATCTTCTCTAGGATATTTGGGTCTTTGGACAATGCCCGAATTTGTCTCTCATCTTCCTCAGTCAGTCTGAAGCCAGCAAGCTGATCATGCGTTTTGATAACATGGTTGGCCTCGAGCATGGTCGCAAAGACAGGAAAGCCATTCTTGTTGTTGAGCTGACCACTGTAATTGTTGCGATAGATCGCGGTGACCTCGATCTCCTCACCTGGTTTCGCTGTGTCGATCAAATCGGCAAGGAGAATGACCTCCCGATGTCGTGGCAATCGTCCGGCTGGGACTGTGCCTGGAGACTCCTGCAAGGTCAACTTTTGGTAGTTTCGATAGACAGTCTTCTCGCTATTCAAGCTGAACGGCCCTCGAGATTGACATTCGGGGCAATAGTTGAGCTTGACCTCAGCCGATGTGGATTCCTGAGCAAAAGGACCCAGTGTGACACCACATTTGGTGCAGGTGAATTTGACCATCTGTAACTGTGGAAAGACACCTGTTCGCCTAGTGACGACGCCAGAGACACGGACCAGGCAATTCAGATGGGACTGTCGGAGTTGTCGCAAAGTATATTGGACCGGCAGGTCTGAGATGCGAACGTGGATTTCTGGGTGGATCAACTCGTAGTTTGGATAGTGTAGACGAACAACCTCGAATGCTGCCTTGTCGAATATCTTGAGCATCTCAGCCGGTGCATTCGCCAGGAAATAGGCAAGAATTGCCTTTGTCGAGGATAAGTGATCATATGATACTTCGAGAGATTCCGAATTGACTTCACCCAATGTACGGATGCGTGTACCGTAGACTGATGTTCCATTGGCGTCAATGTATTCCGTCAGGAAGGATTTAAATTCTCTCGCGATGGTTTTCATGACTGACGGAAGGGTCACCCACTCTGTGATGTTGGATGCCTTGATGTCCTGCAAAGTTTCCAGAGAAAGTTCTTCTTCCATGATGTTCTCGTCGAGATCCATGTCTTCCTGATCCTCATCGTAGTGATGTCGACGTCTTCGGGGTTGTTTTGTCAGGTCAATACCGGCATCGTCATCGTCATCAGGCATGAATGCAGCGGGCATGCGACGCCTACGAGCCAGCTCGCGGTCGCGTCTGTTCATACGGGCTTCTAGTTGACGGCGAGAAGCCAAATCAACTTCGTCATAGTCGCCTTCATCGTCAATCATTCGACCCTGGTAGGTCTCTTCGGCACCTCGTTCGCGTTCATCGTTCATGAAATTGTCTCCAAAGAGGTCGATACCGTCTTCGTCCTCGGCCATCTCGTCCACATCGTCGATATCACCGATCAAATCGTCTTCTGGGTCTAATTCGTCATCGTCTAACTCATCGTTCTCGTTGGTAGGGAGTAAAGGGGGTGAAGAAGGAATGAGCGCTGTGACCCGTTAGTCCTCTTGCCCACATTGCTGCGCCCATGGAAGGTGTCAACCGACCTGCTGGTGAGGACGACATGATTTCATCTTCATCGTCTCTTGCTCTCTTGCGTCTGCTGTTGTTGCTTGGGCCTCTGTTTGCGGCAGACATGCTTGGTCGAAGGGGTGAACTGCTGGGAGTTAGTATCCCGGGAAAGTCGGGGACGTTTTCGCTGAGACGTTCTGGGGGCGTACCTCATGTTTTCTGGTCAGCGCACAGTGATATAGTGGTTGCTGAAATGTGTAGGGTTGTTGTCGATTGCAGAAGAAAAATGCCCCCTCGTCTGGTTTGATTGAGAAAGTGCTTTACGCGCTTCGCGTGTCGCGAAATTACGCGCTAATGCAACCACTTGGTTGGAGAAAAGTGGAGAAACATTCTTCCATCGACTCTCGAGTTCAAAGTACGAGTACTGATCTGCGCAGATTAAACACATTTCACTTTCCATCTTATTCAGACTTGTCGCGGGCGACATCACCTCTCTTGCGGAGACTTGGATAACTGTTTTGATCTGCACTTCACTCTTACCACAGACCACTTCTTCTCATCACGAGGCTGCACAGGCACCACTACATTGCGAGATGGACGCTATTCCCGAGCACGAGACGAGTCAGCCCGTCGCGACTCAAGAATCACAGACGGCTTCAGAGTATGTTCGTCGTTTAATATAGTCCGCAATGCTGATTCTCCTTTCACAGTTTCATTGATCAGCAGCTAGCCCTCGAAGCCGACGCCCGAGAAGTCCTCCCATACGTGAGACCGCATATCACCACCGACGCCCTTGCCTCATTCTGACCATTTTTAGAAATTCGACAAGTGCACAAACATTCTAGGCCCTTTGCGCCAAACAGTCTTCGCATGCCTCACGTGCAGTCCGCCACCCGCATCGCCCGCGCAAGTCTACACACCCGCAGGAGTCTGCTATGCATGCTCTATATCCTGCCACGGCGAACACACCCTTGTCGAACTATTCAGCCGACGGAACTTTGTCTGTGACTGCGGCACGTCAAGACTCCCATCGACCTCATCCTGTACACTACGCTCCAATCCAGCCACAGGCGCTCGAGGCGTACATTCTCAAGAGCCAGCTCCAGGCAATAAGTACAACCACAATTTCCAGAACCATTTCTGCGCATGCAGTGAAGAATATGATCCACATACAGAGAAAGGAACAATGTTCCAGTGTCTTGGTCTAGGCACTTTAGAGACAGGTGGTTGTGGCGAAGACTGGTATCACCCCGAATGCCTCATGGGCCTTGGTAGAGACTGGTACAAGAAGGCGGAAACAAAGCAGGAGGATCAGGCCGCGGGAAAAGAGGAGGTAGACAATTCCGACCATCCCGTACCACCCGGATTCCCTAACGAGGACGATTTCGAATACCTGATATGCTACAAATGCGTCGAGTCCAATCCCTGGATCAAACAATACGCCAGCACACCAGGCTTTCTCAAGCCAGTCTTCAGAAAAGACGCAGAGTCATCACAGGATGCCAAACAACTGGTGCAGGACACATTAGCAACGAACGGAACAAGCTTGAAACGCAAAGCCTCAGATAGCCACCTCGACAACCCTCCCGCAAGCCCATCTAAACGCGTTAAGGACGATCAAAGCGACCAGCCTCCCACATCCGCAGCACCCGCACCGTCAGACCCAACTGCAACGACCGAGGCGCAAACAACCCATAAACACGACGAACTCCCACCCGCACCGAGCGGCACATTCTCCCTCTTCTTACAATCCGACTTCCGCGAACACATCTGCCACTGTCCAAAATGCTACCCCAATCTCATCCCACACCCACAGCTTGTCGAAGAGGAAGAGACCTACGAACCCTCCCTCTCCAACGAGTCAGCCTCTCAGCCCGAGAACGCAGGCTCTGGAGGTCCTCGCTCCCAAGGCACCGCGAGCCTGCTCGATCGCGGTGAGGCTGCGCTATCGAACATGGACCGCGTCAAAGCGATCGAGGGCGTCATGGTGTACAACCACCTCCGCGACAAGGTCAAGGAGTTCTTGAAACCGTATGCTGAAAGTGGACAAGCGGTGTCCGCAGAGGACATCAAAGCTTACTTCGAGAAGCTGCGCGGAGATGAGTCCGCGATCAAAGATGCCAGTGCAAAGCCGGTCGATGGGAGCGGCGATGGCGATGATAACAGGCGAGAGCAGTCTGGGTATTGAGAGCGGACTTTTGGCGAATATCACAAAAGCCAAAGGCTGGCGGAGAGCCTTGGGTAGAGACCATATGGGACGAATCATATGCTTCTCTCCTGCTTCAATGTAAACGTATCTACGCAAATAATACGAAGCCACACTTCTGGACCCCTCTTAGCCAGAACGACTGACTGTCGAAACATCCTATTATTGAGCTCGATGTGATTTTGGTAAGACTAAACAGTAACTTGATACATGGTGTCACTATCATGCATAGACAAAATGCTGCCATTGATCCGGCCATATCCTGCGAACCACAGCACCTGCACAGTAGAGCACATCCAATGACCAGCTCTTCTCAGCTCTGCTTACGTCTTCGAGGTCGTTAACTTATACATCGTAAGATACTCTCGTACAATGCAGCGACAATAACAAACGTGACTCGTCACATGTTGACTCCTGCAACACCGGCACCTCGTCGGTCGACTCATCAATGTCGGTGGCACTGCAGCCTTAAAACATCGGAGCTTTCTTCTTGCGGTTCAGTGGCTCTTGTTGCGAAGCCTGCTCTGCTTGTGCCTCCTGCTGTTGCTGCTGCGCGTCTTGCTCAGCTTGATTCTGATCACGTCCGTCTTGCGTTGTGCGTTCTTCTTCCTCCCTGGCCAATCGCTCCTTCGTCTTCCGATACGGACCTCTTGGGCCTCTCTTCTTACCGGGAGGTTTCGCTGGGACTTTGGCTTGCGGTTGCGGTGTCTCCTTTCGGGGTCGGGCTCGCTTGGCCGTCTTGGCCTTTGTCGCTACCTCCTGATCGAGTGTGGGAGTTGATACGGCAGTGGGACCCTCTTCAACCACATGCTGTGGGACCTGTGTCTGCAATGTTGACTTTGGACCAGATTTGTCCTCTTTTGAATCATCAGCATCAGCCGTGTCTAACGTGCTGCTTGGACGTCTAACGATCAGCTTGATCTTTGGCATAGGTGCGGTGACCAGATCTCCACTGTCTTCAGGTGACGATGATGTCTCTGCATCTGCGACAACTTTCGTCGTGTAGGAGAACACCGAAGGGGAAGGGCGCCGAATGACATGCTGACTGCTGCCGAGGAGCGCTGGAGAGTTCAACGTCACTCGTTCCTGAAAATGGAGACTCAGTCCATGTGTTGGTGTTAAAGACAACGTCCTAAGGGGTTCAAGCTCCATGGTCGGAGTAGGAACCTTGATGCTCAAAGTCGGTGCCTTCGGTCCACGAATAAGTGCCTGGAACTCTTCTAATTCTTCGTTCTCGGATATTGGCGAGTAAGAAGGCGATCGCGGACTCCTGAACGATGGTTGCGCTTCTGCAGAGTTCGAAGGAACAGACTCTGTCACCTCAACATTGCGCTTCGTTGGAGTGCTGATTTCGCTGGACGTCCGGCTTGAACTCGGTCGAGGCGTCCAAGACTGCTTAGCTTGAGAGTGGCTGAGGCGGATGTTGTTGCCCTCCTTTGTGACGATACCATTCCGGGGTGAAGAGTGTTGTGAATGAGTAGCCGCTCGCTGGATCTTTGCTGAAGCTGGAGAAATATCCGTCTGAGACGGTTTCCGCTTCGTCAACAACGTGGGCATGCTCACAGGCTTTGTTGGGGTGCCAACCGCCCGGAATGACAGATAGTTGCTCTTACTGCTAGGCGTGGTTTCCTCCGCCGCGTGTAGAGCACTCTCAATCAGTGCTTTGCTGAAAGACGACATCTTGGTGTTGAGATTCAGAGAGCGTAACGGAGCCACTTCGGCAGGATGTTGTGTGTCACGAGCACTGGGATATGCTGGTAGTCCCGGCTCCGCTGGAGTCGTAGAGTCGTAGCTCTCGGCCGACTTGGGTCCCTTCTGCATGATCCGTGCCAGGCCATCTTTGTTCTGGATTCTGAGGACCAAATGACGTGGGTTCGGTCTGACTGGCATAGCTTCCTCTTCAGACAACTCCTCAACTGGAACTGAAAGCGCGTTTCCAGTTCCTTCGGTCGTAATACCACACTGTTCAGCAATAGTCGCGCCGGATGTGTCTTTTGAGCTGCTGTCGTGTCGCACTTCAGCATCAACGGCACTCTGAGCCGAAGCTGTCAGATCTTCAGGGAAGTGAACGAGAGTAGATTCTGGATCGAATGCATATGCCTGAGTCATTGGATCAGACATAGATGAATATCCCGAGTCATCATGGACGTCAATAGCTGGCAGCGATGTCCTGCCCAGGACTCCTGGAACGTGGACAAGACATTCGCTTCCGTCCGGCTCCGAAGGGTCTGGTAGCCAGGTTCCAAGAAGGTCAGACGAGATCCCGCGTGACGCGAGGAAGTTCCGAGCACCTCTGACTTCAGACTCATAAGCAAACGAATAATTGCTCGCGAAGACCATGTAGTCCATGTGTTCATTGAGTGTGTTGAAATGAATTGAATTCAATTCAGGGAGGCCGCCAATGCTATTGCTGAGCTGATTTGCATATTCCCATATCTCCGACAGTGAAGCCGGATGCAAGCTACGAAGCCGTATCGCTTTCTGTATTGCGTCGAATTCACTCTCGGTCAAGCCCAGAACCCTTGACACTGACTTCGGAGAGTATTGTCGATTCAGTGCCATGTAGATATGGCTTTGCATTGACAATGGAAGGGCACCCCAAGTCGAAGCATAATCTTCCTGTTACGACTGAGTCAGAATACACCGTTTGGAGTTGATGTCCACGACTTACCATAGAATGAACCTTATCCTGCTCAGAGATTGACGTGTCATCCGGATCACGTAGCGGCGGCTGCATCATGTCAACAAGTGTAAGGCCGTCGTATTCGTCAAACTCATCATCACGTGCAAGGTTGTCGGTTTCGTTAAGACGTATGTCGGTATCAAGGGAAAGCATTGATTCATGCGCATTTGATAGAGGGTCATTGAGATCATCTAGAATATCAATACGAAGACCTTTGCGCCCATGTTGGCTGTTAGTGAATGAGTGATCAGATTCAGTCTCGATCTGGACGTGGTCAGACGTGTCTTTGGTCTTCAGCGAAAGAGACGGGAACGCCGCGGGTGGGTGATTTGGATCGAAAGGAATGATCTGCTCCTTCAGGAGAGCAGGGTAAGTCGGCCTAGTGCCATTCCGCGACTTCGCAGGCGGAGCATCCTCTTCTTCGAAGCGTGTCGGTATCGTGATAGTTTTGCGTAGCCGCATGTTCGTCGTGAAAGGAAGTTCACATGTGGTTATCCCTAGTCTGTGGTACTCAAGGAGCGAATGAGAGGTTCACGGCACTGCAGGTGCGTCGCCAATAGAGAATGCTTGTAAAGGTAAAAGGATACTTGGTAGGTAGGAACTTGGAAAGGAATTGTAGAAGCGTGATCTGCTAGGTCTTCATTGTTGTGGTGGTGTGGCAGAATAGTAATGAAGTGCTTTTTCTAAATGACCTCTCTGTTTGTAAGGCAGGCGCACCATCAGTTGAGTCGACCTTCACCAAACTTTCATAAAACAGGCAGGCATGACTTACAAAGGCTGTGATCCACGATCAAACATTCACTGATCACAACAGTGAAATATTTGCCACGTGCCCTGCTCGTTCACATTCACTTGCAGAGCTGACTTGCTAACAACAAGTCGCCGATTGACCCTCGCGGTCCAACTCAACGTTCGTGTGGGTGACGATGCTGAGATTAATTCGACTAAAATCGCCTGCCATTTGTCTTGGGGTGTAGGGTGCGAAGCTTGTTCGAAGTGGCTTTGTTTGCACGCAAACTGTGATGCTCCGGAAGACGATGTCCACCCCAATTGAAGTGATAGCTTTTGAGGCCTGGCGCTCCCCTGAAAGATTGCAGGCCTGTTATGGCCTTGCCAGGTTGGCGCTCTCTTGGTGTGCGACCTCGCGAGATCCAATTTCAGGCTGGCAGACTTGTTACTTCTGAAAGTCTGACACGCTGCGGCCGGGATCATTCAGTCGAACATGTCTGCGAAAGGAGCCACTCCTTCTCTAACGGCGACATCCTCACCGTCTAATGAACCGTGACCATTGTCGACATCCCCCTCATACACGTCATCAACACTTCGCTTTGCTGGTCTTCGAAGTGATGTCAAATGCTCCTCCTTGCCCCGTTGTGCATCAGGAAGCTGAGACGCGCTGTTCGAAATCGAAACCTGGCGCTCTGCTTTGATGATTTCCTGCAAGCCCAGGAGCATGTTCTTCATCTCATCCGATATTGTGATGCAGAAGCGCTGCGACTGAATGATGTGGATGGCAGAGAATGCTGTCACGCCAAAGACGCACATCAGGTACGCAGCAACCAGCACTGGAGACCTGTCATTCCCTGACTCGCAAAAGATCAGGACTTTCCCTCGGACATCGTTGATGTCTTGCATTGGCAGCATCGTGCAACTTGACTCGAGGTGGTCGTTGATGGCTCTGATAGTCGGACGCAGCTTAGGCATGAAGTCGTGTGGATACTCAAAGTCGACTGTCATTGTCGACAGTCCAGCGCTCGAAGGGAATGCTCTTGGGTCTAGGAATGTTGGTCGAGCTTGGACCGCTTTCGAACTCCGCACAGCCACCATAAGAGTAATGCCGTTCTTTCTGATGAAATCCATGTCTTTCGCGGGGTTGCTGGGTCCTAAGAAGAGAAAGGGCAGGATTGGTTGGGCGGTTCTTCGCATCTCGTAGTGCCATGACAGCATCATATGGTTCATGGCCAGTTCGTGGCAGGCATTCAGTGCCCTGAGGAAGATCGGGTTGCCGTACTCGTGGGAGGTCTGGTCATATGGATTGCCAGGGACATGAAAGGACGGTCTGCCGTTCCTGTAGTCAAGACTCGGAGGGGGTACTTGGACACGAGGGGCCTCGAACAAGCGTTTGTCACTATATGGAATGGTCTGAACATAAGGAGCGGTCTGGTGGCAGAGATGGTCGCTTGCTGTTTCGGCCATCTTGAGGGGTGATTGCTATTAGTCAACCTTGGGACGAAAATGATCGAGTTGGTGCACTTTGGGGGAAATGTGGTGTAGATTTTGTTGTGAGAAGAGGGGGCCAAGATTGAGGCCAGTGCTTGGTAAAGGCTGTTGACCAGAGAAAAGTCTCCGTAGATTTGATGTGGTTGAAAGTCCGGATCAGCAGGCAAAAGGTCAAGATGCCATCCCTCCTCCATGTATTTGCACTTTGAATATCAGGAGATCAGAATACATGATAGCCTATGGAGGCAGTTCGGTAGGTAAGAGTGTGTGGGCAGTAGTGTGTGCTGAACTAATACGAAGGTTCTGCCCTGCAAGCCACAGCCACGTTGCCTGCGTCACTTCACGGATAGAAGCATTGTTACTGTTGTTCACGACTGCAATGCTCCGTGCATAACGCATGCAAAGGGAACAGTAGATGCAGCCGAAGTAGAAGAGGTTGTGAAATGTCCAATGAAAGATGCAGTTGACGGTTGCCTGTAAATGGCCGTTCTGAAATTCGGCAAAACTGCGGAGATAGATATATGGCCTTTGTGAGTGGAGGAAGGATGCTTTGATCTGAGTAGTAAAAACGGTGGGCACATGAAGCACTGTCTCAATGACCCTGGTGGTTTGGAGTGTAGATGAGTGGTTTTTTGTGCATATAGACAGGACATGTATCTTTCATTACTATTGTGTTGTACACTCCGACAGTAGCCCAAATCCTTAGGGTACAGCCAGTTCATCAATTCCCAACATGATCCTAAACGTCACGAGCCTAGTCGATTTTATCAGCCTTTTCCGACTTTGTTGCGTCTACAGTCGACGATTGTGCCGGTTGTTGTTGCGCCTGTTTCTTCTTTTCCCGCTCGAAATGCCGTTGTATCTGCCACACTGCCCTTTCTACCTCTCCGCTCAGTTCTACAACTCCCGTCGTTTTAGCAACGAGATCGTGACTGTCTGCCGGAAGGATGGTCTTCTCAGGAGGTGCGCTGCCATCCATCACTTGACTCGGCGTGACATAGTTGAAGTCAGGGCCATCCGGGGCCACTTGTTCGTACAGGTCCTCAATTTCTGGAGGGGAGATTGGTCGGTATAACCGATGGTCCAGGATAAAGTCCAAGTGGTCGGAGCCTTTCAAAGCTGTCGATGGTCAGTATTGCCCCCATGCAGGAAACAGAGTCATGTACCTCTCCAATGTGACCAACAACGATAAGCGGCGTAGAAGAACGGAATATTGGGTATCCTAGCTGCAATCAGTCATCGTTGACCCAAAGACTTTATCAATTTTTCCAGAACGTACACAGGAATCAGGGCAAACGGAATGCAGAAAGGCATTGCTACCATGCTTCCAATGAAGCGATTCCAGTGTAATTGCTTTCGCTCTTTTGCCAGTCTCGCCATGATCTTGGGGACATCATCCTTATGCATGACATTTCCCGGATATACGACATCAAACTTCTTGTTATCGGCGATTTGTTCTGCCTGCAGCTTGGGGTTGGACGGAGGAAAGCTCTTCAAGCCCCATTCCTGGTACGGTATGCGCTGAAGACCTTGATTCCCGTAGGTGACCAACATCTTCCTCCAGCCTCCCTTTGCTGCCTCCCACTGAGCCCATGTGTCGGTAGCCTTCTTGGTAACGCGATCCGGAATGCTCAATTTCACATCAGGCTTCGGAGCCGCCTTTTGGCAGTGGATGAGGGCTTGACGCGTCGTGAGCGGAAGGAGGAAGATCCGCATAGCAACGGACTGGATTGGGAGGGAAGTGCTAGCCTGCACACGGGGTTGTGCTTTATGGGAGACACAAATTACTCATGACTGGAGCAGGACTAGAAGGAGTGACTGATCAAGAAGCGAAGAACCCCGTCAAACAACCAGATGACAGAAAATAAATGAAGCCTTGAAATTTCTCCCATGCGGCCAAAATCATGACCGAAAGTTGTTTCCTCTCGCGACGTCATGTCTACAATACAAGCGTTGATTCGTCCGTTTAGTTAAAGCCACAATATCTGGTGCACCTAAAGCGCCTGTGGGATAGCTATCTGACTTCTCGTCAACATGAAAAATGGCGTTACATGTGCTTTGAGGTTCAACGGGCGACCACAAAGGACCGGCAGGTATTTCAGAGAGCACGGAGTACATTTTATAAGTATACTTGTGGCAGATAAAGGTGGCACTGATGTTGTATAAACTCCCTGCAGCCCTGCTTCCCACGGCTACAGAACATTCATCCAAGCACGGCCAATGGAAGAGTCCTTGGCGAGTGACGATATTGCTCTCTCCCAACCCAACCAGACTCCTAATATCTAAATGCCGGTTTGGAGGGGGAAAATCGTTTCAGAGTCCGGTTTCCCGTATCTACACCTCGCCTGCAAAACACCTAGACTGACGTTGGAGACTTATTAGGTCCGTAGTCTACAGCATAGTCCTACTTCCCTCATACTCAAGATCGCCAGTAGTGGCTTGTGCATGAGTTATATCTAGGTCTTCGATGCAGCACTTCGTGAACTCCCTTATCATTATATCATGCATATTGAAACATTAGTGGAATATCCGCCGTGATAAAGTTAAGGTCTATACCCTATAGGAAACTACCTACACGAGTATACATTACACGGATTTAGCCTATCTCCGAGGGTTCTCACTAAGTATCGGGCCTAGGCGTAACGCCGATATTAGTATGTAAGTACAAGTAAGTGTATATTAGTACTATGTATCTATCTCGCATGATTAGTGCTGGAGAATTCTGAACGCAAGAAGATTTGAGGAGACATATTGATTTAGTAGCACTGCTATATTGTCTGACATCGTCTGCGTTCACTCCTCACAGAATGTCTGATTCCTTCAAATACGCTGTAAAGAGTTCATCCCGCGCTCTACAAGTAGCGGTGAATACCGAACCAGCAATGAAAGGCCTAAATCAGTATCTAGGCAAGTCCGGTCTCAAAGTGTCAAGAGTCATCCTGTACACTATGCTATACAGCCCTACTTTGGTCCATACTAACGTCAATAGTGGCGCAATGAGTTTCGGGACGCCAGAATGGCAAGGTTGGGTTCTTAATGAAGAAGAGTCGCTCCCTCTACTTGAATACGCTTTCAAGGCCGGGATCCGCACTTGGGACACCGCCGATCTCTACTCTCACGGTGAGTCTGAACAGATTATCGGCAAAGCCATCAAGAAGTTCAATCTTCCTCGAGAGAAACTCGTCATCCTCACCAAAGTCTTTTTTGGTGTCACTCCCGACACTCCATCCAACCAACCAGGCTCGACTGTAGCCAACGATGGCGAGCTTCTCAATCAAGTCGGCTTAAGCCGTAAGCATATTCTCGATGCTGTCGATCAGAGTATTGCGAGACTGGGAACATACATCGACGTATTGCAGATCCACCGTCTGGATCGCTCGATACCGTTCGAGGAGACCATGCGAGCCCTGAATGATGTTGTAGTGTCTGGAAAAGCACGATACCTTGGGGCCTCCAGTATGGCAGCGTGGGAATTTCAGATGCTACAGAATATTGCTCACGAGCATGACTGGCATAAATTTATTTCCATGCAGAACTACCACAACTTGATCTACAGGGAAGAAGAACACGAAATGGTTCCATACTGCAACAATCGTGGTATTGGTCTGATTCCCTGGTCACCTATTGCTCGTGGTGCCTTAGCGCGTCCATGGGGCACTCGAAACACTCTTCGAGAAGAGAAGGACCATATTCTCCATTTGCTGGTTCGGGGCAGAGATGATCAGGTCGATGAAGCAATTGTTAATCGTGTTGAGGAGATTGCGAAGAAGATTGGAAAAACTATGGCTCAAGTTGCAATTGCATGGACTTTGAGTAAAAACATGTGTCCTATCGTGGGCCTGAATAAGAAGGAGAGAATTGATGAGGCCATCGAAGCGACTAAGTTTCAGCTGAGCGAGGAGGATATCAACTACCTCGAAGAACTATATTTACCTAGAGCGCGACTTATACATAAGAGTAGAAGTTAGAGTATATAGGTCTAGAGGAAATGACTAGGTCTGACAATTTGCTGTTTGACATGAGAAGGAACCTTCAAGCAGGCGATAGAGTGCATCATGCTTAGGCGACCTAACGACAGGAGCCAAGCCATATTTTGGCATACTGTTTGGATTCCTCACGGTCGTACGAGTCTCCTTTTCCTTCTCAAGGTGTATACGGCCGTGAGCATAGTTTGGGAGAAAGTTCGCAAAGAAGTGCGAATCTCTCACATGTGTCGGCGTTTCATTCCCCGAAAATAATATCAGAAGGTTTATGGGTCAACACCCCCACGCTACATGCGCTCTTCAGAGATATCGAGAGACTCTGCTAGATTAACCGTATATTTGATTGCATCGCCTAATTTCTCGAACTGTATTTACTGTTTTTGACTTCTAGATAGTGGCAACTGCACAAGCCATAATGTGAATACTACGCCTATCTTGGGGAAGATTCATACTGTCCTGGGCCTATGTGGATCTATCCTGATCCGCTATACCCATCGATGGGACGTCTCAATGAATATTGTCTGACGCATGGTATCCGTAATAAAATTGACTGAAAAAGCTGCACGAAGGATAATTGAGGAGCCCCTTCTTTCTCTAATCGAGACATTTGTGAGACTGCCATGACGTTCGAGCAGTGTGTGGTGTTTGTGATCTAGTCGTTTGCAAGACATAGAATGGGGGATGGCAGAAGGACTTTTAATTATTACCTGAGTTTACCTGTGGGACGCAACAGAGCACAGCCTCGTGGCAGCACAGACCAACCACGCCTCGCTTCGGTCATGTCGGAAAGTCAAAGTCATTTGCGCATCCTGCTTTCCAACCTTTCTGTTTACTCCCCTCGTTCAGCCTAGTTTGTGACCCCAACCGCTCAAGACTGCCTTCATGTTCGCTCCGAGGACTTCCACTATCTCTTAGGCATTTCTACAAGCCCTAAAACCCGAGAGAATGCGCGACTTGTCAACGCGAGACCGCCGCAGTTGAGGCCTGCCCCAACTTCTCCGCCGCCAGTCATGGCTGCCCCCGGCTTCCCATGGTCCACACAGTCGAGAGATCCGGAAAAAGAAGCCTTTCCGCCAGCGGAGGATCATCTTGTGTCCACAAGGGAAGACAATGAGCACACGAACGCCATAAAAAAGAACAGCCTGAGCGGTCAAAACAACCTGCCGAAGGAAACCAGCAATCCACAGGGGAAGCGGCGAAACGGTTCACTAAGAGGTCCTCCACGAGTCATACCACTTGTCACTAGTTTCACCACAGATACTGCATCGTACAAGGCTCCGCGCGATGCTTCCACCCCTCTACCGGTACGGACCATTCCTGGTACGTACAATTCTACGATGCTCCTGTTGAACCGTTGACTGACCAGGTCAGCGTGGGTGAGAGACGCAGAAGAAGATGACCTTGAAGACCCCCAGTTTAGTATGCCCGATGCGCCCAACGCTGCTCTCGTCGCCCAACATAACCACAGCCCTGCAAACGCTCAACGTCCGCATATCTCGGGTAAACAACAGCACGGCAACGTGACTTCTTCCGGCCAGGTCCGCGCAGAGCGAACATCGAGATGGGTCTCATTTGCGCGAGCGAGTGCCTATCCACGGGAAACTTTCAATGGGGAAAAGGTGGACACAGACTACTTGAACCAACATTTTACCGACTACTCCAAGCCTTGGTTGGCAGGTCATGACGACGATCCCGAAGACAGCAGCAGTCGATATCGTGCATTCCGCAAGAAGAGGCAGGTCTGGTACAAACGTGCACAGTTTACCATCCTACGAAATCCTTTCATCCCGCTTGCCTTCCGGCTGACCATCTTCATTTTCGCCTTTGTGGCTCTTGGCCTGGGGACTTCGATATATCATCAGACCAGTAAGATTATCGGATGCATACACCAAAGTCCGCGTACACCGAAATGCCGCGCACTCGTCGGTACAGGCACGGTGGAGTACTACCAAGATCCTTCAGGCCTGATGGCTTTGATCGTCGACGCCATCGCAGTGGCCTATACTCTTTACATCACGCACGACGAGTACTTCTCCAAGCCTTTGGGCCTTCGACGTCCTCGTGCCAAAGTGCGGCTGGTCCTGCTTGATTTGTTCTTCGTGGTGTTCCAATCAGCGAATCTTGCTCTGAGTTTTGAATCTTTGACAGTGGTTGAAGGTGCCTGCAAAGTGGGAGACAATCCCCTTGCAACACCCAAATTCGACGACGTGTGCAGACGTGAAAGAGTATTGAGCGGAGTTCTGTTGATTTCTCTGGTAGCATGGTTGATCACCTTCTCTATCAGTGTTTTGAGGTATGTTCCACTGTCTGGACATTTGGTGGCAGTGACTAACGTTCGGCAGATTGGTAGAGAGAATCGGCTCATAATGAGGAGCCGCGCAGGATGTCAATCGGCACTGCAAATTCTTTTTTTCGGTGTACAGTAGCAATGATGATGACCGAGACGATTTCATTTCCTTACGGGCATGGCTGATGATGATGCAAAGCCCCGACTTTGAATGGCAGGCTTGCTGCTTCCTCATCCAAGCAAATGTTGCTTGGTCTACACGTCCAGACTTGGACCATCATCGCCGTAGATAGGGTCTTGTCTGAACCAACCCAAATCTTCGATAGCTTTGACCTTGGACTCTTCACCAGCACGACCATAACACATATCCCAGCTCTTCCCCGTTGGGTACGAGCCAACCATGTTGAAACCACCATAATCTTCGAGCAAACGATGACCGACACCAGCTGGAACAATCACAACATCACCTTCTTCCAGCACAGGCTCCACCCTACCTTCATTCTTCTCACCTCCAAAACAGCATTTGGCCGAACCGGACGCGATACTGAGTACTTCGTGAGTGGTTGAATGGAAATGAGTCTCAGTGAACATAGTGTATTCCCATTGTGGACACACAACACCGACAGCTTTGAGATGGGTCTTTATGTTGGATGCGGACGACTTTGTGAAAGCGGAGTGGTATATCATTAGGGGTTTGCCTTGAACGGAGGTGTTGGGAATGCCATTGTAAGCTGGGATCTGATGCTTAGAGACGCGCAAGGCCTTGAGAGGTGTGATGGGCATGTTTGTAGTAGATATGCGGCCTGGTCTCGGCGCGCGGTATATTTCTAGTTCAGAAATAATACCACACTCTCTTGTCCACGACAATTGGCGACAGCCAAATATATGTGAAAACTCACAACCATCACGAGTCACCACCACCAACTCCGACCTCGGCAAACCTTCCCCTTTATGACATGTAGGCCATCAGTGACGTCATGTCGCGTGACTTGCTGCCTGAGGGCGTGACTGTGAATGCCCCTGCCTCAGCCTATTCTCACTCAAATCTCGCCCGAGATGGAATCATCGCAATCCACCTCACATTCAACAACACCTTGATCCTCGACCTGAAGCTGATCATGGCGCCTGCAACAGCGGCGGCTTCGGCTACGGCCACGGCTCCATCGTTAAGGGCTCGGGATGATCTAAACTCGACGTGGACCTACCTTGAGAAGAACCTCGACAATGTGATGACAAAGTTGCAGGAAGGTCTCGACATGAAGACTTACATGGGAGTTTACACAGCAGTCCACAACTTCTGTACCTCACAAAAGGCAGCAAGTACTCAACCCCAGGGAACCTCGACAGCCCTCAGTGCGAATCACCGTGGCGCGCATCTGCTCGGCGAAGAACTTTACACTCTCCTTGGACAATACCTCACTGAACACCTCAAAGGCGTCCTTGCAGAATCCGAATCTCATACCGATGAAGCACTTCTCACTTTCTACATTAGAGAATGGAAGCGATACACGGATGCGGCAAAATACAACAACCACCTTTTCAGATACCTCAATCGCCACTGGGTAAAGAGAGAGATCGACGAGGGCAAGAAGAACGTCTACGATGTCTACACTCTACATCTGGTTAGATGGCGGGATGATTTCTTCATGGATGTGCAGGAGAAGGTTATGCAGTCTGTTCTTCGACTTGTGGAAAAACAGCGAAACGGTGAAACAATCGATCAGATGCAGATCAAGGCAATCGTGGACTCCTTCGTCTCCCTTGGCTTGGATGAGCTCGACAGCACCAAATCCACCCTCGATGTCTACCGACAATACTTCGAACGTCCGTTCATCACCGCCACCAAAGCCTACTACACGAATGAATCGAAACGATTTGTCGCCGAAAATAGCGTGGTTGAATACATGAAGAAGGCAGAGGCTCGACTTGACGAGGAGAAAGAACGAGTTGGACTCTATCTACACTCTGATATCATGAAGAAGCTCATGGAGACATGCAACGAAAGCCTTATTAGCGCTCACTCCGTTCTGCTCCGCGACGAGTTTCAGGTTCTTCTCGACAACGAACGTACCGACGATCTTGCCCGGATGTACAAGCTGTTGTCACGCATTAAGGATGGCTTGGATCCCCTGCGCAACCGATTTGAGGTTCACGTACGCAAAGCTGGTCTTGCTGCTGTCGAAAAGGTTGCAGCTAGTGGCGACAACTTTGAGCCTAAGGTTTATGTCGATGCGTTGCTCGAAATTCATGGCAAGTACCAGCAGCTTGTCAATGTGGCCTTTAATGGAGAGTCCGAATTCGTGCGATCACTCGACAATGCCTGCCAGGAGTTTGTCAATCATAACCAAGTTTGCAAAACCAACACCACAAGATCTCCCGAACTGCTTGCCAAATATGCCGATCAACTCCTCAAGAAAGGTGCCAAAGCCGCCGATGAATCTGAGCTGGAAGAACTCCTTGTCCAGATCATGGTTGTGTTCAAGTACATTGAAGATAAGGATGTGTTCCAGAAATTCTATTCTCGCATGCTGGCCAAGCGTCTCGTTCACACCAGCTCCGTGTCTGACGATGCTGAGACGAGCATGATTAGCAAGTTGAAGGAGGCCTGCGGTTACGAATACACCAACAAGCTGCAGAGAATGTTCCAGGATGTCCAGATTTCCAAGGATCTCAACACTGCGTACAAGGACTGGCACGACAAGATCTTGGACGACAGTGATGAGAAGCGCACCGTTGACTCCACTTTCCAGATCCTTGGTACTGGTTTCTGGCCACTCAACGCCCCAAACACCCCCTTTGCACCACCTGCCGAAGTTAGCAAGGCTATGGAGTCGTTCACCCGGTTCTACGATCAGAAGCACAACGGTCGAAAGCTCACCTGGTTGTGGCAGCTATGCAAGGGCGAGATTCGTGCCAACTACATCAAGAGCCAGAAAGTTCCTTACACTTTCCAAGTCTCGACATACCAAATGGCTATCCTGCTGCTCTTCAACGAGTCTGACAAGATTGACTACTCCGAGATCAAGGAATTGACTAAGCTTACCGACGAAAACCTTGAGCCTGCAATTGGCATTCTTTGCAAGGCACGTGTTTTGACTCCATCACCCGAAGACGGAAAAGCTGTTCCTGGAACCAGTTACGCTCTGAACTACAACTTCAAGAACAAGAAGGTCAAGATCAACCTGAACATCACCGTCAAGTCTGAACAGAAGGTTGAATCTGAAGATACTCACAAGACTATCGAGGAGGATAGGAAGTTGTTGCTTCAGGTATGTACATTGTTTCGTATATGTCGTCCCTCTATACTAACTCATCTCCAGGCTGTCATTGTCCGTATCATGAAGGGTCGCAAGAAGCTCAAGCACGTCCATCTTGTCGAAGAAGTCATCAATCAAGTGCGCAACCGCTTTCCACCCAAAATCTCCGATATCAAGAAGAATATCGATGCTTTGATGGAGAAAGACTACATCGAGCGTCTCGACAACGACGAATTGGCATACATTGCCTAACCGTCTTTTCTAGCGTGTTTCCATCTTTCACTGCTATGAAAAGCAAAAGGATGCGACTGGACAAAACGGGAATGGGCATAGGTATCATCATGGGAGCGACTTGAGCGTGTTCATAAAGTGGGAAGGACTGTTCCACATCTGCATGGAGAATGGAGTTGGCACAGCAAAAACGGCCGACGCTGGTCGGTCTCTTGTTTACTTTTCGTTGGCTTTCGTCACAGCGCTGGGCTGTCGATAAGAGATGAGCTGACATGATTGACGACGAACGCACCATGGTTGAAGACTGGACAGACATGTGCTGGCAGCGACCAGCCACTATCGAGGAAGAATGCTGAGTTTGATGACTGGGCAACACTGCATGCCACGAAGGAAGGGCCTGTATGCTCGTCAGAAGTGGAAGCTTGCGATCGTGCACAAAGTGAATTAGCTAGCCGAGCTTAGATCAAAGTCCTGTCGAAACAACCCTGCTCTTTCTTTCTAGTCATTTACCTCGTCCGTTTGCTGTAACACGTTGGCAATGCAATGCGTCGGAGGCTGTTCTTGAGACCAGACGCAGACGAAGGTCTATTGGACTGTCACGTCTTTATTGAGATTCTATCAGTCCTCTGGTCAAACGCTTTGCCAAAAACTACCAGAATGACAAGTAGACGCCTTCAAAGCGTCACTGCTCGCTGAGGCATCCTCCTCTAGCCAAATCATGCGCAAGCCAATGAAGAAGCAACGAATTCGACCTCATTATAGATCACGATCCTGTTCCTGTTCCTGTCCCTGTCCCTGTGCTCGTGCCCGTGCCCGTCGCGGTCGCGGCTCCACTATCAGTCGCCCCTCGTCCTTGCTGTTGTTGTTGTTGCTGCTGCTGCATCCGATCTCTCGCCCAAGTCCCCCAACTACTTAGATACGCGCCAGCTTTCGCGGCGTTCTCCCGCGCTGAGGCCTGCAACTGCGCTGTATCGACGTTGGGTTTCTGGAACTGTACTTTCGCCGCACGATCCCGGAGAGCCGTTGTCCAAGCCCCTGTCGGACGCGCACCACCCTCCGCAATGCCTTGATGACTTCCATCGTTTCTCACCTCGCCCGGCACACCCTGATCGGCAGACAGCCGCGGGTCATTCTCCTTATCCAGACTATTCGTACTCCTCACTTGACTCTCGCTACGCGAATGACTCTCTGACGACGACTGTCTCGCCGCTGCCGCAGCGAGTCTGTTCTCTCTCGCCTTCTCCATGTCCGCCCAGAACTTGGCCATGCGCTCGCGACCGACGGCAATCGTCTTGCCGAGCTGTTCTCTTCCTTCTCTGACACGGTCATCGAGATGCAAGTCCGCAAGATTCTGCTGTAATCTCCTCTGCACATCCTCGACACTCAACCCCCCACCAGTTGGATGGCGCGGCTCAATGATGTCGAAGATGCGGTTGTCACGGGCCAACCGGTCGAAGAGCTCGAAATTGTGCGTTGATCGCCATATCGCGAGAAACTCTGGGTTGAAATCCGTCGCTGTGTCGCCTGGGTCGGGGTAGTGCTCTGTGTTGGCGACGCTGCCCGCCACGCCCCCTGTCTCGACTATTGACTCGTGGTATACCTGGTACGCCATGCTGCTTAGCAAGCTGAGGATGTACTCTTCGAATTGCAGGCGGATTGCATCCTCGGACCCTGCGTAGCCCATGTTCTTCGGCCTGCTAGGGTTCTCGGGGTCCCAGGTGTCCAGGACGGTTTGTGTGAGAAAGTCCATCCAGCGTCTGTCGGCGGCCGACAGTGCCAAAGCCGTTCGCAGCGAAGGCGAGCTGATTGTGATACTGTTCGATTCGTCGAGATTGATCAAGATGTCGCTGTATCGCTCTTTCTGTTGGAGGAGAAGACTGTTCGTTGACCCGACCACGTATGACTTTGTGTCGTAGTCGGCGAGGATGTCCAATTGCTGAAGGGGTGTGTACGGGCCGAAGAAAGAGCCCTTGCCGAATATTTGTAAAGGCAGTCCCATGTATGATAGTAATGAAGCCCGATCACTTGTCTTCAGTGTCGCGGCTCTCTGGGCGTTCTGGGCGTAGGAGTCCAACGTGGGGTCCGCGGCGTCCTGCAGATTTCTGATCAATCCTGGAATAAGCGAGATGAGTGCAAACTGCATCATGCATAATCGCTCGCATTTGGATCCGAAGAAGAGCATCTTGCGCTGCAACAGTAGACATTTGAACAGTGCCAGGGTCTGATGTCGGAACTCGTATATCATTTCTCGGAGCGAGAGGCCAAAGTAATGATCCTTCCCATCTTCATGGGAAGCCGGCGACCGTGCAAGACTGTCTTGAAACTCCTGCAATATCGAAATGTCTGAAAAGTCTCTGTGGCGAGATTGCCGTGAGCATGCATGTCTCGAAGGCCAGAACATACACTTGGGAGAAGCAAGAGATAGGAGAAAACTTACTCCTGCGCAAACCAAGCTGCAGTCACAGCCCCAACCCGCTCCCTCAACTCACCCATCCCTCTCGCCGTCGGATTTACCACAACCACAGCTTTCTGCACCGTACTCCTTGTGACATCAATCGACCGGTGTTTCAACTTATCCGCGCGAATCTGCCTCGTACACGAAATCCCAAAAAGCGACGTCCCAAAACCCGTCCCTGGACCCGTTGCAGTAGGTTGCTTCTTCTCAAGTAAAGTAAAATACGAAAACTCCTCCGTCATGGTGTGCGCGCCATCACTGAGCGCCATGAATGGCAATAGTCCCCAATCATTGCGTTTGTACAGCGCTTCCCCGACTGGGTCGATCCAGAATTCGATTTCTGGGCCACTTTGCACATATCAATGTTAGAACAGAAGCGGTACATGAAAGATTCAGGGTACAGAATGACATTCCGGGATAGGGTAACACAACATACCGAGCATGATGGAAGTCGACCACCGCAACTTGAGGCGCCATGGTGCTGGGATTGCTGGTCATCGTGATGACGCTTCGAGTCGAATGCCCGTCTTGCCGCTAGATGAATGCTTGCACATCCGGTCTTATCATGTTCGAGAGCAATAAGTCAGAAACAGAAGTGGTTGCTGAGACAAACAATCAAAGGGCTGAGTTGAGGCGGTGGGAATTGAGTAAACAACCCCAATGATAGACGTTCTTTTGACGTCCGAAACGGTCTCGGTCTGACAGGCAGGTAACCTCTGCAAAGTTGTCTCAACTTCGGCGCAATACCAGCACGTCAGACGAGTGCATCTCTAAAGTCACGTATCTGCCATCGGGCTTGGGCTTACTTGGATCTGCCACTTTGCTCGCAGCGGCATCGAAACATTTACTTCCAGACTTTCTCCTCGTCAAAGCTGATCATAAGAATACTAAGGTATAAAATCTGTCTACCTCTCAATTCATAATTTTTCTTCTGTCTCCGACTGATACCATCTATCCTTGCTTTTCATCTGGGAGGCCACCTCTTTGGTCGACGAGCCTTTACCGCGTGCACATCGTACTCATGTTCTTTTTATCTAGGTCTCAAGTCCGGTTCGTGCACGGGTCTCGTTTTCTTCCTTGACAGACAGAGGCTCAATGTTCCAAATGCTGTCTGCATACTCGTTGATGCATCGGTCTGGACACTTAGTTAGGAGGTGTTGAAAAGTCCACACAGCGCACATACCTGAAGTGAAGAAGCCCATTCTGGACACGCTCAATATTGTTTTGCTAACCCATTCATCCTGGTTCTTATAGGCCTCATCGATGAGGTCCTGGGTTTGGCAATAGCTCTCGAAATCGTCGCTCACTGTACATCTGTAAGTCATTGTGTTACACGTAATCCAACAGGTGAGACTTACCGAGATAGAAATCACCATGTTCAACGATCGCACTGATCAAGGCACCAAAGGCACCCTCATCGCCAAAGGTACCAGATTTGATACAGTCGAACACTTTCAAAAGTTCTGCATTGACTTGATAGTTGCCATAAAACTGATACACGTCAGTATGTGCCTTTCGGGTGAGTGATCATGACTTACGTGGTTGTGTCGGAGGTCCTCCACATCCTCGGCAAGGTTGCCGAACAAAAAGACGTTTTGCTCACCAATCTCACGAGTGATCTCAATATTGGCACCGTCAAGGGTACCAATAACGAGTCCACCGTTGAGAACAAACTTCATGTTGCTGGTACCTGAAGCTTCGGTACCAGCAGTGGAAATATGCTCACTGATGTCCGATGCTGGAATGATGATTTCGGCTTTGCTGACGTTGTAGTCCGGAACAAAAATAACCTTGAGCAGATCGCCGACATCTTTGTCGTTGTTGATGACTTCTCCAACCTTGTTGATGAGGTGGATGATGGTCTTGGCCATCCAGTAGCCAGGGGCAGCCTTTCCGCCAAAGATGGAGACTCTGGGTTGAAGCTTCTTGCGTTCTTCGGGTGTCATCTTCTTGATTGCTAGGTATCGGTGGATGACACCAAAAATGTTGAGCTGTTGTCGCTTGTATTCGTGAATACGTTTCACCTGTACGTCGAAGAGCGCCTTGGGGTTCACGCTGACTCCAGTGGCGGTCAGGATATGCTGAGCCATGCGGACCTTGTTGGCGTATTTAATCTCAGCCCACTCCTTCTTGAACTCTTTGTCCTCAACAAAAGCCTCAAGCTTGTTCAGGAGTGTCAGATCCTTCAAAAACTCATAGCTGCCCAACTTGGAGGCAATCAACTCGGACAGACGAGGATTGGCCTGGTGCAACCATCTTCTTGGTGTAATGCCGTTGGTGACATTGGTGAACTTGTCGGGACCATAAATCTTGACGAAGTCCTTGAAAATGGTCGTCTTGATCAAATCCGAATGCAGTTCAGCCACACCGTTGACCTTGTGCGAACCAATAATTGCAAGATAGGCCATTCGAATCATTTTTGGTTGGGATTCTTCGATGATGGAGACTCTGGACAGCATCTCTCGGTCTTTGGGGAAGCGACGCTCAACTTGCTGAAGGAAATTCAGGTTAATGTCGTAAATGATCTTGTGAAGGATTGTTAGTCTCGGCGGTAAAAACACGGGGGAAGGGTAAAGGCTCAGCGAACAACGAGGCAGCTTTTCGAGCATTACTTACCTGAAGATGGCGAGGCAACAAGTGCTGAATGAGAGGAACGGACCATTTCTCCAAGGCCTCAGGGAGCACGGTGTGGTTGGTGTAGCCAAAAGTCTTTGTGACAATGTCCCACGCCTCATTCCATTCCATTCCTTCCACGTCTGTCAAGATTCTTTGTAGCTCGACGATAGCCAAAGTAGGATGGGTGTCGTTCAATTGGATGGCCACCTGGTCTGGGAACTCTGACCACTTGCGCTTGGTCTTCTTGAATCTGCGGAGAATGTCATGGAGGGATGCTGCACACCAGAAGTACTGCTGCTTGAGGCGCAATTCCTTGCCTCGCTCAAGGTTATCGTTAGGGTACAACACAGCCGATATTGTCTCAGCACGTTGTTCGTCGGCGACGGCACTTTCGTACTCGCCAGAGTTGAATTTGGCAAAGTCGAATTCTCCAGTTGAAGCCTTGCTGGACCAGAGCCGTAGATTGTTCACGGTTGGAGTGCCATAACCTGGAATGGGAACATCGTATGCCACTGCACTAACCAGTTCACCATCTTGCCAGGACACAACTTGCTTGCCCTCATCGTTGGTGTACTTGTTGACCCAGCCGTAGAACTGAACATCGACTGTAACGTCGTGTCTTGGGAATTCCCAGGGGTTGAAGTCAAGCCAGTAGTCGGGGATTTCGACCTGGTATCCGTTCTCGATTTCTTGCTTAAAGATACCGTATCTGTAACGAAGACCATAGCCCCAAGCTGCGTAGTTGAGCGAAGCCATGCTGTCCAGGAAGCAGGCTGCCAGTCTACCAAGACCACCGTTACCCAGAGCGGCGTCGTGCTCTTGGTTGACAACGTCTTCAATGCGGAAGCCAAGCTCCCCCAGACCCTCTGTTACCTGCGTTAGTCTCGAAATCACAGAGTGCTCGACAAGACCAACCTTTGGCGACGTCCTTGAGACCCACGTTCAGCATTGCGTTGTCCAAAGCTCTACCCATCAAGAACTCTAGAGACAAATCTGGGTATTGTCAGCGTCTCCAATGACACGGCTTAGTTCAGCTTGTGCAACATACAGTATATTCTTTTCTGGTCGGCGAAGGTCTGTCTCTGCTGGGTCTTGTTCCAGTCGATAATGAGACGATCCTTGAAGGCTAGGGCGGTTCCGGAGTATGCGGCTCTGTGGGTGTGATCAGCGAAGTAACCATGAGGGCCAGTCCGCAGACTTACAGCTCATCGCAGTTGAAAAGAGACCTGGCCAGCGTAGTCTCGATGTGTTTGACAGTAGTCTCCTGTAAAGAGATCATCAGCGTATGATCTAGCATCGGGAATATGTCCTGAGTAGGTACCTCGAACTCATCTTTCGTCGTAAACCCCTTGGGCGCCTGAGGATGCCACGATCAGCAAGGTCCGGTCAGGCCAGCAGGAGCCTGTCTTACGTATTTCTTCCAGCTGTTGATATCGTCAGTCTCTGTAGCTCTTGTGTATGCATGCAGACAACTTACGCCTCTCTCATGTGTTCCGGGATGCTCGACTCAACAGCTTTGATGTCACCAGCACCGAAGCCGGTAGCGGTCCGCTTGTGCTTGGGCCGCGTGAAGCCAGGACCGACAGGGCCAGTGAGGGTCGAAATGGGAGCGCCCATTGAGGGTTTGCGCTCCCTCGGTTGCTGCGCAGCAGCAGCGGGAGCAGCCATGCTTATTGACTGTGAGGGGTTTCCGGAGGGTCAAGAGGGAGGAGTTGAGAGTACGGCAATCAGGATAGGATGGGAGAAGAGCAGAAATATGAACTGTTGAGGATGCCGAGACAGAAAGAGTGAACAATGGAGAAGTGGTATGGCAAGGATGAGCACGCAGGTCAGGAACGATGAGACATGTGAGTGAGCTGTCCAAGCAACACCGGCTGCAGCCCACTTTGGAAGCTTCAACTTAGGGACTAATCGGCTTGCATTAGCCCAGGCCGTAACAGCGGGCCGCTTAGTTATGCTATATCATATCACAGTAGTGCAGAATACGGGCAACAGAAGTCACATTGCTGAGGAAGAGAGGGCCCCTCAGTCAGACCATACATGGATGCATGGCTGAACTAGGGGAAGCTTTCCAGCTGTTCCTTGCTACACCCTATCGTACCGTCTCCCCCCTTTGCATCTTTTGCCTCTGCTTTACCGCAAAGCGGTGAGCAGTGAGCAGTGAGGAGCGAGCATTTAATCACCAAATAGATCCTCATTCGAGGCGGATAGTGGGCTGCCATGCATGCTTAGGCGACCTAGAGCTTCCCTTGCTGCTGAGCCCCAGAAATTCCAATGTACCCCGCTCTTCAATGTCACAATGAGTACGGTGTGTCTTCGTTCATGAATAGGACGAAAAAGAGTGACTGTTCGCGATGAGAGATCCCTGTTGAAGATCAGGGGAAAATATGCTGTCTATCAATGCCGGAAGCACATGGGAAGTCTGTTTTTGTTGTAGGTCGCGGCTCTCAACAATTGGGATAGCAGTGTCCAATGTCGTCTGATGGTGGGGTGAGGGGCAAGAATGAGATGCCTTTACCGAACAACCAGGGACCCAGGCGCGATTTACCTCCAATACTAATAAAGGGTCAATACAGTAGGTCGTGTGGGGGCTGCGGTTCGAACCTAACTTAGAAATGGCGCTGGGCTGGACTTCTGAGGCTCCAGTGGAGATCCATCATGTATCTAGCCAGATGGCATAGGTAGGTACCTATACAGTTTGAGTAGTTATTACTGTACTTGGAAACCCATGGCTTGTGGCATCATGGCATGCTCGTGCTTGCTACTGATGGCAGACTGTAGCCATATCGGCCATCTAAAGGCAATGATAGATCTACAGAGTACTTTGTTCTATACTAAGGTCAGGCCGTCGGACACATCACACCACCACTATTGCCCAGCAGGCTAGAAGGACATGACACAGCTGGTGCAGCCATTTTATTGCTCACCTCATCAATTTTTGTTGGTTCACGGATAGCAGCATTTCGACTGATCAGGTCAAGGTCTAAATGAGAAACAATGGCGACTGGCAACGGGCAACTGGCGACTGACAACAACAAGAATTCAGTATTGTGATTATGAGTACACGGGCGAGGCTTCGCTCTCATAGCTGTAGATATTGTATCGTTGCTTTCCAAATCATCTGGACTCTCTCCAATCTGGAAATCTGTTCTTGGAGCCCCAACGCGACATGGGAATCGTCAAAATGTCGCCCACTTCGCTCTCCCGAGCAATCAAGGCACTCACTCCATGCTGGAGTTTCTCGGCCAAGCCAACCGGACCAAAACCATCAAGGTGACCGTGGTGTAACTCTGGCGAACCTGGTGTCGGCGTCTGAATCTTTCCCCCTCCTAAAACAACGACATGCGTAACTTAGTCCAAAGCTGAAACTTTTGCAATGACCAGAAGCAGAATACAGAAACCCGATATTGAAAAGACCGTGTGCAGGACCAAATGCCCGCAACACTAAAAGGCTCCAAAAGTCGTGGAAGCCCATGGACATGTCCCCTCCCAAGCCATCATGGGTCCCACAAAAGATCACATGCCACGCTGGACGCCAGAGCAATGCATACACCCGGGGTAAGGTAAACGACTGGTCATGGTTCTCATAATATTCCTGAATCCTTCAGGGCGTTTTGTAGGATGGTTTCTTTGACCGCGGCAAAGACGAGACGAATATTCGTCGTGTCCGTGGCCTGCGTGAGACTGCATCCAGCGTCAGGAGGCGTTCGATACGAAGATCAGAAACAAAACTTACTGAGGGTAGAGGTTGAGTTGCGCTCGGTTGACCTGGTTGAACCGCCATAGCAAGTACTTGGCAGCTCTGTTGACGTCGTTGCCTCCAGAATAGTCTGGGAAGTAATTCCCTAATGGTGACCGACCAAGTTTTTCTCGGAACAAGTCGACCTTGTTGAGGAAGAGAATGATGCTCGACCTCATAAACCATCTCGAATTGACGACAGAGTCAAACAACACCAAGCTTTCCATCATACGATTCTGGAATCTCATGTCAGTAACTTGGCTTTACCCGTCCGCTTGCGGTTCCCTACCTGATTTGACTCTTCCAGAAGAACTTGGTCGTATTCACTCAGGGCAACGCAAAAGATGATGGACGTGACATTCTCAAAGCAGTGAATCCATTTCTTGCGTTCACTGCGCTGGCCACCCACATCAAACATACTGTGTCTGATTAGCAACCCTAGCAACACCAGGTGGATCCGCTCGACTGACTGTATGCTCAATTGACCCATGGTAAACCTCGTTTCGTAGATACCGGTAGTTTTCGTTCGTGCTCGAAGGACATCGGCTTCGTTGGGGATATAGTCATTCGCCGCTAATCGTCTGACTTCTTCGAAGAAACTGAATTCATGTGAGTAAACCGTCTGGCAGCTGAGGGTCATCACACCAAAAACATACTAGGGTGCCGAATCCATCAGATAAAACTCGCTCTGCCGATCCATTGTTTTTGACGCCGCTGGATCCTTCCAGATTGCTTCGACTGCATCTGCAGCCTTGGGATCTAACGGTGTGTCGGGGTCGGGATCCACATTATATTCCATTATGTATTCCACGTAGTCTCTGACCGTTTGATCTTCTGGTTCGAGTTCAAATTGCTGCATGGCGGCGACGAGCGCCTTCATGCAGTCAATCAGGTTTTTGTATATTGTCAGCCGGTACAGCGTCCTTTCCTCTTGTGTGTAGCCATTTTGATGGATGATTTTCATCTGTTTTACAATCGTCGATTTGCCGCTTTCGCCAGACCCTGCATGATACAATATTAGCCCGTCACTTGTTGTCTTCACTTGATGTGATGCATACCGAGCAGTAAGATCTTGCATTCTCGCCGTAACCTGCGCGAATCCTCTTCCAATTTCTTGTCGATAGCCTGACTTCTCTTTTTCTGCTCGGAATCTTCATTTGACGCCTCTTTACTTCCACAAGCACCCATCTCGACGGGTACCCTCTAATCACAGCACAACGACAGCGAGAGCGCTGCAGGAGCAGCGCAAATGTGCGACTGCAGCTGCAAGGGAAGCTGCAGGGATGACCTTTCTCTGATCGTGTCCGCAGACCTCTAAAGCCGGGCCTTCACTTTATGTTTTGGCGGCCCTCGAAGGGCGAGGCGCGGTCTCGATCGGAGAAGAATCGTTCTACCGAAATGGTTTCCAGTCGACTCTGGAAATCGCAACTGGATCGTCGATTACATGGAGGTGAGGTTGATGATGATGGACGGTGTTTACGAGTGGCCGAGATTCAGTGGAGCTCGAAGTAAGGTGGAGGAAATGATGTGGTGAGCTGCGTTGATTCGAGACAGCAGGTTCGGGAACAGAGCGATTCGTAGAGATAGGTAGACGTTGCTGGTAGATCGAATGCCACGCGCGAAATGGATATGGACTCCGAACAGGTAGATAGGCGAGAGTGGGCAGCCAGGTCGTCGCGAGAGAAAAGAGTGATGGATACTACTCGATAGCTGGGATGACTGTAAGAGGAGAGGGAGAAAGAGAGGATCGCGGAGTGAGTCCTGGTAGGGTTGGTTTGGAGCGGAGTAGCCGAGAGCGGGAAAGCTGGGCCTATTAGCCAACAAAGGCCAGTACTGTATGGGATGATGCCAGGTCTATGTTTGGCCTCAGGTTTCTTTTAGTTTGTATAGGTCCCCAATTCGACAGCTGGCGACTCGCATTTCAAGACCACACAAACTCCGTCGAATACCGATCTCTGGAGCCGTTCGTGATTTGACAGCACAGTCAATAAATCTAAGGGAGAGCTACAGTATGCGGCTGTTGGACGGAACACAAATGGCAGGTGGAGAGCAATTCCATCCTCTCCTGCCTCTGCAGAAATGTTCTTACTCCCCACTGATAATGGTAATATCATGCGAAAACTATGTTCCATGTGGTTGAAGTGCTGCTGAGGATTGTCAATTGAAGATATCTGTACTCGCTGATGGCCTCGATGCACCGTGGTAGAAATCATCCAGAGTGCTAACAGTCAAAAGATCGTCCTGCCTCCATGCGTCCCCAGCCACTCCTGGCCGTGAATCAATCAATGATCGACGACAACTGACTTTCAGACATGACTGATTTCGGTCTTCATCTGAGGCCGAAACATCAGAAACTGCATCTATCTAGTCTGCACTAGCCAGCTTTCTCGATGCTTGTGGTTCCAGATTCCATTTGACACTCGCCTGAATGTTTTCTATGTAGCGAAACATCCACCACACCGCAGCCTTATCGCTTGACAATATTACCACGAGGCACCCGCCGATACTCGATTCGTCTCAGATAACCCCGGTTCGGCAGGTTGCTTTTGTTGTGTACTTGTGTTGTGCCTGCTTGAATGATTCGAGTGGGCCGAATTCGTACATGGACTGTCAGAGCAGAAGCAACGACTCCATCTATGTCTGGGCAACCCCAATTTGACGCACTCTCTAGAGTCTCTACACCGCATTCCGAAGTTGGTTTGCTGGTGCAGTCAGTGCGCACAGCTAGTCGGCAGGCCTAACAACTTTCTGCCGAGATGGCCGATGTTGTGACAGGGGTCGTGCCAGATCGCTCACTCTGCTAGACGCATCACGAGGCGTGATTTCGTCCAGGCGTCAAAGTATCACTCTAGGTGACATTGCCCTAACAAGTCATATCCTTGGTTTTGAATGGGTACAACGAGAAGATCTAACCTCCGAGGCGGTACGAAGACGCTCTGCGCAGCTTCCCACGTGCCTATTCCCAGAGAAAGTGGCACTGTTTGATGGGGCGTGCATCGACGATATCAGTCCTCAGGTCCAGCAGATTCGCAACAGTGGGTGCCCTGACTTCACGCCAGTACAACTATATGGTAGAAGTGACGACCCTTTCCTGTTAACGACAGACTTATATCGGTATGTGCGAAGGACTTCGGAACGACAATTAGGAACACTATGGCTTTGTACCTGAGAAGCTATACCGGTCAAACAGTACCACTGTTTCTGGAAACAGGCTCGCGGGATACTTTGACTTCTCCTTTGAGCCAGACATGTTAGAAGACTGTCGCCTGAGGTCGCATTGCCCGCAGTAGGCTGCACCATCTTCCGTCTCGGGTTGATTGGAAACGCATCAGTTCTCGGAAAAGCACTGCAGAGCCAGAGCGATTCGTGCAAAGAAACGAGATATAGGTGCAGAGTCAGTGGTATTTATTTCCCAAGTCTGCTCACTTTGAGCCACAATTAAAGCTCAAGACGGTACGCCACAAACATGGGCAGATGCAGAAGCGGAAGCGTGGCAATATGGAGCATGACAGGCGCACGCGGCGAAGGGAGGCAGAAGACGAAGAAGAGGCATCCTGACAAAGCACGGCTCCCCGAAGAATGCTGGTACAGAGTCCGCTAGCCTCGTGATCCATGGAAGTTAAAGGTGTTGCTGACAAGCAACATGTGCGACTCCTGCTGTGGCGTTCGACCTTTGATTCGTGGCACTCGGAGCTTCTTCTGCAGTGTTTGGGGCTACGGACGAGAACAGTAACCCGAAAGTGAGGTCATCACTTACGAGAAAGACCACTAGACCCAGCGGCCACCACAGTGAGAAGCGAGCAGGATGTTGACAAATGAGGATAATGATAATGCAGCAGAAAAGCACGAGAAAAGGTGGGAAAAGCCACACATAAAAAGGAGGGTCAGCAATCAAGACACAGGTTGCTTCATGACTCGGCAGGACAGCTTCGAGATCTGGGGCAAGCGGCACGGCAGTCTGTGTACCTATGAGACGGTAAGGTGATAGATAATAGTGGGTGATCAGGTCCAGGAGGTTTTCTCCGGGGGGATCGCAATTCAATGGGATTCGGAATCAAGGACTTTGCCGCTTGGAACAAGTTTAGCGGTGGCCCAAAGCCTGCAGCACAAGCCACGAGTCCCAAACTGCGCTCTTTTGATGGGCTCAACGGAGGGGCAATTTCGTCCATGACGGTGATACGACTCTGCCCCAAACACTCGCTGCTGGGTTATTGCCAACTACTTTGAGGTTGCCCTGATCGTCCTCTGTTCTGTAAAGATCGCCAACCAATCCTCAATAATAATACGAGGTAAAGAATCTCTTCGGGCCATTTACAACAATCCCCGGCCGTGTTAGTAACCACTGCGTCGCGCGGTAAAGGTCTGTCCGCCCCCACGCCTCAAACCAAAACACCATTCTCAGGTACTTGCAACCTTACCCGCTGTCACCTTTTGCCTCTTGGTCAGTTGTCCATTCTGACCTGCAATTCAGGACAATACCCGAATCAGTTTTCTTGCATTCACAGGCTTTATTGTCATCAATTGTTTTCGTCCCAGTCTTCTCGAACTCCGGGATTACAATCTCGATCGATTTCCGGTCGCACTCTCCTTCACGCAAGCCTCAGCTCAGCTCGCGCCCGCTCCCGCCTCCACCGAGCCTCTCCCTCTCTCGCATTGCCATTGTTTGATCTGAAAGACTGCCGAACAATTGAACAAGATGGCGGAGTTCGTACGCGCCCAGATCTTTGGCACTACCTTCGAGATCACCAGCAGGTATAGAACAATAGATGTGGACGAAAAAGAGCCGGACTGACTCCAGACAAAGGTACACGGATTTGCAACCAGTTGGCATGGGAGCCTTTGGTCTTGTCTGGTAAGGGCACATCCGAAGTTTACTCGTCGTTGCAATTCTGACAATCTGTCAAGCTCTGCCAAAGATCAATTGACCGGTCAATCCGTCGCCGTGAAGAAGATCATGAAACCCTTCTCGACTCCGGTGCTCGCCAAACGAACTTACAGAGAACTCAAACTCTTGAAGCACCTCCGACACGAAAATGTAAGCAGGAAACTGTCTGCAAGAGTCCACGCTGATAGTTCCAGGTCATCTCTCTCAGCGATATCTTTATTTCTCCTCTCGAGGACATGTATGTTCATCAAGCATGGTGTGCGAAAACACACAGCATACTGATGTTCAACCAGCTACTTTGTGACCGAACTCCTGGGAACCGATCTTCACCGCCTTCTCACATCTAGACCCCTGGAAAAACAATTCATTCAATACTTTCTGTATCAAATTCTGGTAGGCCACCATACCCCGGAAAGTCTATCCGGCCCATATTCGTTCTAACATGTCACGTGCAGAGAGGTTTGAAATACGTGCATTCCGCCGGCGTCGTCCATCGAGACTTGAAACCGAGCAACATTCTCGTCAATGAGAACTGCGACTTGAAGATTTGCGATTTCGGCCTGGCCAGAATTCAGGATCCTCAAATGACGGGTTATGTGTCGACCCGGTACTATCGAGCCCCTGAGATCATGCTTACATGGCAAAAGTACGACATCGAGGTGGACATCTGGAGTGCTGGCTGTATCTTTGCCGAGATGTTGGAGGGCAAACCCCTCTTCCCAGGCAAAGACCACGTCAACCAATTCTCCATCATCACGGAACTTCTAGGTACACCGCCTCAGGATGTCATCGAAACCATCTGCAGCGAAAACACCCTGAGATTTGTTCAGTCCCTGCCCAAACGAGAAAGACAACCCTTGAGCACCAAGTTCAAGAACGCCGACCCTGCCGCCATTGACCTGCTGGAGAAGATGTTGGTCTTTGATCCTCGAAAACGAATCTCGGCAGCCCAAGGCTTGGAGCATGAGTATCTTTCTCCATACCACGATCCTACCGACGAGCCTGTAGCAGAGGAGAAGTTCGACTGGTCCTTCAATGACGCCGACCTACCAGTTGACACTTGGAAGATCATGATGTATTCTGAGATTCTTGACTACCACAACGTCGACAACCCGGACAACAGCGGACTATCCGTGGAACAAGCGCAAGCCATTAATGGCCAAACAGGTCAATGAGCGGTCTGACCCAGCGGTCGGCATTGCTGCCTCGGAAGTCATGGCGTCTGGTGTGATGGAATGTGTCTGTTCTGCTAAAGGGATGAATTGACGAAGCTTTTGGGATACACGGATAGCGACGACAAAGACGTATAACGCGTATGGAGCAAGGACGTGGCATTATGTGCTCTCGGCCCTTTCCACGAAGAGCACTGGCGAAAAGCCACCATTCAACCTTATCGCGTCGATTAAAAAGCCGTCGAAGTATCATCATCCAAGCCATCTTGTCTTTCTCAAGCAAGGCGCATGTACATGGCTCCAAGCCGCTCTCGAGAACCGCATGATCTTCTAGAAGCTCGCTCGCAAGGACTTTCTCATCAATAGCCCCTTTGAGCGAGACCAGGAACCGAGCACGTCGGCTACATGCGTACTTTGTGGACAGAACCGATGTCGGTAGATAGACTTGATTTATGATTATGCGCTTCCAAACGGTAGCAATTCTCCTTCCGTGGCACCGCGGCAAACAAGATAGATTGGTCATTATCAACTACATTGCTCATCAAGAACATCACTCAGGATTTCCCTGTTCTGACCGGTAAGACGCATCCCAGTCTGCAAGGCATACTTGGTCCATGCGATGGCCGCTTTTGCTCTATATTACTGTAATTGGGCTGTCAGCTGCATTGGCGGCTAAATTCCAGGTTGTCACTGGGGGCCGAATCGACCCAGTCGAGACGTTTGAACAATCGTACTCCGTACTTCGTACCTATTGCCTTTATCCACGAGTAATAACTTCATCGTTCCGATCACATCGTCGAGTAAGGTGACACGACTTACCTTTACTGGCTAGCAATCTCGATCCCAGTCTCGATCCCAGCATCTGACATCAGCGGAGAATTCCATCTGCCTCAGCGTTCATATTCACTATATTCTCCCAGAGTCTTAGAAGAACTACAACTATTTCCAAAAGCACGAAATTCGACACGGCATTCACGTACCGAAGGACCTTGCGCCGAGCAGCTCACCGGTACGACCTCCTTTAGGCCTTCTTCCCACGCAATTACGCCTGAATAGCTTTCGTGCCTCGACCTCCATCCCTCACCGCTCAATATGGCAGAACTGGTACCCCCAACACCTGGACAGGTGATTTCGACCCCAGTGGAAGAGATTTCCTTTCTGGAGAAATTGGCTATCGTGCCAGCGCTTCTAACAACTTGTAATGCTCCGCGCTCCGCGATGCCATTCCTGGCTAACAATATGGGAAGTGTGTACGGTGGCATTTGCAGCAGTCACAGCCCCCTTCCGAGGGGAAGCTGGCACGCGCACTTTTAAGGAACATATCCTCTATACAGCTCTTCGAACGGTACCACAACCTATGCATGATTCATGACATTTACTGACTACCTCAGGCGGTGAAGAACCTAAGCACCGGCCAGATGCAGTTTATCTCGGAACCATTCTCCAAGATCTACGAGAAGTGGTGCAAAGACAACGGATCCCAGCCAGAATTTGTGACGTTGAAGTCGGGCTGTAAAGCCTTCTGGATGGGCGACCATCAAACTGCGAAGTACATCGTGGTTTACTATCATGGTAAGCCAGCCTACTAACACAACTGACGGACGCTAAAGCCGATGTAGGTGGCGGATTCTCTCTCGATGGGGAAGATACCCATCTCAAGTTCTACCATGGCGTTCAGACAACCCTCAAAGAAAGCGATATACCTGTTGCATTTCTATTTGTTGAGTACACGCTTGTACCTCATGCTACCTACCCCACCCAAGTCCGGGAAGCCGTTGAATCAGTCAGCTACGTGATGACCGAGTTAAAACGTCCGGCATCCGACATCATCTTGGGCGGTGACTCTGCAGGCGGCAATATGTGTCTGGCGGTTCTATCCCACCTTATGCACCCGTCAAGTGACTTCCCTGAGCTCAAGCTTGCCGATGGAGACAAACTCAAGGCGCTCTTGCTGGTTGCGCCATGGGTCCACTTCGGTATGCATTGGGAGAGCTCACGCCGCAATCTCCAGAAAGACTTCGTCAGCCCATATGGTGGGGAGATGTGGGCAAGAACATATCTAGGCGGGAGGGAGTCGGATTTCTACACCGAGGCTGCTGAGGCTCCGGCAGATTGGTGGAAGGACGCAAAGGTCGAGCATGTACTCTGCACCGTGGGATCTGACGAGCTCTTGTTTGATTGCATCGACGCTTGGGTCAAAAAGTACAAGGTATGCAAGCTTCATATTCGCACTCAAATGTTCCGGGGACTTCAGCTGACACTTCAAACACGAATAGTCGGTCAACCCTGATGGCATCACATATGTGATTGGTGCACACGAAGCGCATATCGCCCCCATTATGAACGTCCGATTCGGCCTGACCACTGAAACGGAGCAGGGAGCAGCAATAAAGTCCTGGATGAAAGCTAGACTATGATCTCTACTGGTCCAGCTTTCCGGACGTGTCCCTACGCGGACATTATTATGCTCCTCAGGAGCTCAGAGAGACAGTTCACCCCGGATAATGGCACGAGACGGATATCGAAATGAGTAACAGGCCAGCCAGGATGGGTACAAGGTGCGTCTGATATGACCAGATAGAGGTAATTCTGCGAACACTCCTGCTGGGAGCGATCAAGCTACCACAGAACACCTAGTCTGTGATAGCTGTCCAAATGGCCCCCTTCTCTCTCTGGATCTCTGCGCTGCAGTTGCGGTTCGACGAGTGTGCTTCATTCCTCGAGAGCTCATAGCAGCAAGGCTCCTGTCTGATGGTGTTGCTTCTCGGATTATGTGCGGGCAAGACAGTCACTGGCAGGGCCTTGTCTTCACTGCCATTACATCAAGGTTCTGTGCCAGAACATCACTTCACCGTGAAGCCCGGGCTGATGATCAAACGCTTTGATTGCTCTCATTGTATCCAACGCTGCCCTCATCACCTCAATTTCCTTTACTGTTCACAAAGTTGGCAACCGTCACCTCAATTTCTGTTCCAGAACTTCTGGAACAACCTGCTGAATTTCGGATGACACTATGGCAAACCCAAGGCTTATACTGACCTCAAGTTGCCTTCTCATGCGGTCACCCTCTCTCATCGATGACCCAGAATTTGCTAAACTGATAGGGACCATTTACATCTAACAGCTATTATACCTTGTGTAGATGGACCTTGGCCTGCATTCAGGGTCTCTGGACATGATTAGCTGGATATCAACAAATTATCCTACCACGATATCTTCACGGAGTTCGACCATTAGCAGGCGCAACTGCCACCACGGCACATCGAACACCCCACTCACTTCCCCGAGGACAAGCCCTCACACATCGCTGCCAGCAAGCAGGTCAACCGATCTATCCAGGCTGCTTACTTCAGGCCTGAAACGCAGCAGCTCCGTATTGTCCCTATCCTTGTTCCGATCGAAGACTCGTGCTGGAAAGGCAAATGGAGGCAGTATTAAGGACGCTAAAACAACATCAAGCTCCTTCCAAACGCAACGGCGACCATCAAGCCCAAACTCTCCACGACCGATACCTAAATTGCGTCCGCCAATACCCGTGAGGCCGTCTGAAAGACTATACAACCGATCAGTACTTGAACTTGGTTCGTACAGCCCAAAGCTTGACAGCCAGGAAGAAATTGCAGAATCACCTCCGTGCTATCGAAATGTGAATCGTGCGCCGCAGGTTAAGGTGCAGTCGGTTCAGCGACTTGGCGACCTTGATCCTGACAAGAGAGGCAACGCGTTTGTCCGCATTCAACCTGATGGATGGCTGAAGGTGATTCCAAAACAGTGGGTAGAGGATGAGTTCAGCGTTGACGAGGCATGCACAGAAGACAGCAGGAGCGTTTACAGCCAGGACAATGGCAATAACTATTCGAAGGTTCAAGATGATTTCCTCGATGACCGCCATCACTCTACGAGTTTGCTGTGGAAGAATGGTGTACCTCCCGCATCAGCCCCCGGCAGTCGATTTCAGCTTCATGAATCAGAAACAAAACTTGTGGCCGAGTGCCCAATTGTCCCTGCCAGGAGCAAGAGAAGAAAGTTTGGATCAGGAATCCTGTCAGATGGTGAACGCGATCAACTGGTCCCTGCACCACTCCGTCTGGGGAACCAGAAGGAGAAGTCCACTGCCAAACATAGGACGGAGCATGCCTTCCAGCCTGCCAATGAGACATTGAACAAGGCTACTTCAAAGAGATCGTCGTGGACTTCGATACTCTGTGACAATCGAAGTGAGACCGACTGCAGCAATCAAACTCATGGCGGTTTCGACATCACTCGACGCGAGAAGCATGAAGCACTCTTGCTTCCGTGTGACTGGCATGGTCCAGCATATGAAGAGCTGGCAGATGGTCCTTACCCCAAACAAGACAACCTCATCGCCGACATTGATGAGATACTTGACCTGTACTTGACATCCGACCACAAGCCGCACCGCACGAAGGGGAAGATATCCATCGCAAATCAGCCACGGCAGCAGAGAGCAATAACATCCAAGTCCACACTTTCCATCCTACGAGACCTAGTTCCAGACAAGCATGGCCCCATATTGCCCGTCCAGCCCGCCATGACCGCCAATGACCATGTCGATCTGTGTCACGGACGTGGGAATCGCACTGGTCCTTATCTCGATCAACACAGAGCACCGCATCCAAATGGAGACTATGTGTCGGCCCATCCGGGTAGTCGATACTGCGCTTTGTGCCCGAAACCACGACCGAAGCCACAAGCTACGAAGCACAAGGACAGACCCAAAGGTGTTCCATGGCTACTACGAGGACGGAAACACTTAAATACATACGCACATGTACACCAACTTCAGCAAGAGGAACACAAGAATCCTGCAAATGTGCTCAAAGTCGGATCGCCTCCGGCTACAGCCACAGCCACCTTTCTTAACGGCAATGGAGACTCGTGGATATGATCTTGATCAGTCCGAATTTTGGTATGGGCATATACGGATGGAGGGAAATCCGTAATCTCCATGACCGGTTGTGGATCTATGCTATCTGGATTGACCTTTGCATATCGCTGCTGGGAGCGCCATATGCACAAGATTGGACTCAACTCATCAAAACATTCACAGGCTGCATATAGCACGACACATGACACCACATTTTGATTTCGACATCGGTTGGGGATATGTAATACCGAGTACAGCAAAGCTCACAACAGACTGAGACGCGAATCTTAGAGCCACAATGATAATTTGAATCCATGATGAGACTGTTTTCCCTCATGTCCTATCTAACTTGCTGAACCTCGCGCTGCTGATGTATCAAGCCATTACAGCGCCGAGCTGGACGGCAAGAGACCCTGCACGAGCGCTTTGACATCACTGTCACTCAAGCTCTTGAGGCCCAGTAGCTCATTATCCGTCTTGTCAGACCAATTACCACCATAGCCCTCCTCGAAAACTGAAGTGAAAATGAAGCCGATCATGGCGGCTCCAATGTTACCATCGGCGCCCTTTTGCAGCTCGGTCAGAGACTCCTTGTACACCTGCTTAGTGTCCTTGGGCGTGACGTCCCAGTCCTTGCCGTCCTTCTCCTTGCCATAGGCGATCAATTGATTCTGGGTCGTGGCCGTGCTTTGAATGTACACGGCACGGTTTTTGGTCTCGTCGAGGTGCTCAATGACGCCCACAACACCTTGGCCAATGGTATCGAGGTTAGTTGCGCTGAAAGGAATGTCGCCTCCATTGTACACTGTGATGGCGTGCTTGGCTGGGTTGGCAACGAAGCCGACCTGGATGCCCCAGTCGAAGAAGGGCCCGTTGATGACAAGCGTGTAGCTGAAGTTGGGGTTCTGCGCGGCTTTCTCCTTCAAGTACTTCTGCGTCTTGACCTTGGCTTGGAATACCGGAAGCTGCGAGCTCTTCGGGTTGGGCGTGTTACTGCCAAACTCGGACGGGAGGAATCTTGTCACGCCCGCAGCGATGGCAGCGTCGATCAATGGATCCTGGCCGCCCAGCAGCTCAGTGCCCACGGTTGAGACAACGACCTTGTGGCCCTTGAGGGCTTCGGTCAGAGATTCTACGGACGAGTAGTCTACCTCGGCGACTGAGATGTTGTCATGTTTGGGGAGTTTGGAAGCGCTGTTGCTGCCCTTGCGGGTGAGAACCGTCACATGGTAGCCGGCGTTCAACAAGGCATAGACGATGGCAGGACCAAGGTTTCCCGTTCCACCAGCGATGGCAACCTTTACAGCCATTTTGCTTTTTCGATGGGGGTTTGATGCTGATGACTGTGAGTACAATTAAGTCTGGAGAACCGCCGGTATCCCAGTTGCCGCGGATGTGGGGCTTGAATATAAGGGGAATGTGGAGAGGGTCAGTTACTGTTTAGAGCGGTTCTGGAGTTGGTGGTTGAAAATGGTGTGATTGTTGGAAAGTGATAGATGCAGCAATTCGTGGATTCTCGCGTGCTCCTTATATATCGCAGAAGGGACTGTCCCGCAAACCGCTTTTGATGCCGTTTGGATGTCGCCATCGCAGCCTGGCCATTGCTTTGTCATGCTCAAAGCATTTACACTTCAGCCGTGTGGACTCATCGACACCCGAACTGATCATGGCATGATTTCAACAGTGCTTTACGCAACAGGACTTCCGAACAAGGCTACCGGTATGCCTTGATGTCAAACTGCTGAGGTAAGAAGTGATCTAGGCGCAGCTCTGAGAAGGTGGTCTCGGCGGAATGAGAAACGAGGCTCCCGACAAAAGTCACCGAACCCCACTGGCCGGCCCAATATTGACCCGTAGTGTTATTGACTCTGAAGATGCAGGGCACGGCAGGGCTTTGTAACCAGATATGTCCTCCGTATTTCGTGCGAGATTCTTCAAGGGTCTTCTCAGAAACTGTGTTGGTCGATTCACGACGGCACGCCTTCATACTCCCAACCATCGTTCCCTCTTCTGCGGGTCTTGCGGTTCCTTCGGTTTTCATTGCATTTGACCAACAAGGTCAGCACTGTTAAAAGCAAAACGATCAATGCTGCAATGGTCGGGATCAGCACCTCACGTTGATTTTCACTCTTTGGATCGGTAGAATAAGGGCAGGACGCATTGGGTCCGCCCGCAACCCAACAACCGGCCTGATCCAGTGAGTTGAAGTCTATCCATACTCCTGACAGAATACCCGTCCCATCACTAGAACTGGTATCGTTGAGGATTTGTCGGTAGAGGTACGTGTTTTCAAGACCTGTCCGGGGAAGGTCGAACTTTGTCGAGTTCGGACATGCATTGGGAGCCGACGAATATGGCACATTGAACGTCGATAACCTCCAGGCATATGGTTCATTGGCAATTCGACATGCTGCACGACGTTTATTCTGACACTGGTCTGCCCGCCAGCGGCCCAAATATCCGCTAGTAGAGTCGAGTACGGCGCAAGCATAATCGTTGGACGTTGCTTTGCGGCTTGTCTCGGCCCTCTTGGTTTGGGAAGAGTTTCGAGGCTCTCCAGAAGCCCATCCAATGATTGATGACTGTGCGAATTGCGCATACTGGTCCAGATTGTTTTGAACTGTTGCATTGCCAAGTGTCATGTTCAATATGGGAGATATCCCACAGGCAGTGAGGTTTTGCGCCAGGTGATACAAGGCCTGAGATGAGCTGGCTTGATTTGCGACTGCAAAAGCCCAGGATGCATTCACACTTTGGACTGTAGTATTACCCGCTTCGAAAAAGCAGCCCGACTGGACAGTGCCGGCGTTGTTCACTGATATTGATTGACTCGAGGCAAGGTAGTCGTCGCTGAAGACGGCGGAGTCATTTTGAAATTCATATGCATCCATCTGAGGGTCTACTTCGCCCCAACTCAATAGTAGCCGCCGATGCGCTGTGCCAATGATCCATTCTAGCCCTGGCCAGCCGTTTTGGGTGACGGTGTTGCCGTTCGCGTCGCCATCCGTTTTCGTTGTTGTGAAATAGTCCGTATCTGTTATCATGCCGTAGTCATCACGGAACCATGAACTGTTGAGGTCACTTCGATCGCTCGACAATTCCGCAGGTGTATAGAGTGTTAGAGGTAGATTAGACTTGAATTGTGCTCCAATCAGGTCACTACTGCCAGGTCCTCTTCCTTGCATAGGTGCATCAGCAGGAGCCAATGGAGATGTAAATGGAGAGGCAGCATGCAGATTGATGGTCAAATAATGAATGTCGGCAGAGACCGTATTCGATGTTTGGTCGAAGTAATCACTGTAGAAGGACATAATTGATTCCAGATTCAGATCCAGACTGCATGTGTATGGTCCTAGCTCGATCAATTCGTTACCGGAAACGCCAGTCGTAGTCGGAACTGGCAAGGCACTCGTTGGTGTACTGCTGACAGTGGACGTTGTAGCGGCAGATGTAAAATTGTTTTCAGTTGACTGACGCTTGGCCAATGATCCAGCATCGCTAGCGGTCAGCGTTCCCGATGGGGATGTAGCGGTGGAAAAGCTCGAAGCAGTGATGGAATATAGAGCGGAAGTATCAACACTATAGCCGCTCGTCGAGTTGCCAGCCAATGGAGGTAGTTCGACTGGACAAAGATTGAATTGAAGGTTGATACTGTCCCAATACAGATCGATGATAATGCGACGAAAGGAAGTTGCTAGGAGGTCGGACATGCAAGTCTGTGTAGGAACATCGTCGTAGACACCATGAGGAAAGCACGCTTTCGTGAGGTAGATACCCGGATGGGTTATGAAGTCGATTGGCACTCGTCCACCCGCATCTCGCGTGGATAGATATACTGTACTCCAATATGAATCCGGTACAGCATCGGAACTGGGCGAGTAGCTTAGCGACATCTGCGCGAGGTCGCAATCGGCTCAGGATGACATTGTTCGTGCAAGTGAGATGTCACCGGCTGATTTGCATCATGACCGGTAACTGGTGGAATGAGCCTGCACCTCGTTCCGTTTGCTTATGAGGCAATCGTCGGACTGATATGCGCTTTCGTCGAAAGGTGATATATCGAATCGAAGTGCTCAGGACGAGAGGAAGCGGCGACGGACGTTTGGGAGACAATACAGCCACAGACTTGGCGGGTTGAGGCTGACAGAAGATTGTGGCGTCTTTTCAAGTTAAATCCGGGGGACACTTTTGTCGCGGCCACGCTGCTAGTCTCATCGACAAACCGTGTCTTTTAGTCGCTATTACAAGCAAGGAGAAACACCCTCCCACATCGACCACCGTACTTAGTTCCGCCTGCAAACAACGCACTCAACTCAATTTTCGTCCCTAAACATCCATCATCATGGCCGCACCAGGACCTCCTCCGGGAGCGCAACCCTTTTCGCGGCAACAGATCGAACAGATGATAGCGATGGAGGCTCAAAAGCGCGGCATGACGATCCCTCAGTTCCAAGCCTTTCAGCGTCAACAGATCGAACAGGAAGCAGCAAAAGCCGGTATGAGCCCGCAGGAATTTGTTCAGATGAAGCAGGCGGAGGCCAGACAACAGTTTATGCAACAACAGCAAGCCCAGCAGCAGCAGCAGCAGCAGCAGCAACAAGGGCAGGGACAAGGTCAACCAGGACAGGGACAGCAGAGACCGCCGCCTGGTCAAGTACAACAGATTCCTGTCAACTTGAATGCCGGTGTCCAGCCCAAACCCGAGGCGTTGGCCGTTGCGAAATTCCTACGATCACGAGACTTGAAGACCAGGACGTGTATCTTCAACGGCGAGCGAAAAGACATGTTCAAAGGTAGGGCAAAGCCGTGTTATTTCACTCTGGTCCCTGACTAACAAACCCTAGTAAAACGAGCCTTCCGTGCCTTGAATTCAGACGCATACAAGAAAGCCCAGAAGAAGAATTCTCTCCTACCCAAAGTCGAAAACGACCTTGAGGCTCGTTCTGCCCTCCAACTCCTTCCTCTATCCATGCTTGCCCTACGAGTGTCCAAGAAAGATCCACACGAGGGACACGACCATGCCAAACCCAAGAAAGAAAAGAGAGTCAAGGGGCTATGGCACGTGAAGATCGAACAACAACAAGACTTCGACCCCATGATGCACTACGTCTGGCTATATGAGGGCTCACAGTGGAAGACCAAGATATGGGCAGCTGTGGTGGTGCTCGCCGTGTTCACTCTTGTCCTCTTCCCTCTGTGGCCCAGATTCATGCGCCAGGGTGTGTGGTACCTCTCCTGGGGTGGCATGGGCCTGATCGGTTTATTTTTCGCCATGGCTATTTTCCGACTGATCCTCTTCCTCATCACCTTTTTCCTCTTCCCTCCCGGCCTGTGGCTGTACCCGAATCTGTTTGAAGACGTGGGATTCTTTGACAGTTTCAAGCCACTCTGGGGATGGCATGAAACCAAGGAGGACGTCAAGAGAAAGAAGCAGGAGAAGAAGGCTAAGAAGGCGCAAAAGCTGCTCGCACCGTCTGATGAAAAGGGAGCGCCAGCAGCCATATCATCAGAAACAACTGTGCCAGCAAACGGGTCTGCGACCAGCACAGGTATGGATCCCGGCGCCACGTCCGCACTGGCCAAACGACACGCTCCTCCGACAGTCGAGCAAGTCGACGATGATTGATGTCTGGGCATCTCTTGCGGCGTCCGAGTGGGTAGCATCTGCATGTGACGGCGCTCTGGGTATCACGATAGCCGGTGATAGAATGTGGTGTTAGATAGGGCTTGCGTCAAAACGTCCAACCATTGCGTTCTCTTTCACCCTGGTTGCCTGATGTTGTGTTGTTTCGTCTTGTCCATATCAGATACCTTTGCCGTGACCCGTGCAAGCAGTACTCTCATCCGATCGAGCTCTTTGCTCATCTCCCCGTCTCGAGCGACCAGATTCGGCTGAACACTGGCCTGCGGGTTGTCCAGCGGCTCCAACAGCTTCTGCAGGTATTTGTGTCTGGACAGTCGCTGTCTCATTGCGTCTCTTTCGCGGGCTAGCTCGCTCAATTTCTCGCGCAAGGTCGTATAGGTCTCGGCGTGCGATGCTTCTACGTCTGTCGCACGATCTTGGTCGTGGTCCGGATTGAGGTACAAGTCCTCATATGCCTCTGGGAGGGCATCAATGTCCGAGGCGTCCGTTAGATCTGCGTCTCTCTTGACAATGACAATGTTTGTCTCTGCGTGTTTATTCTCGGCGTCCACCAAGGTCCAGTGTAGTGACTCGATTTGTTCAGCGACTAGACGTTGCGACTGCTGCGAGAAGACCATACGATTGTGCTGTTTGATCTTCTCGTTAACTTTTCACAAAGTACCACGTTAGTCATATGTTGCCTGAAATGTATCACCGCTGTGTATTTACCTTTAGCGATGACAGTTTGTATGCTCTTGTCGCTGAATTTGTCTTGGTCTGGATCGGCTGCTAGATCGCGCCATTGGGTCGAAAGCTCCAGGGGCGTGGAGAGGTGTCGGACCTGAGAGCGTATGAAGGCGGCTTTGATTGCCGTTATCGACTGCTCCTCCATCGCGCGTGCTCAGGCTCGCTGCTATGGTGTTACTCCTTGGAGTTATATGCACGTTGTCAAGCATTGTGCCTGCGCAAAGATTCCCGCGACGCGGTCAGTGAAACTGCTTGGGCGCGTATTAATGAGTATCGATAAGATAAGATAGTTCAGTGATTAGATCTCGGCAAGCGGGTATCTTTTCCCCGGCGGAAATGAGAAACGCCTCGGCTCAAGTCTCAAAGAGGGTCGGCCAGCAAGATGACAATCGTCGACCCTGTCGGTTCAAGACGGTGCAGATACTTTTGGACAACGCGATGTTAATAGTTAGAGGCATTTGTTGTTGATTTGACTGGTGGTATCGTACAGTCCAGGACTATCTGCCAAGGTTTGGTCTATCACCATGGCGTCGCAAGCTCGGCCCAAGGTGCTGATGTTCGATATTGGGGGTGTCTGTGTAAGTCAGAATCCTCCTATCTGGGCAACAACATGAGGGCATCTTCGAAACAAACGGTCAGGCTCAGGACTGAGTGACGCTATTACGAAGAGCCCCCAGTCGAGTGAAGTACATCACTAACAGCCCTCGCTCAAAAGGTCGTCTCACCTTTCCAAGCGATATTGGACTTCGAAGTCGAACGGGGCATCCCCAAGGGCTACATCAACTACTCGATCCGAGAGCTCACACCGAACGGAACATGGCACAAGCTCGAACGGGGCGAAATCCCCAACGACGCAAACTACTTCCGCATGTTCAAGGCCGATCTTGAACGGCCAGACCTATGGGCGAAATTCCACCGCGAGAAGTTTAACAACGACAACCCGCCACCAGTCCCAGACATCGACGCCGAGACGCTGTACTGGACCATGATGAGCATGTCGCGCACGCCCGATCCGTACATGTACCCGGCGCTCAAGAAACTGAAAGCGTCGGGCCAGTACAAGCTGGCGGCGCTATCCAACACGACGATATTTCCTGAGGGCCACGAATTCAACAAGATCGGCCCCGACGACGTGCGGAATTTCTTCGAAGTCTTCGTCAGCAGCGCTCACGTTGGCATGAGGAAGCCCAATCGCGACATCTACGAGCATGCCATAGAGGAGGTTCGGCGGAAGTGGGGGCGTGATATCCAACCCCGGGACATTGTCTTTTTAGATGACATTGGCGAGAACCTCAAGACGGCTAAAAGCCTGGGGATCAGGACGATCAGAGTGCTTCTTGGCCGGTCGAACGAGGCTGTCCGCGAACTGGAGGAGGTCACTGGGATGAAACTACTGGAGGATCAGCAGCAGTCAAAGGCACGCTTATAAATGTCAATTGTGGTGATAGATGGGTTTCGCGTGTTTCTTCCTGTATAGGGACTGCTGAACTAGCATAGACGTTCATCGTCTGCCAAAGGTTTACAAAGCAAAAGTGTTGGCTCCCAGCATATGGCGTATACCCAGCCTTGCACAATTTGTGGCTTACAGCGAGGGCTGTTCATCGGACGGCCACGGTGGACATGGACTCCCAATCATTGCGGAATCTAGTCCAGATATAAATGCAGTGAACTCTATACAGAGTTAGCATGTATTAGTAAAGAGTTACTTGATATGTCATCACGCCAGGGACGTCATTGGCGAGGGAAACGGCACAGATTGAACGGTACCCCGTGCAATGCCGTGGTAACTATCGTGGTCGAGGCTCGATGGCGCTATCTGTAAGCTCGACGATAAGCGCCCACATCGTGGGGCTATTATGCAAGCCTCATACAGTGCTGTTTGCACAGATTCCCTCAGGTGAGGGTGACTAATTCATCTTCGACAGGCGCAAGTATTTAACTGACCTTCATACCTGCGTTTCCAGTTGCAGTGTTTCATCAATCTCAATACTCATTATTGTGAAGTGGTCAGCATTTCGACAATTCAAACCATGACTTCAACAGAGCGACGAATCAAGCAAGGCGAATGGGTGCTTGTGACGGGCGCCAATGGATACATAGCCTCTCACGTCACAGATGTTTTGCTTGAGGAGGGATACAATGTCCGTGGTACCGTGCGAGCCGAGAAACCGTGGTTGAACAAGCTGTTCGACGACAAGTACGGCAAGGGGAGATTCGAAACCGTGCTGGTGCCAGTCCTCGATGCCCCGGGCGCTTACGACGAGGCTGTCAAGGGCGTCGCTGGCATTGAACATGTGGTGCGTCATGTTTACCTCCGTGAGCGTGATGGATCCGAGAATTGACATGGCGGTGCAGGCGGCGGTTTTGAATTGGAGTTCAGATCCCGAGGATGTGATCCCTCAGACGGTTGCAGGCAGCGTCAACATATTGAAAGCGGCGGCCAAAGAGTCTTCAGTCAAGTCTGTCGTGATCACGTCTTCATCTAGCGCCGCCCTGCTTCCGGCGCCGAACAAGGAGGAGGTCATTGACGAGAGTAAGTGGCCGGAAACGCATGACAACGCTTGTGTGCACCACACTGACGCAGTCGCCAGACACCTATAATGATGCAGCCGTCCAGGCAGCATGGGCACAGAGCGCCCCTGAGCAGGAGCGCCCGTTCGTTGTGTACGCAGCAAGTAAGACCGAGGGCGAACGTGAGTCATGGAAATGGTACAATGAAAACAAACCTCAATTTGCTCTGAACTCGGTTCTGCCGAACATGAATGTAAGCAAACTCCTTCACAAGCGCGTGCTGGCAGGAGGTGACGATCTCGCAGATAGGAACATTTCTAGCGCCGGAGATTGAGGGCAGTACTGGCGCCTGGATGTTGAATCTGCTGAAGGGCGACGACATGGCATTGAAGATGTTTCCGCCTCGTAAGCCTTTTTCCCAGATCTTTGTGTTGTACATGTAAGCTGATGTTTGTTTGCAAGAGTGGCATGTCAATGTAAGAGATTGTGCGCGTATACATGTGGCGGCACTCCTTGATGCAAAGGTCGAATCGGAGCGACTTTTCGCATTCGCTGGAACATTCAACTGGACCGATGTGATTGGCCTGCTCCATAAGCTTCGACCTGAGAACAAGAAGATTCCGAAGGCACCAGAGAACGAAGGTCGTGACCTCAGTGACATCAAACCAAGAAAGAAGGCCGAACAGCTGCTCAAGGACTTCTTCGGCGGCCCGGGGTGGACCAGTCTCGAGGACAGTCTAGTCATGGGGCTTGCTTCAGGTCGTTGGGATTGACCTCGTCAGGCAAGTGAGAGCAGCGATTTGGTCATATGTTCCGAGGTGTTGTGTTGTCGGTCAGGATATCCTGCCGCACCATCCCGGTACAATCGCAGAAATTCAAGCTAGATGTATTTGAATCTCGAATTTTTGGTCAACAATTCAGACAAAGCCATCCGCTTCTTGACCTTGCCAAAAAAGCAGGTTTCATAGTTAATGGGCGCTTTGAATGAAGAATTGTGAATGTAGTTCTCGGAAAAAACCGTCCAAGACTGTTTCACTTACCTTCAACACACCGCAAAAATACTGTGGATGCCTTGAAGGAGAAAGTTTTTTTGCTTTTCGCTATCGTGCTTCGACGGGTTTCGAAAGTGTTCATCCATTTGTGTGCTGTTTCGTGAGGATCGTGGTGAGGCAGAGAGTAATGGGTGTTGTCGAGTTCATACTTACAGTACCTCGGCCGAGCCAAGATGAATTTACCTTGGCAGGATGACGATTGACGAAGATTCCACTCACACCTCCCTCTCCTTTGCGGATATCTCCCTCCCATTCTGCAAATGCCTATTATGTTCTCCGAGCAGATCGAAGCTTCTCACAGTCAATCCTGTCGTCCGCTGAGCCTTTGACCACGATTCTCACGCGATGTTTGAGTTTTTGTGCAAAGACATGTGGAACAATTACACCTCGTCAGAGGTTACGGTCTTCGTGCCGTTGCGACATCGGATATACGTTCGTGGGAGTCATTGTCTGCGTCGACTCGCCTGGCTGCACAACGTCGAAGCAAGCATTCATATATCAGTAGGAAACCCAGCGGAATTCCTCCAGTGTTTCCCTCCTAGTCATCCACTACCTCGGGCCTTGTCTCATTGACCAACAGGAACTTCGCGCATTCTTTCCTGCATCTACTCGTACGAGCTATCCAATCACTCGGGAACGGTTCTAGCCCATCATGGCCGACTCATCGGCGCCAATGCAGTGGACGAGAACGGATGGTCAGATCCTCGAGTTCTGATATTGAAAAACGTCGATGAGCGAGGCTGGCACTTCGCTGTCAAGGCAGACAGCCCTAAAGGACAGCAGATCGCAGCAAATCCACATATCGCCCTCACCTTCTACTGGCCCCAGATGGGCCGTCAAGTGCGGGTCCGGGGCCTTGCAGTTGCAGTTCCTGCTGAGGAATGCGCCGCCGACTTTCTCGATCGTCCGATGGCATCACGAGTCAGCGCAATAGCATCGACACAAAGTCGCATCCTCACCCATCCTTCTGAACTTCGGGCAAGCCTGAAGAAGGCCAATGCGCATATTCAGAGCGATCCACAGTACGTTTCGCAGGAGTGGCGAGTGTACGCAATCGCTCCAGATACTGTAGAATTCTGGCAGGGAGAAGCTGACCGACTTCACGGAAGGCTAAGATATGCGCGCACCGCGGCAGAAGATGTTTGGCAACAAGACATCCTATGGCCGTAAGCCTGAAAGGGAAATCATGAGCATCTGCCTTGGTAGAGTCGAATTGTCCGTTTGACGGGCAACTGTCGGCTTGCATTTCAGTCTTTGGCCATTCTCTGAGTTCTGGAACGACATGGTTATCTTGGTCGCCAAGGGAAGAGTTCTCCGCATTGCTGCCTTGCGCGGAAAGTCTAGAGCGTGATGATCCATAATTTGGTGCTCTCCTCCGTCTATATCATTCCACGGAGGTGTGCGCAAACCTTGTTTGCAGGGATTCTGATAGCGTTGTCACCTTTTGTACACCCGCACCTATCTATGGGACCTATCTAAAGTTCTAGATGCGGAGAATGCAACCTCAAAACGGACCGTCGCGAAACGCCGATCACTGATAAGATGATATGCAACATGGGCTGCATGGTTGGCCACCGCACGTTGACCCTGAAATTATCGATCGGATATCACCCGCTGCTACAGGTGGGCGGACATGTACATGAGAGCGGCTGGCCTTCTGTTCTTCTGTCCAAGATATAAGTCGGGACCCTTGCCATCATCATCCTTGAATTGCGAGAAAACCGAAATACAACTTTCAAACAGTCATTTCATCTCCACAGTTCCGCCGCAATAATGGTGGAAGAATCAAAGGTCGTTGACATGACGGAGAAGCCCATGGGCCGTGTCGACGTCGACGTCGGCGAGGCTGCGACGATACCCTCGGGGGCAGCCCACCTTCAGCGCAAGCTCGGTGGCAAGGAAGTCCAGCTCTTTGCACTTGGAGGTGCCATCGGAACCAGTACGCCTACTCGATTAGCCTTATGAAGTTGTGGACTAACCATGGCTCAACATAGGTGTCTTCCTGACCATGGGAACCTACCTCCCTCACGGCGGCCCGGCCGGTCTCTTCCTTGCCTATTCTCTCTGGTGCATAAACGTCTGGGGTGTCAACGAATCCTTTGCCGAGATGACTTGCTACGCTCCTATCCCAAGTCCTTTCATCACATTCACCGCCAAATGGGTCGACGAGGCTCTCGCATTTTCGCAATCCTGGGCTTTCTTCCTCTGTCAAGCGTTACTCGTCCCCGCCGAGATCACCGCTCTCCACGTTCTCCTCACGTTTTGGACAGACAAGATCCCCGTTGAGGCTGTCGTGATCGTCACCCTCGTTCTTTACGCGGGTTTGAACCTCATTGACACCAGATGGTTTGGCATAGCTGAGTTCTACATGAGCTTGGGCAAGCTTTTCTTGATCTTCATGTGCTTTGCTTTCACCTTCTTCAGTGAGTGTCCCTCTTTCCGGAAGGCTTGGCTGTTGAAGCACGAGTCTTTCGATCTGCCCCGTCTTCACCAATGAACAAATTTCTGACTATTCCTAGCGATGGTTGGATGCAATCCAATCGGCGATGCATATGGATTCAGATACTGGAATAATCGTGAGTCTTATCAACGCACCGAGGCACAAGTTCCATCACTGACTTTACACTCAAGCCGGTGCTTTCGCCGAATACCTGACCACTGGAAGTCTCGGATCCTTCTGGGGAGTAATCAGCTGCATGACGTTTGCAAGTTTCGCTGTCTGCGGACCCGAGTATGTCGCCTCCGTCGCAGGAGAGACCCGATCGCCACGTCGAGTCCTGCCGAGCTGTTTCAGCAGTTTCAAATGGCGTCTTGGTTTCTTCTTTGCTGGCTCCGCGCTCGCCATCGGTATCGTCATCCCTTACAACGACGAGTCGCTCGCCGCTTTCATTGCCGGCACCGTCCCTGGCCACGGCACTAGCGCAGCCGTGCCGTATACGATTGCCATGCGACGAATGAACATTAACGGGCTGCCTCACCTCGTAAACGCCATCATGATGACGTCCGTGTTCAGCTGTGGTAACGGCGTCCTCTTCGCCGCATCACGCGCTCTGTTCGTCATGGGCCAGTCCGGCCGTGCCCCCGCCTTCCTCGGCAAGACCACGAAGCGTGGTATTCCCGTTTACGCCGTTGGCACGTGCCTGCTCATCGGATTGTTGGCCATGATGGGCGCCAGCGACAGCGCCGTCACCGTCCTGGACTACTTCATCGACCTGTGCACCATCTGTGGTCAGTTCAACTACTTCTGCACCTGTGTCACCTTCATCCACTTCTACTACAACCTGAAGCAACAGGGCATCTCCCGCGACAGTCTCCCTTATAAGGGCAAATTCCAGCCCTATGTTGCGTACATTGGCGCTACGTGCGCGGTGGCCTTGATGTTGCTGCTCGGTTTCGACGTCATCAGCCCCTTCTACATCAAGTGGTTCTTCCTGGACTACACCCTGCTGGCCGTCTTCCCTATTGCCGCCGTGATCTGGAAGTTCGTCAAGAAGACCAAGTATGTGCGCATCGGCACAGCGGATCTCGGCCTCAACGGCATGGTCCAGGAGGTCAATGACTACGAGGACTTGGTGGTACCCGAGCCTCAAGGCTTCGTTGAGAGGGCGTTCAGTGGAATGTGGTCCTGGAAGGGCCTTGCTAACACCATTTTACGAAAGAAGCATACAAACTAAGGGAATGGTTCTAGGGCCATCGCTTGTCAAAGCGAGACGCTAATATGAGGGAGCGTGGTTATGAATCCAGAGGGTACTGTGTATGGACAACAGCAATAGCCCGAGATTTCGGTAGGCACCTGCTCTGATGGCTTGCGAGGGACGTCGTATGGCTGGAAACATATATATACCTTGCCTTGTGCCGAGGCAAATCTACTGATGGCACTTTTGTTCGGAAATATCCCACCTGGGTTTCACTCCACCAAAAGGTTCCCTCAGCGGATTTATCCCGCGTCTCCCTTCCTCGCGTTATTCGTGTCATCAGTTGATCGGATAGTGCACAACACCCACGAATCAAAAGTATACCCGCGCTTCACAGACGAAGGGAATGTTGAAATACACAACTTGTGCGGGACTTTTATCCCCACAGTTGTGACCGATTTTTCCGATAAGGGTTTGATGCCTCAGGACCACCACCGCTATGGAGGCATCATCGTGAACCAATGCGGGGCTCCTTTACTCCTTTGGTCTCCATTAAATGGTCTGGTCTGCCCATGGACACCTCGTGGCAGGCGTCCAAAGAGCTACAACTCCCGGATACGGTTTCATACTTTGGCAGATCTCTTGCGCCTTCTTCATGCTCTAAACATACAGGACTACAAGGGCTTGTATTACCATTGAAGGTCTTGTTCTTTATCGTCCTTCGCTTTCATCCAGCTAGCCGCTCAATTTGATCCCTCATCCTTATTTGGCTGCCATCACAAATCAAAGGCTTCTGTCAGGATGGGCTCCGTTGGCTACAAGGTCACTGGCGAGGAATATGCGCATCCATTGATCTCAGAAAGAGCCATTGACGAACCCAGACCACTCAGGGTCATTCACATCGGCGCTGGCGTGTCCGGAATTAACGCCGCTATTCAGTTTCCTAAGATTCTACCATCAATCGAGCTCGCCATATACGAAAAAAATCCTGAGATAGGCGGCACGTGGTTCGAGAACAGATACCCTGGCTGCGCTTGTGGTACGGAACACTCGACCAACTGTGCAATGTCCCCATCGCTAACACCAATCCAGATATACCGGCGCATTCGTACCAGTTGAGTTATGAGTCCAATCTAAGTTGGAGCAAATTCTACGCCGGCTCTCCTGAAATCCTCGAATATTGGCGACGGATCGCGGACAAGTACGATGTCCGAAAGTTCATGAAATTCAATCATAAGTGCATCGAGGCTCGCTGGAACGAAGAAACCTCCAAATGGCATGTCAAATTTCGCAAGGGGGACTCGGATGAAGTTGTGGAGGACGTCGGTGATGTCTTTATGACAGCCGTTGGTGCATTAAACGAATGGAGATGGCCTGACATCAAGGGATTGCACGACTTCAAAGGCAGATTACTGCATAGTGCCGACTGGGATTCCAGCTACGATGCCACGGCAGGTCCAATTGTGCTCCAGGCGGTCCACTGCTGACATAGAATAGGGCAAAAGCATTGCAGTCATCGGTGCAGGGTCGAGTGGCATTCAAATAGTGCCCACACTCCAGTCAAAGGTCAAGTCTATGGACTGCTATATTCGTGGAAAGACGTGGATCGCTGCTAGTTTTGGTAACGAGCTGGTCCGAGAACGGAACAACGGACAGGACGGCAACTTCGAGTACACGCCGGAGGAGATTGAGAGCTGGAAGAAGGACCCAGCCTCGTACCTCAAGTATCGAAAAGCACTCGAAGTTGGAATGCAAGGTAATTATGCGATGACTCATCGAGGCACCAAAGAACACGAGGATGCCACAACATCATACAAAGAGGACATGAGAAAACGTCTAGCAAAGAAGCCCGATATTGCTGACCATCTTTTACCTGAATTTCCTCCGTTGTGCAAGCGACTGACACCTGGACCGGGTTACCTGGAGGCGCTCAGTGCTGATAATGTGAATGCCATACACGACAAGATCTCGCATATCGACAAGAGCGGCGTTGTCACGGAGGACGGAAAACATCGAGCTGTGGATACGATTGTATGCGCAACGGGCTTCGATACCTCATTCCAGGGTCGATTTCCTATATACGGGCGCGGAGGGGTCAACCTCCAGGATCGCTACAAAGTCCGTCCAGAGACCTACCTTAGCGTTGCGACGGACGGCTTCCCCAACTACTTCCAATCCCTGGGTCCCAATGCTGGCGTTGGCAACGGAAATCTGCTCATCATCATCGAAGCTATAGCCTTGTACGTGGGTCAAATCCTGCGGAGGCTGGGGCAGGGCAACGTCAAGACGATCGAGCCGAAGAGAAAGCCGGTTGAAAACTTCACAAATTATTGCGATGCATATTTCAAACGCACTGTCTTTTCAGCTGAATGTGGAAGCTGGTACAAGTCTGCACCGCCAAATGCTACGGCGGAAGAACGAAAAAGAGGCAGAATCACCGCTCTGTGGCCCGGAAGCAGTGTTCACGCAATCAAAGCTCTAGAGACAGTCAGGTTCGATGATTATGAGTTGACGACCGTGGATGACAATGACTTTGGATGGTTTGGAGATGGCTGGGCGGCGGCGGAGAGGTCAGGCGATGTGGAGGGATTGTGCTGGTATCTCAACAATACCAAGTTCACACACGAGCCGCTGGAGGAGGGGGAGAAGTTGATTGTGATGGAAGACAAGGTGGTGAATCCGTCGAATGGAGAGGAAGTGGACAAAGGCGAAATCGCCAAAGAGATTCGTCTTCCTGAGGGAGTGGTATCGACTTGAGCAGCATATCATTTCGAAAGTATCCTAATATATGTGTAGTGTTGGATTCTCGGCCTCCCTAGCGGCAAGTAATAAGATGTCGACAATGGATGCAAAGGCCTCCAGAGATATGCGGCGTATGTAAGTCTCCTTGAGCACGACGGGCTTCCACAACTAGAATAGGCTTACCTGCTGTCAAGATATCTCGACTGTAAGAATGATTCGCTCATCATGCAGCGGCTCACTTGAGGCTATTCCGTAGAAGGAGAGTGTAACCAGGACTCTCCTGCTTCAATAGGCCATCTCCGCAATCCATGCCATTGGCTCCAATACCAACCATTCAGGTAGATGCCTACCTAGACATAATCATCTTATCTATGTGAGTATATCATCATTGGAATGAGTAGATACTTTGTTCTTTCTTCATCCTGCGTGAGATTTGTGCATGATGGCGTCGTGGAGGCCTATGGGCATTGTCGTTTCGGCTCTGATTATCTTCTCGAGCATCGCTTATCTGCTGCTTTCTTTGACCTTCATTCATCCGATCAGACATCAGCATACAACTGCCGCCTCATCTAGCCACTTCCGAGCTCCAGCGATAAATCCGTTTGCTGAACTCGATGGTGCTGAGGCATCTCAGATATATACGTTTCTCCATCAAACTCCTAATTCACTAAACCTGAGCACGGACACCAGGGGTGGAAACCAAATCTACCTTATCGAGCTACTCCGACCTAACAAGACTGATGCCGTGGAGTACCTCGAGAGTCACAAGGCTCGACCTGATCGCTGGGCTCGAGTGTCAAGTCTCGAAATCCATGACGACGATGCTTTCATCGTCGACTACATGGTTGGACCTTTACCACCATCTAACGACACCCAAATCCTACCACTAGAATACAACCACAACTCTGGGCGAAACTATGTGCAAAGCCCTGTCTCCGATGTCTTCGCGATGCTAGATTGGGCACTCAGCATCGGTGAGAATGCATCCGATATTACGCAAGAATTGCTGGGAGCCACAACCAACCGTGACGACTTGGATGATCCCGATGTCCTTGTCATTGGATGTCGTCCTTCTTTCCTTCATGCCGGCCGCACAGTGCAATGGTTAGAGTTCTTCGGATCAGGTATGGACTCAGACAGCCGCAGCATCCTTCCACAAGGCCTGTATGTCAAGCTTGACATCCCCGGTGCCAACCCGGCGACATGGACCACAGGTCAATGGTTCTATAATGGGATCCTGTACGACAACGAAACCGCATTACGCGAAGCAATCAAATCCCCGGACTTCGTCAAGCTGGAACTCAACCAAGATGGCTCCTGGAGCGATACCGAGGATTTTGAGACCTCCTTCCCAGAACGAGACATGCCTCCCCCACTATCCATCCAACCATACGGTCCACGCTATCACCTCGACCGCAAGGAAGGCTTCATCTCTTGGATGGGCTTCTCATTCTATCTGGCAACCGCCCAAGCCACGGCTCTCTCGCTGTTCGACATCCGCTATAATAACACGCGAATGATCTACGAACTCGGCCTACAGGAGGCCCTCGCACACTACGCGGGTGTCGAACCTCTCCAATCCGGTCTCGAGTTCCTGGACACGTTCTTCGGTATGGGCAGTATGATGTTTAGTCTCGTTCCCGGCGTCGACTGCCCCGGCCACGCCGAATACCTTGACATGTCGTACCACAAGGGCGGCAAGATGTACACGAACAGGAACGCCATCTGCATATTCGAATATACCTCCGACGCGCCGCTGCAAAGACATACCTCGACGTTCAGCGCGACCGTCAGCAGGAACACATACCTCGTCGTGCGAAGTGTCAGCACGGTAGGCAATTATGACTATACGGTACGTGTTGCGTTTCTCCCAAGCATACCTGTCTGACATACTGACTTGACTAGATCGACTACATATTCTACCTCGACGGATCAATCGAAGTCAAGCTACGCGCAAGCGGGTACATCTTTGGCGCCTTCCACGCCGAACCTCGCGGTCACCCCGAGCCACACGACGGGCATACCAACGAATACGGGTACCGCATCCACGATGCCCTCCACACATCGATGCACGACCACGTCGTCAACTTCAAGGCCGACATGGACATCTGCGGGACCAGTAACACTCTGGTCCGCACGTCGATCGAACCCCTTCAGCGGACCTATGACTGGGATAAGCCGGAAGTCTCTGGCGTTCGGAACACAATGCACATGGTCCACAAGTCAGTCACGCACGAGACGGGGCTCAATTGGCCATCCAATTCGCACGACATGTACCTCGTCACCGCGCCGGGGTCTGTCAACAAATGGGGCGAAACCCGTGCGTACCGCATCCAGCCGGGGACAGGCATGGGCAATCCCGCGCACTTGACGATCCTCAACTCGACGACGCTGGGCCGCTCCGCTCTCTGGTCCGCAAATGATTTGTGGGTGCTCAAGAACCATCCCGACAACGAACCCGCATCGGCTCACCACCTTAACTACCTCGCGCCGCTGGAGCCGTTGGTCGATTTCGAGGCCATGGTCGACGGCGAGGAGATCGAGGAAGAGGATCTAGTTGTTTATTTCAACCTGGGCTCCCACCACGTCCCGAGTAGCCAGGATATACCGAACACGTTGATGCACACGAGCGCTAGTTCGGTCATGTTCGTGCCATTCAATTACTTCGACTATGACGTGAGCAGGGCGATGAGACAGGGTGTGAGGATTGATCGGAGGCGCGAGGCCGGGAAATCTATGTCAAAGAACGATGGATCTGATAAGGAAGAGGTCAGAAAGTCAAGGGTGGCGAGAGCAGAGAATGAGAACAAGGACGATGAGGGGGTCAAGTACTTTGGCGCCAGGTACGAGGGACCTGTCACTGTGTCGGAGAAGATGCTCTCGCCGGATTTGAGTCACTATATGAAAGAGCGACTTGATGGGCAGTGGAAGGCGGTTAGGAATAGTGTCGGTGGTGGGCTGCCTGGGTTGTTCGTTGGGAAGGAGAGGGCCGAGGACGATGGCGGGAGACGGTTGGACTGGTAGAGATGCGCGTGCTTGGTCTAGCAAGTTCAGATTCTGGAGATTGAGGAGTGTGACACGACACATCCGCCGGGGCTTGGTCGATAACGAAGCAGAAGGTGCGCGGAAAGAATGGTGACGAAGATATGATCCATGACGCACGATACATGATAGAAATCTGAGGGTTGAAATTGAAGTCAGACCATCCCTTCGAACAATGCCTAACTCCTTTCCGTTTCAACGTACAGTTGCACCATCCTGAGGTTCTGGTCCCCAAGAGTAAACACCTATGACTACTCACTTCCTCTCCTTCTCCTGCTCTTTGTTCTTGATTTTGTCCTTGTTTAGCCGGCGAAGTGGGAAGGAGAACGAGAACTTCTCACGTGTCTTGGACTGTTTCTGCGTGCCGGTGCTGACGCGAGACTTTGGTGGAACTTTGACAACGGTGTCTGTTCTAGATTCGTCGTGATGTTTCGTATGGCTTGCATCGTCGAGATCTTCGATGGGACTCAAATCCTGCGTTTTGTCGGTCTGCACTCCAGATTGAAGGTGGAGCGCCATGCCACTCACAATATCATCGACATCACTTGCTCCCGACGAGCTGATCGGACTGACGCTTCTGTCTTTGCTGCCGGAGCTTCCACCACGACCGAACGAGACCCTCTGTCCTGGATGAGGCTCTTCATGTATCGTTTCAAGACTGGGGTCAGGGGAGATCCTTGTCCGTTCGTAGATATGGATTCTGGATGGTGGTGGTGGCGCTTGTGCAGTGATTTCTCGCAGATACTTCGGTGGCAGAGCCTGGGAGTCGGGTCTCTTGCCCTCGCCCGCCGCGATTGACGAGGTTGAGGCCTTGGGCAGCAGTGATGTCGTGCTGGAGTTCGAGCTGGGATACGATGATGGTGATGAAAGCAGATTGCTGCCGAACAAATCTCCCAAGGGTCTGTCGCTCTCTAGTGCAGCGAGCAAGCTTGCACGGTTTCTCTGTGGGTTGGCCGACTTCACATCTGACGGAACTGGTGGTCCCCCTTGGGTATCGATTCCCCCATCTTCGCCGTACAGCCAGATGAGGTTGAGGTACAATGCTTTGGCTGTGCTATGTTGACGAACGAACGGTACCACATTCAATGCCAGAGTAGCACGGATGAAGCGGCAGGTAGCTGTGTTTGCGAATTGCCAGTCCTTTCGGGCTTGATCAGTTTCTGCGCCCATTTCGCCGGCAGTCACCTGCGCCTTGGGTTCATTCCATTCTCCCAGTATGAGCTTCGCCGAATAGGTGTTCTTCAGGAGGATTGGTTCCATAAAGGCACGCCATGCAATGAAATTGGACTTTCCAAGCAGATGGGGAATCGAGAACATGGGAGGAAAGGAGAGGGACTCAAAATAGGCATGGATGGATATACAATTTGTGGGATAGACCTCGATGACCTCCATGCTGATGTGTTGACGACATATAACGCAGAAGAATTGCCTCTTCACAGAAGTAAGAGGAGAAGAGCTTGATATGGGATGTGGTCGAGCCCGTCACCATAGGATTTCAACTGGATGTGGTGGTGTTTCGGATGGGAAAGACATGCTGAGATTGCTCACTGCTACAGCCCAGCAACCATGGGTCACCTCTACCCTATGAGTCGTCCCACCGGAAGACCCATCTCCGTGCAAATCTTGTCTATCTTCACTTTCCGACCTTGTTGCCTTAGACAAACTTCCAATTTTTCCAGAAGTAACTCCGTCGAAGGGCCGCGATGCAAATACTCTTGGTGAGACAGTCCTACTGCCCGACGTAGGTACATCTCTGCCGAATTGTAGTCTCCTCGATTCGTGGCCGAGACCGCCAGCTGTTCGCATGCCCATGTCGTAGTACCGCCACTGTTTGACATCACAGGATCAGAATTGGCATGTTCGAGGATCCTGTGCGCAATGCCCTCGACGGCAAACTCATCATTTTGCTCAAGACGGAGCCTCCCGAAAGCTGCCAGGGCGGTGCGGTATCGTTTTGGACGCATGGACTTACTGTCGTCGATCAACTGTTGGCAAAGGTTGACTGCCTGATCAAATCTTTTGCGTTTACGCAGTAGGTCGATCTGATCAACTCGTAAAGCGAACACCGAAGAGCTGCTAAGCTTGCGAGCAGAACGGTAACCCTGGACTATCATGTTCATCATAGGCTCGACAACATGCTCGCGGGTGCTGTCCGAAACTATCATCTTCGTGGCTTTGGAAAGTGGATGATATGGGCCAAGGACTTTGCATGCCATTTCTGAGACAAATTCTAGCAGTTTTTGCTCCAGATCGTTCATGTCTTTCCACGCAATTGCGAAATTGAGAAGCAAACATGATAGAAGATGGAGGGGCGCCGATTTGAGGAGAGGCTGTATCATCTTGCAGCAGTCGTCAAGATTCTTGAAACCCTCACTTGACCTCCTGGAATGCAAAAGGCTGAAGCCATGGTGGAGTAACAGCCAGAAGGCTGATGCTTGATCGAGTCGTCCTGTACTGACTTCATCAGGAATATCTCCTGGAAAACGAATTCGAAGCTCTTCCACTTTGAGAGGCTTGAAGCTGGTGAACTGCCAGCGAATCGACTCCCGGGTATGGAACAAAGTGCTCTCGACCGTGTGCAGTTCGGTTGGTGGACTTATGTTGATATCGAAGGAAACACTGTTTAGCGTAGTGGCTTCCGCCATTTGTAAGTCTGAGTGCATTGGCGAAGAACTTGACTTAGTTGCGGGCGTAAGCTTGGTAGGAGTCGTCGTGGAAGGAGTATCTTCCTTGACGGTAGTTGCATCTGTACCCGAAGTTGCTTCGGGGCTTTGCATCAGCTGATCCCAGAGCTGCTTATCAGGACAATGCCGCTTGACACGGTCGAGTTTGACGGGTCTGCCATTGAATGACAAAGACTGAATATCACGCCCGGAATTCACATACGCCTGTACTCTTTTGGCAAGGACCTCCTTCTCCTGAGCCTTGTAGTTCTTGCGTATCTTCCACTCCGTGATACGTCTTTTGTACATTTTCTCACTGGCATTGAAGCCATGCTTTCTTGACAAGATAGACTTGACATCCTTCAGTTTCCGATTCTCGGTAAGGTACAGCTGTGTGAATATGTCTTTGATCCCTCTCCATTGATCAGGGTTGGGTGCGTTCACTTTTGGGTGGTGGCCAGGTCGTTCTTTGAACTGGTACACCATTTCGTCAGAATCACTTGTCCATGATGTCGTACCTGAGAATGGTATGTCCTGGCCAAATGCCAGTTGCTGAGCAACGATTTCCATCAGGATGTGGCGCAAAGGTACTTCTTCCCTCTACCACGAACATTCCTGACACCCCGAAGAGTTGCGGAGAGCATGGATAGCGAAGTTGTCTCATGATGTCCGGATCGAGGGTCTACGAGCTTTATGTGTCCGACATGCGAACACTGTCATGACTCTTTGTCGACCAGAGTCATCAGGCTGGGGAGACCTTGATGTTCGCAATTGGTTGCCCATCATCCTGGCTGTGTCTGCCTTACTGCCTTGGACCTACGGCAACCGGTCAAGCTCTTGCATTAGCTTTGTAACTTTTGTCTGTACCCAATCATTTTTGACCTCGCCCAGGAACTTTTGTGGCGGAGTCCAGCACCGGGAACTTTGGCGTAAATTGTCAGTATCATGCACAGAACCCGTCATACAGATGATAGCGCATCTACTCGTGATCTCAAGGTGGTCGCGTTCAGGCTAGGAGAAAGAAATTGACAAAGGGAACTCGAGCTTGAAGCAGATCAACAAAGAGCCGAGTCATGTGATCTCGGTCCAACAATGGTTTAGTCTACCATTGGTGCAGTAACACTTTAGCGACGCGTCGACCGCGTTAAAGTCCAAGTCATTGGGTGATGGAGGGGAGGGCACCAGGTGTAAAATAGTAAAGCAATAAGTGTTGAAGAGAGAGGCCAACAGGTATGTAATGGTAGAGTAATAGGTGTTGGAGCGAGAGGGTAATGGATATGGAATAAGAGGGTAATAGGCGTTGGAGAGGGAGGGCAATAGGTGCTAGAATAGAGGGTAATAGGTGTTGGGTGGGAGGGTAATAAGTGTAAGTAGGTGCCTATCCATAAGAGACAGAATTACTGGAATTCATGTGGCCGAAGTATGGCCAGAAGTTCTCAATGTGTGTTAGGGCATATGAAACCACACTATAATTACTAGTACCTGCACATCGGGTCCCACCTGTAAAGAACCGGAAAACATCAAAAATACACAGGAAATCAATGGAGGTTTATTACGCGTTATTTAACGGTCAGTAAAGAACCTAACACTGCAACAATGAGTTTGATGGAGGCATACATCAATCGTCTTTGCCGGTGACTACGTACTCGGCCACTTGTAATGGAGCGACCGACTCAAACTATCCGCTAGGTGTGAAAGCAAGGATGAAACTGCGTGTACGAGAAGGACACGATTAAAGATGGTTGACGAATGGAAGGTATCATTGCAGTTGATGGCTCTCATCTTCGTGCAGTTGAGAAAAATCTCACCTCAACCTACCTTGCCAACGAAGACCTACCTTTGTTTTAACAATACTCCCAATCCATGACATCCTTATCGGTCTCTCGCCGTACCGTGTTATAGTTGAGCCAAAGTCTCTTCCATGTGGCCGTAGCCCATTCTCTGTGCATGGGCTGTGAATCAAGAAAATGTGCCATCCATGGCGCACCACCACTTACCTGCGTGATGAAGAACGGTCGGTCAGGGTTCGCCAGCGCATAGTACAAGGCTTCTTCGCTCAAAAAGACATCGGCCCATACTTCAAGGTGATTGGCAAAATCTTCAATTGTTACGTCGTCCTCTGGCACCTGTGAATAATGGAGTGACCATACCACGAATTGGCGTAGCGGGTGCTGACTCTCGGAAAGCGCCCACCCAACGAGCCAGGAGTCGCGGGGACAGCAGCCGTAGGAGGACAGGCGGTCTCGATGCGAAAGGAGATGATTGATCAATATTTTAGTTTGGTCACGCCAGGTAACAGCATGTCGAGCTTGAGCGGTAAAGTGATTCCAGTACTCGCCAGAATGGAAGCGATTGGTTTCGATCTGTTCAGCCGAGGCTTGCAGCGCCTCGTATTGAGGCCGTAATATTTGAACATACATCGTGCTATGATGATTGTCTTCAACCGGGGCTATTGCTTGTGTAAGTGAAGTGGCAAGCTCTTCTGGTAAGGAGTATTGGACGCGTCCTCTATTTGCGAGGAACAGCAACCTTTGTGTCTGTGGTAGCCGAGCGCCATTGACAATCTTTGTTGATCGCGGTCATTTTCATTGTACACCCAGCCATGAGCAAAGAAGTCCTACAATGCCATCCAGACTTGGGAGGGGTGAATCCTTTGTTGATAAACAACAGTGCCTTTGTCGGATCAACCACAACAGGTTTTGCGATGGATTGCCGAAGCCATCAACTGTTCATTGAGTACCCTGAGTGATGGCCGTTGCTCAGAAGGCCGATCAGTCTGGAAATGCTGTGGTTGTGCACCTGGACTCGTTGTAGATCGTCATAATCAAAGGGTATCTCGGTTGCATCCGTGGGCTTCGTGTTCTGGCAGGTCACATCGATTGAGCCAGCCCTCTGGCATCATATTCCCCCTTCTTCGGCCAATCTTTGTACACGTTGCAGCAGAACAGTACCTTGCCTGCCCAGCTTCATCTTGCCATCCTTTCCTGGTCGTTTTGCCTTCGCCATTGCTTTACGCTCCCTGTCTCGGGCCTCTCTTCCTCTTTGTCTCGCTTCCAGGGCAGCTTTGTGCTGTGTGGCCAATTCGAATTCCTTCTTGTATCTTGATTGTTTTGGTCTACGCTGATCTTTCGAATATTCTCGGTGTCCTTCTCCACCTGAATTCCTCGGTTCTCGTGATGCTTGTGTCTCAGCTGCATCGACCATAGCTTGCCTATCTGGATGTAAATCGAGACTTGCAGGCTCCACAAGACCGGGACCATCCTGCGTTTGGTCATCCGGCGTCGAGTACGATGAAACAGGCTGGGCCGCCTCTTCCTGCGCCTTCACTTTGGCATAAGCCTTCTTGACTTTAGCTTTCTGGATGAGGTCCTTCTTGATTTTTTGTGCTATAGCTGGTTAGATAGATTCATGCCACGTGTTCCAAGGTCATACTTTTTCGTTTGTAAGTGCCGTCTGGAAGGTTGGCTGGCCCTACAGAGAACCCCTTTCGCTTCTTCTTGTCTGGTTCTGCTGCTCCATTTGAAGGATCGTCACGGGTACGCTTGACACTCATTTCCGTAGGCGGCCACCAAGACGATCTCTGACTCGAAGGGATTGAGATAGCGTGAAAGGACAGCCGAGTGATGAGTATGAGGATTCTTGTCAGTATAGTGGTGTGTCTCAATTGATAGCAGACGCGAAAAGAACTATTTGAGATGGTTGCAAATTGCTCCCAAAAATGGCCCGAAGGACGAAACTTCAGCGTGACGCGGGGCAAGGCACAAGCGGCGATTTGCGGTGCATATGACATTGGCGGGATCCGCATCAGAGAGACGGGAGTCATACGACGTACCTCCGTCCCATGGTTCTCAATCTCAACCTCAATCTCAGGAAACGGCCATATTCTATCATCCCTAACTCACCAGCGACCCTGCTGTGTCTTTGGACTGAATCCCTACGCCATCTTTCGAACCACTGTCCTGTCGCTACTATGCTCTGACATTCCAACGACTGTCATCCGCGCTTCCTCCGCTCTGTACCGAACGTGATGTCTCCACCGCCAACGTCCTCCCACTCACAGACTTGCTTCCTGCAAACAAGTCTGCCTGCTCACGCCGTACCTTCCAGCTTCGGCTGTCCATGTTGACGGAGCATGCGCTTCATCATCGATCGTGAACCACTACCATCACGACCATTCAAGAGACGGAGACTTCTATCACACACCGACATGGCTCGACATTCTATGCATACCTACTACAACGTGGAGAGGTCCACACCCGACCAGACCGGCTTGCAGGAGAAAGATGATGAACTTGAATCACTACCTCTCCAGTGCAATGAAGAGGGTGGCCTCCGTACGAGTGACAGGGAGGAGTTGATCCAGTGTATTAAACGTGGAGAGCGTCCGACGTGGGTACCCAGACCTGGGCTTGAAGCACTGTGTGCTGAAGCCAATGCTGGACAACGCGAGCCTTCACCTCAAACATCACGTACTGGAGAAGACTTTGCAGCTCGCTCAACGCCAATCTCGGGCACGGGTGAACATGACGAAATGACCCCAACATGTAACCATCCGTCATCGGCCACCGAGTCACTGAGACGTTCCCTTTCAGCCCTACATACTGGCGACTTCCACGACAGTTACTCTCAGACATCCTACGATGGTGAACGTGCATTCTTACGAATCGCCTCAACTTCGCACCATCTCCAAGGTCACTCGCCTCCCTTCTGGCCGGCCGAATTCCCATTCACGTCAAAATCGCTTTCACCAAGAGACCATCCCTCACAAATCCTTAGACGGTCAAGGACACCATCTTTAGGAAGCAGTCTGGTCCCGAGCTTTGTTATGCGGATTCCAACCAGTCCACTTGTCCACTCCATCAACAATACCTCCCTAGACTTTTCGCCTCGGGACAGTCCGCTGGGTGCTGTCAATAGAGGTGCCAGGCGCAGGACGATGCCTGCAAATGCTTTTGAATCACTCCGTATGCCCAAGGACACCGCCTTCTCTGATATCAACAGTCCCGTGTCCGCATCGTACTCGCACCAGGATGGAACTGTTTCTCCGCATCGACCACGTCGGTCGTTGAGCTCCTTCACCTACCATCCAGCGGCCAGTCTGCAATCATCATTCCCAGTCAGCTCACGCCGCCCGTCAGTGGCTTCCGATGCTTCTCCACGGCAGCGAGCTTCCATGGTAGGGTCTTTCGAAGAGTCTATCCTAAGAGGCAGGATGTCCATACCACCGTCTAAACCACTGGACTTTGTCGCACAGATTGGGGTTGTGGGAAAGGGAAACTGCCCAGCAAGTCTGAAATGCCCGGCACACGTCACTGTCCCATTCCCTGCGGTGTTCTACAACTATCCGTCCTCAAGCGGGTCGAGATCGATATCTGACGACAATCCGAGTCCATACGTGGGTACGATTGACCTTGAACGCAATCTTACTCCCCCTGAGCCTCTTTCTCGGAAACTTCGCCGTGATCGGACGTCCCTCGACGCTGAAGACTTGGCGGCCGAATTTACAAGTCCCGAGAACACTGCGATTGGAAAGGCTTTGGCCAGAGATACTAGGGAGAGAAAAGAGAAAAAGACGGCGTCATCTAAAACACCAGCAGGCGGAGCGTACAGAGTACCGCAGAAGGGGCAGCTTCAAATAATCATCAAGAACCCTAACAAAACCGCCGTCAAGTTATTCTTGATCCCCTATGATCTGGAGGGCATGCTGCCAGGTACAAAAACCTTTGTCCGTCAGCGGAGCTTCTCTTCTGGACCGATATTGGAAAGTGCACTGGCCGAGACAGCAGCCAATCTGGAAAGCCGCGATCCTCTTAGCAACAAGGACATTCTTCGCTATCTGATTCACCTCAAGTTCTGCTCGACGGCCAAAGGTCGTTTCTACCTCTATGACGACGTCCGTGTTGTCTTTGCGAACCGGGTGCCTGACGGCAAGGAAAAGTTGAGAAATGAGATCCAACTACCGGAGCCAAAATTCAGCCCCTACAAACCGCCCACTGAGGCAGAAAGTCGAAGTCCCAGCATTCATAACGAGACCCCCTCTCCTCTGGCACGTACTGCCACATCTGCACACTTTGGGAGCTTGGACAATACGCTCAGGAATGATTTTGTTCAGACGCATGCCACAAGCCATGCCAAGTCATCGGACCCTTTCAATGATCTTCCACAGGTACCCCAGGCTGCAGACATGGAGATGGACGTGAAAGTCAACACCCCCAACAACCAGCAGGAGACAGCCCTTGAATTTGAGCGACCGCTTTCGCCAATTTCGGGCTTTCTACCTTCCACTTCTCGTCGGGGCTCACCCATACCGTGGCTAGGCTCTAGCGGCTCACCTGTCGCGCGGAGTCTGTCTTCCACTCCAGTAGAGGCAGGAGATGGACTTCTTTCTCGAAAACTACGGGAGCTTAATGGGGGCACTGCGGGTCGCAAGCATTAGGCGAGCAGACAAAGCCTTCGAAATGGTGGCTATTTAGATGTTTCCCCCCTCGTTCGGGCACTGTCAGCGTTGGCGTAAGTAGGATAGCACTGTCTACCAAGATACCCTTATAGCTATAGAAGGACGGGGTGTTTAGCACCGATCGTATCATACTTTATTTTTTTATCTATAGCTGAGTCGGTGGAATTGTCCACTTTGAGGTTGGTCATGATCCTTAGTCATATCCGAAGCATGTGCTCCTCAGTCGCATGATATCTACCTTAGTAAAGCATCTTCCCCTCATCGATAAGGAAGATACGCAGAAGCAGCAGCAGACTCGTTCATTTTCAGGAGAAACTGCCTTGGACAGCTCGAAGGCGCACTGAGACCTTGATTATTGCAGCACGCGCACACATCTGGGCCGAATAGTGGGTTTTTGGCCGCCACCAGTCAACGATCAAGGTCTTCGTCATGAGCAGATGCGCGGCCGATTTAGACGAATGGCTGGCCAGTGAGGATGCGCAGGTAAAGAGATCATACCGCACCCGCCTGTGGCCGCCTATTCGCATGTGGCTTAGATAGGGAGAAGCTGACGGATAATAATGATCAAAGGCAGCCCAAAGCAACAACTTGTCGCCCACTAAGACGCAGGTTTGGCTGATCCGCACAGGGCACCCACGGCCACCACACACCACACCTCACCTTCCCCTTCGAACCTCCCCATCAGCACATCTCTTGCCCAGAACCTACAGTTCATGTCTCCCTTTTCTCTGCGTGCCTCTTTTCCTCATTGAATTCTCCTTGGTTAGATCCTCGGTCTTGCTTCGATTTTTCCTCATGCAGCAACCATAGCGTCTATTTTCAATTGGCCTTCGAACGTCGATGACCTGGGGAGTCATCCCGCCCGACGAAGATGCACAAAATCAGCAACTTCACCGGCCAGGCTCGTCATGGCTGGGAACGGATGACTCCAGCAGCGTTTGGCATGTCTAGATTTCATCAGGACATGTCGTCGCCGCAACCACTGAGACGTCCTCAGGGTTCTCCCGGAATCGTTCCTCAGCCGTCAACCGATTCCTGCCCGGTTAATCTCTCCTTCAATGTCCCATTTGCCTCCAACCTTGCCGGTCCCGACCCAGAGGAGATCCTTCATTCGAGTCCAGGTGCATTCCAGCGGTGGACATTCTCCACCGACACACCAGAGGGAACGCCTATCCACAAACTGCCTGTTCACGTACAAAATGAAGAGAGACTGCGCTCGTTATGTGCCTACATCAGCGAGCAGAGTGGAGGTCATATTCAGGCTACTGTCACGTCCGCGGAGCCGAAGGCGGGTCCTGCGCTGCACAGAAAATCACAGGGACTGGTGACCAATGTTTGCATTTCTGGGGATGGAGACCTGGTCTACAAGATGAGGTCAAAGGTTCTCAATGAGACCCCAATCATGATGGTACGAGAAACCCGACCGATCCGTCAAAATGCCGGTACTGACGAACACAGCGGTCTGCAGTCGTGGACATTGACCCGGGCTTAATCCTCGACAGCGCCGAGACTGGCATTCGCTCGAGCGTTCTCAGCCACATTGACCTGTGTGCCAAGTACACTGGAACCGATATCTTCCTTCTGAAGCCTCGAAATGGCGAAACTTTCGCAACTGGTGCGTCTTACGGAAACGGCGTCGACAGCGGACTTGACCAGCGCTACCGAGTGAACATTTTCGGCGACATGGAGAGTGTCGAACATGCCAAAACACGAGCCTTGATGATGATTGACCAGATTGTAAAGCTCTAACATCGGTTGAGTAGATGGCGCAGGCTAACGCATGAACAGCTCAAGCACAAGATCGACGTCATCAAGTTGGAAGTCACGATGCATACATTGGTCTCGGGTCGTACGGGAAAGAGCATCAAGATGATCGAATCTGCCACGAAGACCGCCATCTACTTCCCACCTCCTTTTCCTGGAGTCTTTGGCTACGTCCCTCCGCATGCCACGCGCCGTGCTGCCGACGAGATCTTTATCACTGGCGAGACACAGGAACGAATCAACCAGGCAAAGCAGAAATTGAAAGAGCTGGTCATGAGCATCAAACTATATTCCAAGGATGTGGTGGTGTCTGCCAGCAAAATCGACAATATCCTGCTTGACAGACTGGACAAAGTGCGAAAGATTATGGAGACCAACGGCTCTCATATACTCTTTCCTCAATTAGCCAGCCAACGGGGCGTTGTGCGCGTTCAGGGCACCGAGGTCCTCCACGTGGAGAGAACTGTGAAAGAGATCATGGCTCTTGTATGTTTTCCCAAATGTTACTTGGAGGAACAAGAATCGACCACTGACCGTCTCCAATAGACCGGCCAGTTCTTCAGCGCCTCGTGGTGGATTATGATGCCAGATCCAGCACAGGGTCCTGCCATCCGAGCGCCTTCTCCAGATGATGTCCGCATCATGTTGAGTGACATCTGCACAAACTCAGGTGCCGACATTAGTTTCGAGAAATTTACGTTCACGATCAATGGCTCCGACGACGCTGTCAAAGCAGCTATGATGGTCATCAACCAAATTCCATTTGTCAAGAGAACACCGTACCAGATCCGAGTCAAGATCGAACTTGCCAACGAACACAAGGAGTTTGTCAGCGGCAAGAAGAATGGCAAAATTAACAAGATCATGGGACAGAGTATGTTTTCCATTGTCGCGAAGATCGCGTAGTGCTAACTTTTGACAAGGCAATGTACAAATCATATTCGACGGCTTCAACGAATACAACTTCTACATTGATGTTGTAGGCAGTCAGTATGAAGCCGTCAAGAACGGTCTGGATTTGGTCGAACAAGAGATGCCAGCCTCCATTTCTTTCCACGTTCCGGATCAATACCATAAGCGCATTATCGGCATCGGTGGTCAACATATCCAGCGCATTATGAAAAAGTATTCCGTTTTTGTCAAATTCTCCAACGCTATGGATCGGGGAGGAGTCGGAAAAGATGAAGACGATATCAAGGTTGACAATGTGATCTGTCGTACGCCCGCACGCAATGCGCAAAGCTTGGATCTGGTGAAGCAGGAAATTATGGATATGGTGGAGAAAGTTGTAAGCGAAGATGAATCCCTGTCTGATGAGTCCATGTCCTTATCCGATGAATGAATTTAGGACGCCGAGTTCGTTGCCGAAACTGTGGTCATCAACAGGCTCTATCATCGCGAGCTGATCTCTAGATTACCTGAGATCGAAGACCTGGAGAAGAAATGGAACTGCAAGATTGACTTTCCTAACACAGAACAAGCTAGTGACATTGTCACCATCTCAGGACCAGAATATCAAGTCCCACAAGCGGTAGATGCATTTCTGGGAATGGTTCCCGAGAGCCACGAGATCGCCTTCCAGAAGTCGGATGATCTGGATACTTTCTTCACCGGACCTGAATTCCACAACGATCTCCGTCAGAAACTGCAAAGTCAGTATGAAGTTGATGTGCATGCCAATCCGGAGCTTAGCAGCTTGCCAAAGTCGGCCACCACCTCTGTTGAACGCTTTGTTGGTCCTACCGAAGGACGTCTTATCCTCACCTATACACGGAACAATGCGGGAGGATTGAAGGACGCCATTGATTATCTCATCTCCCAGCTTGTCCCTCACGGTCTCGACGCTACAACAGTCCAAGGTGCTATTCCGCGTCCAAAGTCTGATTCATTCGAAGATTCTCTTCCATTCTTCGATTCCAAGCTATTGCAAAACGCACCCTCTATCCACTCCACGGACTCCCCAACTCGATCCAATTTCGCAGACGGAGAAAATACGCCAGTGTCTGAACGAGCATCTCTGTTTGATCGTTTGCGCAAACCCGGCAGCATCTCATCCTTCTCTTCGTTCATGAGCCGCAAGAATCAGAACAACTCTCCGGGAACCTTCTTTAAGCACGCTTCTTCTAATGCCAGCAAGGCGTCCCTGATCTCCATGGAAAGCCGTGAGAGCGGGTACCGGAATTTCTGGAACGATAGCGGCGTCAATCTACCTGAAGAAGACGTTTCTGCCTCCTCGATCAGTAATGGCTGGCCATCACGTTTTCAGGAGAACAAATTTCCCTTTGGCACAGGTAATTCTGTGTCCGGGGACAGGACGCCAAAGCACGAGCCTCCCCGTGCAAGTTTCGACTCTGGAAGACCGCCTACCTCGCATTCCCTCTCTTCCTATCCCGGCCCCTTTGCGCCACAACACCACAATCAGATTCCAGGAGGCACCAATGGATCGACCAACAATCTCAATCTCCCCCTACGCTAGACTTCCTCAAGTCTATGTTGATCAAATATGACGAATGATACCCTGACATCGATATGGAATCATGATTTATCTGCTCTTATGTCCAGCAAGATACCCTATGATGCTACAATGAAAAAAGCACGTGCGGAGGTCAGCAAGTTTGGTGTATCGCTTGAGAGGTGATCAAGCGTTGTTATGTATGTCTTGTGTTGTCTTTTCGCTTTGGCCTTGAATGCATGAAGGAACTGTACGCCTTCAAACGACGCTCTTTATTTATGATTTTGGAAGATACCCGGCACGTTGTTCTGCAGGTGGTTGTTGCATCTTGCTTAGCCTTGAGACACAAAAAGCTACGACTTGCGTCAGGTTCAAAAATTGGCCCCAAAAGAATGAAATATACCCCAGGAAGCTATTTAGATGAAATGCCTAAGTTCAATTATATCTTTTGGTCTACTTTGCAATGTCTTGTTGAATTGTGAGACGACCTGTAGTTTCCTGAGATACCTAGTCTGGACATTCAACGGTTGTTGCGTCGAGTCATTATCAAGATCACGTGATAGCGACTTGACTCGTGCTGTAGTAACCTCGCAGTCGCGACTGCGGTGCACGCGCGTTTACTGTTTAGTTCATGCAGTCGATTGAGAGAGCGAAGACTGACTCCACGTTCCATGCTCATTCTTCCCATCCAAAGACCCAGGAAGACTCGCAGTGACTCCCATGCCGATCTCTCACTCTTTGTCATGCACCTAATACAGAACGAGCGAATCGCCAGAGATGGCCGACCTGAACATCAAAGTTGGCCATACAATAGTGACCCATGATGGAAGAGAAGGCGTGGTTCGATACATCGGACCATTGCAAATCGCGGCTGGAGAGTGGTTAGGGCTCGAACTTGCAGATGGTAGTGGCAAGAACGATGGCTCCGTCAAAGGCCAACGATACTTCGATTGCCCTCCTGGGCATGGTATCTTCGTGCGCAAGGAGTCGGCAGCCAAAGTTTCCAAGCCAAGTTCTCAAGATGCCAAAGTTAACGGGGCGCCTGCCTCCACTAAACCCGTCACAAAACCGAGGCCTTCCTCTGGGGTAACAGCGGATGTTGCGAGGAAAAGGCAGAGTTTCATGAGTACGGGTTCAGGGACTGTTCCTGGTTCACGGCTGTCACTAAGGGTACATAACGAACGCTGAATTCAGGGTACATCGAGCTGACGCAAGAGTTAACAGTCTCCCACCAAGTCACCGACGAAACCCGCTCCCTCCTCTGCAAGCTCTACAGGCTCTACACCACGAACGAATACCCCAGCTACTACCGCACGAACGTCCGATTCTAGCACCAAGTCCAGGCTCAGCGTGGCTGGCCGGTCTTCAATGGGTCCACCAAGCTCGGCCGCGCGCCCTGGTGCAAGCGCGACAAGGCAATCAATGACTGGCAGCGGCCCCAAACCAGTCACAGGGAGGCCAACTTCAACACAGTCGCGGCAGTCTTTGGCGGGCTCTAGAATGTCCATGACACCCAGACGTCCGCTCCAGTCAGGGAAGCCAGGCTCTCCTCCAGATGTTCCAGATGTTCTGACTGAAGAAGCATCACCTGCATCAGTAGGAGATGCTCCAGTCCCACTGGGCACTCATGACGCGGATACACATAATGCAACGGCACAATCCGAACCTCATGCCATGGAGTCAGATTCCGTCCCTCCGAGGCAGCGCTCCATTTCATCCTCGAGCAACAACGCTTCAACTGTTGCTCATGAGGACAAATCGAGACACGCGCAGATCATTAAGACCCTGGAGATGAAACTCAGAGCTTTACAAACTCAACGACAGGAGGATCAAGCTAGAATTCAAAATGTTCAAGAGTTGCAAAGCAAGAACACAAGATATGAGGGGATTATTCAAGCCCTACAAAAGAAACTCAAAACAAATCAACAAGAAATGGCGGACCTCAAAGCCAAATACGATGATGCCGAAAACCGGGCAAGCATAGTCCCGGATCGTAGTGCTGAGCATGAGTCGGAATTGGAATTAGCAACCCTGGATAAGGAGATGGCAGAAGAGCGAGCCGAGATGTATGAAGCGGAATTGGAGGCGCTAAAGCTGAAGCACGAAGAGCTGGAGCTTGAGGCCGAGATTCTAAAAGAAGAGAATCGTGAGCTTACATCAATCATGGGTCCGGAAGAAAAAGCTAGCGCTGGTTGGCCTCAGATGGAACGTGAGACGGAAAGACTACGCCAGGCATTGGTCATGCTGCGTGACATGTCCCAGCAGAACGAGGCTGACCTGAAAAATGAGATCAAAGAGCTCCGAGAGACACTTGACGAGCTTGAAGACTCGGCTTCCAAATACGAAGAGGTTGCTGCTAAGCTTAACAAGTCTGAGGAAACAAATCAGCATCTGAAGGAACAGCTCGAGGCAGCAGAAGCCAACGACGATATCCTCGAAGCCATGGAAACAGAACGAGATCACAACCGAAGTCAATTAGAGATATTGAAGAGGCAAATACAAGATCTGGAAGAGCACATCCAAGTGACCGATGAACTCGAAGCTTTTCACGTCGACGAAGAAAAACGCCTGCATTACCAACTTGACGAGAGCGAAGCACTTCTTAGCGACACCCAGCGGTATAGTGCCGAGCAGCAGAAAATCATCGAAGACTTGGAATACACCTTGACCAAGTTCCGGGATGTGGTGCAGGGACTCCAAAGTGATATCGATGACCTTCGCCGTACCCGAGACATAAGCGAACACGAGGCTAGTGAGATGAGCAGCAAATCAAGGGCAATGATGGACCTCAATTTGAGACTGCAGACTTCGGCCGCGAAAACGCAGCTCAAAGCAATAGACCTCGAACTTGGCAGGATGCGGGCTGAGCAAGCGAGTTCACATCTGGAAATTGTGCAAGACTTTGTCCCAGAAACTTTCGACGTTGACAAACGACCGATACTGGCCTTTTTATGCTTCAAGAGGATTAAGGCGAAGGCACAAATCAGCAAGACTGTTCTCGCAGATAGGATACGGGAACGGCCGGACCAGCTCCAGGACAACACCATACCAACGTTTGCGCCCATTGAGACAATGGCATTGATAGGAAATCTCTGCGACAGGTTTGTTGAGCATCTCTCAAGCTGCGCCTTGGATGATTTCACCAGGTACAGTGGTGCAACATTCGAACTCGAGCCTGTGGAACATGCCGTCACTGCGTGGGTGGAGGCTTTACGCCGGGACGAGTTTGCTCCTGAAGGACATGAACATCTTCAGCGCATGGCCGGGATACTTGTCGACATGAGCGAGAAGCTGTTATCCGAGAGTCGCGAAACCAAAGCAATGGAATTGCTTGCAGACATCTCAATGATTTTAACTTACGCCGACATCATTGGGAGCCAAGCACAGATCGTTGGCAGGACGGTACAAGCTAAGCTAGGTCCAGGGAGAGAAGGCGATGAAGATGCGATGGTCTTCGGAAAAAAGATGGACCAGCTTGGTATCAGGGCGCGTACTGTGAAGCACGTGTCAAGCAAACTTCATCATGTCCTCGACGATCTTCGAGGCCGCTCCATGTGCCTCGGAGAATCGACCTGGCGCTCTTTCGCAGATGCTGAGGTTGCTGGTCAGTCAGTGTCGAAGCTGATGCGTCGTATCGGCACAGCGGTCATGCAAGAGCTTAACAAGATTGAACAGGGCGAAGAAGCAATATCGTACGCGCATTTGCTTGATGCTATGACAGCAGCTACAGGGTCAAGCCCCTATGATGCGGATGCCCAAGAGATTCCCCCGGACGACGCATTCGATATCTTGATGAAACAATTATCTGGTCTCCAAGCCACGATCGACGACTTGCACATGAAATCTGCGGACCTCTCGCTGGCGATCGAATACGAAAGGGGTCCTGCGCCATGGTCCGTCCGTGCTAAGGAAGTCCGGGCACAAAATGTATTGTCGCTCGATCTACAGGAAGAACTGGCACAGTTGAAATCGAGAGTCCATGAGCAGACAATCAGAATGAGTGAGAAGGACCGGCAGCTTGAGGAGCAACAGGTCAAGGTCGAAGTACTTGAGTCTCGTGCCAAAGAAACGAAGGTGAAGGATGATGGCGTCAAAGCAATGAAAGAGGAGATCGAGACCTTACACGCGGAGAAAGCAGCAGCTCTCGAGAATCTGGAACGACTTGAAGGAGAATATAGCGCGATCCGCAAGTCAAGTGAAACTCAGAAGGTAGAGCTGGATGCTATAAAACAGAGCAACACTTCCAACGGTCCATTGCCGACGGGTATACCGGATGAGACGACTTCTCTACGGCTCAGGGCTGCATCGGAACTGCTGAAGGTGGAAATTTCGAGTTTGCAGGCTGCCATTCGCTTCCTGAAGGCCGAGAACACACAGCTTCGGGTGCCTCTGGGCAAAATCGGCCGTGACGCCAGTGATCATGCGTGGCTCGCTCCCAACCATCTTGAGGTCATGCCCAGGGGAGAGAAAGAGGCGCAACTTCGAGCAGAATCGAACAAGATTTTCACAAGCCTTATAGACCTGGCCAAAGCGTCGAGGCCCATCAGAATCAGGCCACAATCTACATTCAAGCAAGGTAAAGACATTACCACGACTCCACGGCAAATTGAATCGACCACGACGTTGTACCAAGTGCTTCAGCAGAAGGAAGAGCTGGAACGTTGGAACGAAGTTAAAGACGACCTGGTACAGCGGGCAAAGATCATGCTGCGGCCGACGACTCAGCGCAGACGTATGGAGTCAAACGACAACGCGGCCAGAAACCTTTTACCCGCTACAAAGCTTCCATTCAACGACGCAAGCATTCCAACGGCTTTTGATGGTATTCACATTGTTCATGCTTGACATCATTGATCGAATAATTGGACCTGTCTGGAGTCGAGATACCCTCTTGTTTTGGATACCCCATGGACAGAATCAAACCCCAGGAAGATGTACAGGCGGATTGGTGGCGCATGTTACGCCAGAATCCAGCCTCAGTCCGTATTGCGAAGATTTCCCTTATTATGAAATGTAAAATGGAACAAACTTTTCCCATTGCCAGGAGCGATGGAGATGAGTAAATCTTATAATCAATAAAACACAGTGTTCGATGTTTGGGTCCGGGCTCGACTACATACTTTCCAGGTCTCCCGGGTGCCAGACCTCTGGGATTGTATTCCGCGTATGATTCGCCATTGCGGACTTTCTGGAAGGTTGGGGAAGTTCCGTCCGAAGTATACTCAGTCAACCAGTCTGTGCACAGGTTACAGCGTACGAAAAGGGCCAGAGCAAGAAGGCTACGGGGAGGCAAAAGGAAAATGAGGATATTGAAGACCGATCGGAGTAAGCCCCACGACCAAAAGTGCCCATGCTCTGAAGCTTACCATAGTAGATCGACGAACTCTCTTGCGCTGGGGACGGCTGCGTCGATCAGAGGCGCATCCGCACAGACCAAAAGCGGCCCTACAAGCTTTCTTTCTCAGTCTCCCCGAGACACTGAGCGACAATCGGAGGTCTCCATTCCCAATGAAGGCGTTAATCTGCCGCAAATCGTGCCTGAACGAGCAGCAGACCGTGCACGAATCCGAACAACTGGGATTTTGAAGATTTGCAGATTTGCAGATTTGCAGATTTGCATTTCTAACTCTGAACAAACTACGGAGGTACGATGTACTCCTACGTCCGAACACCCTCAAACTGTCCCCATTCTAGAGTTCATTCACAAGAGAGCGACCTCGCTTATGAAAATTACGGCTCGACTCCGTGCTTAGCGAACGCTACCAGCAGGGGTCTGTCGAGAACATTGGCTACGTGTTCCAGGACCGGACTTTGGATTGTATGGAGCACACTTCACTACCCATTCTGATCTCACCCCAAGGACATTTTCCACCAATGTGATTGACCTGGTTCAGCCATGGGCTGGATAAACCGCTCGATGGTCTCGCTTTCAGCCAACGCCCAGAGAGGAGGCTCGTATACATGAGAAAACAGCCCGGTGCTACTGGGATGATAGGTTGAAGGGTTCGTCTACTCCTGCCATTTCGCGGACTCAACAATCGGCGGACATCACCAACGTGTCGTATGTGGCGGCTGCAAGATTCATCACTTGCATGAAAACGGCTCCAAAGTCTACCCAAATGAGCCCCGCCGCCTTCTTTTCGAGATGGCCACAGCGTCATGGGTTTACCAAGTGGTCGGAAACCTCTACAGCATTTACCACTCGACCAACACTAGGAAATGTGCCACCACCCAGTCCCCCTGTGAGTCTGTGCGTTGTTCCGAACGAACCATCCACAGCCCTGCAACACCTCCCACCTTTGGTCTGCTTCGTTTCTGTCTGCTCTTGTCCGCTTTTGGTGAATGATTTTCGGAAGACCCGAAAAGCTAATTCCCAACCTGACGACAAAACGTGCCGCACTATGGTTGACATCAAGGCTTTTGACATCAATCACTTCCAACACATGGCGGCATTTGACATGTCTCCTACAGCATGTATTTGCGAATCTTGCCGCCCGTTGGTGGTGGGCATTTTGCGTGGACGTGCTGTCACTTCTTGACACATGGTGGGCAGACCACCATCAGGCGCTTCCACAAGGCCCTTTCACATTTAGTACTTCACCCTCCTTCTGCCAGAAGGCTTTGGGACTTCCTTCCCTTTCATTGTAAAATTGTCTCCCTTAACACACGCCCAAGGACGCGAACATGGTGAGCCGTGGCACTAACGCTGCGATTACGTCCTTCGTACTATGTGCGATCGCGTTACTGTTCGTCGTCGCAAGGCTGGCTGGTCGGAAATTCCTGGTTAAACAACTTGGAGTGGATGATGCCTTCATCTTTGCAGCTGTATGCTTCAGTTTTGGGCTGACAGCGACCATCGAGATACGTGAGTGAAAACACATTTCATTGCCCGTGGGCATATGCTGACGGACATGAAGAATCCCACTACGCCCTGGGCGCTCACATTCAGGATGTCCAGCCAGATCAATATGCCACCATGTACAAGGTCGGTAGATCCATGTTTCTGGAGACTTGAACGTCTGCTGATACAAGTCTCAGGGCTTTTTTGTCGGCACCTTCTTTTATAGCGCGGCTCTGGCGGCAGCAAAGATCTCAATCTTGATCCAGTTCTTACGCTTCTTCAAGGACAAAGCATCTCGATTCGTCGCTTGGACCCTGATCGGGCTGGTCTCGGCGTACTGCTTGATCTGCTGGATAGCCACCGCGTGTGCATGTCGACCAATAGCCATGTACTGGGATCCGAGAGTTCGTGGAGGACACTGTTTCCAGATCTTGACCTTCTGGCTCTTCAGCGCGGCGTTCCATATCGTCACCGATATTGCGCTCTGGATACTGCCGATACCAACACTGGTGGCGCTGCAGATGCCTCATAGGCAGAAGTACAGTCTGATTGGCATCTTCGCGATAGGTGGATTGTGAGTTGAACATAAGATGTTCTTGCGGAACAGCGACTGACATGAACTCAACAGTGGCTGCATCACGTCAATGCTCCGGTTGCAGAAGCTGTACGTGCTCAGTAAAACTCAGGATCCTACATACGATCTTCTTGCTGGAATTCTGTGGTCATCGATCGAGGTCAATACTGGCATTGTTTGCGCCTGCTTACCGACCTTGAAGCCGATAGTCAATTGGATCTCCCCCAAGATTTTACAACACAACTCGCGGCATCGGTCGCGGCAGAGATCTCTACAGCTGACGCCGTCAATGACGGCGCACAAAGTCAGTGACGGCCGGGCGAGCGATGGCACGGAACAGTCGGACAGTATCACGCTATGCGATGAGGAGATGGGTCTGGAACATCCTCAACAACATGGTGCTGAGGGCAAGATTGTGGGGATGCACACGCTGAAGGGAGAGGTATAATACAACATCGGTGGCATTATTTGGCTTGCACCTCTGGGGACACCTGTCGTCGCATTGTACCTGTGGAGCAGTCATCCGCCGAGCAGATCCCGAACCCCAAGATGGGCAGCCCCTCCGATATCGTGTTGATCACGGTCGATGAATTCTTGGGACTTTTAGGTCCCGGTTATGACTCAGCGAGGAGTAGCGGGCGTTTATGGTTAAAGAGAAAAGGGGGCTGGCAACCTTCAGAGAGTTTTCGGGCATCGACATCGGGCGCCGAGCGCTGAGGTCATCCTCCATCGATTCCGGCGGTCATTTTGTACTGCTCAGGACAAGGGCACATTTGATGATAATGATGACGGCCACGGAAGATCCAAAAATGTGCGAACACGGATATAGAGAACTGGTTGATACTCGAGCCAAGAGAGGCTGATGCTTATGAGAAGTAATGATAGCGTAATGTTGACGGCCGTGATCACTATAGCATTATTGTGGCTCTCTCCTGGTGACCATGATGAGTATCGACTGAGTAAGCTGCCTCAAAGCTTTGAAAAGATCAACTCCCTTACCTAGTAATCCCCTGTTCCTGAGTGATAGACGACGTCATTTATTCCCCGCAAGCCTCGCAAGGTGTGTTGGTGCATTGTATCTTCTGAGCAACATTCGTTCTGCACCCAATCTCGCACCATGGCGGATTCAAGGCAGGAGAGAAAGGCAGAACCTCGACGATATGCACAGTATGCGCCCATCAGACACGCTTGATATCCTGGATATCCAATGAGGCCGCTGTCGTCGTTGTCACTGGCATGAAATGGAGTTCTTGAATAAGATGCCAAGTGTGGCAGTGCTGAGTTAGTGCCCGCAGATGCTCGTCGCTGATGGGTCGCTTTCATCCATCCAATGCATCCAGCAAGTACCGCAACTGGACATCCATTCTGCTAACGACCTTCTTCTCTGCAAAACACCCTGTCAATCACTCATTGCGACTCACAAACGAGAGCACAGAACGAACCCATCTCCACCGCCAAGTTGCCCACAAGTGGTACCGTTTACTTAGCTTTGCTTTGGCAGCGGAGGGAAAGCTCGACTCGACTCGACACACTCACTGTCTTACCCGGCAGCATCACTACTGCAGCTTTTTCCTGCTCACCTCCTCCTCTTCCTTCTCTCCTCTTCTCCAAGCGCAATCCTTTCGGGCCCAATACGAATGGGTATGTCTTAATATACTCAATCCTCATAATCTGATCTGCTGCATCTCAACCCGTTGCTACGGAACATCTTAGCTAACGGAAAGGGACGTGCGCCATGAGCGGCGGACGTCCATCAATATTATAGCTGCCAGCAATATCCGCAAGAAGTTTCACAGGACGAGTACCGAGAATAATCGCAACGGGATGCCTATCGACGACGACAGCGGCCCCAATGGTCGTGCAGACCCAAACGAACGGACGAACCTACTCTCCCGCATCGCGACCACCGACTCGGGAACACCGTACTACAAACATGAAAACAAGGCCATAAAATATCCATTCCTTGTGCTACATTTAACGTGGGAGGTACTGAAGACAAACTATGTCAATGTCTTCCTGGTATTTGTGCCGATTGGTATTTTGGCAGGACTGCTGGACTGGAACCCTGTGTTGCAGTTTGTTTTCAACTTTATTGCCATCATCCCCTTGGCTTCCCTGCTCGCCTTTGCGACGGAAGAGCTTGCCGTTCCGCTTGGGCAGACTGTAGGAGGATTGCTGAATGCCACTTTCGGAAATGCCGTCGAATTGATTGTAAGACAGCGACTTTGGTATACAAGCATTCAACTAACACGGGGAATAGGTCAGCATTATTGCTTTGCAGAAGAACGAAATCCGGATCGTCCAGGCAAGCATGCTGGGCAGTATCTTGTCCAACATCTTGCTGGTGTTGGGATGCTGCTTCTTCATCGGCGGTCTCAAGTATAAGGAACAATCTTTCAACTCAACCGTCGCTTCGACCATGTCCTCGCTCATGACCGTCGCAACATCGTCCCTCATCATCCCGGCTACGCTATACGCCGTCATGTCTGACAACAAATCGCAAGACAACAATATCATGATCCTCTCTCGAGGCACCGCAATCATCCTCCTGATCATTTATGTCGCTTACCTGTACTTCCAGCTCAGATCGCACGCGGACCTGTTTGAAGATGCCGAGGCCGAGGCTGGAGAGGGCGGCGAAGAAGCAGAACTTTTGGGACCCTGGGCTGCGGGTGTCGTCTTGGTCATCGTCACTCTTTTGGTGGCCGTCTGCGCAGAATATCTCGTCGGTAGTATCGATGCGATCGTCGAAAAGGCGCATATCAGCAAGACTTTCATCGGTCTGATCTTAATCCCTATCGTGGGCAATGCCGCGGAACACGTCACTGCCGTCATTGTCGCATGGAAGAACAAGATGGATTTGGCCATTGGTGTTGCTGTCGGTTCGAGTCTGCAAATTGCGATCTTTGTCACGCCGTTCTTGGTCATTCTCGGCTGGATCATGGGCAAGGATATGACTCTACATTTTGAGACCTTTGAGACTGTGGCCTTCTTTTTGGCGTCCTTTGTCGTCATCCTACTTATCCAGGACGGCAAGTCGAATTACCTTGAAGGCCTGCTCTGTTTGGGCATGTACACCATCATTGGACTCGCATTTTACGTCTTACCCGATAATGCGCAAGACGTCGGGTCCGGCATTGGGAAACTATTCGGCGGACACAATTGAGCTTGAAACTGTACAGACTTGGCCGAGGTTAGGATGACTGTGCAGTAGAAAAGCCACAGCACTCTCTTTCCTTCTTGTTCGAAGCTGGACATGGGCTGTATACTGCTTGAAAGGTATGGAATTGCTATGGGAGGATGAACAGATTGGTCCACGGAAAGGAGTTAGGCATTGTTCGAAGGGATGATCTTTGAAAACTCACCTGATACCCGAGGAAAAAATCGAGTTTGTTTATATGTAATACCGAAAATGAATGTTACGGTCGAGTGTATCAGGCCTTTTTAATGCAATTCACTGTCCTTAGCGTGAGCTTGCAAATGCCTGTCGACTATCGGTATCCTGTCTGAGTCGATACGTCAACAGCAGAGAAATATGGTCACGTGCCGACTGAAAAGGTTCAAGCCGACCCCGGAGCTGTTCACTCTACAATTTCCATGACTCTTTTAATGCACATTCATTCAACGTCGTCAATCATCACAATGCCGCCTCGATTATCACTGTTCACCGCTCGCTCGGTGCCGTTTCGGACGAAGCCATCAATTCCTCAAAACCGGTTCGCACCAAGCCTCGTCTCTCAGAGAAAAGCAAGTGACGATGCCTCGACAAAGACGACACCCGTCGACCCGAATCTGAAGAGTCCCGAGATGGAGTCTAACATGCACGTCTCGGAAGAGCAGGCCGCGATGGATGAAACCATGGGCAATACCCCACCAGACATCGAGCAAGGCACGCCGGTGCAGGAGGTGAGATTCCCCATCCCCCACCAAGGAATCATGTCATACTAATAATCGTGGTCGAAACAGATCCTACAACGCGACAAGGGCGCACAAGAAAAAGCACCAGAGGTGATCAAGCAAGATCTGAAGAACAACCATAGTACAGGCACACCGTCAGGAACGCGGTCATTCTCCACGAGCGCCCGACGACCCGCCGAAGTTGCATCAGAGATGATACGTTTCGAAGACACGAGAGTGATGGGGCTGGAATATCCCGACGCCGGCTTTGGACATAAATTTGCGTTGCCGGACATTTCGTCGTGGCAGAAGTCGGACAACATGAAGAAACGGTACGATCCGGTCCTGCAGCAGGTCACACGCAGTCTGATGAGACACGGGAAATTGAGCAAGGCACAGACTGTACGTTTTTCAAACTAGCATTCAAATACTATGCTGACTAAGAGCAAAGAACATGGCCATAATTCTCAATACCCTGCGCACTGCACCCGTACCTGCAGGCGATGCAACGGCCTCGGACCGTGCATTGTTGTTGGATGTGCCCCGGGACGCGCTCCCACTTGAACCGGTCAAGTATTTGACGGCCGTGGTCGATTCGGTGGCCCCACTGGTCAAGATCCGTCAGCAAAAAGGTGTTCTGGGTGGAGGTCAGAGCATGCCTATCCCCGTACCTCTCAGTGTGCGTCAGCGGCGGAGGACGGCGATCCAGTGGATTCTCATGGCGGCGGAGAATCGGAGAGAGTTGGCGCTCGCGGACCGTGTGGCCAAGGAGATTATCAATGTCGCTGAGGGGCGGAGTGGTGCGTGGGAGCGCAGGCAGAGGGTGCATAAGATGGCGATCAGTGCGAGAGCGAACATCAAGGCTGTTTCGTCTGTTAGAGTCAAGTCGATTCGCGGGAAATAGTTCACGACCCACCATGGCAGCGGTGTTGAACTACAATAGGGCTCGAGAGCTTGAGTGCATGGCTGTATGGGTGGCGGATCATGTGTATATATTACGACACGGCATGGCATTCAAAAAGCATGAAGCATGAAAGCGTGGATTGGGGGCAATGTACTCTGTACATACAGAATGATGAGAGTTGGCTCAAGTTGTATGAACAAGGTTTATATTTCCGTAGAAATGTCGACATTGATGGTCTTCTGGAAGTACCTAGGTAGTGACATAGTCCAAGGGCAACTGGTCCCTGACGTTGCAGAAGACGCTGAGCGTCCGTGACATCGTGGACGGGCGTCGAATGACTCCAAGTACGTCGGAATTCGTCGTCATTGCCCATATAGGAAGTCACACCTGCCCGATTGGGTTGGCCTCATGCTTTTTCATGGCACAAAACGGTGGATTGGTGACCATTCGGCGTGAATACGAGAGACGAATTATTCGAATAGTTCTGCAAGAGTACGGAGCGAAAACCCCCAGGGTATGTCGTTATTTGGATTTAAAGATTGAATCACTCCATCAGCCTTAAAACGCATTGCTTTCAACTCAAGACTCCCTCGGACTCCAAAGCGTCCACGCATGAACTCAAAACGATACAATACAACAAGAAGACGACTCGATGTCGTCTGTCGTTATTAATTACTACAGGCTGATGATATACTCCCATCCCAGCACGGGCGCTCTCATGAGACGGCAAAGCCTACAAGCAAGACCGGGACGAATGTATGTATGTATGCACTAATCAACAACGAAGTCATCCCAGCTACTAAGCGACTTGGTATGATTCGATGCAGCACGCCATGCTCTGCTCTTTCATCATCGATATTCTTTTGGAAGTGGCTGACATGTAAATGGTTGACTGAAATCCGTGGCGGCACAGAAATAACAGAACGTCGTCTCGTCAGCGTCGAGAACTCGAATAAAGTCCAAGTACGTCGGAGTTGCCTATCTAGGCAGTCACACCTCCCGATTAGGCTAGTCTCCAACGCTTTCATGGCACGAAACCCTTGACGTACTGGTTGTTCTACGAGGAGAAATTATTCGAATCACTCCGACGAACACTGCGGTACTTGACCCTCCAATCTTGACACCCAGCGAAAATTTGACCATGACCAAATCTTTGTCACGATGTCTTACTAAGACGCCAAATGCTCGTTCTTCACGCCCGTATGTGTACGTCAGCCTCGGAGCAGTCCTGGTGTTGACAGCGGCAACACTAGTGTAAAACTGGTGTCCCTATGCCCATTTCCACTTGACGGCCGTCTCAAGGTGAAGATGTAAGCAGTCCGATTATGTGCATTGCAGGACTCCCTGGAGATATTGCGCAGGTATCTCCATTTAGTCCGGCGGGTTCCTCAGAGTCAGACCGTGCCGTTTTTCTTCTGGACCGGGCTTGCTCCGTCACAAGGCACTGGGGTTCTGATCAACTGGAGGCGGTTTCTGGCCGTAGACAATATATCTGGCCATTCAATCCGTGATCAGCTCGGTGTTCCATGACGTCGGAAAACTCAGATATCTACCCACATAGGCCAATAAGCATGTATATCTTTGTTTTCCAGATCCTTTCTGACCTCCAGCAGAAACGCCTCTGTCTTTTCCAAAGTCCAGCCCAGGACTCTCGTGAACAGTCCGATAGTGAATCCCTGCAGGCCCTGAAGTGCGTTGTAGTGGTTCCACAGGCCCATGGTCTTCAGCTTTCCGTCCGTCGGCCATGTGTTTGTCGGCCACTTGTAGACTATGGTTCTAGTATTGACGAATCCAACCTGGCGCATCCACTCCTCATACTGGACGGGTTTGTTCGCTGCTTGACCGACTCGGACCGTCGCGTCAAGAAGAAGGCGCGACCATTTGGACAGCGCACAATCGTCGGACAACGTGCCATCGTCACATCGGATTGGGTAGCATAGTTCTTGCATTTCTAGCCATCCGCCTGGTTGGAGAAACCTACATCAGATTCCAAGGTCAGTGATATATTGAACAGTTGGGCTGACAAGGCAACGGAAAAGCAGTCCTCGGGACGGCATACTCGAAAGCTTGGGTGAATAGATTGCGCTCTTCGATTGCACAGTGGTGTTGGCGGCAGTGAATGAAGTCAAACCGACGACTATATGTCCAGGGTTCATTGGCGTCGTCGATCTCGAATTGCACGTTCGATGGGATGCTGTGCAGTTGTACATCAGCGCGTTCCATTTCTCCCCAGTGGGAGATCCGCTTACATACAAGGAAGGTTGTGTGGGACTCAGGTCGTTCGCAATGACGAATGCTGAAGGACATTGTTCGGCTGTGACTTGTTATGGGTGTCGGCCCAAACTGGAAGGCAAGAAGCGCCTGGGACAAGAGTCGTTGGCAGTACAGGACAAAACTTACCAAACTCAATAGCCCATATACCGCTGCCGGTGGCGATATCTAAAACACACTGCGGCGTCGGTGTGATCGGTGCGAGATGGAGTTTGCCGTCGAGCATGATCTCGAAAAGGTGGTGCTGGAGGTCTTTCCTCGGGATCAATCGTCAGCCTTGGTGACCGCCCGTTAACCGAGCTGGAGGGATTGTACCGAGACGGCCCATTTCCAACTTTGTCCGACGAGTTCAGCGGGCCAACATGGCAACATGATCGTGAGGAACATACCTCGTCATTGGGGTATGCATAGCCTGCAATCACGGAAAGTGCAACAGTCAGTAGCGTGGACTGGAGTCGGGCCCACTACCGTGGAAGGAGCGTAGATCGTGAATATACTGACTGCCGTCTTTATAGGCGTGATAGGTCCGTCCATTCTCAACTCGATATCTGTAGACGGACGAGGCGACTGAAGTCCTCAGGCTATTTCTGAATTGTGGTAGATCGTCAGGTACGAAGTATTCGGAGCTGGTCCCAACCGTGTCCGGCGGTCGTGCTCACTCCTCTAAATTGCTTCCATATGCCGAATCATGATCTGCATCATCTTCCACGTCTGCCTCGTGTTCATCTTGCAGGTGCAGGTGCAGGTGCTGATGCTGTTGTGGCGGTCAATCGCTGCTGCTTTCAGTTCGAATAAGGACCCTACATCTGGAATGTGCTCTGTATCCATCAGAGACCCAGTAGAGTCCAGAATCAGTCACCATAAAAAGTCCTCCGCAGACATCGAGGGTTCTTTGTTCTGCTTACATATGGCTGGGAAGGCCATACTTGACCGCTGACCATGTAGGATAGGCGATGATGTCGACCGCCTTCTCGCTTGATCCGGTGAATGACCATTCCAAGCCAGATGCATCACAAGGAGTCGCCTAGAGGTCAATGATCCCTGGACGAATACGGCACCTCAAAATACTACAAGGCGTCGCTATTCGTTCATTCTTTAGCGAGAGCGCCAGCGAAGAGTCCACTAGCTGCATGTCATCCGTTTACCCGATGCATAGCGTTGATACATGTGAAGGAGTAAAACGTTGCCTTGACAGACTTCAGCAATTGCCTCTTATAGACATCAACAAATTGAAGATCCCTCGTTTTCGTTTTTGACATATCCGAAGTTAACAAGGTTCTACGGACCTCTCCAAGATCCAATACGCACCATGTCATATTCGCTGCTATTGATTGGCGTTGGTCTTGTGGTGGCCTATCTTATCACCATCTCCTGTTACCGCCTCTTCTTCAGCCCGCTCGCAAAGTTCCCAGGTCCAAAACTTGCCGCGCTGACCTTGTGGTATGAGTTCTGGTACGATGTCGTCAAACGGGGTCAGTACTTGTTCAAGATCAAGGAGATGCATGATCGATATGGTAAGTCTGCCTCATAGTCAAGACATGGGTGTTGAATGGCCATTCAACGGGTATCACAGGCCCAATCGTCCGTATCAGCCCATACGAACTTCATGTCAATGATCCCAATTTCCTCCCTGTACTGTACGCCGGCGGCTCCAAGCGCAGAGACAAGTATGCCTGGGCTCTGAGGCTATTCGGCAGCTCGGGCGCATCAATAGCAACGGCGAGTCACGATGTCCACCGTATGCGCCGCGGAGCAATGAACCGTTACTTCTCCAAAGAGAGCGTCCGGCGTTTGGAGCCAATCATTCAGAGCAATTTTGAGAAGCTGTTGCAGAAGCTGGCCGAGTACAAGGGATCAACGAAACCATTGAACGTCAATTTGCCATTCAGCGCTTTCACAAGCGACATCATCACCGAATACTGCTTTGGAAAGTCCCACAATTGGCTGGATAGACCTGGATTCAACGAGAAGTTCATCGAGATGATGGCCAGTGTGCATGACATGGCAGCCCTAGCCAAACAATTCTGGTTCGTCATGCCTCTCATTGATATGCTTCCCGACTCGCTCGCAGAGAGCGTGGATCCAGGCATGCAGTCTTTCATCCAATTTAGAAGGGTAAGATTATCAAGACCTCGCAGAGCTAAGTCAGGCTGAGATTGCTGCAAGGAAATGAGAAATCAGATCGATGAGATCCAAAAAAGTCGAGCCAAAGGAGAAAAGCCCCAGACTTCGATGAACGCCACAGTCTTTGATTCGATCCTCGACAGCGACTTACCTGAGCATGAGAAGGAAATGGAGCGCTTATGGCAGGAGGCGCAAGTGATTTGCATAGCGGGAACCGAGACGACGGCATGGGCTTTGTCTGTCGTCACGTTCCACCTCCTGTCGAGTCCTCAAGTACTGCGTACGCTGCGCGAGGAACTGGAGGCTGCAATTGCCGAGCCGTCCCAGAGTGTCGAAACCAAAGATCTCGAAAAGCTGCCTTACCTGGTAAGTAGACTCAAGACGTGATAATGGGACCTGGAAATTGATATGTCCGACTAGACAGCCATCATACAAGAGGGGCTCCGGCTATCTTTTGGTGTTAGCACTCGACTTCAAAGGGTGTGTCCCGATGAGACCTTGACATTCGACGACGGGAAGAAGCAGTGGAGTGTTCCGCCCGGTGTAAGTCACAGCGCCCGTAGTCGGTATCTCGAGTCTGACCTCTTACTAGACCCCTGTCGGCATGTCTTGTGCTCTTGTGCATCTCAATCCCGACATATTTCCCGACCCTCTCGTGTTCGACCCCGAGAGATGGATCAAGGAGCCTCAATTGAGCCGGTATCTCTGCTCATTCGCAAAGGGATCGCGTCAATGTCTCGGGATCAATCTGGCATATGCCCAACTATACCTCTGCGTGGCTGGTATCTTCCGACGATATGGCGGACCAGGCAACCCGGGACCATCAGGGTATTTCGAGCTGTTTGAGACGACGCATGAAGACGTGGAGCTAAAGTACGACTTGTTCGTACCTTTTCCGAAACAAGGGTCAAAGGGGGTGAGGGTGTTGGTCAAGTAGTATTCTGTAGCGGCGTAAGGTTACGTGGAGCGTCAAGTACGTCAAGTACGACTTCTGCCGCTCTGCGTCGGAGTGATTCGAATAATTTTTCCCGTATAACAACAAGTACGTCAAGGATTTTGTGCCATGAAAACTTTGGACGTTAGCCTGATCGGGAAACTACGACTGCCTAGATAGGCAGTACATGAATCATCTGGATTTATTCAAATTACACATGTCGTTGCTCCTTAACATCTTTCATTACTATGACTGAACATTCGTCGAACCTCGGCTGATGCCTTTGCACCGTTGCTGCCCTCTCAGACATGGCATAAGCAGTTTGCCCTCATGGTCGTGCAGGGTCAACACGCTTCAAGTGACCCGACCCAAGCCTGCATCTGCAATCAAGGAAGTTGCCCATGCAGGTCATGCGAGACTGTCGACTTCAGGTCCAAGCAACCGACTCCTGCACAGTCAGTGGCGACAATCCCAGCATAGATCTAGTAGAGTGACAGTCCCGAAGCTGTTGAACCCCCCAAGCAAGAGATACAGCTCCAGTCTATCACCAGCACCTGTTGTCAGCGAGAAACTCGACCCAGCACAAATTGAAGATGAGGTAGCCGCAGAAGTCGACGCCAGGTCATCAGCCTCGGACCCGTCGCCAACGACTGCCCCGACTACATCGTCTTCCTCCGCGCCTCGGCCGTCAGCGTCTCTTCTCGACCCAACCTCGCCGCACCACGATCTTGCGTCCTTCCACGCTCACGCTCGCCGTACGGGCCTCGATCCAGAAAGTACAGTCTACACCGGCACCTCCTACGAATACCTCGCCCAGACCACCCTACGCTCTCATGGCTTCGACCTCTTTCGTGTCGGCGGCCGAGGCGACCGCGGCGTGGACCTTATCGGACTATGGCACATCCCGCGCGTCTCTAAAGTGAGTGGGCATTGGAAAGAATCCACCAACCGAGACGGCAAGACCGAAGTGGAGACAGACACTCTCAGAGTCATGGTCCAATGCAAGCGTATGGTCGGGAAGCGCGCGAAAATCGGGCCAAATCTGGTCAGAGAGCTGGACGGTGCCGTCAGAGGAGCAAGATTGGGAGCTTTGTTTGATGCTTTGGGCTTAAAGGGCCAGGACGACACGGCAGAAGACGAGACATCAGGTGCTGGTCCGGCGATCGGCGTGCTCGTAGGTACGAAGCCCGCGACCAAGGGCGTGCTCGATACGATGCGCCGTTCGAGCCGGCCTCTGGCGTGGATTATGATGGAGGAAGTCAGCGGCGGATCCGACACTACTACTGCCCTAGACGAGAAGGCGTCAGAGGCTGCGAGCAGTGTCGGCTCCGTGGATGACAATGCACGACGGGACACATCTTCGAGCTCGAGAGAACCGAACGACCAAGCCGCATTAGCATTGGACTCGACCAATGAAGCACTTTCCGACGTCGACCCAGATGTCGACGCCTCCTATGCTGCGCAGGCTTTTGCTCCACCAAGCCTTAAAGGCCGCATCAAGCAGATTCTCTGGAACAAGGCAGCGGGCGACCTGGGACTAGGCGATGTGCACGTCGTCCAACGCTACGACGCATCAGGACGGGAAGAGGTGGTGCTCATGCGAGGAGGGCGAGTTTGGGGTGGTTCTTGACTAGGTATACTATCTTCTTTTTTGTCAGACTTAGGGTCGAAAGACTGGCAGGCATACTCCATCCTCAGCGACGAGGATAGATATCCATCGGGTATGGAAAAGACTATACAGGGCCATGTCTCGTTCCATCTTGTAAACGCCGATAGCACAAAACAAATGCACTTCAGAGCTCTCGTTCTCCGTGTCACTCTCAGCTGTCCCAATATATGGTATCATACATCCTCATCCATGTAATGCACGCTTGGCCCCTGCATCATGCTCATCCTGTTCCTGCCAATGCTCGAACTCGATACCATTTCTATATTCCCTTGGCCTCAAATGCTTTTCCTCGCTCGAGCTTACAATTTGGCTTTCGGCGGCTCAAGCGATGGAAGCAGCATATCGCGAATATCATTAGCCGCCTCATTCAAGTAGAAGCTCATCCTCTCGCAGCCCAACTTCTTGGACACCACGTTAAATTGCAGACTGTTTCACTCCGTTAGCCAAACTTCTCACGACTGAAAGGTGTTCAACATACCTGTTCTCATTGATCATATAAGCAATACCCCAACCCTGGTCGATAACCTGACTCCAGCCATAGCCGTTGAAGTACTCGGAGCTCAACTGGCTGGAGCTGACGTACCAGGTGGAAGAGTAGGTGTAAGCTGGGTCCTTAAACAGCTCGGGCACCTCCTCGCCCGGCTGTACTAGCTTCTTCAAGCCGAATAGATGTCTGTCGACGCCGTACCCTTCGCTCGCATCGGCGGTGTATTGCACGTGAGCCTTGACGGCGTCACGGAATAACCGCTCAGTCTCTTCACGCGAGGTCGAGGCGTCGGCCATGGCGTCGCAGAAGGCGACAGACTCGTCGGACACGGTTCGAGTGGTTTCCGTCCGGCCTTGCTGGTATTTCCGCGTCGCGGCCGATTCGTAGGTGGGTCGGTTCTTGCCGTACATCTTGTGGTAGGCGAGCTGAATCACCATCTGCACGTACGCGTCCGGAGAGCACTTGAACTTCTTGATCAGGCCCTTTCCATAGCCCTGGTATGCTTGGACGCGCAGGTCGTGCGAGGCAATGACCTGGCGGAATTGTGCTTGAGCTTGTGCCAGGTCTTCCAGCACGGGGGCGGACGTCTCAAATCTCAGGGGAGTGGGGTCGGGCAAGTCGGAGCGGATGCTCGGGTTTTCGAAGTCGAGCTTGTTGTGTACGATATAGGCATTGACCGTATCGCAGAGGCGGTGCGTCGGTGTGCCGTCCATCATGCTGTGTTCGCCCATAAAACCTGCTGTGCCGTTGTCGTTGATGATGAACTGTATCGGCTTGTCGAACCATCTGTTCGCACCGTCACCGTGCCAGTAGACGTGAGCTCGCTCCTCGAGAGTGACTGGAGTGCTGGCGTCGAGACAGACGAAAAAGGAGGATGCCTCGAGTTCCTTCAGGACGGCGGCATTGAGAGGTGATGCAGCAAGCAGGTTCTCTCGGGCTTTTGCGCCCTGATCACGAGGTAGCGAGGTAAGGGCGCCGATGGGATCAGCCATCTGGGCGTTTCTGTAAACCTTGTTGAATTGTTGTTCGAGCTCGGCTGTACTCAGCTGTTTCCCGCTGATGTGTGTTTGGACCTTGAAGAATTGGTTGTTTCGCATGACAATGATATGCTCGTTGCCCTCGGGGCCGTATTGAATAGGATAATCCACGGGCTCGGCGGCGACACGGGAAGTGTTAAACATGTATTGGTAGCTGCTCATGGCCATTGGCTTCTTGCGCATGTATTCGGGTTCTAGCGAACCGGCGTCGACTTGCTTCTTGAACTCGAGGGCCGCTGTGGTAATGGCTGCAGCACGTTTGGCAGGATTCCTTCGGCGGCGGTCGTCGCGGAAGGAGTAGAAGTAGGAAACATAGGGAACGACAGGATCTTTGTAGCCCAGGTATGCCCCCTCGTTCCACCAATCTATTATCCAGTTCTTGACCTTGGGATCTTGTGCTTTGGCTATTAATCTGTCTTGTAGAGTGTGTCCCAGACCACCTGGCTCGTTGAAAGCAGCCACAGCCTTTTCCGAAGCTGCAAACTCCTCCTTGGTCAGAAGAGGATGCAGGCTCTTGAGATAGCGCTTGGAGGTGTCTTCGAGCGAGGGCACCGGTAGTCGAGGTAGGGACTCTTCGAATCGGAGCATGTTGCCTTTGGATTTGTCTTCTCGGTACTCTAAAGCCATCTCAGTATGGTTTTCTCTCGTCCATGCTTCTCGGTAGCATACCCTCGGTCGCCCTAAGCTGCTTCGCCGTGGAAGCCTTCCTCTTGTTTGCTGGAGCCATTGTGAAAGACTGGGCCATTGTGATCAGAAATTGACGTCAAGCTTGCAGATGGGGATACACATACCTTGACAGCTAGCAAAGTCTGGGATGTTCGTGGGATCGCAGACAGTGATGAGGTTGCTCGGCCAATGGTGGAAAACATTACCAGAACACTCAAGTAAGTCGGGAGAGAGACACAGGAAGGGATGAAAAAGGTTGAAAGCTGGTGAAGGGAACAACAGCGACGGCGCAGGGCACAAGGGAAACCTTTTAGATCGGGCAGGCTTCGGCAAGACAAGGCCTCGAAAATTGTAGCAACATGCTATAGCCGCGGCCGAATGGAGCGAGGTGTGCAGAATGATGTAGCAGCAGTAGCAAGTTGGAGTTGCCGTGAGGGATGCAGAGAAACGCAGCCAGCTTTGTGACCGATTGTCCGTTGAGCCGAGGCACTTCAGGCAACTCATAAAGGGAATGGTCAGAAAGTCGGCCTCGTGCAAAATCCACCCGGCATCCCACTCTCATCAAGGCGATTTCCCGGAGATTTACGGAGTACGGGGCCACGAATATAGGTATCTTGGAGGGTTTCCGTCAAAGATACGATCAATGAGGTACGCACGAAAGAAACAAAGAAAGAGGCTTTGCTTTATACTGTAGATGCTTCTCTTCTTTAGCTTGATACCCTCTATTTCATGCTTCCCTCGCATATTTTTGCAGCGTCTGACCAAACGAGGCAGATTCATCACCATCGTCCTCATCACCTTCGTGCCATGGCTCAAAAGCATTCAGACTGCACAAATGTCTCATTGTTGGGCGACCATGGGGACAATTCCATGGCTTATCGATGGTACCCATATTCAGAACCACCTTTTGCATCTGCTTCTTGGACAACGTCTTGCCAATCATGATACTCGATCGACATGCTCTCATCGCAAACATCTTTCGCACTTTGCCTGGTCTCGGGACCGCGTGGTCACTTTGTGCCCCGAAACCTGGTGCTTCTGCAAGAAATTGGATGAGTTCTTCCAGATCTCGAGTGTTGAACACAACTTCCTTGCTCAACGGAAGGCTGATGAGCCTGCATCTCTGCCCTACCATTCTTTCCCCGCTGGTATCAACGTCAACAAGAAATCCATTCTTCTCCAGCGCCTCATGGTTTTCGAGCACAATCTCTTCCTCCACTGCTGTCAGATCCAATGTGACCGGTTGAACAAGCCTTTGATTGCCCACAACAGTCTCAGTCTGCAGTTTCTCGAAATTGTACTTCTCATCTGATGCATGCTGGTCGATAATGAATAATTCATCCTTTTTCGATCTCGTAGCACCATCACCATCGGTACCGGCAGGTCTGACTGCGAGGATGAAGCCAAGATTAAATTGTCCCACAATGGACATTTTCGCAAAGTCCGCTTTCGATACTGTCAAAGAGAGCTGTATTTCCGGATCCTCCGCAAAATTGTCCTCGCCCAAGTGGCTGCCTGGGTACTCTTCGACTGTGGCGTTATGCGCAAGTTGTTCCATTTCGCGAGCCACAGAAGCCATGGAAAAGTCAACCGTCGTCACTAGGCTGGTCGTGGAGTCCTTAGTCTGACGACCAGACAGTGACTTTGTAGCCCGTTTCAGGTTCTCCTTGCTAGGTAAGGCAGAATTTTCTTCCGCGGCTCGGATAAGTTCAGCCACACGCGCTGCCTCGATCTTTTTCTTTTCGTCCTCATCCATATACTCGGGGTCAGATGCATCCGAGTCATCTTGTATAGGGGTGGTAGCTTGGTCGTCTGCTTTGGTACCGTCTTCGTCAGATTGATCACTAGGCTCGGGACTCCGGAAATCCCGCGGGTCTGGAGTCTGTATATCGTTCTCGACCTCGGACTCAGCTTCAGCAGAGCTTGTTCGGTCTGCGCCTTGCTCGATCTCGTCTTCTGTGTGGCCCGGGCCGTGCGCACCGAACTTGCGCAATGTCTGGGAGAATTGAAAAGTGGCAGGAGTCTTCGTCGGCCTCTTGCCAGGGAGACCCACTTCGACTGAACCATGATCCTCTTGCGAGCTTCTCGGCGAGCGAGGAAACTGTGATCCGAGCACCGTGGTCACAGTTTTATCACCGATCGTAATGGTGGCAATTTCCGCCGTGATTCTTTTGGGTCGCATCCGATCAAAAGCACTAGGGACGACTCCTTTTTCATCCTTGTTCAAAGGCTGGACGATCGACTGGATACCAGTACTGCCCTCGCTCTCGTCGGGAGACGAAATTTCACGGCTCTCTGCAACATTCGATCCCTGCTCAGCCATTCTTTTATTGAAGTCTCTCACGTGTATTTGCACTGGGGTATTCTGGGACGACTCTGCTTTTGGGGCAGACATCTGAATCTCCTTCTCTCGGCTACCATGAGATTCGTCTCCTGAATCGGCCAATGTTGGCTGCTCAGCAACCTTTTCCGCCAACTTCTCAGCTCGCCTCTGTCGGTCTTTGCGCAGCTTTTCCTGCATCTTCTCATCAAGTTCACTCTCATCTCTGGTGCTGGTAAAATCCCGAAAGTGTTGCCGCAAAAGAGAATTCGACGAACCTTCATCCTGGCTTCGTGCTTCTTCTTCTTCTTCTTCTTCTTCTTCTTCTTCTTCTTCTTCTTCTTCTTCTTCTTCTTCATTACCACCTCTCGCTTCCTCTTGAGGCAGGGATGGCTCCGAGAAAGAACCGGTACGCTTTTCAGTGTCTGGAGAGTCTGAAGGCAGGCGACGTTGAATGTTCAGTTTCTGGAAGGCAGGAAGCTTCGCCGTCTGCAGCTGAGACTGTGGAATTGTCTGATCTTGTCGCTCAAACATGTCATTCAGGGCGGTTTTCAGATTTTCTATGAGGGCGGCTGAATCGTGTAGCAATATAGTTCGTTTATCTGGGGATACGTTGACATCGTATGCACTGGTGTCCATCCGAAAGTCCGCAAAGATAAAGGGCGATTGAGATACATTGAATGATTTGTATACTTCGTTGATAGCTTTCGCGATTTGCGGCAGACCACACGGCCTTCCATTTACGAAGAACATTTGTCGATCCGGAGTCTGCCGTCCTTCGCCAAAAACAGGCTTCGATATGTGACCTTGAACGTGAATCGTCGGACCCAGCTTGTCCTTGCGGACCATCTGGGTCACTGTCGGCTGGAAGTCCAGGTCCAAGTCTATCGGGACCAGCGCCGCCAATGTCTTCGCACCATAAACATTCGCTATGTTCTCTCGTGTAGTGAGGTTGGCTTTGGTTGAAAAGACCGTCATGCTTTTGGCCTTCGGCATGGCATTCTTGACCGTGAACTTGAGGTTCACACAGATGCAAGCGTATGCATGCAGGAGGCCAAGGACTTTGCCATATTCCCTCTTGATGTTCTTCGATAGCTCTTTACGTCGCACCGGTAGTGGTTCAAACAAGTTTTCGACGGTTGCAGTAGTGCCCTTCTGGCAGGCTACGACAGTTGTCGAGGTCATCCGACCCATGGTATCAAAATCAAGGCGCTTGCCTTTGGGTGCTCCATCAGCCTGTGCAGTTGTGATATAAAATTTTGACAAAGCGCACAGCGAAGAAATTGCCTCGCCTCGAAAACCAAAGGTTTGCAAACTGGAGAGGTCATCAAAGTTGGATAGTTTCGACGTATAATGCTTCAAGGCTATGCTCTCGTAATTGGAGGGGGCGATGCCGGTGCCGTTGTCCTGAACTTCGATTGAGTCAAGACCATTGTTCTTGAAGCGAACCTCGATTGAAGTGGCCGCAGCATCCAGGCTGTTCTCAACCAGTTCCTTGGCCACAGAACACAAGTCCACAATGACTTGGCCAGACTGAATCTGGTGAACAGATTTGGCCTCGATGGCCTTGATGGTGGCCATGCCAGCCCATGATTGTTACCCAAATCAGTGACGAGGATCGTGGCGAACCTTCAAGCTTCCTAGCTGCGCAAGGGATGATGGGCGGCAAGCGCGATGGATGCAGTTGTGATCAAGGAGTGGACGGTTTTCTATGAAATATTGGGCGTGGTTAATTTGTGAGTGTTCCAGGTCAAAATAAGGTGCCAGCTTAGCGTCTCGGCGGCCAGCAGTTGCCTAAAGATTTAACTAGCACGACACATGGCTCCAGGCAGCCCGGTGCCTTGGTTAAGGCAGTGGTGGGGGCCGGGAGGAAAGTGTATAGTTAAAGGATGGAGTTGCATCTTGTGGCACTATGCTCGGTAGAAGCTGCCGCAAGCGCAAAGACTGACGTCAACCTGCAGAGTGGCCATATTGATACTATCAAAAAGCGGCGATGGGGAATCTTCGCCTCCCAGTTAATGGCGACAAAAGAACGTACTAGTAGATAATCTCCTGCCACCTTCATCTGTCATTTTCAAATTTTACCAGGCTGAAGACGTTCAGTCACCTTCGCACCTGTCTGCTTGCTCAATGCTCCAAGACCTGCCCGTCGAGGTCATCCAGCAGATCATCGGCCACCTATCCACCGCATCATCCATAGTTAACCTCTCTCTGACCAACCGCAAAGTCCACGCCATCATCTCGAACGACGACTATGCCTGCTTCCGTACGTTTGTACAGAGAGCCTTTCCGTCGCTCAAGACACCACCGATTTGGCGAGACTCCGCACGTGCCTTGACATCACGATCGCGTGCTTGGGACCGCAGAGCCTTTGTGGCCAGGGAGTGTCACCCGCCTCCAGACAAGGCCGAACCTCCACAGAACTTCATCCCAACAGTAGGCTACCACCCCGTCATCGACAGCTATGAGACTTGGCCTGGGTCAACGTGGCTCAGCCGCAAGGAAGTCCTAGCATGGGGCGCTGCTGGTCGCCTTAGAGTACGCATCATCCAAAACGGTGTGGCAACATGGGGTTCTTTTCAAATTCCAGATGATCACAGACAGGAGCTCGACATTCTGGATGTCCGACTTCTGCTTTCTCACCAGCATGACAATAAAGCAGGCGAATCCATCGTCCTCAGACGAGCTAACGGAGAGCTAATCAGAGTCGAAACGGGCCCGAGATTGGACGTCTTCAAAGAGAAATCCAGATACATCGTCCCGCCAGACGTGACCTGCATTGACATCAGCAAAGACGCACACCCCATTCTCGCCGCTTGCGGAGGTGACTCAATCCATTTGTACCCAGTTCACGCCTCAGAACGCAATGTTCGACCCGTGGACAGCGTAGTTGTCCAAAGTTCTTACGCTGTCCGTAACCGCAAAAGATGCGCCACGTTCCTCTCGGATACCAGTCTAGCTGTGGGCGTACAGTTTCTGCAGGGCCGGAACCGAGCACCCATCAATGTCTACGACATCAGTCCGACAGGATTATCGGCTACCCCTTTGCATGAATCCATTTCTTTTGCAGAGTCAAGCCATGCTGTTATAGGCCGCCACAGTGCTAACGTCATCGTTCCCCTGGACGACTGGGGCACGTCCACCCGTCGACCTGGCCAGATTTTCCTGTCAGGCTGGACCGACGGCATCGCCAGACTGCACGATACGAGAGTACCAACAAGAGCTGTCACAGAATATGTCGATTTTGTGGACGACGGGCAAATCCTTTCACTACTGCCAATCGGTCACGAACGGTTTATGGCTGGAAGCCACCAGAACGGCTGTTTGAAGATTTTCGATCTTCGCATGGCTGGTGCTAGACCATATTCATATCTCGATGCTCGGCGTCCCAGCCCATCCACTCGAATCTCATCACGTTCTGGCTCCACTACACCCCACTCGAAAGATCGACGAGACATCAACATCTTCCTAACGCCAACCATCAATTATGGCGAGCGACTCTGGCAGCCACTCGCACGTCGCCCTGCCCGTCGCTCTAACCGCTATCGAGGCTCGGTGTATTCCCTGTCAAGTCCGTCGCCCAGCTCGCCGACCGTATACGCCGGTATCGAGAACCACGTCTTGCGCTTGGACTTTGTCTCAACCGATGATTACAGGAGTGGAAAGCAGGGTCTTGTGGACCCCTCGCTCGGCCTGTACGACAAGACGAATCATGTACTCAACCTCTCCTGTTACGAACGGCCCCGTAAAGGTCATGAGAGCACGGATCCCGTGCTCTTACGGAAGCAGCTCAATCTGATCAGCGGTGGCAAAAATGATTCCGCCGTTGAGCCGCACGTCGGTACCAGTCTACATACTGAAGCGGAACCAGGTTGGGACGAACGTTGGAGTCTGGAAACCTTTGACAGGAATAGGGGTCGAGGTCTCCACTGGGGAACAACAAGAGAGGTGGTTGGGTAGTCCCATGCACGAGTGAGGAGTTCTGTTTCGGAAAAGCCGGTACCAGCCCTAGCCGAATGGATCATACAGGTCTGCAAATCCGGGGTACTACTATACGACAGGTCACCCGTTGCGATAACGTCTTATCAACCACAGATATAGGGGAGAACCCACTTAAACTCTGTTCCAACCTCACATCGGCTCGATGTGCTTAATGGAACTCTCGACTTTGCGCCTAAGCATAAGATGACGTACAGCTCACATTCTTCCTGGGTGATGTTCTATTTGAATTATTCATGGTTCGGCGTCGTTGCCTTGGCTACCAAGGTCGGATATCATGCCCGATATCGCTGTGAGCTAATCGTGACCACATCAAACCTCAAGGGATGTCCCTTGAGCTGGGGTTCCGTCACTTGCAACATACCTTGATCCTTGGATCGAACTCATCTCTGGAACACACTTGTCACTCGTGCCGTCCTAAAAAGTCACCCGCTCTGATCATGACCGCACGTTCACTCTAGGCCAGATGAATTCTCGGAGTGGCACAACTCAACAGTCGTTGAACGATGGTTCGGACTGAGTAATCTAGAAGCGCCGCATCTCCACAGTGCTTCCCACATCAACGGTTCGTCCATGAGCTGAGACGTTCTCCCCCTGAGATAATACTGGAACCAACCCAGTCACCGTTCGGTCCCGTGCGAAAACATCCGCGCGAACCGGCCAGATCGGCACGACATATCTTGGATCCCTCAGGAGTCAGGACCGAGGCTTCCTGCTCACGGCCAACGCCAGTATCGGACCCAGTGTCACACACCAACACGAAAAGGGAAGTCCACAAGAGAAGCAAACGTCTGATGCATGGCCATTGATTTGATCCTTGGTGTGAGTGAGGGAGGATGGCTGCAACCCGCCGAGTAATGTACCAGTCCAGCTTCCAGCGAAGTTCAGGTCGAAATGTCGTCGCCGTAGGTTAGAGAGGGTATGAAAGGCTGGCATCCATGCCAACCACGCCTACTGTATCCTGAAAATGCTCAGACGTCTGTGTCCGGTGCGCAGTACTTCGTCTCATGTTGGAAGTAAGCTTGCCGAGCCTTCCAGTTCACTCCTGGTCTTTCCTCAATCTCCCTGTCGTTCTTCAATCTCCGTACGTTCTTCAATCTTCGGGTCGTCCTTCAACCTTCGGGTCGCCCTTCAAGGTTCTTGTCGTCTTTCAAGGTCCCTATATTTCTCCAAGTTCCCCACCTTCTATAGGAAGACGAGTATACTCCAGATGTCGTTCATTCACGAAGATGGTGCCCCATCCTCTCCCTGAGTAGTAAGGGGTCACCCATGCTGAATTGTGAAGGTTGTCGATGTATGATAGGATATGGAAAAATGAGAGGGAATGTTTTGGTAACATTCTGTAATGAGTATCATCAGCTATGTCCCATCCAGCTCGAAGCTTTGTCCAAGATTGAATGAGGTACTGTGCCTGATATATCGGCCTCCGGATCCAAGGCAAGCTTCGACACAGCTTTGTAAGTCCCCTTGGTGAAGTAGTTCGTGACTGTGCTGGGCTCTTGGTGCCGATGAAGCTCAGCATGACCTCGACAAGGTAGCTCCTACTCACTCTGACCTCTCCAATCGTGCCCTAGCACGCCCGTGATGAGGTAGATTCTGAGCCCATTATCCTCTTGGGTTGAGGCAGAGTCGACATAAATCGGCCACGTTGTTGACTCCTCTAGCGTTCTTTGTTGCGTTTCAGTGTGCTCATAGATAATATATTTATCGCCCTGCCCAACGTTGTTGATGAGTCCTGGGTGCTGATTGAGCTTACAGCCGTGCGCAGCAGTCAAGGCCTTACTGTTTTCGGAGACGAGAGCTCCAGCATTGTTCTTGGTAGCGTCTTTCGAGTTCCCAGTGCTCTTAGTCGTCGGCATCGAAAGATCCATGCATTGAGTTGGTGTGTGAGGCTGTCGTCCTCCTCCACCCACAAGCAGACCCTAAGCGGCGTCGAACAGATCGTGGATGAGGCATACCAAGTTCTGTGTTGGGGTTAGAAGATGCCTGCAAGGTCCGGACGAGTGCTTCAATGCAAGCTCATGTTCGACCACTCGGTCAGCACACATCATTGCTGCAGTATAGCATGAAGTAAATAAGATTCCTGTCAGGCCCTTGGGAAAATAAGAAAGAGAAATCGAAAAGACAGCTCGAAAATGGGTTTTGTTGTCCCTGAAGCCAAGTATCGATGCTGGGGAAGTTACTGGCTTGCGTGATATGAGGAAAATCTGCATCTAGACCTGTGACTAATGTGACAGACAACCCACCAGATCACAGAGGACAAAGAAATCGATAGTTCTGGGAGTATCTGGCACAAGAGCAACACAAGACTGGTTACTTTCGTCACCATAGCATGCAGCATTACTCCGGAGGTGTCGGATGCAGTCAGTCCCTCGCATCCAAGTCTTCAACACTTCGATACTGTGGACGTCAAGCCTCTGTTTATGGAAAATGGCCCAAAACCTGCGGCCTTAATCACACCATGCTTGAAAAACTCGAGATGTTTCATAAAGATCATCATTGAAATCCGCTCACACTTGTCTCTGTACAAAAGCTACGGCATGCAGAAGTCCGCATTTCCGTAGTACGAAGCCTGAGATACTCACCCCGGTCAAAAAAGGGGGCATAGTGTGGTGCTGACAGGACAGCTAGCACAAACAGCTTTGCCAGCCTTTTCTGAGCCGAATGATTCCTCGGTTGATTTGGATACAGTATGCGCATGGCTGGCAGGTGTCCTCTGAGAGATTCTCTGGTACTGTCGCCAGTACGTTGGTCCGACATCAGTATCGACTTTGGGTTCCGACAAGAGGAGATTGTTAAACGTTTTCATGCACCTTCACTGAACCTGATGATGGCTTTAGAAGTTCCCGAAACTAAAGAGTCCTTGCGTAATCGTTCAGCTGCCTAGCAGAACCAATGCTGATTTTCAGCTGATATGCTTCAAAGTACCCACTGATAGGCCACAAAAGTGACCCAGAAGTTGTGAGTAACCGACCGTTCCATTTAAAAACTCTGCTGTCGGTGTACCAACAGATACAACTCTTCGGTCAACTCTTCGAGGTTTTCATGGTCGAACCCAAACTTGCAACATGAATAGAAATGTGATACTATAATAGGTTCCCACGACCGTACATTGCTTCGGACTTCTTTCTCTTTCGTGAAGAATTCGTTAGACACGTTTCTGTTTGGCAAGGTGGTGTGGGGATATTCCATATGTCCACGCGGGCAAATTATGTGGCATCGCACCGGGAGGCAGTTGATAATCGTGAGTACCCCCAAGCTCAAGACGTGCCATACTGACAAGCAAAGAGGAGTGTATTTGATCAAAGAGAACAGTTACAAACGAATCCATAATACTATCAAACACCAGAACAAAGTCAATCACCCAGTCTGGCATTCAGAGCCAGAGCCTTTAGAGGACCGGTTCGCCATGTTCGACATGTTCCTGGTCTGGCCTGACTTGCGTAGGCCACCTACTCCAACTGTCCGACTCCGTGTCCTTTTTGGTGTGAATTGACGGGCGAAACGAACTCCAAGCCTCCCTCTGCAACCTCTCATTGAAACAAACTGACTTTCAAGCAACTCATGTCGCCTGTTGGTTCATCGCTAAGGGTGTGGTGGCCTCGGCGGCGGCCAAGCCATGCCATTAGGACCAAGCATCGGCCAAGTTCCTGGATCGAACGAATCGATGCCCCATGCATCTTCACCAGGAGCGACCTGCTTCTCAGAGGAGTCCGGGGCGGTAAAGCTGAACGTATTTGTGGCCGGGGTGAATGGCTGCTGGCTAATCTGAGCAGCCCGATGTCTTGCGTCGTTGTTGGCGACCGGACCACTGGTATATTGAGGCTGGGTGGTGCTCAAATACTGCTGACGCCCAGCATGACCATTGAGATGACTTGGACCCATGTCGTGCGGGTGATTAGCCTTATACTGGGGTTGGTGGGTGTCGACGAAGTACTGCTGGTGCACATCAGGACCATTGAGGTGACTTAGGCCACTGTCGTGGACAGGACAACCGGCATATTGAGCCTGGTGAGTATCCGAGTACTGTTGATGCCCAGCATGACCGTTAAGCTGACTTGGGCTGTCACTGTACGGAAGGCTGATGTACTGGGATGGGTTGGCATATGCGTTGTTCTGAACCTCGAGGTATTGCCCTTGACCTATTTCAGCCAGAGTGAACCCAAGGTCAAAAGGAAACAAAGGCTGGCCAGGATCGATAAGAGCCTGACCGTTGGCTGGCATCAGACCGTGGTCGCTGTATGGGGGGTGGCCGTATGTTCCCTGAACGCCATGGTCTTGACTGCGACGGCGATAGTTCAAACGCCCTGTGATGTCTTCACCGTTGGTCGAAGTGACGACTATTCCATTGTTCGGAATGCCGATCGGGAGGGCAGCAGCAGTGGGATTCTTCTGCGAACTTGCCCTCCAATCTTGCGCCTGTGTCTTTCTCTTGCTATTCCAGGGGTTAGTCGCGCGATCGAAGAATACGTTGCCAGAGCTGACAACTCACCAAGGTTCTTTCCGAATCCTGACCTTGATGCCTGCTTCGCTGAGCTCATGCGTCAAGGGTGTCGATTTACCAAGTGGGAGCTGCTTGGAGCCACCTTCGACTATTCAAAGTGTTAGTGAGTGCAACATCTTCATCTGAGACGTCTCAGCTGACACGTACCGTTGATGGGCTTGTCAGTAAATTTTGAACACAGTTTCTGTGCAAAGAGAGGGATAGCGCTGATAGCGCTATCGAAGAGTCAGTATGATTTCCTTTAAGAGCGGAAGATCTCTTACCTTTCACGCATCTCCCAGAGCGTGAACTCCAGGTGATAAAGCCCGGGCTTGTGTACCGTAATTTCCGGAAAGGCAAAAATGGCCCAGTGTGCGGGATCTTACGACTGTTAGCTGACTGCTTGTATGAAGGGACTTTTCATGCCACCTACTCTCCTTGTTGCCCCTGGGAAGACGCTGCAATGACGACGCGGTCATTGAGCCGTCCAAGATTCCCATGTCTTCTTTTGCGATGGCTTCCTTTGTTTGCGGATCGCAGGACCAGATGGCAACGGTGCAGAAGATGTGTGGGCTGTCCATCCAGGTGTTCTTAGGATCATTATCGTGACACCGATATCGGACAACGGCAGGAGGATCAAGCGGCAGCGTCCGGTTTCTGGCTACAAGGAAGTCAGCATCGTCCAGACACAACACGGGTTTTTCCATACGGTTATTTCTGGGCTTTTCTTGCCGGCCTCCAGCTTCCGGAGACTTTGCAGACTTCCCCTTTGTACAAGGCTGCACAACACGGCCAACGAATGGTTGTTGCATTAGCTCCATGCCATGATGATGACTGTTGTAGAAGAATCCTGTCAGCTCCATATCTTTCCGAGGTGGCATCTGATGCATCATGGGTTGAGTATTGCAAGCAACGGACCTTTCTAGCGAGTATCTTCGTTGAACAATCTCCTTCAGAACGCGGGCGGACTCCGCGTTGCTCATCTGAGCCATCTTTGGCGTTGCGGCGTGAGGACGCCGATGCCAGATGTTGACTGAGTGATGGTTGAATGGATTGTGACAATGTGGTAATGATGGCGATAAGATGCAGTCCGTGCCAAAGTGATGCAAGTGAGTAGACTCTGGTGGTGGTTCAGTCGATCAAGTATTTGGCAGACCGTTCATTGTGTGAAGAAGTATTCTGGGAAATGAGGTTTGGTCTGGGGGAAAGAAAAGGCAGGTGCTAATCGATGAGCTTTCAAAATCGTTTTTGCAAGAAAGCCTTTTCAAAAAGTGCGCTGTTTGAGCTTGGCTGGTAGTGAACCAAGTTGTGTCTCTTACGCTTTCTTGTTGTCGTGATTCACTCGATCATTCGCTCTCCCGTGGTCGACGGTACCGATAGAATGGTCGTCGAGGTCAAAATGTGGAAATCGTCGACGCAGCAAAATAAACCCCGAACCAACCCAGCCCGGATGAGGACCTGGTCTCAGGACTCTGCCAATGTCGTCCTTCCTTTCTCTCTCGCCACCTTCGATAGCGCTATGTAGTGTTGGGCTCGTCGAGTCTTCCCTCTCGTCACCCTCCTTGGCGTTGCGTAGAGTCAGAAAACTGACGGCGTCGGAGCCAGAACTGGTCGATCCAAACAAAATGCAAGAAGAGTTCCTGTGGTTCGTCGCGTTCGAGACTTGAGTGAACCCGTCGCGTGAAAGCATGGGCACCTAGCAAAACTCAGGTCGAAGAGGAACATCCCATTCGACACGGTGTATCCGCAGAAAGATAAGGACAGAACTGAAGTCATGTTCAGCATCACAAATACGAGGAAATATAGCTCAGATTGATGGATACTTACTGTACGACAGACTAACGCGTGGCTCAACAATAAGACTTCTCGACGACGAGCTCGATGACCTGGTGATATTGCGTTCTGCGAAAAGCGGTCTTTTCTAGTTTTCACCCCACTCGTTCGTCGACATGAACGCGTTCAAAGAAACCGACAGCGAATGCAGAAAGAAGTTGCGCCGAGCACCCGAGAAGATCCAAATCTGGAACGCAACGGTATGCCCTCGTCCAAGGTCGTGCCTCGGATCAAAGAGGCTCGAATTGGTGGTGGTGATGACACTGTTGCAGATGCCGATGACCACAATGAACTGCAAGTGAAGTCGTGCAAGCGCCTATGCAAGAACGAATTCATGCGATCCGCCGTCATCAGCAGCACAGTGTCGTCGAAGGCTGATGGGAAGTGCCACACAGCTTGCACTCTTGAATCAATGTTTTCATTCAACTGCCTTCGGCACCAACCCCTGAACCTCTTCGTCGGCCGCTCTACGACGTTTTGCAGGATCTTCTCTCACACGCACCCCCTTCGCTCCCTCTACGGAGCACGAGATCAGCCCGATATTCACAATTCCCTGGTGACCGAACAACTGCACTCGATCAGTTGCCATCAAGCTCTTTCGTTCTGCTGTTACTGCGATCGAGAACAACATGAGTTATGTGGCGCAGAGCATGACGCCTCTTGCACGTCGAGACGACTGGGGTTCTGTCAAAGCGCTAGCTAGTTGTTGTCGTAATGGAGGGTGAATTCAGTTCCAGATGGAAACAAGAGCCGGGGAGGAAGTACAACGAGGATTTGACCCGGTAGGAAGCCGACGACGAATGCTGGACCATGTGGCAGAAGATTTGCAGATGTCGATGCATACAAGCGAGATGTCTTGCACACCAACTGTGCGGTTTACACGTATGCAGCCTCCATGTCATGACAGCACACTCGAAATTCGCCGCCGGATCTTCGAAAATGACATGCAGGCTGGATGTGAAGTAGTCCCAGGTCGAGGTTCCTCATCTGTGAAAACTTGCAACACACCTCATCATGACCGAGAAGTACTGGCTGGTTCAAAGCCATCTCTGTGTCACATCAGTTCCCAAAAAGGCACGACCCCTGGTCCGACAACGATCCAAAAAGAGAGGACCACAGCGTGGCATCCTAAGCTAGGACAGGATGAAAGATAACTCTGGCAGGGGAAACGTCTTGCCTCGATCCACACTGGCCAGGAGATGGATCAGCTGCAGGGCCAGCATGTGGTCTGCGAGCAACAAGCTCCACAATGGACCCCGGGCTTTTCCTGCCCCAACCACATACACCCTGCTGTACGACATGTTTGCTAGTCCCGTGGAGAGGCCCACAGGGGCGCGCATATGCAGCGTCTTGGGATCGATCGACTCGGCAAGTGATGCGATCGGTTATCGTGGTTGACAAAATTAATGGCCTCAGCAGATACGGGAAGGGTTTTTACTCTTTGGGCACATGGTTGCAAGCACCGTCTCATCACAATCCTGGTTGCAGCCCAAGGCCGTAAGCGTGTTATCGCACTGCAGGAAGCTAAAGTGGTGCTCCCAGCTAGGTCGATATAAGTTACTGTACTGCTGCAGCGGCGAAGGTGTTTGTCCCGATGCTACGAAAGTGATCTGGAGGACGACTGGCACGCCTACGTCTGGCTGTGTCAAGGGGTGGTCAATTCTATCGCTCGTAACCGAGATAACATATTGGCGGACAGGCCAAAATCGAAACCAGTTTTCAAAATAGTTGCTCCAGGGATGTCGGAAGGCTGCACCGTCATTCAAGAACGGATGAAGAGCTTGAAAGCAACAACAGGAATGCGAAAGAATAATGATTTGAACATCAGGTACCCCATTGATCTTGGAATTTACTTAAGCGAGGCCCAACGGAAACGCGGGAACTCCGTTGGGGCCGCTCCGGAAAGGACAGGACGATGATGCCGTCAGCACGAACCTTGCCCACGGAATAATTTTGGAGCGCTAAGATACGAGTACCGAGTTTTCTACTGTACTTTTGAAGTAAAAGGAGTCCCCATGCAATATGTGGACAAGATTGATACTTGACGCAACTGGTGCGAGTACGGAGATTGGGTCAAGTGCTTACTGGAGGCCTATTAGTAGCGATTGTGTGGACCGTACCGAAAAGAACGGAGCGGGCGGAAGATCACCCACCAAGGCCATGAGCGCACTGCAGAACCGTTCTTGCTTGGACCTCTTCCGAATTCTGGACACCCAGAATGGTCGCGACCATCACACAACTCGACCCGGAGAGATTCTTACACGTGCGGTGCAGGGGCTAACCCCTGCAACGACACAGCAAATATAGCAACCTCATCCCTTGGGATCAGTGGAGTTAAAGTCTAGCGCTGCAGTCCTTCTCCTTCCCAGCCCGACGAATGTAGTTCAACGTTCATTTTCTGTCAATCCACGAGTCTGAAGCAGCCTAGACCTAGACCTAGACCTAGACAAGGATCGACTCGATCAAGGCCTCGACCGGCCATCATGCATGAGCCCAGCCCACATTCTTCGGCATTGCATACCGGGGCCACAATCCTGGGATCCTGAATGACATGGTCCCAAGCCCGTGGTTGACACCTACCTTTTGTTGCTGGGTGCTGTATTGAGGTCAACATGTCTGTCCTACCATCGCTTACTGCTCGGAGTGTCGCACGCCAGCTGTATCACCTACCTGCCTGATCGGGCTGTTGAGGCCGCCCGCTTTCTATGGGGTGCTTCTGCACCACCATCACCGGGGATCTGCATCTGTCTTCCGAGAATTGTTGACCACATCATTGAGGGTGGATGTGACTGTTGAGAATAAGCAACTAAGTCGACAAGGGGTCCGGTTGTACGGCAATCCCTCCTGCCGAGCTGGATAAACCCAGCTCTGTATCCTATCGAATGAGCCCATCGATGCTCAAACGCGCTGATGCCGCGTAACAGACTGATTCCACGTGGCTGCAGGGGCACAAACACGTGGTGGCTTACGAGGATCATGAGTTTCCTGCAGGGCCTTGCTTTGAGATGTCGCATCGCAATGTCCCGGATGTCGAGTTACAGGTGACGAGAAGAGACCTTGTCTACACAATGACTCGTACATCTACCTGTCACTCAATGCGAACTCCTCCGAGCACCGAGAGTCGGGACGCCTGGCAATCGTAGATTCTTACGTTGAGTCATCAAGATATATGAGGGCATCGAGGCACACTCGCATCATTCTGCCTGTACTGATATTGGGGATCCTGTCCTGTCCCTGTCCAAAGTCCGAATTAGATCTTTCCATCGCTCTCGAAACACTTTGACGAGCCTCACGTGCCGGTGTAACAAGCTTGTCTACACGTGGCAGCTGCTGTCATTGTCTTTCACCTTGCCGCAATTCCCAGACTGACATGGGCAGTGCAATTCGGCTTCTCAACCCTTTGATTGTGGTGGCTGAGGTTCATGGCCTGATCAGTCTTCTGCGACGAACCTGCATTTGCCCGATACGGACTGCGAGTGGAGCGATGGCAGATCAGACGCCACAATACTCGGAGATCGTGAGACTCTTTGAGGACATCGACCTGGTGGCGCATGCATTCCTTGTCATCCGAAGACAGAGTGCAAAGAACGGATCTGCAGGCTCGTTGCGCTCCTTGAGGCTGAAGACACATGGCTGCCCAGGTTATTGCCAAATGCAGTACAACGGTGTTCCGAGTCAGGGACGACCTCGTAAATGTAAAACACGAATGTCAAAGCCACGTGGGCATGTGCATCATGTTCGACTTCGTCCTACCACCCACCATGTGGTGGTGCCCCTTGCTTCAGCAGCTATTGTGTCGTTGCATCCTGACGATGCAGCCATGAAGCACTCTGGTAAGTTCGACCGCTCCTCGACATGCCGGTTCTTAATCCTTTTTGTAACCGCACTGGATTTAGCAGAGAGGCCGCTTGCTCTCGGTCACAGTGTGTATCCATTACTGGGTAGATTAGGTAGGGATGACACTTTGTACAAGTAACAAGGCGGACTGGTTTGTATGGACTCTGCTGAATCTCGACAATTGGGGCCATGATGCTTGAGGTGCTGGTGCAAAGTCCGCTTGCTGGTCTCCCTTATCTCCGCCACTAAAATTTTACCCGGGGATTAGTGCGGTACAGCTTGCTGCTAAAGCTTTCTTGGGTAGCTTCTCAAGCTTGGCAGTCCCATGCCTAAGGCACCTACCTAGGTACAGTATTGACACGGTGTAGGACATTGAATGGACCTTCCATCTGTCGTATCAATTATGCTGCATGGGCATCCTTCTGCTCAACCTGACAATGAGCGATACATGGCTGAAATACAGACATGAACACCCTCGGCTCTTGCTATTTTCAATTTTTGTCGCCTGGAAACTGCTGATTGTTTTGGTCGCACTGGCTAGTCCAGGGCTTGGCTACGACACCTCCACCAGCCTCCTCCCATGGTATGATGGGACTCAATCCGTGCTGTCTGCGACACTCGCCGCCCCACAAAACCAATGGTTGAAGTTCGTCAGATGGGATGCCGTGTATTTTACGCATATTGCAAACCAAGGACATGTCTATGAGCAGGAGTGGGCCTTTGGTATTGGCTTGTCCTCAGTGTTATCTTGGATTGGGAGAAGTGAGTCCATGAGCAACTTCAGAAGGTCTGTGACCGACGCTGACAACGGTGTAGATCTGCCGGCATATGGGATTTGTAGCGGTCCAAACGCCTTCACAGTCGCTGGGGTGATAGTATCGCATACAGCTCACTTTCTTGCTGTCATCCTATTATTTGAGCTATCAACCAGCCTTCTCGAGGACAACAAGAAATCATACATCTCTTTCACAGCGGCAGCACTCCACATCTTTTCACCTGCGGGCATATTTCTCTCGGCTCCCTCTACCGAAAGCATCTTTGCACCCCTTTCGTTCTTGGGGTTCTGGGCCTATTTGCATGCCATTCGTTGCTTCAATCACGCCAAAATTCTCACCGGATGTCTCAACATCATTCTCGCCGGGTTGGCCTTTGGACTGGCGACAATCATCAGGAGCAATGGTATACTAGCTGGCATACCATTCCTCATTGAAGCCGTCACAATCACCCTCACCATCCTCTCTCGAGGCTTGTCCCTGAGTCGCATTACTCGTTTAGCTTCAATCGTCGTTGGGGGCCTGCTTGTGGGATTAGGCATGGTGGCACCTCAGTTCATTGCATATCAGGAATACTGTGCCGACCGGGCTTCGAGTGAGCGGCGACCATGGTGTGAATGGTCTTTACCTTCAATATTCACCTTCGTCCAATCTCATTACTGGTAAGTCATGAGCCTACGGATACAACCTCGCTGACAAGATCAGGAACGTTGGCCCATTTCGGTATTGGACACTATCAAATGTGCCGTTGTTTCTTTTGGCTGGGCCAACACTGGGGCTTCTCACATATTCTGCGGCAGCGGTGCTGCGGACCCCGGCACTAGTCAAGGGGGGAGCAGTGTCGCACGACATCACGGCTCTGCAGAAAAAGTTGATGGCGAGCTTGGCCCTGCCGCAGCTTATGCTCGCTATTCTTGCATTCTCAAGCTATCACGTACAGATCATCACGAGGATCTCTTCCGGCTATCCCTTGTGGTATATCTGGCTGGCAGCAAAGGCCACGGACGAACCGAACCGTGTGGTGATCGTTATCCGCTGGATGATCATATATGCCTTGGTTCAGGCAGGGTTATATGCGTCGTTCTTACCTCCAGCTTAGGCCCTTTTTCGTCCCAGCTAGCATGAATGAGGCTCCATGACCCGGAAAGAACGCTCCCCAATTCAGGGCCCAAGTCTTTCCTTTGCCATCAGCACGTCTTGCGAGCGTGATCTGCTGGTTCTTCTGAGGCGCCATGAGTCATTACGAGCAGCCATGTGACCTCGCCCAATTTGATGCACTCGGCGGAACCCAGAAACCCTATTGTGTGACATGGTGTTCCGCTGACAGTAACTTATTCGACACCCACAATCTTTGTCAGCGTAGTAAAGTGGCGCACGAATAAGTTGTAGCCTGAGCAATGTAGGCCTCTCGACGCTACGTATACCTGTTTTACACAGAAAAGTACTGGGATGGGTAGAAGTGTGATGATGCGAGGAATCAGGCTGACAACTTCACGCGTTGTGGTACGAGTAGTAGGATCGAGCTACGGAGTATGTTATGGTGACTAGTCGAACTACGGCCCTGTGACTCGCCGCTGGGGAACATCAAGTGCCAAGCGGTGCCTGCGGACTTTCAACGACCCTGTGTCGCGTGTGCAGTTGAGCAAACATCCTCGATCTGCCATATTTATCGTGTCATAGTATCGCTACAATAGCCATTGAAAGGCGTAAGTTATTGTATTTGTTCCACGTACCATTTGTGGTGCCTTGCCTGTCCCCAAAAGCCACTCTGCGCAGGCATAAACGTGACGTACACTGTACTGGCAAGGCTGCGAAATCGCTTGCTAAGCGCCACTCTTCCTCGAGATATCTTGACAACCTTCTTCGATAACCCCCATCTTCCTGGGCTGAAGTTGTCCTCCGGAGTTTGAATAACTGAGCCTCAATATCCAAGGGATGCTGTCGTCGACGTGAAACACCCTTCACAATCTCGAAAACTCCATGAGTTCACCACAGAATAATGGACAACCACAAACACCATCTGGAAGAGCTGGTCAATGGCAATCACGGTAAAAATGGTTCGGAAATATCGAGGGCTACATCTCCCACCGGGGATATGTCCATGGAGAATGGCCAGATGACGGACGGTGTAGAGCACACCAAACGCAGCAGACCACGAACCTTCCCGTACTTTACGACGCTCCCTTACTCCGTCGAAGATGAAGCACAGAGGCAACAAAACCTGTCCGAAATCCTCAAGCACCTGTATATCGCTATTCAGGCCAGTGACTTCACGCCCGGAGCGGTACATTGGACGCGGGAACTGCGGAGTTGGCTCTCATTGAAGTTCGACCCTACAAGAGAACAGCGCGTGAAGCTCGTCAAGCTCTACTATGAACTCGCCCTGGCTCCTGGAATCGACCCTGGTGTGGCCGAACGTTTCGCCAGCATGTTTATGCTTCTGACAAAGTATGTCACCCCCTCCGCCGGACCGACCCTGACCTCTACTGACAATACCGCAGGCGAAAGCACTACCTCCGCCCTCTCAAGGACCTCACACTCGATTGGCGGCCGCTGTACAGAGAACTGAAAGTCTTTGTGCTTCCTAGCGAGTCGGGACTCATGCAGACCACGAACATGAAGAGGAACATTAAGACCTTGACCAAAATCTCCTCCTTTGCGCAGCTATACTTCGATCCGGAAGACATACCAGCCATGTTGGAAGAGTTATTACCACACTTCACGATGTCGTCTGCTGAAGGAGCATTCGTCGTGATTGGATTGTTGAACATACTCCTTCCTACGGCTCCTCCGCCGCCCAATCGTGCTGATTTGGCGCCCCAGCAGTTTCTGCCAACGTTCTTCCACCTATGGTCTTTAGTCAATCGGTCTCGGACGGTCGATGTGGCATTTCTTGATCTCTTCTCTCGCCTGTCGCGAGACGCCTTGTCCAGCAAACATGTTAACTTTTCGGAGTATGGCATATTCACATCAGAACAGTCCACCTTGATTACAACGGCGATTTTGAGGTTGCTGGAGATTCCCGTTGGACAATCCACCTCGCCCTACAGTGCTCTCGTAGATTTGTCGGCGGGGATGGGCATTCTACTTGACAGGGATTCACGGAAGCACCCGGTATCGCATCACATTGCTCGCTGGTTTGTCATGTCTCTGTCACCAGCGTGCCTTGATCACAAGGGGTCAGTCTTGTCCTTACTGGAGAACCTGATCCAAGCAGTCGAGACGTTCTTTCATCCCTCAAACTCGGGGTCGTGGACCAGAACCCTTGCTCAGTTGGTGTTTTACCTCGCAGATTTCTTCGTGATGCGTTGGAACAGAGAACGCAATGGAGAGATGGACGTGCCCGTGGAGCGGAGACTCACCGATGGTCTGCGAAAGAGGTTCGTCTTGTGCCTGCGTGAGGTGATTTTCATGGGCATCTATGCAAAGAGTGGTACGGCAATGAGCTATTCCCTGTCGACCCTCCAGGCTCTCGCATTCTTAGAACCGGACTTGATCCTCCCAGGTGCCTTGCAGCGTATCTATCCTTCGATGCAAGGACTGGTCGAGGTCCACCGGACGATATCGTCGCTACGCTCTCTGCAGATTCTTGCAAGGACAATGGTCAGAACAAAAGGATACCGATGTCACATTACTGCCCTCCTAGGTCTTGCCCTGCCAGGCATTGACGCCAATGACCTCGAGAAGACTCTTTATACTCTTTCCTTCTTCGCAAACGTCTGTTACAACATCCCCTTTGAAGATCTGTCTCAGGGAAGGGACGACATTCAGGGCAATATGTTGGCCATGGAATGGATTACCGGCGAAATGGAGCGCATGGAGCAAGAAGGAGCCAGCGTAGAGCTCAACTATGCCAACCTGAATGAGAAGGACGAAGAAATGATTCTGGCTTCATCTACCGCAGGACTAGGCGAATTCGTCTCTTCCTTCTTGGGTAGGGTCTTCACGCTCATGGAGAATCTACCAGATGCTGCTCGAGTACGAAGTGGATCTCCAGAAGAAAACATTGTCAACACTTTACCAGCTGCATTCATGCCTCTGCTGGCCTCTTTATCACCTGAACTTTTTGATATGGCTCTGAACAAGATTGTGGATTTTGTTGCAAACCACGTGATTCACCAGTCCAGGGACGCCATGGCCTTCATATGCAACTGTCTATGCAAAGTCAATCCCGAAAAGGCCTTGGCCAAGTTTGTCCCAGTGTTGATCAGCGGCATCCGTACGGAGATTGACGAGAACGGAGCCGGCTCAACTAGGAATGCTGCTTCTGATGTCCTGCCACGGGACCGAGGCCTGGTATGGAACATCAGCATGCTCAGTATGTGCGTTGTACACGTGGGATCAGCGGTTCTCAAACACAAGCAAGAGTTGTTCGACATTGCTGTCTACATGCAACAGAAGTGCAAAGGCATGCCTACTGTGCACGTCTCAAATTACGTGCATCACCTACTGCTCAATCTCACAGTGACATACACGGCGGATTACGCGTTGTATGAGCCCGACAAAGTTCGTAATGGCATCACTGCGGATCTATGGGGCGTCGCTGAGCCGTCATCCACAGTCAAACCGAAATGGCATGTCCCATGCAAAGAAGAAATCGATTTTGCGGTCGAACTTTTCCAGAACCAGGCGGAAAGCGCGCTGAAGCACCTCCGAGGCCTCATCACCGGTACTTCGAGCATAAAGCGTGATGGCAGCGGCAAGGAATGGTCAGACGAAGTCTCCAGAAATCTCGTCTTGCTCCGTCTGCTGTTGGCTGGTATCTCAGTCCTATTCGATTCGAATGGCGTCAATGAAGGTCTCAAGACCACTGCAGCTGGACTTGATGCCGAAACATCCATGTCTCATGCAAATGGTCACGCACCCGAAGACACTGGCAACGTCAATGGAACCGACGATGCTGAAAATGAAGCGTCCCTTGATGGTACTGATGAGACTTCGCTCAAGCCGTCTTTCCACTATCCCAGCGGCGAAGTTTTGCGTGCGGGTGATGAGAAGTACACACTGCTGCACCAGCTTCGGCAGGAAGTTGGGCGTGTCTTGCACGAGGTACATGCATTTTTGAGTTCTGAAGGCGAAGACGACGTTTCGTCCTTTGCTCCGCTTTACACTGCATACCGGTCATGGTTCGTCGACGTTGGTATCGAACGGTCGGCTCACGTGCTGGATCGAGTGACCCGCCTATTGCATGCCGATGAGCAGCCATACAAAGTCAGCGGAGTGAGAAAGGATTACCCTCGTTCGATCCTCGTACGCAGAGCCAATGTCTACCATACGCAAAGAATGCGCCATAATGCCACCCCAAGGCCTCGATCCGAGCTAGATGAGCTGCTTCTTTCCGACCTCGCCGCGTCGGCAGTTTCGGAATACACTGAGATCCGCCGGAATGCGCAGAGTGCAGGAGAGTCAGCTCTAAAGGTCATCTTTGGTGCCCGCCTATTCGTCATTCCACCTCTACTATCAGCATTCGAGCGTGCGGTGGAACGGAACGATTTCCCCCGTATCAAGGGTGGCTTGTTCACTCTGCTGTTCGGCAGTCTTGCAAAGACGGTAGGCAGACACTGGAAATACACCCCTGCGATCATCCGAACTTTCATCGAAGCTACTACAGCCGACAAGCCGTCAATTCAAAAACTTTGCAGTGGCGGATTATTCCAGATCATGGAGTACGGGCGACCTGGAGATCGCATGGCCATCATCGATAGGACAATGGTCGACCCCTTTGCGCCTGACGACGATGTGGACGACAAGATTGCGAAGAAGAAGAAGTTCATTCTGAATAAACGCGCGAACATCGAGCGCAAGAAGGCAGAATTGGCTGAAGAGCTCATTGCGATGACGCGTGTCTCACACTGGAAGAAAGCCAGTCGAGTCGCTACCATCGTCATGTCATTGGGGATGCGCTTCGATCATATTGCTTCGGATAACATGATTGATCTGATTGCTCGTGGTACCGTTGACCCACATCCTGGATTACGAGGACTCTACTCACAAGGATTGGTTGCTCTTTTCACCATGACCGACGTCCGAGCTGTTTGTAATCATGAATATGCGAATTACATACAAGCCCTGCAGGAGTTCCCCGCCAAGGTCAAGGTAGACACCCATGCGGAAGATCCGGCATGGACAGAAGGTTATCTGAAAGCATTTGCGCAACCGGAAGCCGACGTCTACATCGATCATGACTATCCTGGATGGCTGGTCTGGGGAAAGTCGATGCCTGGCTACAAAGCTAATGTCCAAAATGACATTGAATACGATGAGCTTGAGTTGAAGAAGCGGGCAGTCATTGGCAAGATTCTGGATCGGGAATGGTTCGTCACCTTCTTTAAATATCTGAAGCAAGAGCCACGAGATCAGTCTGCGGACAAGTTCCGTATGGCTAGTGCGGCAATGTTGACGTATGCTTTCGAACTCATCATTCGTGACGGATTGGCAGTTGCTACATTTGAAGATATCAAAGAAGAAACACTGAAAGTGTTCGAGGATGGTAGTGACAAGCATCAGCACCGAGCTACTGCCGAGATCCTCGCTGGTCTCGTCACATCTGTTATGGACAACTCGATCGAACGACGGACCATGATTTGGGAGTTTGCCTTCCCGATCATTCAGCGGGTCTTCTCAGACGGTTTGACACCTGAAAACTCTGGCTACTGGACCACATTCCTGCATATGATTCTGCAAGCTAGGGATCCCCGACGAGCATGGCCATTGGTTGAATGGCTCACGAATTTCCGTCTGGACATGGGCTCGAACGCTGCCTTCAAAGAGAGTTCCAAGATTCACCTCTTGCACCAGGTCATCATGGATGCAGGCTGGCACTTCCAGCTCGATAAGCCCATCACCGAAGATTTCTTGAGTCATATCGATCATCCATACAAAGGGGTTCGAGAAGCTATGGCTCATACGCTAGCCACTGTGACTCGGACTCGCTACCATGAATCCTTCAAAGATGTCAAAGAACTCATTACTACGCAGCAAGCGGCAGGATCGATCGGAATCCAGCCGTACGTGCCCACGAAAGAGTTTGATCAGACAATGCATGAAATCTTCGAACGACTGGAGAAGTGGCGGCACGAGCGGACACCAGGTCAACAGACACCTTCTGCATATACTTCCGGAAGCAAGACGGTGCTGCTATGGCTCGATTCAATGTTGTCATCCTACGAGTGTACCCAACTCTTGAAATACTTCCCGGATCTGTTTACAGAACAATTCTTGCACATGATGGATGTCAAGGAGGATCCCGAACTGCAATCCCTAGCATACCACGTTTTCCGCCATCTGCCGAATATTCCACACCGCATTGGAGAGGATAAAAGATTGATTGAAACGTTGATACGCATAGGAAGAACGTCATCTTCCTGGCACCAGCGGCTACGCGTCATGATCAATATGCAGATCATCTTCTTTAGGCGGCTATTCTTGTTGTCTGAAGAGAGCAAGCAGATGCTGTTCGACTGTGTTGCTGACATGCTCGAAGATACCCAACACGAAGTCCGTGCCGGCGCTGCCACAACTCTGTCCGGCATGATACGATGCTCACCAATGGACTTGAGGGAAAGAATGATCACCAAACTACGAGATCGTTTCACTAAGGCCTTGATCGATAATCCGCTACCAAAGAAGCCCAAGGGCCACTTGGCAGGCTTGTCGTCGGCACGTACTTCCGGAGCCAACACACCCACCCCTGAAGCCCAGCGTTTGGTTATTGTCCGACACGCTGCTGTTTTGGGATTGGGTGCTCTGATCCAGGCATTCCCATACTCAAGTCCACCGCCCGCATGGATGCCCGATGTTCTGGTGACGCTGAGCAGCAAGGCGGCGAACGACCCGGCCACTGTGGGCAATAGTGTCAAGAGCATCATCAGTGATTTCAAGAAGACGAGGCAGGATACCTGGCATATTGACGTGAAGGTATGTTTCTGTCGCTGTGAATATCGACTCGTGCTAACCACTGATACAGGCATTCAAACCAGAGCAGGTCGAAGATCTCGCCGGTGTTTTGTGGAAGAGTTATTTCGCATGAATGCAATCAACTACTTCTTGGGTTGGCATAGCGTGGGCGCAAGTGCAGGTTCTATGGCTAGCAGGTTGCGTCGGCTCCGCATTGGGCGTAGCAAGGACAACGTTTCTTCTCGTCTCTGTATGAATAGATTAGGGCATGGAGAATAACGGGACTATTTTCCTTCGCTGTAGACCGAGCAAGCGGGAAACTTTGGATATTCATATTGCTAAAGATGGAAAGGAGGAAAGGGAGCAGAAAACGCGGAGTAGCCACGGGCTCTTTTTCTCCGCAGAAGCATGAATTACGAGATTAGCAGAGTGGTCACATTGTAACACTGAGGCTCCTCGTGCCAGTGATTCCGACTCAATGAGTTCATGTCTGCGGCCGCTCAAGTATCGCCGTAGGAAAGGGCGTCGACCGACGGAGACCACATCGAGGAACTAAGACGTGAGAGTCCAACACCTTCATGACAGTGATTGCCATGACAATAGATCACTAGAAATTGCAATGGGAGATAGTAACCTCCAGAATTCCAGGATTAAAGGTATAATGTTGTATACGAAGAACTCCAGTTGGATATCGGGTAGTTGCATCCAACTGTTCTTAGCAAGCCCCAGCGACCAAATATTGCCGTTTTCGCTAAAGATCATCTTGCGGTTCCAGCCCAACTCTGCCGAAACACCAGCATGCGGTCTCAGACCTATTTCTCCCCATCAAACGTTCTGGCCAATTTACTCCACTTTCTCAGTCTAGGTCCGAAGAAGAACAGAACGTAGACGAGGGCGACGAGTCCGAAGCTGATGAAACCCAACGTGGCGAACGCCCACTTGGTGTTCATGTTGGCGAACATGGCGACACCGGCGTGCGCGCAACCAGCGGCGATCAAAAAGCTGGGAATCAGGAAGGCGGCGATGGCGCTGGCCGCGACGTTTGGGTACGAATCGGTGATGTAGTTCAGCATGGCGAGCCAGAGGAGCGGGTCGCAGAAACCGAGGACACCACCTGCGACGACGCAGGACCAGTATGAGACGGTGCCTGATTTGTACTGTTAGTGGGCGTCCAAAGAGCAGAGTGGTTGAGGGGGGTATCTTACCGTCACAAGTGAAAGCAAACCATAGCAGGGATATTGGGAAGAGCCAGACGGTGACGAGGGAGACCAAGAATCGCGCTTCGGGGCGGTGGCGGCCGTGCCTGAGTCGGTCGCGGCGGAAGAGGTATGTCTGGACGGGGACGAACATGAATGTGACGGTGACACCTTGAGTGGTGATTAGTCCGGCGATCGAGCAAACAAGGGTCAGGGTTGTGGGAATTCTTACCAACACAGAAATTGAGATAGGTCAGATCAGCGCCAATGTAGCTCAGACCGTTGTTGAAGACGAAGACGTCGAAAACTCCATCAAGGTACAAGAAGAGGAGACCGTAGGCGAAGCCGTTGTACAATCCCAATGAAATGACAATGGGCTCTGTGAGCATGATGCGCAGGGCCATGGTCGCGACAAACTTCAACTCCCTCATGACGGAAAGTCTGCTTGAACCAAGGGCGATATCGACGGCGTTTTGGTCGACACTGCCTCGTCGTTTGACGGCTTTGGAAATGACGATGCGAGGAAGAGTCTCGGGCAAGAAGCACAGGAGCAAGGCGTACGCGCCGCCGATGATGATGTTGATGTAGAAGATCCATCGCCAACTGAGGCTGGGGTTTTCGGCGATCCATTCGCCAATTGGCGAACCCAGACTAGGTCCGAAGTTGGCGCTCGCCACGAACAGAGCCATCGGTTGTGCTGCGTCGTCGGCGTCGCCAAATAGGTCGGAAATCGTTCCGGCGACATTGTTAAGAGCGACCGATCCAGCGCAACCGGTCAGGAAGCAGAAAATGACCAGCATGGGGAAGTTGTCTGCGAGTGCGGTGCCGATGTTCAGTATGGCGTACATCAGGATGGCAGCCACGTAGACCCATTTTCGACCACCAATGTCGGACAATGGACCCAAAAATGCAGGTCCGACGGCGGTTCCGACGATGAACATGGATTGACCGAGGGTGATGATCTGCGAGCTTCCACCCCATTTCTCCTGGATCAGAAATTCCACCGAGACGTAGGTTGTCGAAGTCAGAGTCACGAAGAGCTGCAGACTGCAGTAGACGACGACGATGACCCATTTCTTCCACACTGGCCAGCGGACGGGATGCGCGTCGTCGTCGATTTGGATCTTCCTCAATAGTTCAAGAGGATCTGTGCTGCCGATAGGCGAAGCGTCTTCGAGATCATTTGTGGGTGCGAGGGTCTGTTTCTTTTCCAGGTCGCCGGAGTGCTGTTGCTGGGTGGATGGAGGGATGATATCTTTTTCTCTCTTCTCCAGGTCATCCCCCGTGCCGTTAGTGTAACCGTTCGTGACACCGTTGGTGACACCGTTTTGTGGAGAGAACGTCTCCTTGTCTCCGGTGCTGGACACACCATTTTGTGGAGAGAACGTCTCCTTGGTGCCTGCACTGGGTACGGCCTCTGGGTTCGTCACCTGGTGGTAGATTGTCGCCATGATGAGCGAACGCTTGGCCAAAGGCTGCGATGGGCTGCCAATGCGATGAAGAAAAGGCGACGACCCTAGAAATGAGCAGACTGTGCAGAGCAAGCCAGCACAACAAACAAGAAAATGAAACTCAAATCGAAAATCGGAATGACAGGGCAGCAAGCTTGGATCAAATATGATGAAAGAGGGAAGATGACATGGCGCGGTAGGGAAAAGTTTGTGGACTAAATTTACTTATCGCAAGGCTGATTGTGGCCAGTGACATGGGACCCTCAGGCACAAGATAGGCGACATCCACAGATTCCCACCCACCCGATTGTATGGTGTGCGTACGGAGTAAGAACCTTCAAAGGGCAGCTGTTATCGCAACTGGTCGACAACAGCCAGTAATGAGACGAGAAATGAGCAGTGCATTGATAGCGGCACATGGCGGAACGCGCGGAGAGAACGAGTAACAACTTGGCAAGGTGCAGGCCCTGGGGCATTGGGCAATTGGGCAATTGGGCAATCGGGGGAACTTATTTTCGCCTCCCCTGTCGCCGGATGAGATGATGTGGAAGATGATGACGTGAAAGTTTTAGTTTGAGGTGTTGATGGATGCAGACATGGACGAATTAAATTCGGTCAAACAAGTCAAGTGTGCGATCAGAGGTCCAACTAAGCTTTCCCTTGATTGGTGCTAGTCGATCATTGCTTAGTACTTAGTAGTTTCACGTACATGCCATGCCCACTGTGCCATGCCCATCCTGGTGTTGCTTATCTGTTGCACTTTATTCGAGACTCGAGTTTGGTGACTCGATTCGTTGTGGTAAGCATGCAGTTACTTGCAGATACTATGGGCAAGCATGACCATATCGGCTCCATTCGCCCTTCTTCTCCACACTCAATCCTGTCAGCCTTGCATAACCACAGATAAGAAACTACCCTTTGTACGTACTGTGTAGATCTATCTGATCGGTTGCCGCCGCTGACCGCGTGACCAGCGTTGACACGACCAGCACAGTCATCCGCCGACTACCGAAGGTGGTCAATTGACCTGCAGAAGAGACAAGTACTAGTAGTCAAGATACTGTAGCTGCCATGTTCATCATTCGTACCTGTGTAGCTAGCACAGAGATATCTATCCAACTATGATGCTTTCAAGGCTTTCACTTCGGCCACCAGTTCTGTCACCGTCTTGGTCAAACTACTGATTTGCCGTGATTGTTGAGCCATCATGGCTTTCAGGTTTTTGATCTCTCTTTCCGATGATTCTACTGAAGTGGCGCCCGTCTCCGCGACTGGCTCTTCGTCCACAGTCTTTGGCGACGAAACTTCTGCTTCGGTAGGCTGGGCATTGTTAGCTTGAAAGATCTGATCGGCGTGCGAATACATACCTTGGGTATAACAGCTGGCTGCGGCTCGGACGCCTCCACATCTTGCACAGCCTTTGTAGCTGAAGCGGTCTCCTCTCTCGCTTCTTCTGCCACAGCTGGCTTCGTTGCAGACGTCCTCTCCACGGGCTTTTGCACTTCCTCGAAGCTTGAGCCGTCATCTTCATCTTCCTCGACAGGCTCGCTATCTTGGAATTTGGTGGCCGCTGCCATCATCGTGGCCCCTTGCTCTTTCATTGGCGGCGGCGGAGACCGTAGTGCTGTCGTCGGTGTCGGTTCGGGAGTTGATTCAAGGACTTCTTTCTTCGGCTCGGCGACCTTGATTGGCTCTGGAGCCTTGGTTGCGGGCTTCGGCGCATCAGATGGCACCTCCTTTATCCCCTGGCCGTCATATATGCTCTCTAACGAGATCTTGGGCGGAAGACCTTCAGCACCTTCGAACCATTCCTTGCTGCTCACAGCTGCCTTCAGGCCCACAGTAGGTGGGTAGATATCCTCCTGGAAGCTCTCTGCCCTCCGCGGCACAATGAATGAGATGGGCTCGATATAGCTGTCGTTCACTGTCTTGTAGGCTCGCATCACTTCGTTCTCGTGCATGTTGACTCCCCTCTTGGGCACAAAGGCTACCCCTCGCTGTGGGTCTGCAGACTTGTATTCTGACAGATACTCGAACTTGTCGTGCTCGTATTCGTAGTATCGGATGTTGCCATCACCTTTTCCGGCTAGGTACAGACATTGTGTGCCATCGTCCCAGAAAGGCATACATACTCCAGATATCGAGTCAAGCATCTGGAAGCCGTCCACGGGTTGTTGAGGAGTTCGGATGTCCCAAAGCGCCAGTTGTCGATCACTCATGCGTGAGAACCCGGTGGTTGCTACTCTGTCGTGCTCACCCATCCACACCGCTCTGCTATTCTTGGCACCAGCATGACCTGCCACTTCATGAGCGGGCTTCTCTTGTCTTGTGTCCCATATCCTCAGTTTCTTATCCCGCGATGTGGTGACGAGTAGTGAGCCATTGGCGCTCCATGACATGGACTGGATGACGTCGCCTACTTTCAGTGATAGCTTGGATGACCCGGCCTCGATGTCCCAAAGCTTGATCGTGAAGTCTCCAGCGGCGGATGCGAGAACGTTTTCGGCGGCTGGGTTGAATAGGACGTGTCCGACTTTTCTGGCCAACATTAGTCCTGCGCCAATCCGGTGAAACTTGCTCAACACACTTGGGATGGCCACTCAGCTTGCCGACTGGACCAATATCCTTGACCTCATCTACCGGAACATCCAGATGGAGTGTGAAATCCTCCGGTACCCTCCAAAGGAAGACCTAGCACCATGAGTATCTCCACTGCCTCTTACTGGTCGCAAGTGCCATACCTTGCCGTCATCAGACCCCGATGCAATCAAGTCATCGTGGAAAGGGTTCCTTCTCCTGTTAGTCCTGCCAATGCCTTCGAGTTAAAAGTTACGAACCAGTCTGTGTCCAGCACAACCGCGGTATGTCCTCGGAAAAGCGGTATCCTTTCTGGCAAACGACCTCGTTCACTCGTAGGAATAACTGCGAACGCTCCGCCACCACTGCTGTCCCAATTGACCGAGATGTATTCGGGGTTGGCCTACGAAGTCAGCCGTGGCCCAATGTAGACTGTCCGTTCCATACCTTGATCAAGTTGGTATCGAAAGCATTTTTGGACACTCTGACATTGTCATAACATTGTTCCTGACTCTCTTAGCCGCCGCTCTCAAGCATTGAGAAAGCAGTCTGTACCTTTCGAGTGGGACGGCCGAACACGTGCCGATACTTGGAGGAACGGACAAAGCGACCTGCCATGGTTTCTCGGTGCGGAAAGGACGACAATTCAGAGGGATGGAGGAGCGGAACTCAAAGACTGAACCTGCAGTCTCTGAGAAGAGTGCTTGGAATGCAGCTGTCTTTGAAGCTGAAGCAGTCCGTGTTCCATTGTCTCTGCGCTAAAGCTGACTGCGCAGCTGCCGGCTCTTGGGTAATGCTTCACCCAAGAGCTCTTTCCTAGACTACTGCGAGGTACAGACACATCTGCGCTTCTAAGCACCATCGCTTACCGGAGTAAAAAACAACAACTAACGACGACGCCTTTCTTCCACGACAACAATGATTCTCAACAAGCATGACAGACAAAGAATTACCGGCCAGGCAGCAACGATATCCGCTAACTCGTTGTACAAAAAGTCTTTGTCCAAGTTTTTGTTGCTCTGTCGGCCAACGAAAAAGGTACGATGCTCCGCCTCTTACCATACACCGGCACCTGGGTGCACTTTGTGCTCTTAGTCATGGGAGAGAGCGACACGCACAAATACTACCTGTCCAGGTAGGTCCTGTCTGCTGTTGATATTGGTTGCGAGAGGGTTGATTTTCTCCGTGAACGATACGCTCATCAAGAGGCAGGTTGGGCACAAGCAGTGCTTCAACTTCGTCACAAAGACAATGCTTGCTTGAGGCAGTCGTCGTGTTTGACGCATCATGTCACACACTACGAGCTGTCTATGGTTCTTCAAAAGCTTCTCGGCCATCTGTCTATACGTATCTTCTATCCATATCTCACTGCTGCACTGTCACCGTGCTAACTCCAGATCCTGCTTCCCCCGCTAACATCAAGAACAATTCATGCACGAACCACAGGATTTCCCGAGGATCAAGGCTCACAGTATGTCTTCTCAGGCCCCGACGCTAGTGGATCCCGAGACACATACCGAAGCCTTGCCCTATCGCCCACATCGATCTGGTGGTCTGCAGAAATTTTATCGTACAGCTTGTTGTGGTTCGATTGTCGGAATACTGTTATGGGTCTTTGCACTCCTTTTCGCTATATTTGTCCCGATTGGTGCACTTCTTGCACGAGGCCAGCTCCATTCTTCGGGCTTGAACACTGCTTCCACGTCTATGTCTACACTAACAACAACGTCAACTACTACTGCAGTTTCGACCGACGTTTCCAGGCTCATGTCAACAATCACCACCGTCTCTATAGCTACTACCGTCAGCATATCAATCGTCACATCGATGGTGACCTCCATCTCGGTGTCAATTGTCACATACTCTCCACCACCTACAGTCACTGTCACAACTGCACTCACTACTACAGATGGAACCACGAGCCTTTCGACGGTCACAGAGGAGTCGGACACTGCAGCCATAACCGAGACAATTGAGACCACCACCATTGTTCCGTCTCCTTCCACAAGCGCTCCAAGCACTACCACCAGCATAGACGAACCTGTGGTTGTTCCAACGACGGTCTTCTGGCCATCCACTCTCACGTTGACTGACAAAGAGACTGAGACTCTCAGGGCGTCGATGGCGTCGATCATAGTTCCGGTACTGCAACCGACGCCACATTCTACGTCAGTGAAATCGTCACCTACCAAAACTGCATCAATCAAGACAACAAAAGCGCCTAATCATACATGTAAGGGAATCGAAAGTCCTGAAGATTGTCTGATCTCATTTCTGCCCGCTGCCGGAGGATAGCCTTGAAGCGGCTACAGCTCCCTGGTTGCCTGGAGTCTGCACGGGCGTGCATTTTCGTTGAACGACAAGGTCGCTAACAATCTTCAGGGCTTGCGACTCTCTTAGATCGGAAGCTGAATAGTTGCATTCTTTCCGAGGTTTCAAAGCTGTTGGCCAGTGCCATTGTAATTGAAGCTGTTGTTGGATCTTTTGGGTACGAGAGAATTGTTTTGTACTTCTGAGCAGGTCTCAAGTAGTATGTATTCTACTCAATACAATCATTCTATTCTGAGCCTTTTCCAGGAATTTTTCAACTCTATGTACACCCTTCAAGTCTAGACCACATTCATTCTCCTAGCAAGGGCACCCTGGTTCATTTCAGAGATTGCCTGAAACTCTACGTCTTTGAAAATGATGATATGGGACAATATTTTCGGTACTTAGGTAGCTTCTTCGCTAGCTCGCCACAATTGTGGATGCCTTCATAATCCGGGTAGACGCCTTTCCTGTTGCATTTGTGGTCTTCATTGGAATGACTGAAACACCTTGGAGCCCACGAGTAGATCAGACCATGTAATTCGATCATTTATCCCATGTAAGGTCTAGTAAGGGAATACTCCGAACACAATGCAGGGAAGTTGTATGTCCGAGGCATACAGATGCGGGGATGAGGCCAATAGTCTTCGAAGACTTCGGTTTGATATTGAGACCTCCTCCAATATGCCCGTATTATCGTAATTTGGAAGACTCTATGCCATGTAGACCAGGCATACTTTTATCCATGGCTCTTGGTGGGGCAACCGTGTGCCGATAGCTAGAAGACAGAAACTGACGAATGTGCCATAGTTACCACAGCGGCCGCCGTAGCAGGTACGACTGCATTAGCCCACTATCTCGATGGGCGATTCCATCTCTTGAAAGACCTCAAGGTGTTGCACAAGCAGCGACTGGGCGTGAAGTTGTTCCAAAAAGTTGGTATGTACACCTTTTCATCTAAACATCCCGAATCCACAACTTGGAGCACTTTCTAATATGATCACTCGAACGTCTAGCCAAGGAAGACAGAATCTCTCTGTGGTATCAGTTTTCCGGCCGCGTCAATGAATGGCCAAATGCTACATGTCTCTGGTCTCGCGATGGCATCTATACATGGCAAGAAACCTTCGACGCGGCATGCCGTTACGCCCAACATCTGATATCTGTGGGTGTCCAACGAGGCCAGCTCGTTGCGGTCTATCTGACCAATCGTCCTGAGTTTATGATTATCTGGCTTGCACTATTCAGCATAGGATGTGCACCAGCCATGATAAATTATAACTTGACCGGGGATGCGTTGGTGCATTGCCTGCAAGTGAGTGGAGCACACACTATGATCGCTGATGACGATGAGGCGTGCCAACAGCGTATCAATGAGACAAGAGACCGCATTCAAGGACAACTGAAGATGCAAATAATTATCCTGGATGAAGCAAAGCGACGGGAGGTCTCATCTCTACCCGCGAAGGAGCCGGAGAAATCGTATAGGCACGGCACAAAGGGGAGCGACCCAATGGGTCTATTCTATACGAGGTATGAATAACTTTCCTAACTTCAGTCAGGACGTTGACAGATCGTAAAGTGGTACAACCGGCTTTCCCAAAGGCTGCTCGTATACTCTCAAACGAACGTGGCTCTATATCCCAGCCAGGGCCAACAGGATGGATCAAAAGCCCGGGCCCAATGGCGACAGGTGGTACATCTGCATGCCATCGTATCATGCGACCGGTGGAGCGGGCGCCCTAGGATGCCTGCTATCAGGTGTCTCGATGGCAATCGGACGGAGATTCTCCGTCTCAAACTTTTGGAAAGACATCCACGATTCAGACTCCACCCTCTTCATATACGTTGGCGAGACCGCGCGTTACCTCCTTGCCGCACCACCGGGGCCCTACGATACCACACACAGGGTAAGAGGAATGTACGGTAACGGCCTACGACCAGAGGTCTGGACCCGTTTTCAAGAGCGTTTCAATGTCCCTGAGGTAGGCGAGTTCTTCAGCTCGTCCGAAGGCCTCTTCAACGTCGTGAACTGGGTCCGTGACCCGCATGGCTACTTGGTCGGATCTGTCGGCCATCACGGTGTCATCTCCCGTAATCGCTACCACAACACATATGTCCCCGTCGCCGTCAATCACGAAACGGGCGACATGTATCGCGATCCCAAGACCGGTTTCGCCAAGCGGAATTCATACAATGAAGGTGGCGAAATCCTTGTCAAACTCAAGAGCGAAGCCGACTTTCAGGGATACTGGAACGCACCCGAAGCAACCGAGAAGAAATATGTCCGCAACGTCTTCCAGAAAGGCGATTTGTACTACCGCACCGGTGACGCTCTCCGACGCCTCGATGATGGCCGTTGGTTCTTCATGGACCGACTGGGCGATACCTTCCGCTGGAAGTCCGAAAACGTCTCCACGGCCGAGGTCTCCGAAGTCCTCGGTCGGTATCCTGGCGTCGTCGAGGCAAACGTCTATGGGGTGTTAGTTCCGAACCACGATGGCCGAGCTGGCTGCGCTGCCATCCTTATCGAGGAAGGACACTCATCCAGCTTCAATTTCAACGGCCTCCTGGCACATGCGAGGAAGCATCTGCCCCGATACGCCGTCCCAATCTTCATTCGTGTGATCGAGTCTAGTGTTATCAGTCATAATAATAAACAGAACAAGACTCCACTGAGGGAGGAGGGTGTTGACCCCGATATGTTGGGGAAGAAGGTCACAGGCAGTGGTGAGAGAGATCGATTGCTTTGGGTTCGACAAGGAGGAGAAGGTTACGTGGACTTTGGGCGGAATGAGTGGGAGGCATTGCAGAAGGGGCATGCTCGGCTTTAACTTCAGTAGAAGAACCAGAGGATAAGTACGACCCGCAGCACCAAAAAAAGGTACGCGACAAAAAATAGTGACCTTTGTGAGGTTCGAACCCCATGAAGGACAAAAACTTTTTCCATCAAACAGATGTTGGAATCTGGTTGATGGGAAGTGAAACCCCCTTAAGGGAGGTTCTTTCCGGGGACTAATAACTATGGACTTTTTTTTTTGCTTATCCCCTTATTGAGATGGCTAGGGAGCTCGGCCACCCGCAATCGTCCTCAAATCTAGGCCTTTTGCGTTTGATTCTCGGATTGTTGGGAGTATATGTGCGGCTGTAAAACATGTTCTTGATTTTCTCTTGGTTGACCTTGGTACGGTACCGGTGGTTTGGTAAAGATGCTGCCTGGCCGACGGAGTGTGAGGCAGAAAAGGAGACCCAGCCTTGCCAAGACTCACGAGGCTGTCATCGTAGAAGAGCAAGTCTCACCAGGCGAATTACTTGGAGATGGTCGACTACTGGGGTGATGAATGCGAAGGCCGACCCATTGGAACTAATCGATGGCTTGCATTGCGCTATGAACCTATATGGAATACCGCCATTTCCTCAAGATGCCTGACCAGTAGAAAACTTGAGGAGATTTATTTTGGTAATCCAGGAGAATAGAAGGGTATATATATCATATCTCATGTGCCGTTTGTGGAACCTGTGCCTGTGGAATCCGTTGAACATGGTCTTCGTATAGTCGTGTAACCTGGTCCGCCATTATCCGTACTTGTATGCCTCATTATTGAAATCCCGAGCATTTCGACTTCGATGCTCCAGATCTTTCCGCAGATTCAATCATCTGCCTTTCAACGTGGGTTCAAGTTCATGACTCCCTGACATAAACAGCGGGGAAGACACCTTGGTCTCCAGCGTACACTCCAAACCACCACTCCTCGTTAACTTCTTCGACCTCGCGCACATCGGCATGTTTCGGGAACATCAACTCGCCTTTTCCATCCTCACCCTCTTCAGGGTAATAGCTCCAAAGTGCACGACAGACCTTGCCTATGCCACCGTCTGGCGGGAAGTTTGATGAGGATGAAAGTGTTGCGGTCCTGGCTCGAGTGGCACGTCTCCCACCAGATGGATCTTCTCGCCATGTCCACTGGCCTCTGCTGTGGAGGTTCCTTGATGTATCTTCGATACGAGGTTCGTTGAGCTGTGCTTTCGCAAGCTTCCATGCAGCGATGTCTGCTTCTGTCGTCTTAGTCCCTCCAACCATGTCTCGAGCGATGGTTCTGCGTTGGTCGTCATCTTTGTTTTGCTCAAAAGTTACAGCAACCATGCGGTGTCCACTGGGGCAAAGACGCCAGCCGTCAGGGCCATCTTCACGCTTGATTTGCCGTGTATTGACGAGATTCAGGTAGCAATTGTTGCAAAGATCGAAATCGCCCTTCTGTTCAGGCTTGTCCGGTGACGGCGTGGGATGGGCGGGGCAGTGATACCGCATCTCCTCTGGAGAGATCGACCTCGAGCAATCGTCACAATGTGTTGTAATGATCAACGATACAAAATCCGCGCGGTGACTCGAAGCTGGACCGTTCGTTGAATTCGCACTGGATGGCGCACTATGTGCAGGTGATGATGCTCGAATCCTGGCATTGTATGGGCTCATTGCCATAGAACTAGCTTGTGTTGTGTTGTGTACTTGTTGTGTAAAGTTTCCAGGAGCATATGATTTGTGAGCAACAGGCAATAAAGGGTGTCGACAACAATGGTTCGTGTTGACACAGTCTTTGCAAAAGCCCCACTCACCATCGTTGCAGACATCACAAGCCCAGAAGCAGTCATTGGCAAATGCACCGCATCGATCACAAAAATTGCCCTCCTGAGGGGGTACTGTGGCAACGGAGGACGTACTTGTTCCGTTCCTGCTATTTCCACCCGTCCTCGATGCTATCTTCTGATATTGGCGGCCGACAAGAATGTGAGGCAGCTCAATAGCTTGGCTGCTTCTAGCAGTATGTGACGCTTCAAATTTGACCATGGCCGCGTGTCCAAATCCGAACCAGTGATTGCAGCCACGGCCAGCTCTGTAACAACGTAGGCAAAGATCCAGATCGCAAGCGGCGCAATGCCTATGCACTTCATACTCTATGTTTGCACGCGAACAGTGCGCACATGAGACCGCGGGTTGTTCAATATTTCTTGAGCCAGTCGGCATCAACGATGTCGCCCACTCATGCGTCGACGTAGCGGAATCTAATCCTGCCATCACTGTAGGGACTGGAGCATTGTTGACGCCGGACATCATAGGGCCGACATGATCAGGTGTGAGCGATTGCGGACCAGGGGATTCAGTCTGTGCCGGCGTACCGATCTGCCGCCCAGCAGCTTGCCAAACTTCTGAAACCCTTGGGGCGTTCCTAGGTTCGGTCTGGGCCCTGTTTGTGTTCGAAAGCTGCCGTGGACGGCCTGAACCTGACGAGCTAGATTGTGGTCTGTCGACAAGGTCTGTAGCGGACCTTCTACCTGTTCTCATTGAGGAAGGTTCGCTCCTTCCACTTTCATTAGAAGCCGTCCGTCGATGCCGCGCATCCTGAGGCATCGTCATGGCAGGATCAATCCCAGTTTGAGGGAATGAAGTAGGTGGTCGACCACCACTCCCACCAATGACAACGTTGCGACTGGATCTCGGACTCGGCTGTATGGGTCGTCGTTGATTGCCTCTTGGAGGGCCACAAGGAACACGATCTGCTTCTTCGAGTTGTTCTACAGGCTGAACTGCAGTTCGTGGTGGAATCTCGTGTCTACTTTCGTCTGATGGTGTTCGCCGAGCTCTCTCTGGGTGTAGTTGTCGATACCGCTCCGCAATATACTCGCTGAGTTCATCCTGCTCCGCTTCAGTCAAGTCATCAAGGTTGATGCCGTCAAGAAGACCCTCAGACAGGATCTCCTGCATCAACTGGGCTTCGTTCAAGCTGTCGCCGGTGCCGGTACCACTTTCAGAGGCGCTGACGATAGATCGCAAACTTGCTTGATGAGCCACGGTCCGTGCACCTCTCTGACGGGCTTCCACTGCATCTGGATGTCTTGGTGAGCTGGCTAGCGGAGACAAGGATGAACGATCAGTAGCGTCAGGAGAACCAGCATTTCGAGGTCGAGATACAACTGCATCCGCGCTAGGTTGTCTGTGTCCTCTGTCCCGATGAGCAGAATCATCTGATCTTTCTGACCTTTCTCTGGACTCCCGACTTCTGCTGCTTGCCTGACGTGGCGCACGTCTATTGTCAGCGGACGAGGGGTGTAGCTGTTGTCCCCGTGCGCCACTAATACGAGTGTCATTCTCTTGCGGCCTTCGCTCCCTGCCAGAAGCCTCTTCGTCGTCGCGCCTTCGTCGCTCCCTCCTTCTATGGCTTTCAACCTTGGGCATTATTTCATCGCCGGGCTTGTAGGCCTGAGACATCTCAGCCTTCTCCTCGGGAGATCTGCCCTTGGAGGGATTGGCGACAAGGAACATGTCCAACAGCGTATTTATCATGGCATTGTGCTGAGCATCTTTTACTGGAGCGCGACATGTTGGGCAAGTGTAGGGACTGGCGGAGGATGACGAGTGAGAGTGGGTAGCTTTGCGGTGTTGATGTGAGAACCATTCCTTCAAGCACGAGCCGCAAAAGGTGTGCAAGCAGTCAATGAGAGTGAGCGGTTGGTAAAGGATTTCGGTGCAGATGAAACAGACGAGTTCCTTTTCGAGATTGAGGAGGCCCGTGCTGGGCGACGAGGTGGTTGCAGCCATGGGATGACCGAGGTCATGATCTCGGTATGAGGTGCCGTATTATGATCGCTCGCAGAGGTTCCGTGTGCACCTATATACATGCCTCATAGGACCGTTTAAACATGTTTTTGTTGCTGTGCGAGCTGATGTGTAAAGAACGGCGCATGAACAGCCCGAATCGTCCCAGCAGGCGAAGGAACAGGCGACTCTTTGGCAGCAGCGCAGCGCAGGGCTGATGGTCACTGGCCGTGCAAATAACCAAAGGTACAGTACCTAAGTTCAACGCCTAACTCGATTCAAGCTCGTGTAGCCGAAAGGCGAGGCACTCTCCAAGAAAATAGGCTTTTTGGTTCCTCGTGGCAGGCGACCCCTCACCTAAATTTAGTTAAGACACGCAGGATGGATCCCGTCATCCTCATTTTTCAACACGAATTCTACACAGGTTGGCCCATCATCGTATTCCAGCCGTCCTTGCTATTTGAAAGAAAATGGCAGGCTCATGGAAACCGGTCAGCAGAAACGTTGCCTGTTGGCAGTGAGTCTTAGGTGACTGTATCACAGGGTGGCATGGCGTTTTGTCCGTTTTCTCAATGGAAATGCAAACAGCGGATGGCAGCCTGGTGATGGCATTGACAGAACAATGAGAACCAACAAGCAACTGGATGGGTGACTCAATCCGAGATGTCAACCTTTTTCCCGCCGATGAATCTCCACAATATCCAGGAGCACTACAAAGATCACTTGATGTCCTCAATCCTCCTCCTTCAATATGACACCTTCCACTTAACTCTGATCTGACAGGCTCTTCTCGTGCATTTCAGGAGACCTCAACGCTCCAGCCTGCGCTAGTAGCAGCTTAAGCGGCTTCATTCTTTTCGACCTCGTTCGTGTGCTGACCGACTTCGGTGCCATCAGAGTCGTCGCGCTCGCGATGAGCATAGCTCAATCGCTTCTCTGGATCAATTTCACCGTGTTCCTCACGGACCACACGCTGGAAATCGACGTGCGTATTCCATGGCTTGGTATCACTCAGGAATATTTCCTCGACCTCTTCCAAAGTCTTGCCAGCTGTCTCTGGGAAACAGAGAAAGACGTGTGATTTGCTCAGTATGCGGACTAGACCGAGGGGATGAATCGTACATCAGCCATGCGGCGCAGTGCTTTCTCGATCGTAGTATCCAAGTAGAGCCTCTACAGTACACGCTGTCGTGCGTCACCACTCAAAAGAGGTAAGAGAATCATCAAGCCAGTCATTGAAAATGGACCCGTAGTCGTAGGTCCCAGTTGCAGCGGAAGACGCATCAAAAGCCGACATCTGGTCGCCATCAACCACGTTGCACTCTGCAGTCATATCCACGTCTGTGAGACATTTGAAAGGTACTTCCAAGCTATTGAGCGCCTGCCGAATGAATTTAGCGCCGCTGTTGGCATTCATTGTGAGGAGCCATCGATGCTCCCTCAAGCGAAAATGATAGATCTCTCGTCGACTTGGATCACTTTCGGCAAGGTACACATAGCAGCCGTACTCACCGGCTAACGCGAAGCTTTGGGCTGCCATTGAAAACCAGAAGCTGGCTAGGTGGCTGGATTTCAATGACTTGAGAAGGTCGATGGCGAAAATGAATCGATCCGCGGCCGCCTTTTGGCAGAGCTGGATTAAATGAGAATCGCCGCAAATTGGGAGAGCCAGGAGGATCTGGCGGTGGAGTGCCATCTCCGTGGCAATATATGCCAGGCGTAAAGATCCTACCGATGACAATCTGTTCACGTTGGAGACTTCCATTGACAAAAGCTCGGAAAGATCCGCGAACCATTTCCGGAGGCGGATCTGTAGAGGTTTGGTCGTTTGCAGCAGAAGCTCCAGACCGCTTGGACCTGCGGCGGCAACCTCTGTTGTCGCCCGGATCGAGAGAATGTCGTCCAGAATATCGCCGAGGATTTCTGAGAGAAAGATCAGCTGGCAGAATATCAGCCGACCTTTTTCAACATCAGAACTTCCTTCTCGATCATATTCGTGCTGGTCCGGGAAATCTTGCTCGGTGATCTTCCGTACGCCCCAATGAGAGCTGTTGATGAGAGCAGGCATTTCAGCCTCGAGACTGCACCATTTGTCTTGAATATACATCGCCCAGCTTAATCGTTTCCGAAGAGCCTTTTCCCAGTCTGGGATGTCCCATTGGGATGCATCGAGATGAAAGCCAATTTCGTATGCATTGTTGACAAGCTGCGCAGTCAACTCGGCGGCGTTAGTGCTGGAGTATTGTAGTAACTGAAGTCCGGCCTGAATCGTGGACAGCTTCGGACGGTAACGCATTGCATCCTGTAAGCTTTTCCGGGTCAGGCTTTCCAACTGAACAACATCGGGCATTGGTCTGTCTTGCAGGGAGGGCTGGTAGGACCAATGCCGCGCCGCAAGTAAATACACGATCCCCAAGCTGGCTGGGGCAAACTCGGAAGGAGATCGACCATACTTTTCTTCGAAGACAGCCCGATGGAGCACTGGGAAGCTGGAGTAGACCACTCGGAAGTATATATCGACCAACATTGGACCGTATGGCCGGACCAGAGACTCGATAGCTTCGAGATCCTCCCGCTCCTGTGAGTACGCCGGAGTACCCAGGTCGGGAATCAGAAGAAAAGCATCCGTAGGGGAAACCCAGCGCAGGCGTGTAGTGCTGGCATCAGTCTCGTCGGAGTCACTACTCGTTGCGGTACCAACAAATACTGGCTTGAAGGAGCTAGCCGGGCTGGCGTATCGACAATGGTGCGTGTTAAGCAACCCCAAGGTCTTCTTCATGATGCTAGGCTCCATCATCTGGTCATATTCCTTCACGTCATGACCTTGTCTGGTACGTATCAAACGCCAGTGCGTGTTGGACGATTCTAAGCCAGCTGTGAGGCTATCCAGTCTGACTTCGGACCTTGAAGATGATATTTGCCTTGGCGACTGAGAGGATGGAGGGCCGGGTCTTCGCCTTGGGCCGCCAAACGTACAATCCCGGTTGTGAAACTTGCAAAGCATGCAAACTCCATTGGAACCGTCGTCCACCACGCATCGCTGTTTTCTTCAGCGGCAGACGTCGCATGATCGTTGAGTACGTTTCGTCAAGCTGGCATTAGACATGATGACTCAGAATGTGGCCTTGTAATCAGATAAAGACTGTGGCTACGTGGTGCAGACAGAGGTCAGATGATAAGTGTGGTGATGGCCGCGATGAACGATACCATCATTAAGAAGGCATACAGTGTGACTTGTCGGTCTCTGGATTTCCTTGAATCTACATCAAGCAATGTCGTGTTTCGTTTGAACGAAGAGTTAATTGGAGAAACCAGCTCGGCAAGCGTCGAAGATGTCAAGACAAGAAGATCGCGTAAATCTGCTAGCTTGCCGAGGTCTACGCTGATTAGCCAATCTTTCGTGTGCTTCGACCCATTTATTCCCACTATCCCACAACTATGTCATCAAGCATACTCGGAGAATGATTTCATTCCATCAAGTCGTTTTTAGAACACGGCGTTTGTGCTTTCTGAATCTCATGAAAGATAGCTGGCACTTCATCAAATAAAGAAGGGGCATCGAGTGTTGTAGCTAACGTGCTATCACCACAACTAGTCCTTAGATATCTTATGGGGAAAGGGAACTAACTCCTTACAAGAAACTTGTCTTTCCTTCCACATCCTCCACCAAGTGAAGACTTTCTGAGATACCACTGTAGGATGTGACGTGAAAAGGGTACACAGAGGTGCGCGACCACAGAAGACGTCTAGGAGTACCTGGCTCATGGCAACTACTAAATAACATTCCGACCGAATTATGCTATAGCGATTGCCTCGATCTCTACATCCGCGTTTTTGGGTAATGTTTTAACAGCTATACAACTTCTTGCGGGCCTGTGCAAGAACCATTTCTCGTACTCGGCATTCATCTCGGAAAAATGCTGCATATCGGACAAGTACACCTAGATATAGCGACTTATCTAGTGGATGGTGTTCGATCTGAGCAGATGTACAATGACACGAGGAGAGCTAGGCCAGGAGGATCTCTTATAAGAGGGAGAGGGAGGATCCTCAGTCTTTCTTACCATAGTTTTGACCACTTTTTCAATATTACTGCCCGCCTCTTCCAAGATTTCCTTGAAATTCGAAATGCATTTTTCCGTCTTGCGCCCAATGGACCCGGTAACCAGGACCCCTTGTATATCCATTGGAAGCTGTCCCGAGCACAAAACTTAGCCAGCAGCTCGGATTGCTTAACTATATGGTCCGGCTACTAATGCTCGAGTCTAGTAGTTAGCAACGATTCTTGAGATTTAAGGTAGCGAGCTCCTCGTTGGGGATGTACTCACGTGGAGTTACACGTCTTGTGAAAATGGCGGTAATTCGGCGGTTCTCCAATGTCGCATCCATGTTCAAGCTGTGATCGGACTGTGAAATATGTCGCTGCTGTTGTTGTAGCCTGACCATGAAGTTAGACATTCTTAGTGTTGAAGTATATCAGCTGGTCTTTGCATTCTACTAAAGAAGCAACCATCGATATCTGCTGACGAGTTCGGAACTAAAAACTCAACGGAGTACTTTGGACTCCTCAGGTTAAGCGGAACCCAAGACAACAGAGGGTTGCGAGCTCGAGGAGCCGATCTCCGGCGGTTCCGGCGGACTTGGCTGGGCCGCCGGTCGGAGAATTCTTCCGCCCACGGATACATGGAAAGCCTAATGGTGTGCAGGCATAGGACTACTACTGGGTTACTCGATCCCAGGAGATCAATCAATCATGTTATTTACAGAAAAGGTATGGATTTCCTAGTGCAGAATCCTGAAGGTCTTGGGCCGTCCAAGAGGGTACCAGAAATTACTGGTGTCCCGGCCTTGTGAGGAATTGGTAGTCGAGCAGCTCAGGTATTTGGTCCACCTACGGCTGTTGCTTGTGCGCGCGTTGTAAACTTTGAGTCCGATTCTTCTGGGGCCTGGCTTTGTTCAACTGGAAGCCGCGACATGTCCTTCTGATTGATTGGCTTATAACGCAAGCCAATAATCATAATCTCTTATCTGATAGAAGTCTGACTAAACTATAGACAAAGTATATCTTGCCCGAACACGTGCTGTGTTGATAGTCTATCTTGATAGTCTATCTTAATAGGCTACTCGGCAGAAACGATGGTTTGATTGCCTCACAGGGATATAAAAAGACCTGGAATCATGCTTTGTTCTATAAAAGAGGTTCTTTCTACGCTTGCACATCAGAACTTGCTTAAACTGACTCGAAGATGTCCTTCTCGATGATTCAATATAAACGCACCAAACAGTCGTTCTGCGCCAGCCTTCCCGCACCGCTGGCAAGTTTCGAGGCAACAACCTCAAACATCATCGAAAGCCGGCTTATCGACCGCCCCCATGAATCTACGCCTAGGATGACAACTTGACCGAAGCAAGTACGTCCATTGGCAGTAGGGAGACTTAACCCGAAATTGAGATGCAGAAGTCCACCGAAAGATGGCTTCACTATCCAATGCACGACCGCTTAAGCCGGCCCACCAGCCTCACCGCTCGAAGTCGCCGACCGCGAAAGACGAATGAGCAAGTGCCCCAATCTCGGCGGGCTGAAGGACAGCCCAGAACGGAGTTTGCTTCCCATGTTCTAGCTAGATATAAAAAATTCTCTACATAACACCCTCACTCGCGACAACCCCGGCCCCGGAGCCAAATCACTTCGATAAGCCCAGTCGTGCCAACTCTGGATATTCCGGCAAGTCCCAACCCCGTACGTCCTCACGGAAGACCCATCTGCTCAAGGCGTCGATGCGCAGCCTCGCAGCCAAGCCGACGAGGAAGTTGAAGACAGTAATGCCCCAAGGCGACGACGGAATCCAGAAGCCCGAAGCCAGGTTTTGCACCTGGCTCACGAAGGGCTTTAGTTGTCTCTGGTAAGCTGCCAATGCGGAAGGAAGAGGATCCCCAGTACCGTCTGGATTGCCGCCGACGTCCACTACATTCGAACGATACAAGTGTTTAGCGATTTCCCCGGCCAGGACATAGGCGCCGACAAGGGATGCTGAGGTGCCCATTCCAGTCGCCGCCGAAGGGCAATAGGCGGCATCCCCGAGAAGAACCACCCTGCCACGAGACCAAGAGTCGATCCTGACCTGTCCCACTTCGTGAGTGAAGAAGTCGTTCGATAGCGAGTCGTCCTGCATTGCCGTAATGAACCGGTCTGCCTGCCACCCAGCATCCCGGAAAAGCTCGGCCCAGACCTTCTTCTGCTCCCCAACGTCACTCTTCATGACATGTTTCAGTTGCTCCATGTCGTCGTCGACATATCCCATGTAGGCCTGGATGGAGTTGGGACTGTGTCTTCGAGTGAAAAGAAGGCGCTTGTTGGTCGCCAGGTAGCCCGTAGCCACATACTCCTCGCCTTCCTCGTGAGACATGGTGAAATACGCCATATACATGTGGAGTGAGCGAAAAGGGTCCGGACTTTCAGGGGGTAATATCATCCTCCGGATCCGGGATCCTTGGCCATCAGCCCCGACCAACAGATCAAACCAGTCCTTTGACCCATCTGTAAACTGGACCTTGATGGACCTATCATCATCCTCAAAACTCTCGACGGTAGTGCCAAAGAGGTACCTGACACGGTCCTTGGTCGCGTCGTACAGAAGACGACACAGATCTCCTCTCATGATCTCGTAATTGGTGGTAAAGCTCTGTAACCCCGTTCCGGTCTTGTTCGCCGGGAAGAAGGCCTTCCGTTGCCCGGAGCTGTCGACAAACTGTAGACCTGTCTCGTTGACAGACTTGGAGCGGTAAGCCTGCTCGAGGCCCATACGTTTCATGGCCTGGATACCATGGCCCCGCAGATCTATCTGTTGCCCCGAGGCGCGTAGGCAGGAGAAGCGCTCCACCAGCGTGATGTCGTAACCTGGCAGCTTCGAGAGCCAGAAGGCGAGAGCAGGACCGGCAATGCCCCCACCACAGATGAGGACTTTCATTGCTTGGCCCCGTGCCCGTGGTTATTATGATGCTGTTGGTTGAATTAGAAAGCGATTTGATCTGAGAAGGGATTCTTGTAGAAGAAAGCCACAGCCCTTTTTCTTAAATAAACGATAAGCCCCCCAAAGAAGGGGCGCAATTCCGCGAATTCACCGAGTTTGGCCAAAACCGAAGCTGCTAGGCTAGGTGGCGGCGACGGGCGCAGAGCCAACCACCATCTTTGCCCAGTGGAGGCATTCCACCCCCCAGCAAGAAAACGTATTGGCGATCGTCTTGAAAAAGGGACCCATTGAAGATGCAGGGCCCTGGAGAACAAGAAGAGATCAAGGGGGTCTTGACGGACACAGATTAGATTAGATGGACGTCCCTCCTGATCCGAACGCTATTTGCTCGGTCTTCTTATCTTCGAAAACACCGAGCTTAGCCTGGAGCGGTGTTTTTGGAATAGGCCGACGGGCCGAGTAAAATTCTTTGACCTCTTGACGCGGTTCTCAAGCGTCTGCGGAGTTGTTTGCCCGGGTTGGACAGACAGAACTAGGGTCATCTCAAGGGAGTAGTGATAGCCTTCGCAGGAAAATATATTCGCCCACAGCTGTCCATTCTTCAACCTCAGAAGTCAAAGAGATCTTCCACATTCCAAGCGCCAAAAACATCCTCGTCGAGCTCTGCGTCGAGAATCCCGAAATCTTCGTTTGTCTAGCGGGGCGGGCGTCAGCTGCAATCGGTGTGTATAATTCGCAAAAATACCAACCTGGAAGGTAGTGGAAGGTCCCTGTTGTGCCAATGCGTTCGTCGTTGCCTCAGCGGTGCAATATCCCGGGGGATGAGGCGTGCTGATGGCCGGTTGCGGTATCTGGTAAAGAGTCAGAGTTGGTCACCTAGGGATAGCCATGCCTGGAGTGCGCCAGCCAGCCACCCACTTTTCGGCGCAGGGTCTTCTCGGCCTCGGCCTGCATCTGCCAGGCGTATAACCGCTGACCGATCCTCAGAATCTGCTCCACCGCTTTTGATCGACTGGCCTCCTCCGTGGTTGGCCAAAGCCTTGCTTTCAGTAGCGACAGGACCATTGTCAAGAGATAAAACTCTGACGCCTTTTTGCCAATCATGTACAGTTGTGTTTCAATAGCGGTCAACGCTGTTTCGGCAAGGCCTATTAGAGACTCGGCAAAGGCGGGCACTGTCCGTAAGATGTGCGGGGAAGCTGTCATCGATGAGTTGAGATTTCCTCGAGTTGGACAGTTGAGCTACGTACCGTATCCAGCATCGCTCATATACAACTCGTGGCATACTGCCAATGCAGCCTGGATAGTACCGCTTGGCACGATACATCGTATCATGTTGCTGGTACTGGGCTGCAGGATATCCTGACACTGACAGAGAATGGTGGTCGCGGTTTCGAGGCGTACTCGTCTTGAGTGTGCGTATTTGGATATATGTTGCCCCAGTGACGCGAATGGTGTGTGCAAGAGGATTACATACTGGCGCAGTACTAGCTGGAGAAGTACTCGTGCATGAGGGCTCTGCTGGTTGCTTGCATCGTCTGCAGTAGGGCAGCTCCACACCGGCATGCTATTTAGGTGTCGTGACAGTTCTTCGTCCATGTTCAGGGCGTCCTCGTAATCCAGTTCAATATTTGCACTGTTAGCCCATGCACAGATTCTTAACCGGAGCGAAAGGGACGTGGTCAAGGCGGCCTGGAACGCCGAATCAGTAACCACTTCAAGAGGTTCTGACGTCGGCAAGTCTGAAACCGTCTCGTCAATGGAGTCGTCGCTCAGATTCATGGGCGGTGTTGTATTGAAATCTCCCTCTCTTACCGAAGGGAGCATCCCACGGTCGATAGAAGCCTGAAGGTCCAATTCGACTATGGTTGCCCATATCCGCCTTCGCATCTCAAGGTAGAATGGAGAGACCTTAGCCAAATCCCTGGGTTCCCTGTGGTAGCCAGCGGACATGGCCATTTTGACCAGGCTACCTGTGGCGATCCATGCTTGATTCTCCGATAGCCCGTTGAGCCTCCTCGACACGATCGACAGGCAGCAGATCTGAAAAATCCTCAGATCTGGCCGCTTTGTATGTCTCTGTAGGAACGACTCTGCAGCATTCACCCACTCACGCGCGGTCTCCCGAACCGCAGGTCCAATACCGGAAGATCCCACGGCGCTCGAGTTGTGCATGACAAGCACAGCTGCCATCATTGCCAACAGCTGCGCTACGAATCCCGGCGACGCACTCTCTGGACTTCCCCAATACCTCGCATACTCCCTTCGGAATGAGGGTTTGTGTAGGACGCGGTGGGTTGGCTCAAAGTAATCGAGGTAAAGGGCGACAAGTTCGTCGGCGGTCTGGCGGGGAGGAACCAGGCCATCTAAGGAGCGACCATCACTGACCCCCTTCTTGCGATCACGTTGGAAAGCCTCAAACTCTGTGCGTAGATTGATGAGTGTAGGGTTTTCGGATTTGATCTCTTTGATATATGCACGAAGTTCTCCAAACTGTTACTGTGAGTAGACTTTTCGGGTGCGGAAGGACCGGATGAGAAAGGTACCTGGCTGTACATATTCATAGGATTCGTCTGACCAAAGAACCTTGTTTGGGAATCTCTCCCCTCAAAGTACATAGATCCACCGATACAAGATGAAATGCTTCGTACGCTCCTTATGGAACGTCTAGTAACTTGGGTCGAAGTCTCTCCCGCAACAGCTGCATCAGTATCAGGGAGCCCCTCTAAAAGATTGTCTGTCGCTGCTGGAATTGGCCTCGCAAGGCTCTCTGCCGTTGCTGGATTGGTTGTCCCTTGCCTTGGCCTGTAAAGCGGAGATGCTCCTGCTTGTTGTGGTAGCAATCTCGAGCGGTTATTTGGCGCAGAAGCGTGGTCAGATTCGGCATTTTGAGGACTGGCGCGTTTCCTTCCCATACGCGAGAAGACGTCGTTGCTGTAAGCACAAGCATGGGCCTGATCCATCCGAATGCAGCGGTCACAGGAAGGGAAGTTGCGATCACATTTAACTTTGCGGTTGCGACATTGCTCGCACGATAGGGCAGGTCTTCGGCGCTTGCGGGCCGGGACTTGGCCACGTCCCGGGCTCGTCGATGTGGCCCGACCTCCATTCTCTGTCGACATTGTTTCGCGTGTCTTTGGTGCTACCTGGCCGTTGTGGACATGTGGGAAAAGAGCGAGCGTTTGACGCTGAAGTCGAGTTGCAGTTGTCCGATGCACAAAAGACCGAGCGCGGGCGGGCCAGGCGGTCGAAGGGGGTTTGCTGGGCAAGTTATAGCCGGTCACACCCTATTAGCCCGAAAGGCGGTGGGGCTCAGGGGCTATCGGCCAGGTAAGGAAGTCTGGTTTTCTGTTTGGCCCCCAAACGCACTGACAACACTTATTCTCGCTGTGTGTCTTGGAGAGGGCGCTTTGTATTAAATCGTCTTTCTGTTTCTGTCCTTCCAGTAGCCAACTAATATAGTATCTTCACCCGCAAACTTGTTCCAGCAGAGCATCTTCTAGTCACAGCCCTGTCCCTTTCCTTAGTATGGGCCATTCCACATAACTCCTCTTCCCCCTTTGGTGCTGCCCGCAGGACTGGTGTCTTGTGCCTGCGCGAATCCTGACAGTCTATTTTGACATTTTGGAATACTGAGCGCAAGCAAGCAGCGCAGTTCCAGCCATCGTCACAGCACCGCTGAATCCTATGGCCTCATTATATCCTCCGTAGTGTGCGATCATAGCTCCACTGATCGGAGAGCCTGTTAAGCCTGAAACCCCCAAGATACCTACTGCCATGCCAATATAGGTTCCTATCTGGCTGGGATGAGGCGCAGTATGTGCCAAAGTCGAGGCAAACATCCCGACAACCACTCCAGAAAACATTCCGAATAGCACCGAGAAGACGATTATCGCGGCATTGGAGTGGATTCGATACCAGCAAAAGATGAGGAGCCCGCAGATCCCGCTTGATGAAGTGAGGACGTTGAGGTCGCCTAGGTAGGCAGATAAAAATCCAGCTGATAGGCGACCAACGAGTGAACCAGCGTTAAGGATCGATATCGTGTACCATGCCAAATTGCGGCTCATCCCCTGCGTCTGAGCATATGATGGCAAGAAAAATATTGGCGTAAGTATGCCCCAGATCACCAGAAACAGCCCCAGCACTTGAAGGGAGTATGTTAGGTTCTTGAAGGCTGCTGGCAGAAAATGGGGACCTTTTCTGGGAGCTATTCTGGGCTTGATGGTTAAGCATGCCAGCAAGCAGAGTCCCAGTATAAGAAAACCGACGATCCGCACCGTCCAGCCAAAGCCCAAGGATGATGAGAAGAGAAGTCGATTGATCATGATCGGAAAGATGACGCCACCCAGAGAGGAGCCTGAAGATGCAATTCCAATGGCTAGCGCTCGCCTCGCATGGAAGTAGTGACCAATGATAGAGATGGCTGGCGCGTAAACCAGTCCACAGGATATGCCTCCCAAGACTCCTTGAGCCAGCAAGAATTGGTAGTACATCTTGCAGACGCTGGTGAGCATGACAGAGGTGACGAACAGGGCTGATGCGGGCCAGATCACAACCTATGGACAGGTGATATTAGTAGAAGAAAACCTCCCTGGCTGCTAGGATGGGGAACCCACGACTGGACCGTAGCGGTCTAAAATAGGACCAGACACAACTCCCGCGGAAAACATGGCAAAAAACTGAAAGGAACCAATCCAAGCTATAGTCGACGGCGTTTCGTGTGTGGTTGCGATGTAATACGTCTCATAAACACTGAACAACAGATCTCATGGTCAGTAATGAACGATTCGACTCAGCGACGGAAACATGTTCTGGGGAGGATATATACATACCCAAATGCATTAATGTAGCCAAAGGTGAAGAACATTACTGCCCAGCAACCTAGCACAGTCGTCCACGCTCTCGTTCCTCCTTCCGGAAAGCTGGGGACTGACATCGCTCGAGAATGGGAAACCTCTTCTTCACCTAGTGTAGAGGGATTGGGAGGTTCTTGTGGCGGAGCCGGAGTTGGTTGCTCCAGCTGCCCAGACTTCTCGACATCGTTATCAGACATGTTTGTTGCAGGACAATTCGAATACAGTAGACCTGGTGGTGAAACAGCTTCGATGGTGGTCTTGGTTGCAAAAGCCGTCCAGAGATGGGGATCCTCGACCATCAATGATCGTTCTTTTAAATGTTACAGCGTCAACCGGGTAGTCCGGACGTGCCTGGCGGTGCCTTGAGACCTGGCTCGCATTGAAGCACGGCGCGCTGCCCAGTGAGCCCCTTTTGGTGGGGCTTTGGGCCGAGAGCTTCGGTGATCAGATAATTGTTACGACCGAGCATGAGATATATGATTAATTCGTGAAAAGTCGGGATATTGTGGAACATCGTGGAACATCGTGATACAGGATTGCCACTGGCTACCTTCTATCGGTGCCACGAGTCGTCCGCGTTGTCGCTCAAGCCTAGCTGATCCGATGTCCAAGGCCTAGAAGAATGCAAAGAGTCACTATCTTCCGGCTACTGTAGAGCTGGAGCTAAATCACGCCTTTCCAACCCTGGAGGCACTTAACTTGCGGACATCATATATGCGCCGAGGCCGAGAGCTGATTCGGCATCGGCGACACGACCAACGCCGTGCCAAGAATCTATGGAGACAGGTCAAAGGTAATCAAATCTGATAAGATCTCGATAAGATTATCACGCTACGCGCATTCGGTATATACCTTCAAGCGAATGCTGTCTCTCTCTCAGTGAATCAGTCAACCATGCGACTGCTTTTCACTCTAGGTAAAAGTTGAAAAGTCTTGACGTGAGTTGACACGAAGATATATTCTCGTCTGGTCCCATACTGGCCTAGCTTCTGATCTGAAGAGGAGTTGAGATGCAGGGGCGTTGAATAAGTTCCGAGTCATGCGTAAAAAGTCCTACACGGCTGTCGATGGCAATGACAGCGAAAATGCTTCCCTCCACCAGCGTTGCCCTCAACCATATCACTCTCAATCATATAGCCTGGCATTCTCGCCAATACAACATATCCTCCTCCCCTTCCATTCACATCCTCGCCATTAAGCCAAGAGGGTCGTCGGCAGGGTTTCGTCACCAAAGCCACCTATGTCGAATCTGACTCCTGTTGATCATCATACGGCATTGCGCCCAACAACTTCCAACAGCGGGCGCTGCCTAGGGCGATTTCTTTACCACTCTTGTGCATGAGCGCAACTCTACCATCGACCCGCAGAAAGACTACCGTCTTGGTCTAGAGTAATCAGAATCCTTTTTCCGCAATCGCATATTCAGAACACTTACAAGACCGAGCGTGAGCTCTATTCCGTCCTGCCACCATTCATATCGGTACTCAGCCTGGGGCTTCTCGTGAATAGCATTCACAATGTTCTCGGCGGCCACGGTTGCCTGGTGCATGGCAGCACGGGAATTCCGGTTTATACCCAACTCTGCGACATCGCCCACAGCATAGATCGTAGGAAATGCTGGATCAGTGACTTGAAGTGTGGGTTTAACTTTGATGTGACCGGACTGGGTCAAACAGGACGGAGTGAGGTTTGCTATACTCTTTGTTGCCCCAGTTTGACCGATACATTTCACCTCAAACGATGTCAGTGCAGTTCAGTGGGAGAGTACTGCCAACATACCAACAAGTCACAAGGAATCTTCTGCCCCGTATGCAACGACACTTCGTCACCCAATGCAGCCTTGTTTCCTAGCCTCTCACCAAGTATAACATTGACCCCAAGCTCATGTAGCGTTTTCAAGGCGACGTTATGCAACTTAGGATCGAACCCATTTAACAGCTGCATTCGAGAATGGATCAGAGTCACGTTCTTGGTTGCGTAGTGTTCTTTAGCATCAGTTGCCAGCTCTACCCCTGCAGGACCGCCTCCGAGCACGACAAGGTCCTTTGAATTCCGAATTCGTTCTTGGAGCCCACGGAGGACATCCATTCCAGTTGACTTTTCTTCGGCATTCAGACGTGAGGGGACGCCCCCTTGAGAGCCGGTGGCCATCACTAGATAAGTGTATTGAATCTCTTTCCCGCTCCTCAACCGAACCACATCTCTGGCAACTTCGATTACGCTGTCTTGAAGAAATAGATAGGACCCATCAGGAGCGCTTTTTAAGTAAGGCCCGTATGGAATGAATGCCTTGTGTTCGTGGTCTGGGACGACAGAAAACCGCGGAAATACCCAGGAAAACTGAAAGTGCGTGTTCTTCTCAATGATAACCACTCGATAACCCGTAGGAAGAGAATTTGCGAGGACTTTGGCGGCATGGTATCCTGCAAACGATGCACCGACGACTACCACATTCAGGGGCTTCGGCACTGCTTTGTAGGTTTTCGCGTGGATGGCATAGCGAATTGAGGACGAGACATTTCGGACCGCAATAGTAAAGATGTAGCCTATTAGCTTAGTATACACAACAATAGATTCCCACATGGCTTCTGAAGCGGACGCTGAATGCTAAGAGGACGGTAGATCAAGTGAATGCGAATGTTTGAAGTTTTGACACTTTCCATTCCTCGGCGGTCATACGTCCTTCCTGAATGCCAATCCTACTCGGCCTTCTAGGTGCGCCGCACCGACAACGTTGTCGGTTTGTGCACTATCGGCAGCTGAGCCTGAAAGCCCATTCGGACTAGTAAGCAGGTTGTACGCGAGTTTATCTGATCCGAGAGAAGCCGGGCCAGCCCCAGCGTCACTGCATCATCTAATCTGATCATGTCAGATAAGATTCCCCCTGGCAAAACATCTCCGCCTGCAGTGTCAGCTTGATATGAGAAGTTTTTGCTCTTTGTGGAAATCAGTGATACTCGTTGCAATCTAGGTTGCGGCTTATGGTGGCCGTTTCACCCTATGTGTTTGTTTCACTTGTCGCGTTCTTCTCTGACCAATTTACCTTTCATTTCCCTCTCATTTCCCTTTCATTTCTGCCTTCCCCATCCAACCTGGGCCGTGAACAACCGTCACATCGAGTCCGTCTTCTGCTTTCCAGCTTCCACGAGAGTAAATCCGACCTGTGCCCTGGCTTTTTTATTAAGAGTATAGCTGGTGCCCGTTCCGTCCCATGATTCCCGAAAAGCTTCGAGGACGAGACCATTCTCGACCAGCAACGACAAATATGTCTCGACGCGCTGATAGTACTTATGGACTTCCCTAAACCCTAGCCAGCTCGTCACACTTACACCTTCGTTAGCGTATTGATCCAGCGGCCAAAGTACCTGGCCATTCTCGGTTTTCTTTCATGATGGGTCTGATGGTGCTGTCGTCACAGGATGCTCAAGCGAAAAGACGAGATTACCTCCAGGCTTCAAGTTTCGCGATATTTGACTGAAGACGCTGCGGGGGCTGGGGAGGTAATGCGTTGTCAACGAGCTATCCAGGATATACAGAAGATCGTACGCTGCATACTTGATCTGCGGGTCCATGGAAACGTATGTGCCCCCTTGGGCATTCTTCCTTGAAACCATCGAGGCCGTTGATGGATCTCTCAACATGTGATATCGCCAACGAATTTCCTCGTGGTTGGCCAATTATGCGGCCCCAGCAAGTCCCCAAAAGTGCACCGAAGCAGGAATTCCGCCCTACTGCTATCTGGTCACCATGATTTTCCCTTTTCTGTCGTTCCTAGCCGTTTCGAACGGAACGACCCAAGTCATCACCTAGTTAGTGAACGTGGCCGAAGCCGCGTAGATCATTAACTCATCCTCATGTCCGTGGCGTGCAAGCATGTGGCCATGTCCGTCTTTCGCATCCGCTGGTCCGGCGCTGGGGCCAAGACCTCACCGCCCTTACCGGATCCAAGTTGGCGCGCTTTTCGTGACAGGGAAGTTTTGAAACTTGACACTTTTCCCGACGCAACCACCGCTGAGTAATTAAGCGCGACTGTATTTATGATATATCTAGGCTCAGATCCAGATCCAGATCCAGGTACAGGTCCCCTATTATCCTCTCCCACAGCCAGATCAGGCCCAGCATGGAAGGTGAAGCTCCCTTCAGAGGCACCCTTGATGAACAGAGAAGGGCCTCGACGCCTCCCGAGCCCCCCGTTTCCTTGTCGGCGCCGCATCGGAGAATCGCGCGGTCTTGCCTTACCTGCCATCGGCGCAAGATTCGCTGTGACAAGCGGTCGCCGTGTTCGAACTGTGTGCGTAACAATATTGCGTGCTACTATCCAGAAGTCGAGCAGCACCACCGCCGCGCACCGAGGACGACCATTGGCGAAATATGCAGTCGCGTTGCACGGCTCGAGCGAACAGTCGCTGCATTCACGCATGGCGCGGCAACACGGGACCTGGACCACAGAGACGCTTCGGAGATCAATACTGCACGCACCGAGAACAGCGTCAGCGAGTGTACGTCTCCCGAATCCTCTCCTCAAGAGATGCTAGTGCAGGATGGCGACACGAGTCGCTACATCAATGAAAGTATACTGTCGCGAATACTAGACAAGGTATGTTGCTGCTGTGGAATGCATGGATACGGAAGGAACGGGCTGACCACTCGACTGACCAGGAACGAGAGTTTCAGTTGGTGATGACGGGTCCTAGTGTCAATAGCACCAGGGCCGGAGAGGCACGATCCTCTGACCTCAGAGGGATATTTCATGGCTTCAATCAATCCATGACGGACGTGCAAAGCTGCCATCCAAGCAGGTGGCAAGCCCTGCAACTATGGCAAACGTTTCTCAACAACGTTGATCCCATTATCAAGATCCTGCATGTTCCCACGGTTCAAGTCACCATTTGTACCGCGATAAACAACCCGGGAGACGCAGAGAATGACCTCCATGCGCTCTTATTTGCAATCTACTTTGCCGCAACAACTAGTCTATCGACTGTCGATGCGGTTAATTTATTCGGGCAGGATAGAGGCACTACCCTGGCTAGATTCAAGCAAGGACTAGAGCATAGTCTGGCAGGCGCCAACATATTCGACTCGCCAAGTATGAGGTCGTTACAGGCTATGACAATATACATTGTGGGTATCTTCAGCCTACCTTGGGATGCACGCAGGCTGATCCGGTTCCATGTATAGACGTCTCTCCGTGCTTTTCATACCGGTCGATCAAGCTGGACTCTCGCAGGCCTGGCTCTTCGAATGGCTCAGTCCATTGGTTTGCACAGAGATGGCAGCAACCTCCGTCTCTCTCCCTTTGAATCGGAAATGCGAAGACGTGTGTGGTGGTATTTGTGTGCTGCGGACTCGCGTGCAGCAGAGGATCTCGGCATTGCTGTCTCCAGTGTTGATCGATCTTGCGACACGCATTTACCGGTCAACGTAAATGACAGCGAGCTGTCCCCCGACATGCAAGGTCCGCCGGCGCCCAAACCTATGTGGGCCGAAATGACCTTCAGCCTTATTACGATAGAGATTGGCCAAATAATTCAGCAGATCACCGGAAGGCCCGTGGCGTCTGCTGGCAGCATACACGGCGAATCAGCTGGAGCACAAATCCTAAAAGATATGAGGACCCGCCTCGAAGACAGATACCTTAGACACTTGAATCCGAACATCCCAATACAACGGGCGATATCTCTCCTGACACCCATCATTCTCGCGAAGCTGGAGTTCGTCGTGCAACAGCAGTCAACAAAGCGCCGCCATGTAAAGAAGGGCGCATTTGACGCGAATGAAGACACTCTGACAGTGGCCTGCCGGCTTCTAGAGATGTACCTACAGCTACAAACAGATGAGCTGCTGAGAGGCTTCCATTGGTATTTGAGGAGCTACACACAGTATCACCTCCTCACATACGTGCTCTGGCATCTTTGTCTGAAGCCGGACGGGCCGAGCACGGAGCGGGCGTGGAATGCCCTCGAACGCTCCTTTCAGCTCGCGGAGCCACACGCACGTGTCACCGAGCCGGGATCGAAGTGGACCGTTCTTCAGCTGCTGAGGGGGAAGGCCCTGCGCATACGAGAGACGTACAACGCGACCAAACCAGATGAGAATAATGACCGGGCTCTGGAAGAGGGGTTTGGGATGGCGCATGCGGCGAGCGAGCTGGGCGATCCTGCCGACATCAGACTGAGCGGGGACTGGAACTGGGGCATGCCCGACTACGTGGATTTTCAAGACTGGAGCAATATTGTGGAGGAGTTTGATATGCAAGGCTTCAATGGCTTGTAGAGGTCTCTGGATGGATTAGATTAAAAATATCTAATAAGATACAACTCGACGACGCCCATCGTACCTCCCTCCATAAGGAGAACTGTTACTGTGGGCGGACTAAGAGATATCCCCTGGGTCCACTTACATCCAAAGACCTTTTGGCAGGAAAGGGTATTGTGGTAAAGGTTGCACCGCAATGCCATCCGACAACGGCTAGCCGCGTCTTTTGAGGGCGTATTGATTCTTTGGCGTTGGCCCTAACCCCCCGGCCTTGTCTGCTGCACTAAGGTCGTGCCTTTTGCCTTGGGTGTCAACAACATTCGAGAGCTAAGGCCTAATCAATGTTTTGTTTTTCTTGGAAGATTATTGGACTAAGACTGAATTGAACTGAACTGCGAAGCCCAGATCCAGACCCGAGTTCCAGGCCCCCAGTGCAAAGACGGGTTGGTTCAGGGCCTCCTGGAGCCCTCGTGCAAATCCGGTTTCGAAACAGCCTACTTAGTAAAGTGCGCTCACTCTCTTTGCGTGGGGGAGAAAACAAAAAAAATTGACTGCCGACTCTCTCCTCAGCCTGCTTAAGGGTTACACTCAATACTCAATTCTATGCTATAGCCTAGATACTGCATACATGTCCGGACATTGGCAGCACTTCGCATGCGTCACATCGAGAACCTCCTGGCCATTTGACATAGTGTTGTATGTTGTATGTTGTATGTTAGAGAGCAGAGGAGGAAAGAAAGCATTCTTTGTTTGCGTCTTGATTAAAGCCTCTTTTCTTGTCCTTCTCTCTAAGGATGCTATTACTAAAACTTCCTCCCACCTCAACTTTGTCTACACACTGCAGGCTCCTCGTCACACAGAAACCAAACCAAAATATTCTTCTTCTCACTCCATTCATTCAGGCTTGGAAAAGAAAGGCCACCCGATTCTGCCCAAGAATCTCGGAGTAAAAGCAAAAGCAGGCCTTCCCCCTTCCGGTCTTCCACCATCTATCTGATTTCGATCTAAATTACAACTCCTTTCTTCTCCTCGTCCCCTTCCACTTCCTCGAGTTTGACATCTTGCCAGAGCGCGAGTCCCACGAATGCCAGGGCATACAAGGCTGTCGCAGTGATGGTCAACTTGCGCTGCATGTCATCGTATGCTCCGAGGACTGCGTCTTTGGTCAAAGGGTTCTCCAGCGCCAGTAACTGGTAGACAAGCGATCCATAGATTTGCTCGGCTTGCGACTTGTATGTGTCGGGCAATCTCCTGGTAAGGGAGTCAAGAAATTCGTTGGTCCAGATACCACCTGCAATGCAGAGGCCGATGGCTGCACCGATTTTCGAGAATAGAGATGACAGGGACAGTAGCACGGCCACACTCCGCTGCGTGTTCTGCTTCTTCCCGACGGACGGAGCCAAAAGCGCCAGATATTGGGCGATGGTGATGATTCCACCACCAAAGCCGATGAAAAGTTGGCACATGACGATGTAGCCGACGTCTACCCCCAGTTTGCGGAAGTGTATGAGGAGCCCAACTCCGAGGGTCATCAGACAGGTCCCGGCAAAGGCCACCCACTTGAAATCACCGGTCTGTCGTACAACCCTAGTGGAAAAGCAAATGAGAAGATGTCCAAAGTTGGCTTTTCAGAAGAGAGGGGTCTTACAATCCTGAAACAATGCCTGCAAGGCCAACACAATTCCAGTATATGCTTCCCACATATCCGGCATGCGTGATACTGAGACCCGCAACGACCTGGAGCCAAGAGGTATAGTATGATTCCCATACGCTTATTCCCAGGCACACTGTCAGCTTGGGGGTCCCTTTGGTGAAATGAAGAGATACATTGAAAGGGGAAAAAAAGGCGGGCTCACAAGTAAGCCATTCCTGTCGCCAAGTTGAATATGCAGGCACCAAGCACATTGCGGTCTTTGAGAAGGCTGAAGGCAATGAATGACTTGGGTGACCAGAACCATTCGTACACCACGAAGGCGATAATCAGAACACCACCGACCACAAACATAGTGATCTCAATTCCAGAACCCCACGACTTGTATGAAGAAGCTGCCAGAGTGAATGGGAGAAGGAAGACGGTGACGCCGGCACCGAAGAGGGCGACTCCAATGGCTGTCATCGAGTTAGAACGGAGCTCGATATTTCCAGACTTAGGGGGCAGTGTATATACATACCATCAAATTCTATGCCGTAATGTATAATGGATTGCCATGTCGTCCGCCCACTTGCCGGGCGTCTGGTCACCACACCGAGTTTCCGAGACTTTCGCTGATTGGCCCACAAGCTCAGTATGATTGGAACAGCGATGAAAGGAATCACAATGGTAAACGTGCCAAAGGCCCATCTCCAAGTACTATGGTCGAGGAAGGCTTGTGCTAGAGGTGCACCGGCGAATGTCGTACCAAGTGCTGGTAGGTTCTGGGCGCCGAGCATCCAGCCGCGGTTTTTTGGTTGGGTCGTGTCGACAATGAAGACGGTGATCACATAGCCGATGCCGCTGAAACCGATCTCGTAGAAGACCTGCAAGAGAGAGTTCTAGTCAGTATTTCAGATGCTTTGGGTGAAATGGGATGATGAGAGTACCATTGCAGCAGTATACGTCGCGACATTCTCGCATGCTGTGAGCATGACAAGCCCTGTAAGGTGGGATCAGAACGGATCAGCCACAGTGATAGGATGCGATAGAAAGGATGTCTGTCTATACGACATACCCAGCTCCATAAAGAAAACCATGAGGATGAACCCTTCCATGCGGCCTGTGAGATCGAGAAACTTGGCGATCGGCACCTGTACCACGCCCGCGATGAGGAAGCAGACCATGCTGGTTGTGGAAACGAGAGAGTGTGCAGCGAAGTCGCTCACGACGTAGGCAGACAAGCTGTAGTTGGAATACTGCTGGAGGCTGATCCAGACTAGCAAGGCATAAATCCTGAGGTCAACGTTAGCAGGGTTCAGGGGAGTGTCCACGAGTGGTGTACTGACCCGGTATATGCGATGATGAGAGACCACTTCGACCATACAACCTTGAAGGCCTCGATCTTTTGCACACCCTCAGGCGCCTGTACATCACAGGCATCCTCAGGTGTGTACTGACCGTCAAGCTGCGCTTCGGCCTTGGTACCAGCTTCCGATGAGGGTCCCTCGACTTGTTCGTCTGAATGCATGGCTCGAAATGGAATGCAACCAGAACTGGCGATAAGATATACTAACGTCAGTGGAAGAGCCAACCGTGAGTAGCAGATGCAAAGATGAACGCAGCACTGTAAAGCGTGTGGCAGTAGTTTTATACTTTAGCTACCTTCATCCCTCCAACAACGAATTTTCTCCGATGTCGGTAACACAACTGCTTGACATGATCAACTGAGAAATCTCTGTCTCGTTTAACGCGCTTCATGCCCAAAAGTCGCTGGCGAGGACAAGCCGCGCGAGATCCAGACAATTCTTATCTGATTGATCCTGATGATCTGATAAGCTGATTTCAAGATCCAGTTACAGGGCTAACGCCCGTTAGCCTGAGGGCCTGAGGCATTTTCCTCCGGATAAGCCGGGCTAAGGAGACATTAGTTCCACACCCGCGAGCTCCTTTTTATCTTATCTGATGCACGGTTCTACATAGAAAAGGGCGGCCCCGAGTCGAGACTAAAAAAGGCCTTGGTGATATGTACTAAACCCGACAGCAACCAGTGAACCAGTGTGAAATATGTGGAGGAGAAAGAATAAATCGAATCAATGGCACAACATTCCAAAGTGGAGGGAGTGAAGAGGCTACTATTAAAATTCTCGTTCCGATGGCCGCCAACGCCACCTCGGCGGCGGCCTCATAACGGAGCCGACCACAATACCAGCGCCGCCGCCGAGACCAACAACCAATGCTACCAGCAATCTCCTTTTTCCGGGTGACGGGGTCTGGACTCTGTATTTAAGAGTCAAACTGACTGAGGGACGTTTTTTCTCACTCCTAACAAGGTCAGCGCGGCATTTATATATGCTTCAGGCTATCCCTTTGAACGACGCCCAAAACTCGGAACGCGAATAAAACACCACACCGACAACGGCACGATGCCAGAGCCAACCCAGTCACCACTTAGCGCTCCTCCGAACAATGGAGCGATGCCCGATTCCTCACCGGTATCTTCCGACAAAGCTTCCGGCCTCGCTTCGGGTGACGATAACCATGATATCGAGCGTGGCGGGCAGCGCGTGGCTATAGAGAAGTCGGAGCAGGCAGTCACTGACGGGCCTCCTGAAGGAGGTCGCGAAGCCTGGACAGTCGTGTTAGGCGCGTGGTGTTGCTCATTTTGCTGTTATGGATGGATCAACAGTGAGTGTCCTAGTCAAGGTCTCAACTGCCTTCAAAGTCACCGCTGACGCCTGATGCTCAACGAACAAAGGCATTGGTGTATTCCAGGCGCACTACGAGACCCATCAGTTGAGGAACTACTCTCCGAGTACTATTTCTTGGATCACATCGCTGGAGATCTTCTTCATGCTGTTCATGGTCCGTCCCCTCTCAGAAGTCCCGCCACTTAGAAAAGACAGAAACTGAAATTATCCTAGGGACCCGTGGTAGGGAAGCTCTACGACAGCTACGGACCTCGATATATCTTGCTCGGGGGATCTCTGTTACACGTCTTCGGCTTGATGATGGCGTCCATCTCGCATAAATACTACCAGTTCCTCCTGTCACAGGGAGTTGTCAGTGCGATCGGCGCGTCGGCTGTCTTTACACCCTGTAAGTATATGCCCCCCCCCTCCCCTGAGTGGGACATTCGCAGAAAGAAGGATAAAAAACGACCTGACAGCTGACTTATTTTTGGCACTTTTCCAGCCCTCAGTGCTGTTGCTACATGGTTTCACCACAAACGCGGACATGCCTTCGGGATCACAATGAGCGGTTCGAGCACTGGCGGCATTATCTTTCCGATCATGATCAACCATCTGATTCCCAAGGTTGGGTTTGGATGGTCTATGCGAATTGCCGCCTTCATGATCCTTGGACTGCTCATCATTGCCAACCTCACGGTCAAAACGCGCACTCCGCCTCACCCGCAGCCACCCATCACCCTTAAGGAGTTCATCGCGCCTCTCATGGAGAAAACCTACGTCCTCACAGCGGCGGGCAACTTTCTGTTTACGTTCGGCTTGTTTATTCCCATCAACTACATTATCAGCCAGGCTATCGCTGGGGGCATGTCGACGAGCTTGGCTAACTACCTCGTTCCTATATTGAATGCGGCAAGGTATGTAACATGCCCTTTCCGCCCGATGCAATGTTCATTTCCACAGCGGAGTCCCAGACCATTGAACGTATGCTTACGCCGCCGTCCTTTTTTCTAGCTTGTTTGGACGAATCATCCCAGGTATTCTCTCCGACAAACTGGGACGGTTCAACATCTTCGTCGTCGTCGCATTTCTCACCTCAATCCTCATACTCGCCCTGTGGATCCCCGCATCTAGCAATGCCGCGCTCATTACCTTTGCCGCGCTCTTCGGATTCTCCTCTGGCGCCTTCATCTCCTTGGGCCCCGTCCTCATCGCCCAGATCTCCCCCATCCAGAAAATCGGCATGCGACAGGGTCTACTTTTCGGCTTGATGTCTATTGGCGCCCTGACCACGAGTCCCATCGGCGGGGCCATTGTATCTTCTAACGCCGGTAGCTATTGGGGTGTAAAAGTTTTTGCCGGGGTCATGTGCGCCGTCGGATCTGCCTTAGCTCTCCTAGCCCGATTCTCGGCCGCTGGCTTCAACCCCAAGACGAAATTTTAGTTTGGGAACCCTATCAGGACCGTACGGCGACCCTTGCAAGTGAGAGACTTGGATACGGCATCTCTCCCAGGATCCTACCTTCCTTCCCTTTTGTCTCTGGGCTGTCTTCTACATTTCATTGTTCTCGTCTCCAAAACGTTGCTTTGGCCGGTGTTTCGCATGGCGTCGGGCTTATAGATTGTCTAGATGGGCATATGGATCGGACCTACCATTATTAAAAGTGATCGGTGGTGGCATCGCCCTGGGGGAAAGGGTACATACATTGTGTATACTATATGTTAGCCTATATCCTAGCACGCCATTGATGCAAAGGACGCACTTGCGACGCCTACAATTGCTGATGGTGTCTAGGTTATCGAGAGCGAGCACTGTCCCAAGGGGGAAAAAACATCAACGAGCAAGCCTTGAACACTACAAGTACTTCCAACACGGCCACATCTGCACTTCATACAGCGCACCCCAAACAAGCGACTATTGCAATGGGCGGCAAAGTGCTCGGCAGCCCAGCGATGGCAGTACAGACAGACAGAACAAGGATTGGATGGATGCCCTTGGATCAGATCCAGACGGTCATGTCCACGACCCTGCAACACACCAGCGCGGACGAGTGCTTTTCGTTATACATAAGCAGAGGAGGGCCGGGAAGGGCCTGACGAATATATAGATACAGAACAATTTTTAGGATTAGTAGGGACGTGAGTGCTTTGAGCGTCGAGGGCGATATGGACGATACTGCAGTTGATATATACTCAGCTTACTCCCGCATCATCTGCTCCCACTCTTGGTTCCGCTGCTCCCTCATCTGCTCGTAGTCTTAGCTCTGCCGCTCCATCATCTGTTCCCACTCCTGCTCTTTTCTGTGCCGCTTCATCAACTGCTCGAACTGATGACAGGCGCGGGGACGAAGACGTCACAAGCGCTTTCCAAGAGAGCTGAGTTGTCTTCGGCCTTCCCAGCCAAATCGACTCCGATGACCTGCGCATGGAACACGTTCTTTGCCAACATCCCAGCAAGGTGGCCGATCGCGCCCAACACTCCGAGGACGATGACGATGTCGTCGGCCGAAAGCCTTGTTCGTGCCGTCCAGTTCTTTGCCGAGATCAAGCTACCCAAGATATTTCTGGGTCTTGCGGACATGCTTGCCCCTTTTCCGAGGGCCGTTCTATTCTCCTGACCTAGCCATCCGGGCTCCAATTCCTGCATTTTGGGCTCTATCTCGTATGACTTACCGCCCGCCGCGTATAAGATGCCCCATGAGAATGAAGTTTTGCGCCTGGATGCGAGGACCCCGAAGATCCTCGATTCGGAGTGGCGCAGATCAGGAAGGAGTTGACAACCTCAGACAGTTCGTTCGTAGGCAACTTGAGTTCCTCCCAGTCCTTCTGGACTCCCTTGACCATCACTGTCTCTGCGTCAGCCATAACATCAGCCTTCGTACTGATTACCAACACACTGGTTTTCAGAGACTCACTTGTCATTCGAGGGCATATCGTGCTCGCTCGAATGCTTCCTTTGATTGCGGTCAGGCGAATACCACGCAAGATACCGATAATCCTGTGCTTGCTCGCCAGATAAGGGGTCAGGGCAGGAGATTCTTTAAACCCTGCAATGCTGCTGACGAGGATGAGATCAACTCCGTCGTTCTCACGGAGGTAAGCTATTCCGGTCCTCTCAGTGAAGAATGCTCGTTTGAGATTGACGTCGAGCTCTTTCATCGAAGGTTCTTGCTCTAGATTAGCCCCGGGCGTGAAGGGGTCTTTAGCAATGGTGATGTCGGCGTTGGCGATAATAATGTCAACATGGCCAAACCTACATTTCGCCGTTGCAAAAAGAGCTAGCTGATCCTGATAAGACGAGACGTCGCACAGCACAAAACAAACATTGGGTGAGTTGAGCTTGGATTCAAGTTCCAGGCCTCGCTCGGTCGAGATGTGCCCCAAGACGATTCTGGCTCCTGCTCTGTGATATATCAATCCCCGTGTCCCAGTCGCATTCAGCGAGACGATAGCGTATCGTAGAACTGGTGCACAGCTGACTTTCCAATGCCATTAGATCCTCCAGTTACGACCACAACTTTGTCTTTGAGCGTCGCTAGCAGGGGCTCATCCAAGTCAATACGCGCCATCTCCAAATATCCTGTCCGGGACAAAAGCCAGGAGGATGATACACCAACGCAAGGGCAAGGTCCGGTTTGTGGGCAGCAATGACAATCAAAATCACTCATAACGATTTGAGAAGCCGGTGCCTCACTGATGACTATCCACTTTTGTTACCGGAACAAACGCACGGTAACTTACAGTCCATCTTACGTGGTCAAAGAATTGTCGTCGAAAAATATCTCCTCCCCCAACTGGGTGTCCAAATGGGGAAACCCGAGGTGGGTGCCGAAAGGGGATTTGCGGACAGAGTCTATTCATGGCTCCTAGAGTGGGAGTGATTCTCAGAGATCAAGGATTCGTCAAGGAGAACGCTGAGATCACTCGTGCAATGTGGAGAACCCTGTAGGTTGCGGAGACTCAAAATAGCTCAGTCATCCCCAGGTTGTTGTGGGGAAGGAATTGCTGAGGTACTCCATATGAGTGGATTTGTGTGTCAGCTGACCCCACTGTCCCACATAGAACTAGAACTGTTACAACAGCTAGATATACAGTATTGTATCAGAGCCTGTCAGTACACAATATGGGCAGCGGAAAGGTCCCTCACAGAATATTTCTCAAGTAACAAGTCTCTCATCTAAAGTACCCGGCCTTTGAACATGAGTCCACTCATCGAGCAAATTGGTCTTTTCGACTCTCTTTCCTCAACAAGAAACCTGATCTTACTTGCTCTGTCGCTGAGCGCAGCGATATTGCCGGCATGGATCCTGCTTGAGTACGCCAAAGTCTTACGGCTACGCCGTCTTATGCCTCCAGGTCCATTCCCACTACCTCTGGTCGGCAACTTTTTTGATATCCCAAAAGTCAAGCCGTGGCACAAATTCGAGGAGTGGTCCAAACAATACAAAGATCCTCTCATAACGCTCTGGAATGGCCATCGACCTATCATAGTCTGTAACGACTGCTGGACAATCTCTGACCTCCTCGAAAAGAGAGCTAATATATATTCTGGTCGTCCTCACATGGTGGTCATGGGTGATATGATTAACGGCACTAAAAACAACCAAGTCGCACTTGGATACGATGATAGCTGGAGGACTCATCGACGTTTAACGGTGTGAATGTTCCTTGGACTAGAACTAGCCAGACTCCCGGTCACTAACGGTAGCTACAGCACGCTGTTGTCGGATCTCAAGCTGTTCGATCGCATCGAAGCTTTCAAGGTAATGAAACAAAAGTCTTGTTGAAGGATCTGCTGGAAACACCAAATGACTACGTCATGGCGATCGAGCGATACTCTTGTTCGGTGGTCTCCATTATCGGTTGGGGACGCAGGATTGAAAAGATGAACGACTATGTCGCTCAAACCGCTCTTTCATTTATGGAAGTGGTCGACATGGTTGTTCCGGGGGTGTATCTTATGGAAGCTGTCCCCTGGCTAGCGAAGTTACCTCCTTGGATTTATCCGCTCCCAACAATCATTCGGCAGAGCTCCCTCCATCTTCAACGATATTTCTATGCCCTTTCAAAAGAAGGCGCCGAGGCACCGCAGACGAATTTTGCACAGCGTCTTCTCGCCGAGCAACAAAAGATCGGGCTGAGAGATGCTGAAATAGCTTCGCTGACCGCCAACTTGATCGGAGGCGGTGTCGATACCACCAGCAGCTCCATGATTTCTTTTATACTAGCCATGTGTGTCTTCCCAGAGGCGCAGAAAAAGGCACAAGAAGAGATTGACCTTGTCGTCGGCCAAGATCGAATGCCAGACTGGGACGACTCGCTTCCCTATTGCGCAGCAATTGCTGAAGAGGTTCTTCGATGGAGGACTGTGACAGTTCTCGGTGGAATTCCCCATGCCCCTATTCAGGACGACGAGTACCGAGGCTACTTCATCCCTAAGGGCACCTCAATCACGGGGAACGTCTGGGCCATTCACCGCCACCCGCGCGACTTCCCTGAACCGGATGTCTTTCGACCGGAGAGATTTTTGGACCAAAAGCAGCCGTATCCGAACAAGAAAGGCCACAATGCTTTTGGCTGGGGCCGGCGCCAGTGTAGTGGCCAGCCTCTAGCGGAACAGGGACTCGGCATTGTCGTTGCTCGTATGCTTTGGGCATTCAACATCCAAACAGGTCTCGATGAGAAGGTTTGTTTCCACTTCTCAAAAAGTCCTCGTCTACAGAAATGGATAGCTAACTTTTTTTCAACTTAGGGGCAGGAAGTGAAGCTGGACATCTTTGCGTATACACCAAGTGAGAACATGCGACCGAAGCCTTTCAAAGCGAGATTTATTCCCAGAAGTCCACAGATTGTCGACACGATCCGGCACAGCGCGGAGGTCGCGAAACGAGAACTCGCGGTCTATGATAGTGAGAGCAAGTTGACCTTGGCCGACGTCTAATACCAAAACATGAGGTCTTGGTGGAATGAAGAAGTTGGCAACATTGTTGGGAGACTACATCCCCCAAGCAATCATTTGAAGCACCTACAGGACCTGGATACCCTTTTCTCGCTGACAAGAAAGTCGGCTACCTGAAAGGCAGACTCAAGTCGTGTAGAAATGTTAAGCACCCGACTGCCTGGGGATCTCATTTCACGGATACGAACAAGATCGTACGAGAAATCTGGGCCTTTTTGACATATGAACAGATCCCTCTTTTTTTAGAAGAGCTACAGTCTGGTATCGCTGTCGCCAGTAGACACTTGCATGATCTCTGCCCAAAAATTGGTCTTGTCGAGCTTCTTCTTATTCTTTTTTCCCTCTTTCTTTTCCATTCGTTGAACATGGACTTATCCAGATTCTTGTCTGAGTCACGTCACTTGCTCTCACGCCTCCAGGTGCAAAGAAGATTATCGCTCATGATGCGAAGGATGCTGCAATACAACTCGCTGCGCCACTTGCCAACGTCTTCTAGCAGATGCACATAGTCCAGCAATACTCTTCGAGCCGAACCATAGCCTGGCCTAAGATGTACTCCAGAAAACCGGACGTGACCACCATGCCTGACAAATCTTCTTGCAGCACAGATCTGCGAACCATCCGAAAGACTGTCATTCTGAAAGCCTGCAAGGCCCTCAGAGCCCACAGAGGTCCAATCTACTTCATCAAGAAGCTCATAATCATTGGCTCTTTCAACACTACCGCTAGTGGTAGTATGCGGCGCAAGGTATAAGTATAATGCCAGAACCAATGCGGCATCAAATATCGCTGTTTCCGAATGAAACATCGTGCCATCTGAAGTCCTTTTCTGAGACATATGCTGGTAGATCTGGGCTGCATGCAGACATGCTCTCCGAGCGGCAGCGGAGTAGGACCATGAGGAGATATCGCAAAGTGCAGCTTTTGCACATTCAGCACCACTCCGACCCGCGGCAAGTCCTAAGGTGGAGAGATTTGCAGTTAACAACAAGCACAAGTGGTTGTAGGATGTCAAGCAATTCGGATTGATGTGTCGCGTGCCTCTGAAATAGTTCTGATAGACTTCTCCGAGCAACGGGCTGATTACTCTGGCCTCGGAATCTTCCGCATAGCGCAATGCGGGATATACTGGCCCGTGTTCAGACGTCCTTTGGCCGTCCCGGAGCAGATCGTGATTTGCTTGATGGATTTTGTTCCAGATGGCGGAAAACAAGCCGTAAAATCCGTATTCGCTACGCATGGATCCAGGAAGCTTGTTTGTCATACCTGAAAAGCTGACGAATGACGATGTCCGCGATCCTTCTTGCTGAATCATTCGATTCCATTCGGCCTCGGTCGGAGCGTCGAACAGAATCGACTCGCACGGCAGGAAGAATGACGTGTCTCCAGGATGAAGAATAGGCAAGGTGGATAAGAGATGGGCGCACCAAGTATCAACCATGATGAGGTATACAAGAAGCCTGCCAGGTATGCATGGTGAGAAAAATCCCTTTGTGAGCAGATTGAAGGTTACCTTTTGGCCGACTCGCTGCGAGCCCACTTTTCCCAAGACGCACATTGCAGACTCGAGTCAGCCAATTGTGACCGGTTCAGATGTCTTGTAGAAACGAAACCATGCTTTCGGGCGATCTACGAGCATCAGTCACGTAAGGGTGATACTTTGCTAAGCTCGTACTGACCAGAATCGCCTCCGTATGAAGTAAAAGGACTTGTTCATCATCAATCATTCGCTAAATATCGTAAGACATACCACACAATTTGATATCAGGGGCACCCACTGGTATCATTGTGGCAGTCGTCAGTAGAATGAGAGAAGAGCCGAGAGCTGTCACTAAGTGTGACGCATTGTTGGGAGTCATCTCCAGTGGAAAATTTCGACGACAGTCTTTAATTGCATACTGTTTGCCAAAGTCGGTGAGCAAGGTGGCAGGAGGTCGTTGATATGAAGGAGGTCCACTCACGGGGAGATAGGTTTTGGCAAAATGCAAGGCATCTTGGGAGCCTAGAGTGACAGAACCAATCAAACAAAGAGCAAGCAAGAAGGAGGTCGATGTTCGTCTTGCACTGAATGTCGGCTGATGTATGAACGGCATGAATGTATGGAAGCGCCGAAAGTATGTGTCGATACACATGTCCAGAGTATGGTTCGAGGGAAACTCATCCAAGTTCGGAAATATGGGAAGGAGCGTGTTGCCACGATTCCCGTTGATTGCGTCCGCACAGTATTTTATGAGTCTCGAGCGACAGAGTTCGTTGAAGTCCCACCTTGATTCTAAGTGACTGTCGTTTTGATCCAGGACGTCGGAATCTTCGAATAAGCCGTGGTCGCTCTGCGCGATAGCGTTCCAGAAGTCAACCTCTCCAGATTGCAAGGGATTTTGCTTTGCTGGCCATAATGTCTCAATTAGCGCAAAGTGCTCATCTGCAAAGATTTGAAGTTGTGACGTTGTCGGAGACACCCCAGCTCCTGAAGTGGGCTCCTTCTGAGAGGTCAAGGGCATTAGAGGTGATGTTGCCAGCTCTTGCATTCCTGGGGTATTCCTGCAACTGTGGGCGGCATAATCGAAGCTGAATGCTTCGGGGTCAACGGAGGTAAACCAATTTTGCAAGTCTTCGGAGGAGAAAGAGTATGTGATGTAGGATCCATGTTGCTGGACAGGTTCAACCTCGTTAATTCGCGTTGGAATATTTGAGTCGAAGCTTTCATAGTTCTCGAAACCAGATGCTGTTTCACCAGGGTGTTGAGGCTGATTCCCTTGGGCGAAGTCGCTTTGTGTGACATGCTCCGGCAAGATCTCGATGGAAGCGAGTGGGTCGAGCTGATTGCCCCCATCAGAGAATAGGCTCTCCCAAGCGCCTTTGTTCGTCGCTCCGCCAGCACGCAAGGCTTGTCCCATTGCTTGACCAAATGGTCTGTTGGTCGGATGATTCTCTCTGGCTGCATGTGCTGTATCATGTGCAGGCAATAAAATCTCAGTATCAACTGGCATGATCATATCAGCCTGGGGGGGACTAGACTCGTAGTCATGACTAGTTGCAGCTTGTGCAACATTCGTCAAATCGCATCCTGGACTCAACGGCACACATAGTGAGACGGACGTGCTTCCAGTTTGCGACGCTTCCGATATATCCGTAGCCTCGCACAATAGAGCGTGATTTTGGCTCTCTAAGAAAAGCTCGTTATGGATATCCGTGGTGCCAGCTTGATCCTCTCTAGGCGGAGGTTCGTTCTGCTGATGACTGCGGGAATGGCGAAGTAGAACATCGCTTCCAACGTCAATCCCACAGTGGCGAAGAAGACGCAGCAATGCCGCATGAGAGCAGGAATCTCACCTTCGAGCATACCGTTTGCCACACACCCTACATTTGTACGGCCGCTCACCGGTATCTGAACGGATTAACATGGTAGATGCACAGATCAAGGGGAGCGAACTTACGAATTCTCTGGTGTCGCTCCAGATGCTCAACTTTGGAGAATGTTCTGTCACAATAGGGGCAGTCCTTGTTAAAGGGTCTCTGATTGGCTATTTTTGCCATGAATCCGGAAGCTCTGCTGGAAGTAGACGATCATGAGTAGATGACGGGGAAGAACGAAAGAGTACAAGGTCAAACCGCACCTTTCTGCAGCGGGCATAACAACCGAAAACGATTACAAAGTTAAAGTGAACAAAGGGCAGAAGGACGTGACTGCGAATAAACCAGCCTTGACACAGAGCATCAGCCAGCCCCGAAGCAGGGTTGTCTGGAGGTCGCCCGAGAAAGTGCGGGTTAGCAGAAGCCCCAGCCCGGGGGCAACGGAAGCACCACCTGCGGAGCGGTTTAAACCTCAAGTCCCACATCCAATCCTCGACGTGGGGTCTTTCCCACATGGAGAGAAGCAATGATTCTTACAGATTTCTTGTGACCTCTTATTATGCCAGACCTGGATTTGACAATGTAAAGGGGGCCAACCATAATCATACCCTCTCCATCATGGCCAAGATTTCCTGTGACGACTCTCTTTTTCAAGCTCTGTCAGGCAAGGTTGTCGTCCTTACAGGCGGTGCCACTGGAATCGGTCGGTCTACGGTTCAGCAATTTTGTGGTAGGCGGTCCCCAATGTGGCACATACTGATGAGGACGACTTGTCACTGATTCAAGGACAGAACATGGAGCCAAGGTCGTTTTTGGCGATATTCATGATAAAGCTGCAGAAAAGCTGGCATTGATGCTAGGTTCATCCGTCGTCTTTCAACACTGTGATATCACCGTATATGACCAACAATTGGCCCTTTTTGAGCGAGCAGAGAACCGATTCGGTGGTGTCGACATTGTGGTGGCGAATGCGGGAGTCCTGAACCCAGACGACCGATTTGCTCCGTCGCAGGATCTCACTGTCGAACCTCGGTTTCCGGAGATTGATGTAAATCTCAAGGGCAGTCTGTACACTACACGGATCGGCCTAGACTATCTTCGCCGACATAAAGGTGGTGACTTGGTCCTTCTCAGCAGCATTGCCGGATTTAAGGAAGCTGGTGGTCTCACGCCGTATCTTGCCAGCAAGCACGGGATCATTGGAATCCTTCGTGGTCTCAGGCTTACTACAGGTCCAACGATCCGTGTAAATGCCGTTTCACCATGGATGACTCGTGAGAAGCCGCTCCTTCGCGTGCTCTGTGGTTTGCTTGCGCTAATTCTGCCGCTCAGGGACTGCAATGGTTCATGGAATTGAGGATGGGTGGATTAATCAGGGACTACCTGTCAATCAGCCGTCGGACGTAGCCCGTGCCGTGCTTATTTGCGCAACAGCCAACCGAGGTTCAGGAAAGACACATCCTGGATGTCGACTTCCCTTTAATGGCAAGAACCTTTTCGTAGCTGGAAGCGAGGCATACGAAATTGAAGACAAGCTGTGGGAGCTGGAGCCGGTGTGGCTGGGAGAGGACAATAGCAAAGCCTTGGAAAAGGGCCAAAGCTATCTCGCGGCTGATCAGACTCAGTGGTAAGGTCATCTTCCGTAAAGCTCAGTGGTAAACTCAATAGACAAAACCCTGTCTCCCCAAAGCCGGCTCCATGTTCAAGGAATCCGGATAATCGACCTCATCACCATCATACCTCGTGGGCACTGTAGAAACGTGGGAAGCAGTTGTGTACGGTCGCTGCGAGGGTGGTGGAGGTACAGTTTGCTATCGATGAATCAGTGTCTATGTTTCATTTCGTGCTATTGGGACAGCTAAGGCAATTTTATAGCAACTAGCCCACGATAAACCCCTCCAATTGGTCCTTTGTGCGTCCTTTCTCGTTCTGATGCTCATTCTCCTCCCACCTATGGCCGTCCGAAGCAAATTGGTTCGCCATATGGTTCAGGAAGAAGCCCAGATTCTTTTCTGCCTTTGGGAAGGCATCGCGGAACGTTGTGACGATTTTCTCCACAGAGGGTTTCGTTGACACGCTGCTGATGGTTTGGTCGAATGTTTGCAAATACTTGCGCGTGTGCGCAAGATCGGCTGCAGCATTGAATGACCAGCCATTTTCTAGGTGACCTGTGATGACCTTTTGTGGTTTGAGGGATTCGATAACGTCAAGGGTACTCTTCCAGGCTTGGACGATTTGAGGTGTCGACGCATCACCCACCCTATTGCACACAATAGTTAGATAAAAGATTAAAATTCGCCATCATGGCCTATCGGGCTGTGGGGACTGACCACACGTGCGTGCTTCGAGCATACACTGCATCACCACAAATGATTGTTCGCTCCCGGGGCAGCCAGAACAAGGTGTGGTCAATAGAGTCTCCTTGTAGCGGTCCCAGTACGACAATTGGCGATTCTAGATTTCCGCCAAGGACGAAAAAGCTCCAAGGGTAGCTTTCCGGACGAGGGGGTTTCTCTGGAACGAGGTGAGTCCCGAGCTTGTTTGACCAGTAGGTAGTTTTGTCATCATATTCGCGGTCGAGAGCGGCCCTGACGTACGGAGCAGCATAGTACTTGGCTTCTGGGAAAGCTGAGAGGATAGTTCCACCAGAGAAATAGTGATCTGGGTGATGATGGGTTACAAAGACTGCGCGCACCGGGATGTTCGTTGTTTGCAGTACCCATCGGACGACCGACTCAGCGTCGGGGATTAGAAATGGAGGATCAATGATTGCAGCGGCAGCTCCTCCCACGATGAGCGTTGTGATGCTAGATAGACCTTCTGCGCTAGAAATATGAGTATAAGTTTGTAGCTGCTCTGACCACGGGTGGTCATTCGCTGACATCTTGATGGAAGGTTCCTGCTGGAAGGTATGTTCTTTCAGATTGCTTCAGGCGCTTCGCTAACAGCAGTTCTTAGGTGACTTGAGAGTCGCATAATTTGGACCAGAGCCATATGAGGTGGACCAAGCTATTGATGCCATCATGCCGCAAATCGATGGTGCACACAGTGGGACAACGTTTCGGATTACAACGTTACCCCCACACTGACACGCATCCCCGCAGTTTTCGAGGCCCTGCTTGCCTCCGTCCATCCGAGCAGGTATCACTGACGCAGCAGGGGACGGCTTCCCCATGTTGAGCTAGGCCCCACACCTCTTCCCCATAGCCAGGGATATGGCGACCCCTTCAGGCCAGCGGAATGATACGCCCTCTGTCACACACTTGATCCAGGATTGTCGGTTTCGTAGTTTCTGTTTCTTCAGGACGAACGTTGAAAGCATATTGTGAGATCGTGCATCTGTTATGGCGGAGTCTGGGAGCGATCAAAGCGTTAAGCAGGCCGCGAGTAGCATTTCGCGCATCATTGTCGTTGGTGCTGGCCCTTCTGGCCTTTTGCTGGCACTGCTTCTTGCAAGAAATGGTATCAATGTCGAGATTCTTGACGCTGGCGATACGGTCGACGAGCAACCCCGAGCGGCGCATTATGCGCCTCCTGCAGTGGCCGAGTTACGACGGGCAGGCGTGATTGAAGATATCATCGCGGCGGGGTACAAACCCCGAGACTTCACATGGCGGAAACCGGACGGCAGCCCGATAGCGAGTATGTTCTTCGATATTCTGGATCCTGACTTCGCAGATCGGATGGTGGTCCTACCTCTGAACCGACTTTGCAACATCATTTACGCGCATCTCCAAACCCAGTCGACCGTAAGGGTGAAATGGCGCCACCGGGTTGTCGACATCGGTCAGAACGAGGCCCAAGCGTGGGTGTTCGTCGAGACTCCTACAGGACGCCAGAGATACGAAGCAGACTATGTCATCGGTTGTGATGGAGCCAACAGTCAGATTAGGCGCTCGCTGTTTGGTGATCTCAACTTCCCAGGTGAGGCACTTAATGCTCAGATCGTTGCCACGAATGTAATCTTCCCCTATCCGGACTTCTTACCCACGACCGGATCTGTAACAAAATTGCTTAGGTCTACTATGATTTCACCCAATTCGGCTATTCGGACACAAATTACATTCTACATCCTACCAACTGGCACATGGTAGCAAAGATTACACCTGATGGATTATACCGGGTTAGCTACGCTGAAGTTCCTGGTCTCACCGCAGAAGAATACCAAAGGAGGCAACCTGAGAGGTTTCAAGAAATCCTGCCAGGTAGTCCCAAGCCGAACGAGTACAAGATCACCAACATCAGTCCGTACAAGATGCAGCAGCGATGTGCTCCGAGCTTTCGAGTCGGCAGGTTCCTTCTTGCTGCAGATGCGGCACATCTGTGCAACCCATTGTAAGTGGCTGAATCCGACGATCACTTATTGCATTTTACAAGTGGTTGACACGTCGACAGCGGAGGCTTGGGGCTCACTGGCGGGATTGCCGATGTAGGGAGTCTGTTTGACTGTCTCATTGGCATTCACACAGGCCTAGCCAGTGACAGTATTCTGGACAAATACAGTGAAGTCCGTCGCCAGATCTATTTTGATATCATCGACCCTTCATCTCGAGAAAACTTTCGACGCCTCCATGCTCAAGATCCCGAAACGGCTGCAGGACGTGACCCGCTATTTGTCATGTGTCGTAAGGCTGAGACGGATCGGGAGCTGGGTCGTGAATTGGCGCTGGTGAGTCTGTCCTAGAACACGGCAAAACGAATATCTAATATCGGCATTAGGGACTCAATATCCTTCGTCACGATTTTACCAAGTATTACACAAGCCATTGAGGTGCAGGATAGCTGAGGTGCAGTAACTAAGCATTGGTGGTGATTTGGCCAGCAATCTGAGAATGTTCGAGGGAATGATCAATATGCTGCGCCAAAACGCGTATTAAGAAGACGGCTTCCTCGCCCTTCTGGCGGGGCTTTATGTGACACCAAAGCCGCAGATGATCATACCGATCTACCCGATCACAGATCCTCTCGGCCTCTTCTTTACGCAGCCGCAACCTGCACCAAATGGGCGGTATACTGCCTCTAAGGAAGAAATGACGGGTTTTCTGGACCACGACGCCAGCGTAGTTGCCAGCTGCGGAAAGGTCCCTAACGATCCTCGAAGCCATATGTATATGTACATATTACGGTCAGCAAACCTCGCCAAGCTTTAGGGGGTTCCGGATGAGAAGAGTGCGCACCTTTATAGAATTGCGCGCAACATCCACCAGTACCGCTTACCACCTACCTACGTGTTGCACGGAGACGTAAATACCGCAGTTGGCGTGGAACAGTCAGATGAGGTGGTGGGTACGATGCTAGGGTGTAGTGTTCCGATAGAATACAAACGTCCTCACGGTAAAGACTATTTTCTAGATAATAGCTCGGACTATCAAAGTAAGGCGATATACACTTTTATGATGAGATATCTATGACCCAAATGAGTTAGCGGAGTGTGGTCGTCAAGGAGCCCTTACGCACGAAACCAGAGGCCAGTGCGCCGAGAAAAGAACCGCCGGGCATGGCCGCGGTGTTACCACCCTGCACGGATGACCTAGGACCAGAGCATAATGAGGAGGTCCATCAGGTCCTTGATTAAAGTAGCTGGGAAGACCGTCAGAAGTACGACAAGGAAGACTCAGGAAGACTACATACCATTTCTATTGGTTTCTGCCGAGAATGGCATTCATAGAGCTGATATCAAATCCGAACACATCGCGCAGTCTGCAGTCTGCTGGGTGGAGGGTGGAAGAATACCTCCGTCTTCTTCCCAGGGGCTCCAGATGTTTAGAGCAACAAACCCGAGCTGACCGTCACTGGCTGCGATCAGAGTGAGGCTGCCGTTCTATCCATCCTTACTGTGGAGGTTTCCATAGTCTACGGGGTACAAAGGCATGTACAGTAAGATAGTATCCAGGCTCTGCCGGATGATTGTTCCTATCCGGGAGAGACGGCACGAAACAATCACTCGGTCTACCCCAGGTTACACACCACATACCGCAGGCTCGTTCAGGTTTCCCCAAACTCAATACTCAATGTACACAGTATGCTTGTCTCACTCCTCCTCCAGGCCTGGCCAATGCCACATCATAGTGTAGGAGACTCATGCCTACCTATCCTTCGGCCATATATGGGAGGCTGCCAGGCCAGAGTTCTTGATGGCCTGGACGATACGCGCCTATCAATGGTGACAGCATGCACGCATGAGTCTCGCAGCCGCTATCGTCTTACAGCTTTGTCTCCTCAATGTTGATGGTAGTCAATGCGAGAAGCTGTCTGCCTACATATGTCGCAATGCCATCAGGCAGCAACACAGTGAACATTGATTCGATGCTTTTCATCCGGAGCTGCTCGAGATTGCTTTTGTATGAAAATCGTTACAGGTACAGTATGCTTCGCTGTGAAATCCTTCAGCACATGCTCATTTGTTGACCTCGTGCACAACTGTACATGCTTTCCTTTCACACGCGGAAGACACTCAAGCTCAGTATGCAGTCAATTTCTTCGGAAACTCGTAGACACCGGCACAGTCATCCCCAGGTACCCAGCGCCATACAAGACACTCGTAGTCATGCCTCGTACCTACTTTCGGAAGCTCAGTGATCCCGAGCTTATCGGCCAGCAACTTTGCATCCAAGAGCGACTCAAGCTGCTCGGTGTGAAAACAGAAAACGCGGACGCGATCTGCACCCCTGGCAAGGAAGTCGTCCTTCCATCGTAGTGCAATTTCGAAGTTGGTAAAGAAGGAGACAAATGGTGAGGCTTTGCGTTGCCACGTCAAGTGACTGTAGGCGTTCTCCCAAGTTGCCGGCATTTCGGGTGCTCTGGCGCAGATGCTGTTGCACTTGCCAGGTTGCGTTTGCGGAGCCTCGTCTCTCCCACTCCCACTCTTGACATGATTGGCTGGATAGGATGGGACAGCTCTGTACATGTGTTTGATGTGTTTCGACAGTGAATACAATCGCAGGTCAATACTCGATCTCGAATTGCTTAGACCCTGTGGTGAAAGGCTGATAGGAGATTGAATAATTGTGTACTCGCTCTTGTTGAACTCGGATTCGAGATGGAAATTTCTTGGTGCTGTTGGTGGGAGTTTGACTGCATCGAATTGGTTCGGCGTGGTAGCTACATCGTTCGAACACAGCAAATCGTTCGAAGAGATCGAGGTAGCCTCAGTGGAAACGCTGGAATCTCCTGAGAGTGGTGAAGTCGACTCAATCTCACCATCCTTGAGGTAGAGGCCGCCGCCTACGTCTTCCGCTAGCTCGCTGCTGGATACCTAGCCCATGACAGCAAGGAGAGGTCTGAAGAGAGGAATACCCCAAGTCATGTATTGGGATGCTACTGCTGACTTCTGTTGGAAGTTTAGGCTCCTAAGTTGAAAGCAAGATGATGGGTGCGACGCGCAGCTGCACTTGAAGTGAGATTGCAGTGAAGCTTTTCAGAGGGTTGTTTCTGATTTAACCTTGATACCGAAGCCGTGGACGTAGATTCTTGAGTCGTGATGTTCTGCTGTTCAGCTTAGGTCCCTGCTTGGTCATGCATCCTAGCAACGCCGTGGTGAGCATGTAGAGGTGGTCAACATCCAGGAAGGAACTTGTGTGACGTGATCTCTTTGATGGCGACGAGATCTCAAGGGAGGCACCTGAGGTCTTCCTATGGTATAAGGAAGATTGACCTGACCTCAACGTGACTGGAAGGGAAGAAGGCGTGGAAGTGTGCCTGTCGTGCCGTAAAGTGGACACGAGTGGACTGACGTCAAAAGATTCAAGGTTCATAAACTGCGGGGAGAATCTTGCTGTACAGTACGCGGAGATGTTCGTTGTTGACAAGTCGCATGTGTGACTCAATTGTCAAAACATGCAAGAATAGCGAACAAAAGCAGAATCATTGCAGCGATTGACTTGCCGTGCACAAGGTGACCGATCGAGGCACGCTTTCCTGATGATGCGTGGTTGCGCATTGTTCTCGAAAAGATGCTGAAGAACGCCTTTCCCAGGCGCCTTCCTTCGCTGGTGCAACGAAGATGGGCAACACAACCCACAGAACAGCCCTTCCCTCCGAACATCAACGAGTGGTCACATCCTCCCTCAAGTGCTACCGTTTCAGATGAAGAGATCTACCGGTTGGCAGCAAAGCCTCGCCGGCCTCTCACGCTGGCTGATCTCGTCAAGTAAGTGCACACGCGATCACACTTGACACCATTCATTGACTCTGAAAGACATGGCAAACCTCCCCTCCGAGACGCCGCTCTCCTGTCCTCGGCGAACTTCACTCTATCACACCTACCCTCCCGTCTGGCCCATCGTATACAGGCCCTTCGAAACCTACCTTTCATCGTCGTGTCAAACCCGAATGTCTCCAAAATCTACAACAACTACCTCCACTCTCTCGCGACCTTGGAACCCTTCTACAAGAAGCCAATTGAGACAATCGAAGAAGAGATGAAGTTCACGGATGCAATGGCGGACCTTGTTAGGACACATTCCAACACAATTCCTACACTGGCTCAGGGTTTCCTGCAATGCCGCAAATATATTGAGCCAGAGGAAGTGACCAGGTTCTTGGATCAACATCTTCGTGCAAGAATTGGTACAAGACTGGTTGCAGAGCAACATCTCGCTCTCCATATCGCCTCAACAGGCGACGCTGCCCGACAGAAGCCCGATCCCAATCATGTCGGGGTTATTGACCTGGCACTGAGACCGGCTGACATTGTACGAAATTGCGAAGGCTTTGTGGCCGAAGTTTGTGAGCTCAAGTATGGCGTTCGACCTTCTCTGGTCATCAACGGCGAAGTCGATGCGGAATTTGCGCATATACCAATGCACCTTGAATATATCATTACCGAGTTGCTCAAGAATGCCATGAGGGCAACGATCGAGGCGGGCAACGAGAGTCAAGCCATCGAAATCACTATTGCCTCGGCGCCTGATGTGAGCACGACCAAGTTGGACTCGTTGAAGAAGTTGTCCGTAACAGAGGCGAACTCTTTCGACTTCTCACAGGATGGTCTGGACGAGTACTGCTCTTCGCCAGACGCAGACGTGGGACCACTCAAGGCGGCCGCACCTTGTATAACACTGAGAATCCGAGATAGGGGAGGCGGTATCAAACCAGAGACTCTGCCCAATATATGGTCATACAGTTTCACGACCTTCAACAACGAAGAAGCCGCAGCTGCAGCTAATAGCAGTGGAGCCTCTGCTGGTCTGGATGCCCTCTCTGCGAGTGGAACTGACCAGAGCTCGATAGCCGGTCTGGGCTATGGTTTACCATTATCCCGAGCTTATGCAGAATATTTTGGTGGCGGCATCGCTATTCAAAGCATGTATGGTTGGGGCACCGATGTGTATCTGACCTTACAGGGCATTGGAAAGATGGAGGACATGAAAAAAGCTCCGACCGGCCTTGAAGAGCTTCAGGCTGAACAGAAGAAGGACTGATGAGCAATATATGTATCTCCTTTTCTCAAGTGAAGACGGCATAGATCCTGCCTGCTGCTCGGTCCGCCAGTCTCTCCTGCATGACCACGCCATACATTTCCTTGGCCCAACGACAGACGATGCGTCTCGTGTCCTTCGGATCTACGATCTCTTCGACATTGAAATGTTGAGCTGTCCTGATCGGGTTCATGAGACGCAGATACTCGTCTTCCAATTCCTTGTATCGCTGTTTGACAGCTTCGGGGCCCTGTTTCTCACCAATTTGTTTCAACTCATGGCGATGCCCTACCTCAATACCTCCATCAAGTGGCAAGCTTCCCCAGTTTCCGCTCGGCCACGCGATGCGCATCCAGGGCTCACGAGAATCGAGCATGATACCACCTGCGACGCCGTATACCCGGCGCGTGATGACGGAGAATATGGGAGTGGTGGTTGAATAATAGGCCTTTCCAAGCTCAACACCCCATTTCATTGTTGCAGATCGCTCGGCAACCGTGCCAATTGCATATCCAGCTGAGAACGGGCTCGTTAGTATGTTTCAATCAAACAAGAGCTTGCAGGGCGATAACTCACGGACGTCCACAAATTGGACAATAGGCAGATTGAACACATCACAGAATTTGATCATCTTCAACAGCTTCTGACTTCCCAAAGCGTCCAACGCCCCTGAGTTGACTTCACAGTTGTTGCTCAGGATGCCTACTGGTCTGCCGCCCATCCTCGCCAGACCAGTGATACCCGTCCGTCCCCAGAGTCTCCCGATCTCGAACCATGAGCCCTGATCCACGACGCTCTCGATGATTGTGTATGGGTTGTACATGCGATTCTTTCGTCTCGGGATGATACTCCGAAGCGCGGCGTCCTCACGAGTCACGTCGTCCTTGCACTCGACGACCGGTGGCGCCTGGAACATGCCACAATCGGGCAAGTACCCAAGGACCGTACGAATCTGGTCGAAACATTCCTGCTCATTGCTGGCCATATTGTCGATTGTCCCATTGGTGCAATGCACATTAGGCCCGCCGAGGTCCGCGAAACTCAAACCCTCCTCGAACGTCGCGCCCTCGACGACCTTGGGCCCGGCGTTGAACATGCTTCCAATGTCAGCTGCCATGACGCTGAAGTGTGTACTGACCACGCGAGCGGCGCCGAGACCTATCGCCGGACCGACCACGGCGCCCAAGTTCGGAATGCCCATGTTGAGTTGCTTGACGACGGTGCTTAGGACGGTGACGTGAGGCACGTAACTGAACCCATTTGTCAAAATGGTCGAGACGCTGCCTCCGCCGGAAGATCCGTCAACGAGCTTGACGACCGGCACTTTGAGTTTGAGTGCGAGTTTCTCGCCGTGCACCGTCTTCAAGGCTACAGATCCATCCGCGTGGCCGGAGCGGATGCTGAAGTCGTCGGCCGTCAGGTAAATCTGCCGCCGCTGGCCGGTGCGAGGGCATGTGATCCGCCCGAAACCCTGGGGATTGTTGGAGGGTGTGAACGACTTGACGTGTTCGCGCTGTGGGTTGGCGGCGTCCTTGACCCATTCGACTGTGCCGGTGACGGAGCCGATTTCGCGCCAGGTGTCCGCGTCGAGCAGGGCTGAGATACGTTCTCGTGCCCATAATTTGCCGGACGTCTTTTGCCGGATGTAGCCTCTGTTGTTGGCATTGGGAGTCTGCGCTATGGATTTCAATCTGGAGATGTTGCCTAGGATGTCGCTGTAGTCGGCGGGTAAGTCGGCTGAGGGGTCGGACGATCTCGATTTTGGTTTCTTAGGTCGGCGGGCGCGCGAAGTGTTGGCAAGCTCTGAATCTGGTTGGCTTGGAGAGACGTGCGAGTTGAGTTGGTCTAGACGGTTGGTTGCTATGCGAGATTGTGAGTAGACGGGGTCCTCGCTGGGTGGGATGCTGCCTTGACCAGGAGATGAGAGAGCTTTGTTTGCTGGTGTAGCAGGTGGTTTCTGAGGTTGGCCGTAGACTGGGTCGTTGACCTGTGTAGTGCTGGGCTGTTGAGTGGATGATTGAGAGTAGACAGGGTCGTTCGCGGAATCGACTGTCCCCTTCCCTTCTGTTCCGGAGACATATTGACCTGGTTGAGTCGGTGCAGTAGCTGGCTGTGCGTAAACTGGATCATTGACTTCAGTGGCCTTCGTGGACTGAGCGGATGATTGTGAGTAGACTGGGTCGTTCGCGGCGTCAACTGCCCATTGACCTTTGTCCGTCGCAGTGCTTTTCTCAGGTTTTGTTTGAGCACTTGTTGGCTGTGCATAGACTGGATCGTTGATCTGAGTCTGAGGTTGTCCTTCACTGTCGTCTCCTACAGCTGCGGACTGCGAGTAGACAGGATCATCCTTCCCGCCAACCTCCTCGGAGCTCTTTGGCCTCGTCCATTGTGTGTGACTTGGTTGATTGGGTGTTGTGCGTTGAGAGTAGACTGGATCGTTGATAGTTGAAGGTGACTGGCCTTCGGAGTCATCGCCGCCCGCGTAGCGAGATGGCGTCGACTTTTTGGAACCCATGATGATCGTCCTGCTTCCTGGCCCTTAAAATCACTAGAAGTCCACTCTCTGGTCAGCTTCTTCTCATTTCGTCTTGCAATGATTTGAGATGATGAATGCAAGATCGTCAAGTCTGGGGAAGTCCGAAGCATGTACTGTATCTCCCCCACATTTGGGCGGAAGATTTACAGCCTCGGTTCATCCAAGTTGGGAACCTCCCAAACGTACCTTGTAACCGACCACGGTCCGCGGTTATCTAAATATGCTGTCGCAATATCACTAAATCAGGAATCATTTGTTGCTTCCAATTCATTCAGAGAATGTGATCGATCATAGTCTAGAAACATTCTCAAAACTGTTGCGCACAGGAGAAACGCGACAACCAATATGCCACATCCACAACGACCCATCTCACGCCTCCTCATTGCAAACCGCGGCGAAATAGCTATCCGCATTCTACAAGCATGCCATGAACTACCACAACCTCCGACGACGTTCGCATTGTACACAGAGAATGACAGCACACATGTGTCGCTAGGCCGACCACATCATGCTATCAAAGCGCCCGGGCCGTCGTCGTACATGAACATCGACTATCTGATTAGCGTGGTCAAGCAAAACCAGATCGACGCCGTTCATCCTGGGTACGGTTTCCTCAGCGAAAATCCGGAATTCAGTCGACGCATGTGGACAGAGGCCGATTGTCTCGTCATCGGGCCGGGCTGGGAAGTGCTAGAGCGGACCGGCGACAAGCTCAAGGCCAAAGCACTAGCTGCTGAATGTGATGTGCCTGTTCTCAAAGCCATGAGCCGACCGACTGGCTCGGTTAGTGAAGTAGGGCAGTTTGCCAGCCAGATTGGGTACCCCTTAATGATCAAAGCCGTTGACGGTGGTGGAGGACGTGGCATTCGGCTAATAAGAAGTGAGGATGCCCTGGAGAACGCCGTGCAGAGATGTATCAGCGAGTCACCTAGCCGCACAGTATTCGCCGAACAAGCAGCCATAGACGGCTACAAGCACATCGAGATCCAAGTTCTCGGCGACGGCAAGGGTGGGGTCGAGCATCTCTGGGAACGAGACTGTAGCGTGCAGCGGCGGTTCCAGAAGATTGTCGAAGTCGCACCTGCTCCCGTGCATAATCGGAAGGTCATAACCGAGGTGATCGCCTCAGCGGTCAGGATGGCGCAGACACTGAAGTATCTTGGTCTTGGAACATGGGAGTACCTCGTCAACGTGGAACAAGGGAAATTCTTCTTCCTGGAGATCAACCCGCGTCTGCAGGTTGAGCATACCATCAGCGAGAGCATTACCGGCATTGACCTTGTCAAACAGCAGTTGCTGATTGCGCAGGGACGGCAAGGTTCCGAAGACTTACAAGATCGGCCGGCGAAGTGGCGACGACAAGCGGATGAAACTCCGCCAGCAGCCTCGATGCAATTGCGATTGTGCGCAGAAGACCCTGTTTCCGGATTTTCCTTGAGCATTGGCAAAGTCGCGGACGTGCAATTCCCCAGCGGCAACGGCGTCCGGGTCGACAGCCATCTCTCGCGAGGAGGTGTAGTCGGCTCGGACTTTGACAACATGATGGCGAAGATCATCGTCACTGCATCGACTTGGGAGGACTGTGTAATCAAAGCACGCCGAGCACTGGATGAGACCCGGATTGTGGGCGTCAAAACCAATCTGAGCCTACTCAAGGCGATTCTTGTGGACCAAACATTCGCGTCAGGAAACGCCGATACAAGCTGGTTGGAACGAAACCTTGACACCTTGGTGCAAATTGGAGAGCGAATTGCCAGCGAGACTAACCTGCGTGACAGCACATTACCTGCGCTATCCTTGGGTGGCAACCAGTCGTCCAGTCTGGGCAATTCGGGCACGACATTCCGCAAAGGCAACGCGTGGACCGTGGTTCTCGAAGAGCCGGGAGACCCTTCATCCTCGAAACCTCCAGCACATCACTTGATCATCGACCGAATCTCGCGCAACGAGTTCCCAGAGGCGCTAGTCGCGGAAGTGTCATACACCATACCCGGCGCGAAACCGCAGCCCTACAAACTCACGCTAAACAGCACAACGACATCAGCCGACGCGACGGCATCGACGCACAAGCGCGGCGATCCGAACAACAAGGCACACATCGTCCTGCCGATGAGCGGCAAGCTGATGGAAGTGCTCGTCGAAGAAGGCGACATGGTCCAAGAGAACCAGGTCATCGCCTTTGTCAAGCAGATGAAGATGGAACTCGAGGTGCGTAGTCCACGCGCTGGAACCGTCAAGTGGGCTATTGAACTTGAGAATGAGGAGGGTGAAGATGTGGCGGAGGGTGTTTTGCTGGTGGAATTGGTAGACGAGGTGGAGACGCAAACGCCTGAGATTAGATCTAGATTGTGAGATACCATTGCGGGCAATGCTCTACATTCTCAAACATTTATGATGCGATGGAAGGGAAATAGCTAGTGCAAGCAGACTTCATAAAGCTATGAAACTATGATGCTACAACACCGCCGTACCCATTGAACTCGCCTGTCTCTTGCAGCAGAAGAGGAATCTCGTCGTCCTTGAGTGATTCGAGCACACCCTTCTCTTTTGGCTCCCAGCCCATCTGCCGCAACCGATTCTTCTCGGTTGCCCGTGGCCTAACTGCGACTATACGGCGGGACATCACAAATATCGCATGGTCAACCACATTCTATCCGTTCACCTGAGTTGCATTTGGCAGTGTCCCGAGAAAGGATGCGAGTACTGTTGCTATCTTCATCCAAATCGACTCGAGCGCCACAGGATGAGCTGCCATGTTGGTAGCCCTCTTCAATGTGGTCACCCTCAATGCAATCGAACGGTTGTCTCAGAAGTTTCGGTGAGCAGGGGGCATATAAACTATGCGTCCCTACGAAACCATTTCGAAAAGTACTTCAATCAGAAGCTCCACAATCCCCGGTCCCAATCAAATCTACACTTTGATTTGCAGAATATCAGTGAAGCTCGTCAGCCCGAGATACCTTTACCAGATGATGTCGAATATCAACGCCAATATACTGGAGGCAGTTCCTCGTACTTATGCAAAGAACGCCGAAACTATCGACTAAAACAGAATTATGATGTGTTAGGAGTACCGCAAGAAGACATCGAAGTCCGCGGCTACACAATTTGCAGCGGATTTTCATACGCTCAACGCCACTTTCCATGCGCGGACAAGATTCCCTTGAATCTCGACACGGCAATGTTGATCTTTGTACCGTCAGTCATACAATTCACGGTAGCACCCACCTGCGACTATTGTATCTATGTCATGTCACTTATGTCAAGGAGTGTTGCAGCTATTCCGGTACCGTATATCTTCGGGCGTAATCTTGGCCTCAACAATCGCCATCGAGTAGGAATAGGTTCATTGATCGACGACCCTACCTCGTTGAAACGAGTCCTTGAGGATATAGCGCTGGAGCTATCACCAAAGGCACAGAAGTATGCAAAAAGAAAGGAGTTGAACCCTGAGGATATATTTTTTATTGATTTCGAGACTGTAAGGCGCAGTGCTCGGGGTTTGCCATTATGTCCAATCGAGATTACTGTTCGTGATGGGAACGGCAACGTTATCGTTGACTGCCTGATCAACGAAGAAGGCGTTACTAACGCCGAGTATGAAGCTTACCTCAAACGTTCGGGGTTTACTGACGCAGATATTAGAGGAGCTAGGAGAATACGAGGCCTTCCACACGATAAACCTCCACGCAAGGCGATGACATCTAAGCAGATCGTACAGATCCTCATCAACAAAGGACTCAATCCAGAATCGCTCTGGATAGAATATTCGATTTCCGGTTTCGATTGGCGTTGCATGGAAGTCCTAATCAAGAACGCCGGTATGCCTGTCGAATCAATACTCCCCACCAGCGAGAATACCTGGACGGTGGCGAAGGATTTCGCGTGTGCTCTACCTGGTAGGGACTAAATAGTATACTATATAAGTACTGATGCTTATTGACAAACTCGCAGGATTACCCTCCTATCAGCTAGGCAGAATTGTGAGACTGATGGAGCCTGATAATCCGAATCTGAAACGTCTTCACCGCTCGAAACCAGACACTGCAATTCTCTACACCCTTTTGCACTACTATGTCGATGTCTTTGGGAGAAAGAGGTGACACAGTATACAGCTTTTTCAGCGGAGTTTGGTGGAATATGGTTATCAAATGTCTCTCATTGAAACATCTTGTCGAATTTCTGCGAGTTTCGGAAAGTCCCAAGAAGTGACCGAGCCGGCGTGGAGAGGTATGAGCGGTTTTACATTTTGAGCACAACCAATGCGGGTACAGTCAGCTCCTGACGTTAACTTATATCTAGCAGAACTCCAAGAACCCGAGGAGCAAACAGCTATGCACTGGAACCTCTATGACACAACCCGAAATCGTTCCCATGTGCTGGAAATGCCCTACTCAGGCTTCGCACTGAGAACCTTCCGCCATGATAGCTCCTACATGTCGTAAAAGTGCAATGCACTCTCCCGAAATGCAACAGAACCATCTCATATCTGCCAGAGGGTTGATTCGAAGTACCTGTTGCGTACCCTCAGCCGGCCAAGTCGCTTCATCCGTCATATCAGCTCATCATCATTCGAAACCATCATCATCTTGTCCTTCCGATCCCTTGCAAGGGTAACCTTCCCCGAAGTACCAATCCATAATAGACCGCTCCGGCAGCAGCGCCACCGAGGTGAGCGGCATGGCCAATTCTAGACGTCGGACTGTCCACCATGTACGTGTCGAAAGCAATGTAAGCCGCCATGAATGCCCAGATAGGCATTGGAACAATCCCAAAGAGAGCCACCTGGGCCCGTGGCGCCGCAAAGGATGCAGCTGCACCCAGCCCCATGACAACTCCAGAAAGGCCGAGGGCTCTGGCTGGTTGGCCACTAACCTTTTCTTTCCGCGCCTGGTGGAACAACCACGCTAAATTCCCTATTATCGCCGTGCCCACGATTGCTCCGGCGTAGTGCACCGGGGTAATGCCCGTGTGAATCAGGTAGTGAGTGAAGGTGTTGAACGCGAACAAGTTTCCCATGAGGTGGTAAGGCTCAATGTGGCTAAAGGCCGCAGTCAGCATGGTCCACCACCGATTTTTCCTGATGTCCTCGGTCTTGCTCGTGAAATTGGTCATCAGCCAGTTCATCATCCCCATTCGCTTTTGAGATGTCTGGTTTTGTGGGGACACACCGGGTACGGAGAATAGGTTTCGACTCCAAGACCATGCACCAAAGACAACCCCGGAAGCAGCCATGCCTGCAATGAATGAGCATCGGTCGACAGCTCTCAACGTTTCAGCCGCTGATCGGTAGACTTACAGCCAAACATGATACCACGGCTCCAGACAAACCTCGATCGTAACTCCGGCATTCCAGGGAGACTGGTCCAGTAGTTTCTCGTGAGATGCTGACTCAGTCTACTCAGAGCGTGGTGGCTCTCGAGGAACAGCCGCTCCGTCTCCGCAAAATCAAAGTTCGACATGGCTGTAGGACGGTGCGCAACTCTAGACAAGGATCGTCTCCCCTGTAGGGAGGATAGGTGGCGCCGTGCAATGAAACGGGCTTGGATAAATGACCGTGGAGACATTAATGGTAGTGATGTGAGAAGAGGCTTCGGTATGAAATGATTTGACTTTCAGGAAGCCCGGGGAAGCAGCAAGATGAAAGAAGCTTTGATACCTAGTCTAGGCCTAAATTGAGGCGAGGATTTTGGGAGCTAGGGGTTATAATTCATACTAACGTAGCGTGGCCCTAAGCGGGTGATTAAGTGTCTTAACTTAGGTAATTCGTGGGGGCGCACGTAGGTGGCATATTCTGTATCAAACTGGTGAACTTTTCCTTCAACGACAATTTTTCGTATCTGGCTTGACTTGGCTCGCCAGCAAAGTCAGAGATAACCTTTCCTCCTCATCGCCTCGCCCTTGGATCGTTCCACGAGCATGATATACCCGACAGCATCGTCGGGTCTCGCGTCGTCAACGAATCCCGGGATCTGCGTCAACTCATGGCAATCCGCAAAATCCCCTGTACTCGTCCGTCCATCGGCTGTGGTGGTCCTGAACTCTGAATAGTCCGCACCGAAGCGAAACATGGAAAAGCCACCAAGCGTCTCACTCACTCCAGCGCCTCCTCGCGCCAAACACCACACCCAACACGACACAGTTGATGGCCCAGACGATAAGCAGCGCCAGCACAGGCCACGCTGGAACGTCCCCTGCTGAAACGATCAACGTCGGCTCCACGACAGGCAAGTTCCCTTGCCAATTTGCTCTTTGGGTCTGCACAGTCGGCCTGGTCATTTCCAGCGCGTAGCTCTGAAACGCGCGCATCATACTTGTCATGAAGGGCGTCGAGTTGATCAACTGCAGCTGCTGCCACTCGTCTCCATTTCGTCCACGTTCTCATTTCTGTCGCAGTATATGGGTTGACGATAGAACGCATCGACCGACTTCTTTAGGCGCGTCGCCTGAAACCGTAGCCTAAAGTTTATAGATATAAGTTCTAGGACTTAAGAGCTCAGATGATATCCTAATCACAAGCCATAATGAAATGATGAAGGCAGTCCTGGCGTCTTCTAGTGACATTTCCACGTCCTCTTGTGACACGACGTACAGAGCTTCCCTGTTTTTATGCTGCACTCCAGCGCCTGAGCTGGGGTTTGAAAGCGCTCTCTCCTCAATTGCCGCCAACCCTTTAAAGTACGGCGTAACCGCTGCCGAAGTCTGCCAGAATAAGCGAGCAAGCACCTCGTTACCAAAGATCTCTTTTGCTCTGAATTGTACATCCATCCCTGTGTGCTTATTGCCCAATAAGCCTTCTCCACTCTTCACATCTCTCTTGTATTCTCCCTTCGCACTCTCCTCGGGTTTCAAGACTTCCTCCCACTTGTGACCACGCACTCGATACCCATACCACTCCTTCTCCTAACGCGACTGACTGGCCGGGTGTGACCTCGCCCTTTGCATATTTGTAGGGGAGATGTACAGTAGATAAGAACGCTACTTTATCTCGACTTTCGAGTATCAAAGGAATTGAAGAATTATCTTCATTACATAACGTGCGAGGAATAAGGATCGTTTGTTGATACGAGTTCGTTGCCATAGTCTTTTCATGGTCCAGCACGGTACCAATTACCCGCCGGATCTCCTAAGCACTCTCCCACAGTAACGGGCCGATATCCATTGGCTTTAGCTCTATCGATCTCATATTGAGCCAGAGTATATACCGTCTGTTCGTGGATATCATGGTTCAGAACGATGAAGCTGGAAGAGGATGGACTGTTCTGGGTGATGGTGTCATTGAAAGTATCCTCCGAATTCACTATCAGGGTAGGCGAGTCATTCTCGTAATCTTTGGTGTCCAGGTTAGTCGAGATCACATGGTACCCAAGGTCCGACATGTCTTGCTGGCATGCATCGTCGAATGCAAGATACGGAGGCCGCATATAGGTTGGGAACTTGCCAAGAATGTTCACGAACGCCTGTTCATTTTGGTACATCTGATCTTTCCTCTCGCCGGAAGAAAGAGTTGTTAGATCTGGGTGAGTCCACGTGTGTGAGGCGATATGGTGGCCTTCGCTATTCATGCGCTGGATAACGGACGTCCAGTCTGGAGTTTGGTCGATCGCACCGTGTAGGTTGCCAACAATGAAAAATGTCGCCTTGATCCCGTTGCTTGAAAGCAGATCCAGAAGATCAGAGGTATAGATATAAGGCCCGTCATCGAAGGTGATTGCAATATCGCCGGCTACTTCGCAATCGTAGATCACTGAGCCATAGGGAACAGAGCCAATCTTGGGACGTAGAACGTTGACCACAGCTGCTGTCGTTGTGGGCTGCGGACTTCCTGTACTGGTAATGCAGTTTCCGAACTCCGGTTGGCATCCATTGGTGCAATACTCGTCTGAGACTCCGCACCACCCGTACCTCGAACAGCATTGGAGATTTGGCGGACAGATATAACCGTTGTTCCCACCACAGCTATTGTCTGGGCTTATTGTACCGCTTGGCTGAGTTTGGGTAGCACCGGTACTTGTTGCTGAGCTCGTTGTTGAAGAGCTCGTTGTTGAAGAGCTCGTTGTTGAAGAGCTCGTTGTTGAAGAGCTCGTTGTTGAAGAGCTCGTAGTTGAAGAGCTCGTTGTTGAAGAGCTCGTAGTTGAAGAGCTCGTAGTTGAAGAGCTCGTTGTTGAAGCGCTCGTAGTTGAAGAGATCGTTGTTGAAGCGCTCGTTGATGAAGCGCTCGTTGATGAGCCCGTTTTAGATGAACCTGACGAAGATATAGTTGAGGTAGTAGTCCCACTCCTGGCAGAAGACGTGAGAGAAGAAGAACTGGTAGTTGAGGGTGAAGCTGTAGTCGAACGAGAAGTCAAGAAAGTAGTTGACGATAGGACGCTAGTCGAGCGAGCTGTTGAGGAAGTCGCCGGTAACGAGGAAGAGACTGAGGATGACAAGGTCGATGTACTTGTCTTTGAGGAGGAAGCGGTTAGCGATGAGGATACTTGTGATGACGACAAGCTCAATGTAGTCGTCTTCAAAGAGGAAGACGATGAGCTTAGTGTAGTTGTCTTTGACGAGGAGGAAGAGGCTGGGCCCAACGTAGTCGTTTTTGAAGAGGACGTTATTGAGGACGAGGATCCCTTTGAGAGCGAAGAACTTAGAGAAGACGATAAGCTCGTTGTCGTCGTCTTTGATGTGGATGAGGAAGACGATAAGCTCGTTGTCGTCGTCTTTGATGTGGATGAGGAAGACGAAGCTATCGATGAGGATTTCTGTGATGACGAAGTGGTTGAAATAGCCGTTGAGCTTGATGCTGATCCAGCGACCGAACAAGTCCCATAAGATGGTTGGCAACCTGGAGATGCGCAATACTCGCTAGTTGAACCACAGAATCCATAGCGGGAACAACATGGAAGCGAGCTAGGGCAAACATATCCATTGGATCCGCCGCAAGTGTTATCAGGACTTATAGTGCCGGCGGTACAGGTTCCATACGTTGCCTGGCATTCGGTACCGCAGTAGTCGGCGGTGCTGCCACACCATCCGTACTTCGAGCAACAAGGCATGGAGGATGGGCAGGTGTAGCCATTGCTGCCACCGCAGGTATTATCGGGGCTGACTGCTCGGGACCGGAGTGGCAGGAAAAGGTCATTGCCAGGATGGGCCAGAACACACCATGGGCCCGGAAGAAGCACAGCAACAAGCCATAGAAGCGTCATCTTGGCAGTGCTCTAAAACAAACAATGTTTCCAGATCGTCCAGCCGGGAATGAAGGAGGAGGCGCCGTGGAGCGACAAACAACGACAGAAGCTCGTAGTGACGAACGAGGTTAATTAGAAGAATTTGGACACATCAAGGCAGGCAAGTTGCAAGAAACCACCAAAGTTTGAAAGATTCAGGTAGTCGATATATAAAAGAGACCGCCGCTGGGCAGGCGAGGTTTGCAAATAGTCGTTAGTAGACCTACCATCCTTCCCTGACTCTCCAGGACATCAGCTTCGGGCTGGGCGGATTGATACTTCAGCCCGCATGTTATTGGAGGAAAGGCAATGGGAAACGGAGGCGCCAATAGTCGGCAGGATAACAATGAGCAGTCTGGCTCAATTGGGTCGTAATGCGAGGGGGGGGGGCGGGGGCGGGGGCAAGCAACGCTGGACAGAATCAAGCGAGCAGACCGGAATACAGCTACACAGAGCGGATTCGTTATGCTTGACTCACTTGCCTTCTCGTAATTCGACTTTCCACGCGACTTACCCTGCAAATGATTGATTGTTGTGTTGTGTTCGCTTGCACGACTAAGTGCGCCTCAGTCGATAGTTTGTGGTCGCAGTGTTGTTAGTGGCAGACAACCATGGCCTCCCAAGTCCAGGAGGTGCAAAAGAGCTCAAGCAATCTACCACCTGTACCTAGGTGTACTGTGGAAAGCACATTATTAGCTGCGGCGAGGCATTTTGTGAGGTCAACTACCTCAGATACCTCGGAAGCTTATTGAGGTGTGGGTTGTGTGGATACTGTGCCTTGGTCTAATGCCAAGAGTTTAACGGCTTTAGGCATATACTTGGCACTTGACGCTGTTAGGATACAGGGGTTGCTGCTGTATGTGACAATACATTACCAGGAACGAAACAGCATACATTTCATGTCGGGGAAGTTAGTTTGCTTAGTGCAAGGCTTGAGTATCGTGTCCCGTCATTCTACCTTTGTCATGCTTGTTTTCTTGTGTTTTCTTGTTTGAGACCCTCTCTAAGTCTCTCGACTAGTCCCCTTTTAGCAACAGAAACGTCGCGTCCACAAAAGGCATGCTACATGGCTACAACATTACCATTCCAGTACGAGACATCCTGGGAGACAGGTATACATTGATACGGGTTGCAGCAGACGTCCAGAGGCTAGATGAACGCCTTGGCTTGGCAAATAATCTGTAGTTTCATGACAGCAAGGTGGAAGAAGGAATTGCAACCGATCACTATGTCGATTAGATTGCCTGGGTCACCTAGATGCAAGTAAGGGAGACTTCGGCACAGGTTGAACTTGAACCTCAAGCCAATTCTCGACTGGTGGAATCTGTGGCCAGCCCACACGTCTTGCAGGTACTGGCAGGAAGGGTCCCTCCCTGCTTTCGAGCTCGGGAGCAACAGACGAGCAAAGACTTCCTTCCGTTTCCGGCGACAACCTGTCTGCTACCGCTGAATTTGTTCAGCTCCATTCAGCTGCAACATCCACCGGTTAAAGTTCTGAACACGATGAAGGTCTCGAGTCCAAGACACCGCTGTCGCTGTACAGGATTTGCACCACAAGACCTCTTTGTGATCGGGAAGCGATCACAGAATGCATGACCGAGCTGCCCTCATCTCAAACATTCTCGTAAGTATATATTCTTCTTGCTAGAGCTCGGTCCCAGTCGTAAGAGTGTTCTCTTCTCTCCATACCATATTCTGCCCTTGTATACCCTGATCTTCCAACCATGCTTCTCCAGCAGGCTTTGCCAAGCCAGATAGCGGATAGGAGGTTTGTTCAGAGCTTGAGCTGTGATTCTTCGCAATATCAAACCGACGACCATGGTTCTTTCACCGACAGTCCAAGAGTGTCCTCGAATCATGAGGCCTTTTTCCCTTTCGACCTGAACAGACCTCAAGATGTGTGGATGTCTTCCAGCGACCCTTTGACGGCAGACACACCTCCACCGGAGGCCTACTTCAGCAGCCCTCGATCAACATCATCCACGCCAGTCAATGAGGATGAACCAGCACTAGTCGCCGTCATTGGTGTTGGATATGTTGGTATTCAACTCGTGACCGCCTTTGCGGAGCACTACAGAGTCATCGCATTCGACATCTCTGAAAAAAGGATAAACACTGTCGCTCAAACGCTGAAGGCTTTCCCATCCATTACTTGTACCACCAACCCTACCCAGCTGGCTGATGCAACCCATTTCTTGCTTGCCGTCCCAACAATCCTCCACCCAGACAAAAGAATCGACACATCCCATCTGCGAGCTGCAGTCTACACCGTGGGACTCTATGCTCGACCCAAGGCTACCATTGTCATTGAATCCTCGGTTGCGGTGGGTATGACACGCCGACTCCTGACGGATTTGATGGTCGTCCAGGGTCTGCGTGGTGGTATGTCGCCGGAACGCGTTGATCCGGGTCGTGCTATTCCCGGATTCACAGACATCCCCAAGGTTATCTCAGGCCTCGACGACATAAGCTACGGCTCCCTCGACAGCATTACGCGTCTCTACTCCAAAGTGTTCGCCTCTGTCATCCCCGTATCGAGCCCTGAAGTTGCAGAGATGACCAAACTGTATGAGAATTGCCAGCGTATGGTCTGCATTGCTTATGCGAATGAAATGGCCGATGCCTGCATTGCCCATGGTATCGACCCCTACGAAGTCTGCAAAGCGGCGGCTAGCAAGCCTTTTGGGTACATGCCGTACACACCGGGACTGGGCGTCGGAGGCCACTGCATCCCCGTCAACCCATATTACCTGTTGAGTAACAGCACTTTTCCGGTTTTACGGCTCGCGACAGAGCGTATGTGGTCTCGTCCTTCGCGCCTGTGCGATGAGTTGATGGAAGCTTTCCTCAAGTCCAAGACTGGGGGAGAATTCTCGAAACATGCCCCACGCGTCCTCGTCGTAGGAGTAGGATTCAAGCGTGGGCAATCTGGACTTTCGCACTCTCCAGCTGTTTCACTCATACAGCGTCTCCTGGACCAATGGGAAGCGCATGTCACTTTCGTCGACCCCTTGGTCAAGGAGCAAGATCTCCCTTACGTGCCACGGCTTGATGAGCATACAGAGTGGAACAAGGAAAGCTTGGAAATGTTTGATATAATCGTGGTCGCATTGAAGCAGGTGTCTTTGGATCTTGGAGTGTTGGAAGTGCTACAGGGAGGAGTGCAGGTGGTGACTTACTGTCCATAACTTTTGTAGCCTGTTTATTTGGTTCCTGTATGTTATGGAATTGGAGGATCTCTGTTCTTTGCCCCGTACATGATGGCAATGTTTCACAGATTCTTGTTACACATGAAGAGTCAAACACCTAGTACGGCTGCTACATTTCACGAGTTATTGTCCTGACTTGGGGGAAGATGCTTTTGTTTGGACTTTCTGAGTGTATGACTTTACTACGATATAATACTACATGACGCATGTTTACCTTGTGTGAACTCATGGTCCGAATCAGGGGCGCCGTTCACTGATGAGTGAATAATTTGCCATTCAAAGCATCGACAGCAGCATGGGCGGGTGGCAGACTGTTGCTCGGAGAGTAACAAAATCATGCCAAATAGCGTTATCAAGCTATGCCATTGTCCTCCAAAGAACTGTCCGCGTGGCGTTCACTTACTGTACCATCCAGCCAGCCAGAGCAGGGACCTCGCATCGGCGATGTAGATTCGTTGCCTTCAATACCATTATCCCGAAGTGGTGGCCACAAGTACGGGCAAGCCTCTGATGTGCGAATCTGGCCAAAGAGCAATAACCGGACGACACGGGACCCAGTCAGTATTCCACTATTGTATCCTATTATTGGCTTGGATGGGACGTAACGCACCCAATTCAGCGGTGTTGGTTTCGACAATTCCTTCAAATTTAGTGGGACCATCGGTCGAAAGAGATATTGTCATATGATGCGAAAAGCCCAGGTCAGTCATAGATGAACAGTTCGTGTCGGTTAGAATTGCAATGTCCACTAGCTGCCATGGTGAGGATTCTCTTTCCGCGAAGGGCTGGCATGCAGGCTGTGCTGAACGGAATCGACGAAGCGAACGTTGGTTCGAAGAGAAGAAATGTCTCAAAGCGGAACAAGAGCACTCGTCAGGTTTCAGTGAGCTCAAGCCTCGTCCCATCTTGAACGCAAGATAAGGCGCGCGAGTCGTGCTACACCGAGGATGTTTTTCAATAGTGCAGAAGAAGGTACTTCTGTCGGCAGGCACTCTCGCAACAAGAGGCGCCAAGACCCGTGTTCAAAGGTCATTCAAGCTCGTGTTCCCCGTTTGGGCTTGCGAAGCCCATCACCCTTGCTGGCTGGGGTTCAAGGACATTTTTGAACAGCCCGATAGCGTCCCGGCGCATAATTCTGGACCTAGATCAGCTTTCTGTTCTGAGTGAAGTATGGGTCACATTCTGAATCAAGTATGATGTTGACGTTGACTTCTCCGCATAAAGAAGCTAGTCGCGCGGGACGAATGCGAGGGCAGGATTTCCCGATTGGCATGTCCCCTGGCCTGCGCAGTGTGTCCACTCACACCCGACCACCCACCCAAGTCAACGTATCCTGCATGACACCGTCAGGCCGAGAATACGAGAGAGCTTTTTTCCTCGTTCGTGGCATGCCGACCCCAATTACTCGTCGCCTCATTTGCCGTCCACCCCGCAGATCCCAGCTAGGACATTTCCGGGGGACTTTTTTGGTGTAATCATCATGTAATATAATACATATTGCTTGTTATGGCAATAACAGACTTGTAAATTGTATTTCAAGCCACCGCCTAGGCCGCGCTTGCCGCTAGAGCAATCCTCGCACCTGAAATACACCGCGCCGAGACCAGACGACGTCCCTCAACCTCGCACGACTTCAGCACTAGGTACCTTTGGCTACCATTAAAGCCAGCCGCGGATCTCCTCGTCGCCGCGTAGGGTAGACGAGAGCCTTCGCTCACACATTACGCGAGAAACACTAGTAACTTTTGGCTAGGCTTCATGGCTACCTGAACCTCCATTTGTAGAAGTAGAGAATGCGTGCTACGATGGTCATGAACAGCAAGTACAGCTCTACCACTGGGAAGCCATCAAGGCCCAGCTAAGTGGGGCGCTTGTCTCTATTGACTATGGAAAATAGTAACAGCATCAGCACGCCGTCTGCTTCTCAAGCCTCTGCAATAGTCTTTGTACCACACGGCGCGCGGGCGGATGCCATTCGGCAACTGTGTTATCCCTCAATTCAGCTAGCGCATCGGTGGGCCTCGTTAGATGGCTACAGATAATCATGGCAGTAACTTAGGTCATTTGGCCGTGGCTGACCGTCTTTTTCTCAGCTCCGAACATTGATTCCATGAAAGGGTGAACTGTGTCGAAAGAGGTCGTTCTAGCCTCTCGGCATCTCTTCTAGTTAGACGAAGCTGAAATCTTGTAAAGGCGAATTGCAAACGTGAGAACTGTGCCCCCAAAGACTCTTACTCTAGGACTCTTGCAAGTCCCTTTCCATCAGTGTTGAACTTTTGCGGAGACTCACCTGAGCCGACTTATCTTTACCTTTGACATGGAGCATTTCAAGAAGAGCAGCAATGAAACTCGCGACAATGACCGTTTGCCCCAGACTACAGGTAGGCTCTTCCCACTGACAACATTCCGGTGATCAACCAAGCCAGAGCCTAACCTTCCATGCCAGATGCGAGTCGCGATATGGACATCACGACATCAACGATTAGCACTGAGCCACCAGCTTCAACGATCGTTCCTGCAACAGAGACTAGACACTCAGCACGTTCGTTTTCAATGGAAGCGCAGAAGCCACTACCACTTGAGATACCAGAAAAAACCGGCGTCGCAACTCGACAACCATCGGGGGTGTACAGCGTCAGAGTTCCCAGAAAGCTGACCAAAAAGGCCCGAGGAAGACAACAGAACGAAGTGGGACTGGGGCCCCCCAAACCACTCACTCCCCCTTCTACCGAAAGCTCGTCAAGTGATTCAGCTTCAAGTAGCCGTGGTAGGAGTGTGAATTCTCCAGCTGACGCCCATTACGAAAATGCACCAATTCGACAAGGCCCTACGGTGTTGCCAAATTTGTGGACCGTGCAGGATCTGTCCCCGTCCGAAGAGGCATCCCCCCAGAAGATGGGACAATACGTATCACAAGTGCCTGTGGACCCAAGGTATAACGCAGAAGAAGAACTGAAGACTGCGGGCAAATGGAGAGTTGGGCGAGAGAGGATATACCTGATTGCCGCCGTAATTGCCATTAAGTGAGTGTCTGGAACCTGAACTAAAGGCTTTCTGCTGACATCACAGTTTCATGTTTATCTTTGCGACCTGGAGGTGGCCGATGTACTACTACATCTATCTGCCATTCATCACCATCACTGTCTTCCTAAACTCCGTCATGGTCTGCTCTCTAGTGTTGAACGCCATACGGTTTAGTATATGGAAACCAAAAAAACTCGTACCAGCAAAGCTTGAGGATCTTGTGTATCTTTTGCCGTGTTACAACGAAACACCACAAGAGCTCACAAAGTCATTGGACTCATTGGTAGACCAAATCGACGTTGACCAGCACAAGAAGGCGGTCATCATCATTGTAGATGGTCGAGTACGTGGGCCTGGCATGGAGAAGACAAGTGGGGAATTTCTCCTAGACGACCTGCTCCTCGACCGCAAGTCACGGCACTACATCAAGGACGCGTATATCACGTGGACCCATGAACAGATGGATGTGGAAGTCCAACAAGGCACGTACCGAGGACTTCCCTACTATTGTATTGTCAAACAGCAAAATCAGGGCAAACGCGATAGTCTCATTGTCTTACGGTCCTTTCTTTACAAGTACAACCTTCGTACTGAGAAGCCGAAAGTCATCCTCAGCCCCCAATTCTTTGGGGAAATGGCTTCATTCCTTGCTTCGGATTCTGGAATTGCGCATGCCGACTGCCTTATTGGTATGGACGGCGATACAATATTCGAAGAAACCTGTGTTTCGGAGCTTCTCAAAGAAAGTCGCTACCCTAACACAGTTGGCGTCTGCGGCTATGTCTCCGTCGACTTCACAGGCAGCCAGTGGGGTCTGTGGAATTTGTACCAATCAGCAGAGTACACCATCTCGCAGGGTCTCCGCCGTCTACATCAATCCATGGTGACCAACAAAGTCTCATGCTTACCGGGATGTTGCCAGCTGCTCAAGGTCTGCGAAACCACCTGCGGAGACAAGATACTCATAGATCTCTTTGGATACTGTCCGAAGCCGACTGACAGTTTACTCAAACACACACGAGCCACAGCTAGCGAAGATCGGAATCACGTTTGTCTCATGCTTTCCGCCTTTCCCAAGGCACAGACTCGACAAGCACTTAGAGCACGTGCATACACGGATGTGCCTCATTCATGGTCCGTTTTCCTATCGCAAAGACGACGCTGGACACTTGGAGCTACGTCTAACGATCTGTTCCTTGTTTTTGCGCCTGGAATCTATTGGTTCGAGCGGATCCTTGCAATCGCCAATTGTCTTGTCTGGTTCATCAACATATTCGTCTTTGCCTCTCTCGGTGCGCTGATCGCAGCGATCCTTTGTATGTCTAGCAAAACCCGAAATCTTTTCACCACTAACAAGTCTTATAGTCGTTGAAGGATGGATCATCATGTGCTTTGCATCCGTCATGCTAGTACCAGTCACGTATTACATCTGCATCATATTTTGGCTGCCGCGTACCTTTCGTGAAAAGGTTCAGTACGCCTGTGGATGTCTGATGTACATCTGTGGCGGACCGTTCATCAATATCATGGTTCTCTGCTACGCTCTCTACTACGTCGACTCCTTTGGCTGGGGCAAGACCCGCAAAGTCGTCGCAGATGGCACGGTATCCAACAAAGTCGCTGTCCGTGTTGATGAGGAGAAAGAAATCGGGTTACGCAGCACTGGTCGCTCACGCCAACAGCACGACTCTGTTGTCATTCTCGGCAATAATCCCTATGCTATGAAAATGCTGAAAGCATGCGCGCCGCACTATCGTACCACTGTGTTCGACTCCTCAGAAGAGTCCGCAGATAGGGCTCGTCATTATTTCTCCGGTACAGAAGAGTACAGCGTCAAAATTACATCAGACGAAGAAGAGCTAGCGCACGCCAATGTCTACCTGATCACCTCACCTTTTCTTCCTTCACTAACAGGCCCCTCTCAAGGGGGATTGGACCTGCAACATGCTTTAGAGATTGTCGCCCGCCATGTCAAACCGGACAACATTGTTATGATCGAGACAGCTGCCTCTGTGGGCACGACTCGCAACTCTCTGCAGCAATTTGAATACCGTGGAGTGATTACTGGCTACTCCCCTGCCCCGTCTGTCAATTCTATGGAACGCAAGTTCACGGACGGAACTAAAATGCTTTCCGTCCTGAATGCGAAGAACTTGCATCTCATTGAGCGATTCTACCAACGCTTCTTCGCGAAAACAGTCGCTCTTCCCAGTCCCGAGTCAGCCGAGATGTTCCACCTGCTGGAGACCGCCCTCCAACACTCCCAAGGTATAGTCGAAACCAATGCTGAGAGCCCTCCAGATGCGATGGAGTTACATGCCAATCTTCGTCGGATCTCTTCTTTGTGGAAAGAATTCATCATCGAGGCAGAGAATGGTCTTGGCATGATGCCTCTCAATTCAACAGAGAATGTTCTAGACAGGGGGAAGGCACTCACAAACTCGGAACAAGATCTGGACATTACACCTATGAAAAGCAAACAGATCCGCCGCGATAGACATGTAGATTTGGGCCACGTCCCAGTTGTATCATCCAGAGAGGAGACAGGGTTCCAGAAGAGCTGTGAGCTGAGGTATCCGATGTGCCAACAGCCATCGATGCCTACAGAAGTGCACTGAACATGAACGACGTGTATTGCACATTGGCTGTTTAGGGTTCTATTGGAACAAGATCACATTCTTTTAGGAGTGAGAAACGGATTGGGATACGGCATCGAAGGCTGAATAAGGGTTTGCTGATAATATATAATACTCTGCGACCTAAACACTCCTTGCCACGCGTGAAAGCCCCCCCAAAGTATAGTATAAGTTGTCCATGTATCCTATACCAATCTATACACCCTCTGTCGCTCATGCTAATTGGTTGTCCTGCAGTCCCTGCACAGTCCGTATAAAGCACTGCCCATTATTGTCTCGTACCCTCCCCACGTCATCAAAACGTACTTGCAAGGGCCAGCCCCAGCCCCAGAGCATACATGGACATCCATTCGGTCTTTCTCATCGTTGAGGCCGCCTGGGAAACCAGAACAGGGAATCCTGCCGCGGGGATGTCATCCACAGCACAGACACGATGGCAGTGGCTTTCTCGCTTTGCAACAAAATTGACGTTGCGTCGAAACTTGTCAATACCTTCCAGTTTGTAGCCGTCAGCTGGTCCTGATTTATTGAAAACCATGTCAATCCACTGGATGTCGAGATAAGCTGCAGATCCAAGGCTCATGTTACCAGACCAATCACCACCATTGCTCCATAGGTTAAGTACAAGATAGCTGGGTAGGTATGGGACCCCATACTCCTTGTCCAAGAGCCATTGACCGTCAGCATACCAAGAGCTCATTTGTGGCCTCCAATCCAGCCGATGGGTGACCCATTCCGACCAGACAATCGGGGCTGGAAGGTCAAGCTCGGTGCTGGCTCCTGGCACATCATATCCATCGCTACCAACTGATGGTTGGTTGGTATATCGGATATGATTGGGTGGGTCCCGGGTTAAAATCTCAATGTCGGACTCCTGGCTGTCATTCAGGTAGGTGAACATGCCAGCGACGACACCAGTAGCACCACGGACGCGAGCACGGAAGCGTACAGAAGCGTGGAGGACATTTCGTTGCAGGCCTTCGAGTTCGGCGGTGGAAGTAAAGTCCTCGGCACGGTAGGCACGCAGTGTGAGATGTGACGTGGATGACTCCAGGAGATCACGTTGGATGAAGACGTTTTGAGGTGAGTTTTGCACAGTCACTGGATAGTCTGGTCCTTCGCGCTCATGGCCCCAGGTCTGGATTTTCCAGTCCTTGGCGAATGTGCTAGAGTTGAGGTATCCTTGCTGGCCAGGTTCATCGCCATTAGACTGAGAGTTTGTAACGTTAGCAGGTTCATGATCATAGACGCTGTCGCCGGCAATATCTCGGAAGTCGTAGAAGCGATGATATTCGAAGAAAGCAGGCGAACGGCCACTGGTGACATAGCAATCACAGTCGGGTGAATTGTCGTGCAGGCTCCTGGCAGAGACTTGGATCGCATGCTTGTCGAGTACAATGGCCAAAAGAAATAGGAAGAGAATGGTCCTCGATGATTGGATCATCTGGCGGCTCCCGAGAATCCAGTCCTGGGGACTGGCAACGGTAAAGAACACAACAGTAAAGGACAAATGGGTTGGCTTCAGACTTGGGGTCATGGATTGGTACCTTCAGTGAAGATTGTACTCCAGGTATGGGCTCCGGCCAGTTGATCAGGAGCAGATAGAATCTCACACCAGACAGAGTACTCTAGGTTCGTGCAAGGCAAGGAGATTGCGCTTGGATCAGAACAAGAGGGAGTTGCATGTCCACTAGGCACCATGTATGTCTCAGCCACCAAGTTTTGATCTCGAGACAAGCAGCAGCACGCTCTCTTGCAAGGAAGCCTGTGTGCATGTAATCCCAGAAGACCGACTACTCATAGATTACCAGAGGCAGATACACGTGGCGTGAAATGAAGCCAAGGTGCGCGACTCAAGAACAGTACGAGGAGGCCAAGATATGATACGAGGTCCGCCAAGACACAAGAAGCGAGGTGCGGCTCAGCGTTGGCTTAGCAGACGTGTCTCAGCCACAGGGAAAATAATTACATAATAGGTATTGTACAATGCTTGCTGGGCAGGCCTCGTCAAGCGGGAAACCCCTGGATACGAACAAGATACGAGAATACAGGGACGGAGACAGGGCAGGGAAGGAGACCGCGACGAAGCGCATGATCGGATAACGAAAATGGCGTCCACGAGGAAGCTGTGCGCACAAGCGAATGCTTGATTGTCGAATGCAGACAGAAAGCTGGAGATGGGGTCTTGGTACGATGTAGTGGGGGGTGGGTCAGTGCTGCCCTGGTTGCGGGGAAAAAAGACCTCGGCCAGCTCGAACGCCTCAGAAGAAAATCCCAGAAGCTACCAACGAGACGAGATGGGTTTGCCAAGCGTCGGTACCATTGTCTGCATCCATCCAGGAAGCAGCGTCAGTCTGATCTGAATACGAAAAGTGAAAGCAAGTCTGGTACCAATGGTACTCCGGCCCACAGCCACCCAACGAGACCACCGAATGCTGGATGCATCCACGTGGTAATCCAAGCGAGTAGCCTGACTTAGCTTGCGTTTGGCACGAATTACGTTGGTAATCTTCGCATGTTCACAACCAACACTTTCTCACGGGTCAGCATCTTGTGCTAACGACCAACAAGTTCCCACCCGAAGCTGGCCACAACCACTCCGCAATGAGCATTGAGACTGGAATGCGTTGTGCAACTGCGTGGCTTCCTGGCGGAAACTTTGCAAGGACTTCCAAGCAATGGCTACCTGGACAAGCCGTCCACAATGATTGAAAAGTGCTGAACTCGATCTCGCCTACGACATGATAAACTTAAGACACACTGTTCATTATTTAGCTATCTCCACCGTCACTGTCCTCACTCCACTGTAACGATTCATAAGAACAGGCTCAGTCCGTGAATCATCCACAGCGCGGCAAGCAGAGGGTAGAGTGAAGGATAAGTAAACATTGCCAAAGATGTGCTGTTGAGAGATTTCTAAATTATGCGTGCTTAGTAAACTGAGAACCATCACAAAGTACTCCAGACTTACCAATGCAGACGCTGGAGGAGCTCCTCCAGCAGATCGATACCAGTTCTCGGGTGGATCGCCCAAGCACTCTCCCACGGTCACGGACGTGCCATAATTAAGGAACTTCATATAGTCGAGCATGTAATTAGTCAGATTGTAGGCTGTTTGGTAGAGGATGTCGTGATTGATCGCAACTGTGTTGATCGAGAGATTCTTCGCCTGCTCCATCTGGTCGACGAAGCTGTCTTTTGCCATCTGAATGAGCGTCGGATCATCATACAAGTAGTCTGGTTCGAGCAACGACGTTAGTGCATGCTCCAGGATGAGAGTAAGGGACTGGAGCTGGAAAGGAACGAACCGTGCGTGACAAGTGTATAGAGGGTGATGTGGTATCCCATCTTCTTCATAATGGCTTGGCAGGTGGTATTGCATTCCGAGTACGGTGGACGCATATACATTGGAAAGAAACCAAGTATGTTCCTGAAAGCCATCTCGTTGTAATGCATCTGGTTGATCATGTGTTCCTCGCTCATCTCGGTCAGATTCTGGTGTGTCCAGGTATGGCTCGCTATTTGGTGGCCGTCGGCATGCATTCTGCGAATTAGTGCTGGATAGCCAGTTTCCTCAACGTCTATCTGGCCTTTCCCGAGGTTATTTCCGGTGATGAAAAAGGTTGCCTTTGCATTGTAACTGGCGAGGACGTCTAAAAGATGCCAGGTAAAGTTGTAAGGACCATCATCGAACGTCAACGCGATATGATCGTTTGACATGCACTGTGATATACCGACCCCTTCATAAGAGACGTTGCCGACCAAGGGACGCTCGATCTGAAGAGTGTCAGTCCCAAGGGGCTTCTGATTCGCATCGCAACCATCGCTATAGCCAAGTTGGCAAGCTGGTCCCGAACAATAGTGATAACCCCTCCCACTTTGGTCTCGATCAGTATTTTGCATTTCTCAAAGTTCGACCTGGGACTGACCAATTACCCCCTATAGAGCAGCTTCACAGAGCGGTCAGCATACACATGGTCGGCAATGATTTGGTAACTCCCACCAATATCCTGGATCACAGACACCCACACCTGGGCCACACTTCTTTACTGTAGGCGAGGGCGGGTTTTTCCATTTCCGAGGCACGAGAGAATGTTTCACCTGGTTTTGTGTAGGCCCGATCAGAGGAGTTCGAGGTGGTGTCTGGAATGGCGCCAAACTAGCAAGAGAATCTCTCCCTCGAAGGATCTTGAGAGGTGCTATTTGTGCTTCTACCTGTTGCTCAAGTGTCATGAAGGCAAGGAAAGTGATCAGATAGTGGAACTTCATTGCTGCGTGTGTACTTGGACAACCCGGTAGAACGCAGCTAAAGACTTGGATGATTGTTCTTCACGCGATATGGTTTCTAAATGTTTTGATAGAAGCTTTGGGCAGCATTACTTACTGGCCTCGCAATTGCGTTCCAAACCTCCAGCTTCAGATCATAGTCTAGAAGTTTTTGTCCAGAAACGTGTAAAGTGGATCTACCTGACCTGGACCGGAAATGGTCCTTGAGGTCCTCCATGCTCAGACTCCGGTTTAGGGAGTTACACCACCCAAGGCAAGCTGAAGGAGATAATGCGCCACACCATAATGATATTCCCGTCCTCGATTGTAACTTGAGCATGCACTATCCGACCAGAATTAATCGAGATCAAGTAGACCTGCTCGTGCTAAGACAAAATTGGGAGGTGGAGATATGCCGAGCCCAATTCTTACCGACTTCCGTCTGACAGCCAGAACAAGTACCTCTGCTACAGACCAAATGCAGCATGAAATGACTGGCATGTATGGGGCGGGTATGGTATCTGGCTCAACACGGTATTGTCAGATGGTCTTCTACCATTTGCTATGTAAGCGCGTGTGTCGTAACGGTTCCACCTTATTGACTTTCCTACCTAGGCACTTAGGGCCCTTTGCGCTAAGAGACACGAGGTTGTCCAGACCACCATCTCGCTCGCTCATCTTTCCCCTGGCTCCCAGACGAGGCGACCCTCTGACCCATGATCGGTCAGTGACTAGTCACCACGACTCGCCAAGGCTTGGCTCCTAGTTAGGCGAGTTCAGTTTGTCAATTCTTACAGGAATGCAAGGACTGAGAGCGGGAGTTGGTAGTGATCGTCAACTTCTGCACTCTTTGTACAAACCCACTCAAGATCGCGTAGTGACACATCTGCAGTGACACATTCTGCAGGGTGTCCAAGCGATCGAAGATTGAGACGGCGCTTCTGTAGTGTACGTCTTCGTGCAGGATCGCCTGTCATTTTGCTTCACGAGAAGCTTGAGGACATTTCGCATTACGACAAGCACTGGGTTTGGTCACCTAAGCGCCGAGCCACCGCTATAGAGAAGTTGAGGTTTGGTTTGCAGCTAGGTTTTGATGGTCCATTTGTAGGGTGGGCACATAGGTCACAGCTGGGGTACAGCGGGGATGCCTTGAGACCATGCCTGGCAGGAGATTCTACCGTCTACTCTACCTATCGCAGAGTGTCTCAAAACAACCATGGAAGTGCCCACGGCTGGCTATACCGGGAAAATCCTGAAAGAGACACGCTATCTTGATGGGTTACTCGTTCTGGGATTTGCGTTCTTGCAGTGCAGAGCGAGAACAGCATCTTACTAGTAGGGTAGTCTAAGTAGCCCGCTGCAATACAGCATTCTTGACTGATGATAAGACGCAGCGCTTTCGAGCGCCCGCGCACAAGGCCGGCAACGAACAGGATATACAGGACCTTAACAGGAATAGAATGCACTAGAATGATGTGACGACTGTGCAGGAGCCATATCGATTCATACATAGTGGCTCCAACTATTATTGCATCGTCTTTATTTTTCATACACGTTTTATTGAACAAGGTTGGGTGCTTCGCTCTATGCGCGCCACTCAGGAGCTGCCCACTTCTCGAAGTCCGAGTAGAACATAAAGTCCACGGTAGTTGCTAGGTTGGGCGGACGCTCTCTCAGTCAAAGGCCTGTCTGGGTGCTGAAGAGACGCCCAACGGCTAATTACCATGGTGATTCGAAAGTCTCATATCGAGTCGCCTCAGGAGCGCGTACCCCTGCGATGCTGTCCACTCTTTGCCATAGGGGCCGACATCGATCATGAGCTCCGCCATAGCACGAAGGGACAACTCGTGACGGGTATCGAGGTTGCGGAACTTTGACTGCGCTCCAAGGACATATTCGCATCCATACAGGGCTAGGGCGAAGACGTCTTCCGGTATGAAGCAGAGGCTGTAGCTGGACAGTGGGTTTAGTTCCACCAAAACCGAACATAGATCAACCACTGCCTCGATAGAGGGGTCGATGAGGCTCGATTCTGTACCGGGCGCGATGCCAGAAGTTGACCAGGACTGGCAGAGTTCCGTCGCCTGTCCACTAATGCAGAAGCGTGTGAAGCGGTAGAAAGCGTCAAGAGGCTCATAGGATCCGCGTTTCGTCCACCCGGGGGACCATTCTTGATACCAAGTATCCAGATCGTCAGCCAACTTCTTGAGCATGGTTGATGGTTGATGTGGGCTGAAGTCTGCTATGTTGGAAGTTGGACAAGACTGGGGGCTGCGAAACTCGGAACCAACATGCGAGAGGCGTTCACAGATCAAGCACAGCTCGACTTGTGCGATGATCGGACCAATTACTTGGTCTGTGAGGTAGTCGCGAAAGATATATTTGCTAGTGTAGATATCCGGGTCCGCCTTGAATACGTGCAATGGGTTCGCCAACCAAGTGCGATAATGGATAATCGTGTACATCCATAGCCGACAGAGATACTCTCTAACGCGCGGGTGTTTGCGGACATCACAGTCCCTTGAACGGTGCTCCAAAAGCCTGGCGACGTCTCGGGATGCTTCCTGTGCTGTTGATGCAGAAGCAAGCCTGTCCCACATTGCCCTCAAGACATCGGTGGCAAGAGGCCAATCCGAAACTTCCCGATTAGAGAAGGTTAGGTGGAATGTTGGCATTGTCCAGTTGTACAAGACAGCAATTACTTGGAAAGCAATCCACCTTGACTTTTCGTTGCTTTCCTCCACGCATTGCTTCAAGCCCGACAAGATGGCTGGGGCAAGCCTTGCCCGAACAGTCCTGCAGCCAGGTACAAAGCCTGCAGCAACATAGGCCATACTGTTGGAGAGTAGGCATTCGCCATTCCTGGCCATGTCCTCATATGACGGGATATCCTCTGTGCGTAGGATTGGTACCCATCTTAGCAAATTTTCGACGAAGAAATCATATAGTTCCGTGAGTTCTCTTGCATCTGGAAATTGTGGCATCAGAGGCCCGCGACATAGCTCTTCTGGAGATGACGCACGAAGTGATTCTGGTGTTGGCATTGAACGAGAAACGCAGGCATCGATCTCCGATGAAAGCGGATATCTAGCCGTGCAATCCATGTTCGTGACGAAGTCAGGGGCTAGAGGTGCTGTTGCTGTCTTTTGTTGGTGTTGCAGTAGACGGCCAAGTTTCTCGATACGTTGGAAGATGGACTTCTGATACACAACATGTCTGCAAATAGCCTCTTTGGAGTTCGCCGGCATAAAGCCAGGAAGCTAGCCTGAACCTCTTCCAGCTAGATGCCGCCTCAGAGAGAGGATATACATTGAAGACTGGAATGAAGGACCCAAGCTCACTCCAGGAGCCTTATAGGCCCGGAAACTACGTTGTTATAGGGTACATCTGTTTCGCTCTTCAGCTCGTCTTGACGCCAATAAGAGGGGTCCAACCACCAACCAAAAAACGCACCTCCACAAGACCATCAACAATCTTAGTGCACTTGGCGAGCCAAGTCAGACGAGGGATCCATGATCTTAGGCCCGCCACCCTGTCGGCAAACATGCGTGGAGTGTGGCAACGCACTGATGGTGGCGAGACGGTTATCTTTGACACTGAACTGCCTAGACATCACTGTTGGTTATCCTGTGTGGGTGAGAGGTGCCAAGAGCTCATGCCGTGATAACCTGGAATGAGATGTCTTCTGCTCATGCAGGGAACCCGGGAACAGTAGGCAGATCACAATCAGATTGAGCTTCAACTCATCTGCCAAGTCAATTCGAGATCATCTGGCCTCACGACAGGTCAACGATCATGCTGAGCTTGGCGCAGAGCATCACTGAACATCATGCCCATTGGCATCGGCTTCTGAGAACGTCAGAAGTGCTAACAAGTCCATGTTCGAAGCCATGGCGAAGATTCAGCAACTGTTCATCGACCCTATAGAACAATGTAGTCAAGCGACCATTAATGTGAGTAAGCATCAAAGCAATTGGAATGTTGAAGCTTGCAAACCGTCAGCTATACTGATGTGAGAGCTTTTCTCCCGTGAAGTTCCAACACCTCTCCTGCCTGCAATGGATGTACACTTCAACATTCCCAGCCACCATCCGCTGGACAAATCGGCTTCGTATGCCTTTGTGCCCTAAGCTGCCAAAGTCCCTGAGCACCAACTTCCGATGTTTTCCAAGTAGTGCATAACTTTCAGCTATGTTGAAAAGAAGGTGCCTATCAGCTGGGCTCCCCCACCTCATGCTACCTTTCCTGTGGCTACGTTGCCAAGGTTCGCAGAAAGGTGTCGCTCTGTGCCTGACTCAATCATCACCATACTCATTCCCAGCATAGATGCTCGTGTCCAGATCAGTCGACCGACGCGTTAGAGGTATCCCACTTCCATTGGTTGTTGCCATACCCATATCTTGCACCAATGTGTAGTTCGGTGGCGGAGTCAAAAGGGCCATTTCTGAACTCTGCATCATGCTCTTCTTCTCCGCAGCTGCCTTGGATCGTCCTGGCGTAGGGGTCTGCATTCCTGGCTCAGCATCAACGTCGACGTCCTCCATACCAAACATGGGGTATGACAAACGGTGAAGTGATGGCGTGATGGGTTGCTTCCAAAAGTCAAAGAGCGCCAGCCATGGAAGCCAGGCCAAAAGAAAGCGGTGGAGAAAGGACCTGCGTGGACGGCCTGTTGTTCCTGGTGCAACAATAGGAGTGCGGCATTCATCCTTGTCCTGCTTACGCCAGGGCTTTTCCTCGGTGATAATGACATAAACAACTCGTGCCAGGCTGATGAGTCCAATGCCCATAGGAATTAGTTGACCGGGCCCGGTCAGACCCTTTATTCCCACGACATCGTCGATGTGGTTTAAGTTGAGGGTGAACTCGATTTGTACCATGGAGAATACAATCCAGAAGAGATTGAAGCAGGACAGTATGATATACCAGTGAGAAAGCCTGCAAGCCGGGTCAATGGAGAGACCAAAATTCATACGGAATACTTACTCTCGCTTCGTCAGGTCGAGGTCTGCCTCAGGAATCAAGTCCCAGCTTACAGGGATCCTTCGGAGTCGACGCGAAATGTATGCCACACCGCCTGCAAGGGCAGCCAGCGCCATGATGCCGTAATAAACCACCAAACCAATACTCAATCCCAAATTGATGCCTCTTGCTCCCCATTCTTCGGCGTTCATGGGCGTAATGAAGAACGTCTGCAAGCCACCGCAATCCTTGCGACGATCGCATTCGGGTAGTCCGTCTTGAACCCCTTCGACCCAGAACCAGACAGCGTAGCTACTGATCATGCCTAAAAGCACAAGTCGGTAGTGTGTACCAATGCCGCCAAAGTGTTTGCGACCTCCGAGGCCTTCGGTACGGTAGTACATAGTCCGATAGCCCCAGAGTGACATGACACTGAAGACGAAGCCCATGCACAGCTGATTGATCACAAGGACGTCCACCGTGCGGATGCCCTCTTTCTTCAGCGAGTAGCCGAAGACAGTGGCGAAGAGAGCCGATAGGAAAATAGAGTTGGTCTCCAACGTGCCGACGATTTCGCTGCCGAGGAAATTGTTCGCAAACCACGAACTGAGCCAGGATGCATCTGAGGTGGAAGTACGTCAGCAAGGTGTCATCGATGCAGTTGGACAATCAATACAGATACCCATGCGCACACCCAGGCCATAGTAGTCGGTGTTTCCTGCCAGCGCGCAGTCATCTTCCTCAGGCTTCTCCGTACATAATTGCCCCTCGGCGTAGGCAAGTCCAAGAAAGATAGCAGTGAAAATCAGTCGACGCGGCAACATTGTTCGAAGTGTCGTAGACTGATAATCTCATAGAATATGCCTGCTTGCACAAGGGAGAGGATGTGATTGAGACAACTGCCGTAGATCCGAGTGCAGGACATTTATGAGATAGGACGGTAGGCATTGCACATACCTCGCTTGCCCAAGTGACCATTTCTCCACGACCTCACGGTTTGTGCTACCCAGCGAGCTGGACCAGCTATTTCGTGCTGCATGCACAATCAGGCGCGGGCGGTAGGCATCTTCTCATAGCCATAGACAAGAATGGCGTTGTTGCTCGGTCCAGGCCGTCGACTTCAGCCAGCCTCAGGGCGAAGGAGATCACGATTCAGGCAATGACAGGCCGCATCGATACGGGAGATGCACGACCCTAGTCAGTCGGCCCGCTTTAGAGCCAATCTAGGTCATTAGCATTCCCTGTAGATACGCGATCCGAGATAGGCAGGAGTTGATCTTTGTCAAAGAGGTGATTTCCAGGCATCGAAGACGCAAAAGTGCGTTATTCGTGGCCGAGAAGGACATGCGTGTCAAAGGTGGGCGCGATGGTGGCTGGCTTGATTCTGCATGTTGTTCAGGAAAAGTCGAGGGCCGATTCGTTCGGTTGGTGAGGGGTTGAATCTGGGGGTGCAAAGGGATGGGAGGAAACAAGGAAACGTGTTTGGAGATAGGCAGAAGAGCGGAATCATCGAGAACCACGTGGTGTGGACGAAGGTCTTGAGGACAGGTGAGGCTGAGATTCATTCAGCTGCCAAAAATGGCCCCGGTTATCGACATTGAAACGCCGCACACCTGACGCAAGGAAAAGCAGCAGGATGGACTGAAGTGGGACAGCGTCCATCCGACTTGCAGCATTAATCATCACCGGTTTTTGATGCTGATGAGTATGCTTGCTTGCTCAATCCAAATACCTAGGTAGGTATGGTCCTGTACCATGAGTACGATCTCTCATGCTTCCACAGCATCACCAGGCTCGCCTACTGCCTCAATCTCTTTGCCTTTCTCTGCCTTCTTGCGCCTTTCTTCTTCCTCAATCTCTTTCAGTCTCTGCTGGCCCTCTTCGTTGGTGGCGTCAATCACCCCTTCTTGAAGACTCAGCATTCCTCCTTGTCCCAATAGTTCCACAATTTCTTCAGCCTCGTCAACGCTCATCTTCCCAAGCACACCGTTAACCTGGTCTAGGCTACCACTCTCCAGAGCACGTTGAAGTCCAGGCGGAAATCGTTCGTAGATTTCACGAGCTTGCTGTTCAATAGGATCGTCCGATCCGGCTTCTGGCACGTTGATATGAATCTCTGTCCCAGGCTCAACGGCATGCAACTGGATCTGTTCCACGCCCGCAGGATCAGTGCCTTCCTCCTTGTTCAGCTCTGCCGCCCGAACCTTGATTCGTTCGTATGTCTCGGTCAAATCTTTAGTAAATACTTGCTGAGCTTGATGACCTTTGGTAGTGATACGTTTGAAAAACATTCCTACTCCGTCGCGGCCTAGTTGGCGGCAATATTGGATGAGCAGACTCTGGTGCACGCAGCCCTTAGCATAGGTATCCTGCCCTTTCATCTGAGAGTTGAAGGCCTCAATCATCAGCGCGTCCTGTGTACGCTCATTGACGATAGCTGGATGTTCGGTAATGTACTGTAGGCATGCTCGGTAGTCGCCCAATTTGATCTTTGCAAAAGCCTTGCCTTCTGGTGTGAGCTTTAGACTCGTCTCATCCTCCTGGTCGTCGTCTTCGTGCTTCTCAATGAGTGCATCATCTTCGACGTCTGCCTCGGCACCGGACGAGACGCCCTCGTCTGGCGACTTGAGCGCATCCCTGGTCTTAGAGCTGAGCCCCTTTGGTGCATTGAGCAATTCAACCGTCTCGCTCTTAGCCTTCTCCTTCGGCTTGTTTGTTGCGGCAGGCTTCTCTTTTGCCTTGTTGACCGATGAGTAACTGAACCCCTCATGAATATCCTCGCTCGTGATCTTTGCCGTCATCTCCTTCTCAAGCTCTGCCAAACGCTGCAACAGCTGTTGCTGTAACTGCTGGACTTTGGTCAGGTGGCCGCTGACACCTTCAACATAGTCGGTGTATCGGTTGGCTGATTTCTTTGCATCCACTTCCTTCTTGACCTGATCCACCAGTGTCCCCATCATTTTCGAATACCGTGGTTGCGGCTCCTTCTGATGTGTGTAGACCCCCTCGGGTGGTTTCGGTGGTTCATCTTTGGCTGGATCACCTGCGCTCTCGATCAAAGATTGGAAGACAATTTCATCTGGGTTCTTTGTGTTTGCATCTTCTTGATGTTTCTTCAGGGCATCCAGAAGAGCATTGATCCTCTCGAGCAGTCCATCATTGATAATGCGCTCGTACTTGAGTGTTTCGATCTCATGTTTGCGCTGGGCTCGCTGCTCGTGGATTTGACGTTGTTTTGCTCGAATGAAACTCTTTGTGTCGACATTTGGGTGTACCTCAACATCGGAATCATCAGATACCTCGAGCCGGTCCCATTTGTCGTATGAGATAGGCATTGGACAGGTAAGGCTTGTGGTAGTATTGCGGACTGAGGGCTGTGTAAATGTTTATTGTACAGTAAGTTCAGTTTATGCAGTTCGAGTCTTTACTGTTTGTTGTGTTTGGGGTTTCTGCGAGGATTGTTCTAGAACAGAACGCAGTGTAGATGTGGTACGATTGTTTGCAGGGTGAATTCAGGAGCAGCATTACCTCATTATCTTACTCAACTAGCTTCATCTTTGGCACCATGCCCACCAGAAGCTGAGGATCCCCACAATCGCGCTGTTGGCTAATAAAGCTTTTGCGGTGTTAATGATTAATTTCGGGCACTTCTAGCCCCCATTTCGGCCGCGAACTTTCGGAATCGTCATTATGAGACCCGCGTCTCCGTGCGACAGGCACCTTTTCTTCACCACTTCTTCCAACCCGACATACTCACCAAGTGCGCACCTTGCTATTAGTCCAGAGTCGCCGACATGAAGAGAGGGGGAAGGGCCTCCATACCTCGTTAGCGTCTCGTTTAGAGTCTTGCCCGCCGGCATGAACTCAATGCGCAGCTCACTGCTGCTCACATTCAGTCCGTTCAAACATGGCCTCCGACTGCATCAGCTCGACCAAAACATCCTACTTTCTCTATACAACTCGGCACCTCGTCATTCACGGATATTGCGTCGTGACCTACACGGCTACGGGAAAGCGAGCTCTGGCGCTGTGACCTGGGTACGATCTCACGAATGCATGCGCACACCTTTGCGTTTCAATGCTTCGACCTCTCCATTCTTCCGGTCGAGTATAGCCGCACAACTTCGAGGGTTTTCTAGAGGGACGACACTGAAAGAAGCTCCAACGCCAGTAATCAAAGACCAAGTCAGGTCAAAATCCACCGACGATGACGCCGACGAAGAGGAGGCGTTTCACAAAAGTGAGAAGGCAGCCCAGGCATCTCAAGTCAATCTCAGCGCGAGATTGTCCAAGGAAGGGGCTGCAAGCTCGAGTGGCGGATTCGGTGAGGTCTGGCGGTTGATCAAGATCGCTCGACCGGAGGCGGGAGTCCTGGTGTGGGCTTTCATCTTCTTGCTCATTTCGTCCGCGATCACCATGTCTATTCCTTTCTCGATTGGGAAAATCCTGGATATTGCAACTAAAGGAGCGGCTAAGACAGACGGGTCGGAATCCGAAGAGAAATCCGAGATGCTTTTTGGCCTCACCTTGACAACTTTCTACACTGTTCTTGGTGCTGTCCTTGCGACTGGAGCGGCTGCGAATTACGGGCGCATCATCATCCTCCGGATCGTGGGAGAGCGAATTGTGGCTCGTCTCCGATCGAGGCTCTTTCGGCAGACATATGTCCAGAACGCCGAATTCTTCGATGCGAACCGTGTGGGTGACTTGATATCCAGACTCAGTTCTGACACTATCATTGTCGGCAAGTCCATAACCCAGAATCTATCTGATGGATTACGTGCCTTTGTTAGCGGTGCAGCGGGATTTGGCCTCATGGCGTGGGTGTCCCTCAAGTTGACAGGGATTTTAGCGTTGCTGTTCCCTCCAGTTGCTCTGGGCGCATTTTTCTATGGACGAGCGATCCGCAATTTGAGCCGGAAGATACAGAAAAACCTTGGAACATTGACCAAGATCGCTGAAGAGAGGTTGGGCAACGTACGAACTTCGCAAGCATTTGCAGGCGAAATCCTCGAAGTCCATCGCTACAACACCCAAGTACGCAAGATATTTGATTTGGGCAAACGGGAGTCCCTGATCAGTGCAACATTCTTTTCGACGACAGGCTTGATGGGCAACATGACCATCTTGACCTTGCTTTATGTGGGTGGCGGTATGGTTTCGAACGGAACGATCAGCATTGGCGAACTCACCTCTTTTCTCATGTATACAGCATATGCGGGTGGCTCTTTGTTCGGCCTCTCTTCCTTCTACTCCGAGCTCATGAAGGGTGTCGGCGCCGCTTCTCGTCTGTTTGAATTGCAGGATAGGGAGCCGACCATCTCTCCCACGAAGGGTGACAAGGTCGTGTCCGCTCGTGGCCCTATCCGCTTTGAGAACCTGACATTCAGTTATCCGACAAGACCAGCGGTTAAGATCTTCCAGAACCTGGATTTTGAGATTCCTCAGGGTACAAATGTCGCTATTGTTGGGCCTTCTGGTGGCGGCAAGAGTACTATTGCGTCGCTGATCTTGCGATTCTACACGCCCTCCGAAGGTCGTATCCTCATCAACGGCAAGGATATCTCAACCATGAATGTCAAGTCTTTAAGAAGAAAAGTTGGCATTGTTTCGCAAGAGCCAGTCTTGTTCTCTGGCACGATCGCCGAGAACATCGCCTATGGCAGGCCACACGCCACCCGAGCCGAGATTCTCCGCGCTGCCAGGAGAGCAAACTGTTCATTCATCGGCGATTTCCCCGATGGACTTGATACGCACGTTGGCGCCCGAGGTACGCAGCTGTCCGGTGGTCAGAAGCAACGCATTGCCATTGCTCGGGCTCTCGTGAAGCAACCAGACATTTTGATACTGGACGAAGCTACATCTGCTCTCGACGCCGAATCTGAGACGCTTGTCAATGAAGCACTGGCGTCGTTGTTGAAGGGTAGTAACACGACGATCTCGATCGCTCACCGTTTATCCACCATCAAACGATCCGACACTATTATATGCCTCAGCAGCGATGGTCGTGTCGCCGAGATGGGGTCATATAAAGATCTGAGCAACCGTCCAGATGGTGCTTTTACGAAACTCATGGAGTGGCAGATGAGCGGCGGTGAGGCTCCGCCAACGAACATGAACAACTTGGCCATTGGGGCTGAGCATAAAGGACCTCCAAATGAGCAGGATGAGATCGAGGCGGAACTGGAAGAACCCAATGACGGGGAGGCCGAAGACGAAATCGAGGGCAGCAAAGTGCAAGAGACGATCAAGGAGGCCGTGGAAGAGAAAAGGTGATTGATGCAGGTTTTTTCTGCTACAAAGCCGGTCGTGATTGAGCTTTCGTGGTATTGGGAGAGGACCTATTGAGTGCACCCAGCATTGAGTATCATGATGGCCATGCTGTATACATTCTGTTTTTATGAGTTGAATTATAAGTCTCTGCTCTGCAGCCAAGAGATGTTTCGTTCTCATTGCATGTTGCACGTGCCAGATCGCTACAATCCTAATGCTCCCACAAAAAATGACGTTGGTTCCTCAACTGCAGGAAGACTGCATGATGCATCCCCACCAACCTTCACAAAGGTGACAGGATTGCACACAGTACTCGTACTGAACACGGTCTTTCCTAGCATCGGGACCCTTGTTCTGTCTTTCTGCCATCCGCTCACCAATTCTTTATCCTTCCCCAGACTCTAAACCCACGGCAATGTCAGCCTCATCGACTCCATCGTGCCTCCCTCTCATTCCCGTTGGCTGAACGTTGTCCTGGGTGATTGACGGGCGGAGGGCTGGGTTCAAGAGAAGGATACAATACCACAATATTTCCAATCACGATCTATCCCAATCCAAATCACACTATGGCTGCCAATGTCCATACCCTGATCAGGGACACTCAGGATGTCACAGCCAAGGACTTGCTTGACACTCTGGCGCCTGTACAGATTCCCAATGTCAATTACAGCGAGAAGAGAACACCCAAGATCCGCAGCAAGTATCGCCATGTTGCAGCTTCGCACTCCAAGGTCCAGCCATCATGCCTCAGTCATGAGACAACAGATGCTCCTAGCTTCATAGGCTTCCGCAACCTCATGGTCCTTACCATCATTGTCATGAATCTCCGACTAGTGGTCGAGAATGCCCAGAAGTATGGCCTCCTCATTACCGTCAAGATGAATCTGCGAACGTCGGACATCAAGACTGCTCTAATCCTGTACGCCCTAAGTCCCTGCCACCTGTTTGTCGCCTACATCATCGAAAGAGTCGCTATGGAGAACGCCAAAGGTGTGGTTGGCCGGCGGAAAAAGGTCGACCCAGATCAAAGCGGACCAGAGACAGAGAAGGACAAGAAGGATTTCTACTATACCTGGTGGTGGATTGCTGTGGCTCATACTGCCAACGCCTCACTCGCCCTGTTAATATCTAGCTATGTCGTCTACTGTCATATCCACAACCCTGGACTCGGTATGATTAGCGAATTGCACGCCATCGTGGTATGGCTAAAGACCTGCTCTTACGCGTTCACCAATCGAGATCTCCGACACGCGATGCTGCACCCAGGTGGTCCCGAGTCAGCCTTGCCCGAGATCTATTCGAAGTGCCCTTACCCCAAAAATATCACGTTGCCCAACCTATGCTATTTCTGGTGGGCTCCTACCCTGGTTTACCAACCATACTATCCACGGACGGAGAAGATCAGGTGGACATTTCTCTTCAAGCGAGTCGGAGAATGCATGGCTCTCAGCGTTTTCATGTGGCTTGTTTGTGCTCAGTATGCGGTTCCCGTTCTGCGCAACTCGCTCGGTGGGATGGCGTCTCTCGACTTCTCCTCCATTGCAGAACGATTGATGAAATTGTCCACTATATCCCTCATCGTCTGGCTCGCAGGGTTCTTTGCCACGTTCCAATCGTTCCTGAACGCCCTTGCGGAAATCATGAGATTCGGCGATCGGGTGTTTTACGACGACTGGTGGAACAGTACCAACTTGAAAATGTACTGGGCGACATGGAATAAACCGGTCTACCACTTCATGCTCAGACACATCTATTCGCCTCTTGTTGGTCGAGGCTGGTCATCTCGGGCCGCCAGTGCCTGGGTGTTTGTATTTTCGGGATTTCTGCACGAATTGGCGGTAGGTGTACCTTCTCACAATATTCTCGGTGTGGCTTTCCTCGGTATGGTCCTTCAGCTGCCTTTGATACAATGCACGGAACCTTTGGCCAAGAAGGATGGCACCGGCAAAGTCATTGGAAATTGCATCTTCTGGATCAACTTCGTGTTTGTGGGTCAGCCGCTCGCAGCCATGATATACTTCTTCGCCTGGCAAGCAAAATATGGGGACCTAAACCAGTCCAGCGGCAAGTGACCCTCAAATCCACCTGTGTATAGTCATACCTCGTTGGACCTGGATAGTACGGCCGCACCGAATACCGCGTCCATTATGTGATATCTTCCAGCAATGCAGGACGCAGACAGAACAAGATAAAATGCATTGGTCAGCCCGCTGCTGCAATACTTTGCTATTTCTGACTCCCAAATTCCTCGATGGTGCGCCGTGCTGTTGCATGATTTGCTTCGTCCTGTTCTGTATCGAGTCAGATCCGGAGAAAAGGTGGTAACTTGTGATACGGAGCACTTCGAGACAACCACTTTCAAGTTGCAGCAAGTCCACGGCAATTGGTATTTGACAGCCCAACAGTAGAAATCTCGATTGACTCCATAAGCCTCCTAACGAAAAGCTCAAACGCTACAACGGTTGTGTACGAGGGACTTCGAATAGACAAGGAGGAACAATATCCATTTGAACCCGAAAATCCACAGCGGTCAGATAAGTGCCAGACTTTCTCTGAAAATCGCCTCAGTATGCTTGACACCCCCAACTACCTACCATGTACCCGGAAGCCTGCAGGCAGGACTCCCTTTTCTATCGACGTGCGCAGTACCCACGGATCAGTGGCATTGAACGCCAGCCACTGCCTGAACAATGTTCTTCCCTGCCATCTCCACACAAGATTAGAGATAATGCTCGTGACCGTGAAGACGCTGAGCGCCAATGCTACTCGTACCCCCTCGCAGGTCGATACCTTGGTGCCTGATCGGCAGTACGGAGAATAGAGTGTAACAAGAAAGGTCGGCAGCGCCACGAAGCAGATAAACGGAGGTATGCTCCAAATCGCCGCAGGTTGCCGTGGATGTCGTCGAAGAAGATGTCTGGGATCCTTGATTGGGGGCCAGTTTGAACGGTCTGCAAAAGCGAAGTTAGCAAGTTGTTGGGTTTACAGCCCTGCTCAGGATAGTGGTCTCGATATAGCATCCAGGTCGTCTTACCGTAGTCCAGAAAGACTCTGCGGACAGGTTCTGTTAGAATATTGAAGTCCACCGAGTGCGAGATATCCGCCGCGACTCCGCGCTTGCCCTGGCGCCAGCTCCATTGGTCGTGTGTCCAGAACGTGAGAGCAGTGTCGTATCGGACTCGGATCTCGGTTGGGCTCTCGCTCGGGCGTTTTAGTCTCCGGTTATGCGAATGTCATTGCGGAGGCGAATGGCAGCATAGCTTGCATTGGAACAGAGATAGCAACCATCAGCTGCGCAACATCATGCCAGGGATACCAGACATTCGAGCAGGCAGCAGCGCCCCAGGTCTTTCCCCGATTTGTTGCAGGGCCGAGGCAAGGTGGCGACCGCCCCCATGCCGGGAGGCTTTGCGAAATGCATGTGCTTGTCAAGTGTTCACGGTCAGGCTGAAGAAAATAAGGAGCGTAAGGCAGACATGGAAGGGGCGGTGATGCGGTGCACGAAGACTGTCGTCTGGAAGTGCTTGGCAAGAATGAGTCATGAGTTCACAAACACGTGACCCAACTGACTTGTGATATTGTTGTTACAGACCTTTAGTTTCGTGATTCCTATCTCACTCAACATACGTCCATTTACAGAGTACAGATCTCATCGTAATCACTTTCTTACTTTCGTTCTCCGTGGCCTTGACTGTGCTTAGACTCAAACTACGATCAACTGCTCACAACAGCCGCAACGTCAAGCTCAGTACCAAATCTGAGAACAATCCGCTACTTTGGCTTTTCATCATCCAACTAGACCGCCGACTTCATCCCTTCCATGACTTCAGGTCTGCTCTCACATGGCAGATCCCTACGATAACCAGGCGGATGGTGGTTTTCGACGGAGAAGACCACGGCCGATCACTGACTATGGCTCCTCCATAATACAGTGGATGAGCAATCGAAAGCCCGGATATAAGGGCAGCTATCACTACGAGCAGGAAAGGCCCAGTCTAAGCTATGTCGTCGATGTCTTAGCACCGCCTGCAAAACGCGATGTACCAGCCGAGTCAATACCTGTCCGTCATCTGCACACCTCACTTGGTAAATCTAAGAAACCTGTGACGGTCGTGCGATGGATGCCGGAAGGTCGTCGTCTTTTAGCGGGTGTTCACAATGGCGAATTCATGTTGTGGAACGGCATGTCTTTCAACTTTGAGACTGTTACTGCCATGGGCTCAAGTTCACTGAGAGCAGCCGAATGGTCAAATCGAAAAGATTGGCTTGTCGCGGCTAACGACGAAGGCACGGTCTACTATCTACAACCAACACTGAATAATCCGCACCAATTTAAAGGCCACGACGCTCCTATCAGGGACATCGCGTTCGCGCCTGGCGACACTAAATTCGTCACCGCTTCTGATGACAACACTTGCAAAATATGGGATTTCACTTCATCCACCGAGGAGTCCATCTTCAAAGACCACGGTTGGGACGTCAAGGCTTGTGATTGGCACCCCACTAAAGCTCTCATCGTCTCTGGGAGTAAGGACCACAGTGTACGACTATGGGATCCTCGCACATCGCGCAACCTTACGACCCTTCACGGCCATAAGAACGCCATTACAGCCACCGTCTTCAGCCGTCTACGTGACCAACTTCTCGCCACAGCTGGACGGGATGGCCAAACACGCATCTTCGATCTACGCATGATGCGTGATGTGGCCATTCTACGCGGGCACGATAAAGGTGTGACCACTTTGTCGTGGCACCCAATCCACCCCAGCCTGATTAGCACCGGCGGCGACGATGGCTCCTTGAATTCATTTCTCCTCACCGAACCAAACACGCCACCTGGCGTCTCATCAACCACGATATCACCCTACACCTCATCCGACCCACGGTCTGCACCACCTCAGTCGATTTACCCAGCCCACCGGATCCCGCACGCCCACGATTCCTCAATCTGGTCACTCGACTGGCATCCCCTGGGCCATATCCTAGCCTCCGGCTCAAACGACCATTACACACGATTCTGGACGCGCGCACAGCCCGGCCAGACGAGCTGCTTCAAGGACAAATACCATCTGGGCGAAGAAGGTGCAGAAGCCCAGGGCACTTGGGACCGCAAGTTCGGCAAGCAGCAAGCCAGAGAGCAAGAAGAGCAGGAGGCCGAAGACGAAGCCGAAGGTCTGGAAGATCAAGCCCCGTCCGGCGCACAAGCTGCCGTGGCGGGCTTCTCTATTCCAGGCTTGCCCGGCCTGTCGCACATGGGGACCAACGGCTCGTCCCAGCCAGCCCCATCTCTGCCTGGCATCACCAACATTCCACCACCACCAATGTCTCTCTTGCCTGGTGTGCCCAACAATGCAGCTGGAAATCCCAACGCCATGCCACAATTCAACGGCCCTCCCATCCCATCGATTCCAGGTGTAGATGCGTCCTCCCTGCAACGTCTCCTCGCCATGTCTCAACAGGCACCACCACCACCGGGCGCCGCACAACCACCCATTCCAGGCTCTCTACCTGGATTCCTCAATGCACCCCCCATTGACTTCTCACAACTAAACCTGCCTGTTGGCTTCCCTCCGCCGCCGCCGCCAGGCCAACTCCCACCCGGTCTTCCTGGTCTCGGCGTGCCGAATGCGCAGATGCCAGGAGGTATTCCTGGTCTTGCAGGTGTTGGAATGCCAATGGCAGGTGGAAGTGCTACGAATACGCCAACCGCGGCCAATGGTGCACGTAGACGAGCACCGCTACCGAGTCAAGATGCCGGGTTCAAAGCGGAGCAGGCCAGAGGCAATTACCGAGTTGCAAGGTAGTACCGTCGTTGACCCGGATAGGAGGAACATGTGTTGTTATTATCAGTCCATGACGGTCACATTTAGGGTGAAGACGGTTGTTTACGCAGTCTTGGATGGGGCTTATCTCAGGACTGGTGACGCGCAAGAAAGGAGTACGGGCAGGATACCAGGGTTTTCAAGAGACTGTTTGGCGTGCTTAGTGGTGCGCGACGCCAAACTCGGCCATGAATCTGCCAGGAGTCTAGGCAGTTTGTACTTCTATGTTCCGACCATGGATGTCATTCGCCTTTACGACAGTGAAAGGCTCCCCAAGGGGCTTCAATGCAAGTCGGGTTCTGAAGCTCGCTACCATGGATACCAAGAGGGAGGGTGCCTTCTCCGGTATTTGGTCCAATTCCTGTTATTCACTCGTCTCATCAAATCTACCATTTCAGCTGCTCTCATGCCTCGGCGTGTCCATATCAACGTCCACGCCATTCTCCACTGCAGCTCTCCCATGTACATGCTCACCACCGTCCGGCACACCGTCCACATCCATCAAGTCCGCCGTCATGTTAGGGTCCATATCTGTATCGCCTGCTCCTGTAACGTCTCTCTTGTCCTCGTTTGCACCTTCAAGTAACCAGAGTCTGATATCGCGGTCTCGGCCTCCACTGACCAGCAGACCTGTTCCGGACTTCGTTCTGCCGAAATCCACACCCAGCACGACATCTGAATGTCCTCTTCCGCGCCACAGAACCTCCTTGCTCGTGACGTCCCAGACCAAGACATCGCCGTCCTCACTCCCGCTCGCCATGAAAGCTTGCGTCGCGTGTTTCGATGAGTAACTTCCTACAACGCCTCCTAGACTGTATTTCTGATTAACGTGCCCTTGATATGTCTTGACACAGGTGCCCTCGGTATAGCGCCAGAGGCGAATGGAATTGTCTAGCGTCCAGGCGAGCACGTATTTTCCATTCGGAGTGAATCGCACACTCGTCACGGGTCTGCGATCCTCGTCGACGAGTGTCTTCAGACACTGGCCTGTGCCGGCATCCCAAATCCGAATCAATCCATCCCCCGCACAAGAGCATACCATCGTCCCGTCGCGAAGGAAGTCGACTCCGCCAACCGGGTCGGAATGGGCAGGAAGTGAGCGCATGACGCGTCCGGCGCGGACGTCCCAAAGGAAAACAGCCTCGTCGTACGAACCAGACACTAACATATTGCCCTTGGGACTGAAGGCCAGCGAGTAGACGTAGTTGCTATGTCCGATCAGAGGGGAAGGGGAGATTGGAAAGTCGGAGGACATTGGCGACCAGAGAAGGATAGACTTGTCGTCGCTTGCAGAGGCGAGCGTGTAGTTTGGTCCGATGGGGGACCAGGCTATGGCATTGACGCCAGCGAGGTGTGCTCGGAGCGTGCGCAGGTGCTTGAAGGGTGTTTCGGGAGTTGGATTTGGAGGGACGGAGTAAATGTTGATCGCATTGTCGGCGGAGGCGGTGGCTAGTAGAGTCACGTCGGGCGAGAACTTGAGAGATGTAATACCTCTGGCGTGCGCGCGCGGGATTGTCGAAAGAGGTGTGAATTTCAAGGACTTCGATTTTGCATTCCGTGAGGCGGAGCGAGAGTGGGATTGTGAAGGAGAGTGACCGAGAGGCGGCGAATAAGAGCTAGATCTTGATTTCGACCTCGAGTGCCGTCTTGCTCGTGAACGACCGGGATCATTCTGCTGCTCAGGTGCAGAGTCGTAGGCGGAGCTGCCAGTAGGACTTCTACTAGATCGTCTCCTCGAGCTGGACCGACTTCGCGATCGTCGCCGACGAGGTGTGCCATCTCGACTCGGGCCCCTGCTTCGTGAACTTGAGTATTCTCTCCTTCTTCTTGAGTCCTGTCTTGACAGCGTTGTTTCTGAATGGCGCAATGGAGGAGGATGCGATGGCGGAGCGGCTGAGGAGTTGCGAGAGGAAGAAGAGTCTGCATCCGAGGTTCGTCGTCGCTTTGGCGACGAGTACCGGTCTTGGTCCATATTGCTTTGGGAGAGTTGGCAAACGGAGGGGCGCAGGTATTATTCCCTGAGGGTTTTCAACAATATTGCGGAGGGAAGTGCAAACATTTGAAACACGACCACCACACGAGACACGACACACGGTATCGATAAACGCGCCAAGCTATAAATGCAGTACTAGTACTAAGTAGTACCTACTAGCACCTGAAGCCTCGGCAAGTCCTGCCGCTATGAAAAGTACCTGTAGTACGGAGATTCCACTTCTTGATCATATAAGTATCTCTCACTCGCTTCCTACACTTCTAATTGATTTCCGCCCAGCACTTTAGATCAAGGTGATCGTGCTCGGTGTGCAGTCATCGAAGTAATCGGTGACAAAGACCTGACCGAATCCAATCCTCCTGTATTTCTGGACGTCATGCTTGACTCCATCCTCGACTTGTTCTAGTATCAGCATGGAGTTTGTGGGAGGTAGACTCGGTCCTGGCCCGAATGGTTTGACAGCGATTTTGAGGCAGGTGATCATGGTCTTGACGTCCATATCATGCTTTTCGTCATCCAGATACCATCCAATTTGAGGTGCTGCGCCACTCAACCAACGTGGATACGTCAGTATGTCATTGCGCAAGAGTGCAGAAGATGGTATTGCTTTCAGGTGACCAGCGACGACGAGCTCAACATACTCAACGGGCCCAAAAGGATCGGGGCCCATCAGTGAGACCGAAGTGCACAACACATCTATAGCGCTCTCGAGGAATCCATCATCGCTTTGAACGTAGCCATCGCTACGATCATAGGTGATGATTCCATCCATGCTCGCCCATGACCATGAAGGAGCACGATACTCTCGAGCCCTTCTGGCCTGTGCATCCTGAGGTACTTGCCACGCAAGTCCAATATGTAGACGATGTCTCCACAATCCAGCAAGATACTCGCCTCCAAGGATTTCTTGGGCTCGCCGTGCCAGACCAGCAATGGCAATAAGCTTATCTCCCGGGTCATAAAGATTTCTTCGAGCGTAGTCCTCCACAATGCCGCACCAAGACAGAACATTGTGCACGTTTGGAGAGGGTTTGTGGGGGAAAGCATATCCGGACGTGCCCTCCCGGTTGAGGGAAACATGAAAGCGCCGGAATTGATCATCAGGGTCGAACTCCTCATCTGGAACTCTCTCACTCTCGTGCCGAAGGCATTTTACGCACTCGAAAAACACCTCCCTCTGGGTTATATGTAGTACTTGCCTCGAGATCTGTCGCTCTTGAAGGCACCAAGCTCGTCGTGCAACGGGCCCACGTCCAACGATCTCATCGAATGGCGTCCCTGGCGGACAGACATGCAGATTACCTATGGCGCCGAAATAATCACCACACGGTACCACGACACCTTCACGCTGAAGTTGGGATCGATGAACGAGAAATCCGTTGCGACAATCTCCAGAGTCGCTGGCTGAAATGACGAGAGCGCAGTTGCTGTAGATATCGCACATCCTGGATCCTTCATCCAGCCAGTCCTTCATGTTCCCTTGAAGAATGCACGGACAGTCGATCCATAGATATTCGAAACCCAGAGCGACTGCACTTGTGACGGCGTCTTGTAGTGTCTGTGGCATCCGGCATATCTCGATGTGAGGGTCCATACCTCGCTGGCACTCCTTGGCATACTCTATCCAGTCCCCAGCCGACTTCCCCCAGCAATAGCTCAAAGCAACGAAGGCATGTTGAAAAGATGGCGTTGTCCGAATGAGTTGTACCGCTCCTGAGTTGACATTGCCTAGATGTAACAGCCTCGATGGGTAGCGTCTTCTCATCGGATCAATTGCGTGACACTCGGGGTGTGCTTCTAGACAGTGAGATCTCCACTGCTTGACCTTTGCGATGAGACTCGAGTCGAGCGGTGTTGAAGCCAGGGGTTCGCGAACTTGAATGCCGGAAGACGCCAAAGGATCTCCTGCTCGCGGTCAGTCCTAATTTCAGGTTTCTTGCATCTTTGAAGAGTCCAATACCGGGATAGACATAGATTGGCACACTGACTGTGACACGCACGCCTTGCAGGGAATCACTCAACGGTGCATGTTGCAGGTGGTGATTTGGAGATTCACCTGCTACTTCCACGTCGATACTTTGGGGCCCGCAAGTGATAGAGAGATAAGATCTCTGGCTTGGCCTCTCCTGCAACGCATGCTCTTCTCCAGGCAGCTGCAGACCACGAGAGTATCTGGCGACTATAGGAATTCGGGAACGATGCTGTTCGTAGGTTGGATCACGGAGTATCTCTGTGAAGGGAGTCGAATCGATCTCTGGACGCAGGTAATCTACGAGAAGATGGCAGAGTGCACATATCTCAGCGGCCTTCTCCAGAGATAACCAACGGTCATGTAGCAAGTGACCTTGTCCCTCTGATAGCGACTGTAGTGTGATGCTGCTACAAGAACTGCAGAGGGTCATCTTCGACTTCGAACGTCGTCCACAAGGAAGGGCGGTGACCCGGTTGAGATGTTCTCGGGAAACTGCCAAGCCTGACCCTGATGGGGGCCAATGTCTTGTCTGGCTTGTCCCAACGTAGATAGGTCTGTCGAACAAGAGCGCAGCATCTTAGCATGAGAGGAAGGGTTTGTATGCGCTTGTCAGAAGTCGCGGCAGGCCTGCCGCTGGAGAAAGTCTCCAATAAGACTACCTAGGTAAGTACCAGGTAGATACCTACGAGTACTGTTGGACGAGACGCCAACACAGCTTATCTCCCACATTTTGCACTTCTTGACATACCTCACTGACTTCCTTCGCTTCTGTCCCCTTCGGCCCACTGCCTCAACACATTCTTTCTGATCTTTCCAGTACTCGTCTTCGGCAGTTCGTCCACCACCTCACACTCCTTTGGCACCATGAAGCGACTGATAGCCGGATGCCCCCTGCACCATTCGATAAAGTCCTTATTTGTTATGGTTCTCCCCGTCTTCAAGGTGATAAACGCCTTCGGCCTTTCTCCCCAGTGCTCATCTCGAATAGCACAGATACCACACTCAAGGATATCCGGATGCGTCACAATAGCCGCTTCGAGAGCGACAGAGGAGATGTTTTCGCCGCCTTCGAACATGGTCAATACTTCTTTCCCTGACTCGGGTCATCCACAACCGTACTCACCGGAAATGATTATGTCCTTCGTCCGATCCATAATCTGAATTGCTCCGTCCGGATGCCACACCGCCAGATCCCCACTGTGTAATGCACCACCAGCAAACAATTTCCGCGTCGCCATTTCATCTTTGTAGTACCCTCTTGCGCAGATATTCCCTGAAAACACCACCTCGCCGATCTCCTTTCCATCTTTCTTCACATCCACCAAGACTCCTTCAGCCACATCATCCCCCGTCTTTATCACCTGCACGGGCAAGCTCGTAATAAACCCATGTCCCTGTCTTGCCAGCCTCCCATACATCTCATTCACTGGCAAGTCATGGTAAGCTGGCATATCATAGCCTCGCGTTATCGGCGCATACGTCTCGGTCGACCCGTAAACATGCACGGGGTGCAAATTCAATCCTGTCATTGACTGGAACAAATGCGCCGTAGGCGGGCTCGCTCCCACTATTACACGAACTTCCTGCTTTAGCGTTTGCGCACTAGGATCTGCGCATAATAGCGTGTTGACCGTGGGTGCCGCGCAGAAATGCGTAATCTCCTCTTCTCGAAGTAGTTTCCAAATGTAAGGGTAGTCGATCTTACGCATGCAGTAATGCGTACCGCGAGCAGCGGTTACGGCCCATGGGAATGTCCAGCCCATAGCGTGGAACATGGGCACAATCCAAAGATATTTCGAGCGTCTGGTGCCTTGCAAGACAAGGCCGGACTCAATGATGTTGCCGAGTGCACTCATGTAGCAGCCACGATGGGTATACTCGACACCCTTAGGGCGGCCCGTGGTGCCAGAAGTGTATGTCAGAGCGTTGACTGCGAGTTCATCGTCGGCGAGCGATGTGAGACCCTCCCAGCCATAATTCCCGTGCTGCAAATCGTAGGCTGCGCCTTTGGCGAGGGCGGAACCGAAAGCACCGGATTCGTTGGCAGCGTCATCGTCGATGAGAATGCGGACATGAGGTTTTGCGGCGCGATAGTTGTCCAGCAGTGGCGCGAACTCGGCGTCAACCAGAATAAAGTCAGCATCGCTGTGTTGGAAAATGTAGCTGATGTCGTCCGGCTTGAGGCGGTAATTGACCGGAATGACGACACCATCAGCGGCATTGGCGGCGAAGGTTGCATATAGGAAAGCTGGGGTGTTCGGGCACAAGATACCGATACGACGGTATCGATGCTTCTTGAGATAGTAGGCAAAGTCAGAAGCTTTTCGGGCAAATTGGCTGTAGGTCTTGGTCAGGAGCTTGTCGTCGGCAGTTTTGTGGTAGATTGCAAGAGCATCAGGTTCAATGGCAGCGGCGCGAGGAAGAAAGAAGGTCGGCGTCAGACTATGGTAGTTGAACCACTTTGAGGTGCCGCGGGCGTGGCCGTCAATCACTAGAGGGTCATTGGAGCCAGGAGGGACGGCGGCCGGCGTGGAGCTCGAGTCGACAAAGTGCCCAGCGAGCTTGGTGAGGCGGGATTTAGCTGATGCCATGACACTTACCTCTGTCCAGCGATCCTATCTGCCAGATGGAAGGATCATTTGATGACAAGTCTCGCGCATCTTTTAAGTCACATTATTGCAAGCAGACGGTGTGGCTTGCACAGCTCGAGCTGAGCATACAAGCCTGAAGGAGCTGAAAGCGAAGCGGGATGTGAACAGAACAATACGAGGTAGTTGAGCTTCGCGTGCTGACATTGGTCGGGCGACCGGCCACGAATGCACCATTTCGGCAGGGGTGAATGGCATCCTGGGGTCCAAGCGGCTTTTCCCCTTCCCGTGTGGCGCAGATACCCCGTGAAGACCGCATTGTGGGGGTCCACCGTCGGTATGAAAGAGTTGTAAAGATGTGTGAGAGGTAATGTCGGAGAAGTAGGAAATAGTTCACATTACAGCGCTATGGAAGCGGCCAAATGAAGCAGCGCCGCTTAGGTGACTACTACAAGTACCTTAGGACAGTACCTAGGCATATACCACTAACAGCAACGTTAACTTGGCAAGCTTAAGCACCTACCGGTAACCACCAAGCCGACCTCGCCAATCACCGTGTCCAGCAGGTTGCCGCCCGTGAAGATTTTGGTGCATGCGAGGTATGAATTCATATATTTACAGCTTTGACCGTGGTCCGCCAGACTGCTCGTGTCCAGTGGTGCCCAACGCCAAAGCTTCCAGTCTTCTCCTGGCATTTTCTTCACCTTCTCCCATCACAATTTCTTCACTCTTCCAATCAGGATTGAAAGTCAGCATGTTCAGCGGATTCTCCTTGTGAGCTTTGTGGAAAAGCCTGTTGTACACATCACCATCGTAGCTGCCCAAGGCGCTTTCGAGGAGGTAGTCTGGGACTGACCATGCATCCACCAACTTGACTGCATGTGGTCTGACCTGGGCCATCAGCTCCTCTATCGCCGGCGTTACCATTGCAAGTCGTTCAACACTAAGCGCTTTTGATAGCAAAAACTCCGATGCTGAAGTGTCAAGCGTAAACAATGCGAACAGCCGGAACAATATCCTCATGATAGCCAAAGTCTTGTCATCCAGTGGCGGGTCTGGCGTTGACGCGAATACGGCATTGTAGAAGTTCAAGACAAGCAAGCTTTCAGAGTGTGCGCGACTGAGCCGATGCAGGCTCAGCATCATGCTGGTCCAGGGTTTCTTCTCAACCACTCTCGTATGATACGCCTGGTAAGAGAGGTACGATGCTCTGTGCTTGAAGGCCTCGACCAGCTCTGTCTCACTACTCAAAATGTCATAGTCGCGAGCCCTGGACTTGTTGGCCACGAAGTCCAGGAATTGAACGTCCACACTCTCGGTAGGGTTCAAACTGGGATTCTTCGCCACCTCGGTCATTCGTTTGATCAGATATGCTGCAGTCTGCTGGGTGATCATCCAGTTGTCTCCTTCGACAGTGGGCTTGGACAGATATTCATTGTTGAGTGCAATCATACCACTGCCTCCTCCAAAGCCATGACCTCCCATCGCTCGTCGACAGGTTTCGATACCATCAGCCGCAAGCGTGGTGCACAGGGATTTCAACCCAGACGAGGCGGCATGCATTTCTGCAAGCCTCGACAAGTCTCCCTTCTTCTCAATGGCTTCACGTGTGCCATAGTAGAGCTTGTACATGGCCTCTCCTGTATAGTGCAGAGCGAATGTCGTGGCCAGAAGTGGCAGAATGCGGATTTGGACCGTTGGGTAGTTGAGGACAGCCTGTTCAGGCGCAGCACCTTTGGAATCTCGATCGGAAAACTGTCGACGTATAGACAGGTAGCGCGCGGCAATGGTGACGGCTCTCGCAAGGACAAGTCGAGCTTGCATGATGATCTGAGCACGCACAAAGGTCAAAGAACCATAGACAAGAGCCGGATTATCGGGCTTCATATACGTGCCGTGCTCCGAATCCACACCGGAATATTTTGAGAGAAGTGCTGAATGGGGTACTCTGAACTGGTCGAAGAGCATGTAGCCGTTGTCCATACCAGGATAGCCATATTTAGGACCGATGTCGCCAATCACGATACCACCCAATGGCTTGTTGGTCTTCATGTCACGGATCTGCACGATGAACTGATGGGGCCCTTGGGACTTGTACTTTCCGTTTTCGGGTAACAACAGTTGAGCAACGACAATGGCATGGTTGGCAGTCCGACCCAGGGCGCCGTTCCACCATTTGCTGGCAGTAATGGTAGGGCTGTGGATGATGAACTCCTTTGTCTTGGGATCCCACCTCGCTTGACATTCGATTCCTTTCACATTACTACCATGACCCAGTTCAGTCTGGCCATAACAGCCGATGATCTCCCAGTTTTCGACCTTGGGTTCCCAATACGCCTTCTGCTCGTCGTTGCATTGTTCTCGGATTGATGTGGCGAACATGGTGGCCTGGAGGGCGTACGGACCCATCTCGTCCATCAGGTAGTCTGCCATGATGTAATCGTCTCGGTTCCAGCCATGCTTGAGCGAGAGCCTTCTGAGCGTTTTTGCCCGAGCTAGGCCAAGATGATATCTGTCGGGTCTGGCCATGTTCAGCTGGTTCTTCTTGCAGAAGATGGGGATAGGCTCCAGTATTGATAGTATCTTCTTCTGTCGTTTGAGAAAATCGTTCCTCGAGAGTAAGTGGTTTGCCAACTGGTCGACATTGACGTTTGATCCCTCCCTTTCTTGGGACAGAATGCTCGACCCTTGAGGCTCAGCCGGCCGAAGTTTGTCTGTGAAATCTGCCATGCTGCCCGACCGGTGCCTGTCGCTGCTATCGCTATTGCCGAGTGGCTCGCACAAGCAGATTGCAAGAAAGAAATGTCGGGAAAGAATGAAACCTTTGACAGTGCTCAACTTGGAAGAGTCGCTCCCCCTCATCTTCGTAACCGGTTCATGCTCCGGCAAAGAGCCGAGGCTGAGTCGCCCGCACGACTTCAGCCTCCGTCATTGGTTCTATGACATCTTCAATTGGAGAAATCGCCGAGAAAGGTCGCACGAGTAACGCCGAGGGTTATATACCAAGATAGTAGGTACTTTCAACGATCGACCATGAGATTCAAGTCATGATTCCCAGGACGAGAAGAGTGACTTGAGAATGAAGGAGCCAGTCCCCTTCAGCAGGACCGATTTCATCCCAAGTCATGTTGGCGATGATATCCTTCCCGCCGACCCATTATTCACTCGCTTGTTGACGTTAGCACACCGTCCTCACCCTCGCCCAGCGATCCGCGATGTCAATGCTGGGATTGAGAGGACTGCGGCACAACTGCTTAGCGATGTTCTGAAGTTTCGCCGTATTGTACGAAAGTCACTCACGCCACGAACCATTGACGACCTGCACAATGGCCGAGAGGTCTACATCAGCCTCGTCGCGCCTGGAGGCTATGAATTTACCGTCGGTGTCCTGGCCGTTCTAGCACTAGGTGCTGCAGTTAGCCCTTTTAGCAGCGCCCAGCCTGTGAAAGAAGCATGCTACTACGTCAACAAGGCACGATCTGTCGCTGTTTTGGCGGCCACACCAGCTCTCTCACTCGGCCAGGCTTTAGCCAACGAAATTCGAAGCACGACGAACTCAGACTTCACTTGCATCCCAATAAACACCATCGAGCAGGCTGACCCTTTCCCTTTGGAGACCATCAAGATCTCTTCGAACCGCTTTCAGGACCCTAATGCTCCAGGTGTCGTTATCTTCACTTCCGGTACTACAGGCCCGCCAAAAGGTGCTGTACTGTCTCGAGCAGCGATGATCAACGGCGGCATGTCCTTCGCGCAGAACGTCGGTCTCCAAGAAACGGACGTGTTACTCCATTTGTTGCCCGTTCACCACGCCACAGGCATATGGGTATCATTCTTCCCGTTCATCCAGTCTGGGGCATGCATCGAGTTCAAATCAGGCGGCTTCGACCCGGAATGGACATGGAATCGCTGGAGGAAAGGCGGTCTGACGCACTTCACGGGCGTGCCCACCATATACATGCGCATGATGCGATACTACCTCGAGCACGCAACCAAGCTTTCTCCAGCCGAAGCCGAGTCTTTCACAGCCGCCGCGGCAGCATTCAAAGTATGCATCTGCGGGACATCTGCATTGCCCAAACCAATCAGTGACTTCTGGACAACACTCATGAACGGGCGGCGAATAGTGCAGAGGTACGGCTCGACGGAACTCGGAGTTATTTTCAACATGTCTGTTGACCCAACCGAAGAAATCCCTGACGGATCCGTGGGCGAGTTGACGTACGGAGTCGATGTAAAGCTCTCCGAAGGCGATGAGGGCGAAGTCCTTGCAAAGTCCTGCCACATGTTCTCAAAGTACCTGCACGATCCCGAAGCGACCGCCAATGCACACGATGCCGACGGATACTTCAAGTCTGGCGATGTGGCCCGACGAGAGGGAAAGCATTATTTCATCGTTGGCCGGGCGTCAGTGGATATCATCAAGTCTGGAGGATACAAGATCTCCGCATTGGACATCGAGAGGGAGCTACTGGCATTACCTTACCTCGGCGAAGCAATGGTCGTTGGTGTCCCAGATGAAGAGTTCGGTCAGCGTGTCGGCGCGGTGGTGTCTCTGCGCACCGACGAAGTGGCACAACAGTTCTATAACGAGAACAACCGAGGTCCAGACTCCCTGAAGCTGGACGACCTTCGTGCCGATGTGCGGAGTCGCCTTGCAGGGTACAAGCTTCCGACACTGCTGCGTATCATCGAGGGCGAATTGCCCAAGAGTGGGACCGGTAAAGTGGTCAAGAAGACCCTTGGACCACTGTACTTCCCTGCGAATTATGGGGAAGACAGGGAGGTCCAGGTCTGGAGTAGTCGGAGGCCAGCTGGATCTAGCAAGTTATAGCCTGGCCAAGATTCCATAGAACCGAGAAGATGAAAGAGGCATCACAAGAAGTTGGTCAAAGAGCATGTGAGATGGAAAGCAAGATATGAGTTTTCTATAATTCTAGAACTGAATGGGAACACAGGCCTTCGTCTCACCAGTTGCCAACGTGGTGAGGAATTCTTGCCTCATTAAAGTGTCTAGAGGCCCGAAAACTTGCGCATAGGGGAGAAAACACGAAATCTTCCAAAGTGCTTTGTGTGACTTCTACTGCCAATTTTGACCGCGATGATGGGTCGTGATCGTCACCGTGTAGGTCACGGCCGGAGCCGTAATGGTGGCAAAGACTGTAGTTGCATTGCAGCCGTTGGTAGTTGTGCCTGCGTCGCTGGATGTCGTAGAGCTTGCCGAACCAGTTGTGACAGGGTCGACCTCGAATGAAGTTGTGGCCGACGTGGTAGTGGTGTTTGTGATACTGGTAACGCTTGTGGTAGACCAAGAGCTTGTGGTACCGTTGGCGGACGAGCTGGACGTCGTATTCGAGCTGAGAATACTCGTCGGCGAACTCCAATGCCAGTGAGGCCGAGTGGTGGTTGTTGTGGTTGTGGTTGTGGTAGTGTTATGAGAGTGTGAGTGATGGCCGTGCCGACCACGACCTGCATGGATGGTGCTTGACGACGAGGTTGAGTTTGTGCTTTGCGACCCAGTTGTCGTGTTAGTGGAAGAGGTAGGCATCGCAGTCGTGACAGGGCCGACCTGGAATGTAGTTGTGAGTGATGTACCAGTGGTTGTGGAGTTCCCAGTACTTGAGCTTGTGCTCGAGCTTGACGTAGTATTTGTCCAGGTTCCCCATCCCGAACTCGTGCTTGTCGTAGACGTCGTGTTCGAACCTGGGAGAGACGTGATGACTGGACCGACCTCGAACGAAGTTGTGGTTGTCATACTTGTCGTCGAGCTTTGCGTGGTGGAAGCAATGCTCGAGGTTTGCGTTTCGCAGTTGTCGTTACGAATCAGAGCAACGTAATCAGTGTTGTTTATGGCTCCAACCGTACTTCGGAGAGTTCTGCAATTGTATGAGGTTGAATTCAAGTCATAAACGACACCCACACAGTATCCCGCGCCACGATTAACGTTCAGTGTATCGCAGCGATGGGCACATGCAGCGGGTGATGCTTTCGTAGTTGTATCATCGACGAAACTCGAATCGTCGTTGTATGTGGTGCTACACAGGAAGGTATACGTAACACAGGAGTCAGTGTTGCTCGAAATGACCTTACCGGCATAGGGACAGGTGCTGGGGACGGAGCTGGTAGTAGTCGGAATGCTGGTTGTAGAGGTGGTAGTGGACGTGGTGGTTGTAGCTGAGGATGTTGTAGTGCTGATACCGTCAGGGCTCATGTCTGTAGTTGTACTGGTGGTGGTGGAAGTCGAAGTCGAGCTGGTGCTGGTGCTGGTGGAAGTCGAAGTTGAAGTCAAGGCCGAAGTCGAAGTGCCACTATGTCTGTGGTGTGGGTGAAACCTTCTGTTACCCCAGTCGGCCCATGCCATAGAAGCGTCTGCTTGTTGAGCAGAGACGGTAGAGATAACAGCCGTCAAGCCTAGCCATAGGGCGGGAGAAAGAATGACTGAACGCATGATGAATGCGTAGAATTGAGTCTAAACGAGTGACTATTTGAAGCGAGCGACGGAAAGACGACTGAACGAATGAATGATGGTTTGGCTTGAAGACAGGAAAGGTTGGGTAGCTGGCAAGGCGAATATATACAGGAACACCACTCACCACGAAATCCACCCTGACGGGGGTGATTCATAGTAATCTCATTTCATGCCCTTGGACAGCGGTGTCCGTCGGTCCCTGAGCAACGTGCGCGGCGGACCTCGAGGAAATCTGCTGTATCTGTGTGGAAGGGATGGAACGACATGTACTCGAAGCAAGGGAGTCGTTCAATTAACAACAAACAATCCCAATTGTGCCCCCAAAGATAGAAAAGACACCATTCCAGTGGCAGATCTGCAGGGAGGGGATGTTTCAGTCAACAGCTCAGCTATTTGATACCCCCGTGATTTGGGTGTCACTGAATCAGGTCCTGAATTCCTCCCTTTCGACAGGACGCGATGCGGCAAGACTTGGTCTGTGTTTTCCGCTACGCGAATCTTCTCGGGGTAATCCTTGTGAAAGGAATGGACATACTGCGTCCGCCATCATCAATGTTGCCATAGAATCCTCAAGGCAGACGATCAAGGCCTGCTGGATTGGTGATGTGCATCTCAGGAATGACGGGGAAGGCTCCCACAAGTAAGCGATTAATCCGAACAAAGACAGCATCACAATCATCCGGCGTGTTGGCAATATGAGTACGCCGGCCTTGACATCAAAGGGACAAAGTCAGGGTCCTGTATGGTTGTGGTGGGAGCCAGAGTGTACCTAGGTAGTAACCTGGCCTGTAATGTAAGATTTGAAAAGAACCTTTCGGAGCCGGAAGAACGTTTATGACTGGCGCGACCAGCCCTGATCTACCAACCTTGTTTGTGTCATATGCAACCTCCTTTGATGGTTGCACGACCGACCTCTTGCCAGGATAATGCTTTGAGATCATTCAGACAGGTTCACTTTGTCTGTTCCGTTGGTCTTTTCTACCTTGAGCTTCTACACCTATGTGATCAATTGTCGCTCTCCAAAGGAGCCTCTTCGCCGGAATGGGCGTCTGCCTTTCATGCTTGGGTCTGCGTCGCAACGACCACGAAGAGGTATGAACTCGACTCTCGGTGGTTAGGGTGTACCATGCTAAACACATCTCGCGCAGGGAGATCGATCTCGCCTCCTCTACGATGACCTGGGCACGAACCATGGCTACGGAACGTGGGGCGCATCAAACGTACCTGCGCAGAATGTCATGAGCGCAGAAGAAGTCCAGCGGGAGCAGGAAGCGCTGGACAATATCACAAGATGGGCGAGCGAGTACGTCGTCTCTATCTCCATGAGAAATGATACTAACATAGAAATCAACAGCCAAATCGTCGAGATCTTTCCTCATCAACACAAAAGCCTGACAATGTCCACCTCTCAGATTAATGGACATACCGAGAACGGCGGGCCATCTTCCACGCACCACGATATCCTCCTCTCTCTGATTCCCGGCGACAAGTCGAAACGCTCCATTCGGATATACCCTGCCTCGAGGCCAACGTCGAAAGATGCAAGTTCTTTACGAAGCAAGAGTTCGTTTGGGGGTCTGAACGGCATGAGCACGAATCCAGATCCCGTCCTTGTAACGCTCGATGTCAACATGCCCTAAGCAACAACGTCGTACGTCTACCAAAGAGCATTCAAGGCGATAGTCAGAGAGAGTTTTGATGCTGGAGCAATGCTGCCGAGCAATTTGTCTACGCGGTCCTTATGAAGCCGGCTCATCCCATGGACGGCGATCACGGCACCGCACAATCCGATGCTCAGATATTCAGCAAGGACGGAATGCATACAAGCTATGTGGATGGCCAAAAACGCCATTCCACGATCATGACCCTCACCAGATAAAGCAGGGTACTCAACGTCACAGATGGCCTTCTGTTAAGCCATGATGTCCCGCCTGGAGCGGTCCAGCACCGCAAGAGCAGGAGTGGAACGCCGCGTGCTGCTCCTTGCAGGCGGCCACTTATCTTGAAGCAAGGGAGCGTTATCAGGGGACAGGAACGCAGCACGAGCGATGAGATGGTGTTTTGATGCGTGTATAGCACGTGGGGTGTGTCTGGGTGTCTGCTCACACCAAGCTGTGCTCTGGCCAGAATCAAGGTCCAGGTTTGGCGCGACATTCTGGTGAAGAAGGAATCTATGTTGGATCATGTGTAACAAGACATATTAACAGGGCCGGAAAGCGATTTCGTATGCTGGATTGGACAAAAGCGCTACCTAAGTAGTTTGGGTATCTCTGTGGAATAGTATGGACTAATCTGGGGTATCTCAATTGACAATCATAAGCAAGCACTATCCGTCCTGCCGTAGCCTAACCGTCTGTGTGTTTGCAGCCGATGCTGACTGCTGAAAAGGAGTGGAATTTGTTGTGTGAACGAGTATCTGGGGCGCCAAAAGGGTATATTGGTTTATTAGACGCTGATCGAAAAGAGGTACTCTGAAATGAGATGGTGATTGGGGAGCCGAATCCAGGTCAGCGTGCCATGTGTGTTGCCACCTGAAATGGCTGGAGGCTCAAGCTTTCCCAATTTGCTGAGGTCGGCGGCGTCCTTTGCTGTACCTCAGAATGCGATATTGATGAATCAAGCAGCAGTCGCAGGTCGGGAGACGGACTCCTTGTTCGCAGGCTAGGCTACAGGTGTCTCAGTTGAAGCTGGCTCGGCCGGTTTCGAGACAGGAGGAGCGTCGACTGGTGCAGCGCCTATGCTATAGTGATCAGTCTTCCATGATTGGTTTGATATGGTCCGTGTTCATTGTCACTTACCAGCCGGAGCTACGGTTGGATCACTAGTGGTTGGCTTGCTGGTATCGACTGGCTTGGGTACAGCGGCGGAAGCGGTTCCATTGGTTTTGGTGCCGGCAGTCGACGACGGTTTGTCCTCCTTCAAGCGCTTGAAGAGCGCCTTGAGCTTATCCATCTTGTATGTTGTAGGATATGAAGAAGCAGTTGTACTAGAACTGATTGAAGGTGAGTTTTGCGCCCGCAGAGTATGGAAGGGTGAAAGAGTAGATGAATGGGTGTCAAAGAGAAGTCCGAGTGTCTTCTAAGAGACAAGAGGGGTTTTGGTATCTGGGGAGGTTCAAGCTTTAAGTAGGGCGGTGGTCTTAGATAGGATGTGGCCGGGATAAGATGGACTGACTTGTTCGCGTATGTTAGTCATGCAAGGTGGGATGGCTCGGTTGGATGGGGACGCAAGCGCGATGGCTTAGCAGAAATGATGCAGAAGATGGTAAGAGGGATGGACAAAATCGATTGGGATGATCGTCTTGTGACAAGAGTCAGCAGGAAGCGAGGTGGAGGGGTGAAGCAGGGAAGGTCAGTGTAGCGGACAAGGGTTGTGGAAGTCTGATACCAGACGATAAGTTGTAAAGGTTTAGCTGGATGGCATCGGTGTCTTTTAGGGATCTTGGGTGCTGTGCAAGGGCATGCGACAGCCTAGGGAGCCTCTCATATCGCCGTTTGCGTTGAACTGGAGTCTGGGCGGTGGGCGGACGTCGTTGAGGCATTTGAGTTAAAATAGAAGATAAGCCTGTACCATGCCCTCTTTGGTCAGAGGCTCCCTAGGCTTGACTCGAAGTCCTTCCGGCGCAATCCGGGGTGGTGTTTCGTGTCTCGGTGCGAGTTCTTCAAGGCTTGAGGACGATCATGAAACACAGGCCCAATATCCTGGTCTCTTTTGATGTCCATGGTTTCACATTTGACTTTGTTCTTTCATTCATAGTACTGCGAGTCGCCGAGGCAGGGTTGACTCAATCGATGGCACCGCCGCCGCCAACCTTCCGTCCGCTCACCTTTAGTCTATTCGATCGTCTGCAACATGGTCATTCGACTGGCCGATAACATTCCAGACTAACCACCTTGGAAATGCCGTGTGCAGTCCCAGTTGTGCTGCTTATCCTCCATCGCGGCACCCTAGCCTCAAGTTACAATGGTCACTAGGTCGATACGATCACAAGTGCTTTTCCTTGACCAAAAGGAAAACTTATGTGCCCAGCGGACACGGCGGACATCATCATGACAACACATCTATGGCGCGAACTCCGTGGACGGATGGTTCCCCTAGCGTGTCTCGCAACAATTCCGCTGTAGTTGGAGAACGTCCCATGAACCTTCCCCCGCCTTTGGAGCAGAGATGTTTGGAGATATGTACATACAGCACATGGAGGGGCCGACAAGCCCGAGGCGGATGAGCAACTGTTGTTCTGTGTCCTTACGAAGAAATTGTATGAACCCGAGTGCTCGAGTCCAGCTACCTGGTACAGCAGATTTGTTACAGATCATCTATTCAGCAACAGAAGCATCATCGCCATCATGCGTCTAGACTATGTTGATAACCCTCCCACCAACCTCTCCTCCGAGGATCAAGAGGTCCTCGAGCGGGTGAAAGCTCGTCGAGGGGCCATGGGTCTGATTCCTCTTGATTTGACGTTGCTGCATGCCCCCAAAATCGCAGATGGTACGTCCATCCTGTATCAAATCGTGACTCTGACTGATCTCTCGTTCAGGCTGGAATGCTCTCTTAGGTGCTGTCCGCACGAAGAACTCCCTCCCAGACGATATCCGCGAGATCGCCATTTGCCGTCCTGCCCTGATCAACAAAGCCTGGTTCGAGTGGAACGCGCATTGCCCCATACTGCTCAAGTCCCAAGGGTTCTCGGAAGATAAACTCGACGTTGTTAAACAGCTTCATCCCAAGTCCAAGGGTGCGCTCGACGATCGTCAATGGGCGGTCTTGAGATATGCCGATGCCATGACTCGAGAAGTGTCAGTACCTCAGAGCCTTTTCGATGAGGTCAAGGCGGCCGGTCTCAGTGAACAACAGATGGTTGAGCTCACAGCGACAGTCGCCAGTTATAACATGGTCAGCCGCTTTTTGGTCGCGCTGGACATTGGCGAGCAAAACAATAAAAAGCCAGAGTGGGCGATTGTTGAGAATTGAAAAAAACTGGTCGAAGAAATATGATACTTACCATGGAACAGCCCGAACGCCGGACCAGTGCGGAGGGTGTGCTCGAGTATGGTTCTCAGTATGGTGCTCAAGCACAATATGACAAAATAATCTTCTTTGTTCTGGCCATTGAATGCGCCTGTCTTGGTGTTTCCCGACCAAGTGACTTTTTTCGAGACATCATGTCCAGGGCGAGTTGCATTCTTCCGTCCACTCCTTCCATGCTCCCGTATCAAGTCTCCGCCTGCACACCAGGAAAAGACTGTCTGTGGGACTATTGGGCAGCACCACCTTGACTTCGTTTACCCGGCAGGATCGTGGTACCGTCGACATCAGAGGATCCTGTTGGCTGAGAGAGCTGCAGACCTGGAGCTCGTTTTGTGTGTAGACAGCATCATGGCATGTGCCTTCTTCGAGTTCCATGACCTTACGACAGACACGCGCCGCAATCCTGGAATCCCAGATCCCCTCCCGGTGAGACGTGGACTCGAGAAGCTGGATAGCCTGCAGCCTGACTCGAGGGACGCGGCACTTGAGAGCCGTGTAGTAAAGTGGTGGGATCCAGCCGATGTCAATGACAGACCTTGCCATATTCAGGCCCTGGCATGAGGCCTGTGAAGTTACCGTCGCCGGCCGCGTCTCTTGGGGGTTTGAGGAATCGTCGCAACTCGGCCGCGTCCCCCTGTGATTTGAAAAGACGGCCACGATTGCGACGAATTGTTCCGTGTATGAGTCAAAGATGGCCTCGTCATAGCCGTGGAGACAGGCGTCTGCCATGATGGTTGCCATCGTGTGATAGCCTCTTAGTAGCTCGCAAATGAAAGGTTTAAGCTGCGCCTCCTTCCGCAGAGCTTCAGCAGAAGCCTCGAATGCGTCAAGCCAATGTCTCAGATCTGCATTGATGCGTTGCTGACAACTGCTCAATGTGGAAGGATATTGACTGGACGCAGTTTGAGAGCTCTTTGGCTGAGACGCTTGCTGAGATAGACAGAGTATTCTGTTCAACAAACCGTCCATTCCTTTCGAGGCTTCTGTGACGGTGTCGAACCTGATAGGTGAGGACACCAAACGAGGCTGTTGCAGGACCAGGCAAGGTTCTTGGTACGTCGAGTTGAAGAGCTCAACCTGCACATGTAGCCTGTACAACGCTTCGACAATATGTTCGTCAACGACTTCACCTCTAGCCTGCAAAGGGAGAACACTGCTGTTTCCACACGTGGAACCTCCTGCTCTCGTCTCGGCCAGCACCTTCAAGCCATTTTGCAGGTGGGCTTGGGCTGTTTGGAAGTAGCCACGAAGAAATTCGAGGCAAACAAACAGTACGCAGGCGACCAAGGCGATCCGAACGGAGTTCCTATCACGCTTCGAAAGGAGCGGGCGCAGATGCCTGATCGCCTTGAGATATTGTTGCAACAAGAAGGTCTCCTGGTTGTCGAGGTTGTCGGTAGTACTTTCTGGATTGTCGTCCGTACAGCAAATTGCACTTTTATGGACGCAGCTCAAGGTGAGTGCAGCATGCAAGACTGCCGGTTCGCTCAAACAAGCTTGAAAGACGACGGTGTTCCAGAAGGACGCTGAAACGAACATGCCCGGTATCTTTGTCGCCGTCCGACATCTAAACCAGTCGTAGTGGTGTCCCTCCTCGAGACCGATAGCGAGGATAGAGATGCACGCTGGTGGCGACGGACTGACGCTGGCACTAGCACTGGAGGTCGCCGAGGAACGGGTTGATGCTGCACGGTAGGCGCAGAGACTGCCTCCGCCCCAAATGCCATATCCCTCGCACACGCGACCAGCAGATGAGCATCGTCCACAAACCGGCCGTCCTTCGTCACACTTGACCCTTCGGAGCCTAGCAGCTGTATGAGTATGACCATTCCCGACAAAAGAAAAGGCTACACTTACTTGCATGTGCGACAGCCGGTCTTCACCTTGGCTCTGCCTGTGTGAGGGTCTCTTCGGGCGTTCCTTGCCTGAACAACCGGTCCCATTGCTGCTCCTCTGGCCCCAACTTAGCATACCTCACAGAGGATGTTGTAATATGGTAGAAACTCCAACATGGAGCCATCGCTGGCCTGAATGATGCACTCCATGCTTTCTGCTATCCCGTTTATGATGACTTCAGAGTTAACAGGAGGTGGTACGTTGCTCGTAAACTCTCTGCGTTGATTGGTCACTATGGGGAATCTTTCATCGTAAATGTAAATGTCGATACGAAACTCGTATCTAGGCGATATCTGGAATCCCCCTCAAACATCCCAATTTTACAATCGTCTCAGTGATGTGTCTGGACTATCCGTCACACAGGCACCGGTCCACCCATCGACAACAGCGCTCCATCTCGCTCAATGATGCTCGTAAGCATAATATGTCGATTGGTCAGTGTCGACCCTCATGATATGGGGAAGACCTCAGTAAGTGGCTCGAAAATACCCTCTTCTGAACACCCTACTTCGAGCGCCCATATTTATAGGCTTCACTGCCGCAAATCAGGATATACACGGTAATGAACAGCATATATGCTCCGGGTCAGCCTGTCGTATACTTGACCCAGCTATTGGCTGGTACAACTCCAGTACAGCATTATGCTTCAAAGTGTACGCGTCTCTAAGATGGAAACAAGGTACCCTACACTGTGCAAGCTATAAATCTCGAGGCTGCACCCCATCTTCCCTCATCCTCTCAGTGACTTTTACCTTCATCTCATCTGCACCAGCCTCAGCCTAAGACCAGACTCCGGCTGCCATGACCAGCCATCACATACCGCTTCGCCAACTGGGCAAGGACGGCCCGACCGTGCCCGCCATGGGGTTCGGACTTGCTGGTATGTCCTTTGGCTACGGTATGCCGCCCAGTGACGAGGAGCGGTTCCGGCTTCTGGATCGTGCACTGGAGATGGGCAACACATTCTGGGACACTGCAGAGTAAGACTTTGACATCTTGCTCCACCAGTGGAGACGAACTCCAGATTCTAACAACTGACAGCATCTATGGAGACAACGAAGTGTTTCTGGCAAAATGGTTCCAACGAACAGGCAAACGCGATCAAATCTTCCTCGCGTCAAAGTTCGGCATCGTCATGGGCGCGACAGGCCCCAAGGGTGCCGGGATCGATAGCTCGGGGGAGTACTGCAAGCAACAATGCGAGGCGAGTCTGACAAAGCTGAATACCGATCACATTGATTTATGTTAGTCTCTCGGTTGTTTCATGTGTATTGAATCCAGAGTACTGAGCCATGCAGACTATGTCCACCGCGTCAACCACGAGACGCCCATCGAAGAAACCATGCGCGCCTTGGCTGAATTGCAAGCGTACGTATACTGAATGTTGAATGATCCTGAGCCGCTCTGACGAGCTGCAGCGAGGGCAAGATCAAACACATCGGCCTCTGCGAAGTTTCCTCCACCACACTTCGTCGCGCGTGCAAGATCGCCCACGTTGCCGCAGTGCAGGTGCAATACTCCGCGTTTACGCGAGAAATCGAGAACGAATCCGGCACCCACCTCCTTCGCACCTGCCGCGAGCTCGGTGTCGCCGTCGTGTGCTTCTCACCACTTGGCCGAGGTTTACTAACGGGAACTTTCAGCACCAAAGAGTCCGTCAGTGGCCCAGGTGACCTCCGGAGCAGCTATATTCCTTGGTGGAGCGAGGAGAATGTCGAGGCCAATGCCAAATACGCCAATCAGTTCAAGGTTTTCGCGGACAAGAAAGGATGTACGGCGTCACAGTTGGCGCTTGCATGGCTCCTCAAGCAGGGCGATGACATTATTCCAATCCCGGGGACAAAGAAGGTCAAATACTTGGAGCAAAATTGGGCGTCGCTCAATGTAGAGCTGACTGATGAGGAGGAGGCAGAGATACGGAAATTCCTTGAGAGCGTCCAGTTGCAAGGCCATCGAGGCGCCCCTCAAGCAAAAGCTACCGAATTTGTGGATACCAAGGAAGAGGCTTAGAGGGTGTCGAGCCCTGCCCTCTTATGCTATAGAATTCCGCAAGTCGTGGAGATCCTTGAGAATGGACTGGTGTCGGCCATCATAATTCACCTTCCTCATCCACTCCTCCAAACTTTTGATCCGATTCGGATGTATCTTGTCCAGAAATTCCATGTCTCTCGTCGCTCCATGCCCTTCGCTCCAGTACCGCCACCATGCCGCGAAGTTCTCCCTCCATGTCATCGCAGATTCGTCCTTGGGCGCATCCGGACCGACTGCCCAATTGGCAGGAGCATTGCGATACGGTTCTCGCTTCGGCAGATATCCCTCCATGGGCACAAACTGGAAATGAGCTTTCTTCCCAGTGACAAGTGCTGCAGTGTCAGCAATGTCCTGCATACTGACCTGGTCCGTCACAACCTCAAGATTCATGCCCGCTGTCTTCTCAACGTTGTCGAACATCCACAGCACGTATGCACCCACGTCATGCAGTGCAATCAAAGGTATTTTCCCGTCAGCTTTTGCGCGTCAGCTTTCGTTATTCACCAGAACGTTGTCAGAAACGCACATGCCGGCGCCTCCCACAACAATGAGCCATCATCTTGCGTCTTGGGGAGAAACATTCCATCAAAGAGCATATCCATGTACGGTCCAGTGGTGAATAATGAGCTCTTCATTGCCTTCTGGCCTTGGGCGAGAATGAAATCTGCCCATCGTCAGTCCAATGACTCATTGGCTTCGAGCACAGTTCATGACCTCCAAGACGCCCCTTGGCATCGTTATGGCCAACGTGGTACTTCTCATCCCACCCGGCTTTCTTTAGAGAGTAATCGATGGCAGCCCAGATATAGTGTTGGACCTTCTCGTGCCGAGCAATTTCATAGGCCCGGAGCCCGTAGAAGAGCTCGGCCTTTTCGCCAAGCACGAAGCCGTCAAGGTTCACCCAAGCACCGTAAACGCCGTTGAAGGCACGATGCAGGTCCTTTTGGTTGTCCTGAGTGCCTTGTACCAGTGTGACATTCGGCAGGACGGCAAGGGCTTGTGCACGATCCGATTTTGTGTTGCGAGTCAGGACCCGAGCATTGTACCGGCCACTATCCGAAAGTGCTGCATCGCCTATGTCAGATCACGTCCTTGAGGAGTTCTTGCCAGACATACCTTTGACAACTGGCAAACCCTGTGCGCCGGTGCCGCCAACCACGAGGATCAACTTGAGGTCGTCCATGGTACTCAATGAGCAGTGTCTCGAGAGAGACCGAGTCAAAGCCACAAAGCTTCTTCCAAGCGAAACCTCCTTTTTCTGTCCCTATATAGTGCTTCATCTCAGTCATCAATTGCACGGCAGTGCAGCTCCTGAAAGAAGATTAGTGATGTCCCGACCAACGAAGCGGCCGAAGTATAGCTGTTCCCGTCGAAGCCTTGTACTCATGGATCCCCTTGGGTGCGTCTTGGGCCTATCAAGTACTCCGAGGCAGCTCGTCTGATTACTCCGGTGAATTCAATGTGATGGACATCGGCCCCACTGGCTGTTGGGTTGCGCCGCGTCGTTGTTCGGGATTGACGGCCTATTGTCGAAATGACAAATCATAACATTGGAGTCGTCTTACACCGTTCAGATTGGTCACTGGAGGTTTCATTGGTGATGTCGGGCAAGGCATTTTGCGGTGTGTTGTTCCGTCTCCCGCAGGCCTGACAAATTTGAGCTGCGGCCGACTCTAGGTCATGCAAAGATATGGGCATGGAGTCTGGCGAATAAGATAGGAAAGCTGAAGGAATACCGATAACATGTTGTGAAGACTGACATGAGTCTTCCCTCCACACAGCATTTGCCTAGCTTCACATGTTTTGGGAACATCATGACTGTCAGCTATGGCTCATGACCCTCAACATCCTCCATATCCTCGTCATTATGCGGCCACAGTATTTGACCACGCCAGACGGCTCTGATGTTCAAGGAGGCCACCCAAAGCCACGCTCCACACAGCAAGACCGTCATGGCAGAGGATACAGCCTTGATACCTACACTTCCTAGCACGTTGCCAATCTGGATCAGTGCTATAGTGAGCCCGGCATTTGGAAAAATGATGGCCCACCAGTTCAGGGTGAAGTGTGCATGTTTCCAGCCGTGGATCAAACCCACGGTGCCAAGGGCGAAAAACCAAAACCCAACCAGCCAGAGGAAAATACCGGCGCCAACTCCCACCGCCTTGCAGATATCGCCGACTGGCACTGTGGTAATACCCAGAAAGCCTGGTGGAAGAATGACTTGTGCTTGACTGCCCAGGATGATCAAGGCGCTGCAGGTGTACGCTGTTACGATTAGCTCTGTCGTGTATGCCGAGGTGAGAACGTACCAGCTGGTCCGACTGCCACATACATGCCGGGCCTTTCTGCTTCATCCGGCACCACTCCGCTCGTTAACCTGGTGATGTATAGTGTGTACTGGATGAAGGCAAAGCACCATCCAAGACCTTGGAAAGCTATGCCACCGATCAAGATTGGTAGTGCTGACGTCGATCGCGGCTGACTGTACAGCAGCGTACCGGCGACGGGACCGAGGACAAGGAACGGATAGAGGGGTAAGATCCAGGCAGGCATCATTTCATGCACGGACAGACGCTCGAGGTCGAAGATGACGTGGTACTGAAAGGTGGCCACCAGCAACACGCAGCCTGCATACAACCGGTAGAGCACTTCGAGGGTGGTTACCAGCCATTGACCGCAGGAGGGAACGGCATAGGCCTGGAGGCAGTATATGAGCATTCCGATGCTGACCCAGAATGTGCCGAAGTAGAAGCTTTCTTTTCCATCGTGCAGTGATTTGGTAAGAGCACCCTTGTTGAGGAAGAACCTCGTAGTGATGAGCGTTGAAAAGGTGACAAACAACACAAGGTCGAGGAGAAAGACCACTTTCCCGATTGTTCTGAGGCCGTCAAAAGTGTACGGCTGTTCCGACAACAGCGTGCCCAGAGCACCGGTTGACATGGTACATTCGAACCATGACCACGTAAAGTGTGCCACTCGCTCTTTCCACGAGACATTGTGTCGTCCCTCGTCATTTTCGGCCATCGAATTGAACATTCTGAAGCATGGTATGAGTTGATGTCGAGATATGTGCAGAGAACAGAGGACGGTGGCTTTTCGCGAAGGTGCAGGAGACGATGCAAGGTCGAGAGGTGTGGCACCTGAATACATTTTCATCAAATACATCGAGGGAGAAAGATACAGATGTAACATTAGAGGTACGGAAAGAAGGGAAAGAGCGATCGTGACTCCCCAAAGTCCAACCACTCATCGAGGTCGTGGGAAGGAAGACAAAGAATCCCTCCCACCTGTCAAGGCCGCCTACCACCTCGCTGTACTCGTCATACAGCTTTGCTTCAAGTTCTGCTGGCTCGTGGTCCACAAATTTTCGCCCGTGCGAATCGATTGTGCATTCGGATGGAAGTTGCAGCTAGAACGAAGGTTTTATTCTGTGCTTGCACCGACATTGTCGACGTCATGGTGGTCGTAGACTGCGACACTGTAGACGGATGTTCGTCGCTGGACTGCGTGCGCATCGGTCACACGGGGCCCATGTCAGCCCATACATTAACTTGGTTGATTTCTACCTCGAATCACTTTCTCTCTGCTTCCCAATCTGTAAGCAACGAGCCCAGCTCCTGGAACTTTAATGGTTTGGTCATATAGTGATCGACCCCGGCTTCGTACGCATTCGTCCGATCTGCCGCTCTCGCCAAACCAGTGAGCGCAATGATCAATGATTGTGGCAAACCATGCTGGCGCTCCAATTCGCGAATTCGACGAGTGGCCTCGAACCCGTCCATTTCCGGCATGGAGATGTCCATAACGACAATACTGAAACCGTCGGTTCGCTTTTCGACCGCCTGCACCGCAACGAGTCCATTGTTTGCTGTGTGAATGTCTTTGTAGCCCCTCTTCTTCATGTATGTCTGCAACAAGCGAAGATTGATCAAGTTGTCCTCCACCAGCAAGATGGCTGGGGTAATATCCTTTGGTGGGCCGACATTGGTCGATATTGCGTAAGGTGTCGATGTATTCCCCTTCGCACTAGACGTAGCGCCATTTGGACCTGGTGTTGGCTCTGATTTTTCATCTGACATCTTCCTATTCAACTCACCTGGCGACGACGCAGTGCGGACAGCGTTTGCATCATCTAAGCCCTGGTCAGATAGATCATTGCCAATGCTGAGACACTCTAGCCTCTGCTGCGGAGAAATATCTGGTGGATCCTCGACTGATGTCTCAACGGGGGCATCCGCAGATATGTCAGTCATCACTTTCCCCTCGTCTGATTTCATGCACCTGAGCAAGGCTTTGGAGACCTTGACAGGCCCAATCGGCTCTGATATAACATTGGTGGTATTGCTATGCTGCTTCGACTTTGCTGTTCTCTTGCCAACGGCAACAATCTTAGGACCCTCGTATTTACGAGCGGACAATTCTTCAGCCGAGATGAAAGCCACATCTGCCTCGTTCCATGGCACCACCTTGCAGCCGAACCACTGTTCAGAATAAGGCCGGAGCATATGGTCGATATCCGGAGAAGACATGACAACTTTCAAGGTCCGATCACGCAGAGCAACGGTATTCTTTTCCAGCACAGCCTCGTGATGGGCTGCGCGCATCGGTATGCTGATTGCAAATGTCGTGCCTTCCCCCACATGACTCTCGACTTGCATCTCGCCGGCAAGGAGAGCGACCAGGCTCTTGACAATTGACATTCCCAGCCCAACACCATCGGACATCGAATTCTCCTGCGAGAAGGGAACAAATAGATGATTTTCAAGGAAGGCCTTTGACATGCCCTGGCCTGAGTCTTTGACCGTGAAGACAACGATCTGATCGGGGTGTACTTCTGCACTATTCTCCTCGTTGCCATGGTTTTTCTCGGTACGTAAGGAGATCTCCACACCTCCGTTGGAAGTGTACTTCAGCGCATTTCCAATCACGTTCATCATAACCCGACGTAGCGCGCCTGGCTCTGTCAAAAAGTTCCAGTCTCGATAAGCAATATCGAGGGAAATCTTAAGGTCGGATTGATCTCCACTAACCACCACCTCGACGATCTCTTCGCAAAGCTCGGCAATGTTTGTCCAAACCAACATGCCTTCTGAATCTTCACGTCTGGCCAAGTCTTTGTTCTCCAAAGACCATGGGGACATGCCGGGCATGTTTTGTCGAGGGTCGTCCCGTCTCCTCTCGAACTGGTTGATCTTGGTGAAAGACAGGACGCTGCTAAGAGTTTCGTGGAGGATAGTTCCGCAAGCACGTATGGTGTCGGCCAGACTCTCTTGAAAATTATCTAGTCCACTTTCGACCAGAAACTCCACGGCTCCGAGAATCCCATGCAACGGTGATCTCAGTTCATGGCTGACCGAGGCCATGAACGATTCTTTCTGTTTCAGTGCAGCTATTGTATCAATGCGTGATATCTCTGCCTCGACAGTGTGTAAGAAGGTATCAAGCGAGGGAAGATCGTCGTTGGCGAATATAGGCTGTGTGCGAGTGGACCAAACAAAACATCCCGCAAGTCTCTTGATGTCGACAGGATCTTTCAGAGGCGCAAACATCAGTTGACGGATACCCGGGAAAGCCTGCAACAGTCGCTTGGTGTCATCGGTATCGTCGGATGCAACGGTATGACCCTGGCAGCAATAGGGGCCATCGCTAAAGAACCAAACTTGCCCATCCACAAACTTACCCATCAAATATTGGAGGAAACCTTCGTCAACATGATCAAGGCCTAATGTACTCGGTGAGAGGTTTTGGAATGCCGGCTTGATAGTCTCGGATTGCATGGCGATGCCCAGTATCTCCGACGGATTGTGCGTCCGGACGTGCTTTCGGAACTCGGCACTTGTGAAGTTTCGTGAGGACGCAGTCTCCTGTAGGTCCTCGGCATCCGCTGCGGAAACCTTGTCCTGGTTGGCTTCAGCCATCTCTTTTTCAGGTTCCTGTTCGGGCTCTGCAGCAGGGTGCAAAGTACCATGGAAGCTTATCAGCCCGTCGGCGAAGATCACACCATCAGCGCCAAGAGCTTCGCGGAGGAACTCAGCTGAGCGCCTGAATACTCGACGGTACGGTGTCTCGTCCTGGCCTTCCCCGGATTGTTTTTGTTTTCGCTTGCGTGAACTGGTTTCATTTGACTGTTGTGGTCTCGACGCTGCTGAGTCTTCTGATGGTTCTTCTGGTTCCTCCTCAGAGCTCTTGCCTTCTGCTAAATGATGTGAGATGACCTGGTGATACGCTTCGCTATAATTTGGCGGTTCTTCCAGCATCTGGTCAAGTGCTGGTGGGCGTTGTAGAAACGCGCTCAAACCTTGAACCATTCTCGACCACCTCCTCTCCAGACACAAGTCATAGTCTTGTTCTAGTTGACTCATGCATTGCTTTGCAACGGAAGAGATCTGATTGAGTTCTCGATCGGAAGTTTCTCCATGCTCACGCGTGTCACCGACAAGGACGTATCCGATCGCAATATCCGCTTTCGAGACGATGGGTACAGCTGCACAGAACCGTAGGCCTGGGGAGCCAGCGACAGCAGAAAGGTCCTTTAGAAACTTATTTCGACTGGCATCGTGCACCACAACAGGCTGGTCGGGGTGAGCTTCGACGAAGTTTCGACCAAACTTTACCCCATATTTTCAAGTCGGCATCATTGTGACCCAGCAATTGCACGATGCCATGCTCTTCCACAAACCCAGCCAAGACATACTGCGTGTTTCCGTCTGAAAGGATCACGAAAGCGCCGCCAGCGGCTATACGCAGTATTAGAGCAATTCCAGGAGAAGGAAGGAAAACGTATACCGAATCGAAGAGTGAGCGTTTCAGCAAGGGTCGTTAGGGCATGGCTCAATGCAGAGTTCTCCGCAAGGCAGTAGTCGAAAGGAGATTTTGGAGGCAACTGAAGGCTATTGCAATATCTGTCGATTGTTAGCCTGCGATGTCCATCTGGCCAACTTGACTGACTTGTGGAATTGATGAGTTCGTGCCGTGGTCGAAAGTGTACACATTTCTGATTGCGCCGCTTCCATACGAACACATCTTTCTAGGTCAAGGTGCCTCGAGACGACAGAAATGTAGGTTTTCGGCGGCAGGAAGACATCGTCGCTCAGAGTGAGTGAGTCTGGCTAAGGGCCCAGAACCGTATGTCATTGATGGGAATTTGACTTCTGCATGATGACGGCAATTGACCGCCAATGCGCCACAACCGCCTTGCCCTTGTTCCTAAAGATCACAGCCTCCCTAGCCTAAGTAGGGGGCCCCCACTGGCCCCTTTGAATACCTACCTAACTTAGGTACGATTGGAGCACTTTTCATCGGTTGCGCATCTTTTCGGCAATGCAGAAAATGCACGTCGTTTACAGACTGGGGTCTGTTACGAGTATCAGATTCTCGAAAAAGATGTCGACGGGGAGAAGGTCTGTAGCGCTTTGAGGCCGGCTGGTACTTACATGACCTCAACGCAGAAGTAGCCATGGATGGCTTGACAGTAGGTACTATGTACGTTGATACCTAATATGGGCTCCCCAACACCAAATCCATCGCGTGCGTGATATCAATTGGCACACATGGTTCCAACCTCAAACACGGTCTCGTCTCGCAACTTATTACACAATTGACGACCCTCTCGCCAGTTCCCTGATACTTTTGACAAACTCCCGATGGCGACCAAAAATGATTACACCACCAGCCTTTCACCTACTCTAGATGTGGCTTTGAAGTTCGAGCATTGCTCCACATCTAGTTCGTGTCACGAGAACGAGATCGTCTCGGCTCAATGCCATGGCGAAAGCAGTCCATTCTCAACGAATGCCACATCAGCAGCGAAGATGTCACAGGTGGAAGGACAGTTGAATTCGAGGCCTTTTTTCCAACTTAGCGTGTTTCCCAGCATGTCTTGTCCAAGCAATAGCATCCGCAAGACCCAAATCTTCCATACTGATCGATAGAGACGAAAAACGCAAAGCCACCGCTCGATGTGCTGACGTGTGTCGACGTTCCTCTGGGTGCCTTGACCGCGTTGTGAATGTCCCCTGTAACTTTCCCGGATAGTACGAGGTAAGAGTGTCGCGTGTCATATAGCAGCTTGGGATGTAGAGTCTGCAGGCGACTTCTACCCGAGCTTGTTCGCGGCCAACCATTGAACCCCTCCAACAATTGAGCCTCTCGACTTTCTCAAGGCGAAATCAGGTCTGCTGTGCTGTGCTGAGCGGCATGATTACTGAGACGAAAAGCGAGTGTATCAGTGTTGCCGACTTGAGTCTAGAGTCGAGAGCAAAGACTTGTACTTGGGGCCTTTTGAGCAAGTGTCACAGAGACAATGCAAGCTGTGAAACGTGGCGCCCGAACAGAAACCCTCGGATACATCAAGGGAGCAAGATATGGACGTAACACCAGGAGCATCACGGCAAGGGAAGGAGCCAATGAGTCCTCACGTCTAAGGGTGGTTGAGTTCGCCGGGAAACAGACATCGGATCCTACCTAGTACCTAAAAAGGTTGAATGCCACCCTGCGTCATCCACATAAGATGTCTCTTGGTGTTGTGATTTTGAATTGGCGACACAGCTTGTCAATGACAGGGAAGTGGTCCACAATGGTGTTGCAGTGCAAGGTGAGAATAAGTCTGCAGAGGTGTTTGTCGGCGACGGCAAAACCGCGGCTCCAAACAAGCAAGGCTGCACAGCGCAGGGCCTCACGAGGCTGGTGTGACACAACGGCCCACGTCTTCCACCACTGCCACTACTCCGTAGACATCGCTCATATCCTTTCGGCAGTCACACACGACCTTTCGCTGAACCTCAGATTTCTCCTGCCTCTTCTCTGTATCCCTTTCAAGATGGATAAAGCCAACCCACCAAAGAAGCCCGCGACCACTTCCAGCTACATCTCCTCATCTGGTCATGTTCTTGATACGTACGTTCAGACTATGCCTCGCCGCCACTTTGCCTTCCTCCGGTGTTCAACGCAGCCCTAACGATCTCCCAAGCTATTTCGTGGTACGAATTACTGACACCGTGAACTCAGACCCCCTGTTTCCGCCCGCATCTCCCGCCTAGGCGACAACATCTACAACTTTCTCGGCCTGTACTTCGTGTCTCTGTTCAGCCTTGACCCCTATACCGCAGCGCAAAACAGTCGATTCAACTCGCGCGGACGACCAAATGCCTACCAGGAGCGTGCGAGGTGGGGAGGAGCGAACCGCGCAGGGGGAGTCGGTGCAGGGCCGGGCGGAAGTGGACCTTCAGGAGGAAGAGGCGGCGGTGGCAGCGGGTTTGGAGGTAGTGGATCAGGAAGGAGGATGGGTGGGGTCGACGATGTCAGAGCGCCAGAGTGCGGAAGCTGTGGTTAAAATGAAGACAACACGGATGTGGGTGTGAGCCGATACATGAAGTAACGTGGCGTTTGGGGTAAATACTGAAGCGGACTTAGGCAGGAGTGCTTCTGAAGGGAATGACAAACAACTGTTCGGGTCTCTGAACTGTGGAGGTCTTCACAAACACAAAAGGAAGATAACGCGATGAGATGCCCTCCACGGTCTACAGTAGCGTAAGCAAGAAGGTCGACTTATGGGAAGCCGGCGCAGAAATAACAGGCAGGATGGGGTGGACATTGGTTGACAATGACCAGAACACATTGGATTTCAGACTTGAACGCCGACCACGCTCGAAAGGATTCCAACATAGAAAGCCAGCTGCTTGGTAGCCCTGATTGTGCAGATGGGATGACTATTCAGCTCAAGCCTTGCCCACCTCCAGGGTCTTGACCGGGATATCGCCAGCAATATCTGCATTGGCAGTTTCGGTCCTACCCGCACGTCTCTTCTTCAACACGTTCTCAATAAATGCCTCGCCTGCTTTATAACTGCTCCGAACCAAGGGTCCGCTAGCCACATAGAGGAAGCCCATCTCCAAGGATCGCACTCTCCACTGCTCGAATACATCAGGTGTGACGTACTCATGTACAGGCATATGTCGCTTGGTCGGACGCATGTACTGGCCAAAGGTGACCACATCGACATCGATAGCGCGTAGTTCTCGGAGCGCAGCCCAGAGTTGCTCCTCGGTCTCGCCAAGTCCAAGCATGATGGAGGTCTTGGTGATGAGGTCTGGTCTTGCTGCTTTGGCTGCCTTCAGGACACTCAGAGATTGTCGGAATGTTGCTCGCCTGTCTCGTACTTGAGGCGTCAAGGCTTCGACGGTCTCAACGTTATGGGCATAGACGTCCAGGCCTGATGTGGCAACCAGCTTGACCATGTCCAAGTCTCCAGCATAGTCGCCCGTAAGACACTCGACAAGGATGGAAGGCGCCTTCGACTTGATCTTCCGTACAGTCTCGGCAAAATGATGCGCACCACCATCTGCAAGATCGTCGCGGTCCACACTTGTGAGCACCACATAGCCCAGACCCCATCGCGACAACGCCTCCGCAGTGTGTTCAGGCTCATGCGGGTCGAGCGGTGGAGGCGCTTTGGACGTTTTAACGCTGCAAAATCGACATCCGCGTGTACATGTGTCCCCCATGAGCATTATGGTGGCCGTGGCAGCCGACTTGTCGCTCCCACCCCAGCATTCCGAAATGTTTGGACATCGAGCCTCCTCACACACGGTATGTAAATTGAGACCACGAAGGTCCTTTTTGATCTTTTTATAATTTGAGGTGTCTGGTATGGATGTCTTGAGCCATGAAGGGAGACGGGTGATCTGTTTCTTCTTCCCTTCGGGTCCTACCAACGCTGTCTTTAGCGCATATGCTTCGGACGGATCCAATGGCTGTTCTCGTCCAGACACAAACTCTGTGAATGATGGACCGGCATTGATCTTGTCGGCGAAAGTTGTCGCTCGGACTCGTGGCTTAATCGTGGGGATGTCGTCGGTCGTGGTGGCAAAGGTTCGGTTCGGGGCCGTCGGGGTTGCGGTTGGGGAGAGGAAGACTTTGAAGGGTGAAGACCATGGATGGCCATTGAGGCAGCGATGCCGGGAGATTGTAGCTGCCATCTCTGTTTAGCCAGTGATTGCGAGACTGGAATGTTGTTGGTGGTGATATGTGATGAGTAAAGCGACGAAATGGTGTGGCTCTCGACATTGATAATTGTCGGCTATTCTCGGACTGCTCCCCATGCTGGGGAAAGATTTCCGAGATGGAAGTGAAAAAGCATCGCAGAACCTCAATCAACGACATTCGAGAACACCAAGATGCCTGGACACATTGAGACATAATATGAATAGCATGATCGCACAGGCAAAATCTCTCTTGACTTAAATATGGGAGTTATCGTCAATCTGTAATCCAGTTATATTGCTGCAATGCGTTCACCTCGGAGACAATTGAAGCGTCGATTTGAGAATGATTTTTTATTCTTGAATCTATCAATGCTGTTCAGTCTTTGTGCAGCTATTCTAATTTACCACCGGAACGCCACGCTTTCGTTGGAATCAGTCGCATTCTTGAAAAGCCCTGATGGTGTTGACGCTCATCATCTGCCATTTTCGTAAAGGATGGGTAACCGCCCAGAGGTTCAATGCTGCAAGAAAGAAACGCCGTTGATTAGGTTGTCACGGAGCACTTTTCCTGCGAGTATCCTCATTCTTCAAACCCGTATCGTCTCTCGGTGGCTCCACTACTGTTTCGTCGTTGGTCATGAATCTTGCGCTCGCTCTTAACAGAGTCCGCAGGACATCGAATTCATGTTCATCTCGAGGAGCGTAAACGATAAGAAAGCTGTCCCCAATCTTCCACATGTACTTCTTGCCACCAAACCACCACGGCTGAGTCCTTGCACATCGGTGTCGTTCTGCCCAACCTTTCTCGATGATGACTTTGGCGTCTGCTGGTGAAAAGTAGAGATGCATGGATGTGTCGCCGTGGATGTGTCCCAGCTCACCCTTCGACATTACGGCCGTTTCCGGCAGGTTGTGGGGTCTTGAAAGAAGAGTCGGATGAACAAAGAGTGCAATGTTGTGCTTCTCTAAGCTAGAGAGTTTCTGCTCGAGCAAATTCGGATTTTTCAAGACGATCGATGCAAATAGAGACAATACACGCTTACAGACATTAGCAGGGAATTTTTAACACTCGATGTTGGCCACTCGTTTGAGCTTGCAGTCCAGTCGAGCGAACCTGGTCAAACTTACCGCATTCATTTCAGCTGTAGGCCGTTGACTGAATTGTCGCTGAGGTGCGATTCCCTTGACGATTGGACGTTCACCTTCTCGGTTGGGAAGAGCCAGAATCTCTTTGTGAGCTCCCGTGTCCGGGTAGTCACCTGTCCATTTCGTGTCTCGATCAGCGAGCGTGAAAGGCCGGACAATGAAGGAAGTGAGGATCCAGCCATAGATGTTGTGAGGAGGTCCACCACGGCCGAGAGATATGAAAAGCCGATAGTCTTGAATACACCAGTAGGCAAACCAGACCAGAGAGACAATCAAGGCGGCAGCGACTGGGACTGGAGGGAAGGACAGGAAGGACGACGTAGGCTGAGGTTCTGTCACATTCGGTAGGATGTAGATGTCGTTGTCCATGATCGCAGAGTGATCATAAATGCGGAATGAACGTCTGGGATAGTAAGGGGGAGGTGGGAGTACGAGGTGAGATAAAGCAAAAGCGAAGCAAAAGAGAAGTAACGTGCTCTCACGGTATTTGGTAGTGGTGGAGTCAGGTGTAGTGGGCGGTGAAAGTGAGGTTGACGTGAGAAGCAAGTTACGACCATTAGACCATTACTTAAGTAGGTACCTCGAAACGAGTGATGTTTGGGCACGTACCCACGTCCGAGTAGGTAAAGCAAGTAGCATGTGGCCCCCGTGAAGTGGCAGGTAGAAGTTGCACAGGGATGACGCCGTAACGGATGATCAGCCGTCGAACAAGGGGACCTCATTGAGGCAGTGAGGCAAGAGCAGTGATTGACCGACAGGAATGGCCGGAAAACGAATATCAAGTGCCAAAAGGGCCTCTCAGAAATGACGTTGGGGCTGTTTACTGAGGGGTTTCAGTACCGTAGTCTGACGCGGAACGCCAGCTTCAACCTGCAGAAGGTCACTTGGACATTTGGGCCCGGTTGCATGATACAGGGACAAGTACAGTAGATGAAGGATTAATCTGTATAGCCTATGCGCAAAGTGGTGATAGCCTACAAGGCAGTGACTTACTCTGCTCGACCATACCCCTTCTGCCTACAAAGGATGGTAATCTGAATGCCATTTTCTTTCGATCAAAAATAATCTATTCTGCTTTGTGTTCAACATCCCACCCTGCAGGTGAACGTGGGGTCTCGCAAGCATCTCGCAAGCACGACGTGGGTTCAAAAAATCCGTGCGAGGTCGACTGCAGGGATGCAACTTGCGGATGGCCATTCCGGAGGAACCACCCATCATCCAAACGGCCAGGTACGCGACTGCGTTGCAGCTGATTGACGCGGGATGGCAGCAGGCGGTGGGCTACGCAGGGGTTGAGGTTTCAGCAATGACATCAATTCGGTCAACGACGGACACTTGGCCGTTGAAGGTTCTTTCGGGGCTCGCGAGCCAATAATCATATCGCCAATTTGTGCATTGGGGATGAGAGATCGCTGATCAGTTACTGGAGAAAGAGTCGCCAGAATCTTCATGATATGGACCCCAGAGTGTTTATGATAGGCTGAGGGCACAAAATGATGGGTAACCCATACGAGACAAAACAATAGACTGGACAGCTTTGGCCCAGACACTATATATAATTGATGCTGAATCATTGTGACCGGCGTAATTCACGACGGTCCAGCTACGAACAATGGCTGTACGGCAAGAGATGCAAGCCGAGACACTTTGAGGCGAAAGGCCAGGTCAGAGCATCGTACGGTGCTCGTAAGATCACTTTAGGTTCTCACAAGGCTGCATTCGATGTGCCTGATAGAGTGGGCAAGGTCAGTCCGGGGTTGATTGCAGACATCTGGCAGCACTGAAAGCCTCTCAACATCGCCGAGGCGATTCCTTACAGTGCCCGGCTCTTTGTTTTCTGTTGTCCATCATTGGATCGTTCGTCGGACAATGTGGCTGATTTTTCTTTCTATCGAATAGCATTGAAGTGTCTCGGCAGGGAAACGCAGGCTCAAGGAACCAAGCAGAGTGGCGCTGCATACGGAAAAAATGCGTATATTTGCGAGGCCTGGTTGTTTGTTATGACAGAATTGCAAAGTCAAGAATAGCTACAAGAAGCTGGAGGAGTATGCCTTTGTGTTCAGACGAGGTTCGTGGCTGTCGTGTCACAGAGGTCAATTGCCCGAAACCCATCTTCAATCATCAGGGAAACGAGAAGAACTGGGGGCAAACTGATCAGGCAGCTGTAAAAGGACGAAGAACGAGCAAGGGTCACAAGCCTTGGCTGAGAGGAATATGAGGTACATGAGGCTGAAAATCGTCCTTTCGGAGCGGGCATACCATGCGACGGGGATTTTAGTGCTGAGAGAATCAATCAGTGCACCTGTAGGTTTAGGACTGGGCTGCGTTAGCTGCGCGGCGGCTGCGGCTTTTCTACTGTATGCTGAAAACGTTCTTCCAGGCCGGCAAGGCTGTGCAATCCTCTCTCGCTTGACAGTCATCCCCAAGGACATTGCTCGCTCAGCTGAATCAGAACTCGACAATTGTACCGTATATCGTTTCCTCACACATGTTCGACAAAGCACGCCCCCAAAACGGAGAAACGACGCAGCCATAAGTTATGGTTATCATTGAAAAATAGAAGCGCTCCGAGACAATACCACGCACACATCATCTGCTCATCTGCGTCATCTCCCCAGTGCCCGCCTTAGGCCGAGACAAAAAGCCGCTGGTTCGAGACGCTTCCTTGCGGCACTCAGAATATTGCTCCTTCGGCGCTCCTTCTACCACAGTTCTCACACTTCGCCTGTTGGAGTTTGGTATCGCCAGTTATCCCGGTCTTCCTCTCAGCTGTTCTGAACTTTCCGAGACAGATCACCAGCATTCGTCGATCCCTATTCAAATACTCCACTACGTGACGACGTCGACTCCTTTCACCACTTTTTTTTGTCCTTGACAGATCAAAACACAAGACACGCACATACAACCACGAATACCTAAGCGTAGACGATACTGGATCCCTCAAACTCCTCCTGAGCAAGATCGTTCACCGTGGCTTCCTCAAGTCTACAGACTTGGTTCTCTGATCCCCTGAGAAGCCTCTCTGGCCTTGTCGAGCCCCTCCTTCAGCGCCTACCACCCGAGTTCCACGACAAACTCAATACTGCACTCACTGAGTATTCGACCGCGTCTTACACTACTGTCGCCGCCGTCCTCCTCTCCGTTCTCTTTCTCCTCTTCCGCTATCTCATGAGTAGCTACGGCAGTTATCCTACCTACGGGGGAGGCCGCAACGCAAGCTCGCCTTACACTAGCAACATCGCTGATCCTTACGCTGGGAATTTATCAGGTCACTTCGAGTATATTGATGCCGATCATGGAATATTACAGGACTCGCATCGCCATTCCGTACCTAATCTACACACCGGGCAAGAGGACCCAAACACTCCCGATGTTATCCTTGTACGATACATGGCGTCACTGATACCCGTCGAGTTTCCGGCTTATTCAATCAGTGAAGAGAAGGCATATGTTGGTCAATTACGGGATGCGGTGGCCCGGGCGTTGCAGACGGACTCGAGAAGAATTCGCTTGGTTTACAAAAAGCATGACTTGAAGCATGACTCCTGGCCACTCCGGAAATATCACATGAAACAGAACAGCGAAGTTGCCGCTATCAAGACTGAAAGCATCGTCGACTACAGCGATAGAGACAGTCATTCTTCCAGCGGAGAGGAAAGTGCAGCGACGAACCAGAACCCACGCAGACGGCCGCGTGCCTTGTCATCTGTGCGGCATCGCAGTGATGATCAATTCATCCCCCAGAAAACGCCCAATTCCTCGGGGTATCTTTCTCCCACAGGCCATGTATCGTCCGGCAGGGCGTCAGAACGACAGTCGCACAATAGTCTGAAACCGGAGACAGACGAACGCGATTATCGCAGGGAGCCGTCGCGCACTAGAGGGACATCCCCTCGTCCAGCTCCCGTTACGACTTCAGCGCGCCCATCTCGAGTTGCGGCGGACCCGAGTACGCCTCTAGGGAAATTACAGACTTTATCCGACACATTCCATGAGAACTGGCTGCCTCTCTGCCGCAAGTTTATCTCCAAACCTCCTTCAAACATTCAGGACAGAGTCAAGGAGCATCGCAAGCTTAGCGAAAGCGTCATGACACATGTCCTTCTCAAGGCCGACGCAATTGACGTCAATAATCAGGAAGAAAGAGCATTCAGAAAGAGTCTGATCAACGAAGCTAATGATGTAGTAAGGCAACTTGATGCGGTCGCAAAAGCATGATGATTGGTGGTATTGGATTTGCATTGCAACGGTGTTGGGAAGAAAGATTAGATGTCGCTTTTAGCATTTTGGCAGAGGGTGGTCAAGTCAATTCTTTGGGGTGGGTGGTGGCGGGTTGATCGTCATTGCTGCTCCTTTCGCTGGCAACAGAGAACGGATGGCGAGAGGATTTCGGGTCGATTAAGAGATGGGTTTATCACGATCGCGTGATGGTGAGAGAGGCCGGTTGAAGGCCGTTGCAGGTCTTTTGAACAAGAGCATACATTCAACCACTCTTTTCGTTTCATGTGTGTCTGCAGCCACCCACGATTTTTATATTGCTTCTTGATCTTTCCTCTTTGCTTTACTTTCAAGCGCTACAGCGTCGACACCGGGAAGGAAATCGTTCTGTGTCAGCCTGGATGCCTCACGTCACTATGCAGCAGAGGTGGCTCTATGCACATATTACAATGCCTCGTTAGCTCCGGCCAGAGGTGAGTGAATGAGAAATCTTGACGTGCAGAGGGATATGCACCACCATGCACAATTCAGCCAATGATGTTGGAGTCGAAGTGGTCGTTGTTACTGCCAGTTGGCGAGGCCTCACTGGCTGTTCGATCCCAGGATAGAGGGTCGTAAATCGCCGTTTCTACACAGGAGCGCGGACTTTCTTAGCCAAATGTTGGCTCAGGAACAGTGGTATGTCTGCGCCGCAGTTGATTCAGACGGCGAGTTGGGAAAATTCGATCTGGAGGACTATACCAGAGGACACTTTCCGCCGAAGCATTATCGCACTGTCGACGAAGACTGAGGTGCCATGCGATCAGAGACGTTGGTGGTCAGCCTCATATAGTGATTCTCAGCCCCCTTCACCGGATCCAGGCCGCATACTATCATTCAAGACAGAAAGACAGTTGGCAGACGACTTTGCATTCATCGCCGCTGCCCGACCGGGTGCCAAAGGTGTGACGGCCGTTTGTATCGAGGAAAGCCGCGAGCCTCCTGGCCTGGTCATACGCATCGCTGCCAATGAAGGCGTGGGTATGGAAATAAGAGGTGCATTTGCTCACATCTTCAAGTGTCTGATGTCCTGCGCAAAAGGAGGTCAGTCTACTATCACCTCTTGCCTCTACTATATTCATGCTGTTGCAGAAACAAAGCTTGAAGATGGCATAACAGAGGTATCTCGACTGACGTTGAATCTCTCCCGAAATCGCATCATGGAGCGCTTAGGGAACCTCTGTTCAGGTCGGGGACCTTTGCACTTTCAAACGCAGAATAGGACTGACACTTCTAGGGGCCGAAGAAGCTCTCGGCAGAATGCGAGCCGCTGCTCGGACGACAGCTGCTGAGGATCTGGTCACTAGATTGACGGAGCTGAAGCGGAGTTTGGATATGATTCAGCAGTCGCCTAGACCATCTACAGATGAGTTGCACTCGATCGTCAGAGACAGCCTCGCAGTCGTGACTTGCGATGGAAGGCAATCCTTGCGGAAGACCTTGACTGAAGCGGGTTTGAGTGCACGAGACTGGTTCGACAAGAAGGAAATCATGCAGATCGACAAATTGAGTGCTTGTCACAGGATTCCTCGAGACATCGTGCGCAAAGCCTGTCGGAAGAGGTCGAGAGGTTTGTTTTCCAATATCACAGTGGAGTACACTACGCCCTACAAGCCCAAAAGGAGCTCGGTTGCCTTCAAGCGCCAAAAGGTTGCTTGCTATGTCCATGCTGAAATTCAGCTGATTATACACTATATGCTGTCAACCTCAACGCCCATACTGCCTCGAGCTATCGGCAGCAGCAAAGGGGCCTGCTTCCTGTGTCATTTGTTCATTACAGCACATACGGGTTTTGTTGTCACAAGTGTGCATGGCCGTTTATATGACCAATGGACGATTCCAGATCTTGCTGAGTACACCCCTGAGAATGTTGCAATGCTGAGGTCGATCATAGAACAAATGAACTCCGAATGTCTGCGACTGACGAGAGCGCCCCACGTATGGCGTCGCTACCCATTGGAGAGCAGGCACAATCTGCGTGATTGGGCTTCATCTCCTTTATCTTCAATGCCAGATATGGACAACAGCTTGGGCTTTGGTCAGCTCCAGATAACTGATACAGGTACCCAACAAACAGAAACACGCTCGGTCGGTGAAGCCGATGGTCCGACTTTAGAGCGCATTCAGATGTCTGCGGGCAGACTAGACGAGGCAGCTGTACAGGGACCACAGCTAATAAGTGTGATAGAGACTGTGGACCAGAGTGCTGACGTGTCACGTCTCGATGCGCAGCGTTCTCGAAGCGAAGAGTCCCCCAAGAGCGCTTTAACGAGCCTTTTCTTGCTGCCAGACAGCTTGAGTCAGCTTCATATCAGTCCAAGCACTCCTTGCGACATCGTGAGTGTTCCTGGGTGGGATATAAGGGTGGAAATCGAGGCACCTGGTACTGGAATTGTTGGCCTCAGAGATGGCAACGCGGTCGATGATGGATTGAGTGTCAACGTAATCAGAGTCGACGAGCTCAAGTCAGGAGAAGAGTTGCGTCTTTCTAGGCTTGAAGACGAGGAAGCCCTGGTGCTTCATCTCGAACAGGGCGGGAATGAAACGTGTCGTATGTGCTTGCAATGGACATGAAGAATGTCGTACCAGGTCATTGGGATCAAACGGTCATCGTGGCGGAGCTCAAACTTCTTCACGTTGCTGTACTGGCTCTGCTGGCGAGGCCGCGAAGGCGCGGCAGTTCCGTTAGCCAATAGTCCAAGTCCGACATTGTTCAGCTTTTCCATGAGAAGGTAACATTTAGACTTTTATGAGCCCTGAAGCAGTTGCTTGAGCAGTTGCGGATGCGGTGAAGTCATATCATACGCAAGTATCCAACATATTGCGTCATTTTGCATGGTGCCGTTGGTGCTGTGCACGAACGACTTACAAACGCATGTGTTGACCAGCCGATGCTTTTGTACTTCATCACATGTATGGGTTTGAAGTCATACCGTCTAATACGTGTCAATTTCATCAACCACACTTGCTGATCAGTCTGGGCTGACTTTACACTCCGGCCAAGGCAAGATGGAGAACACACGGGGGGGCCATGCGGAGGGATACGAGCCCGACAGTCTCGACACAAGTCAGCACGGAATATCTCAGTAAGTCGACATCCGTGGACCTCCTACAGCGGACATACCCTCATCTTGGGGTTCTTGGGGTGGTCAAGGCTCGGAAGAAAGTCGTGATTACTTGCAATGGCATTCAAGAGAAGCCGCGTTTCCGCAGAGAGGCTGACGTCTGACCACTATGTTAGGAATACCATCGACGAGGAGAAGTCCAACTATGGCGCCAATAAGGGTGCAGACAGAGACATTGGCGCTCGCATGCCCACGTCCACGTCGACAACGGCACCTTCTCTGCCGGAAGTCAGTGGCGGCAAGAGCTTGATGGATAGTGTGGACGAAGCGTTGAAAGGGTCTACAGGCGCGGCAAGCGACAAGGCACAGAGGATTGACGAATCGGTCAAGGTTGGAGACGACGACGACTTACATGAAAAGGCCGCGAGCAAGCAGCCATGAGCACTGTCTTCGTCGATTGTCAAATCGGTGCAAAAGCAAAATTCAACTGTCAGGGGAGGATCGTACCCTATGGTTGACTTGAGATTGATTTGCGAAACAGTGATCAGCTCTCATTCAGTTTCCCATCCCTCGTAGTTTTCCACCATCACCTTGTTTACCGACAGCGTTCCTGACTCGTTGACTCCGACGAGCCCGGAAAAGAGGTCGACAAGCGTCTCCCTCGATTTCTGTTGCTGCAGTAGAAGACCCAGTATTGCGTCGTTGCTGACCCCGCTTTGATTTGCCAGCTTGAGTAGTTGTGAGATAAAATAGCTTTGTGACCTGCCCTCTTGATAGCGCTGATGGAAGATTTTGCGCTTCACCTGCTTGCGAACCTTTTGTTGTTCCTCCTGAGACATTTGATCCCACGGTACTTTCGCCCTAACCTTTTCTATCGATCGCATAACGGCGTTGTTGTCGGCCAATTGACGCCGATCGAACCACAGTCCCAGCTCGCCCAGGCGCTCCCTCCTGGTGCGACTGAAAGTAGAATGCGCATTCATGGAATACTCGTCTGCGTTCTTCCTCGTGCGGCCAACACCAACCCCAATGCTGGCATTGCGGGTGCCATGCCCGTATTCCTCTAGAGATGACGGTATAGTTGTCTTTGGGTCCAGCAGTGCATTTCTGATTGTTCTGGAAAGCAATTGAGCTGACACCTGGCTGTAGTCCTGGAACACTTCAGACTTATCATCTGAAAGAACGTGAGTCTGTTTCGGGCGTTTCTGTGCATGCGTCGGTTCATCTGAGACGTGTCCTTGTGGTTCCGATTGTCTCTTTCTCTTGCTGTTCATGTTCACTGGTGGTTGTGGCGCAGGAGATACATCAGAAATCACAGTCGGCCTCAGTGCTTCGACATCTTCGGACTCGAATATCCGAGAGAGTTCATCTTCACTTTCGCTAGAATCTAACCACTCTTCTCGACTCGCCAGAGCGTTAGAAGATTGCTCGCTTCGTTGCTTATCGTGGACTGATGAGCCTGCGTGAGGGCGGTCGGCTGGCACAGTTTTCCTCTGAGGTGCTTGAATTTGTGCCTTCGGTTCGAATGATGGAACTCTTACGGCCTTCGGAACATTTCCTCTTGGTAACGTTCTGGCGGGCTGACTCGGAGGCCTGCTTCTATCAGTGGTGGCATCGTACTCCAATAGCGGTAGGAGAGTTTGTTCGACGTTGTATTCTCTGGCAAGCCGCCGCCCGTACTCGTATTGAACCCAGATGCCCTGATATGGAGCGTATCCACCTATTATTCTCTCATATTCGCCCTCAATTTGATCTTCGGCGACTCTGATTTTCCTGCCTTGCTCGACTCCAGCAAGTTTGGTAATTTGTGAGGCATTCAACCACAAATCAGATTCACGGAGCATGACGAGGAGTCCTCGGACGTTCATCACAAGAAAACCAACATCCTTATAGACTGTCTGGGACTCAATCAGCAGTCATCAATGATGGCATTGAAACCACCTACCCGCTCGACTTTTGGGACTGCGTTGGGCATTCGGTGCCAAAGAACATCATGGGACGACCGTGATGAAATATTGTGCAATACCCGTGGCCTAGTCCGAACTCGCCGCGGCAACGGATTCTGTGCGGCTTTGGACATGACATGTTCCACGCGGTGTGACATTGACTGTTGAATAGGCCGAGCGACGACGTTGTAATCAACATCCTGTGTGGCTTCGTGTGAGACTTCAATGGTCTCTGCCTGTAACGGCTCGGCTTGCAGTTCAGCGTCTGTGTCAGAAAGCTCTACCCATTCCTCCTTTATCTTAACAGTCTCAGGGGATGTGCTCTTAGGACGCTCCTGCAGACTGTGCTCCTCCCCTGTGGGCGAGTCTGGGGCCGAAAGGCCGTCCCTCGTTTCATGTTCTTTTCCGTGGATTTCGACATCGGAATCATCATCGTAGTCGGACCACTCGTCTTGCAGGACTCGGTACGGAGGCATTCTAAGGCTTTAGGGAAGGGAGGACCCGGCGCGAGCTGTCTAGCCTCGACTTGTGTCAACAACGACAGCAGGCTTATGAAAGGGCATGACGCATGGCAGGAAGAGTATGAACAACACCGGCAGAGAGTTGAGCACACATGAACGAGCAAGAGTCGAAAAATATTACACAAGTTGTTTCGGTCGTGGGGGAAAGCGCGTCTCTGCGGAGTGAGAGCCTTGTCCACCATTTACGCGCAGCCTTGCGCGTCAGGGCGATCATTAGGTAATAGGCGGCAAGGGGTCTCAATGCCAATTCCAACGGGCCGTGGTTTAGTTAAGAGCATCCATTGAACCTGATAAGATATCCGGCCGCCGCAATTCGTGCCACTGATCTTCCACTTCCGTAACTTATTTCGTACAACCCAAATCTACATCATCAACGTGGTGGAAACGTCATGGCAACTGCCGAACACGGCTCCTTCGGCTAAATATGTCATGGCTTGATCTTAACGAGTAGAGAAGTAATGATGACAGTCACCAGGGTGAGGCTTCTTACAACAATATTAGGATGAGCTTTCGTGATTTCTTTCTGTTCCTGAAAAACGCACTTGGTAGGGTTGATACTTTCTTTTCTGGCGTTTCACCTTGAGGCATTCGTCAAAATGAGTGACCCCAGAATCCCCAAGTTGTACCACAGGACGACGCCGCATTGGCAGCAGGAACAACGCAACGCGTTCTGGGAGCTCAATGAAAACAAGCGTGAGGATTAGCTGCACTACTCCACTGGAAAGCCATATTGACCCTCCCACAGACCCGCCATTTAACACCAGACCAGACAAGCTCGAAGCTCATGCCGAAGAATCACTATCAGTAAATGGTCGGTTGTATGCACAATCGAACGCCGGCCAAGGATGGAGTATGGGTTCATTCATCACTTCGCGAAGCAACTATAGACTGACAGTCTTGGAGCACACCTCGGCAACAGACAAGCCTTCTATAGGCACCGATTGATCCCTCACCAATTGGTCGATGTGAATGAACGAGACACAACCACCACTCTCTTCGGGCACAAGGTCTCGGCACCCATTGGCTTCGCCCCCGTCGGCATCAACAAGATTTATCATCCCAAAGGCGAGCTCCCCGTGGCGAAAGTTGCCGGTGAATTGAGGTTGCCATATGGATTGAGCACAGCTGGCTCCTGCACCATTGAGGACGTCGCCGCCTCGAACGATGCTGGAAGAGAGTCAGACGCAGCCGTCAAGGTTGAGGGGGCAGATAATGACTCGCCCGTCCGCTTCTTCCAGCTGTACCTGCCACACGATGACGATTTGGCTATTTCACTCCTCAAGCGAGCTGTGGCTTCTGGCTTTACAGCATGCATCCTGACAACGGTGAGTAACCAAGCGGACAGCAGCGAGCAGAGACTGAGACGATGTGGTCTAGGACACATGGCAACTCGGCTGGCGCCACGACGACATCACCACCTCCAACTACGCCTTCTACCGTGGAATCGGAGCCGACATGGGCCTAGTCGACCCAGTGTTCCAGAAACGCCTTGCGGAGGAAGGCGTCGATCCCAAGAAAGATCCCGAAAAGGCCGCGGCCATGTGGATTGACAATGTGTGGCACGGTCGTGCATTTTCGTGGGAAAAGATGCCCTGGCTCATCAAGACCTGGAAGGAACTGAGCGGTGGAAAGCCATTCTGCATCAAAGGGTTGGTCAAACCGCAATTTCGCTGCACAAGACCTCCATGCCTGACCTTTTTCTCTCTTGCAGTATCCAATCCGTTCACGATGCACAAAAATGTGTCGATCTAGGCTGTGACGGTATCGTGGTGTCCAACCATGCCGGTCGTCAAGTCGACGGCGCCATTGCCAGTCTCGACGCGCTTGAGAATATCGTCAACGCCGGGATTGGTGAGAAGCTGACTGTCATGTTCGACTCGGGTGTTCGCGGCGCATCAGATGTCATCAAAGCGCTTTGTCTTGGAGCGAAGTTTGTCTGGGTAGGCAGAATGTGGATTTACGGCCTCAGGTGAGTATTCCAACTTGGTGCTACCATATCTACCCAGTCGCTGGAGCTTACGTCAATCGTGCAGTATCATGGGCGAAGAAGGCGTCCGCCACGTCATGAAAAGTCTTCTTGCCGAGTTCGACATCTCCATGCTCACAGCTGGCTTCAGAAACATTGGAGAAATGACTCGAGACAGACTGGAGAGCTACCCGAAGAGTTACACCCTGATTGCAGAGAAGTCGAAGCTCTAGAGTATAGAAAGGACGACTTAGAGAGGTTTTAAAGGCCATGGGATAAAATCGATGGTGTTGTGTTTGCTCTCGTTAATCAGCCTGCTACCTGCATGTCTTATCCAGAAGACCATGAAAATCGCTTTCCTCTCGAAGGGGTATTATAATCATGGTCCTATTCTGACCAGGTAGTATTCCAAGCCAAGCACATCCAACCACATACAGGCGCCGTTCGACTGGCCCCATTTCGTAGCCGGTTCTGTATGTCGCAGTCTCGGGAGAATATATAAAAGTCGACCAGATTCCACGGAAATAGATCGCCTGATAATGAGGGCGCTCCTCCGCCTACACACGCCTTATCAGATCGTTTTCATTGCCCAACACACATCATGGTAAGTGCTTTCCCAATCCGTCCACATAAATCATTCATCTTTCCAATCCCAGACCTGCCTGAGAAACGTCGACATGCTGACCTTCTTGGCCTTCATTTCCACCATCCACGGATGTTCCAGCATCCGCCAGGGCGTCGCCCTTCTGCCTGGCTCCTTCTCCAAACAACACTCAATAAAGTATTTGAACATGTCGCTCCATTTGATGCCATTGTCGGGCTCATCCTTCAGTTTCGGTATGGGTTGTGCAACAATATAGGTGAGTAGGTCGATAAGCCCGGCTCGAGGCTGCATCTCGGTACCGTCGGCTGGGAAGGGAAAGCGGTGTTGAGCCACTTCAAGTAGCGTCACACCCAGTGACCATACGTCGGAGGTGATGGTGTAAGATTGCCCCTGTATTCGCTCTGGGGCCATGTAGTATGAGGTGCCGATGAAGGTGTTCGCATCACCTTTCGTTCCGAACTCTCCAGAAACCCCAAAGTCACACAGTTTGACCTGCCCGTTGCGGCAAAGCAGGATATTAGAGGGTTTGATGTCTGGAAATGTCAATGTTCTGCCCAATAGTTTATAGCGCTGTGACAGGCTTACCTCTGTGGATGATCTTGCGGCCATTGAGATAGGTGAGACCGTGCAGAACGCCTTCAGCAATCTTTCCAAGCACTTTTTCACCTGTTCGACCTCCAAGCTTCTTCACCTCGCGGTACACGCTGTCCAAACTCCCGCCTTCGCAAAACTCCATTGCTATCGATATCGTGCTCGACGACTTGTCCATGAAGGCACCGTAATATTGGCAGATGTATTCTGATGTGCAATTCTTGTTGAATTTCAGCTCTCGTAGGATTTGCTTCTTGACGTCGGGGTCTGGGCTGGTCGTGATGATCTGCCCGGCGATTAGGATTGAACGTTTGAGAAACATGATCGGCCATACCTTGAGCGCGAATATCGTCTTACCACCTTCCAGCATGCACCTCGTTACGGCACCGCCAGCGCCCTCTCCTAGCGAGCCAAGCTCAATGATTTTCTTCTGTTCGCTTGCTGCTCCCCAGCCTTCATCATCCAGATCTTCAACATCGAGCGGTCTTCCCTTCTCGATGCTGAGTGCCTCAAAGTCAATGGACAGTCCGCCCATACTCGATTCTCTTTCCATAGACGCTCCGCCTATGCTTGCTTCGGAATAGATCGAGCTAATCGCCGAGGACGGGTCTGGGGTGCCGCCTTGCCTGCCTTGCATAGCGAATGACAAGGCAGAGTATGTGGATGAAGATGCAGAACCTGGAACACTGGCAGCATGAAAGCTGTCTCCTCTGGGCCTGGTCCCGACATCGTTGCCGGTGACTGCGCTTATATTTAGTGGTTGTATTTGTGGTCTTAGATTTGTGCCTCCTTCTTGAACCGAACCTAGACTTCCCATAGGCGTTGCAAGGGATAATTTAGGTGGACCCTTTGTCGCTAAGTTGAACCGTGGTATCTCACTCACTGCTTCCGGCTCGCCAGTGACTGGTCGGGCATTGGGCGAGGGAGGTATTCCTAATGTCAGGCGAGGGGTCCGGCTACCGCTTTGGCTACGACCACCAGGGACAGGAGGTCGCAGAAGCGGCACCGGGGACGACATATTCGAGGGGTTGACCGAAATCGATGGAGCAGGAGAGGACAATGGAAGCAGGATCCCTCAGGCACTGATGCCGAGCCTGATCAGGTTTGGAAAGGAGGCGCTTGCAGATTTGAGGTCGATGGAATTTGTCCTGGGCCAATGTAAGTCGCGTCGAGGCTCAATCTCGATTATTGCACCGGCGTGCAGTCAACGTTCAAGGCAGATTCGCCTCGCCGGCTGCCTCGAGATGGGTCGCTCTCTGACTCGAGTGTGTGTGCAGGAGGTTCGAAGAGAGAATGTGAAGGTGTACGGTGTGAAAGGCTCAGATGATTTCTGACTTGACCATGAGGACGACGTCAAGGCGTTGTCCGCACGGGGCCTTTGATCTGCGATCGGCGGCTATTTGAAACGCCAGCAATTCTTTTGGGGCTGGAACCGCATACGACAAGCCACCAAACAGAATTACCAGGTTTGGTTTTCTCTCGCAGCCGTGCAATCCGCAAATGAAGAAACGATGCTTTACTTTGAGTAACGCAGATGAGAAGAGTGGGCGATGTAGCTTAGTCGTCTACAGATGATGTTTGAGGTGCGTCCTCTATCCGGCACTACTAACTTAGGTATCTGATTTCCATCTGACACAGAGGGTCCCGCTTGTCACTGACAGTCTTTCATGGTTGTGAGCGGCGAGGTCCACCTTTCCTTCCAGCCCTATAGACGAGATGAACTCTTGCGCCCTTGGTAGCACTTGGTAAGGCTCCCACGACTTGTCGGGCTAATCAAACAGGGGATGCAGAAGCCCAAAGCGGAGGTGAAGTGGCCTGCGTACTCTCCCCCTCTTCAAATGAGGTCCGAGATCAGCGGTAGGAGCCTATGGCGGAGAAAGCCTGTGTGACGGACCTGAACCTTTGCGGCCTTCACATACCGCCCGTTTGCTGCTGACTTGGTCTTCTCCACCTGTCAGAGGCAGCCAACATGCGGTGAACCGGGGTCGAACTGCGGCCGAATGGGGCACTCGGGCTGACTACGGCATACGCAACGTGCTACACAGGACCATGGGAAGTCGGAGTTCATGCAAAAACTTTCACATACTGGACACTGAAAAAGTGTGATTGATGGGCTCAGTGAGGTTTCTCATTTGACAGATACAGTAGGAGAGGTCCGCTTGTCCTCTGGTCTGTTGCGCCCTTTTGAGGCCGGAGCAACTGTCTGCAATGTTCTGCCTTTGCCTGCCCAAGCCGTGCCAGGTGCCAGGCCATGGCCACTTCATGCTTTCAGGCGACCTCTCGCCAGTACCCACCCAGCTTACTTTTGCTCCTGCGATACCAATCTCCATCGCTTCGAAATCATTTTTTCGTGTAGTTGAACCGAGTGACGTGGGCGAAATTCGTGTCTGTTGTCATGGCACAGGTTGGCCAAGGGATTGTGAGAGATCGATTCTGGGAGTGTCGGGGTTTGCATTAGAGAAGGATTGAGGTCGTTGCATACAAGCTCATGTCATCATTCGTCAACTCGCATTCCTGGCGAGAAGTAAAAGAAAAAAGGTATCATAGCTTCGTCAAGTCGCTTTGCGCAAGACACGGTCTATCGATCCGACGCCAAAGAGAAACAATGCCATATGCTTTTCGCGTGTCATTCATTTCGGGACGAGTGCAGAAGGAAAGTGGTGTTGAAGGAGTGTGGATGTCGGAGCATAGTCGTGTGGAAGCTGTAAATCGAGGATAGGAGACTGACGTTCAAGGATGGATCGTCTCTCAGACTTATTCTGAGGAGACTTGTTGTCTGCGTCCCTTCTCGGCTTCCAAGTTCTCGTACAAGAGGTACAGGGCTCTCTCGTTGGCGCTGGCACTTCCCATGATGGTGAACATTCTCTCCCCAGTCTCGTCATGCGGTGCTTTCGCAATCGAGATTCTGGCTCCTGAGGTCTTCCGGATTTCGCTGATCTTGGAGCCTCCTCTTCCGATTATGCAGCCGACCATATCGGCAGGAATGCTAATGTTCTGAGTCTGGACTTCTTCTCCATCCTCGGTGACCATGGGGATACCGCCACTACGTGGTGCATCGGTGTTGCGGTTGTTGAAACTGCGCGCTTCGCTGAAGTCAGCGCCGTTGCCAGTCCGATTATATGTTCGACCTCCAGCGAAGGTGTTGGCCGGCAATCCGCCCCCACCAACGGCAGGAGGCAAAGGTCCCGAACCAACTTGCACTCGAACAGCAGGATTGTACAGCACGGTCCCAGTGCCACGTTGCCAGTCATCGACAAGGCACTTTCCAATTTCCCAGACGGCCTTGTCAATGCCCTCAGGTGTACCTTGGACTTCGACGATACGCTCAGTGGATTGAGGCAACATTTCCTTTTGTGCGACCATGCGTACACCGGAGGCGTCTTGGATGTGCTTGATCTTCAATCCTTGCCGACCAATAATGGTGCCCATCTGGTTGTGAGAGATCAAGAGACGGATTGCTGGCGAGCATTAGTGGCAGACATAGGACGGATGTTGTAGAAGCTTACGGTGAGTGCCATTGTTCTGGACAACACCTCCCATGCCCATCTGGGGCGCACCCTCAAGAAGACCTTTGGCCACGAGAGCGTAGGCCTTTGCAATGCCGGAGAGGGGTCCAGTCACGGTCAAGACACGATCATGGACACCCTGCACGACCTTGCTAACTCCAGCTTTGACACCAGTCTCTTCTCGTAGATCGGCCACATTCTTTCCAGCCTTACCAATGATGACACCAGCTTCTTTGGTGGAAACAATGGCTCTGAGAGTCAATTGGGACTGCGCGTACTCTTCCTCGGTCTTTGGCTGCTCATTTTCGCGGTCGCCCACATTGAGTTGGTTGATCGATTCGGTCAAGCCATCATCGACGTGATTTGCAACTGGAGATTCGGCGGAAGCCATGAGGAAGATGTCACGGTAGGTACAAGTTTGGAGTTGTCCGTACGTGAAGAGGTGCGCGGAGGTTCGAGAGTCTGGTCAAAGTGCGGTGCAGAAGTATCTGGCAAGGTGACCAGATTGACTGGTGGAGGCAAGGGTGTGGGGAGTGATGAAAGTGAGGAGGGGTAGGTTGTTTAGGTTGAGTGCGAGTTGAGAATGCCGTAGGGCTCGGCGAGGGGAGGAGAACGCGAAAGGTGAAAGGTGAAAGATCGAAGGGATGAGGGTGGTGTTGAGTGTTCGCGAGAGTATGGAGGAGGGAAGAGGATGGAGGATGGAGGATGGAGGATGGAGGATTTCGACGTCGTTTTTGGAAACAAACGAAAGTGCTGGGCTAAGGTCGAGGAAAGCCCTTAAAATTGGAGGGCAGGGACCGCGAGTTCTGAACTTCTAGGTACGTACTGAGTTTTTGGAGGCTAGGGCTGGCCAACCAGAAGACAGCCACCAAGCAGCTCTCAACTTCTCTTCCCCTCATTTGTGCCAAGCTTGAAACGAGACGTGACAGAGAGGAGCACTGGCATCTTTGTGCACAACTCACGCACTGTTGCCCTCATGATTCGTGTAAGTCATGAAATTGCTACATCAACATGGCATACATGATTCAGGGCGTATAGCTTGCAGCTCGTCCACGCATGCTGCACTACCTCTGGGAGTATGACATGGAGAACCTCTCTTCAAAAGGCCCACCAAATGATGAACTTGACCATGCGGCCCAGATCTTGAATCTCTATGTTCCAGGATCTCCCAAGCTGGTCCATACCCTCACTTGTCTGCCTCAAAGACCACTTTCTGCACTTTCATATTGTTGAACTCTTCATACCATTTGGGGGCTTCCGACATTGGTTTGATGTTATCCGCCATGAAACTGACAAACGATTAGCATTCCTTCCATCAAATTCTTCAGACGAGGGTTTACTTCAGCTGATGCTGTTTCTTCGCCAGCATTTCCAGAGCCGGCTCGAAAAGACCTGTGCGGATTGATGGTTAGCCAGACAACCCAGCCAGTGTGTGAGTGTCACATACTTCGAACGGGACATCTACCCATTTGGATCCTCAAATTCTTTCCATATGCTTGGTTCCCAGTCCATGGGATTTCTCCATTGTGTACGCCGACACTGGAGATATTACTACAAATCGTCAGAAAGTTGTGTCGGTAAAACCTGGGACAAACCGAAAGACTCGTGTTTCAATGGTACAGTCTTCCGCGAAGAAGAGCACTTACCCCCATGGCCTCAGCAATTCGAATCCCATTTTCAGCGCGTCGCTGTGACCCACCAGCTCCATCACGGTATCGGCGCCTCTGCCATCCGTGAGCTCTAGTACTCGCTTCTTGAGACCCTCAAGGTCCGTTTGATAGTTCCAGGGCTCGGCTCCAAGATCTTTCGCCTGTTCCAATCGTGACGGCACCCCGTCAATGGCAAGCAAAGCTTTGGGTTTGTACTCGAGGGCGTTCACAAGCGCGCACAATCCGACAGGACCGCAGCCTATCAGAAGCACTACGCTTTGAGATATGGTCTGCTCATCGAACCCGCGAAATGCATTTGCTGCGGCAAAATATCCAGTCGGGAAGATGTCGGCCATGAGCACCAGCTTGTTCTCCTCGATGTTGGCCGGCGCCTTCACCACTGTGCTGTCTGCCGAAGGGATTCGGCAATACTCGGCTTGTCCTCCATCAAGGCCAGACGATCCGAACAATTGACTTTTTGCGCATCGAGACGAGAATCCTCCTTTGCAGTAAAAACACTCTCCACAACTGGTCGTGAAAGGAGTCACTATTTTGTCTCCCTTTGTAACAGTCTTGACATCGGATCCAGTCTCTACCACCTCACCTGTGAACTCATGACCCATAATGAATCCTGTTCCGGATGCCTGGTGACCACGGTACACGTGGAGCTCGCTTCCAAGTGTCAGTCATTGAAATCTGCCACCAGAAATGATCTACAAACCTTCCACAAAGTGCCGTGTATCTCACTTTGACGATGATGTCCTGAGGATCCTGTATCTTGGGGACAGGTCTTTGCTCGACTGCGACCTGCAACTTTCCCTTGAACACAACTGCTTGCATGGTATCTTTGGATGCCATCTTGTATCGATATGCTATTGTCGTTTTGCTAATGCAGGGAAGATCCAGATGGATGCCAGAAGAGGGATTATTACACAAAGTCCTGCTCACCTTGTGACTAGTGGAGTCTGTAACAGCAGAAAAGAAAGCAGACCACGGGGACTACTCAGGCTCATATGGAAATTGACTTTGTATTCCATGACCTGGGGAGCTCCTCCGATCGGAGCATTGACTCCGTATTTTGCCAGTTTAGTTGGAGCTAGCACCGAGTTGGGGCCACGGCAATATGCGCCACTGACGGTCGATATCAAAATGCAATAGACAGTGAGTGATTCCTGACAAACAACCGCCTCATATACTGCGACGCTTGCCCGTCGACCTCGCTTCGGCCGGAAATAATGTCGATGGATGAGTACGAGAAATGAGGCTCTGGAAGGTCCGAAGGTGGGCAGTCGGAAGAGTGGTCGATCGCTAGTGGCCCCGTTCCTTGCCTCGGGCTATCAGGTGAGGATAACGCGGAATGCGACAACTTCTGTTCTTGTCTCACTGCCGTTGTCAATTTGTAGCAAGGTCGCTGGTGTGCTTTGATGCCATGTACCTTGATCTATCGAACCCGTGTTCGCCGAAAAATACCATTAAATACGCCGACCGTGCAACCCAAAAGATGTGTCCATGCCGAATTACCCCCAAAAAGACAATTATGCCTAGTACCCCGCGCAGATGATGCTTTGAATTGCTGGCATCGTCGTCGGCCACATCAGGTCACCGTACAAAGCAGCTCAGACTCCAGGATGTACTTCCCTTCCTTGTACTTCTCGCTAGCCTCATATGCCTTGTCATATTTCCAGCCGACCGTCTCGTCGCACTGTTTGCACTTGATGTCTCTTACGATATGCCTGCCAGTGGTCATGTTCCGTTCCATCGCTTCTGCTTGTTTGATGTTTACGACCGTGGAGAACAGGAAGGCTTTGCCATGCTGTCCCCGAAAATTCCGAGATATGATGTCGTCGAAATCGGCCAAGTGCGTCTTACAGTTCTGTAAGAGTAATCATCCGTCAGTAAAGTGTTCGGAAGACGAATTGCAACATGATGTCTTACCTTGCATCCAAAGATCTTGGCCGAGTTCAAGTAGACATTATACGCGAGTCCCATCTCGTTCTGTCAATTCTTTGGCCCTCAGGCTTGTGATGCGGAAGACCAGGAAATCCGCACCTCAGCCTGAAGCCGCAGTCGATCCTGCGAGGCTTGGCCGTGAAAGGTCTCGCTACTTCTGTGGCACTGCTCTTTCGACGAAAGAATTGCTCGTTCCTCTTTGACTGTGAGAATGTTGTATCGGTCAACGGTATATGACACGCTCGGTAGGACGGCAGGGGGAGTTTCCAGAGGATAGTCGTTGGGGGATGGGGATGTCAAGTGACGTTCTCCTTGAGCACGCTCACCGGCTGTTCATGTGAGAGTAGCAGATGATATCACAGTAGCAGATGATATGACTTTCAGCTTGACGAAGAATATACTGGTGAGAGATGCGTATTAATGGCAAGGGGTGGGACTGTGTTGAACAGCGATAAGTACCAGGCCAGATGGGGTGTAAGTAGAATGCCTCTTCGTCGGCAACACCCCAGGCGCCGGCGGAGCGGCGATCTGCGCTTATTTTTGGCGCCCCCGCTTAAGGATCTCTTTACGAGTACTCCGTACTGGCATATGCTTCATGAACCACACATACCACTTCCTGTACGGTACCTTATCTACCCAGGTACCTTGGTAGGCGTTGCGCTTGCCCATATGTATCGATGGGTTCGAGAAGCATCGCCTTACAGGATTCCGTATATCTCCCGGAGCTAAACCCGGATGTCACTTGTCATCGGAGGTCAAAGGCAATGTCTGGCACGCAAAATTGGCGATCGCGACCAAGGTTTGGCCACCACCGAGCTGGGCACATGGAAAGAGACATCTGCTGTGGGTATCGCATCAACATCGGTACAGGACCGGCCAAGACTCGGGAACGTTTGGGAGAACTCTTGTATTCATCGATGACCAAGCAGGCCGTTAGACGAGTACCAGAAATCATAGCAGTCCTTGTGGCCCCAATGCTCGCTCCAGAACTCCCCAAACAGATCGTCGACATCTACGTCGACGTCCGTGACTCTCTCGCTCCTCTTCAGTCCACAGAGTGCGCATTGCTTGGACGACTCGGTGGAACCGGGGTATTTCAGTGTCTTCAACACGGTAGAGGCGGGGATCTTTATGCGATGGGGCGGCAGCCCAGCTCGAGCAATGATGCTGTTGAACTCATGAAGACGCAGATCCCAGTCACGTATCATCTCTTTACAGTCGCGCTCCTCCTTTGCACTCTCACTCTTGTTGGCTGACGCCAATTTCATCCCTCCACTCTTACCTGCTTGGCTTATTCTCATGCTTTGGGACAAAAGGTTGTCTCGTCTCCACCGTAGAGTCCTTCCAGCAACGAGTCGACAGGCTGTCCTAAACACTATCAGTATCTTCGCAGCCAAATTCGGCTTGGACACTGTTGTATCGAGGTTGCTCTCGTGGAGAGATTTGAAGACATCAGAAAGCAGTTGTAGAAGTGAGGACGGTGGAGGGACATTCGTTGGTCGTTCGTGATGGGATGTGGAACTTGGCAAGGACAAGCTGAGTGATTGAGTTGCTTTTTTCAAGGCTGTTGAAGGCTTCTCGGATGAATCTGTGGCACTCGTCACGGGCTGACCGTCTTCAAAAGGCTCCCACACATCTTCCTCTTCGTTCCTGCTCTTGATGGGGTGCGCCGGAGCTTTTCCAGGTCGTCTGAACCCAGTTGGACCGTGTTGTGGCTCCATCTGAGGTTGGCTGTCTTCGACTTCTCCCCAGTCTTCTTCCCAACTGGCATCAATCTCCGCCACTTCATTCGTCGCGACAGGGTTCGAAGGAGGTACATTTCTCTGAACTTTCAATGCCCTACTTCCAGGAAGGGCTCCATCTGAGTTTGAAGCATGTTGCACATAGCTATCGGTGTCCAACAAGTGTGTAAGAGGGCCTGCAGTCCTAAAAGCTTTGTCGGTGGGGTGCTGCTGATGCGTGTTGGTGACTGTTTGAGTCGTTTGAGGTCCGGGTTCATTCAAATCTTCTACCGCTTGGAAATCACCAAAATCGTCGTCCAACTCTGGCTCTTCGGCATCGAACAGCACGTCGCTTCCACTGGCATCTTTTTGCCAAAGTGGTGATCCATGTTTTGTGAACCCAGGCTTTGAGGGAGTCACCCAGGGTTGTGTGACTGGTCGATACTCCAGTTGCTCGTTTGGAACATCGTTTCCTCCGCCTCCGACAGATGTAGAATGAGCCGCGTCTGTGGAGAGGCGCCCATCACCACTGTCCAGAAAAGCTGCATAGAGGTCGGCGGACATCGTCTGATGAAAGCATGATCAATAAGGCCAGTCTTGCGAGCGTTTCCTCGAGATGGTGGTGATAGTTGATGGTTCATACACTGGAGTATTATTATCTCGGAGCGGGATGTTGACGTCGCCATTGTTTATTCCCCGCCAAGAGCCACGACGTCCAACTTCAAGTTGCATGTTACCACTGATCCTCATCCGGAGTTATAGATTTGAACATCGTACATTTGATGTCCATCTCATCGCTGCTGGTCCCTTTGCAACTGTCATGCGGACATTCGAAGAAAACCAGTAAGACTTAAGCATGTGTTAGAAACCCAGGCTCACCAAGTTAGGCGGCGCTGGTCATCTTTGTTCAGCACCTCAATTGGGGTCGACTTGCGGCAAGCATTGAGAGATGGCGAAGGCTTTGACCCCTGCGAGGACGGACTGCGCTCGGTTTGCTGGAAGGTTGGTTTTTCCTTCTACTCATTGGAAGTCACGGTTGCCAAACGGATAGGCTTTCCTCCTCTACGGTCCTCTCAGCCAGAGGTCTTGGCCAAAGAAACTGGCCGAGTCTCGATCGGCGTACGTCTCCTTGCGAAACCACTTCTTGCGCTTCATAGAGCATCCCAACGATATTCACTCATCGGCGGACCCTCTGGCAGATGACGAAGCGGTGCGTCCTTGTCTTCTTTGTACTGCTTAACGAGTCTGACGTCTGACGAAGCAAAGTCTCCCTGGTCGACACTACGGCAAGATGAGGAAGCCAGAGAAGAGATCTTTCAGGATGTAACGCGGTGCATGCAGGACAACTACTTCTTCCGAGAGCCTGCTACACAGAAGCAGTTGTTGGACATTCTATTCATTTATGCCAAGCTAAATCCCGACGTTGGGTATCGGCAAGGTATGCACGAGCTGTTAGCTCCAATCTTATGGGTGGCTCAGCAGGATGCTGTGGATGCTCTCAGTGTGCCAGATACAAGCAAAAGTGCCGAGGGAGTCGACTTTATGCTTGAGGTGCTGGATGCCAGGAACGTGGAACATGATGCCTTCAGTCTCTTTTGTGCATTGATGCAGACTGCAAAAGCCTTCTACGAGATTGGTGAAAGCAGGGACTCGTCACCAATCATCGAAAGGAGCAAGAGGATCCACGACGGCATCCTCGCGTCCATTGACCCCGAGCTGGCTCTTCACATGAACGTCATCGGCATCCTCCCTCAGATATATTCTATGTGAGTAAATCGGCTTCAGATTATGTCCTTCTACTTATGTATTGCAGTCGCTGGATCCGACTCCTGTTCGGACGAGAGTTCGAATTCCAAGACGTGCTGCGGATCTGGGATCTCTTGTTTGCTGAGAACTTGAGGCCGGAGATCATCGACTTGACTTGCGTTGCGATGCTTTTGCGTTGTCGCTGGTCATTGATTGAAGCAGACTATACGACAGCCATTACTTCTTTGACTCATTATACCGTACCTGGTCCCTCCGAGCCTCGCTCCCTGGTCAAAGATGCTATCTTTCTCGGCAGGAATCAAAATACCGAGGCCGGGGCCACAGTCATACAGCATTATACAGGCAGACGTCCGAAGCAAAGCGATGCTCCAAACAGCCGTAGCTCTTCGGCCGCCCGGACAACAAGAACTCAACACCGACATTCGCCTAGTGCCTCTCCAGGCAGGTTGGCCGCCTCTCAAAAGCAGCTTGAAGGGTTGTTTCAGGAGGTGACAGGAGGCTTACAAAAGCGGACGGAAGGGTGGAACGTTTCAAAGGCTGTCCGAAGTGCTGTGGGCGAGGTTCGTCGTGGGATGAACAATTATCAAACATCGCAGGCCAGGCAAGCAATCAAGGACCCATTGGACACTGGCCAAGTGGAGGAAACAACGCAGACTCTTCAACGAAAGCTACAACAGCTCCAAGATCGCAATGCATTGCTTGCAAAATTGCTCGAGGACGCCGTGGATTCGTTGAGGTCGGTCAAATTGACTAGCAAGGAAGATGCGGACGCGACTGAGAACAATCTCAATATCTCCCTGGCTAAGATACAGTTTGTCTCGGTATACCTGTCTGACCCGGAGATCCCGATCCCGAACGAAGAACACGTACAGCCTTCAGAGGACGCTGCGATGGTCCAAGGGTCCGCTGAGGAGCAGTCGGAAGCGTCTGCGGAACCTGAAGCCCAGCACCAGGGGACGGTGGTCACGTTGCCAGTTCGGACGACCCAAGCATCGGGAAAAGCCGAGACTGCTTCAACGTCAGAGAAAGACGATAGGGAAACACACAAAGGGCCATCGCGGCCGTCGCTGATGGACGCATCATTTTCCTTCATGCTTGGGGAGAACAGACATCGTTCGAGTTTCGTCAGTTCTGCTGGCCCTTTGCCAGAGCAGAGGAGGGACAGCTCGTCAAGAGGCGGACCCAAGCAAACACTAGCGGACGCAAAGACGCAGCAAGCTCGCAACAGTTCCAAGGGCGAAGATGATAGTTTCACTTTGACCAAACTACAAGGTGCAAAATGAGGAAGTCCGATACTGCGCTTGGTAAGGCCAAGGAGACGGGTTTGGCCGCGGCAAGCTTTGCAGACATCTTCTGGGCTTGAGCTGGGCGCAAAGGCTCCGATCATTATTCGTCTCGGTCAAATGGAGATGGAGACGGAGACGGAGATGGAGATATTCTATGCACGACAGAGAGTTCGGATGAGGATTCGTTATGGAGCGAATTTGTAGTGATATAGCACTTGAAGCGGTGCGGGGAGCAAATGATAGCAATCCTGCAAGCAGTCGCGCAGGTTCATTTGATCTCGGTGAGAAACCGATCACTCTAGCTAAAGTCTAACAACGTCGGCTTTTGAAGATCGGTACCTCTTAAACGTTGGGAAATTTACCGACTTTTTCTTTCTCCAGCGCTGAGGGCAGTCTGGCCTGCGCGCTGCCTTCATGGGTCTATGATTAATGGGAGCCAGTCCCATTCGCCTGTAGGTTCTGCATACTCCAAATGATATGTACCTAGGTGGACTATGAGGAGGTACAGTATCATCAAGTACCAGATCTGTGAGTAATAAGGGACGTGAGCTAGGGTTCTCCGCACCACTGCGCGTACCACATGCAACGCCTAGTGAGCCTGTTCAGAGTTTGGTTGGACCGGACTGGCAGCTCTCCAACAGAGAAAGCAAATCGCGAACCGACTTACAAGGGTTACCGCACAAGCGAAGCCACAGCCCACACCCACCAGCCGCAGCCAGCCAAATCGATCGCTATGTTCTCTCTGCCTTTACCTAGTTGATTCTGCTCGTCACAACCTACTTGCTGGCTTGCTGAGCCTTTCAATTAGCCCGTCATCGACCTTATTGCTGCTTGCTTCGAGCAAGGTATAGCCCAAATTCCTCTACGTTCAGCAGCAAAGCCACTTGCTGCCACGGACTCTGTCGATTGAACGATGTCTCTGGGTCTCACATCATCGTGACAATTAGAACGGAGCGGCCGCCCATAGTATCTCTCAAGTGGCATTCAGCATGCCACGAGATGGCCAAAATAACAATGGTACGCCAGACTACTGACCTCAGGATTCATACGAGGGCGCCCTACTTCGGCCGAGGAGCTGCTTCTGCAATTCACTCCTCTCATATTTCATACATGCAAACTGACCCTGTCCCAAGGAAATAATTACACCCCGCCATTATCGCCCCTCCTCAAGTCGAATACCCTGGACGTTCAGACACTGCGAATACCAAAGGTCAAAAGCACCTCAAACCTGCTACCCTCCGGCCACAATGGATCACCTTCCAACAATCACCGGACGCGGTTCTCGTTCGACTCTGGCACGACCCAGGAAATGAACAATCTGAAAAGGTGTGTCTGTTACAATTGATCCCAACGTCGGCGACCTGACCGAACGTAGGGCTGCTCACGGTGACCACGAACATGGATTGGGAAGATCAGGTCTCCGAAGAATCCGACGACAGGGTCCTTCAATACGAACTCCTACTTTCGCGTTCGATGACGGGGAATTTGTTGCTTCACCTCTTCAGCATTCCAAGACTGTCCCCATCTCCGGGTCCTCTTCACGATCTGTCTCCGCCAGCTATCTGCTCAGTGGTCCCTCCTCGCCAGTACTAGAAGACCTGCACCGCTTTCCCTCCGAATCGCTCCACTCGTACTCCTTTGCGAAACAATCGGAAGACTTTCTTCACAGCAGGCAGAATATTCTACAAAAGTCGGTGGACTTTGTAAGAGATCGATCACAATGGGCTGCCAACCCAGCTCTGGCAGAAGCGCAAGCCCGAGTCAGTGGCAACATTGAGATTCAGGGAATGATGGATTTGCTGAAAAAGGCCAACATTATAACGATCGATACAAATGACAGCAACTCACGAGCAGTGGGTGCTGGACCTTTGACGGGTCCAGCTCACCACGACGGGCGCAACATATTCGAGAAAAGCTTCAGTCAAGAACTTGACCAAGCTCAAAAAGAGGCTGGGCGGGACTACGCCGAGGATGCGAAGACGCGGCGAAAGTACTCATTGGAGGACGAAGAGTCCTTCCGAGAACCAGACCTGGAAATGCGGATACCTCCCACAAGGGCTGATTCAATGAGCGCTGCACGACGGACAGGCCTCAGACGAACCTACACAGACATCAACTCTGTTTCGTTGCAACAGAAACTCATCGAGGCGCTCGCACAGCCATATTCGACCAAGGAAAGCTCTTATGCATATACCGCCGCCAGCAGCATACCGGCAACGCCAGTCATCCCAAGTTCGTCCAATGTTCACAGCCACAGCAGCAAGTGGTCGCCTACACACCAGGCAGTATTTCGTACTGAAGCCGACGCGCCTTGGACTATCTTGGCTGCAAATGATTTGGCATGCCTCATCTTCGGAATCCAGCGAGCTGAAGTCCGATCGTTGAGTATTCTTGGCATCATTCAGGAAGAGAGAAGACAATGGCTGGAGGCAAGATTGTCCCGAAATGACGAGACTGCAGAAGAACATCATCCTGCACCATCTCAGAATGGAGCTGGGAGTACTAGAAGTGCCAGCGCGTCGCTGATTGGCTCCAGAAGTGGTATTACAGCTAGACTGCTTAGTAAAGCTCCCTCTAGAGCTAACAAGTCTTCAGAAAAAGCAAAGACGGCAGACGGTTCAGGTGGCTACAATCGCCCAAAACCGCTGAACCATCCGTCCACCAAATCAAGGGGCGTCCTCCTCTGTGGTGATATCGTGCCAATACAGAAACGAGATGGCACGAAAGGCGCTGCAAGTTTTTGGGTCATGGAAAAAAGGGGTGGTCTGATCTGGGTTGCCGAAGAGATTGCTGAGGATGTCGCATACCTCGATATTGATGTCCTCGGCAAGGTCAAGGGCTCCCATGGCGATGTGCGGGCCATCTGGGGCCAAAGCATTGCCGACGGTACACCCCTCCAGTCTCTCCTCCCCAAGTTTCCTGTGGATGCTTTTGATTCCTATGACAGGCACCGCGTGGATTATTTCGCGGCGCGTACTATTGATTATGTCAACGTGCCGACGACTGTCGAGAAATCCCCTTCTGAAAATCAGCTCCGCGTCTCCAGCTTGCCGCATATTGCTGGAGTCATGGTTTTAAATCCAGACCAGCTCAAAATCAGCAGCTCGAACAATATCTTCGCCGCTGCGTTGTTCGGGTGTGACAAGGCCCAAGGCATGCCATTCACGGATCTGATTCCTAGTTTCGGCGATATGCTGGATGTATTGTGCAGCGAGGATGGTGTCGAATTAGCCGATGGGATTGTTATTCCTGAGCACAGCTTTCGACGAGCCCGCGCGCTGCTTGCCCTTCGCGAAGGCAAGGAGAACCCCACCGACATATTCCTGCGGCCAAGCGGGCTTCCGGCGAAACATCGAGATGGCTCAGATATCATGGTCGATGTACAAATGCGGGTGGTCCGCAGCGAGTCTGTCTTTCCAATGTCCGACGAAGCCATCATCGAGGAGAAGGACGAAAATCAGGTTGAGTCGACTATTGCCGTGGCAGAGCTTGTCTATGCTGTCTGGATCATCTACTCGCGCAACATCCACTCCACGGGTATGGTGGGCGCGCAGGCTGGACATGAGAGTGTCACACGCCCTCTCTCACCACCTTCTCAGCCCGAGCCGCCACCGCATCTGCCTTCTCCGCCCCCAACTTCTTCACACAACTCGACGAAATCTTTTGATAGCCTTGAAATACCATTCGGCGCTGACCTTATGGATGATGAATCACTAGCCATGGAGGAACCCTTGGAGCATCCGCCGCCGCACACTCCATACATCCCTCACGAAAGGAAGACGATCGATGACTTCACGATCCTGGAAGAAATGGGCTCGGGAGCCTATGGCCAGGTGAAGTTAGCTCGATATAAGAAAGGTGAAGCCAGAAAGATGGTATTGAAATTTGTCACCAAAAAGCGCATCCTCGTCGACACTTGGACCAGAGATCGTCGACTTGGTACGGTTCCGTTGGAGATACACGTTCTCGATTATCTCCGACGTGATGGACTTCGCCATCCAAATATTGTGGAGATGATTGACTTCTTCGAGGACGACGTCAATTACTATATCGAAATGCTACCACATGGCATTCCGGGCATGGACCTGTTTGACTACATCGAACTCCGGACAAACATGACGGAAGCAGAAAGTCAAAACATCTTTCGACAAGTGGTCGATGCTATTCATCATCTGCATACAAAAGCCTTGGTGGTGCATCGTGACATCAAAGATGAAAATGTTGTCCTAGACGGTGAGGGGCGGATCAAGCTGATCGATTTCGGAAGCGCGGCATACATCAAGAACGGGCCTTTCAACGTTTTTGTTGGCACTATAGGTGAGCTTGTATCCTGGCCTCGGTAGGCTCCATCCTGACCATGGTTCAGATTATGCTGCGCCAGAGGTCCTACAAGGCAAACCGTATTGTGGAAAGGAGCAAGACGTCTGGGCTCTGGGAATATTGTTGTACACCATCGCCTACAAAGAGAGTAAGTGAGCATATTCCTGCGCTCGTGCAAATGACTGACGAGAGATGTTTAGATCCCTTCTACAACCTAGGTGCGTTCCTGACCAGCGAAGATCGTGTAATTAATAGCAATACTAATTTCTTGCAGACGAAATTCTCGAACATCCCCTGCGAGTTCCATATCTGTCTTTCTCCGAGGAGTGCCTTGACCTTATCCGGAAGATGTTGGACAGAGATGTGGAAAGACGGATCACCATCGAAGAAGTGCGAGACGACATCTGGCTCGAGGAAGAGTGCTAGAAAGCCAGGGACGACTTAGACCTCGATTCGATCACTTGCTTGACGACCTGATTTAAAAGCGACGAATATTACGCATTGAACGACAGATATGTCTTGCATTTACATGACAGACAGGCATATACAGACATTTGTGGTTCTGAACTACAGAGATGGTGAGATCTCGGTGTACGAGGTGCGGGCTGTGGATGTTGGAGTTGAACCGCTGGGACACTGGGGGACAGACGACCACTTGAGCCTTTTTGGAGTAGAGACCGGTGCTGAAACGGCGTCGACCACCAATTGGATCGGGATCGAGGCCGACGTCGCTGGTTCTTGGGGTCGAGTCTTCTCCCCACGGTCAGCTGTCCATCGATCTCGCCAGCCCAGATGAATGATGTGCCTGCAGACATGAGTAGACACCAAAATCGTGGACAAATCCACCTTGGACAGATGTCCCATTACACGTCCTCCACGACAAGAAGTCGCATAACATTGTTCGCATGGGTCTTGGTTATGATAAGAGAACGTGAGAAATACCTCCGGGAGGTTCTCGGTTCACAGACCTGCAAGCCCGAGCCTGGGCTAGGCCTCACTAGGGTCTTTAGGCTGTGGGGTTTGAGTTTCAGTTCGTTGATTCCGGGGTACTACTCTAGGTATTTCCGTCCTTCTGCATGTCAAACTACCGTACCTGTGCCGCCCATTCACGAAACAGTGAACGTCCACAAAGCCGACGGACTGAAGGCAGGTGGGACGTGCAAAAGGTGCAAGATCTTGTACCGCTAGAGCCTCCTGAGGATTGAGAGACGAGCAAAACACCTACGAGTAGTGTCTGGTCCTGATCGGCTAGACTCCGAGCGTGGAAGGCATGTTCGGCGGTGCTTCTGGAGCATTGCCCACTACAACTTAAATCCTCGGTATTTTGGCTTTGACGCCAACCTGGCTCCAATTCAAGGATACTTTGAACAAGAGTCACGTATTTGCCATCCCGGCCCCCGCCTGACGTTTAATAAACGTGATTGCTGCCTGAAGAGACCTGTCTCTTAAGATTGACTCTCAGCGAGATACCATTCACGAGTTTGGTCGAGCATTCTCAGATTGGCGATTTCGCAGCATGAAGCTGCAAAGCGACGTCATTCATGAAATGACAAGCGATCCCATACGGATAAGGATGTGCAGCAACAATATCCCAATCTGATTGCAAGTTGAGGGGAGCCGATACGCACCTCTACTCGGTGTTGGCATGGACGCGGAAGCCACTAAGCGCAAACGATACGGCATCTCGCAGATCGCGGAATAGGCCTGGACCTGGACATGTGCGTCAAAGACCCTGTTCCTTGTTATCACAAGTCCCACATCAGCTGGCCCCTCTTCTCACAGGCGATCAAGTCACCAGTGTCCGGCCACGAGACATGCATTCGCAACGGGACCGCTAGATGCTGGGCGGGCGGGTTGTGGGCATACACAGAACTCTTTCGACTTGAACTCTGTCCGACCACATGGTGGGATAATGAAGGGGTCTGGAAATCACAAATCAATCCACAGCGCAATGTCATTTTGGCTGCAGGAGAGAATTCATGACTTACGAAGTCTCGGAAAATGGGCTGCTAATGCAACGCCGACGCGAGTGCGTCTGCAAGCAGGGTCCGACGACAGTCCGTCAATGTTCTCCTACTGGCCACTATGAAACCATGGCTATAAGCACATGGTACCTTGGATGTGTATGGTGGACGGCCGCAAGGTCAGGCTGTCGCTTCAACGGATCCTCGATCTCTTATGCCAACCTCTCGTGGGTCTGTTGGTAGGGAAGCTGACGACTCTGTCTCTGGTATGCTATCTCTCTTTTGTTGAAGTAGACTACTCTGTGCACGCGATAAGATCAGGTGAATGGGTCACTAGCAGCAAATGATTGACCACCCATAGGCCGGGCGAGACGAAGACAAGAAAAGAGGCCCGCCTGGGCGGCTTGCGCCATTCTAGACGGACTGACTGACACTTTGAATCCTCGGCATTCTGCCATCCAGTTGGGTCCGTTCGGAGAGGAATCGATAAGCCCGATAAGTGGTGAACCCACCACCGCGGCAACCCCTCTCGTGGCGTTTCCGTGCCTCGCTCTACACACCATCAACCACCATCAGAAGACTACTATAGTAATAGTGTCTCTCTCTCTACCCTTGTCCATCTTGTTTCCCGTTCCTGGTAAACACTTTGTCCATCATTACTCGTATCAACTGCGTGTCCTGCCCAGTTACTTGTTGTCTCGGCGGGTTTCTCGTTGGGCTGCCTGAATACAATCAGATCCTCGCTGATCCCCTGCCCTGTGCTGCTGCACGCACTTCCACCACCCCTCGCTCGCCTGACCTCACTGTTGACTGTTGTTACATTGACCAAGGCCATTACTTTGTTGCATATCCTGCTTCTCGTCCAGCAACAGCCTCTCTTCTCCGTCCTCACCTGAATGCCCGTGAACATCCCCTTCTGAAGGGGTGAGGGGTTACTCCTCCCAGATTGAGTGCTGTACAACTCCATTCAAATCTGCGGGATCCCAAGATCGATCACGATTGACATCATGGAACCAATATCGATCATTAGCACCACATCCTCCGCCTCGCAACCTCGCCAAATCGACTCTCCTAGACCAATGACTCCCGCAAGCCCAATGATCGAAGCAACCACCGCGTTCGACCCGCCTCTGAAGCTGAAAGGCCGTCACAGGTTTTTCCAAGGACTACAGCGCATGTCTTCCTCCCCATCCCTTGCTAAATTGGGTCGGACGAGGTCGAGTGAGAAGGTCTACAAGTCCGGCCAGAAAACCTCCATCTCCTGCGTTTCCCTCAACTCTCCAGTGTCAACCTACTCCTTGTCTCCGCCGAACTCGTATAGTTCTCATCTTTCCAATGGCTTCTCCACAGCACCGACCACCCCCGGGACTCCCGGTAGCCAACAGTCCTACTTCGAAGCAAACTCCCGCCTGCGAGCGCTCGATCCCAACGATGTGACGACAGTCTCCATCCCTCTCGATGTTCGTACCTCCAAGCCTCTCTCCACGCCGCTCCCCGAGATCTCTGAAAAGCCGTTCCCACGACGGCCCGACTTCAATTTCTGGAAAGATCTGCCTCGCGAGCTTAGGATACAAGTTCTAAGCTTTCTATCGCCGAAGGAAGTGATCAGAATCTCTTCAGTCTCAAAAGATTGGCATGATATGTGTTTTGATGGGCAGTTATGGACGAGCCTTGATTGTCAGACATACTATCAACAGATAACATCCGAAGCCCTGGTAAAGATCATGCTCAAGGCCGGAGCCTTTGTCAAAACCCTCAATCTGCGAGGCTGCGTTCAGCTGCGAGACCAATGGCTGAGCTTGGGTACGAGAATGACAAATCAAGAGTGCAGGAACTTGGAAACCTTCAGCATCGAGGGCTGCAAGATCGAGCGGTCGTCTATCCATTTCTTCTTGCTGAGAAATCCGAGACTATTGCATATCAACATGCCCAGCATGCAGAACATCAACAATGCGACCATGAAAATCATTGCCTGCCACTGCCCACAACTCGAGTTGCTCAACATTGACTGGTGCTCTCAGATCGACACGAAAGGTCTGAAGAAAGTCATTCAATCATGTCCGAATTTGAGCGATCTCCGGGCGTCCGAAGTAAGAGGTCTGGACGAAAACGACTTCATGCTCGAGATCTTTCAACGTAACACCCTTGAGAGACTCATCCTGCAACATTGTGAGAGCCTGACCGACGAAGCTCTGCAGATAATGGTCCATGGCATTGATCCCGAGCGAGACGTGTTAACTGACCGCCCGTTGGTGCCACCACGGAGGTTAAGACACCTGGATATCTCAAGGTGCCGAAGTCTCACGGATGAGGGTGTCAGCTCCCTTGCCTACAATGTTCCGTACCTCGAGGGCCTTCGTTTGTGCCAGAACACGGCGTTGACCGATGATGCCTTGGAGGATCTTCTACAGTCGACCAATCGCCTAAATCATCTTGAGGTGGAAGAGGTCGAACAACTCACGAATGCGACCCTTATCAGTCTGTCCAAGTCACCAGCGGCAAAGTCCCTGGAACACTTGAGCATTTCTTACTGTGAGCAGATGGGCGATATTGGAGTTCTGCCACTGCTCAAGGCTTGTCCGGAGATCAAGTCCATGTGTCTCGATAATACCAGGATCTCGGACTTGGTGCTCATGGAAGCCTCTGAGCAAGTTCGCAAACGTGGCAGTACCATCAAGAAGTCCCATATCCCGAAGAAAGGTCTGGAGTTGGTGGCTTTCGATTGTGCGAATGTTACCTGGGCTGGCGTGCGTGAGGTTCTGCAAGGCAATGGCCGTGTGATGCAAGGGCGCAAGAAATCAGTGGTACAAACTCAGGCGGTGGGCTTTGATGGCGAGGAGAAGAAGACCAGGAAGGTGGTCGAGGTTCAGGAGTTGCTGTATCCTGCTCAGATCATCCACCTCAAAGCGTTTTATGGCTGGCAGCAGACTGTGGAAGAACACTACAAGCGATGCGTTACCGGTCGGTGGGGCGCGGCAGCTCGCTTGGAAGAGAAATGGGCGGAGTGGATGGTCGCCAGTGAAGAGGTGGGCGTTGTTGGCCACGGCTGGAGCTCAAGACGGAGGCGTCGTCGGGCGCGTGATGCTGAGACCAGAGTGCGAGACGATGAGGATGGCGCCGCTCAAGACACTGCGACTGGTGATGAAGGCAGTGGGCTGGAGTATGCAGCCGGTCGAGGTCCCCGAACAGGTCGTCGGCGTGCTCGGAGTGGCGGGTGCACGGTGATGTGATTGGTAGTATGTGCTCTGAAGGGGGATCGGCGTCAGCATTATCTTGGGTGTTTCTGTACATTCATGTCAGTGGAACTGCTGCATTGAAGGATCGGTCTGGAGCATTTACCGGGGTATATACATGCCGTTTATGGACTTATGAAGGAAATCATGGATATGAATATGCAGATTGGATTTGAACATTTTGGGCGGTGGACGACAGCTCGTTCAGCCAAGGTACAGTATACTCGATGCTATACAATGTTTATATGGCTCAAAGGCACGTTGATGCCACTTACAACACCTATCTTGGATATGCTTTTCTGTCAAACCATAATACCGACGGGTGACTTGATATTTGTGCAATGGCGCTCACGAAGAAGTCTGCAGATGTCTCCTGCTAATTGACTGTATCTATGTTGTACAAATGAGCGATGGTACCGATTAGGAACAACCTTCTATATACAAGCCGCAAAAAGATGTTGAGTCACATGCCTATCATAGGGTACCATGTTCTCCACGCCGAATGGTCACCACGCTGAGAATCTCGCCAAACGCCTAGAAGTACATGTTTGTAGTTGTGGGTAGATTAGGGGTTGGAGGGTTGATCGAATCTCTGTCGGACATTACTGCCCAGCACCTGTTTGGCACGGCCGGTTCCAATTAGTTGGTAGGCATCTTGAGAAACCTCTGCCCAGCCGCCTCATACCAAGACATACAGGCTGCACATGCCGCTCAGGCCCAGAATCATGCTGAACCAGAACGCTGCGTTGTTGAACACCCACCGACCGCGAATGAGCGGACTCCGCTGCAGAGCGACGATTGGAAGTTGCAACATCATGGCAATGAAGCCGTAGCCGCGAAGCTTCTTGGTGATACAGCCCATGATGAGTTCGTGACCAAGGGCGCTGATCAGAAAGGTGATGGTCATGGCGGCGGAGGTGGAGAGGTATGTCTTGGAGGAAAAGAAGACGTGCCGCCGGAGGAAATGGTAGACAGGGATGTTCCATTCGCGGGAGAATTCAAGCCAGTCGCTGCTGTTCCACCAATCCGAATAGAAGTGTCGATCTGCAAAACAGGTAATCTCGGCAAAGGCGCCAAGGATATACTCCCAGATGACGAGGAAGACGAGGAGGAAGATGATCATGAAGGGGAACAGCAACATGCTGGTAGTCTCGGCTAGAACGAGTGCCTTGTCCGAAAAGGTGTTGAGGTAGCGAAGCCGGATGGCTGATTCGGCCAGGACCGGGGTGATAAATTCCTCGCTGACAGTGATCATGAGAAAAATGCAGCCGAAGACAGCCAAGGTCTTTGCGAAAAGCTCAAACCAATTGATATTTGCCGTGCGTGGATACTCCAGTTCATAGCAAAGGGTCGGACATAGGATGTAGTCGGCATAGTTGTATAGCGTCAAATTCTGGGGATAAGTGACCTGGCCAAGAGGAGAGGTCAGTTCTGTGGCCAGGTCCTGTCGCAGTTGGGAAAGTTCCTCGACCGAGTCGCCCTCATCCGACGATTCGTCTTGCTGTTGTTCTTGCAGACGTGCCGGTGAGCTGGGATATATAACGGCTTTGTGACGATCGGCCGTTTCGGGCTTGTCCAGCTCTTGCAGGCGTCTTTCTGTCTCACTCAAGTGGCCGTTGTAGAAAGCGTAGGAATGCATCTTCATGAGAAAAGTTAGGGTATGCAGGGCAAAAAAGACTTGCGCCGTCCAAGTCCACCCAAGAAGGAAGGGCCATTCCACCCATAATGATAGCCAAAGCACCTGGTATATGCTCTGTATCCAAATGCCAGCTTTTCGCCATCGCAGCACTCCGGTGCGCCCGCGCACCATCTTTTGGATGAACAGACTGATAGCAGTACTTCCTACCATGGCGGCGTCACTCAGGCCCAATGACACCACATTGCGGGAGAGTAATGCGTAGACCTGGACTCGAAGGGGGTGTCCCGTCTCTTTGATGTTCCTCAGACCGGTGGTAATGCACATGATGGTCAGACTGATCCAGAAAAGGACGAAGAAGCCTCTGAAATCGCGGTAGTCGCTGCGTGGGTCAAAATGAGAAACGCGAGGCTTATAGTTGATAGTGTGGAAGAGCCGATGTTTCGCTTGGGCTCGCGCCTGCTTACGTGCAGATGAGATGGATTGTACTGAGGGAGGAGCATCTTGAGGGACGGGCGTCGAACGTCCACTGTCAACAACATTAGCACAGGAAGAACCCTGTCGGAGTGGACAAGATTACCTAGATATGCTGGAAGGGGCATCAGCAAAGCCGTTGACGCCCTGGGCCCCGGCGCTGCGCAAGGCTTCCGGCAAGGCTCTCAAGGGTCGAGGACGGAGAAGATGTCCCTCGCCGTCTGAGGATTGGGACGGTGTCGCCATGTTACGACAGGTATATTGATGTTCCGATTGAGGATTATCGATAGGAGAGGGCTGTTGACGAGATTCTGTCCATGGTTTGCAGTTTACAGGTAGGAAATAATATGGGTGAATTGCTCCGGGACAAGTATATCCGAATGCGAGAGAAGGTCCTGAATTGGATCCAAATTTAGGGGTCTTTTACTGGTGTGCAGCAGGGCCACGCAGGGCATGGTACAGTAGTGTTGTGTAATCGACGTCAGACTTGGCAGTAATCACTGATTTGCACCCGCAACGTAAGTTTATCAGTTCGCTTGTAGTACTGTGGACGAAATACGAGGAACGAAGCAAACTAGATACCGACAGCAATGCCTCCCATACCACAGGTATACGCCTGACAATCATGCCATCGCTCTGAACACATGGCAACATCTGGGAATCTGTCCTGAAGTGGAGGGTATCCGCCGCACCGCAACGGTGAGCAGTCTCGCTGGCGCCTAAGAGGGTTCAGGTGTTGCACTTGTCCCGATCCCCGAGTATATGTGGGTTGACAATCTATGTCCTAGCGAGATGTTTCCATTCCCAGAGTAAGTAACAACAGATTAATCGTCTCATATGAAAACATACCATAGTAGTAGTCACTTGGTACCTAGTCATCCTTGTTTATCTCCCGCAGCGAGTCGAGCGTGTCTTTTGTAAGTTACTGTGTACGTGATTCCGGACTTGGCAGGACTTGGTCTCCGATTGGGCGACACCCAAGGCCACCTTCCTGCGGTCTCATGAAGTCGTGTCTCGGTGATCATGCACCCTAACTGCATCGCAGGATTTCTTCCAGAAAGCCACTTATCCATCTTCACCGTACTGATAGATGGGAGCAACTCCCCAGGATCGGTCTTCCATACGATACTGTTGACAACCTCCTTTTTTTTTCATGAGCGAGTGACAGCCTGCTTGACCCCTCTAGGGTCAGCTCATCCAACATGACTTCTCGTGAGTGCTTCGAAGGAACAGTCGATTAAGCCAATCTGAGTCTCTGCTAGTCAAACAGTTCATTCGGAACGTGCGAGCCTCCAAGACCATCGCCGACGAGCGCGCTGTTGTGCAGAAGGAAAGCGCGGCCATAAGAGCGAGCTTTCGAGAAGAGAGCGGAGATTCAAACATAAGGTCACGATTCCAATCGCCATTCCACGAATCAATTTCTTACTATTCACAGACGCAACAATGTCGCCAAACTGCTATACCTCTTCACTCTCGGCGAGCGAACGCATTTCGGTCAGATCGAATGTCTCAAGCTCCTTGCATCTCCTCGGTTTGCGGACAAACGACTAGGCTATCTCGGGACTATGCTTTTGCTGGACGAGAATCAAGAAGTTCTTACATTGGTCACCAACTCTCTGAAGAAGTTCGCAGAACATAACACCATACTGGCATCTACTGACCGGTGATAGTGACCTGAACCATTCCAACCAATATGTTGTCGGCCTGGCCCTTTGTACCCTCGGCAACATCGCGTCCGTGGAGATGTCAAGAGATCTCTTTCCCGAAATCGAGACCCTCATTTCAACCGCCAACCCCTACATTCGCCGGAAAGCCGCATTGTGCGCAATGCGGATTTGCAGAAAAGTGCCAGATCTGCAAGAACATTTCCTCGAGAAGGCCAAGCTGCTCTTGCAGGACAGGAATCACGGAGTCCTGCTATGCGGCATTACATTGATAAGCAGCTTGTGTGAGGCAGACGAAGCCGAAGGTGGCGAAGAAGGCGTCGTGGAAAGTTTCCGCCCTGTCGTTAACCATCTTGTGCGCACAATCAAAACTCTGACCTCCTCGGGGTACACTCCGGAGCACGACGTCTCAGGGGTAACGGACCCGTTCCTGCAAGTCAAGATATTGAGACTTCTCAGGGTCCTTGGTAGAGGGGACGCCACGAGCAGTGAGCAGATGAACGACATCTTGGCACAGGTCGCCACAAACACGGAATCCACAAAGAACGTGGGCAACGCGATTCTATACGAGGCCGTATTGACCATCCTCGACATTGAGGCCGATTCCGGCTTGCGTGTCTTGGGCGTGAATATCCTGGGCAAGTTCCTGGCCAACAAAGACAACAACATCCGCTATGTGGCTCTCAACACACTGATCAAAGTTGTCGCCATCGAACCAAATGCTGTTCAGCGACATCGAAATACAATTTTGGAATGCTTGAGGGATCCGGACATCTCGATACGGCGAAGAGCGCTGGATCTCAGTTTCACACTGATCCGTGAAGACAATGTCCGGGTACTCATACGAGAATTGTTGGCATTCTTGGAAGTGGCCGATAATGAGTTCAAGTCGGTCATCACAACACAGATTGGTATCGCAGCAGATCGATATGCTCCCAACAAGCGTTGGCACATTGATACAATGCTGAGGGTCGTTAAGCTTGCAGGAAACTACGTCAAGGAGCAGATTTTGTCATCCTTTATTCGGCTCATTGCCACATCCCCAGATCAGCAGACCTACTCCGTGCAAAAGCTATATGCTGCACTCAAATCCGACATCACGCAGGAAGCACTTACTTTGTCTGGTGTTTGGGTCATTGGCGAGTACGGAGACGCACTGCTTCGAGGAGGGTCCTACGAGGAGGAAGAACTGGTGAAAGAAGTCAAGGAGAGTGACATTGTGGATCTGTATCAGACCATCCTCAATTCGACTTACGCTAACCAGGTTGTAACCGAGTTCATCATCACGTCTGCTATGAAGCTTACGACAAGGATGTCCGAACCGTCACAAATCGAAAGAATACGGCGATTAATGCAATCAAGGGCGTCTGACCTAAGTGTCGAAATCCAACAACGTGCTGTTGAATATGGCAACCTCTTTGGGTACGACTCGATCCGAAAAGGCGTTCTCGAAAGAATGCCCCCTCCAGAAATCAAAGAGGAACAAAGGGTTTTTGGTCCGGCGGCCACTCCGGCCAAGGACAAGAGGAAGACTCTGAAGACGAAGACAAATGTTAAAGTCTCGAAAACAACCGAGTCGGACATGCTGCTGGATCTTATGGGTGGATCAGATCTTCCGGCGGTGGATGCCAGTGCAACACTCAACGGCCAGCAGCAAACGGCAGATTTGCTCGCAGACATTCTCGGTGGCAATCCCTCGGTGTCAAGTCCTCCGCCACAAACGAAGAGTTCACCACCGCCCTCAAATACAGATTCCATCATGGACTTGTTCAGTCACGGCACAGCCAAGAGCGCCAGCCCTGCTCCTTCTGGTACACCGGCACATCCGGTCTACAACAAGAATGGTCTGCAGGTCTCGATACACGTATCGAGGAGCAGTGCTGGAATACAGACCCTTGCACGTTTCAAGAATACCTCCAGTTTTGGACAATTGACAGGTGTTGGACTACAGGCAGCGGTCCCAAAGAGTCAAAAATTGACATTGCAAGCTATCAACAAGAGCACGCTCGATGCTGGTGACGAGGCCACACAACCCATGAAAATCGTGGCGGCCACAGGGGTGAGTTCGGCCATCTCCTTCAAGTGTATTCGTGTCACTAACAGTTCGCCTAGTCACTTCCTCCAAAGCTTCGGTTACGGCTCAAAGTCTCCTATACGAAAGATGGAGGTGCACCAGTGACAGAGCAAGTCGACTGGACGGAGCCTTGAATGGTGGATGTTGAAGAGCCTGCCATATACTCATGAATGTACAGCAAATGTGATGTCCACAACCCAACTTGAAGGAGCGCTGGGTCGCCAGCATGAGTCCCCTGAATAGCAACCAAAGAGACTGTCGCTCCAAAAGGGATCTTACTGGGAATGTTGCACAGGCCAACGCCATGCGAAAAGTAGCATTGCGGATATTCTGAAGCAGTCCAGCTAAGATCGTTGATTGTGTGAGATAACCTGATCCTATCGCTTCTGTCATCGTTGTTTACCCCCGACTTAAAACCTCGCCGTCGCCAACCGCGCCCGTAATATGCCAGGAATGACTGGAAAGCCTGCTATTAGCGTTACTCTGATGGGCTTAATGGCCTCCATGTGACAGTCCCAGGAAGGGTGGTAGGAGAAGGTTCAATGTTGATATAAGCTCATGTATTTTGTGTTCACGAGCTTCGGAGAAAGAGTCTGTGCAGTTGCGAGGTAGGGAACGACTACAGAATCGCGCTTAGATCATCTCTTGACACTACCATCATGAACGATTGCACCGTGCACTATCATAAAAACTGGATCCATCGTCGCCTCGGTGAAAGGTTTCAGAACTGATAAAGGCTATGCCTGCACCGATCTCTGGCTCGACCAAAGGCTAATGATGATAGTAATGCCCGCTGTCTATACTCTTGCCTCTGCTTTGGGATTGTGAGGTCGTCACCTCTTCATGTGGACTTCCCTACTTAAGAGCGTGCATGGTCTGCGTCTCGCTCCTGTACTCTGAGAATAAGCCAGCTAGATCTTTCACGCCGCTCAATTTGTCCGCATTGCTAATCATCACCATTCTATCCCATGTCTCGTTGCTCTTCCTGCTCCTTGCGATGGCGAGCGCTATCGGCACAAGGCCACTAGCAGCTGCGCTTGCTGATCGGGCAGAAACACCATGCTCGGAGCTGTGCCATCGCTATTGGCAAGGAACCATAGAAGATTGGAAGATATCTCATATAGCACTCTTGCACTGAACAAAGACCACTATCACCACGAGTAAAACGCCGAAGCTGGCACATGAACAATAGTTGAGATCATGATCTGAACAGACATCCCTGACATCTCATGCCCATGTGCCGTATATTTATCCGCAGAATTGGCAACTTGAAGAACAAAGGTGAATCGAAATTGACGGCACGGAAAGATGTTTCAATCCCGTTCCGCCTCAGTGCCTCAGGACCTCGAATCTCAGAGGTCGTAGAGTAGCCGTAAGTTATCGGCCAGCATTGCTGCCATCGCAACACGGCAACTAGTCGAGATTGTGAATACCATCGGTGAATATTCGGGCGCAGTCCAGCTCATCGCCATGACTCTGGCGCCCAAGCCTCAAACTTGGGGGCACCAACCGTTGACCGGCGGAAAATGTTCCGCCCTCTTTCTGATATCCGCAAATGGCCCGGATGGCGGGGAAGGCCCCCGATACGCGTTCACGCTGCTTGTCCTCCAGCACACTCATGTTGCGTAAATTTCAACGGGCGAGTCTGCGGAAGACGGGCCGATGATTCCATTCATGAATTGGAACAAATCTCATTGGAGTTCATCGATGACGATTCATACTTTTGAAATTCCATGGACGCTGGAGCAATAAAACTAACAGCCGGACAATAGGTTGTGGACTCAATTATCTTCTTCTGATCATGTTGCACGCACTCCTATTGTATCTGCTTCCTATTGTGTTCCTGGTATCTCTTCTCAGAAACTACCTCTTCCTCAAAAGCATCCCTGGCCCAGTGTTTGCCCGATTTACCAATCTCTATCGAACGCGGCTCGTCTACAAGCGAAATGCCCACGAAGAACATCTCAAGCTACACAAGCGATATGGCAATCTCGTGCGCCTTGGTCCCGACTGTGTCTCGGTCAGTGGGTCACAAGCCTACATCCCACAGATATATGGAATCGGTAAAGGCCTTGTAAAGTCGGACTTTTACAGCGTATTCCAGAATATCGTGAACGGCAAACGAGCAGCCAGCCTGGTGGCCGAGACCAACGAGAACGAACATGCAAGGTCCAAACGTTTGATCGCGCATGCTTATTCATTGAGCACGCTAGTAGAGTACGAGGAGCTTGTCGACCGGACCACAGATGTCTTCCTGGGTGTACTCGAGGACCGCTTCGCACGCGGCAAGTCGTCCGGTCAAGTGCTGGATCTCGGACGATACATCCAATTCTTCGCATTCGACGTGATCGGAGAGCTTACTTTCAGCCGGCGACTGGGCTTCATCGAGTCGGGCTCCGACGTAGATGGAATCATTGACGCCATCGGCGCGAACTTTCTATACTTTAGTGTCCTGGGACAGATGCCGTGGCTGGATGAGGCAGTCTTGGGCAAGAACCCGATATATGTGCGCTATTTCCGGAAGGCTGTAAGCTCCCCGATCTTGATCTTCGCCCAGGGACTGTTGAAGGAGAGGTTGAGGGATCTGGAGCAGGGCGGTTTGGATAACAACGAGTCCCTAGACAAGCCCGATTTCCTCAGCAGGTTCTTGAAGGTCAGGAAAGAGCAAGCCGGTGGGAACCAGGCCTTGACGGACGCGCAAATTCTGTCGTATCTCTTCGTGAGTTCTACGTCTTCGGACGCGATTGTATCCGCAACAGAAAATACTAACTCCATTTGCGAACAGATGAACATCAATGCCGGTAGTGACACCATCGCCTCCACGCTCCGAGCAATCTTTTACCATCTGCTGAAGAATCCTGCTTCGCTTTCCCACTTGAGGGACGAACTCGATACTGCTGCAAAGACAGGCAAGATCTCCAGTCCATGTCCGACGTGGGCCGAAACTCAGCAAAACCTACCATATCTGTGCGCTGTGGTTAAGGAAGGACTGAGAATGAATCCCGCCTTGTCGCTGCCCTTGGAACGGATCGTCCCCCGTGAGGGTTTGACGCTACAAGACGAGGATGGATCGCAGACGTATCTCCCATCAGGAACCGTGGTTGGGATCAATCCGTGGGTGATCCACAGGAGTCCCACCGTCTTTGGAGCGGACGCTGAAAGCTGGAACCCAAGCCGGTGGTTGACCGAGAAAGAGCGAGACACGAAGAGTATGGAACACAGCCTCCTAGCGTTTGGTGCGGGCAAACGGTCGTGTTTGGGCAAAAACATTGCGTTGCTCGAGCTGCACAAACTTGTTTCGGCCTTGTTCTTGAAGTTCAAGATCGAGTTGGCGCACCCCGACAAGGAATGGAAGGTGGAAAATGCATGGGCATTGAATCAAACAGGACTGGATGTCAGGGTGTCATTACGGTGATCACTGATGAGCGGCTATCAATAAATCGTCTTTGGCCGAATTGATTACCAGGGCTGTGGACTTGTTTCAATCACTTCCACCAAGACTCTCAGAGATCGCCAGATATCTTCGTCCCAAGAACCTCTTAGTGCCTCGATCAGGCGCTGCCCGACGACGCTTATGCTGAATTGCAGCGCACCGGCCCGTTTGCTCAGCATATACTCATTTAGCTGGATCGATGTCGTATCCCCTAACCCAATACCTAACATTTCTCTAGCCTTGTCAGGTATTCGGTGCAGACCTTCATTCAGGGCTTCCGTACGAGCCCGATCTCGCTCCATTGGCCTCATCTGATCCTTCAAGTCGGAGAAGTAGATGTCTACAAGGATCCATGCGGTCAGCGCAGAAAGTAGCAGCGCTGGCGCCATTGGAAATATCTTGTGGAAAGCATCAATATATGTACGATCTGAAACGCCTGCACGTCTGATATCAAGAATCGGCGGAGAATCCAGACGAAGCATGCCGTCAGGGAAACTGTCGACGGCTCTGGTAACAGCCCGTATGGCTCTTTCTACCCTCCGGCATTTCGACCACATTGCAACTTTGTGGGTAGGAGACACGCACTGATACGAGTCCCTTTTAGTTGGTGCTTGTGCTGTTGTCCACCTTGAGGAGAACGATAACGAAGTGCCACTGCTTCGAGACCTCCGTGGTGACATCGTAAAGGGGTCGCCCAACCCATGCAATCGTTGCAGAGTGGCGCTGAATATACTACTGTCTGATATGCTGGACATACGCCGCGTAAGGCGCAGAGGCGGGGGTATAAGACTGCTTGGTGATGTTGTGGCAATATCTGGACGCGGGCTGACTGCTTTGCACAGCTGGGACTCTAGTAGAGGTACGTCGCCTGGGGTGTCATAAGGGCTGAATGCGGAAACCTCTGCAGGTGGCTGTACTGGTGTTGTAGGGACAGGTTGATATTTGACGGGGGATGACGGGCTTGTTGGCCTCGAAGAGGGACGGTGGATTTGCACGATCTTTGGCTTGCCGAGCCCAACCAGGATCGTGGCAACCATCTACACATGTCAGTCTAATCCAGTCCGCAAGGTATTGAATGTGCATTACCACTTCTTCGTCCCCACCTTCAGTGCATCCCTCTGTCCAAGGACGTTGGACGACTTGGTAATACCTTGACTTGAATCTTCGCTGACGTTCGTCACGAGAGGTCGTGTTTGCCAGCCATCCGGACTCGCTGGAGCAGAATGCTTCTGGATAGCCGTGGTCAGAAGGCGTGACGGGTACGGACTCGGATGCCGTGCTTTGCTCATCGTCGCTTGATGCAAAATCGCGAATGGAAGGGGTATCGTTCGAAATTTCGGCCGGTTCCTCGTTGCAATAGTGTGACACAATCTGTAAGTTGTCGACAAGTTCTTCCTTAGAAGTCGACGTTTGCTCCCAAGAATCCTGAAACATGAAGTATGACTGTCCATCGTTGTGCGGCTCTCTTGTAATGGGACTCGGCAATAAGCTCCTGGCGGGGCTCGAAGCGGCATGTTGTTGGGCGAGAGCACGGAGGCTATTATAGCTTATGGACATTCGGCGTAGACTTGACGACGAAGCTGTGACGGAGGGAGCATCTTCTGTAAGGGAAGGAGACTGCGGAAGAAGAAGGGGAAATGGGGCTTTCATCTCAGCCACCGAGGGTCTAGAATTGATCATCGGAGTCGTGGTCTGACTGTCTCCATGCTTCGACCTCGTTGAGCGCGAGCGTCGCAGGATTCTCGAGAGTCCCGATTTGGAATCGGCTTTGGGAAAAGCCAGTGGAGGTGTTGTAGGAGGGGTGATCGGTTCCGCACCAATGCTGTGTGTGAGGCTCACCGTCGGGCGTGCTTGCTGTGGTGCCATCTCAAGGTTTGTGAGAGCCATAAGCTGCTCCGTCGTTATGGTGCGGACTTTGTCGAGTAAGTATGCGACGAGAAAAGTCGACACAGGGTGATGTGAGACATATATCGCTTGGGGAAATCGAGTCCGACCCCAGCGCGACGACGCGCATTGCAAATGCAACTGTCATGGCGTCGGTCCAGCACTCTTGTGCAGCCATCCGCTTGCCTGGATCGCAATTCATCTCAGCCCTTGCATGTTGAAGTCAGGAACAGCTTTGTGTAACTCGGGATCGTCCCGCCACAGCCAAAAAGGTGTATCCAGCCACGTTCACGTTGGTGGGTTGTGGAAATTTCATCCCTTGCGTCGAATCCATTTCTGGCCGGTGCAGCAGATATCGGAAAAGCCAAGGTTAGTGACACTGCATGAATATATGGACAATGAGATTGAAAGGGTGTATGCAGACTTTAATTGTCATGCCTTACATGCTGGAAGCACAGAGATCAGCCCCAGTGTAGCAGAACCGGCCCGGCTGCTGTCGACATGAAATTAACGACGAAAAAAGGGGAACCTGCATTTCGACACAACTGATTGTGTGCTTCTGGTAGCAACCGGTCCGGCTGGTTTTGCGTGCGCGTCGTGAAGAAAAATAAGCAAGGGCAAAGCAAGGCTGCTCGATTTCATCGGTAGAAGTGATGTCGAACAGGAGAGTGCAGGTACAAGGGAAGAAAAGACGATCAGAGTCGCCCAGGATATTTAGGTCCATACTACATATGTTCGATTGGTTCCTCTGGTAAGAGCTCACCACGCTCTTCCAACTCTTGCCTTTTGGGTAGACAAGCTTTGATAGGCGGCCTCACAAGATCGTTGAACATGAAAGTGCCGTATACCAACTGCACAAAATCAGCTGAGGTGAATCACGATAACATTTTGAGCACTTACCAGGGCAAATCCCACAATTTGCAGCCATTTGAACGTTTCCCAACCCAAGCCAAGGGAGACTATCCAGATGAAAAGGGTCCGGCAGGTATCAATGATTGACCGAGAAGTCGCAGAAATAGTCCGTGTCACAGACAGACCGAAAAAGTTGAAACCGCCAATCGAGACCATGATTGCAAGGCTTGACAGTCCAATTGCCCGGTTCGTAAAGACCTGTCGATACCCCTCTTCGGCATCAAAGTAGCCGTGCCTTCCACTTTTGGTGACACCAACCGAGAAGTGTAGAATGATTTGTATCAAAACAGTGACGGTGAAGCCGAATAAGCCTTCCCACGCTACGACTTTCAACGGTTCCGAAGCGTAATGTTCGAGAATCCATTCCTCGAGGCAGAACTGTGTTGCCGTAAAGATCTGCGCAAAGGCAATCAGGAAGATACCTAGAACGGTTCGAAGAACTGCTGGCTCGGCTGCTTGTGCGACCACGTCTCGCATGCTGAGCAATGCATCGTGCAAAAGCACGCTGTTATCTTCACCCGGAGCAGGAGTGTTCTTGTCCCCAGAATATATGGCACCAGCGAGGCCGACAATGGCAACACCAAGAACCACAATGACAAGGGATAGCCAATGGTAAAGAAAAAGCTTTCGCTTCAGGAACCAAACGCTGAATAGGCCCACGAACATGACCAATGCTCCCCTCGTCATCTGGTATATGGAGGCTGCAACAAAAAGCAGTCCCACATTCATGAGAGTGGTTCCGGCAATGTCGCAGCAAGCTGGAAGTCCCAACAAGACTACCTTCCATCCGGTGAGTGGGATTCGATCGTCGGTGTTTGGTAGGAGAGGCTTCAGGACAGGCGTCGCAGCGCCTCGCGAGTTGGGACGGACTGTGTCACCATCATCCTCTTCTTCTGTTTCGTCCGTATTTACCGGTTGATATAGGAGTGGTGCATCGCCGCGGGACGAGAGGATCAAGTAGCGATAGAGCCAGAAGCCGAGCATCACTATCCAACAGCCCATTTCGCCAATGAACATTTGTACGCTGGCAGAGTTAATTATGGTGTAGACCTTGGGGGCGCATGGAGCTTACGTCTGAATGACAGGCTGCTCAAACGTCCTGTGATGGTTGACATCTTTGTCTGAGCAGTTTCGTACGCACTGTTGATCTTGGTATTTTGTGAGGATCGTGTTGGCGCAGCCAGTCAGCAGCATCATTCCCACCAAGATGGGTATAACCGTTCGTGTAGACATGGTGGGAGGCTCGCGTGCTCAGATCAAGTAGGTCTTGTTCCGTGCTACAGTTCGTCCAAGCCTTGAAGGCTTGCGCTCTGGTCGCGCAACACAAACCTCGAGGCAATCTTTTATGAGGCAGCAGCACGGCAGGCGGATATTAGATGAATATGCTGAACAGTATGCTCCGTACGGTCAAAGGCTGAAGAAGTGCTGGTGTACATCGGGCGGCCAGGGAAGCTCCAAGCGCCGATGGAGTACTGTATCTCCGTTGCCTCGAAAGGGCCCGCTTCTTGACAGCGTCATTGTCATGCTGCTCTAAGCGTCGCAGGCTTCTCAAATGACATAACTTAGCCGCAGCTGGCCCTGAAAGCTGCGACAGGGGACTTCCTAGGCCCTGCCGGCCGGTTTCAGTGGTAACCAGAATGTAAACAATAGCAATTGACCCACGGAGGCATGATCCGAGTGTTTGACCACGACCTCGATATCGACGATGATCTCTACCAATAAATTCAACTTACATCCCCCGATGAAGGAGCCTAGCATTCCTTGACAAAGCGCCCAGCCTGTCCAGCAGGCGCAACATCTATGAAAACGCTGATACACGTCTCCCGAGCATCTCTATCTGCTCAATCGCTGAGGCAATCCCGTTGTACCCTTAAAGGGGAACAATGCATATCTTTGCCTCGCAGACCCGTCACTGATGCATCTTCATATCATCAAAAGTGTCGTCAATATCCAATCGGACAAGGTGCCTGCGCTACCACCAAGATCGAGTCCTACCATCCCATCATTCTCTCGTGTTCGTAATGCCGCATAAGAAAATAGATTCAGGCGATATCAGCCTGAGTAGACCCTACTTGGGCGCCGTACGCTGGATACACTGCTTCGACTCCGACGTCTTCTTCTGCTGCCGTTGCTCCGCACTTTTCGCTCAACGATGACTTCTTCTCGACCCACGCGCCGATTGTTATTTTGCAACGTGCTGAATAGATAGATGAGTAGTATTGTTCCAAAGAAGGTTCCCAGAATGGCTCCGGCAAGCGTGCCGCCAGAATACTGGCCCGAGCATGTTGTGGTCGAGGAACTGGTCACAATGGTCGTTGTAGCCTGTCGAGCGGCAAGCACGGGCGTTGCGGGGAGGAGGGGGGAAACTAGAGTCGGAGGAGGGGCCTGGCAAAAGCATGAGCGTCTGAATACTCGAGCAAAGGCGCTGCGCATACCATAGTGAGAAACGCGGATGGTCAGGAAGACTGGAGAGTCAATGCGCTGTTCTTTGTAGGAGATGTCTTGCGAAACAGGCTGTTGGTCACTGGGTTGGTTGTGTCGTGGGACCGAACCCATCCGCAGGCGTTTCCAGGGCAGATCGGCTGTCCACAATAAGTACGCACGGAGCAGCTGTCGCCGCGATAGACGCAGATTGGGATGAGTTCGAGGTTGTTCGCGTGTGCGGCGAAAGTTGGAAGAGCAAAACGAGTGTGAGTGCTGTGAAATGGAGGAACTCAAACTAGTAGGAGAGATGCCGTTGTTTTGAGTCTCATTATTATGCCCAGGTTGGCTGGTTTGCGTTGCTTAGGCGCAGAAAATGCGACCCGAGGGTGAATTTGACGTCAGCAGGCTGGTTATAACAGGGCCAGTCCGACAGTCGGGGGCCAACCACCGGCGCTATTTAGAGGAGCATCCACTTCCGGGCCCTTCCATTCGGTTTTCAATGCCTCGGAACGAGCCTCAACATGGGATCGCACGACTTGTGCAATTTATGTATATCGACAGCCTGGGTAGGGTGTACGATCTTGCGAAATCCCAACCCAGTCGCACGGAGCAGATACTTCGTTATACTCGATACACGAGCGGGAGTCAACCGAGGCCATGAGATAGGATCATTCTCGGTACTGCAGGTGGCCAATTCTGACAATGCGTACGGCGGCTCAGCCTTCCGGACACAGGTAATATCAAAGTCCACGCGACACATGGCCGCAATGTCGTCATCTTCAGGACCAAAATCTTCCCACTGATCTTGACTGTCTTTCTCTCCATTCAAGCGACAGCAGGGAGACCACAACTACTGGCACGAAGCAGTCAAGACGATCTCCTGCTAGAACACCTGAGGATTCGTTGCATTCTGCAGAATCGGAGGGACTGTGGGCAGTGGAGAGCCTCGTGTGCCTGATTCGAAGCACGCATCATCCACCCTGGGAGGCAGGCGCCGCCCCTTGGAAGCGTCATGGAATTTTCTTGTGTCTCGTCCGTGGCCAGACCCCTTGCCTTTGGAAACGCCGTGGTGATGCAAGCTTGCTTGCAAAGCGTCTTGCTCCAGACTGAATCGCCCTGGAACTGCGATCGAAAGCGGCCATGGACCAATGTTGTCGCTCGATGAGATGTGTCCCGGTCTGCACGCCGTCTATCCAGCTGTGGCTCTGAGGCATCGCTCGTGTCGGGTGAACCCGACGTCGACTAGCCGTGCACATTGATAGCGCATCGATCGTCATTGCATAGTTCAATCCTTGGAGAGAGCTCTTCCCAGCTTAAGGTCATCGAAACTGTTCCGCCGACCCCAATTTTTGGGTTGTCGCTTCAGAAATGCTCCGACTGCACCAAGGTAGCCTTCGTGACGAAGGAAATAGGCTTGTTTCTCGCCTTTGGACCAAAATTTGATGGCATAAGAGAGCGTGTTCATCGTCTGCGTGTGGCCTTGGATGAAGGACCCTCCAAAGTATATATTTCTGAGATTGTGCTTCTCGGATTGCAAGTAGGCGATTTGTCCAATGTTGTTGGAGATTGCATACAGCAAACTTCGCGCCATATCTTCCGTTTTGAAACCATGGAGACGGTCGTCACCATCACCGTGTGGGTCGCCATTGTACAATCCCTCTCCATCCTCGGCGTGCCGCTCTGCGAGTCTCTTCATTCGAAAAACTTTACCAAAAGTACTCGCGATGGTTGTGCTCTTGAGTCCAATCTTGCTATAACCGGTCCCATAAATGTCGCCAACAAGCATGTCGACGCCGCTGTTGTCCCCTTTTCCGGCGAGAGTGAGCATCTCATCGAAGGTTCGAGCGCCAGTCAGGAGGGAGAGGATTCCCCAGAAGGTTCCACCACCCAATGAAGTTCCACCCACGCGCTGGAACTCTCCAGGGCCTGATACCTTCACCATGGAGACTCCTGATCCAATGTTGACGAGGAGGTACGGATATACATCGGCACGAGCTTCGACAAACTGTATTGGTTCGTCCTCGCTGTACGTGAAGATCTCACCGGGTATCTCGGTGATGAAAAAGTCCAGACCTGTTCATGTAATTAGCCAAAAGCACCCTCAGGCACACGCGAACACCCACCGATAATGAGACATTCCATTTCATCCTCTTGAATCACATCCACATGCAAGACCTCTTTCATCCTGTTGTAGAACTTGAAAGCACCGCCTCCTGTTGCCATCACGCACAACTGCTGCGGCGTTGACCCATTCAGCTTGGATTGCGTTTGTTTCAGCTCTTGAATAAAATCAATGCAAAGGTCAATGCGATCCGTTTCGAAGTTGACAAAATTCAAGCGGCCACCGCCATGGGTTGAGCCGGGTTCGCGGGAGAAGTATACGAGCTTTGCTAAGGAGCCCCCAATCTATGAGTCTCTGTCAGTAAATCGTATGCATACAGATAGTGCGCAGGCAACGTACATCGAGCGCGACATGGCTGACCACATCAGTGTGATGAGGCAAGCGGATGTCCTTGTGTTCCCAGTGTACGAACTCGCTGCCTTCTCCATTTCTATCGCACGTCTCTTCGTCTACAATGAAAGCGCCTTCCACATTGATCTTAACCGACGCAGGTTTAGGCGGTTCGCGCGGGGGGCGACCAAGACCGTCCACTTCTGCAACTGCAGATGTGTCATGACCTTCGCCGTTCGCCTGTAGAGTTTCAACTGTCGACATCGCTGCAAGTAAAACCTGTCAAATGTCCATAAGACTGTGTCTAAGGGTCGTCGTGTGACTTCGTGAAGTGCACACGTTCCTCAATCCTGTCGGCTACTGAGATCCATGGACGTGTATGCCGCGACAGTCACAAATTTGCAGATCGTAGGGCACAGTGCATCGAGGCCCAAAAAGGGTACTGATCAAGATGAAGAATGATGCGAGTCGGATTTGCGGCGTCCGAATCAAGTTGTCGCGGATGATTAGGAAGGTGCCGGACCTCGGTTTCCCCACGAGGAAATTATTTGTCGGTCCTGGAACTAATAAGTTTGATGGGTGTCACTGTCAGTGCTGAACCCCGCGCTGCGGATTGCAATCGCCGAGAGGCGGCCGTAGATGAAGGAAAAGGTTGTTCACGTTGGCTGCAACAATGTGATGCGACCACAACAGGGACCGCATAATCAGGTGAATATATGGAATTACAGACCAAGTTTCAGTCGACATTTGACGTCTGCAATGCTACATCGGCATTCTGACCAAGGCATGAAGAGCAATGGCTCAAAACTTCTACATGAAATGCATCCAATTATACCCAACTGCTCGCTGAGAGCCTTATTCATCTTCAGAAATTGTAATTTCTCGACACTGGTCATTCATCTTCTCGCCCGGCACCAATATAATGACCTCTCCCTGACGTGTTGATGAAAACAAAGAGTGCAGCTTCAGAGACCGGCAATTGTGCGGATGGCAAACAGAAGCAAACAGAAGGTGAGCGCTTTATGTAGCGGTAGCACAGCATTGCTGTTTGCATTATTTCTCTTAGCACCTGAGCTGGAAGTCGACATCGCTGGAATTGTAGTCGCAGTGCCCACGAGAACAGCTTGAGCACATTGCTCGACTGTCGAGCCCTGAAAGGTGTTAGCTACCGCATTTTGCACGATGAGCATGAGAGCGACGTACCACTTCACAGCAACGACTTGCAGCAACACCGGTGCCACACTCGAAACCACCAGAACAGACGCCTGAGAAAGCCATCAGCCAGTGGAAGAAAGTCCTCGGGTCACACCAGCTTACCACTGCCGTCAATACAGCAAGTGTCCCCGGCTGTGACGTTCACACAGCTTGCTCCGGCAAAATAGACGCAGAGATTGCCGCCAATTGGACATGTGTTGTCGGGCTGTTGGCGGATCTGGACTTCTGCGCTGCAGAATTCAAGAAAGGTGCTGTACAGGGTGAGGGTCGTGAAGTGCAGGACCCCTCTTGTCTTCATATTGTACTCGATGGTCTCGAGGACACCAAAGGAGCACGACAAAAGCTTCAGAAGGCGTTCAACGTTTTCTAGAGGCTTGTGCTTCAGACAGAAGACGCAGCATTGGAGTGACCCTCCGGAAAAGGGGTACTTGTTCGGAGCCATGAGACAGAACAAAGACATTTGCTGCGAAAGCCCGAGAAGATGGAACTGCAGCAACCGAGACATTGGATGCTACATCCAAGGCACCAGTGTCTGCTCGCATGTCGAGCAAACCAATCTGCACGTTTCGCCACCAGGTATCTAGGTTCGGCGACACGAAGCTTCGAACAAGCTTCTTTACTGCAGCCCATAGGGCCCGTGATCGGTCTACCTCATCCAGTCGATATCCAGATCGGCTTTGTACTCTCCTTCGTCATTGATGCTGCTAAGGACCGTCTCTTCGCCAGTCCAGGTGGTCGGTGTGCCTTGACGCACACTCGAAAGGCTTCCAGGTCTTTCGCTTCCATTGATGCTCCCGTCTCTCAATTGTTTCTCGGGCCCCTCGGACGTGTGTTCTCTCCACCATTTTCCACTCTCCTCAATGATCTTTTGCTCCCAGCCGTTGACAGGTCCGATAACTTCCACGGCCTTCTGACCTGCGCTAAGCACATCCCGACATGGCAGTGACATTGTCATGTTTTCATCATTGTGTCCACCAGTGAGGTCATTCAGCTTGTCTTCGCTGGCAGCATAAACAAGGCGGCCAATATTACTCCAATATAAAGTTCCTGTACACATTGCGCAAGGTTCCCACGTTGATACTAGTGTGCATGTAGCCAGATATTTCTGCGAGAAGTGTATCGAAGCTAATCGAGCAAGTTCGGTCTCGGCGTGCTGAACATGTGAGATTGAGAAGTGCGTCAACAACACAGTCACATTGTCTGGACCCAGTAAAAGCGCGGCAAAGGGCCTTTTTTCGTGGTATGTTGTGGCGGTAATTTGCAAATCCAGACATGTCTTCATGGCGGCGTCAATTTGAGCTCTCGTCAACGGCGTTAGGGTCGGCGCAGGAGTGGTTTCGGGTCGAGTCGAAGGCTTAGAGGTGGGATAAGGAGAATGGATGGACGACACAGGTGTATGGGGTGCATTTGAGCCCGTGCTGGGTGTCGCATGATGAGTCGTGGCTGAGTGTGCAGATGGTGATGTAGGAGGTGGTGCAACAGAATTCGATGCCGTGGTAGGCTTGCGTTGAATCGAGCTGGGAGATGGGGAATTTGTGTTGGAGTTTGAAGTTGCCCGTAGAAATGACTGGTAACTCATGTTGTCGTGACCTGGTCCCAGCTTAGACCCGTACCTGAGTGAGGTAAATGGACCCTAGGTGGCTACGAAGCAAATTGATCTTGAGCCTCGGCAGTATACAAGCAAAAAAATTGCTCGACGCATATATTGGAAGAAATGCAGGAGGATCGATATGGAACAGCAAGCGGGCTTTGAAGATGAGCACGAAAAAGCTGGTGGAAAAGAAACTGTGGTGGGAGGTGTCGATCGCAGTCTCTGTGGATCCTGTAAGTGAACAATTATCCCCAACCATGTGAAGTACCTGGTACTTTACCACGCATGCGGGGGAAGTCAGACACAAGCAGACGTTTCTTGACAGCCCAACAGTGAATATCATAAGCTGGCTCCTGGTTCGAGCCATGACGGATCAATACTTACAATTTTGAAGGCTCTTGTCGCAGCCCTGCGACGACGAGAGAGATCCGTGCAAGTGGCGGCACCCGGCCCCCAGATTGAATGCATTTCTTCTTGCAATGCATCGACCTTGACGTTGAGACTGGCCGATCATCCCCTGCCCACCTCTGCTGCAACTGCGTATGCATACCGAGTCATCTTCACACAGGACTTCTCAAAAGACCAGGATGTCAGCCTGACCTTCAGCGCCATATCTTTGCCGCAGGCGATCCAGGTTGAGGAGTACCATGAGTGGTCGAAACAAATCGTCCATCTCGAAGATTGTTCGCTTTTTCTCGTCTCGATATGATCCGTCCACGACAACCATTTGTATGCGGTCTGTCCTTATGGCATCTGCATCAATCAAATCCTTTATTCGCATGGGAGTTCCAACAGCAATCCCGACATTGGTCTTTTGCATGTATTCGATGTTGTCTTTCAACTTCATGTGCTTCGCAATGAGTTTCGCAACCTTGGACTTTTCTGTGTTGAGACCCCGCAGATCTCGGGTCAGGTCTGCGGTGCGAATGCCCGACGACGTAACGATTATGGTGTGAGGACTTCCTTTCTCTTCGGAGGCAGAAAGTTTTGCTTTGTCAATCTTGGAGAAATGTTCGAGGAAGGCAGGGAGATTCGGGCCTGTACGAGGCTGCTCGAAGGTGGTCGTGTTGTGGAAGGACTTTGTGGGTAGATAGCTCTCTTCGAGTTCAATGGCACTGCTGTTTGGGAGGGCTTTTCTGATACATTTGGCGAAATGGTCGGCCAATAATGCCGGATCCATCAAGGCAATTGTGTCATCGACGCTCGTCTGGCGTTGGGTTGCGACGCTTTCTGATGCAGCCCGCTTCGCCGGACGTTCACCATCGACAAGGTCAGCATCATCAATCCTTCTCTTGGCGGCGCCGCGTTTGCGAGCGCGTCCCTTCGTCCTTTCCATCGTCAAGAGTGGCGATTGCTGATGTTTTCATCTGCAGCGCGGGTAAAAGAGAAAATGTTATTACGCCAGTGGATCTGATGCATGCAGGGTTTCGTTTAGTGCCAGGAACCGACCGCATGGCTGCGAGGTAAATGCTCGTCTGTCCCCCCGCATTTTCGGGGCGCTCGGCTTTGCCGCTTTACGCTTAGAGATACCGCTGAATACTCGTACTTTGCCAGAAAACGACCCTTGTTCGTATGGCAAGTTACACGTACAGTTCTTGTACTGTACCGAGTGCACGGCGATGCGAAAGCTCGTGACGTACAAGAATTGATCAATCATGGCTGCTCGAGAGAGCGAGGAAAAGAGGAGCTTGAGGACAGGAAAGGTTTACGAGGTTTTGCCAGGGGCCGTGAAAGAATACCTGAGGGGTTTAGTATATCAACGAACAAGAATGGAGCTGCAAAGTGCCACAATATGGCGTCCGCGAATCTCGCAAAATGTTACGTTCCTGGCAACCGTAATGGGCACAATCAATCCAGCGTTGCTTCCTGTACAAGATGCACTTCACGCCAGTCTCTCTCGATCGTCCCTCTGTCCAAGTGAGCTCTCCAGATACTCAGTTGCCAACATGGATCCCCAGAGTGCGTTTTCTCTGGCGAGAAATGCCTGATTGGGAAGACAAAGTACATCTCGTAGGTCCGTGGCAACCTGAACGCCTTCATGACAGGGTCATAACCCTCCTTGGATTCGAGGACATGCGAAACTTTGAGCATAACATGCGCATCAGACAACATCTCCGAATTGGCAAGCTCTGGAACATCAACTGTCCAGCCCTTCTGCCACGGTGAGAAAGTGGCCGTTCTCAATTTCGGAAAGCTCTCCAGGTTCAGCTCCCACTTCAAGTCAATCTCGAAGACATTCAGCCGCAAGTGACGGACTTCGTCCAGGCAACCTAGAGCAATCATTCTATCTAAAAAAGAATTCATAGCTTGTTGGCAATGGAGCTCCCACAGCGCAATCCGAACAAAGGCACGTTGCGCTTCACGCCGTACCTGGCCAGGCGGCGCCGACTTCAGAATCCATTGATGATCGGCACGGTATGGTCCAGTGGTATCCGAGGAGCAGTAACACCCCGACTTCGCCGTCACGGCGACCCGGTTGCCTTGGAAAGCATGATTGAAAATCTTCCACCGTATCTCAGCAGGGAGGTCAGTCAAGCGGGAAACCACATCTGGCAGTCGCTTGTCCCGAGTTTCAGCAGGGAAAAAGTATGGCCGCGCATTCAGTGTATGAAAGTATGCAGCTTCGGCGACTGCTGATTCGGACATGCTGCTAGAACCTAGCAGATCGATGGTTGTACTGTAGATGGGTCTGGGTGCCCGTCGTTGGGTCCAATGGACTGACGGGCATCATGACAAGGCGATAAGAGGTTTACGGGCAGCGAGTTGTTATTTATCGAATCAAGTGTCAAAATGGAATACCTATGATGCGCCCTAAATCTCTCTACGGTGAGTCATTAACGGTCCATGGGACAAGTTGTTTTTCAAGGATCCAGGGGATAGACGGCCATTGAAGCGAGGATGTGATTGCTAAGCTGAAGCTGCAAGATCTTGATATGATTTGTAGGCGAACGTAGAAAGCAGATGGATTCTCGAAGGCTCATCAATCATTAATCATTATTTCATGTCCGGGTATCTTTGTGGGGTTTCATGCTGGCAGCATTCGCTTCTTATCCTTCTTGATCTTCCTCCTCCAGCCATTGACGTCCTTCCCACCTTCAAGGTCTCGCAGAGCCTCCATTTTCGCTTCTGCCACGTCCTTCAGGGTTCTGCCTTTCACAACCCTGGTTTCGACATTGACGCCTTCCTCTGTCCACTCGACCATCTTACTTCCAACGTACTCTTCAATGGCCAGGATCAAAGATACATCTCGCTGACCAACAAAAGTAACGCTTGTGCCCCATCTGCCGGCTCGCGCTGTACGACCAACACGGTGGACGTAATCAGTCGGGTTGCGTGGGACATCGTAGTTGATGACAAAATTGACATCAGCAATATCGAGACCTCTTGATGCAACGTCTGTCGCAATAAGAATGCGAGCTTTTTGAGCGCGAAAGTCGGCAAGATTGCGGTTCCTTTGACTTTGTGCGAGTTCCGAGTGTAACGCGGTGACAGGATGTGACAGTGCAAGCAGTGTGCGGTGTAAGATGTCTGCGGTCGCTGTGCGGTTGACGAATATGATGATGCTCGGTTCCGGAGACTTCGTGAATGATGGTACTGAGAGAAGCACGTGAAGGAAGGCATCCTTGTGTGTCATAGGGACCTGCAAATAGGTTTGCGTAAGCGTCGAGGGGAGAAGACTGGATGAGATCGATGGGTCCGAGAGGTCTGTAACATCCGAAACAAAAACAGGCGGTCGGCTCTGTGGCCGCGGCAAGTCTTTCAACGCGCGCACTTCTGGTGTAACAGTTGCTGTGAATAGGAGGGTCAAACGAGATGAAGACGGTGGCAGAGCAGAGAGGCATGTGTTGAGGTCTGGCAGCATTGAGCCAGGCCCGGGTGCAAGGAGTCGATCAGCTTCGTCGAGGACCACGGCTTTGGCGCGTTTCAGACCGATGACTGTTTCTTCCCCAGACGTTAGGATATGATGAGCGAGTCGCCCCGGAGTGGCCACAACAATGTGTGGGCGCTTCGCAAGTGCTACTGCTTGAGGCCTCATATCGCTGCCGCCCGTGATCAGAACGGTCTTGAGGTTCTGCGGAGTTCCTAAAGCCTGGAACTGTTCGTATATCTGGAGCGCAAGTTCTCGTGTTGGGGTGAGAATGACTGCATAAATCCCGAAAGGATCCTGCGCCCATTGTTGCAAGATCGGGACAGCAAATGCAACGGTCTTTCCAGTACCGGTCCTTGACCCTCCTATGCAATCTCTTCCTTTCAGTATCTCAGGTATGCAGGCTCTCTGAATCTCGGTTGGGTTTTGAATGGCCATCGCAGCCAGCGAATGAACAAGCCAGGGTGCGACATTGAGCGATTGGAAGGTCGCGGCGGTGGTATCAGGCACAGGCAGCGCGACGGAGAGTACATCGTGCTTCACCGAGGGTGCAGATCTCTTCACCCGCGATAGCGAACTTGTGTGTAAGGAAGGCGTATTGCTTCCATCGCTGTCGTGCGAGACGCGCCTGCGCTTTGGTGGGGGATGTGGAAAGGTGTCATCGTCGGAGTGATAATCATCTACTATACCCGAGCGAGAATCGGCAGCTTCGGTGTCGAGAGATCCTGACAAGGCCATCTCAACCGTTCAAGTTGTGAGGATGAGTTGTGGAAAAAAAAGACTGACGAGGCGGTTTTGTTTTTGAGTGAGGAGACAACCAAAAATATTTCCCCAATCGCTCGGGGTCCAATTTGTTTCGGTCTCTGGGCCCGCCCGCACGGATTTCCGCCCTACTGTCTCCGTACAACTTCATTCTTCGAAGCCGCGATCACCGTCACCATGTTCAAACAAGTTATACCCATGCATGCATGAACGGAACCATTTGACATCAAACTTTGTCGCTCGGCATGTTTCTATACGTGGAGTTGGCGAACCTTGCCAAGCCAGACCAGCTTGATATGCTTGGCCCTGGTTTTGTCCCGTGCAATCTACTTCGATTGCAGCTCGGCATGAATGAAGGATATGTCCCACAGTCTATGTTGGATGGCTTGCACATACACTCACGATCTCTTCGGGACTTGTTATCACCAGATTCTATCATCTGTTCACTTCAAGTCCAAAGGAGCTAGACACTAAGGTCAGCGGCTAGTATTGCCAGGATCATCCCGACCGTGCAGCGACAGGTCCTCGAGGTCAAAATCTGAGCCATTGCTCACTCTTCACATGTTCGACCACCCCGTAGCCAAGGGTCCTTCCGAGTTCGGCAAGCGTGGCTTGAAGCCATGGTGTTTGTTCGAGTTCCACATTCTCGAGACTCGAAGCCAAGGACATAGGCCAAACCGTCAAAGAAGCCAAATAAGGCCGCACGGGCTCTTTCGTCGTCACTTTTATCGAAAGTGCTCCGTAGGATTCGTCGGCTAGCTGGAATCTCCCAAGACAGAAAGGGAGGGTGGACGTAAAGTGGCTGGCCATAGATTTCAGGCAGGCAACATATTCCGCGCGTTCTGCCAGGCTCTCCTCAACTCGTATTCGCGTACTCAAGGCCAACATTCTCGTTGTGTAATACTGATTCCATACCGCGGCATGTGCCAGGCTGGAATAATGATAGACTATCGGAGAGAAGAAGTGTTGGGTGGGGAAGGTTTCGTGGTGTGGGAGACTATATTGCTGATAACACCACGTGCTTGGGAAATGTGAGCTCCACTGCTGCACTGCCTTGTCAATATCGCGTGCCTCTCTTGCAAGATCATCGATGCTTGGTTGACTACTTGCTTCAAAGATTCGATGACGAAGGTTGACAAGTCGAACGACGATCCGGTCATACTCCAGTTCCAATCCGCGTTCGCAATAGTCGCTGCCATCTAAAAGCCATTGTGGTACTGCCAACCTCCGCATCAGCGCGGACTTGAGCAACCCGCGTCGCGAATACCTCATGATGTCCGTAGCTTGGTGATTCGCACTCAGGTGTTCCTTCCAGAATTTCAGGATGGTCGATGCTCCATCATGGTGGAAAAAGCTTCCTGCCGCTACGCGGAACGCACTTGGCCGGCTCGGATCGAAGATTGCATCTTCGTAGCGAGCCATGAAGAATACTGCAAGAAGCCAGATATCGACGTTGGCAGCCACCAAGGAAGGGATGGAGACTCGCGCAAGCTGCAAGAGCCGATGATATGTCATGGAGGCTTGTACAGCAGCTGGTCGGTGTTTCTGCGTTCTGGAGAAAATTGCAAGGGCCATGCAAGATACGGCTGGATGAAGAATTGGGTCGTCGGTTTTGCCGACCCATGCTGTGAGAAATTCCACCGAGTGGGCTTTGAGAACTTTGGGTGTCTCCTTTGGAGCCTTTAGATAATGATGCATATAGTAGAGGATTGCTTGAGTCGTCAGGTCGACCAGGTCACCCGAAACAGGCCTGTCAAGCTCAGTGATTGCATGTTCCTTCAGCGATGAGCGCGGTCCGCGCGGACGCCTTTCCCTGCCGCTGGCGTATCGATTTTCCGAGTAGACTGCAGCAAAGAATCCCCCGTCGCTCATACCCTGACATAATCTTTTGGACTGCAGACATCGCCGACACGTTGGGCGCGTTTCGTCACACTGTATTCGAGTGGTTAGTGGATTTAAAGGTCAAAAACATGTCCATGCCTACCTTGATTCGGCGAGTTTTGCATGTATGACAACCTGCGCTGGGAAAAGGCATGAGGAGTCCTCAAGTTCTCGTCGATGATCGGAATGGGATGATGTATGTCACAAGACAACTCATGTTCAAACACGCTTTGAACGAGGCGTTAACCTGGGCTGTGCCATTGTCGTGAAAACAACCTTTGGAGTACTTGCAACTTGCGGCATTACGAACATTTAATCCCCGAAATCCGGACCATGCCCTCTTGAAACGCATCTGCGTTCACGGCTTGTATTTATTATTGGCAAGTCGGTGCAGGGCGAGGAGAGGGTCAACTGCAATACGTATTCGTAGGTTGACCTCCAAAGATCAACAGTCGAGGACGAAATCACTTTCACGCTGTTCGATGGGCAAATCATGCGGATGACATTGTTGTTTTTTGCAGCAATTTCTTCAACACACGAAACTTCGCCAACAAGAGGACTTGGTCGGTATGACGTCATCGTTTGACGCGTCTTCAATTAGGTACATTGCGTCTCGTCTCACACTTTGACCGTGCACAATCAGCACAAACACTAGACCAGATGCTGGAATCTATCCCACCGAATGCCAAAGCATATTTCACATGAAACGAGCACTCAGCGAACGTACCTGAGCGCATGACTTTTCCTTGGCATGGAAAATGATTTCAGGCTAGCGACTTCAACAGGATCCAGCCTCGGCCTCGAGTCCTTATCAGTGGGGAAACGAGGCGCCCGTGATTGCCGAATATCATTCTTAACAACCCAACTCAGGTTGTCATCCGGACCTCTTGCTCCAAGGTCTCCCGAGACTGAGCACACGTTCAACCGAGTACTATCTCAAGTCGGTCGAAAGAGTCCTTGGCAAACAGTAAGCAACAAGAATTGGTGATCGGCTTCATTCAAAACGCTGCAATGCATACAACCTAGAGTCAGCATGACCTATGAACGTCAACAGCAATGATCTCAACGCAATCCGGCGGGAGTACAGCTACGGCTTCAATTCTCGCCAACCGAGGTCTGGACCATCTTCCTTTGTGCCGTAGTGGTTCTCAATATGCTTGTTGGCTGACCAGCGGATCTTTTTGCAGACTGCCGAGTTTGCAGGCGGCGAAGGATCAAATGTGACAGGACTCTTCCTGTCTGCTCGAAATGCGGCACCAGAAGCCTTCAATGTCCAGGCTACATCACCAGCTTGAAATGGGTGCAGGTGACACCTCCTAGAAGGAAGTCGATGTCCAGTCGTCGTGTGCAGCTGCCTAGGGAGAGATCCCCATCGAGCGAAACGTCTTTGGACATTTGCGCGGAAGTTCCAGCTTCAGAAGGCGTGCACCAAGTGGACGAAATGGCTTCTGATCGCTCTCCGCACAATGCTGAACACCGTTTGATCCTACAGCCTGACTACACTCCAGGAATATGTCACCATCCTTCCGCTCGTGAGCTTTTGCACCACTACACCAACGTCGTTGCGGCTCAAATGGTCTGGGTCGACTCTACCCAGAATCCTTTCCGCAAAATAATTATCCCACTGGCCATGCAATCCCCAGCGCTTATGCTATCCATATTCTCGGTCGCGGCAGGAGATATATGGTCCCGATCTGGTCAGACATTCGACTGCAGCTTCGACTCTCTCCATTTGTTGGATAAATACAGGGGCCAAACCTTGACTCATCTGGTGGACCACTTGAAGGTCGAGACTGCTCAAGGACTTCACAATCCTCCTGATCTTGCAGTCAATGATCGTGTCAGTCCGATTCTAGCGGCCTTTCTACTCAGTTCACTGGGTATAAAATTGAACGACTCTTCGGCCTGGCGCTTGCATCTCCGTGCCGCCTGGTCGATGGTTGAGCACTGGAACACGTGCTTTCCGAATACCACACTTTCGACGTCAGGCGTCAAGGAATTCTTATTGCAAGAGATGTATTTCTGCAAAGTTTGGGAATCCGTCACCACTTTCCAATCTTTGAGTGATACGGGTGGAACTTCTTCTCTCTTCAACATCGATGGGCCCTTCATTCAATACCTTGGGATCATTTCTACTCTTGCGGACATCGAACGCTCTTCACACGCGGGCAGGTGCGAAGAGGTCAGATCTGGGCTCACCATGTCGACACTGATTGTTATGTTCGACGAAGCACGCAGGCGTAGCAAGAATTATGCAAATACCATCACGTTTCGGTCTCCTGGCGCACGCGCGGCCTTCGAATACGTTGTGGACCTGCATCATCATGCGGGAGTGCTCTATGGCTCTCATGTACTATCGGACGACGGCCGCTCATCAGTGCTTACGGACTCGTCCCGCGTTGCCCTCTTCCAATATCTTCACAAGGTCACAGGCCCCGAGATCATTGCTCAGGATCTCACTTGGCCGGTATTCATTGCGGGGATTGAATGCCACGGGCGAGTTGAATATCAACGACTTGTCTGTCAGAAGATGCAAGATATCATGAGAATGAGTGGCGAACTAGAAAGACCGAGGTTGGTGAGCTTCCTCGCCGACTTCTGGTTTTCACAGGGGCAAGGCTCGAAAGACAGCTGGACAAAGCTAGCGCGTGCATATGCTAGTCGTGGAACGCCTATCATAATCCTGTGAAACGAAGTTGAGCTTTTCTCTCGCTGTCCGAGCTTGCGAACCTCTTTTCAGCACTGTCACGCCGGGTAAATTCCTGGCAAGATGTCAATCTATGCTCACAAATCCACAGTCTCTTCATCTTCAACTCCAAACAACACCCTCATTGGATCTTGATACTGGTAGAAGCCATTCCCAGGTGGGCTGATTCCATAACCGAGCAGTCTCTTGACCTGATTCGACAAAGGCCTGGCCTTTTCTGGTGGCACCATCAAGTACTGATTCTCACTTTGCCGGTAGAATCCCTTGGTGAAAAAGAGGCCGACATTCTCTCGGACTTCATCCCTGATCACGAAATGTCAGCTACAATCATCCCGGAAGGAGAAACATCGATCCTCTTACTTTGTTGTGTTGGCACCCCCTCCATGGTAGGTGTTACCCAAGAAGAAGAGGGCGTCACCAATCTCGAGCTCAGCTGGGATCGCTTCGTAAACCTCCGGTGCCCTTTCAGGACCCCATACGTGAGATCCAGGAATGACTTGTGTCGCTCCGTTCTCCTTGGTTATCTTGGAAATAGCCACGATGCACCCAAGCATCACTGGAAAGTCGGCGGTACGTGGGTGTAGATCCCTAGACGTCAAGGTTAGCTGCCCTGTGCTTTCTGGTACTGGATTAGTTATGGGTTCTTTAACTCACGCATCATCACGGTGAAGCTCCTGAGCTCGGCCACCTGGATTGACCCTGAACGCAGTCGTGGAAGAAATTTGTGGCTTAGAGGTTACTGTCCTCAACTTCTTACCGAGCCAGAAAGAGTAGGTCGACGATAGTAATGTGTTGACCACGTCGATGACCAGCGGTTTAGTCAAGTAGTCAACACAGCCAGGGGAGATGGAAACCAATCCACTCGCCCTCTTGGTGGTTTCCGGGAAGAAGCCTGTTGGATCAATGCGGTCATTGTCGAAGTACGGTTTGAGTTCTTGCTTTATCTGCATGGCTAAGTCATGGTTGATCAGGTTCTTAACAATGACACCGCCGTCACGGCGTATGGTATCGACCACGGCGGGTGCTGTTGTCGCAGGATCCTCGGCATCGAACTTTGCCAATGCTGGCGTTGTTGATACCTGTGCCGCAATTGTGACAGCGACAGGACTGTTGAGGCTTGTGTTGGTAATGCTGGCTGACATCTTCGATATGCAGTATGCAGAACACAACGGCTGGGCGCTTGAAGCAAGTTGAGGCGGACGTGTAGACGTCGGATTCGACAGCCTTATATGCCCTGCCGTGCCAGCAATAGTCTTCATTCAATCTCGGTTTGATGCCCGAAAGGGGAAGACATGGCCAAGAGGAGAAAATGGAGCAGGACGTATCTTGTGTCCATCACAAGAATTCAACAACGAGTCTCAGACATTGTAAGGTTTGCAGCATTGCAATTCTATTTCATGCATCCAATATGATCTCTGAAAGCTATCAGCCGGAGGACTCGACTTCCATTCCTGGTTTGACGTTCCTGCGAAACGACAGGCTGAGCAGATAGTGAGTGTCGTTCTCCGACGAGGCATCTCAGGATATGGCACTCTTTAAGACTCACATGCTCAGACATAATGCACTAATGCCCAAACAGGTTTAAATCTCTATCTCTGCTACAACTTGGGTTAGACCAGAGATCCACCATTTAAAGCCGTTAACCGGACTAGACCGGGTCTAAAACTACCTTTCAAAGTCACTGAAGCTTGTGTCGTCCTATTTTCCCATGGCTCACTTATCTCTACCTTCCTCGAAGGCACCTCTTATCTGTTCGGCTCTGAACCGCAAAAGTCTACCAGCTTCCAGGGATGTGCTTCCAGATAAGAACGTCTGGATGGGTATATAAGGACATGCTGGGTCGACCCCAAATTGCGACAATCAGATTTCGATCAATTTCCGAACTTGCAATGGCTGAAAACGTGCCTCTCACTCCAGCTTCCCGCCAGCTGGGACGCCTGGTCCCAAGAAATTCCAAAGTCTTGATCGTCCTTGTGATTATTTCTTGCCTTGTTAACTCCATGGTAAGTACTTCGCAAGTGTCTTTCTGGGCCCGAGGTTTTGACGTATCTGCAGACAATGGGCTACGACGGGAACATGATGTAGGCTTACCGGAATCACTCAACCTCTTTACGTATCCGCTTATACTCCGTACAGGAACGGGCTCAACATCTTACCCTCTTTCTACGACACGATCAGTCTCAATACTGCAGGGCAATCTGTCAGTACTGGTATCATTGTAAGAGACAACCATAGGCTTTGGCTGGCCACGTACGCCACACAGGGCAAGGCTTGGAGACTAACACTGACGTGCTGTAGTGGGTTGGCGGCTGCGTTGCTGCACTGTTCTCCGGTCCTGTCATTGATAGATGGGGTCGAAAACCTGGAATGTTGGTTGCTGCTCTCATAGCATGCGTTGGCATCCCTCTTCAAACTGCAGCTCAAACACCAGCCATGTTCGTGGTTTCACGACTGATTGTTGGCATTGGAGTTGGGCTCAGTTCAGTGGCATGTCCGACATATTGCGCTGAGACGGCGCCACTCCAATGGCGAGCCTTTTGTTTGGGCCTCTACTACGCCTTTTGGTATGGCGGAGGATTGCTTGCATCGGGTGTCACTTATGGCACGGCTAAACTTCTGAGTTCATGGGCATGGCGTCTTCCATCCTTGATCCAGCTCGTGCCTGCCTTGCTTTGCATTGCAGTCTTACCTTTTATTCCCGAGAGCCCACGTTGGCTCATGTACCACGGCCGTGAGGCGGAAGCACTCGAGGTTTTCGCCATCATGTCGGCCAACGGTGACACTAGCGATCCTGTTGTGATGACCCAGTACAAGCAAGTTTATGATACTGTTGTTTTCGAGAAATCGAACAAGGCGAGCCAGAACTGGTTGGACGCCTTCAGAACACACAACAACCGCAAGAGAATGATGTTGGCATGCTCTTGTGCCGTCATTGGAAATATAAGCGGGAGTGGCATCATCTCGTGAGTATTTCGGTCTGCTAACTTTCTCGATAACGCTGATCAGATTGTCATAGATACTATCTCGGCACAATGCTTAGCCAGGCTGGCATCACCAATACCAACACACAGCTACAGATCAACATTTATTTGTCCATCTGGTGCCTGTTTATGGCCATCCTCGGTACCTGTCTCGCAGACAAGATTGGTCGAAAAATTCTAGGTGCCGGTTCAATGACTGCATCTTTGATCTTTCTCTACCTCGTAGGGGCATTCACAAAACGTGAGATTTCCTTTGAAGTGTCGCAAGTCTGGCTGACCAAAGAATGCAGTATACGGCTCCGGAGAGAACTACTCGGGTGTTCTTGGAACGGTCGCATGCATCTTTCTTTATCAAGGTGAGTCCATTCCCGCACCAAACACTGGATCGGTCACTCAATTGTCCAACAGGCATCTACTCATTTGGATGGACTACGCTTCTGGTCATGTACCCACCTGAAGTGCTCAACTTCAGTCTGAGAGCAAACGGTGTCAGCATCTACACATTCTTCTCCAATGGCGTTGCGTAAGTCAATCTTTGATGCATTTCCAAGCACCTTCAACAATGCACTGTTTGCACTGTTCGCGCTGTACGTACTGACAGTTGGCCGACAATAGTTGCGTTGTGACATTCGCGTTTCCATTTGCACTAGCCAAGATAGGATGGAAGACGTACATGATCAACGCCACTTGGGATATTTTGGAAGTGATCTTCATCATCCTGTTCTGGGTCGAGACCAGCAACAAGACTTTGGAAGAGATTGACGAGCTTATTGATGGTGAAATGCATTCCGACGCACCAGTGCTTATGGCAGTCATACATGGAGACGTCGATGTCAAGGCGGCGATCATGACATCTGGCGAGGAGGATGGCAAGGGAGAGACCAACAAACAAGCCACCATCGTGATAACTTAGTATGCTGCGAGGACGCAGTCTGGGAGCTATGTCGGCGTTCATAGGAGACTGCGAGGTATGCCTTCAACGCTTTGATAAGGAGAATAACAATGGACCACCAAGGAGATGTAGCAGATGTTTCGGACGCGAACTTCGAAAATCACGCTGGAGAGCCATCTTTATTGAGTGCATACTACTTAGACTTGCTCTAGCTCCTCATTGTAGACTATACCGGCCAGTCGTCGGGCATCATCCATCCATTCCAGTATCCTCAAGCTCTCCTCAGCTCCGATGACGCCAGGCTGCTTCTTGAACACTGCAGACGCGATGACATCGGCCTGATACCAGATGCCCCAGCCGCTCACCGGCTTCTTGATTATCTCATTTCTCTCCGTGCCATCGTCGTTGAGGTGGGCATGGCCATACCATTGCACATGCAATTCTTCAGGTCGGATGGGAGGGAATGGAATAGCAACTGATGCCTCCGTGGCTTCAATCCTCACAGAAGGGGCTGCCTTCTGTGCGCCAAACCGCACGTAGAATGACGGCTTATTCGATCCAGTAAGAGTCATGCTGGTAGTGACAATGGCAGTGGCGTTCTTGGTTGTCAGCACGACGGTGTTGATGTCGTCAATCTCGCCAGGCCTCCCCGGCACACTCAGAGAATGCGCATGCACTACACTAGCATTATCAACCTTCACTCCATTCAATGCAAGATCCGCCCAAGTAAGCGCATAAACTCCCTGGTCGAGCAGGGCCCCCGCACCAGCTGATTTGTCCAAGAATCGAGACGAATCTGGTAGATCTGGTCCGACGATGGGAAACGAGAATTCAGAGTAAACTCTTCTTACTTGACCAATCTTAGGTAGGAGCTCTTCTTGTAGATATCTCGTGGCCGGAAGGTAACGTGTCCACATGGCTTCCATAAGGACAACACCATGGTGCTTCGCCAGTTCGATACATCGTCGGTATTGTGCAGCATTCATGGTGGCTGGCTTCTCGACTAGGACGTTTCTTTTGAATTCGAGGGCTTTGACGACCTCTTCATAATGCAGTGGATGAGGTGTCGAGATGTAAACGATGTCGAAGTCACCGTGCTGTAGCATGGTTTCCCAGGAGTTGTAGACGACTATCGAATCAGAATCTGGGATTTTGTTGTCCGTAAACCATTTCTGCGCACGTTCGTTTGACCCTGTCGTACTGATGGCGACCAGCTTATGCTCGAATTGTGCATCTTCACGACCCAGTACATCTGGAAAGAAGACCGAAGCGATGTTGGACAGGGAAAGTGCAGCCCAACGGCATGTTGATTTTTGAGCCATCAGCGGGAAGAGCACAGCGTACTGTCAAAGTATGTACGTCGCTTTGATTGTTTGCCTGGATAGTAAAGACTGTAATTTCGCAGCTGCAGAGAAATAGGGAAGCGAAATGAGCCTCGCGCACAGACAGATGCTCGCATGGGGACCACAAAGTGATCTCACGTCGGCAGGAACAATCATCTGCATACCAAGGGTTCAGAAGTGCCGGATAAACTATACCATAGCTAGACTGAAACCTTCTGTGCCGAGAAAATGGCGAAGTCAGTTAGATAGATTCGCATCTCCCCCACAAGCACGTCTCCGCCCAATTCGAACGGGGTGGTGAGCAAAGCAGATTGAAATTAGTCCTCGTACAAGGATTCCCCGTGGTTGTCTAAGCACTTTGCAGCAAAAGCTTTTTAGGTCATGCCCAGGTTTCAGTTGGTGTTAAAACCCCCAACCAGGCCTGGCCAAGCGTAAGGGGTCTCTCCTTTGCCATGTAATCGTCGCTCTCAAACGTTTAGACGTTTAGCCGTTCAGCCTTTTACACGACTTCCTGACGTCAAACTCACCCGCACTTTTACACATTTCACCTCCGTATGGGGGCTTCACTGTCGCTCCGCAACTACTTTCTGCACTCCAAGCAATCTCCACGGGTATTGCATCCGCCAACCCGGGAGATGCGGTTGACGTGCTGGAGGTTGCATTTCTGACCACGCGACATCCCGGGGGAAACGCGCCCCAGCTAGTACTCGGGGCCATGCAGTCCCTTCCATCCCTCATTCAACCAAGCTACAATTGGATATATATTTCGTCTCCTGCCCATTGAGCTTCTTCGACAATTTGTTTCCGAACAGACAGAACCATCTTCCAAGGCTCGGCGACAACCATTCAATTAAACTCTTCTCGCACCCTCCAACCTACGAATTCGATAATGGGGTTTCAACCATGGCGAGCCCTCCCGGGCAAAGGCGTCTCAGCCTTGCTCAACACCCTCAGCGCTGTTGCCCTCATCTATGAAGGTTATAACCAAGGTGTCTACGGCAGTGTCTCTGGTACGCCGGGCTTCATTGCCATGTCAGGTATCGGTTACGATAGTACCGTTACCCAGACCACGAAGCAAGGTGGTCTTGCTGCAGCATACTATTTCGGCGCAATGTTCGGTGCTTTCATCGGTGGTTGGCTTGGTGACAAGCTTGGAAGGAAGAAGGCCGCATTCATTGGTGCTCTGCTCTCCCTTATTGGATCTGCCCTCCAGTGCGGTTCAATCAACTCCGACATGTTCATCTGCGCTCGCGTCATTTCCGGCCTTGGAATAGGCTTCGTCAATAACATCATTCTCTCTTGGGTATCGGAATTGGCTCAAGCTCATGAACGTGGATCAACCTTCTCTCTTGTCTTCGTTTCCAACTTTCTCGGCATCTTCCTGGCAAACTGGATCAATTTCGGCATTCGCAATGACAACGTCACGTTCAGATGGCGGTTCCCGCTGGGCTTCATGTGCATTCCAATGTTCATCGTGGTGATCACTATATTCTTTGTTCCAGGTAAGTGTTTCGCTCAACCGCATTGAAATGACCCTGACCTTGCATCAGAATCCCCTCGATGGCTCATGGCACACCACCGAAAAGCAGAAGCAATCGAAATCTTGTGCAAGATCCGTGGCGATAAGGATACCTCAGACCCGGCCATCCTGGAAGAGGTGGAATTGATCCAAGCCGTGGTGGAGGCTTCTTACCACAAACGAAACAACTACATCAACATCGCTCTTGGAGGCCGTTACTCTGGGAAACTCCACCTCGGCCGCCGTGCTGTCTTGGGCTTTGCCCTTCAGCAAATCCAGCAATGGACAGGTATCCTCGTCATGGTCTCCTGGGCCACGAAGCTCTTTGAACTTGCCAGCTTCAACGATTACAAGGCTTCGTGGATGTCTGGGCTGCTGAACACATTTGGTGTCATTGGAACTGCCGCAGCTGCACCAGTCATTGATCGCCTCGGTCGCAGGATGTCACTCCAGATCTCGTTCGTAATTCAAGGCGTGTCACTCTTCCTTGTTGCGGCACTCATCAAAACGTCCCAAGACCGTGTTGCATCTGACCTATCATCGTCCCAAACTCTAGGCACGGCTGCGTCAGCATTCACTTTTACCTTCGTTTTCTTCTTCACCATGTTCAACATCGTACCATGCTGGATTTATGGTACTGAGATCTGGCCCCAGGAAGTCCGTGCCAAAGGTTACTCATTCACTATCTTGGGTTGGGCGATTGGGTGTGGTGTGACAACCTTTGTCATTCCCATCATGCTGGCTCACATTGGATGGTGGTCCTTTGTCTTCTTTGGTTGCATGAATATCGTGGTCATGCCAATCATCCACCTCTTCTATCCTGAGACTGCTGGCCGCTCACTCGAGGAAGTCAATCTCCTCTTCACAAGTGATAGTCCCCTTGTCAGCAAGAACATGGCTGAGTACAATCGTCGACTTGCAGAGGCTGGTGGTAACGTGGCCGTCGCTGCCAGGAGGCTGCTTGATGAAGTCGATGGGGAGACCAATCTTGATCCGAGACGAGTTTCCATCGTTGGTGCCGAAAATGGTCACGTCAAGACTGCTTCTGATGCGGATCACAGTGAGGAGATCATTGAGAAGAAACCATACTAGGCTCGGTCACCGGATTCTGGAAGAAATTCGTATATCAACTTGCTCAGAGGACTGCTCTTGTCATTAGTTTGGTATACCCAGTGCATGTAATCCTGCAGCATGAAAGTCACTTCCGTGTCATGCGCTGGTTCCTAAACGAAATTTGTAGAACTCCTAAGTTCTGAATATCGCGTCACCTGCGTTGAATGCTTTGTTGCAAGCTTATATTTCTTATTTTCTGGCCTGCGAGCACGACTTCTTGGAATCTACGAGAGTATTGTCCACTCTGGAAGGCTCTCCTAGACAAGCACCATTTGAACATTGGCATGTGTTGAACTACTCGTCCAGAACTGCAGGGTGTTTCCACGAGGTTGCACCACCGTCAAGCAGCAAGTCCTGTCCAGTATACCAGCCGCTGGCCTTCGGAGATGACAACCATAAAATGGCGCCCTTCAATTCCTCCGGCAACCCAATTCTCCCAAACAATGTCTCCTTTTCGAACTGCTTGACCAGTTTCGGTTGCTCGTCCTGCAGCCCCTTCATCATATCAGTCATCGTATAACCGGGACTGAGACTGTTGACCCGGATCCCATACCGGGACAATTCCATTGCCACGGGCTTCACGAGTCCTTTGATGGCTGCTTTCGATGCCGTATAACATGATATCTGCTGTGCTGTACTGGCGATGTATGTGGCGATGCTGGCAATGAATATTATACTTCCAGTTGTAGCGCCCCTTGCAGGCTCCTCGCCGTGGTGCGATTTGTACCGATCCACCATGGCATTGGCACACGCTTGCGCCACGAGGAAAGATCCAGTCACATTGACACCGAAGGTACGTCGGAGATTCTGGTCCGAAGTTGTCAAGAATGGTTCGTCAGTCACGACTCCTGCGGCATTGATGTTGATGTTGATAGTGCCAAAGTCTTGGATGATTGTCGTAATCGTCCTGATAACATCGTCGCGGACGGTGATGTCCAAGCGATAGTACTTGACTTTGATGTTGAATCTCGATTGAAGTTCGTATAATGCCGCTGATGGTTCTTGAAGAATGTCCACCACGGCGACATCGCACCCTGCTGATGCCAGGGCTTCGGCAAAGGCAAGACCAAGACCTCTGGCTGCTCCTGAGATCACTGCTGTTTGACCTCTCAAATTGAACTGATACCAGTCAACTCCATGAACCGCCGAACACTCTCACGTACATACCATGTCCATCATATCAGATTATTTCCTCACGCGATAGGACCTCTGAAGAGTCGCACAGCCTGGTTGGTCACGTCGTTACAGTGTAGTGGTTGTGAAGAGTTGTCGGATGATGCGAGCAGATGTTGGCAGGCCGCACATGCATCAATTGCACGTTGGTCGCAAATTGACCAGATTTCGTGTCCCTGCAGTGCCGTAAACGACGCATTGCCCACGCCGGGTGCTTCTGAGGCTCTGGGCCGTGCCCGAGGCCCAAACGGGGGTAACGCGACCCGCCGTGATCTTGCCTCGCAACATCAATAATCAGTCGCGTCGAAACGGTGGGAGCCTATCCAGAGTAGGCATGGCAGGGTTTGCGGGGAAGATCCGAAGTCATGGGTTGTGAAAAGGGTCCAATGTCAAGAACGGCAAACACCGTTTAGCCTTTTAGCCGAAGAAACGAAAACACTCCAGATGGTAAGGCCCCGGATCAGCAAAGTCCCATTGACCAGCCCTGGTTGGTCGTCGCCTCGGTTTCACGCTCCGATGATCCGTGGCGATGAGAAGGCACTTCTCCGAGCCTTTTTGTGGAGTTTGGACTAGAGTCGCGTTAGACTGACGACCGTATATATTCTTTTGCGAGCATCTTTTGCAGCCAAGGTTATCATTGCGACAGAAAACCAACAATGCCTTCCTCTACAACAAACGGGTCGGCTCACGGCCTTACAAACGGCCACACAAATGGTCACCATGCTGCAGGACTAGATCTGACTGTGCTTGGGCTGAACTCGGGGACGTCGATGGATGGCATTGATTGCGCATTATGCCGGTTTCGACAAGAGTCTCCCGAGTCGCCAATGCAATTCGAGCTTTTGGCGTACGACGAAGTGCCCCTGGCGCCCAAAATCAAGACGCGTGTGATGAACATGATTTTGCACAACAAAACCACACCTGAGGAACTCTCGGAAGTCAACGTTCTGTTGGGTGAGACCTTTGCAGCCGCTGTGAAGGAGTTCTCTCAAAAGCACGGAGTTCCCTTGGAAAAAATTGATGTTCTGGGATCTCATGGGCAGACGATTTGGTTGCTCAGCATGCCGGAGCCTGGACAGACCAGGTCTGCATTGACCATGGCTGAAGGTGCTTTCCTTGCTTCGAGAACAGGTATCACATCAGTCACCGATTTCCGAGTTTCGGATCAAGCCGCAGGTCGGCAGGGGGCGCCATTGATTGCATTCTTTGACTCGCTTGTCCTTCATCACCCTACCAAGCTCCGAGCCTGCCAGAATATTGGTGGCATAGGCAATGTCTGCTTCATCCCTCCTGACAAGGATGGCAAACTCAACCCTGAGTACTTTGACTTTGACACCGGTCCGGGTAACGTCTTCATCGATGCCGCGGTGCGATATTTCACGAATGGGGAACGGGAATATGACAAGAACGGCGAGATGGGTGCTGCAGGAACAGTGGATCAGGATATGGTGGATGAATTTCTGCGGACTCATCCATATTTCGCCCTGGAACCGCCAAAGACCACAGGGCGTGAAGTGTTTCGGGACACCATTGCCCACGACCTTATCGAACGAGGCATAGCCAAAGGATTGTCACCGAACGACATTGTTGCCACGATCACCCGAATCACCGCCCAGGCCATTGTCGAGCACTATCAGAGGTATATGCCGCGGAAGTATGGTCCTCTTGCCGAAATCTATATGTGTGGTGGAGGAGCCAAAAATCCCAACATCACACGGCATTTGCAAGCAGCTTTTCCCGAAACCCGGCTCTTGATGCTCGATGAAGCTGGAATCCCGGCGGACGCAAAGGAGGCAATCACATTCGCGTGGCAAGGTATGGAGGCGGTGGTTGGCCGAAGTATTCCAGTGCCGAGCAGAGTCGAGTCGCAAAGACAGTTTGTGCTTGGAAAAGTCAGCGCTGGAGACAATTATCGGAAGGTCATGAGGCATGGTATGGCCTTTGGCGCAGAGAGAGACCATCTCGAGCCGGTAACGGAGTTGGTGAATTATGTGGAGGGTAAGGTGTTTGACAACAAATGGTAGAAGGGATCATTTGAGCAGAGAGCGTGCAGGCGTCGGGAGCGATGATATTTGCATGTGTTTACTCGTTCGCAGTTTCCCACACTTGGTAGTCGGCTTCGTATTTCTGTTTTTCAACCACCACGCAGGCATCATCAAGCATACGCACACCCGCAAGAGGTTCTGGGGGGAGTCATTTCGTGTTGAGGGCGTTGACTGAGAGAGCCAGTTTGGGAAGAAAAGAGATGTTTCCGAAGGTGTAAGTTAGCTGGAAGAAGGCACGAGTCGTCACGACGTTGGCCTCCAAAGATCGCATGGATAGATAGAGATCAAGTTCTCATGTAGCACTCTGGCGTATCTGCAAACAATGGCAAGGTCAAAGGATGCGAGAAGAAATTGACCGCGGCGCGATGGCCTCACCTTAAGTTACTGTCCTTGCTGTGTATTGGCCACCGTAAATGGCAAGTTTCCCGAAGCCTGGGCTGATATCATTAGTTGTTCTTTTTTCGAGCAGCCTCATGAACAGACCTCAACCTCCGGACTGCTTGTTGCTCCCATAGCCGCGCATGGTCGCAATTTGCACGCCACCGACATCGGTGTAAAAGCATGTTCGATAGTGCTGCTGCAACATGTGATGCCGATAAGAAATCTGCTGCGAGACAAGTGTCATGCCGAGTTCAGAGCAACGCCCCAAGTCGCGACGTATCACTCGAGCGTGCGATTATTGCCATAAACGTAGCATTCGATGCACCAGTGGCAACGGCTCGCGGTGTCAGAGCTGCATCGACTTCGACCAGCCATGTACCTACAATCGAGCCGCGAAAAGACGGGGCGTGACACCACGGGCTAGAGTGGCGTCGCCATCCTTCTCGAGGCCTCTTTCCGTCAACGGTACGTTGGTCCTTAGTCCAGGGCGATGCCTCCCCGGAGATGATCGCACATCTTGCACGCGCTCACCTTGAGAATGCGCTGTGACGTCGCTAGGCTGCGTGGTTTGAGTTCAAAAATTGACAGCACCTTAGCACATCCCAATCCATCATCTCAATCATGGAGGGCTCCAATGATTGCCACTCAAGCCGTGGTGATGAGCCTTGTGGAGGTATACTTTGAAATCGTGTATCCGATCTTTCCGCTTTTCCACAGACCTACATACATCCGAAAAGTAAGTTTCGCCGCATCGGACCAATTGCTTCGAGGGAATCAAGATATTGCTACACCAAGTGTTTGCAGTCGCTGATGAAGCTTTGCAGATATCAAGAGGGGACTACACCACAGACAAGACCTTGTTTCCGGTTACCATGGCCGTCTGCGCCCTCGTGTCCGCCCGAGTTCGAGATCAAGCAATATTCAATCCCTCCTGGGACGTTGAAGAATTGTCCCAGACGCCGTCCGAGACGTTCTATGACGCTGCTGTCCAATACTGCGCCAGTTGCGAAGACTCAAAGCAGACCCACAGCCTTGACACACTGCGATTGTGTGCATTACTTGCTCTCACAGCTATTCAGTACGGCAATATCCGTGAGATGCAGTTGTTTCTTGGAAAATACCATACGTTGGTGGCTATGGATGGCCTACATGATGAAACAAACTGGCCCAAAGACATCGGCATTGTCGAGACCGAGGAGAGGAGGCGACTGGTAAGATCGACTCGTCAAGGCAAGGCTACGTCCTAAACAATCAATAGTTTTGGTCCATGTATACATTGGAAGTCTATTCATCCATCATCTGGAATGGCATTACCCGATGTCGTGAGCAACAAGTCAATGTCACGTACACCACCGAGCTGGATGACGAGCATTTCAGCGACATGGGTTACAATCAACCAGTGCTCTCTCCAGTCGATATCGGACCGAGCCCGGGCGGCAGATGGGGCAATGTGCGGAATAGCAGTTGGCTCTGTGGCTGGAATTTCACCACTGATCTTTACCGAGTCCTTGAGCACGTCATTGCCAATCTTCGTGATCGGCGGCGACAAAAGAGAACATTCCTCAGTGGTGTGTTTGGTGACAGGCCTATCATTTCCGCCTCTGCCGTACGGGACTCCGTTATGACGCTGTATGGCAACCTCCCAGCCTGTTTCAAAGAGTTCCCTGAGGTCACGTGTGATCCTTCAAGGTAAGCCCATGAGTCGACGAGTATAGGCCCAAAACCATTGACGCGTGCTAGCGATCGTTACGGTTTCCAGGCCGCAAATATCACTGCCACTGTCCAGCTACTTCGAATGATGTTGTTTGCATCGGGCGGCGGCACGATTGAAGAACGTTGCAAGATCGCGAGTGAGGTAGTAGATGCTTTCACACGCATTCCGGTCGCTTATCTGCGAGCCATCAGTTCGCCGCTCCTTCATCATCTCGCTGGAATCGGCGCAATTCTGGGTAGCGTCCTAGAAGAGCCACTGGGCGATATCGCCTATCAGCAAGTGCGAGTTGTACTTCTGTCACTTGCGCAACTTCTGGAGAATCTTGATCACGGCATTCATTCAGCCATTAGTGCGCAGCGGCTGCGGGACTTGGTGGCGCAGATCGATGGCTACTGGGATCAGCTACACATTCGGCGTGCACCTGATTCGCAGGTTCAGGCAACAGACCAAGATTACTATGCCTCACAACATTCAGACGCCCCAAGAACGATACCTTCTCGGTTGACCACCAGCTTTTTCGACGACTGGCCGTGGAATCTGGACCTGATGCAGGTAGCGGAGAACTGGTCCTCTACCGATCTGCCACTGGACGTCTGATGGTGGTTGTCCCTGGCAGGGTTTGGCTTCTCATGCATTGCTTGTGCTATCACGAGGCCTTTCTTGACGGGATCTGCGTCAAGTATAAGTCATGAGGACTTGGAGACCTAACGTCTAATGCGTTTGCTTGTTGCTTTACTTCAGCATCCAAGTGTTGCAAAGAGGTAAATCGAAAAGAAATTCATGCCATTACTTGGCCGGCCATTCATTCCAGATTTTCATGTCTTCCTCACAGTCAATCAAGGCCTTTCCGTCTTGAATGATGATTACTTTGTCGCCAACTATTGCCCCAGGGTCCATCCATTGGAGATGCTGTAGCGCCTCGCTTGTCAGAAAGGCCCGCTCGTCTGGGAGGATGACCTTTTGATGATAGTAGTCAGACTTGGAGGTTGACTTGAGGTCTGGCCCACGCCCGAAAACCATTTCTGCGGCGCCATCCCATTCGAGAATATTCACAGTAGATGGCACCGTGACACCAGGCGCTATGCTAGGGTTGTGGATCTAAGAAGATGGTCAGCATGCAATATTCACGGCGGTTGATGGGAGACACAGCGCAGGAACAAAAGGACACCTGTTAATTCCCGTAGTGCTTCGCATTGTAGGAGGGCACATACCTGAGCATAAAACGTAACGCCATTTTCCAAAGCCCACGGCGTTACCTTGGCCCCATGCTTGAGCCAGTGTGCCGAGAATTGCTCCTTGGTATAAGATGCTCTCCGTTTCAGTAATGCCTGTCGTGGGCTCGACATGATTGCTTACGACTCTAATTCTTGTAAATGCCTGCCCAAAACGCACAAAGTCGATGGATCTACAACTATATGCGCAATTGTAGGCCACCGTGGCTAATTGTTTGTTGTGCCTGATTGCATTGCACTAGTGCTGACAAGGTGGTTGGTCATCGACCGGTTGGTCGAACTTTTAGTTTTCTGATATGTGCAAAGAATGGCATGCGGGTGAGTTGTGGCGATACGAAAGACCAGCAGTGTAGCGGCCCACGCTTGATGATAGATGGTCCAATACAAGTGCACATGATGGTTGTCAAGGTAGAGTGGATGAACACACAGGGAAAGAGACGTAATATCTGACTGCAATTGACTACTGCAAATAGTCTACAGCCTCGATCTGAGGACACTGAGCCGATGACATTGTTGGTGAGTGTGTTCTCCCATCAAGTCTCTCACAAGTTGGGCAACTGTGAGTATTCGACAAGAAAGAGGATGGATACGCAAAGGTTAGAAGGAATGGCCATCAGACGCAACTTGCTCGCGCGTCGTTATCGGTGTCTTTGATGTAGCCGAGGCAACTGCGGCACACAAGCCACTTTTGCCCGCAACGCGGACTAACAACCTCTGCTTGGGCTTTCGTTCTTATGTCCCAACGTCGATGCACATTGCACATTCGTCGTCCACTTGGGCGGTCAACTGTCGATGACCTGGCTTCACGATCTGCACGATGCTCCGCACTGAGGCAAGCACAATCGGTACTCGTTCTTCGTTCCCAGCACGATGGTTGTGTACGACTCAACCTCGGCAGCTGCTCGGTTAACATGTTGTCCTTTGCGAGTATGCACCCTACCTTTGAATTGACAGTTCTTTGCATTGGCAGGTGGATCTCGGATGCAACAATATCGAATGGTATCTGGAAGCCATTGGCCGTATTTGATAGCCCTTGGTCTGATTTCTCCATGTCTCTCCGCCGCAGGACTTGGCCACTTCATCTCAAATATCCTCTCACAATCAAAGACGGCCGCACGATCCCCACAAAGTCCGGGGTTCCTCGAATGATGCAGCCTTGATCGACGTTCTGTTCACGAAGAAGCCACCAGTTGGGCGTGCAGGCCAATTCTCTTGTGGCATCCGCATCCCTGCTAGCAGCCATGGCATGCATCAACACCATGCGAGGTCGGTGAAAGAGCCCTTCCTTATGACTTGCCTCACGGTCATACGCGCCGATGGCGGAGTTTCATTCCGTCTCCATGCCTGTTGTACACAATACACGACTTTGGATCCCATCGGGCTTGGCCACCGATGAAATTTGGACGGCACTGCAGAATCTCGCCCCAGACAGTCCGTTGATGCAAATTCATGGACACCCCGCATTTTGACAGTCCGAGGGTCGTCGCTACAAAAGGACCCATGCCCCCAGCTTCCAGACTTTCTGCTCAAAGCAAATTCCTTGCAAAGCTCCGAAACACCGGAAACTATGGAGAAGCAAGTTGTGGCAGAGAAGGACCAACGTCAGGAACCCGGGGATTTGCTCCATCTCGAGAAATCCGGATTAGGCGACCACGCCGGTCTCGATGACTCCAATGTACCTTCATCTTTCGGATCTCAAAGCCACTGACTGACCTCAATCAGCTCCCTCGATACGATGACAAGGAAACGAAGCGTATTCTGCGCAAGGTCGACTATCGGCTTCTTCCAATGCTGACCTTGTTGTATGTCCTCGCATTCTTGGATCGTGGGAACATTGGCAATGCAAAAGTTGCTGGCATGAACAAAGAGCTCAAACTCACGGGCACCCAATACAACATCGCCTTGACGGTACATGGCCCAATTTCGCGAACTCATGCGCACACTAATGGCACCGCCCTTTAGGTCTTCTTCTTTCCCTACAGTATCTTTGAAGTGCCCAGCAACATTGTTCTCAAACTCATGCGGCCATCTCTGTGGATCACCATTCTCATGCTGAGCTGGGGCGTGGTACGTCCAACGTGGAAACTCATCTCATCCAGCCACCTGACTTCTCTAGGTTATGACTCTTCAAGGGATCGTCCAAAACTACCACGGCCTCATCATCACCAGAACACTCCTGGGGTTGACTGAATCAGGTTTCTTCCCTGCCGCAACCTATCTGTTGACAACGTGAGTATCCCTGCTTGGTGGTAACAACGATCTCAAAGATTTCTCCTCCCAGCAAGTCATTGTACTGACTGTTCTGTCTCTGCAGATGGTACTGTCGGTTCGAAGTGCAAACTCGCTTGTCAATTTTCTTTTCTGCAGCGTCCATGGCCGGCGCATTCTCCGGCCTCCTCGCCTTTGCCATTGAGAAGATGGATGGCGTCGCAGGTATTTTTGTCCCATCCCACTTCGACTCAATTTGCATCGTTGTCCATCACACCTGACTATTGACAGGCCTTGGGGGCTGGCGTTGGATCTTCATCCTGGAAGGCATATTCACTGTTGTCATCGGTATCTCGCTGCATTGGACACTCCCTGACTCTCCAGAATCGGCAAGCTTCTTGACACCTGGCGAGAGCGAGTTTATCATACGCCGCCTCAGGCAAGATGCAGGCACATCAGCTGGTCAAGTTCGCACAAACGACGGCTTCCAATGGCGTTATCTCCGTGCCGCCCTCAGCGACTGGAAGATCTATTTTGCCGTCATCATTTACTGGGGTAATTCCATCTGCCTGTATGGTTTTACGTACTCCGCACCCACCATCATTCTCGGCCTTGGTTACACCGCTGCAGACGCGCAACTACTTACTATCCCTATCTACGTTGTCGGTGTATGCAGTACGATCTTCTTCTCTGTGCTTGCGGATCGACATCAAACTCGTTGGCCTTTCATCGTTATTCCGTTCAGTATTGCCCTTGTTGGGTTCATCGGCTTGCTGTCGATCCCGCATCCGAAATTGCCAGGACTTACATATGCCTTTTTGTTCACCATCCCTGGCGGTGTCTACCCGCCACTTATTGGTTGTCTGTCATGGGTCGCCAATAATCTTGCACCAACCTGGAAGAGAGCGGTCGGTATGGCGGTGCTCATCAGCATTGGGAATGTGAGTCTTCCTGCCTATCTCTTCTGCGCCGGTGTTGCTCGGTCAATCCAGCGCCAAAGACTTTGACACCTCTAGCACCCGATGCTAACGTTACGATTGCTAGATGGGCGGCGCGATTGGCTCCAATATCTTCCTTGCTCAACAGGAGCCGCATTATTGGCTCGGTTACGGTCTTGCACTGGGTATGGTTTTAGCGGCTATCATCGCTACCTTCGTTCTCCGGATTGCGTATGGTAGACTCAACAAGAAAAGAGATCAAATGAGTGAGGAGGAGATTCGTGCCAAGTATACAGAGGGTAAGTCATGGCCGCATCTATGCTGAGAGAGCTCAAGGACTAATGAGTTGTTTGGCAGAGGAACTACTCGATCTCGGCGACAAATCACCCCTGTATCGATACGTACTTTGACCACAGGATACTTCGCTCAAAGTTCGGTCTTCCCGCCAGTAGCCTTTGTTGAGGGCAACTCAGCTTCCTCAGAGATGTCTGGCTCATTACCTTGAAGCAATTCAACGTTTACACGAGGTCCCACATAGACTCGTCGGCCCCAAGCGTACCAATAGCACACGGCAAAGATAAAAGTGGCGCCGAGTAAGAGACAAGCATAATTCATCTGTTCACGTTAGCACCCGGAGAGGCTGAGCTCTGGAAGGGGAGTTCTTACATTGACAGCAGTGACTGGCCTGTACTCAGGGAAGACGAAGATAATGCTGGCGAAAGCTGTCCAAATGACTGCCCACAGGTTGATCCATTTGCTGTACCTACCTAGGTGAAAGGGGCCCGGCTCGAATTTTCCATAGCGCAGCTTGCAGATGATCGGGATACAATATGACCAGTCATATGCGATTGCGGTAATGCTGAAGATGGCCGCAATGGCGGTGTAAGACCCTAGGGCGATGAGGTTGATGACGATACATGAGATGGTAATCAGCCAGACCGAATTGATTGGCGTGCCCGTGGTCCGATTGATCTTGGTCCAGAACCGAGAGAATGGCACCATCTCATCGCGGGCGACAGCCCAAAAGGCCCTCGCTGCACCTTGCAACCCCGTCATTCCAGTGAAGTTGAGAATGATTGCAGCACAGACCGTGAAGAAGCAACCAGCTCGCCTGCCGAGGACGTTGTAGAAGATTTGAGCCACGGGCTGCTCGATAGGTGAATCCAAGAGTTGCGCAATGTCGCCGGAGCAATAGGTCAACACTATAGTGAACAGCCAGCCGGCCACGTAGGTGAAGCCCAAGGCGATCGTGATAGCCCAAGGCGCCTTGATCTCTGGGTTCTTGATCTCTTCTGCGATGTGGGCGGTAGCGTCGTAGTCGGTCATCGTCCATGAGACTGACAGAAACCCGAAGAGGAATGAAAACCCGGCGGGTGTCCATCCGCTCTCTGGAGTGACATTTGTCCATACGTACGACGAACTGTGCTTGTTCTTGTCCACGGCCAGTAGAGCGATGCAGCAACTGACGAGAACGGCCACATGAAAGACAACGTATGTCCTCGTCATCTTTTCCAGCCAACCGGTCGACAGACTGTTGAGCGTGCCGTGAAACAGCAACATGCCCGCCATGACACCGACCGTCTGGTTCGTTGTCGGTATGTATGAAAAATCCATGTTCATCGAGACAGCGGCCAAGATCAGTTGAGCCGTCCCGTACTCGGTCGATGCCAGCCCAGCAATCTGTCCAATAACAGTCAACCAGCCACAAAGCCAGCTGATCTCTGGAACCCATGCTTCAGGAGCAAGGTACTTGCACGTAAAATACATGCCTCCAGATGTAGGATACGCAGAGACAATCTCAGAGACCGACAATGTTATGCACATACAACCAGCACCAGAAATAAGCCAGGACCACACCGCGGACGCGGCACCGCCTCCAACCAGGGGATAGATATATGTAGTGGCTACACTTGCGTAGAGACCACCAACTGAGAGTGCGAAAGAAATACAAGACATCCATGAGAATTCTCGCTTGTAGACCTTGCAGCAGGAGTCAGCATATTGAAAGCAAGATTGGTAAGTGGGAACATGGTATGTATGATCGTACCTGCTGATAGCCCATTTGTGCAAGCTTTCGATCGGCCTCACTCAGCTCATGCCCTTCGACTAATGCTATCCTAGCTTTCATGGCCCGGTCTAAAGCAGCTTGGTTGACGGATGACTTTCTCTTTTCCCTCATCGTCTGGAGCCTCTCGGCCTGCGACTCTCCGATAGATGACCTTCTTCTGGTCTCCATGATGGGTGATGCTCGGATGTGTAGTGTAGTGATTGAGCGTGGTCCTCTAGGTCTCTTACTCTGTTTATGTATGCAGTGCAGTCAAGATGATGGTCGATGGGCAGCAATCAATTGCTTTATACGAAACATCTGCATCGTCCGTACTAGGCATACAGGTCCAGACTGAGCGATAAGCTTTTACGTGGAATGCTTCTAAAGCTTGTGAAGGATGCCGTGAAGCTTGTCGCCACGCCTATCAAAGATCACCAGTATCACACCATGTTTTGTATTCGAGGATAAAGATCATCGCTTATTCTGCGTCCTTATCAGAACCCTTGTAATACTCCATGGAAAAGGTGGACAGGCTTACCGACGGCTCAAGCCAATAAGACCCCTAAGCGGCATTTTCAGCCCTGCACAACAGCAGCGATTTGTACCACAATTCATTACGATTACCAAACCTGGCCTGTCAAAGGCAACCTGGCGGCAGAGCGTATCTCACCCAACTTGGTGACTTCGCGCGCTGGGAGCCAGGCCAGTCGCAACCAGGGATCGAATCTGTCACCAGATGTTCCTGCAAGCCTCAGGCCACAGATGAACCTAAATGGCCAATCTCCCGTTCGTGGTCTGAGTGGCTGCCAGGGACTCTCACTAGGGTAAAAACGGGAGGGGCTGGAGGTACCTCTCGTGGTTCTGATGGTCATAGTCCATCCTGAAACAGTGACGATCAGGCGTCGAAGACTAGATTTAGGGACAAGCTGCGAAATGGGACAATCGATACGACCAGGCTTCTAGCGCTTCCACGAAAGTACCATTTGCGTGATGGGATACGTTGACAGCAAGTTTTGCATCATTAGATCCACAACTGCACCATCCAGGTAACATGTTGAAACTGCGTGAGGCGATTCGAGATCAGCCATGGGACCGTCTCGCCATTGTTCATTGGCAAGGGGTCTTGTTTTGTGTCGCGACTGGTAGAACTTATACCCCACGGGGACTTGATGGGGAAGCTCGGTTGCTGCGCGGAAGGTTGGCACGCAATATACTTAGTGACGGCCTCGCTCAAGTCACTAACTTACCACCTGGATTCGCCGGTCATAGGATGAAGAAATCAATGGAATGACAAGCCTGTCCTTATTGATTGTGCCTTGTCCGATACCGGAAGAACGCCTAACTACCTGGGATAACGACTCAAGCGTGAGGACGTCTATATCGAGGATTCCAAAGCAGAAATCACCATCAGACAGGTCTAGTAATGGCGTGGTCCATATATCTCCAAACATGTCCTCCTGCTTGAATGTTGCCAACTTCAGAAAATGTCATGAAGAGAATTGGTTCTGCATGTTCTCCTAACGTAAGCGTCCGGGTCAACTCCCCCATATGTGATCGCTCATGATCGGACCATCTAAGATGCTGAGAAAAATTGACCATCAAGAGGTGATGTGCAGGAAAAGGTGGTGAGACCAGGAGATCCATTTGCAAAGGATTCGATGATAAGCGTGATTGAGGCGTACGCGCCAAGTCCACCAAGAGCCAGAGCACCAAGGAAGTAAATGATGTTCCAGAACATCACCGCCTTTTCGAACAGGGTTCCACCAGTGAAGCCACGAATGAATCGCTTGATACCAGTGTCGTGGCGGACAATCCTGCCGGTAGCCTCGTCGTAGCCTTCGCCAGGCTGGATAGCATTGACCATCGACTTTGCACCGATATAAAGGAATGGTGGAAGGGAGTAGGTGAACTGGATGATACAGATTGCGCCGACCACACCAACAAGAGCGTTGAAGTTGGGAATGACCGCGCCGATCACAAACGCAAGGGCCCAGTAGACCGGGATAAGGATAACCCAGACGATTTTTCCAGACTTTTTAGTCAAGGCGGGCATCTTGAATAGCTCGACGCCCACGTTCATATAAATGACTGGCTCCATTAGCGCATGAATGATTTGGAGCTACAAAGACCACTTACCCTTGAGACCAATATTTCCGTAAAGTACGGCAGCAATTGTACCGGAGATAATGTACAAGATGTTTGCAATCTGTGTTGTTCGTTAAATAGCGCATCGCGGATAATGGGCAAAACCACTTACAACCAAAGCCCAGTAAGGACTGACAGTCTGAGGACTTGGACTGATAGAATATTGTCCTTGGTATCCGTACAAGAAGAGTCCATAAAACATGTAGACAAACCTGTGACAGGGTTAGCTAGTTTTCCATAACCCAGGCCAGTAAGGCGAACCAAATGAAGAATTGCGAGATCCACATAGCTTTCAAGAAGTCTGCCGGACGTCTCATTTCGGCCATGAAGTTGGTGAAGATGTTTGCACCACCATAGGCGAAAACTGTGTTCATGATACCGTTGAGTGCGCCAACGAAACTTCCGGTGTTTGGAATGTTGGTGCTGTGCATGACTGGTGGATAGACACCGTTGACTGGGGTGATTCCTTCACCAAGTGATGCACCAGCGCTAAGGACACCAGCAGCTGTGTAGTTTGGTGCGGAATGAGCGGCAACTGCCATTGTAATGATCATGATGAAGACGTTCATAAAGACAGCCAGATTGGCGAGAAATCCGAATTTCTGGAGAGTTCTGATTTGGCCAAGCACCATACCAACAATAACGAGGATGATCACACAGACGACGTAGCAGAGCTTGAATTTGGCCACGATTGAGAGAGCCAGTCCGTTGGAAATCGTGATCAGCGCGACAGTCAGAATAAGTTGTATGGATTGCAGAATGTTGATCGGGATACGTGCAGCTTGGCCGTAGCTGAACTTTGTCAGCATATAATTCGCACAGGCGTTGATAAACCTACATTCGATAAGCCAAGTCACCGTAAGTCAGAGCCGGGTATCTGAAGCTGTCGGTCCACATGAACATTTTCCATTCAAGGTAACCCGAATATCCAGCCAGTACAGCGAACATGGTGAAAAGAACAATACCTGGACTGTGTGATGGTCAGCCAAGGCAGGCGCATTAAGAATGGCAGAACTCACGCCCAGCCGACAGTAGCGAAGGAGTAGGCAAGTCCAAAAGGTCCGAGAATGTCGGTGGTGATAAGGTAGAAGCAGGCCGCACCACTGGCCTGACGAATAGCTCTCTGGGCATTCATCCACTCTTCGTCGCTGACTGCGATACGGGTGGGCGCTGCCTCGCCGTCTTTCTTCTCTCCCATACCGAGTGTGGCACTGTCGCGTCGCGTAGCAGTTGTGTCATAATCATGGTGTTGTGTTTTCTTGCTAGGCCAGAGGACACCAAGCCAGCCAATCTTGGGGTCGTTGGCTGTCATTTGGTCTTGCTCGATGCGTGTTTGTTTCGCATAGTGAAGGTACCTGATGATTGTTAGTGGAGGACGAACTAGGGAGGCTCCGATTCAACGCACTGATCAAACGTGACACTGGGATCGCGAATGCCGAGTAGTTGTGGACGAGAGAAAGAGCCAATTCCCTGTCCACTGAGACTACCGTGCCTGGCGGTCGCATCTCCATTGATGCTCAGGCGAGGATCGCCACCATCTTGTGCGAGATTCGCCATGGTGAGTGATGCTGGTAAGTAAATTTGGAGAAGGAAATTCGCAGAGAAGAAGTGAGGGGGAGAAAACAGTCTTATCTTTCAACATGCGAAGAGCTAAAACATGATGCGAGTACGCCATGTGCGCGACAGGCCAGGGGTTGTTCAACCGAGGTGGTGATGTAGTATTCGTCGCTACCTGGGAACCACAGATGGTGGTGTGAGAAGGTAGATCGTCGCTTGGATTGGCTTTGACCCGGCAGACGGCGTCTCCGTCCTTCCTATCCGGGGTTCACTGGGACATTGCACAAGCTTTCTCTTCCGTGCTACTTTTGAGCTTATCATGGAAAGTGCCCGCATCTGCGCCACTTTCAACATTTATTGGTTCGCCCCTGCCCGCTTCCCCATGGTCATTGCAGATATGGAGCCCTGTCCGATAACGATCTGATCAATCAAAATGCTTGATCTGGATGTGATCGAAGCTCTGGAAATAACAGGGTTGCATCGAAAGTATTTTGGTGACATCAACAATAACTTACACCTCGCAAGCTTGAGCCAATGGTAAGCGAGGTGATGTTTGCTCAGATCATCATTTGTTCACAGCATTCAGCCTCTCGAATTGATCATTGATGACCATGTCTTGTGCAGCCACGAGCAACAGACAGAGTTCGTGCGGCTGAGTAGTATCAGTCTTCATGTTTAGAAACATCGCATATCATCGGCTTGATGACGATTTGAAGTCCCTATGGTAGCACACGACATGTTTAATCTTTCGTGGCGGTGATAAGCAAAAGCTTGAAAAGCTTATGTTGTTATCTTTTGACCAGCTCCACTGCCTAGAGTAACATCACCTTCAATGTATGTTAGAACTCGTCGTCCTGATTTTGAGATAAGAACTTGAATCTAAGACACGTCAGCTTCTCTCAAGAAACCCTATTGTCGAGTGGTTGTCCTTTGCCTAAAGTCGTGAAGACCACATCGCTATCGAGGGCTATCCACGGCTACTCCGACAATGAAGATCCGCTGTATGCATTATGCGAACCTAAATCGCATGTCCCTCCCACCCCTGGATGTTCTGGAATTATTCTAGTCTTGAAAGTGATGCTTCTCCGTTCTTCGTTAGCACCCTAATCTCGGCGTATGCCGTAATAGGAAGTATCCCTGTCCTAAATTGCACACTACTGATCCTACAACTATCAAGGGTATTGCGAACTGCGAAGAGGCACAGAGCACTTTCCTTTTGTTGACTGATCGTAGTGTGCAGAGTAGCAGCAATCCATAGAGCTAGACATAAGCAATCATTTTCTTGCGATTCGTGTGGTTTGCCACGGATACAACGCTTCCCCAGGCTCAACTTCAGCCTGGGCCTCGTCGATTGAACAGGATGACTTCGCTCACGCTCCACCACTGCCCCTAAATCATCATAGTCCACCCATTGGTAAACGTCGACAGGGAGCTGCAGCAGCTGAATCCCACAATCAACTTTAGAACCAGTCACTTGGTAGGTACATCTGGGCAATGAAGAGTGTCTCCCAAACAACCCACAGTCCCTCTTCATCCACCTCTCCGGATCTTGTGTGGCTTGCGGCCTCAATAGCAATGCACTTGCCTTTCGGATCCGGCACCGTGCCAAGATCTTTCTTTATGGAGCAGGTGGTACTGGTGTGAAGTATAGTCTCACCATTCTTGAGGCTAAGATTGTTGGTGCAGATGTCCACGGCTAGGGTAATACCATAGTGGCTGGCGTGTGCAAGTACTCCGGCTTTCCTCATTTCTTTTGTCCAGCCATGAACGGGCATGGGCCCAAATCCACGCGATTACGGGCATCTTCGAATACATGCAATGCGTGCGCGGTCCTGCTCGATAGTATCTGCGTGTAGTATCCCAGAGCTTTTCGATGTACACCGGGAAATCGACTCTCCACCTTACGACCGGGGGAATAACACTACAAGGACATTCGTCAGCAATGCTATGCACCAGAAGCAATCTACAACCAGCCCTGCCAGTGGGCGGCCGGGGTTGCCGTCCGGTAGATGCCTTGTTACATTGAGTGAAAGCTTTCTAGGGGCACTCTGATGATCCCACATGGATGGGCTTGGGCCAACATGGGGTAGAACAACCACGAGATTTCGATGTGTGGCCAGCAGATGAAGCCAGCTAAATCTGCCTGGAGCCACACGACTAACGCTGTCGGTGTATGGACCATGAACTGCCAGCCTAACGACCTGTGACCACCAATCACACCGTGCAAGAACATACCATTTTGCCTTATAATTGAACAGCTTAGGACGTGAATGAGCACTTTTGCGTCCGATTAGGATTATTCAGACAGCCAAGATGGCTTGTAATCCCTCCAACGCGGTCTTGTTCCATGAACGACGAGACCGCAACGTCACGGCAGTAGGTCAAAACAATCTATTGACACAACATAGCAACACATGCGGATGCGGCTAGTCAGCCAGCCATTGCGAGGCCTTGCCTACAATCCCACCACATCGTTGAATCCTCTCGAACAGGTTCGAGTATCGGCTCTGATCAATCCCTCACTCAACGTTGTCAAAATGATCAAAACCACTGTAACGAATGGGCTGGTGATCGTGATCTAACGACCAATGAATCATAAAAGTCAATATTGGATCAAACATGGACACGTCTGACTGTGATGTCACTCCTCCTTGTTGTTGGGCTTCCATATTCCGAACACCATGCCGTCTGGTACCCTTTTCCATTGTCCAGAATCTGGATGGATTAATTCCTCAACGTCCTCGACGGCCTTTCGGATGATTGCTGTTCTTTCAGGACTTCTCGGCACAATATTGATTGGATAGGCCTTGGGATGAACCGTTATACCACCAATTAAATCATCGATGTTGGGAGTGATAGGGTTTCCAGCCTTATCAAGGGCCTTGTTGAGGTTAAAACCCCACAGGATCCTGGACATACCCAGGAAGAGAGATCGTTCAGCAATGTGGATACCCTGACAAAGACGGCGTCCTGCGCCAAAGTTGAAATTATCGCGTCTCAGTGGCTCACCATTTGCGGACTCGTAGAGCGTGGTGTCGTCTCCTTGAAATCTATCTGGGTTGAATCGACGCGGCTCTGGGGATCTCTCAGGATCCATGTGAATGCCCCTGTCAAAACGAGTCAGCTTCTCAACCCTTGTCTTGAACGTCCCTGCTTTCAAACACACCAAACGTTGTTGATGATTGTGGCTCCTTTTGGAATCTTCCAGCCGTTATAGTAATCATCCCTTGTAACACTGTGAGGCACTCCCATAATGACAGTGGGCATCCACCGGAGAGTTTCCTTCACACAGCAACGGATATAGTCAAGGTTAGTGTAATCATCGACGTCTGGTAAACGATTAGGTCCCACAACACGATCAATCTCATCCTGAGCCTTTCTCTGGACCTCTGGAAAGACCATCATCGCTTGAATGAAGGCATACATTGTCGAGGACGTGGTATCGGAACCGCCCTCAAGTAGTGATCCAACGATATAGCCTACTGCTTCATCCGACAAACTCTTTTTGGTCTGTCGGCTCTGAGATTTCTAGGAGACCTCGACTCTTGTCTGGACTTTAATTCATATCTTACGTTGTTGCTGTTGTAGTTGCATGGAAAGTCGAACCACTTTACGCGTCCATACAAAATCGCGAAATTTGTATGGGGCCGCGACTAGCCCTACCTTCTACTATAAACAGCTCGACTAGCAGACCAGTTCATAAGAAGAGTTGTGTAAGACACTAAAAGGTCTTGTAAATGATCAAACTGCATAGCGACCTGCTTTGGCTAATTCACTACCTTTATCCCCGGGCCAGAATTTCAGTATTGGAGATCCACGACGGAAGAGCATTCTCTCTCAATCAACTGCGCATGTTTCTCGCTACGAACTTTGATGTTTACGGCGAAAGGCGCTTTCCCTCCAGCTAGCTGAGGAATTCTCAAGGTGTCGATTGGGTGTCCCTACTCAACAAGATTAGCTGTCGATTCGAGTGATACCCTTCACTGAAGACCTACCGGGACTTCTTCAAAGTCAAAGCAATACAGCAGCCTCGAGATAGCTATAAACACGTTGGCCTCGCCTACGTGCCAACCGGTGCACACTCTTCGGCCTGCAGAGTTTGAAAAAGTAAGCATGAGCTCGAAGAGCGGGAAACTTTTCGGGAGCCGACTTACCGGGCCCAAAGGACCAGTGCCCTTTCAGTGGATTGTTCAGATCTTCGTTCAAGAAGCGCTCTGGATAGAACCTTTCAGGTTCAATATACTCGTTCGGGCTCAATGCGATGGCCCACGCATTCCAAGTAAAAACGGTGCCGGCGGGAAACTTGTAGCCTTCGTACTCGTCATCTTTAATAAGGGTTGTTGGGGTTCCAATCTCTGCAATGTTGGGCCGCCACCGAAAGCCCTCTTTGACGACGGCAGTGATATATGGTAATCTTGCACGGTCTCCAAAGCCTGGAAGTCTTTGTGGATCGGCGCCGCACACCGCATCCAGTTCTGCGCGAGCCTTTGGTACCCAATCTGGATATGTGCATGCGGCTGCGATGATTTGGCTGACAGAGACCTTTGAAGTGTCACTGCCAGCCTCCATCAAGCTGCCAAGGACGAAAAGACGCTGGGTTTCGTTAATATCGGGCTCTTTTTCACATTGCTCCAGGAACTGAACAGCGAAGCAGTCTCTTTGTTTTCCGTCTGCCAATTTCTGATTGATGTTTCTGACCTCGTCTGCGTAGACTCTGTAAAATGGTTAACTTCTTCCAGCAGTATTCCGTGGTTCACGGTGGGATCTTACTTTCGAGTCTTGTGGAACAGTCGGAGTCCACGAGGCCTCCACCATTGTAAAAAGGTTGGCAGTTTGGCTAAGACAGGATATCCATCGACCAAATTCGCCCCGGGCTGTACGTTCGACAGGAAGTCCTCGATAGTCTCAAAGAGTTTCTCTGTGGCAGGTTCGCCCAATTGGGACCGCCGACCAAACACCACGCTCATGATGACGGAATTCGCAAACCGTCCATTGGCGGTATACCACTTATCAGGATTGTGAAGGTAGTCCCAGAGTAAATGTCGAGATTCGGTGTCTTGAAATGGCTTATATACCTCGGTCTGGCGTGAATTGAGGATAGAATGCATGATTTTGCGCAGTTTTCGCCAGTGGTCGTTATAGCCCATCATCACAATCCGCGAGCCTCCTGAGATGATGTCTTGGGTCATGGGCCATTCGGGTCGAGAACTGTATATAGCTGATCGACGTTCCATCAAGTCGTTGACAACCCGTGAAGAGTTTAGAAATACCCATGTCTGAGAGCCGAATTTGCACGTAAACCTGTGGTAGGTTAGTGAACTTGAATTCAGTTTGGCAATGGCGTCTTTCTCACATTTCGCCATACTTTTCAGCCAAGTCTTTGGCCCAGGGTCCTTGCTGTGTCGGAGGAATCTGGAAAGTGTTCCCAAAGAAAGGGATCCCGGGCACTCGAGGGGGCAGCTTGTATTTGCGGTTCCAGATGATGCTGGCAATGAGCCGTTGGCCAACAAAAAGAGCCAAGGCGGCGCCCAACAGCAACCATGAAGGAGACGGCATTTCAGGAATCGTAAGGAAATTGCTTGCTTGGCTGAACATGACCTGACAACATTTCACACAGATATTTGTGAGTATATCTCTTTGCAAAAGCTCGTGGGGTCTTTAAGAGCAGGTCCTTCCCCACATTCTGGTGGCATAGGCACAGGATTGCTGGTCTGCGCACTTGAATTCCCCCACCACACCAGAAGTGTGCACCCGGAGCACCCCAGGACGGCCCCAGCACTATCCGAATTGCTCTTGGCTGCATAAACCCCAGATGCGTTTCCGAACCGTGAGGGGCAGGCAAAAGTGATCGTTTCTACCCAGGCGTGCCAGGGTCCGCAACATGAAATATATTTTTTGGCACCGTTCCTGCCTACTCGTGTCCTTTCCGGATTCACGTCACTAAGGATCGAGCGAACAACTTTCGCCCAGCATGCTGCTGCAGGGAGTCATTTCGCCAGCCGAGAAGACATGCTTTGGATAACATAGTGTGATAGTGGTTGGCGCCGGCACGGTGGGCTTTTTCCCGACATTGAAAATGGCCAGAAAGGGAATTGATGTTCTCGTGGTCGACATTGAGAAGGACATCTGTTCAGAGTCCCAGGGCTGCAGCGTAAGTCATCGTCATATGCTATCCAATAAGCGAGCGTACCACTAATCATGTGGCCAGTTTTTGCCTATCGTTATTGTCCACGAGCAAGAGGGTATTTGAGTGATCGAAGCACAGGAAGTGGCCATAAAAACCACGAAGGAATTTTATTTCGTTTACATTACAGCAAAGGCGACAAGGTCGTGGCGCGGGGGGATATGGGACAATTACCAGGTACCCAAGGGTGAGTAGGGATTATGACTACGCCGCCGTACACTTGGGACGGCACGTGACCGCATTAATCATCTTGGAATCACTTGCGCTTGCTTCCGATTTCCAGGATTGCTTGAAGTCACCGACTCGCCGCAGCCACGCAATCAGACGATGGCACAGTCGATCTGGTTTGTGTGATTCCCTTGGAGAGAAATCTTCCGGTTGCGGCTCTCGATTGGCGCCGGAGAGGGCAGTTCCGTTCGATGGTCGTTATGTCTCCCATTCAAGGCCTTTACCTGGTCCGATTCCGCGTTCGTAGCCACTCAACATCACCTACGATCTCGAGGCCTTTGAGGGATGGGCCACAGCCAACATGGTCATCGACTCCGTGGTTCTTGCGACGCGTTTGGCAGGCATCTTTCATTGAGAGAGACGCCGAGCCAGAAGCTTTACTAACGCAATATGCCGAGGAGCGGAAGAAAGCCTGGGTCGACTTTACTAACCCTGAGTCAATCCAATTCAACCTCAGTATCCATTCCGAGCACCCGGACATTGTGAAGCAACGGGAAGACTTCCATCATGCGCTCAACACGGATAAAACTATGGCGCTTGGCGTGGCGCAAAGGATGAATACCTTTATGGAAGTTACGTAGACGAACGTGAGGTGAATCGAGCAATATCGTCTGTCGCTTTGAGATCAATACAAATAGTAGAAGACGGACGAGTTTGCTTAAAGACGACAAGACAGCCGAGAACCATCCGTAGGTCTAGCAGTCCATTATGCCTCAGAGACTGTGTAAAACAATCTCCAGTACTCGAAAGTAGTAATCACATAATATTCTAATAGCTCTAAATTGTGAAGTCAGTGCACACTATTAATTAGAAGGGGAACGCCCGGAGGTCAGTTCCCCGGACTGGTTTGTGCTCAAACCAGAAGTCAAATGGAGCTTAGCGTGCTCGAGTCCTCGAGGGGTCGCCCTGACTAGGAGTCAAGGGCGAATCAAGCATGCTTACGATAAAACTTTGCTGCATTTCCAAGGGCGAGTAGCGGGGTAAAAACGGGCACGTGAACGGGTCATCACTGAAATGTAGGTGGCAATCAGGATCGATTGAGTAGTGAGCAAGGCCCTGCCAAAGTGACCCAAAGTCTTCCACTAATCTCCAGGACCGGGTTTGTCAACCTCATTGAGCCCATTCACAATCGACACTGAAATCTCGCCGCCACCACATTACTTTTCCATGTACCCAATATTGACCGCTTTACACCAGCACAATGAGCGCCGCCTGACTGATGACTGATGACTGCTGAGTGCTCTAAGTCTGCACAAATTGATCGGGCCGCCAGAGATTCATTGACACTCATCCGCACCACGAGCGCGCGACTTCTTTGGTGGCATGTCATGTTCGGTGTAGTCTAGCAACCCTCTCATCACTACCACAAGATGACAGCACCTGAAGGCGGCAAATGTGCTACAATCGTCTTCGATAAGCCACCGGCGGCAGATCGCAAGTTCCCTTGCAAAGTCTGCTCCAAGGTTTTCAAGCGCAGTGAGCACCGTCTTCGTCACGAACGCGCCCACACCCAGGAGAAACCTTTTCATTGCAGATACTGTCACAAACGATACTCCCGCAGAGATCTGGTTGTGCGGCACGAAAGAACTTTGCATTCTTCCAAGTATACGCCAAAAGCCAACGCGAGCCGAGATGGTGAACGTGACAAAAGTCCCTCAAAATCGGAGTCGAATCCTGTTGAACAAAATGACAACGTACCCGCCGACATTGAGGCAAACTCGACCAAGGCCGGCAGCCTCACCCACGACGGTGATCCTGACATCGTCGCTTCAATCTCTGGCTGCAATGAGCCCGTGCTGCAGTTTCCTCCAGATTCAAATCCTTCAGCCGCTAACCAGCACTTCCACGTTGGTCTCAAGGAGGCCACGGCACTTGCAGCCAGCAACCCGACAACAGACGCTTATCCAACCAGTGCAACTGGCCACGATGATACTAACATGTATGCCCTGTTTGGTGACTCGGCCAACGTCAACACCCAGTCCGGTCTGCCGCCTCCGATGCAGCGGATAGACAATTCGCACGAGGAGCTACCGAACCAGCCAAGTGTCGACGTCTTTCCATTGCACGATATCATCTTTCCGGACCTGGACCTCTTTGACCCTTTTCGAGGCCTTGTCCATGGCACACCGGACTTTTATGGCCTCCACGACGACTTGGGGCCGCTGGGAGCCTGCTCGCCGCTGCCCCAACCAAAAGAAATCGCGCCGCAACCTACGTTCTTCCATGGTCAAGTTCCTGGGCCGGTTGGCGACATTGCGTCATCCCATCCGCAGTCGTCAATGGCCCTCGCTTCTCTCGGAACGACAATGTTTCCCACGCAATTACAAGCTCAGGTCTTTCCACAGAAGACCAATTGTGTCAACAATTGTCAAGCATCTTTCGCGGAGCAATCACCTGCCTCCACGAGGTCGACAGCCTCGAGCCTTCCAGAAGTAATAAAGACCTCTCAGGTCAAAAGAACTTACTTTGGAATTACTCCACAACACAGAATGGCAATTTACGTGGACTTGACGTCGAGACTGAGTCAAGATGATCTCTGGGGATTTGAACTCCCAGAAGCGCAAACGTTGGAACAATGCTTGCGCAGTTATGCCGATAATTTCCATGTACATCTACCTATCATCCACCTTGCTTCGCTGAATGTTGAGGAAACGCCAAGTCCTTTGGTTCTGATTATGTGCGCCATCGGTTCACTGTATCGGCTGGAGCGCCGGCTCGCAATGGCCCTGTATCGGAAGGCGACACAAGCCTTTACAAAAAGTATGGCCACTTGGCTGGCCACGAATGAGTCCCTGATGGCTATCGATGATTTCACCCCATCACTAGACACAACGACCCATCAAAGTCCGCTTCCTGTTTGGATCATGCAGGCGAGGGTTCTCCTTGGGGTATTTGGCACCCTTAACGGCAATGCAGGTTTGATCAAACGAGCCTTTGGATTGTTGGGGTCTCAGTGGCTGGTGAGGTGCTTTGTTAAATCCGATGATTAGTACTAATCATCATGCAGGATTGTCATTTAATGTTGTCCTCTTTGAGCGTTGGCCAGGAGCCCAGCGACATGACATGGAAGGACTGGGTGCAACGCGAGTCGTCAAAGAGGTTCGTCGACCTTCGTTGTCCGATTAGACCGTGCTGACTTAGCGCGCTAGGATCTTCTACGGCGTGATCATCTTGTCGCATATGCTCAGTACTGCATATGGTCTTTGTCCGGCCTTTTCAGCAGCGCAGATTGCAACCTTGGAAATGCCTGGTGATCAAAATCTCTGGGATTCCTCTTCAGAGAGTCAATGGCTCCTATTGCGCCGTGGTGGACCCCGAAGCACACCGATAAGTCTGGGAGAGGCAGTGTCGAAGCTGATGTACGATAAAACCGCCAAAGAGACCTTGGATGATTCGTGGAAGTGGTCTCCTTTTACGACTGCAGTCGCTTTGTATGCGGTCGCGACACAAATCTGGCATATATCTTCCGCTAAAAACCTCGGGGTAATGCCTGGAGATAACGGACGGCATACAATATTGTCGGGCCCTGGCGACATATTGGAGACCGAAGCCGCTCTGAGCAGGTGCAGACAGCTCTTGATCACCTCGAAAAACGCAAGTGAGGTTCCCTGGAGTGACGAGAATGGACCGCTCCTATTCAACTGCATGGCCGTTCTCCGCGTTGCGTACGGTCGTGCTTGTATGCTCACTGCAACTATGGACCGATTCATCTTGCTCAGGGAAACACGCGGTGAAATCATTGATGCAGTCAAGAAATATCTCTACGTCGATCAGCCTCGCAGCCAAGCAGTCTCTGGCGCAGTTGGGAGATCGATCGAAGGTCTCTTTGTGCCCATCCAGGCAGGATTGCTGTGGACGCGGAAAACCGCCGCGCTGACCTGGTGGGTAGATCATGCCCTTGCGGGATGGGATACTGGTCAGTAACACCTCCACCCATATGACCATGAGGCGACAAGCTAAATGTCTCTAGCTCTCTTCGTTACCCGCTGGGTCCATGCGATTGAACAAGCAGAACGGCGCCGAAATCCGGTTGATGACTTGGAAAGACAGACAGTAAAGGAGGTTCACCGACTGTTAAGAGAAGCTCAAATCCCATGTGCGGGCGGTGATTCTCTGGCTGCTGCAGTAGCAAAATTCTGGGCTCAGTTTTTTACTGATACCTGGGTCTGGGGAGGTGAGTCTTACGCATATGACCATATTGATTCTGCCTTTCCTGTTGGCTTGCTATGGTTGTTTACCAACACTATGCTTGTTTTGGACATGCTAACACGCCTCTTAGTGACTCCACGTATCGGTTTTGTACTACAAGAGCTTGCCAAAGCCTATGAAGAGGAGGCTTCAGCATTTGAGCGACCTAAGGTGTAGGCGACATCATCACGCGGCGGCTGAGCAGGTGCTCTTATTGCAGCCAGCCACAGTCCCGGAAAAGACGCTACAGGATAGCAGGAAAGTGTACTTTTCTCTTCCGATAAAGCACAACCACAGGTGGCGATGACATGCTCTAATCTTCGAAAGTAATGGCAGTTCCATGATGCATGTGATTGAGCGAAGTCTCTGCGTTATATGAACGGTTCTGCGGTCAGGAGCCTTCTTTGTCCCTCGTCAATATCCCTGCTCAGACTGTGACCCATCCAGTGAGGCTGACTTTTCGCTAGGCTATCTTCGAGCTCGACAATCTCGTTGCCTGCAACAAAAAAGGTCTTGCCGTTGGTATCAGGTCGGACCGTTGGTAGCAAAAGCGCAACTGCGATTCCAGCCGGGGTGTTGGCCGGCAGCTCTCCCCAGAGATCGTTCAGTGCTTTTGGGACCATTGGAGTTGCTGTCGACGGGTTAATGACGTGTCCCAATGGACCTGAAAGGGCAGAGGAAAATACCTGTGAACCACGGGGCGACAGCGTTAATGGTAACATCGGCTTTTACCAAATCGTTTCGCAGTGAACGCATTAAGCCCACGACTCCTGCTTTCGCAGTCGAGTACAGGTAGAGAGGTGGCGTGTCGAGAAAGGCTGCTGCCGAGGCTGTGAGGACGATTTGGCACTTCCTTCCTGGCAGCTTCTCGAAGTAATATGCCGCACATTTGCACATGTAAATGTGGGCTGTCAGATTAATCTCAAGCGTATCGAGCTTCGGAGCTCGCAAGAGGCCCGTTTGAGGGTCGATTTCATGCTGGAGTAACACCTCGCCCGAGTTGACACCTGCATTCGACACCACGGCATCGATGGCTCCGAACTTCTCCCACCCCAATTGGAAAATTTGGATCACGTCGTCCCAACGTGCAACATTAGTTTTCCGAGAGATTACATTGCTGGTGGTCAGGATTAGAAACAATCTTCTAGTCAAAAATTTCACAATAGTAAAAGTGTGGTGGCCTTACTCGCGTGGGCTTAGACTCTCTACGAAACTGGTCAACTGTGCTTCGTTCCAATCTGCCAGGACCAGGTTGGCACCATGCTCTAAAGATGACAAGTTTTAGTGAAGACACCCAAATTGCACTGCTACAACGTACCATGCGCCAATTCGGCCGTCGCACGTCCAATGCCAGAAGAACATCCTGTTATGAGTATTGTTTTGCCTTTCAGCGCCTTCAATTCTTCTCTGTCAACGTTGTAGGTCGTCATGGCTGCCACATGAAAGCACCGTTGTTCCGACTAGGTCGAACAGCCTCAGATTTGAAAGACATTGCTCACACCTCCACCAGAGACGTTCCTGGCCATGTGACCCCAGGGTGCGCTTGTGTGGTAGTGGAGAGGGGTTCTCTAAGTGGCAGTGGAGCGGTGCCTGCGGCAAGGGGTTTGGGGGGTAACCCGCTAAAGAACTTCTTTCGCCTTTGCCTTTATGGGGTAAGCTCTACCACCCACACATCCAGGATGTGGTGTTTCTTATTACGGAAGAACACATGGAGTACAACAATCATATCCGGTAATGTCCCACGGGAGTTATGCTCTTATGATAGAAAAAACAGCAACTCCCTGTTGTCATGGTCAGTAGCGATCGTTATTAGGTGAACGACATGATGTTGTCACTTTCGTCAGCCCAGCTGGGCGACCTCGCCGCAGTATCGAGCAAGCTCATCTTGCTCTCAATCCTGCTTGTTCCGTTGGGTCTTCTGTCGTTGTACTTGCACAACACACCCTCCACCTGGAAGGTACGTCTGGACCCTAATCTGAAATGAGGATATTCTCAGCTGACTCTATCGCTCAGGACAGTCGACGAAAGAATCTACCGCCCGGCCCCAAGGGTTATCCATTCATTGGCAACCTTCTCGACCTTGCAGATTCGGAACTCGTTCGAGCCAAGGCGATAGATTGGCATCAACGGTTTGGAGATATTTTCTACACCAAAATCGGTGGAACCGATTACATCTGGCTGTCATCTCCCAAAGCGGTCAAGGATTGTTTAGACAAGAAGTCGAATATTTATTCGTCGCGTTCACCTGCGCCATTTGCTCAAGATGTCGCCAGTGGTGGGAAGCGACAGCTGTTTATGAATTACGGGCCTGCCTGGCGCAACCTACGAAAGTCAAGCCATGCCTTGCTTAATGCCAACAGTGCAATCAAATATCAGCCCATTCAGGACTTTGAATCGAAGCAGCTCATGGTCGAATTAATTGATTCACCGGAGAAGTTCTACCAACACAATCGTCGGTACAGTGCCTCTGTGGTTATGCTGCTTACCTATGGCTACCGACTTCCGAAATGGGACCATCCTCTTGTGAAGCAAATCTACACTGTCCTCGACAACTTAACGGAGATGACAGCTCCCGGGGCGCACGCAGTGGACAGTTTCCCTTCATTAGCAAAACTTCCTCAGCAACTTCTGGGTAACTGGCGCTCACATGCGGAAAAGGTCTTTGCCTACGATAGTCAAGTCTACATGGGGCTTTGGGAGGCCCTGAAGAAGGGAGTGGATGATGGCTCTGTGGCAGAATGCTTTTGCAAAGACTATTACCTCGCCGATCCAAAGAAGCACGGTATCGATGATCTGCAAGCCGCCTACATGTGCGGTGGCCTTGTTGAGGCAGGCTCGGAGACCACAAGCACAACTCTGAACAACTTTGTCCTTGCGATGCTCCTCTTCCCAGAGGCAACGGCAAAGGCACAAGAAGAAATCGATCGAGTCATCGGCAGCTCTCGTATGCCTACATGGGAGGACGAGGCCGACCTTCCGTACGTCAGGGCTCTAGTGAAAGAGACGCTTCGGTGGCGGGCCGTGAACAAATTTGGAATGCCTCACTATACCACCGACGATGACTGGTATGAGGGTTACTTTATTCCGAAAAACTCTGTCGTCATGCTGAACTGGTGGTAAGTGATGTCCCTATAACTCACTGAGGCTGAACTAGATACTTATTCGTTCACCCTCTCCTCTAGGGCTATCCATATGAACTCGGAGCTGTACAAAGACCCCGAAACGTTCGACCCGTCACGATATCTCGACAAACCACTCTCCGCGGCCGAGTACATCAACGTGAACGATCCCTATGAGCGTGATCATTTTACTTACGGCGCGGGTCGTAGAGTGTGCCCTGGAGTGCATGTGGCCGAGAGATCGCTCTACATCAACATCGCCCGGACTTTGTGGGGATTCAAAATCACGAAACCTATTGGAGCAGACGGAAAGCCCATCGAACCAGACACAACGATGATTAGAGGCTTTCTCAGTGTGCCTAGACCATTCCAAGCAGATTTCACTGTCAGGTCACCCAGCCATGCTGCAACGATACGGAAGACATTCGAAGCGGCAGAGAAAGAGGGTATCAACATTCAGCGTTCTAGGCTCAATTAGCCCATTGTGGCTTTGGCTGGGAGTTAGTCAGGAATTTGTTTTTGTTTCCTGTGGTAGTCTCATGGTACGCATATATCAATCGAAGTCGTTGCATGTGCTATGTATGGAACAAGACCAAGCATGTGACGTATCATTTCTCTCGTAAACTATAAACCTGGAGTTTCCGACATACGCCATACAACCTTCTCTGCATTGATTTTGTTCGCCCTCATCAATTCGAATGCCTCAAATGCGTCGTACATCCCTTTACCGGACAAATGCCTGACCCTGGCGGGCTTATACTCTTTCCCAACATGTTCCATTGTCCAGGCCATCATGGCTCTTAACCTCAGGGCCCCTTTGGAGTCGTGAGGTTCTCCCTCATGGAATTTGAAGTCCTCGGTTTTGAAAGTCTCCAGATCCTGGATAATCCCAGCGATAGCCATCTCAGCATGGTGGTTTGGGCTGGGGCGCGTGGGCGGTAAGGCCAAGATAATTGATCCGCCGGGGGCAACGGCCTCTTCTAAGGGGGTAATATCTACCCCGACGCAGTCGTAAGCGTGCGATAAAGTCTTGCCGGGTGGTATGACAGATTTGATCTTGCTGACGACATCTTCGTCACGGTAATTAAAGACATGGTCAGCTCCTAAACTCTTGAGGTAATCGTGCTGCTGTACAAATGCATTAGCTTCTCATTGTTGTCGGAAACTGGCCACCTCATACCCGGGGGGATGCAGTGACGATGATCGGGCTGCAACCACTGATTTTCGCAAATTGTATGGCCTGAATCCCAACCTGGCTTGAACCTCCCCAAAGAAGGATTGGCCAGTCGCACTTTTGCTCCCACGGTAGCGGAAGGGGGGGCTGCATTCGATTGTAAAGACCATCACAAGCTGTACAGGAGGTCAAAGGAATGGTGGCGGCTTCCTCTTCGCTCAACACATTTTCATCAAATTTCCAGGTCGTCACGGCAAGTGCAAGGAAATATTCCTGAGATCCTCCCCATTCAGCTGTGGCCTCCATTAGATACCATCGGCCGACTATCAGAAACAAGACTTACGCGGTCCAATGCCTCTTGTAAACGTCAAAACCTTATCGCCAATCTTGAAGTTGGACTGTTCAGACCCAACCTCAACGACCTCGCCGACAACATCGAATCCTTCAATCGTGTTGACGGCCCCAAAAACCTCTGGATGCCTACATTGTCGAGTAGTCAGCACCATCACTCCGAAGACTTTTATTACACAACCAGTCCTGGAGTATGATGAACTCTGAGAAGGTCCAAGGCAGTAAATACTTATAATCTCCTGGATTTACTCCAACGCATATTGTCTTCAACAGCAACTCATCCGCCGATGGTTTGTATCCTCCCTCCACTGTCTTAATCTCCTGGGTGGCATCACCATTCACCCAGATAGCCTTGTGAGGCATCTGAGGGTTCGTGCTTGGGATAGTATACGCGAGACTTCTCCGAACTTTGAATTCTTTTCCAAAGCAAGCCCTAATCTTGAGGTTTCCTTTGGATAAAAGCAAGCTCTAATCTTAAGGTTTCCTTTGGACATCATATTCGAACTTCGTCCGATGCGCAATGGGGATTGAGTGGGATGTGGGGAATTGGCCGATTCGGCATGTGCGGGTTGCCCCAAGCCCCGACCTTCTTCTGTCAGAGGCACGCTAGCCATGGGATGGTGCTGATGCTCTCTTGTTTAGCGCCTGCCTCGAAATTTCCAGCTGGAGCAATCAGCAATAGCAACCAAAAATTCGACATGCTGGAGTATTGTGGAATTTTTGACGAACGCTGTTCATGTATGCATGTAATACAAGACCGGCCAAAGTGGGGAATAATATGATACCAACTACGAATGTTTCTATACCTTTCCTTTGCAGCAATGCTTTAGTCTAGGCGCATTTGCTCCGAATCTACTGCCAGCCGTGTCTCTTCCGAATAACGACAGGAGGCATTTTAGACACTAAGACGATCCCCACTGTCAGCTCCATGAAATATGCACCAACTGCAGGACCGCCAAAGTAGACACCAACGATGAAGCAGTGAACTAGCGACCTGCCAAAAATGTGTCCCACGCGATCGACAATTGATCCAGAGTACTGGTCTTTCCTGCAAGACTTCCGATGAAGCTTCGGCGACCAAAGGCTTCTGGAGACTTGCCCTGCACATACTGAGCCCCTCCTACAACAGGCGGTCCATAGACCTGAGCACCTCCCTCCGTGTCGTCATAAACGTCAAAAGGCGCTTTTCCATTAACGAAATTGATGAAGTCCGATCCGAATTTCTTTGATAGCTTCTGCTGCTCAGGGCCCAAGTGCTCAATGAAATTCTGGAACAAGAATGCCACGTCGAGTATGTGGGTTGACTCGCCTTTGAAAGGACCGTCCCATGGATTCGGTTCATTGAAGTGATAAAGAAACGCTCGCCGAGACATAGCCTTAGCCATCGTAAAAGCTGGAGCATAGAATCCAATGTCCGTGCCGAAGCGAAGAATGTTAAGCATATCTTCATCGTCCGATACCGAAGTAGCAATGCCATAGGTGTCCAAGAGCTTGGCTCGCTCATCAGGAAAATCTTTCAACGATTTCTCCAGCGATTGACGAAATGCCTCGGCAATGCCAGCTTTCCGCGGCCCGACTGCGAAAAGGAATATGCTCGCCTGCGAAAGATTAGCAGGGCTCTGGAATCCATAGAGGGTACACAAACATCAAATTGGCAGTCTCCCACCATGATACGGTCGCACCATTTCATTCCTGGATATTGGCTCCGCTCACCTTGCTGAGTCCACTGTGCAAAAGAGCTAGGGTATCTGATGTAGTCCTCGTCATGAACAGCAAGAAGTGGCACATCAGGCCCTATACTGCTTAAGAATGTTTCGGCCGGAATCTCAAGCAGTGACTTCAACTTCTCTTCCGAGGAAAGCGATGTGTCGATGTTCACAGCATCAAGTACCCTTCCATAAGCATACTCTGCGACCGGCATTGGGAGCGGCTTCATGAGTAAGGAACTCCCACCCATGGCCATCATTTGTTTGAACAGAGGTTTCTCGGACTGCAGATGAAGAGTGCATGACACTAAATGGTGGTAAAGTCAGCAAGGATCGATGCTACTGATTATGATCTTCCCACCAGCACCGGCACTTTCGCCGACAACCGTGATTTTTTCAGGATCGCCTCCAAATCCGTCGATGTTCTTTTGGAGCCATTGTAATGCGGCCCGTTGGTCCAGAAGTCCGCGGTTGGCTTTTATCCCCATTTTCGAGAGTTCTTGCGAGTAGAGAAACCCAAAAGCCCCAAGCCGATAGCTGTAAGAGCGATCATTTAGCATACAATTCATCACCAAGTACAGGACATCGAGCTTGGAGTACATACTTTACAGTAACGCCAATCACAGGTTCTTGTTGCTCGATGGACAATTGAACGGTTCGTACAGGATCATACTGCGGCCAAGAGCCGGATCCAATGCTGAAACCTCCTCCGTGAAAGAAGACGAAGACAGGGAGCCGCCCGCTATGCTTCGCCGGCAAGGCAATATTCAAGTTCAGCCCGTCCAATTCGGACATTGAGCCCTTCCCATGCGGCAATGTTTGCTGGATCAGGGAGAGCTCCATATCGCAGCCTTGAGCAGGGGATATAACGCTGGGTCTGAGAGTGATTTCAGCTCCGAACCAATGAATACACGGTAAACGTTACTAACCCATGTTTTTGTGCATCTAGAGCCGCTGATGGATCACCTTCTGCGACAACTGGATTTGCAAAGCGGTTTTGCAAGGTCGCATATTGAATGCCACAAAAGCGATTCACACCATCGTGTGAGGTCCCGGTAATCTGACCGAGGAGCGGATGGGCGTAATGAGCCATGTCTTACGGCTCGATAGGATTGGACAGCTTGATCGATATATGAAAGGCCGGAAACAGCTGTGTGTGTTTTTATATGATCTAACGTAAGATGCAATTTTTGCTCCTAAGAACTCATATGCATCTCGAGGCTGGGCGTGGTTGTTGGGGAATGGCCGCGATGAAGTTGACCCCATGGCTGTTCGACATGTGGGGAAGCCACCTCCACGCCAAGAACACTCTGTCGCTTCAAAAGTGGTCACGCACGCAGAATTTGCGGCATACTACATAGCAACCAATCTACACTACCTCTGTCAAGGCAAATCCATTACAATGCCCTCTACAGACTCCTTGATCCACCATCCTAATGGCCAGACGTCTCATATTGTCGAGGACAACTTCACTGACCCATGGAAGCCATGCGAAACCATCTTAATTCAACACGGCTTCGCTCGTCACGCGGCATTCTGGTACCACTGGGTGCCTGTTCTTTCGAGACAATATCGGGTCATAAGAAGAGACCTACGTGGCCATGGATTGTCGAGTACAGGAGATGATCCTAAATATGACTACTCAGTCCAGACTATCTGCGACGAAATCATCGACACTCTTGACCAACTAAAGATCGATCGGGTGCACTTTCTAGGCGAGTCAACTAGTGGCATGTTGGGCGAGATATTGGCAGCGCGTCATCCCGAACGTCTGCACTCTTTGATAATATGCTCGTCACCAACCTGGCTTCCACCTGCTGCTCTCAACCTATTTGCTTTCGGACAGAAGGATTGGCCAACAGCGTTGCGGCAAGTAGGATCAAGGGGTTGGGGTGAGGCATTAGCCCGAGTCCCTGGCACGCTGTCGATCACAGATCCAGAGTATACCTCTTGGTGGAAGGACCAAGTCGCAGTTTCGTCTGCGGAGGGTCTGGCAAAATATGCTATCTTTCTATCGACGCTGGACTCGAGGCCATATCTGAAGGACATTAAAATTCCCGTGTTGATATTGGCTCCAGCAAACAGCGCAGCCACGAAACTAGAGGAGCAAAGGGGTATCAAGGAGGCCATTCCAAATGCGGAAATGGTTGTCATTAATGGAAAAGGGCACGAGATTTATGTTGAAATGGCTGCGGAGTGTCAGGCCGCGGTCCTCAAATTTTTGCACGGTCTACGTGCGAGTTCCTCGTAGCTGAATAACCATCGAAATATCATATTTATCTGGAGCAGAGCTCGAGCCTCTAGATCATCAGCGTCCTTCTTAGCAGCGTTTGAGGCGGTCCAGTTTCTAGTCACTAAACCACAACCACACGAAAGTTCCACACGATCGAGAACATATCCAGGCCAATTTGTTCTTACGACGCATCGGTGCCATGGGCAAACCCCCACCTACAAACCCCCCTGGGAGTGGTGCAACGCGCCACAAGCAAGGTTGTGGAAGTCACGTTGTTATGTGGAGAGCGCGACGGCGCCTTTACTTTGATCATCTGAAAACGATCGAAGAACTATATTTGCAACACAAGTAGAAAAGAATCATTGACACAGTAGATTTTCTTCACATTATTGCATGCACTAACGTAAAAGATGGCAGAATCACTCGACGCTTGGGTCATTGTTGTTGGTGCAGGTCCCGCAGGACTCCTGCTCACCCAGCTACTCGCTCAAAAAGGAGTGCCGGTCGTCCTCGTCGAGAAAAGCGACAAGTTGGATGAGCAGCCTCGAGCGACACACTATGCCGCTCCTGCCATGGCGGAGTTGTTGCGAGCCGGTGTCGTTGAAGAGATGGGCCAAGCGGGCTTTCACCCGCACACCATTTGTTGGCGACTACTTGACGGGACAAAACTGACCGGCCTGGATCACTCACTGACCGAAGGTGACGAAGACCAAATGGTATGCCTTCCGCTGAACAAGCTGGGACAAATTCTCTACAACAAGGTCAAGCAGCAACCAAATGCGACGATCTTGTTCAACCACGAGGTCATCAATTCCGCCCAGGATGAGGACTCGGCCTCTATCACTGTTTCAACGCCGACCGGCGAGCGAAACCTTCGAGCACGCTACATTGTGGGTTGTGATGGCGCAAACAGCAAGATCCGACGTATGCTGTTTGGAGACTGGGAGTTTCCAGGTAAGACCTGGGACGTTCAAGTCGTAGCAACCAATGTAAGTACTCGACTGTTTGATGTGAAAAGAAGGGCTAGAGTTGCTTACAAATTCCAGGTGTATTACGACTTCTACAAGTATGGATATGAGGATGCCAATTTCATCATCGATCCGGTACATTGGTACATGGCGTCACGAATCTCGACGGACGGGATGTGGCGCGTCAGCTATGGAGAACAGGTTGGCCTTACGAAGGATGATCTGCTCGCCAATCGGGACGAAAAGTTCAGAACCATGCTTCCGGGGCACCCAGAGCCCGACCAGTACCGTATCACGAATTTCAGTCCTTACAAAGTCCACCAGAGGCTAGCTAAATCGATGAGAGTGGGCAGATTTATTCTGGCAGCAGATGCTGCTCATCGTAAGCGATGCTTTTATAAGCTACGAAATCATGAAACCTACTAATGTTATCTTAGTGTGCAACCCATTTGGAGGCCTTGGTCTTACTGGCGGCATCGTTGATGTAGGAGGATTGTTTGATTGCTTGGTCGGAATATACGAAAACAAGGCACAAGACTCTATCCTGGACAAGTATGACCAAATACGTCGCGAGAAGTATGAGCAGTTCATCAATCCGATTTCGAGTTCGAACATCGTGCGGATGCACGACAAAGACCCAAAGACCATCATGCAAAGAGACGAATTCTTCCAAGCTATTGATAAGGTCAAAGATGACCCTGAGGCGAAGAAGGAATTCCTCAACGGAATAAACGTGATCAAGCACGACTTCACCCAGTATTACAAGGACTCGTCGAATGTTGGAGAAAAAAAATCTCCGAAGCCAGAGAAACCAGTGTCAGTTTCAGCTGTAGCAGCGGGGAGCGTACCAGAATAACATTTCAGAGAGGCTCTGAGTACTGGACAAAATCAAGTTGAACTATATTCAAACGCAGCAGTCACCTTCAGCGGTCAATAGTGTGACTGCCAGATATTCCAATCCGAGGTAGACTATGGGCGCTCACAAGCTCAATTCCCCTATGAGAGAGCAATAATGTTTCAACCCTATATGGCCCAATGTGGGTGGTCGGGAGAGCACCCGTGGCACCCTGCAGTGCTCACAATCCGTGGCCAGGGATTTCGTCTTGCCCTCACCCATCTTCCCACAGTCTAGGACAGCCCCCATCTGTCCTGTGGAGGAGACTGTGGGGATCAGTTCTGCGAGGGGTAGCTCGACAAGCCAGGTCTATTATTCATCCCCATTCCTCTCGGTCTTGACATCTGGTATATTTAGTAGTTTTCATTGCCGCGGACATCGTTTAATTCGCATTACCCAAGTGACACAGAATGGATCTCAGTACACCTATTCAAGGGCTAAGGCATCTCTTGGTAGGGAGAACGTTCGCGTTCTACGTCCTTGCCAGCTTCGTGGTCATAGGAGCGAGTACCCTGCTTCTTATTGTTTATCGTCTGTTCCTCCATCCGCTCTCAAGATTTCCGGGACCACTCCCCGCCAAAGTCACTGGGCTATGGCGAAGCAAGAAGTATGTTGATGGTAATTGGCATGCTGATGTCGTCGAACTTCACGAGAAATATGGGAGAATCGTGCGGATTGCTCCAAATGAGCTTTCAATTGTCGACGAACATGCAATGAAGAACCTATACGGACATGGTCACAATGCCCGAAAGACAGACTGGTACTCGGTTTGGGACCCAGCAGGGACAGCTCCTCAATTGTTTTCGGAGCTGGACAAAAAGCAACACGCCTTCTTGAGGAAACGACTCGCAGGGGCATACTCTATGTCGTCTGTCCTTCGGTACGAGAAGTATATCCAAGTCGTCTTGGATCTTCTCCTGTACCGGCTGAAAGCAAAGGCGGAGGCTGGTGAAGTGGTCGACATGGCCGTCTGGACCAACGCCTTTGCCTTCGACACAGTTGGCGAGTTGGGCTACGGAAGCCAGTTGGGCCATTTGTGGACGGAAAAGGACGTAGGAGGGCTTCGGAAAACCATCTTTGACGCATTCTTTGTCTTGTCTAATCTGGGTCATTTCCCTGGACAAGCTCGGATTCTTCAAAACCCACTCATGGAAAAGCTGCAGACATTTATGGGGGCGCCGCCCACATTTTCACGTTTCCGGGACTGGACTGCAGAACAGATTCGAAAGCGATTGCAAACCATCGAGACCACGAAAAGAGATGACCTTCTTACTCACTTTTGCCGAATGAAAGCCGCGGATGGGGGCCCTGCAGCCTTCGAGGCAATTCTTATTGAAGCAATGAATCTGATGTAAGTGACCAGGATCTTTCAGCCCGGGCTCTCAAGGCATTACGAGACTAATTGATGGGCAGCGGAGCTGGTGCAGACACCACGTCGATCGGCATGCGAGCATGCTTGCACTACCTCGCGCTCAACCCAGAGGCGTATCGGGAGACGCAGAGAGCTGTCGACAAGTATTACGAGGATAAGAGCCTGGACCGCCCTATTAAGTACAACGAAACTCAAGAGATCCCTTATCTTGTGGCTGTCATCAAAGAAGCCACCAGAATATTTCCCTCGATCGTGTTTCAACTGTTACGCCATGCACCAAAAGACTTTGAGGTTCGAGGCAAGTCGATCCCAGCTGGAACTCCAGTGGGCATCAGCCCCATTTCACAAAATCGCGACAAGGACATTTGGGGTCCTGATGCTAATGAATTCCGTCCTGAGCGTTGGCTACAAGGCGAAGCAAGAACAAAGTACCTCGACACCAGTTCAATGACTTTCGGAGGTAATGGTCCACGGATGTGCATTGGACGAAATATCGCACTGGTTCGTCAACTCCCACATTAGACCCATACCAACGCCGCGTGCCAGTCTAACACTTTTGCATAGGTTGAGCTACACAAATTTCTGGCACAATTCATGCGCAACTTTGACTTCGAATACGTGGACAAGTCGAAGCCTTGGAGGGTAACAACCTACTGGTTTGCGTACCAACATGATCAACACATGAGGATTACATTTCGGAAAAACCGCTCAATCCGTGAAGTCACGTCCATGGAAGCAGAATAAAGGGAAATCCAGGGGCTGGACAAGAATATAAACCTGCATCTCCAAACCCTGTGTTCGCAGTATCTTGTTAAGCACCTCGTCTCGATAGCTGTCTTTTCTGTGATGGGTTTTGGATTGTAACCAGATCAACCCTTGCTCGCGGGTTTAGCGAATGCGAATGTTGGGGCGGGCAGACTGAGATAGCGTGGATAGTTTCCAAAAAAGCACGAGGGCGATCATCCAAACTTCAGATTCCATGCCATTCATCGTGTCAACCATCTCTCCATTAGTCGGCAGCCCACAGCCTCGGCTGGGTGCTCGGCTAATTTTGATCTATTACCCGTGCTTGCTAATGACGACAAGCAGGAAGGAAGGTTCTCATTCGAATGCTAACATGCCACATGCCACATGGTCACATGCCACAACCACATATGCCACATGCCACATGCGAGACAGCATGGCTTGGAGCTTGGCCAATGCACAATAAGTATTAAGGCAAGAATTCAGTTTGAGACGGCTAAGATTCCCTCTTGGTTACATCCAGCTGAACCTGCATGCAGAGGTCCTGAAAGGAAGACAAGGTCTGCATAGACCTCGGATAGTCCCCGCAGTCGTCCTGCAAAGCTCTCCCACTTCATCGCCTTACTCGTCACCTACTCACGTGCTGGTATGCGTTTGCAATATAGACAATGGATGCTGGACTTGGTTTTTGGGGGCGAATGGCACGTAGCTAAGGCGACGATGACTGAGTTGACCTCAATAACGCAGATTGTTGGGACACAGGGTCAATTCAAAGGTCGCCGAGAGGAGGTTGAACCGGTAATATCACGTTTTGATAAAGCTCATGTGTCATTTTACTCCAGGCGCCCGTCGCCCCCAGAGTAGATTTCTATTAAGCATGCCTATTAGGGTGCCCGTTGCGCCTAACGTGATACCTAAGTGATTCTATGGCTTAAGTACGGCTGAGCGCCGGGAAGCCCTGGTCAATCCACCTTCGCTCGTATAGGCAACGAACCACGTGAAAATACCCCTCTATCCTACGCCCCCAGTACAACGCCGCTGCGGTCTAGTCTGCTGTCCGTGCTACAGACATCATATAGTAAGGTCTTGAGGCATTCATCGCTCTCCTCCAACTCAGAACCCAGCCGACAAGTCTGGACCAGGACTTCGTTCGCTAAAGAGTTGCATGTGATCTGGAATAAAGGAACAATGGAAAGATGAAGACAACTTTTGACCGCAAGGATTGGGATTCTCGTCAGAAAATGCGGAACTATGTTTCAACCTCGTTTATCCTCCAGAAAGCAGTCGAGGATCCGATTAAAGATGTCCGGAACCTGGACAAATGCGATGTGTGACGAGCTTGGGATCTCTACGTAGCTCGTATTTCGGAGCAAGCCACGAACCCTCGCTGTGACATGGTCTGGCATCCAGTCGTCATGATCAGCCGCAGCTACCCAGACTATAGGAGCTCGTTGTCTTCTCCACGGACGGGCACGTCTTTGAAAGTTTCCGAAGTCCATTTTGGCTCTCGCTTCCAAAGTTTGTAATAGGGCATAAAGTTGTTGTTGTCGTCTTGACCAGGGTTCAGCTTCAGCCATTCCTTTTGAGACATGTTGAAATACTCTTTGAGGCTGTCTAGCTCGTCGATGGCGTCACCTTCATTTTTGTCGCAGTCATCGATGCCTCCAAAAGCGAAAATCCGGTCAACTCGGGATACCTGCAGCCTCAACGCGTTTCAAGCCACCATCGCGCCATCTGACCATCCTACAAGCGCAGCTTTGGGAATCTGGTAGACATCGAGAAGAGCCAGCAAGTCCGTGGTCAACTTATCATAAGTGATCCACGTGTCGTCCCCCAAAGGAGTCCGCCCATGACCCCGATGATCAAAACAGATGACCGTATGCTTGGGGCTCAAATGATCCACTTGATACCCATAATGGCCACTATGGCTGATGCCTCCGGTCAGAAGAACCACGCGTAGAGTTCCCGCGGCTAGTGTTTCTTTCAGAGGTACACCAAAGATGGCATGCCAGATCTGGATGCCATGTGGCAGAGTCAAGAGTCCTTGTTCTTGAGCTTTGTTGAGATCCAGTTGGGGGTAAGGGGGCGTATGCTCCCAAGGAAGCTTCGCCATGACGCTGGGTCGATTAGCACCAAGGCTAATAGGATGTTGCCGAGTAGTGATGGAGTAGATCAAGGACTCATGTGCCTCAAGCAGTGACAAAAAGAGTTTGCCGACGTCTCTACTCTAGAGTTGGGGCCTTGCTGATATCGCCAGGAGGCGAGGATGACTTTGACGTGGCCAATTTAAAGGCCAGCGATGGCTTGAAGGTCACTCCGCCGCAAAACACGTCCATAAAGCAAGGCTGAGACTCGATTGGGGCAGAGCTGACGGGGTAAAGAGCACACCGACCTCTGTTGATGGGGCTCACGCTCGGTGTTAGATATCTTGCGGAGTTATCGCTGTACGCCTTCCCGAACTAACGGCCATCCCCGCCAAACCCCCTCCACACCCAATTCAATGCAAATAGGGGATGGGAAAGCAAGCGAAAGGCTCTTATAGATCGTTCCTCGGCTGGACATCCTCGAGGGTAACCAAAACCTCTGACACCCTAGACCTGGCAACGTTGATGATCGACAAGAAGAAGACATCGGGCACGGGCGACAACTGCAGAGGCATAATGGATTGGCCGAAGACATGAAGTTGATAGAAGGCAAAGCGCCAATTGCATCAATTATTGTAACGCACCCTGTGTGAAAGGGGCGTGCAGGGGCCTGCCGAACCGAATTCCTACACGCTGCACCTCAATTTTCCAATGCAGTCCCCTTTCCTCTTGAAATTTTGCTCACTTGAATCATGAACAGTTCTGGCAGAAAACTCTTTAGCTATTCATGCCGCTCAGAAATGTCATCGTCTAGACTAAGAGTGGACTTTCTATTTAACAAGGTGCAGTCTGTCTACTAATCAATGGTCTCACTTCCCAGGGCCATGAGCTCTGCTACAGTCCAATCCTTGTGCACATGTCCCGGCGCGACGTTCGTTGATTGTAGTGGCTTCCCTTCCAAAACGTCGGCTACTGCTTCATCCAACTTTTCGGCGGCGTATTGTACTGGATCATGCGAATACTGCCATGCTGGTTGAGGCATGTTGACAGCACTGGGATCTTCCGCCAACTTTTCCCACTTGGTTTTATGAAAACGATGACGAGTTTCGAAGCCAATCCTCTGGCTAAGAGTAACTCGTTCGTACCTGTACAACACAATTAGCCTTTGCAGTAAAACCGAGTATTAGTGCCCGCGTTGACTTGTCCCGAGCTGCAACTATCAAGACGTACCTTAAAGCCTCATGGACACGTAATGCAAGGGGGATGTTCTCTCGACCACCACGGCGAAGCACATATGCAATCGATGCGCCGTCCTCGATGGCCTGTACTGCTCCATTTCCAGAAGTGGGCAGGAAAGGATGTGCAGCATCGCCAGCAATGATCACCCGACCGCCCTTGGACACCCACGGCCGGAAAGGATCTCTCCACAGCAACTTCCAGTCAACGAGCCGGCCTTCTGGAGTTGCTTTGACGAACGCTCGAAATCTGGGATCCCAGCCTTCGCTTGCCTGCAAGACATGATCGATTTGCGTGTAAGACTCTTTCGCGTCGAATGTATCCTTGTGTGTGAAAGCGTAAACAGCCATGTTGAGCGTGGGACAAGTGAGGATGAACGCATGAAGATCCTCGCCGATGAAGAGATGGTATTCGTCTTTTCCCGAATCCTTCCATTCGTCAATGATAGGGTCTTTAACCTGGTCCAAGGGAAACCAAGCTCGAAAGACTGCGTATCCGGAACCCTGAGGATCATCTGTCTGTCCTGTGACAAACGTTCTGCAGCGGCTCCGGATGCCGTCCGCGCCAATCAGCACGTCTGCTTCGTGTCTGACTCCGTCGACAATAATGCCAGCTTTGTGCTCTGTTTCAAAATGTTCTTCGACACGGGTGTTGAGATGGATCTTGATTCCCAGAGATTCGGCAAAGTCGACAAGTGTTTTCTGATAAAAGCTTCTCTGTCCCATACAGAAGGGGGCTCCTTGGTAGGAGTTCTGCCACTCTTGCTTGTGCAGCAACTCGCCGCTTGCGCGATGGATCTCCATGGCGTCTACCCACAAGCACTGGTGCATGATTTTGGGGAGAACGTCATCCCATGTCGATACAATCCGCGTTCCATTAGGTGTGAGGACAATTAAGTCGCCTACAACGCCAATTAGCTGTGGCAGACAGAGAACCTGGAATGATGCTGGCGTTACCTAGTGGGAGGAACTCGGGTGCTTGCTCAAAGATTTCGACTTCATGCCCCTGGCGAATGCATTCGATTGCGGCAGCTAAACCACCAAAGCCCGCACCAATGACGATCACTTTGATACCAGTAGGTGATGCTCGCGACATGTCAGCCTCACAGTCTGGTACCTCGGGCATCAATGGGTTGACTTTCTGGATCATGTTGACTGTGGTATGGGCACTTCAAGGATCGATGTAGGATCACCCTGCGTGTGACTTTTCTGTGGCGTATGATTGAGGCTCATCTGGGTTGGAAAATCAAAGTGCAGCTTTCGGCTTTAAAGGGACTTTGACACTTCCGTAACAATACAGGAATTGCCTTCATCTTCCCCTGATGTTTGCAAAATACAACGAGCCACATACAGCGACCAGATACTAATGGATTGTGTGGATTGGCGTTTATTTCGCCAACCCCGAGTTTTGCTTTCAGCGAATGATCCTCGATGACGGGGTACTTGTGGGATTGTGACGGGGTAGCGTTCGAGGTTGCCAATAAGACACCGAAAGCGCTAGGTCAATTGTGTGGGGTCGAGTCTGTTGTGGTATTGTGACATAACAGTCTTCCTATCGGCCTAAAGGTTGTTTAAGATAGCCAAAGAAGACCCTTTATCGTAAATACCAAACCTGACAACCTATTCAATTACTGATAAAAAGTCGCCAGCAGAGTCTGTCTCCGCGTACCTAGAAAGCCAGGAAGAAATTCTGGTCTCGAATTCTAGAACCTGTTCCACGAGGGCTAGCCACTAGGATTTCGACGCACAACCGTGGTGCACTCGGTGACTAGCGTTCCACCACTATCAATTCGACAAACTGGCAGGTTTTGTCCTTTCGATTTCTTTGAGCTCACCCGTACTGTGGGTTCCCTCGCACCCAAGAATTTATTTGACGAGGCTCTCAACTCAGGGGCTGATTTGGCGTCCAGCGATCATAGCAGGCTTTGGACGGTCACTTTGACTCTCGCTAGGTTAATCGTTTTGCAAGCCCACAAACCGGGTTAAAACCTAGTGAGGTCAGTTCCTGCCCGCCGTGCTTGCGGCTTTGTCTTCCCAGGAACTGCATCAAGACGCGTTGACTATCCATGCTTGATGGCACTTTGCACGTAGCTTCGCCGCATTATTCGCAAAGTCTAGGGGGTTCCACCACGTGGCGTTCTCTTGCTGGCAACCCAGTAGCGAAGGGGTTATTTGACTCCAAGAAACGTGTTGACAAACGCCTTCCAATTGTTGCTGGAGTACACATGTCATCTTTTCTTTAAGATCGCGTAAGAGACACGAGAGGCGCGAGGGTTGGGGTACGGATCGTCAGGTTCCATATCGAATGCAGCTACTCCCTTCATAAAATCTCATCCTTCCACTTTCGTGACATCAATTCGGCGTCCAATTTTGCATTCGGAGACCTGGACCTACGGCAAAAATGGGATGGCAGCTCGCGGTGAATGATGTTCTTGGTTGGAAGATCTAACGCAGGACGACGAGGACTGTCAATTGCCAACAAGCAGCAATAGTTGCGACAAGGTGACTCCCGTCACCCCTCATGATTTCCGTGCAAAGTGTTTGTGCTACGTACAGCCCACCCAACCGGGGCTCGTCCCATGCATCGAAGCATCCCCCAGACTTTTTGTGCATCTTCCGGTGTAGATTCCGCATCCCACATCTGAAGCCCGACCCTTCCATCTACGCCTTCACATCACTGCTGTCCTTGTTGCGGACGTGCATTTTTCGTGAGACCTCTGAGGTCAGCGTAACATCCAAGCTTCTACGTCCAACGACGAGTGAAGCGACAATAGCTCAAGTTCCAAAGGGTATCGCGGACACGTAAACAATCTGGAAAGCATGCATGTACGCCACACGGGTTGCGGCAACTGCGACCAAAATGACCGACTGTGTAACACCGGGCACCTTTGCAAGCAAGGCTTGATCGCCAAGGGCCAGTGCTTGCAAAAGACTAGTGACGGATGTTTGAGGAAGTCCAGCTTCGACAACAGCCGGAACCACATACTTCACGATGCCCTTGTCGGCTTCGTTGCTCAGAATCGTTGAATACATGGTAACTACTGCAAGTTAGAAGAGCCCAAAGCATTGCCCGTATGGAAGCCAGCTTACTTGCAACTGTTGCGAGCAGACCGCGGAGCGTTGATTGGGCACCAATAGCTATGCCCATGATGTCCGGGTTGATGACCATAGGACTACCGACAAGTGTAACAATTTCCAGATAGCCCGAGGCTGTGGTAGCAAGTAGTGTGAGGACGAGCCCTTGAACTCGAGTCACGTCCAAGGCTGCCAGTCCACCAGCAAATGCGGTCATCAACACTGCACTCACTACAAGCTGCCATTTCAGCTCGCCGAGCGGTTGAACCAAGAGACCGGCGAGGAGCTGCCCCAATAGGAGCCCTCCGGTAAGGGTGCACTACACATAGTAGATTCTCGGTCAGCTCGGGCTGCATTTGTGCCTTTGCTTCGGAATGATAGAGCTTACGCTATTCCAGCCGATTGAGGTTGTGTCCAATCCAAAGACAGTGGACAATTGTTGAGGCCAGATTACGTTGAGAGAATAAGCGAGCATCACATCGACGGCTGATATGATCGACAGAGAAAAGTAGTCTCGGTTATTCAGCATGGCCAGCGGAATCAGGGGTACTTCGGGGATGCCGGAAAGTTCTGCGAGAAGTCAGCCCTGACATCGGGTCAACTGAATGTGTGCGCCTGACCCCAGAAAACGAAGGCTATCCATCCAACCCCGCCTAGCACGATGGGCGCAATGACGGCCGCAGATTTCCAAGCTTGTCTCTTCGGTCAGCAAACCTCATTTCTAGACGTATAATTCGTTCTCACTCACGATGTGCCGATCCACCCCATGAAAGCCCGACCAACAACGCTGCCGTACTGCCCGTAAAGATGGTGAATCCCACGTAGTCCAAGTTCTTTAAGAGATCACGGCGCGAGTGGCGCTTATGAAGGTTCTCGAATCTGGGTGGGTGGTAGCAGAAAAACAGCAACACTATAACGGCAAACGGCATTCCCGCGTGTAGATAGTAGATCGACCTCCAGCTAGCTCCGGTCGAGGTGATGAGTTTCCGCCCTGGCGCGTGGTTAATATCCCAGTGGACTTGGATTCGCCGATAGCTGGGCTAGTATCTATAACGGGCAAGAGCGCTGTCACTGGTGCAAACAGGACAGTCATGATCCCATACACCAAGAATCTGTGCTTGTTGGGCAGCAGTTCACCCACGACAATGGCCCCAATCAACTGCGCAGAAGAGCCGAACCCAGTAAGAGCAACCTATGCATATGGTCATATTAGAATGGCGTGGGAAGCTTCGTAAAATGTGACTTACCGCACCCGCCAGCATTCTCACCGTCTTCGCTTGGCTTGCGAATAACATGCCCGCCAAAGTGAGCACGTTAAAGAAGATGAAATACCACCGACGGCCGAAGACGTCGGATAATCGTCCGACGATCGCGATAGCGATGGTCTGGCATAGCGTGCCCGCGGTGGCGATCCAGATTGCGTCTGAGCCTCCACCTAGATCACGTAAAGTGTTAGCAACCATGGCCGATCGCGGGACTAGAACGACACCTACCGAGGTCTGCGACAATCACAAGCAGGCCGTTGGATGGCATTACGAAAACCCAGTAGGCGGAGTTATAACCCAGCGCAAACGCCTGTATGACAAGTCAGTCCGTCGCCATTACCTTTGCACCGGTGATCGGGACTGGTACACATACAAGAAGGGAGCCCATGATCTTCCAGTCTTTCCAGAACGCCACAGGCAACTCTTCAGCGGTAGTCCCCAGCCTGCCGTGGTCTCCCTCGAGTGGGGTGTCTTCAAGTTTCTGCACGTCTTCGACGTTGTTCACTGCACCCATCTTGATTGAATCAGGACTGTTTGGGGCGACCAGGATGATTGGAGGCCATGATCAACGGTTGGTAGGGGAAGAATGTAAAGGGTGAAGAGAGAGATATATCAAATGTATACTTGAAGCTTCTGCCCTTCAAGGCCATATCTTACTTTACTTGTGCGTCTCTTTGAACATTTTCGTCGCCCCACATTCCCCCGGCGGACCTGTCCTTCAAACTCTAGAATATCCCACACTCCGGGGTAAGTTTATGGCGGGGCGTGTTGCCGGGTCCACTGCTCCATGTGGATCCTGCTTTGAATGAAAACAGAAGCGCGTGAATGGCGTACAGCGCGGCCTTCGTACTGCGAGTGGATCTGGCAACATGCTTGACGAAATTTGCGCAGGCTTCCACGGCAACGTTGTGTTCCTCCCGGAGAAGGCCAGGTTTTGGTGGACCAAGGTCTGCATAAAGCCTAAAGTAGACGCATTTGAGCAAGGCATTGGAGTCGAGAGAAAGTGCTCCATAGACATTGAGCGACTTCGTTGAGCGAGCATCCGCCACCCACAGGGCTTGCCATCGACTCAGCGTCTGCTCGAAGGTGCAAAGCTGTTCATTCGAATATGGCGCCCACCTCGTGTGTTTTTTGTATGCCACATTTACTGCAGGAGTGCATGCAGCATGATCAAACACCCAAATTGACTGCATCTGACAAGAGGCAAATCGTCCTCCGCCATCAAGTTCGAAAGCACTTCACTAAAGCTTGCCGGATACTGAAACGCATCCTTTGTACACTTTGTCCATTCGTCCTCAGATGGAGCACTCCACTGTTCTTCCGCACAGGGCAAGTCGATGTCCATTTCGCTATTGAGGAGAACGTATGGCATGCTCAAAGCTAGGTTCAATTGGCTGAAGAAGATGAAGACTGAAAGTTTCGTCCCATGTTGGTCAGTGACAATCGAGGCACGCTCACGAACAAGCTGGCGACACCTTACCGAATGATGGTTTCGGCTGCGACCCAGGATTCCCACAACGGCTCTTGGTTTGGGTTGTGGCGACCGAGGGCTTCGTCAAGGGATGAAACGGACCGAACAAGCTGTCGTCATTGTTTTCAGCTGAGCAACCCGAGACTGGAGAGGATAGCGGTCATCATAAACTTACGCTGGCGAGAAGTGACTGACTTGTCACCGTTTCGTGAAGAGTAGCGGATTTGCCACTCCAAGCCCCAAAGATCATGACAAACAACAGGGTTTGAGTCACCCATATAGGCTGTTCCTCCTGCTGCAAACCGCAGTGCTCAATCTTGAACGTTAGAGAAGCCTGTTGAGGAGAACGATGGGCAGACTCACATGATTGAAGAGCAGCTGACGGGCGGCCTGATATAGGATGAACCTGTGTCCACATTTCCGCAGCAGGTCGCGCCTATGGTGGCTATAGCAAGTAACAAAGCCCAGGGCTGTTGGTTTGCGTGCCACGTAGGGGCATGGATGCAGGGAATGCTTGGCAGCACGGCCTCGAGAAAGGTCGCAATATATATCGCCCAAATGCCAGACATGACGGCATATCGTTTCCTAGTTCGCCCTGTTGAAGTGATGTTAGTGGCTCGAAACTAGCAAAATTGTGCCTTCCTCCCCGACTCACCATCTTCGCGTTGCTTATCGCTTCCACCAGATCCATCCTCTTAGCCTCAGTAATCTCAAACCATTCCCTTCGTACAGGTCCGGAGAGGTGAATCTCGCTGGCGTTCAAAGGTAATGGATCCAATATTGTTATTCCAGGCCTTGGCATTTTGGGTGCAGCAGCTTCGTCGATCGCCCTGTGGGAACTATTGGTAATTGGCCTGCCCAGTGTATCGATAGCTGCAGAATTGGTAGCCGGCAACGTAAATTCAAGATCTTGAACTGTGAGGCTCTGTTGCCAATCAAAGTTGTCGTATAATCCATTGAACTCGAAAGGAAATGTCCACTGCGCCGTTGTAAAAGTGTCGATGTGTTTGCTCCCAAACGGCGCATGGCTGTCAGAAGAACCAGGGATCGTTTCAGGTCCAGGCTGCTCTTTGGTCACATCATTCAGAGTAATATCAGATGACTGGCTTTCCGGGATGACTGCGACAGTTGTCTGTATCTTCAAGATATCGGACGCGGGAAACTCGCCATCAGGCGGAATATGTTCCTTATGATATCGCTTGAGGTGGACTCGGGCCGAGTCTTTGCGGGAAAACCGATAGTTGCAAAATCGACACTCAAAGGGCTTCTCGTTGCTATCTGATATGCATGGTCAGTTTGCTGGTCGGCGTGGTGGTCGGGGAGTTCAGCGCGAGTTGCTATGGCTTGTACTAACGAGCACGTTCGTGCCTGGTCAAGTGTTCGACCCGGGCGAAGGCACGATCACACATCGTGCATCGGAAATCTCGTCGAGAAGTCACCCTGGTACCTGTTGTTGGTGTCCGTATTCTGGCCTCCTGCGAAGAGGAACGCTGCTCAGCGGGCTCTTTGCGCTTCTTTTTCGCCGCGTTTGGAGGCTTGGGTGAGGGTATGTGCTGTAGTGGTGCCTGGTTTGCGCTACCATCGGCCGCCAGACCTAGAAACGAGAGGTCTAGGGACATCGCAGGACACCTCAGGAGAACAAGCCAGCCCAGACACCGCTGGCAACAGGGGTCTAGAACCAAAAGACGACGGCCTGAGTTGATGCGCCGGATATCAGTCGTCGTGCTACGTCGTCTGGTGCAATCAGGACGATCCAGCAACTTCAGCAGTGATGCAATACGTAGTCACTGCCTGCCAAGCCCGGATACCCCGCAAGGGCCTGCCGAGGGCTATGGCTACGTATGGGCAGAGAGGTTTCTTCGGTGAATTTGTTATTGCGAACTTTGGATGGATCTTTCACAATTGGAAAACTCGAAAGAAGCCGGACAGGTGGCTCGACATAAGATATACTTGGGGATGTTGACATTTTTGCCTAACTGGGAGCGGACGCAAAGGATTGTATTTCCATCTGCAGTGAGCGCCCTACCGCTGGGTGCCATATACTGTAATTGGGATAGGTAGCAAGGAGTTTTGGGCTACAGCGGATCCTAGAATACCACCGAGGCTGCTCTGCTCTCGAGCGGTCTCGATCACGATCAGATCGATCACTACGTGAGTCTACAGCTGGGCGTCTCTCCTGCGCGCACGCATATTCCCTCGACGACCACGGCAAGCAGGCAAGCTACGTCTTGCTCGCTTGGGTCCGTCCGAGGTGAAATCTAGGGATGCTGGGATGAAGCAAGTTCTGGGACAGAAGTGGGCGCTGATTGACCCGGGGAAATCGTGGGTTATGATGGGGCCTGACGGGGGTTGACGGGGGTGACGGGGCTGGTTGACCTGCGGGGAAATTTGCACGCCTTCTCAGAATTGCTCTGCCACACCCCGATACACCCAACTTCTGTCCCTGTGGCCCAGTACACTAGGTCAACCAGGCTTCTTGCGAATTACCCTTTGGAGGGAGCTGTGTGCTGTGGGACAATGAAGGTGGGTGCGAGCTGTCGCACAAGGACGTGGGGTCAAAAGCTTTTACGCATACCGGAGCAGCCCAAGTCTACGAAGACAGGAGGCATCGATTATTGGTGCCCAGCGAGCGTCAATAGCCAAAGTCAACATCACCTCCGCCAGAGACAAATGCGTGCAGCATATTTGACCGAGCCCATCCTACGCAAAATTATCGCGGCCTCATCGGTCCTCCCTCCCTTCCTGCCATCCATTTTTCTCAGACGACAATGTCAGCGCTCCACGAACCTGAAATTCAGGCACTCATGTATGGCGAAGCAAGCGACGCTCTGCTTATTACGCTCTTCCAGCAGACATTGAGACGATCTGCCAATGAATTATCTCACGCTTCAACAGCGGTCCGAAACCCAAGATCATTGTTCTATGGAGCTATCGGCCTCGTCTCATTATTTTGAATCTTGTTGAGCCTCTACCGTCTGTGGCTGCATCCTATGCGAAATGTGCCAGGGCCATTCTTTGCACGAATCAACGGGCTGTGGCGAACATGGCGGTATTGGAAAGGTGACTGGCATGAAGACATTGTTCAACTCCACGAGAAATATGGCAAGGCGGTCAGGATATCCCCAACGAGATCTCAGTGCAGGATGAAGATACCATGAAAGCCCTCTACTCTCACCGCCAAAATACTCCAAAGAGCTGGTGGTACAATGTCTGGATTATCCCTGGTGCCGCGCGAGGCTTTTTCGCCATCCGTGACCGAAAGTTGCATGGCTTTTTGCGCAAAAGAGTGTCACATATGTTCTCCGTCACAAGTCTCGTCACTATGGAAACCTACATCCAAAGCTGCATGGACGTTTTTATGTCCAAAATGTCCCAATTCGAAGCACAAGGCAAAACCGTGGAGATGGGCAACTGGACTAACGCACTCGCCTTTGATGTGATTGGGGAGCTGGGCTACGGAGCAATGTTTGGTCACATGGCGACCGAGTCCGACGTGCTAAACCTCAGAGGGGATATTCTCTCAGGCTTCAAGATCTTCAGTCGAATCGGTTACCTGTGGGGACAGTGGCGCCTCGTGTTGAACCCTCTTGTCGCAGCTCTCGGTCCACCCCCAGCCACGACGTTCGCCGACTATACAGCGCGCCAATTACAAGCTCGAAAGGCTGATCGGAGTGGCGTCGCGCGGACTTGCTTGAGCATTGGCTCAACATGAAGCGTGCAGACAACACGCCCGCTCACGACGACGAGATCATTGCCGAAATGTTTTCTGTCATGTAAGACCACTGGCCTTTTGAGTTGATGTGACTGACAGTGGTGCAGCGGTGGAGGTGGGGATACCACATCGATCTTAATGCGAGCTTGCTTGTTCTATGTTGCTACCAGTCCTAAAGTCTATGCCACCCTGCGAAAAGAGATCGACGATTTTTGCGGGGATCGAGAGCCGGACAGACAGATCATGTACAAAGAGACTCAGACTTTGCCATACCTGCAGGCTGTCATCAAGGAGTCCGCACGGCTCTGGCCCTCTATTGTCTGGCAACTTCCACGCGACAGTCCGTTGGTGGCCTTACGATTGACGGCAAATTCTATGTTCCGGAAGGCTACAGCGTCAGCATTAGTCCCATGGCCCAAACCGCGACCCGTGCATTTACGGCGATGATGCGAAAGAGTTCAGGCCTGAAAGATGGCTGCAGAACGAGATCCAGACCCGTCGCATGGAGCTCCTTTCCATGACCTTCGGCGGTAATGGTCCCCGTGCTTGCCTGGGCAAAAATCTGGCATTGGTATGTCTGCTTCCGTGAACCTCTATGCATCTAAGCTATACTTACGGAAATCAGATGGAAGTCCAGCTTCTTATCGCTCGCTTTATCCGAGGCTTTGACTATGAGATCGTCAATAAGGAGCACCCTTGGCGGGTCTGCTCTGCATGGTTTGCATCACAGAACGAGATGTATATACGTCTTACACGGAGGGGCTTTGACAGTGCTAAGTAGATCACGTGATTTACTATTAGAGTCACCCGAGTCATCGTGGATGTCTCTAGCTATCGCATCATATCTGGTTCACCTTAATTATTATATGATTATTGCACCTCCCAATCCTTAATCCAGATAGCCGCAATATTTGAGAGGCAACCTATACTGAAATTATCGTAGTGCGGTAGCAAATCGAACAGTTTACTATCCTAGACCTTGAAACATACACTATATATAATCACCCAGTAAAAGCACCTGGTATTGAGACAATTTAGTTAAATGACCATATTTTGGTGCGCCTTTCTGGGAAACAGGCTCGCGGCCATATTTATAGTAATAATGTCTGGCAAAGCTGAGGAGCTCAGCTAAATATCCGATGCCGAAAACTGTCTCTTTCACTCAGGGACAATCTGCCTTGACGATCTGTGACTGTAGTTTCCTCCGATTCAATGTTCTGCTTCAGCTATTCTTAGATATGCTTTTGCCTTTCCCAAATCTACATCAGCAAACATCGCAAACCTAGTTCCTCAGAGCTTGGAAAATGCTGGGTGAGCATGCCACCAGGCTCGCAATCGTTTGCCATAGAAATAGAGAGGGATGGTCAAAGTACACAGTGCCAGTTGAATACCTCCGATGACGTTGAACATCTTCGCCGGACCCCAAGCTACGACCCAGTCACTAACAAAGTCTGTTTTTCAATTAGCAACGAGCTCGTCAGTGCAAAGGATCATAACAACTCACAGGTGAACCCGTAGAACATGAAGTTCTTGACGATCATCGTAATAATAAAAACTTCGATACTGATATCGCGGTATGCATCGACCATATAGGCACCCACGGTGACTGCGGCAAACTGGCCTGAGCCAACGATTATGCCATAGATTATCGCGATACAGACCACACTGGTGCCTTGCGTGATCAGGTTGCCAAAGCAGAAATAGCCGATGGTAGCAAATATCGCAAGACCCAGGATGAGGAAGAGACGGAATTCAGGCTCGTAAATACCACCATTGCGTCGGCTCATCCACTTTGCAAGTGGATCGGAAACGAGACCACAAAAGAGGTTGGCGAGAATGCCAACGACAACTGGTCCTGCGGAAAGATAGCCAATATCCGTCGTGCCCAGGTTATAGGGTGGTCCTGCTAGAATCTCCGCCAGGACAACTGAAATACCCACGACCCAGAGCACCGGGAACACGAGCGTGATGCCAGCCCAGATGACGGCGGGGTTGATGATGATGAGGAAAGGTCGGATAAGCAATTTTAGTAGTGAGGTCTCACTGTAAGTTCCGTGGAAGGGCAGCATTCTGTGCCAGATCGACTCTCTGCGCATGATCGAATCGTCACCTGTCCGGGTTCTGGACATGGTGTTGCCGTTGTTTTCAACTTCCTGATGCTCCGCCTTAGAAGCCTCGACTTGCTCAAGAATCTGTAGGTTCTGCAGAACGGAAAAGGGTTAGCAATTAGGACTCGTGAATTTTCCGAGTCCGACTTACATCCTGCGAAGATTGATCAATCTCGTAAAGGGGGTTGCGGTTGTATGCAGTCTCCCATCCGAACAAGAGACAAAGTAGAAAAAGGATTCCAACAAAGATGGAAAGGAGCCAGAAGATCCAGCGCCAACCCAGATTCGCGGCCACCTTTCCAGACACCAGGACTGGGATATTGGAAATTCCGGATAACGAGGTAACGAAAACCGCCATGCGTAATCCTCTTTCGTGCACAAAGTAGAGGTCTCCGATGATAGCATACATGACGGACTCAAAGAATGAGCATGCGAAACCTTGTACAACCCGTGCTCCCAGGAATGAACCGTATGATCTAGCGGCACCTGCCCAGAGCGAACCAGCAAAAGCGCAAGCCATCGAGAAGATTAATCCAGGACGTTTACCGAATTTGCGGCAAAATGAGGCGATAAAAATACCGATAGCACCGGTTGCGCAGAGACAGTACCCACTCAAAAGTCCATATTGTGTGAAGTTGATCTTGAATTCCTCAATCAGTGGAATGGCAATCGGAGACAAGATCGGGCCAAAACTACACATGGTCAGCCTGGAGGTAAATGACGTGCACGAAAGGATAAGCTCACCCTCCAATCACGATGAGCGTACAACTTGATGTTAGTAGCAATATTCCATCTCTCTGCCACAAGGGCCAGTTCAATGGATCGTTGGGGTCATTCGATGGCTGAGGAATGAGGACAATGTGGGAGTTCCTTCCCGTACCCTTCTTCAGGTGGGTAGCATTCACGATGGAGGGAACATCATGATCATCCAGGAATGTAGTGCCTGGGACATGATCCATTCGTCGCTTTGGCTCAAGAATACCGAACCCCATCTTGACGACTTGTGAGCAAAGATTTTGAGATGAAGAGCGACAAAGTGCAGCAAAGCATTAACGTTGACAGGGGAATCGTCAGGTAATATACACACACAGAGCACCCGGGCACCCCACGGGCACCCCGCTAGTTCAGCGAATCCTTGGGCCCAGCAGGTTGCCCGAGGGGACCAAGTTAGCAGGATTTGCCTCAATAATTCCCCCAGAATTCATCACACCTGTGGGCGCCTCTCCACATCCTCTGATCCAGGGGGCAGTGAGAATCCCATGCGCTTTGAGGGGAGTTTAGTTCACTCCACATCCCCACTTTCCGATTACCACGACAAGGCCGTGTTGAAGCGGCATGCTGACAGGAACATCGTAACCCGGTTGTTCCGGTGAAGAGATCATCAATGCCGTGACCGAAGAACCTCGTTCGATCGTAACGCTTGACACAAACCTGATTATTGGGGTCGAGATAAGCAAGGCGTATCGAGGGCATTTTCGGGCTGGCTAGTCACTCTTCTATTGAGCTCTACGAAACAACTTCCTGCTGGGAAATCCGGAAGATTAAAATTGCGGGCTGTATGCCGCAACAGCGACTCGCCGTTTGAAGACCTCTTGCGTCACTTCAAAAGTCTCGTTGGCACTGGTAAAGTGCAACATCCCATTCCATGGCTTCGGTGAACATCAACGTCATGGATGCCCCGTATGCTTAGAGTAAGACTTCCTTGCTTGTCATTCCGACACGAAGGTCGATACTGGCATGGTGTTTTAGCAGAAAGGGGTCCCACTCCTTCCAGATGCACGGAATATTTTTCATCTCAGCACTCACTGCCGGGGTCTCCTCTTGTCAGCCTCGAACGAATTGCACGAAGAAGGTAGTCGTCAAATCCTCCAGTATGGCCGATTTTTGATGAGCCTGGTCATTCGAGGTCGAGGTCCGGACTGATTTTGACAAGATCGTCGCTAATGGTATGCAATATCTGCAGAAATGCTCTGCACTGCTTACTGCCGACCGTTTCGAGCAGGTTTGCGTAGTGTAGAAAGGTTCGGCGAGCTGAGGCATAGCCAGGTTCGAGCAGAGCCCCATTGACTTCGAACGCATTCCCATTACGGATGAAATTGACAGCTTTCGAAGAGTCCTCGTGCGATGCATTTCCGAGGGGCAAGTCAAAGTCGACGGTATCGCTGACGCCGCAAGTTCCGACCAAGTCCCAATCGACATCTGCAAAAAAGTCCATGGCCGTGTCTTCCCTTTGCTCGGAAGCTGGCGACGTCAGTGCGTAGAAGCCCATGGTCAAAGCTGCTCGGAAAAGTGCATTCATGAGGTGCATACTTATCACATCGGATGCTCTTCGGTTGAAAATCAAGCTCCCGATAGCGGCTGCATGTAAACACGCCCGTCGAGCAGTCGCGGAGCGTGACCAGTGGCGCAGGCGCCCGAGGGATGCTTGTGCGGCGGTAGGCCCAGCCTGGCCCGCTGCTCGCTCGAGCATTCGGAAATCGGTGCTAAGCAGCAGCCAACAAGTATGCCACATTACCGCAGAATTTATGTCCACTTTGCCAGAGAACTGAAAGTTTTCCGACATGCGCTGGAGTTGCAGGAGATGAGATAAAATGGACTTGCCGGGTTGACGATTTATACAGTCTCGCCAGGGTGCCAGTTCTTGCGGGTCGTTCGAAGACTCATCCAGTAGCAGGCAGAGCTGATTTGACTGGTAGACCTCGGAGTAAAGCAACATGATATTGCCATATAGACTGTTCGGGTTCGTGGCGACTATTGGAGCTGGTACGGAAAACGGTGTGACAGCTGGCATCTCTGCTACGGCACCGCCTGTCACCATTTTTGCCCACGCTTTGGCCGACCGCGCTTGAAAGAGGTTGGTACTGGATGGCAACCATATTCGAGTGAACTCTGCCCGCACGATTAATGGCGTGGAAAGAAAGCCGGCCACTAAGCAATCCATCTCCACCAGGCCCATGACCAATCTGATGAATGTTATCAATTGCTTTCGGTCCAGCTTTGGCAGACAAACCTTTTGATACTCTCTCTCTTGCTCCACTCAATCCATGCTGAGTCTGCTCCCAAGTCGCTATCTGGGGCAAGCTGGGAAGAGAGATCCCTAGGCACGGAAAACATCCCATGCCACTGCGCAAACTGTAAAGTGGGTTAGCACAACATCATCGCTTGAGTACCTTGACAACCGACCGAGATCAGATTTGCGTGCAGCTTCTCCATCTGGTCTAAGTGACCTCGATTCTTCAATCCTGGTCAGCTCTTCCATGGGTGTCTTGAAGCCACGGATCTGACCTACGTTGGAGAGAAAACCCAGGTGTAGGGTCAAGAGTGCCGTAAGCATGGTAGTCAATTGTTTGGTAGGATCAGGGGGTGGTTTGACGTATACGTTCAACTGAAAAGGTACAAGGCTCAGCAGAGTCTGAGGAGTTAGTCGGGTCTCGTACGTAGAGGACTCTAGTCACAAGCGTGAAGGAACGCACCTCGTATGAGCGATGGACGAAGTATTTCGCTTCTCGACTGCCCAACGAGCAAAACCCTATTGCCGTGATTGCAAGCAAGAGCTCACTCGAGCATGCCTTTGCCGAAAACGTGGGCATGTGAATATAGGGGTGAGCCGCACCGAATCGCCAAAAGAAGAAATCAAGTACAAGCGTAAACAGTTCTTTCGGTGGCATTTCGAGGTTGGGGACAGACTCCGTCATCGGTGTATCCAAGCTGGAGCTTGCATCGGTCGGTTTTTCTGCAATCCCCTGTTCGTCAACCAACAATACGGGCGCCTGCGCACATAACAGCTGTTTGATCCTTGACCGACAGTCGTCATCGTAACCCCACGGCCCAGTCTGCCGGTGATAGTGACCCTCCGAAGCATCATCGTCGTTTGCTGCGCAATAAATGTTTCTGCAGTGTGTGTCTTGCACCTTGTGCCAGCAAGATACCATGAGCGTTTGTGCTCTTCGTCTATTGGAGGGCCAATATTTCTCGACACCCTTGATGCAACCTTCTGGGATGGTTTCATTCGAGGAAAGCGTTGCTGAGAGCGATGTTTCTACCCTTGCGGCAGAAGCGTGACGCGTTCTGTCTGTTGGGATCGCTCTATCGTCCTGGGTTCCAGAAACAGTTGTGTTGTTGTGCTGCTCATCAATGTAAAAGGCTGCTCGGCTTGGGGTACCAAGCCAAGTCTGGGCAATGTCTGGAAAAGGACCCTGATGTAGTAGATCTGGTAGCGGATCATCCATGAAGTTCAATAGATCATTCTGCATAACATAGTCCCATGGTGTCATCGACGAATTTGGCAGAGAGAGAAACGTTGCGTCAAAATCTGGAAGCGTCATGTCGGCAATAGTGTCAGGTCTTTCTGCTGCCAACATGTCTTTAGTCAGGGCAGTCGTAGACACCTTGCGGCCAGCGTCCACGCGCTCGCGTGTAGCAGGCCAATCTTGGGCAGAGTGCGTGGCCACAACGTCTATATCATTCGACATGTCTGAATCCTGGAAATGGCCTTGTAGTGATGCAAAGCTGTTGCTGTGAAAATTACGTTCTCTGAGTATAAAGGTCATGGCAGTCTGAGGGTCTACAGTATCACGTGGTATAGCCGGCGCCTCACGACCTACTGATGCTGCCGGGTCACCTGGTCCCTCATTGACAAGACTTTGTGTCTCATCTTGCTGTTGCGCTGGTATCCCTCCGGATAGGGATGAAAGCAATGTGCGGTTTTGGCCCGACGGGCTTGGAAACTCAATCTCCCTCAGCTGTGGCGATGGTTCAAGTGCCGGGGGCACAGTCGCGTGCTGTCCCGAAGACTCTTGACCGGAGGGAAAATTGAGAGGCTCCGGGGTAACAGTCGTTGCTGGATGGCTCCTTAGATGACGGACAAGTACATCGCTGAGTATATCAGCCGACGCCCAAACTAGGGAAAGTGTAAATCTGCCCACCTGCGTGCGAATGACTTGTGGCAAACAGGACATTCATATGGCTTCTCCTTAGTGTCTAACACAAGCGCATTAGTGTTGGAACGACATACATACGCGGTGGGGCGCAGCCTTACGGGAACGATCATGCCGTCTGAGATGTTCATTCTTGCTGAACTTGCGGCCACAGACGCCGCATTGTATACGGCTTGTTGCTGATGCCATTTCGTTGTGTGGCAACAGGCTAGGAGACTAAGACCAAGGACCTTGCTCCAGAGTTTTGGCCTGCGGAGTCTCTCCGCTCAAGGATGTGGCAGTGGAATAAACTGGAAGAGATGTCTTTGGATTGTACCGGTGCACTAGGCCACATGTCGCGAAAGATGGAGGGAGTCGAAAATAATTCCGGGGGATGGCATCTGGGAAAAAGTCTTTCGGTGGGGAGTGGGAGAAGGTGGTGGGGGTACAGGTCGTTTTCTGATTGATTGTCCAGATTTCTATTCCCATCAGGAAAGTGGGAGCTCCCCACACTCGCCTATCCCACGATTGACTTCCCCGGGCGAGGAGGTCGAACCTCCCTCTTAGTGAGTGGATGATCAAGAGGGCAACGATCACGCCCGTGCTCATGGAGGTAAATCTGTCGCCGTGCGTTCGGGAATCACAAGGCCTCGAACCCTTGCGGTGCAGTGTTGGCTAATTCTGGGGGGCCAATTCGACAAAAAAATGGCCGAGGTTTAAAGGTTCAACCGCTTACGTGATGAGACAGTGCCCTTCGTCTTCCCACTTTGCGACCTCGAACCTGTGGAAGCAGAAGGTTCATGTCCTGATTGACCCGAGTACCGAGGGTATCGCCATGTACAGGGTCAGAGTATTGGGCCGCACTGGTATTGTGTGGACTGCCACACGGGAACCGATCTTTCGTAGTGTGCCATGATTGTCCTAGATAAGTCGGCCAGGTCAAGTGCACAGTCTTTCTGGCGCTCAGATCTTAGTGGAAACATCAGATGGCATGGGTCAAGGTTCTATGGAATAGGCTACAATTACGATTTTGGAGTTGGTATAACCTTCAAAGATTCGGTCTCACCGATCGCTTTTTGTCTCTTTTGCATAATCGTTCAATCATTGCAGCGTCCCCTCACTGGCACCATCAACACCGTCATCCCACGGATGAGTCTACGCTAATTCCAGCGCAACCAACTCGAACGACACAATGTCAATGTCACAAGTCATCAGAAGCATGTCCATTTGGGACTCGCCATTCTGGCGTTTAGCCAGTCGGGCAGTCCCTGTGCTCTGCGCAGCTCTGTTCATTGCGTTGTTGGTGGATTATCTCCGCATTCTGCGTTTCAGGCAACGACTGCCTCCTGGACCTTTCCCACTGCCAATCATTGGAAATCATCTTACGATACCATTGCCAAAGCCTTGGATAGCTTTTGAGAAATGGAGCCAATATTACAACAGCCCCCTTATAACTATATGGCTCGGCAGAGATCCGAAGATCATTGTCAACGACGCATGGGCAGCATGCGAATTGATGGAAAAACGAGCCGATATCTATTCCTCTCGTCCGCGAATGATCATCAATGGCGACCTGCTCGGTACATCCAAAAACAATCAGACCAATCTACCTTATGGAGACCGCTGGAGGCTTCATCGAAGAATTATGGTATGACTTGCGCAACTGCACTGCTTTCCAAACCTGTACTAATCATGTCTGCATCAAGCATACTGCTGTGGGATCACAGGCTGTAGTACACTACCGAGATTTTCAGTCGGCCGAAGCCAAGGTGCTTCTCAGAGATCTTATGGAAACTGCAGACGACTACGTCATGTCAATTGAAAGGTATTCTATTTCGGTCGTCTCTATCGTTGGCTGGGGTCGCAGGATTTCTAGGAAGAACGACCCCGTTGCACAAACATCACTTGCCGCAATGGAAGCCATTGACTGGGTTGTTCCCGGTGTCTCCTGGGTTGAGTCTATTCCAGAGCTGGCACACTTACCAGCTTGGGTCTATCCGTTCCCCAATATGGTCCGATCAGCAGGGGTAATGTTTATGAAGTACTTCTATGCGCTGTCCCGGGAAGGGGCTCAGGCACAAGAGGAGAGTTTTGCGAAACGCCTACTGCGCGAACAAGGAGAGCACGGCCTTAGCAACGACGAAGTGGCCAGTCTGACAGCTAATCTTATTGGCGGCGGGGTCGACACTACAAGCAGCACCATGATATCTGCGATACTTGCATTCTGTGTCTTTCCTCACGTCCAGTTGAGAGCGCAAAGTGAGATTGACGATGTTGTCGGAAAAGATCGTATGCCAAACTGGCAAGATGAGAAGTCACTGCCTTATATCACAGCAATCGTGAAAGAAGCCCTGCGGTGGCGCACAGTGACGGTTTTAGCCGGTATTCCTCACGCTCCTACTCGTGATGACGAATATGAAGGCTTCCGTATTCCAGCTGGCACAAACATCACGGCAAATATATGGGCAATCCACCGAAATCCACGCGACTTTCCCGATCCTGACGAATTCCGACCAGAGCGATACTTGAATGGCCTTGAAAAACCGTATCCTAACACAAGGGGTCACAATGCTTTCGGGTTTGGCCGTCGGCAGTGTAGTGGACAACCCCTGGCAGAGCAAGGTCTTGCAATGTCGCTGGCACGACTACTATGGGCATTCGACATCAAGCCAGGTCTAGATGCAGAGGTGAGTTCTTTCCTAAGTGAAATCGAGATGACGGAAAGGAACTGATCTTTCCTAGGGCCGCGAAGTGAAATTGGACATTTTTGACTATACGAACGGGGAAAACATAAGACCACAGCCTTTCAAGGTCAGGTTTGTCCCTAGGTTTGCTGGTGTGCGTAACATCATCCTGCAAGAAGCAGAACAAGCGTTGAGTTTCCTCTCAAAGTACGAGGGAGAAACAAAGGTTACAATGCAGGCTCTTTAGAAACTGGTATCCTTCTAGCGACGCTGGTTGAGCATACAGAGATACCGTACCAACAGCATGGATGTGAGAAAGGAGTAGCCTTTCTGACGAGTTTTGAGTTCTACGTAAGCGCATATAAGTGCATGGAAGTCGGGGAGTCGATTTTTGACTAGGTCTTGCCCCGCTTTTGGTACTGCTCATATTCATTCTGCGGTAGATGTTCAATGCTGTAGTTTTTGAATGTGCCGTGGGGAAGACTATCGAATTGGCACGAAGTGGGCTGACAGAACCCGCCCCGTTGGAACATGGTAGTCTCCATCACGGCAACGTTGTCTCGGGGAATAAGACTGCCACTTGCGCCACATTCTCTTTGACATGAATTCAAAAGCAGGGCAATCTGTCGATGATACACTCCTCGCACACGAACGCTCAACACTGACCTAGTTCAAACCCTTGTGCCAGCATGGACCCCTCCAAATTCAAGCCCTCAACCGTGCTACTCAACCATAATGTCTATCCTGCAATATCCCGCGGAGCGCTCCAGAACGCGAATGCCAACAAGTTGGCCGTCGTCACCGGCGCCGGCAGAGGTATGCCCCGACCAATCGTAAGGCTATACATACCAAATATCTGAACGCTGTGCAGGAATAGGTCGAGCCATCGCTGAAGCTCTGGCAGCGTCCGGGGCAAATGTGGCATTACTTGATCTGAATCTTCAGAGTTTGGAAGACACGAAAAATGCCTGTGAGAATCTTGGTAGTCGAGTGGGAGCCTACGAATGCAACGTTTGTGACGGGCCTCGCGTGCAAGAGGTCTTTCAAAGCATACGTAAAGACTTGGGTCCGATCGAGTGAGTTCTCTGACCGGATGCTTGAGTAGCACTAAAGCGTGGGCAGTGTGTTAGTGAACAATGCTGGGAAGTCTCCCGCCCGACCATTGTCGATGGAAACTTTTGACCAATTCTGGAACACAATTGAGGTCAACTTTAAAGGCGTGCGGATAGGTGTCCAATCACTCTCCACAAGCCTTCCTGACAGTGGCCTAGGCAATGCAGTGCATCTTCCAGGTACTTCCAGAGATGCGTGAACGTCGATCTGGGTCCATTATCAGCATCGCATCTCGGGCTGCCACGGTTGATGCGCCGTTTTGTGTCGGCTACGACGCAGGCAAAGCAGCGCTTGTCCGCGCCATATCCACCATACAAACCGAGCTCGAAATGGACGGACTGGGCGAACAAATATCCATGTATGCATTGCATCCGGGAGGAGTAATGACAGCTATGGGTGGTGGTAACGTTTTCCCATTGTTGCACGTCCCTCTTCGTCTCACTTCTTTTCTAATGGTTATATACTCTCTAGCTAGATTTGATCCCGACGTGTTGGAAAGATATCCCTGGCTGGAGGAGACTGCCAAAGACTTTGGCAAGCTGTTCAAAGACGATCCCACGTTGTGCGGATCTACTTGTGCTTATCTCGCGACTGGGAAAGGTCGAAATCTACGAGGATGTTATTTCGACTGCAGGCAAGACATAGAACGTGTATGTGGTGTTGGACGGGAAACCCTCGAAGCATATGGCCTATACACATTGAAAGTCGAATTCCTTCAAGGTTACGAGAACGAGCCTTAATGATGGAGGTCGATCAAGAATAGTCAACTACTCCAGGATAACGTAAGTCATATTTTCTATTATTGCAACCGCGCTATGCTCATGTTCTGGTAGTGTTTAGACCCATCGTAGCGGAGAACGCTTTCGGGATGGCAAGTTCTTTTGAAGAAGTCCCGTCGGACCAAGGCACCGTATCTCCGGACAGAGAGGAGCATAGCTTGCATGAATAGAAGAATCTTACCCGGACTATATAACCTTTCACAGGCAAGAAGCTGAAAATGACACTAATATACCTCGGAGTAGGAGAATATTGCTTATCGGAGTCGAGTTAGAGGAAATGAGACGGGCAACTGCTGTTATTGAGAAAATCTACGAGGTTATGGCAAGTAGCGAATACGTTATAAGCATCAAGCAAGTTTACATAGATCTAAAGTGAGAGTTAAGTATTATGAATCGCTCCACTAGGGTGTCACGAGACAATGGGTTCCTGAGTAGGGGGAAGTACCAAGGTATAGCGGTAAGAGAGTACGCTTATAGTATAAGCGAGACTAATCAATACTTAAACGTATAGATATAATCGTTAACGAAGTTAACTACGGACTATAACTATAAGAAGTACTCTTCCTATATAGCCATAGTATCTTAGTATAATCTATATAATCTATTAATCTATTCATAGAGTATATAGGGCAATAGAGTATAGCGGATCTATATAATTTATTGCTCTATTCCATAGAGTATATAGATTAATAGAGTAGTCACGCGATACTACGTAATATTAGGCGACTTCGCTAGACCTTCCTAGATCTTAGAGTATCCTAGCTAGTTATAACCTAGTCAAGATCGTTTCGTAATATCCGCCCTCTTCTTCGACGTTCGTTATCCTAACTATCTAATTATAAGATTCTAGGCTAGAAGTTATATTAATTTAAGGTTACGAATAGAAGCTTAGCGCTAAGTTTAGTAAAAAGAACTATATCTAAAATCTTAGGACTTAGGGGAGAATAATTAAGGACTATTTTATTTCGATCTAAGATTAATTATACTTACTTTTACTTTTACTTTATTAATTTAGCTTTAAAGAAATAAAGACTTTAGAATTTAGATTCTTTTACTAATTAAAATAATTCGTTATATTTATAAAGTATAGTAATATTTTATTCTATCTTATTTAATGTTACCTAAGTCCTTTTTAGGTCTTATATAGACACTAATCTATCGCTAAAAGCCTCTCTTCCTCCTTTCCTTTCGTTCTCGACCTCCCTATATTCTCTTAATCCTTACTCTACTTAGGGTCCTCTACCTCGTACTTTTCGAACTAGGCTAGGAGCTTAGTACGTTATATTATTCTTATCGCTACTCGATATCTCTTTTCCGTATTTAGGAGTGCCGCTAACGAGGGCGTATACCCCTCGTCTAGACTATCCCTAAAGTACTCTCTTCGTAGTTCTCCCTACGCCGAGTACTTTAGTAGGACGTACTATACTATTTCTAGTTCCTAGCCGCTATAGGACTCGCACTAGAGATCCTTAACTCTAGGGATCTTTCTATTAAATAAAAAGACCTTAAACTTAATCTTCCTCGTTCGTAACTATATAACTAGCGAGAATTGCGGTCTCTTAAGCCGATAGTAGAGAGCTATCGTCTTTAGATTTAGCTTCGACTAGAGATATTGGCTATATACCCCTAAACGACTCTTCTTCTATCTCTCTCTCTATCTCCGTTAGTAATCTATATAGATTGCTCTTCTAGCCCTCTTTAGGGCCTTCTTCTTCGAGGGGCCCTCTATTTACTTCGCCTCTCGTTTAGGTTTCGGTAAGATACTAGTTACCTAGGTCTCGAGCGTCTATAGGGGGCCCTAATACCCTAGAGTTTATCCCCTAATTCTCCGCTCTTAGAGTATAGCTATTACTCTTCTCTCGATGTCTCTCCTAATGTTCGAGAGAGTATAAAGTATAGTAATATATATTAATTATATTAAGAATTTAATATAATATTACTTAAAATAATAAGACGAAAATAAATATTAGTTTTCGCTTAGTTAATAATTTTATTCTTCGTAATTAAGTAAGTTATAAAATACTTAAAATTAAATATTATATTAACTTTTACTTTCTTAATATAATATTTAAGTTAAAGTTATTTATTAAATAAAAATATAAAAATTATTTATATATTTATTTATTTATTTATTTTATCTTATTTAATATTACTTAAGTTCTTTTTAAATTATAATATTAATTATAATATTAAAAGAATAATAGCGTAGTAAAACGATTAGGAAGTATAGCTCGCTAAGCTATTTTAATAACTCGAGAATAATATTAGTAATATCTAAATTAAGTATATTAATAAGTACGTAGCCTAAGAAATCCTATAGAAAGTTCGTAAATTAGTCAAGAGTAAAAAAACGCGTAAAAAATACGAAAATAGCGCGTCTAAATCATCGCGTTAAGAACTATCACTACTAGTAAAGGGGAAAAGTAATAAGAAGAAGAGTAAAGATATAAGGGACTCGAAGCCGAGAAAAGATAAAATAATAAAGACTACCCTTATAAAATCGCTCGTAAATATATAGACGAGACTCGCGAACCAAGACTAGAGCTAAAGTACGATTATAAGAAAGAGCGATAAGAAAACTCTAGAAGATATAAATATATCGACGAACCGAAAGAAGTAGTAATAGAGGTCCTTCCCTAAGGGATCTTAAGTAATAATAGCGATACTATCGTAAATAAAGGGAATATCGCGAATTTTATCTTTAACTCTATCTATATCGAGGGATATACTAATAATTTAACTAAGAATTAATAAGGAATCGAAATAAGCCCTAAAGATAAAGATAACGAGGGAGAAGCTTATTCGAGACATTAGCGCGAAGACAAGAAAGAATATCTTCGAGAGAATTAGAGCGATTAATATTTATCTAGGAGAGTATATAAGTATTTACTTAACGCTATATAGTTAAATAGCCCTTAGCGATATCGCTTAGATAAAGAAATAGATTTCGTCGACGACGCTCCCTAAGAAGGAGTTCGATCTCCTAATAACTCGTATTCTAGTAAGGGATATAGCGAAGAAAATAGTAGCTAGAATCGAGAGCGAGAATAAGAAATTCTACTTTAGACTAAGAATTATTAAAGCTATATAGTTAGGAAACTCGAAGAGAAAGAATTAACTATCTATTAAGATAATACTTAAGTCGATAGACTATATAGATTAACTTATTATTAACGATATTACGTTTAAAAAAAGAATATATAGGGCTAAGAAGTTTAAGAAGAACTTTAACTTAAGGAGAGAGTATTTAGTACTATTCGAGAAAGTCGAGGAAGAGCGTACCTTACTAATAAGTTAAATAAATCAATCTATAATCGATAAGGAGCTCGTCTTTAGTAATAGCTTAAAGAAGATATAGAGTAGTAAAATAGAGAAAAGGAAAATACTTAACTTAATTATATACGTAATAAGGAAAAACTCGTAAGGGAGACTAATTAACTTACTTAATAAGTCTAAGCTAAGACAAGAGCTAGCTATAAGAGTAAACTCGTTCTAGATTATCGAGGTATAGCTAAAGAAAGCGAAGATAACTAGAACTAAAGAACCCTAAAACGATAAAATATCCTTATAAGGGCGAGCCTATAGAGTACTCTTAAGATTATTTAATATAATATCTAGAAGTTAAGGAATAAGATTATAATAGAGTTTATAGTTCAGGAAGAGATAAGATAAGCGAATATCGTAGTAGTATAGGAACTATAGCGTAACTCGTTTATCGATAAAGAGTATAACTCGAGTAAAGAATTATTTAAGTTAATCGATACGAGAACGAAAACTATAAGAACTAGTATATACTTAAATAAGAGATTTAGCTTTAATCTAGTTAGGGTTATTTAGGTATAATTAAACCTAATCTTAATAAGCCTAAAGCTAAAGGTAAGAGAATAAATAAAAGAAGTAACGCTATATATAGTATACTACTTCTTACTAAAGTCTTACGCGATTAATAAAATATTAAGCTAATTAAGGGAGATAAAGATAGTAATTATTAATACGATAGAGAAATAAATACTCTTAGGCGACTTTAATTTCTATTATTAATATTAGAGAAGCTAAAGTATTAGGAGATAGTATCGTCTAACGAAGACTCTTATAAAGGCGACGAAGAGTAAAGACCTCGACTTACTACTTCTAATTAAAACTATTACGAGAGACTACGTTAAGAATCTCGAAATAAAGGAGAAAAGAACGAAGAGATCAATAATTAACTTAGTCTTTAAAACGATAGGAGTAAGGAATTATCTCGTAACTTATCGAACAAGACTAAACCTCTATATAAACTCGAATTATTTATTAATCGAGATAATATTAACTCTTAATATATAGCTTACGAGAAATATCTCTTCGAGACGACTTTAGAAGTAACTTAACGAAGAGTAGTTTAAGGTAAGATTCTAGAAAGTAGCGAAGAAGTTAAGGGGCTATTAACTAAAAGAAGTAAAGAATATTAATCGATTCGTTAAAGTATTAACTCGAGGCGCTTAATAGATTATTAAGGCTATCGTATTAATAATAAGATATAGTCTATATAATAAGAAATTCTAAACGCCGAAGTATCGAGCGGTGATTATAAAGGTAAATAGAGCTCGAAGAAGAGTAAGAATAATAAAGAGAGTCGAGAATAAATAGAAAATATAAAAACTAATTAATACTAAGATCTCGATTTTACGAAAGACTAAACGAACTTATTTTCGCGATAATATATAGGCGATAAAGGAGAATCTAAAGAAGATCTAAAAGATAACGAGATATATAAAGCGTCGAAAACTAAGTTAGATTAAACCGAAGTACTTTAGAACTATTAAGAAGAGGAATAGTATAGCTATAGAGATAGAGAAGAAGACGAAGCTCTTTAGAGAAGAATACTTTTCGCTACTACTATAAGCCGACTTAGCGAATATCGAAAACTTTCGCTATCGAGCTTAACTACTACTTAGGAACGAGATTACGAAGAAGAAGATAATAAAGGTAGTAAAGAAAATAAAGCTAAATAAAGTCTCGAGCTCGAATAGTATTATAAATCGAGTAGCGAAGCTAATAATATACTATACTAGAGATAGTATAAGGAGGCTCTTCTTAATCTATTTAAGATAGAGATATTATCTAAAGGAGTTTCGAAAGACTATTACGATAATACTAAGAAAGTTAAGTAAGAAGAACTATATTAACTCGAGAGTATATAGATTAATTACGCTACTTAATACGATAGAGAAAATACTAAAGTCGATTATTGT